AGGCTTTCTGGACTGCAGTCATCCATATTGCAGCGCCGATAGCTATGCCAAGATGAATGATACACCACCATCGCTGAGTCCCGCGTGCGAGCTACCGAAGCCTAGAGGTCGGCAAGAAAGGGAGTTTCCGTCGACCCCTGAAAGGTTGGATCCGGTGGGGTTTACCGTCAACTCCAGTGCGGAAAGCTGTAATACCTCTACACGTGTGCAAGTTGGCCTTGGTGGTAGAGTCAGGAGTTCCGCTGTTACCAGCGGCGGTCTCCTAGACTCTTACATTCTGCTTTATCAAACATTTTTTGCTACAAGACTAACGTATCTTGTGTAGGTGGAGGTCTGGTAGCTGCTAATTCAAGTGATCAATCTCAGTGGCACTTACAGACAGAGTGCAGTTCCTCATACTGCTTCTCCCGGTCATAAGTTGCCTAGATGGACGAGCAACCACACGCTGCAGCCGAGCTTGAGTTCCGAGAGTCGCCATTGCCGTCAGCGAAGATGACCACGTCTCATTTTCAGTACGCTCAGAGGGGATCGGGGGATTGGAATTCGCCGGTTGCAAGTGTGGCAGACGACAGGTAGTTCCATGGTGACTGGCGACATGGCGCAATGGCACTTGTTTCCTTCTTCTCGTGGTTTCCTGCTGTCTTACATTGCTCTTCTTAACTCCTAGCCTTGCCTTTTGAGGAGCTCTATATATGGCTCAGGTTTCGAAAAGCGGTCGAACAGGTTGAAAGATAACTGTTAGAGCGTTTCATCACAAGCTGACACATGAGAAAGAGCACTGACGATCTCCAGACTTCACTGTTTTACCGTAGCCGGCGTCCGACACCAGGGCCATGATCATAAGCCTTCACTGGGTTCTGACATGAGATCCGCGACGATGACGCGAACACTTTATCTATATCCGAGCCTTCGTATCTACACGTGCTTCTTCCGGCAGCACCAGCACCACCAAACGCTCTTGTTACCACGAATCCTCTAGGGATGATGCTTTCCATATGCCGCTGTTTCGAAGCCGCCGCTTTCGTTAAGTCATGATACTGTCGTGTAGAGGATGTGCGTCTTTGAGTCAATTCACTTCTGACCGATAACAGATGACGAACGAAGATACTCCAAGCAACAACACCGCACGAGGCTGGCACACAGTAAGATACTGTTTACTTCACAGCAGGATCATGGATGCCAAGCCGAGAGTAACCGCCATCGCTGGTATGGCTGCTGGACCTTGGCTTCGATTTTCGGTATCAAGCTCAGGGACAAGTGGTGGCGACATCTTTCCGCAGTCTGTGTAGCCCATCACAAGGCATCAATCTCGTTCGGGAAGCCGTCTCCTGGATAAGGTGAAGCTTTGGAGTGGAGTTGACGCATGACTGGAAAGAGAAAGGCTTGCAGAAAGAAGGATTCTGGTGTGTTCTGCATCGCCAGGGTCCTTGTTCTCGAGAAAGCCGAGAGTGATCGACACAGTATGCATTTGGTCGTTGATCATGGTTCAAACCCATACGATGATCATCTTAGCTATGTCAACATTGTACCAAAAAGGTTTCTGGGGATTCTTTTGCTTGTCCTGAGAATGTTTCTTTTTCGCTGTACCAGTCGGTAGACCATTACACAGACGTCGGATTATGGACAGTATCTAGAGCGTTGGAAAGTCAAGAATCAAACACGTTTGCTCAGCGTTCCATTAAGTTACACCTACCCTGTGCAATAGTACCAAATCGTCATCCTCAGCCTCTTCGCTAATCTCATGATAGCTATAAATGTCCGCGGTTGTGCTCTTGGTGGATCGCTGATCCAGCAGGTCTTCTGTGTCCACAACCGTCCAAATACCTAGCGCAAGCAAGACGGGCAGACACTCCAATGTGTAGAAGAAGACTTCGTTGTGCATCAAGAACAGCAAGTGACCTGTGATGATCCCAGAAAGCTCAACAAGACGGTAAACTATCCTCGTTGATATGGCCCCGAGGCTGATCAGCAAGATGAACGAGGGTGAACACCACCTTCTCAGTGATAGATCGGAGTGGCCATCCTTCATTGTGCGGGCGTTTCTGCTCTCGCTCACCGACAGCTTTCTATGCAACATCAATGCTATACCGAATGTGCACAGCACGAAGACCTCCTGAACACCGATGCCAAAGAGGTAGAGCTTGACTCCGAAAAGAGCAGTGTCGGAGCCTCTCCTCGAGGGGGACGATGGATGTTTGGGGGCAATCAGTGCACTAGCGATGAGCTGCTCGAGCGCAAGAAGCGGTATGACGACGCAAAGTCCCCGTGACAGAGTTCGATCTGCAATACCAGCTATGTTTTCACCTGGGAAGTGGGCACTCATTGTCACTATGAGGACAGTGCAGTCGAGTGCAAATACCACTGTACACAGAGAGACTAGTCAGTCCATAGGCAAGAAAAGCGGGAAGAAGGTTTGCCAAATTCGAGGTTCGTGAAAAGAGCAGGAATAGAATACTGACATATCGGGCAAAGCAAAACCAAGGCATCGGAGAATGCCACAAATTCTGGCACCTGCTGATACCTCGTACCAAATGCACGCAAGACATATGCCGCCAATAGACATGACGAGATAAGAGCCCCGAACCAAGGCGCGAGGCGCCTGGTTCTCCGCAGTGGTACGAATCCTTCTATCGGCGAGTTACGGCGACGATAGGCCAGGCGAGATATCAGTAACGCATGTCCGAGCAGTACCAAGGCCGCAGCGGCGCAAAATACCAAGGCTGCGACGAAGGATGGGTAGTACGGCCGAGAAATGTATCCGCAAGTCCCAGGCGGCACCCATCCATTGGCATCGGGCTTCACAGTTGCTGTAGGACAATCGTGCGATTCTGATTGATCTTCCAAGGCTGAACGAGTCGACACCAGAGGGAGAAGAGCGAGTGTGCGCATGGTTACTCGATTAGGTAAAGGTGATGAAATGACGACATCTGCTCAGCCAGATGTCTGGAAGTCGGAAGGCCCCAAGAGGGCAATGTGTGGTATCGAGATGCTGACCAACAGGGCCATGGAGGGATTTACGGAGTAACACGTGCTTACCACCGCCCTACAGCTCTAACAACACTAGCATATCTCTTTAGCCCCCATGGATGATGATCCTTCGGCTAGGTGCGGGGCAAAGCGTCCAGGAACGTACCAAGATCTTGGAATCGGTGCTAAAATCCTACGACAGATACCGTTGCCGGTCGCACGAGAGTCGAAGAGATTTCATATTCTAATGGGGAAGGTATGTAGCGAGCGTCTCTGAGATTTTTTATCAGTATTGTTCCTACTCAGCAGCTTTAGTCTAGGCCTACGTTGTTCGCCGAAGCCTTCGGACGCCGTTTCTAATATTCTATATTCGTACGGTCTTACAATCGTACAGAGCTTGATTCTATTCACCGCAGCGGGCAGGCGGTGTTCTTGGACCGATATACGTATGCCCTGGATAAATGTCAGTCTTGGGAGGATGAGGTACCGAGTGTTGAACCATTGCAGAGACGTGCTCACCATTAGGTGTGGTAATCAGTTTGTCTTCTTCTTTGAAAGAATGTTCTCTAGTCCAGTCCTGAACAGCATCCCAGTTGACACATGCCGAATCCACTGTGTTATTTGCAAAGGCAACGCCAGGCTTATCAGGATTCCAGGCGATAGCCCTGACACCGAGATCGGGCTGGCAGATAAGCCTCCTGCGTAGAGTCTCGATGCAGTGGTCTATATGCGACGGGAAGTAGTGCTCGTCGTCCATATCGTAATGCCCCGTATGGTTTCTGGCCGGGTCATGCGGATCTGAGCAGCGGACTCCCGCTATTTGGTGCCTGATGGAATCTAGACAGTGTAGATGGTGATAGACATTCATAGATACCCAGACATCACCAGAGCCGTCGTTGAGGGGTATGCTCTCGAGATTGAGAGCGTCCAAAGATGTTGACGGGACACGTATTGAGTACCCTAAGACATTCCTTAGTTGGCAAATCAAACTTTGGGGCGTGAAAATGGTGTCACCTACCATCCATAAGCTTCATCCATCTCTCTGTCGTTTCTGGAGTGGGAAATCCCTGGTATGGGCTTGTGTGACCATGCCCCTCCATTTCATGAGGTGTAAGACTCAATGGCTGGGAAGATATGGCTTCGAATGCCGGTGCTAGTTGTCGCCCTTTGTTAGTCTGGTATAAAAGAATCGAAGGTGGTTAATATGCAGTGTTTAAACTTACAAGGCACCATCGAGTATTGCGCGATTTGGCTACTAGCGCCCCGCGAACGTGTGTTGCTGAGGAAGAGCCCAACAAACACTCCAGTAGTGAACATGATCACGTTGATGATCAGATGTCTAATGTTCCATCCATGACTCCAGCCTCTGATGCCAAAATTCCTTTCCGGTAGGACCTCTTCACCACCCTCTTCGCTTCGGAGTGGTGTATACTTTTGGTCCGGCATAATGCAGTTTTCTGCAACAAAGGGCACGAGAGACGAAGTCAATGCATAACAGAGCTTTCGGTTCCCGTGGCTTTTACCAAACCTTCGAAGAATTCGTGTGACTGCCTTGGAATGCCTCAAGTAGCGATTGCCAGACAGGGATTAGTGGTATAAGTAGTCTTGATCCGTCCACTGGTGAGGAGGCGAAATCAGAGGAGGAAGAATCACACTCTAGGTTCGCATCTCGGTGCAGCTGAGGTATGAGACAGGCCTGTACGCGCGAGAACCATTGCCAGTAAGACTGAATAACCCGAGTCCGTTGAATGAGGAAGGTGAGGTGCTTACACTTACGCCAGGCCTCCATAGCAGCTACTTGGCGGAGTTGCCGTTAGCTTGGCGGCCCACCCCGCTTCCTTCAGGATCAACGTACTCCTATGCCGGGCATGTACATCACGGCCTATCGATAAGGTTCCCTTACGCAATACCTACAGGCAGGGTTCTCTGTATTGCCCGTCGTTTCGGAACATGTATATATCAGGCCGTGTCTTACTTCACCGTGATCCTCGCCCGTTTCTTCGTCTCGCACTACATTCCTCGCAGTGTTCAATATGCGTGTCTCAACTGTCTCTGCCATCATCGGGCTCACTGCCGGCTTCGCCAGTGCGGCTCCGGTCCAGCCCAAGGAAGTCCAGAACCGCGGTGCTGATCCCCAGTGGTACGACATCACCTACATCGACAAGGTGAAGCGTGAGGATGCCGACAAGAAGCGTGAAGCTGAGGCCCAGTGGTATGGTGAGTCTTTCTCTGACGACAGTTCCCGTATTTCTCACGTGCTTACGGACTGAGTAGACATTACCTACATCGACAAGCGTGCTGAAGAAGAGAAGAAGCGCAAGGCCGACCCTCAGTGGTATGATATCACTTATATCGACAAGCGCGCTGAGGAAGAAAATAAACGCAAGGCTGATCCTCAGTGGTACGATATCACATACATTGACAAGCGTGCCGAGGAGGAGAAGAAGCGCAAGGCAGACCCTCAGTGGTATGACATTACCTACATTGACAAGCGCGCTGAGTAGAAGGCTCAGTCAGTAAACCACGATATTCCAGAATTAACCTGGCATATTGTTTTCGGGTCAGCAGGTGCAGAGGAGCAGCAAAAATGACGCCCTATAGCCACGTATAGCTGAAAGCCTTCACGTTAGAATAGAGTAGACTCTTGGTCTGAAGTTGCCCACGTACCATGATGCTGAAAATTCTTGCTACGGTGAAACAGAAAAGACGTAGACTGGCAACTCGAATGCTCTGACACACTCTCAAATCGCAACTCGTCTTATCGAAGGGCTTGATAGATAATGTGGGGCGAGTCTGACGCTCGATGTAAAGCCAGATACCTTCCTCTTTCGGTCAAGATGAAGGATCAACAAGCATGGACTAGTAACTGGGGCCATTTCGCTCTTATACTTGGGATGTCTGTCGCTCTTGTGTCCCATGACCTTCGCGCCTCAAGGCCTAATACTTGGCCGCCATCTTGGCGGAGTGACAATTGGGGCGGCATGCTTGCGCATTTATCGGAAACAGCTCGCAAAGGATTTCGCGCCAGTTCATTCCAGCACCTTGCGCCGTGGCATTCAAGCTCAGCTTGGCTGACATAAAGCCCTGTCAGTTTCAGTCGCCTAAGAGGTGGATTCCAACCTCTAAAATCTGATCGGAGCTCGAGAACGGTATCGGGAACACCGTTCAACCACTTTTCCATAATGGAACCGCCACATGAGCGGATGAGCTTCGACGACTCGGAAGGCACACAAAACAGCCATCTAGGTTCATCTGGAAGGTCCTCGCATGGCGAAGACGCTGATGTGGAGAAAGTTCTCTTGTTGGACGAGGGTAGCGGACGCATTCGCAAGGTCTCTGGGAGAAGTCCCTGGTCTTGGTCCATGAGCATCCCGGCTTCTGTCACGATCCTGAATGTCATCTTATTCCTGATCTCGATAGTGATACTATTTTCATCACATACGGGCTCTTTACCTGATCAGGATTACTGGAGAGCTACATCCTACTATTGTAACTACGCCCATATTGATAGATGGACCGAATTTGATCACTGACGTTGGATTCAGCCCCAGTGTTCGATCGCTTCAACATTCCGAAGCTCACGCGAGTTACAAATGGCACATTCTGGGACACAGAGCCCCCATCAATCTGGCGCGTCCGCGCTGGCACCGAGGCAGACGCAGCTTGGGAAGCAATTGGCAGCAACATCGCTCCTATCATAATCAACTCTGCTGAAGTCCTCGCGCTCGGAAAAGATCCCTCCACAGCCGTCAAAGCACCTCCCGAGCTCAACCTCGGTTCGGACGCGTACATAGCAGGCATGGACGTCTTCCATCACCTACACTGCCTAGATAAGCTCCGCCGAGAGATCTCATACAAGCACTATCACGAGGCGGAGGAAGGGCCGAGTCCCGGTTCGGAGTTGCATGAGGCGCATATCGATCATTGCCTTGATATACTTGCGCAGGCTTTGAGGTGTACGGGGAGTGTTGATATGGTTACTTTCAATTGGGTTGAGGGGCATCGGATGCCACAGCCGGACTTCAACAATAGGAAGGTTTGTCGAGATTTCGACGCCTTGAGGGAGTGGACGGTGGAGAATGGTGTTGACAGCAATGGTTTCTTCAAGGCTGCTGATAAACCGCCAGTCGATGCTGTCATTGTGCCTGAATTTCACCCTCAACATCATGGCAGATGAGAGAGAATAGTGCGAAATAGATTCAGTGCTTCATGGATTTGTTCGTCCGCAGCGAACGAATGGACGTCCGGTCGTGACAGCAATAGCCTGGGTTGCGAGTTGACAACGCCAGAACTGTGTACGATCTCCCTGCAGCTGCACAGTCGCTCAACTGGCGACGCCTTGTGTGACTTTACTCCAGCTTCTCTGAGACTACACATTCACCCACACTGGAAAACGGAGCAGACAAGACTGGTCACTTCCACGAACCTCCTTTTATCTGTCTCAATCCTCTGCGTTATTTATGACAAGTCAAGATCTCCCGCGGTGAGAGCAATCATCGAGGCCGGACTTCGAGCCATTCGCAGCGAACAGTGACCCTTTTTGTCTTCGAAAAGCACCTCGCCGTGCGTGGGCACGGATGGGTGCCTGCCTAAAGGTGGTCGAATTGTGCATGTGATGTTCTATGGCTATCGCTTGCAGTCCACTGTTGGAAGAATGCACTCACCATGCATGTTCCACCTAGCAGCTCTCTCTCGACCTCATGATACTCGCGCTACCTCTTCAAAAGAGATAATCTGTTCTTCGCACGGGTTAGCTGACACAGTTACTTCCTGAAAGTTTCACTTGTTCAAAGCGGTGACCTTTCAACACATCCTTCGGGAAAGCCTGTGTAACACCTCATCTATCAATAATGCAAGTACCCGCATCCGCTGTTTGCCTTACAGCTGCCGTCGTAACTAAGTCGGTATAAAACTGCCTTACCCCCTCCTCTACTTGGGCTCGTAAAGTCCACGGTTTGGTCTGCTTTGTATCCCATTGCGGACCCCACTGCTGGCAACAGTCAGATTTGGGATTGTGAGGGCATATCACGTACAGCCGTTGAAGCTTTCTTCAGCGGCTGTGGTGTTCGTGCCTAGATCAAATACGAGCCTCGTCGCCTCGGTGCATGTGCATTTTTTCCGGGTACTTCTGGTTTCAGGCTTACATTTGCCATTGATCATGCTGTGAAGGAACCCATGTCTTTGGCGTGTGCAGTCCCGTGAAACGTACAAAGGCTGCTGACCGTTTGACGCGTACGTCTTGTTTGTTACCATGGCCTCAGTGCGATTGGTTAGATGGCGTCCTGCACGGACTCACATACGAACCACCAGGAGCGCTGAGAGAGGCATCGACACCTACGATACGCAGAAATCGGAGTTTTGGTTTGTGACGATGGCGTAAGAGAAGGACGCCGAGCGGCTGCATTGCAGAGAGTCAAGGAGATCCGGTTGTGACGAGTGCACAAAGGAAGTTTTCTGCTACACATAGAGAACAACCTCTATGTAAGAAGGATGCGTTACGGAGCGAGGCGCGCAAGGAGGAGCATTATCAAGGGTTGGCGGGCACCGCGACTCCCGAGCGTTTTGATTGGTACGCGCGCTCAAGCCGAAGATCCGCCGCTTTCGCGCATCGCATCTCGAAAACCTCACTGAACTCTCCCGAACGCCAGCACACCCCCACGTCAGCTCACAATGGCCAAGAAAGGTATGTCTCCTGTTCTTTCCACGACCCAATCATCTCTTTCAGCACTTTGATGATGCGCCTATGCCCCTGCGAAGCCGCAATGCCGACTTGATTCGTAACGACGAGCTCGACTGATTGAACGTGCTCATAGCGAAATCCCGCACCATTATGGTGCGCCTCATTTCGATGGCCATGACGGGCTACTACCGGACTCTAATGCGACCGCGCGTTCACCGTCCCCTCAGCATGATGAAATACGATCCTATCGGTACGCAACACCATCTCCTTGGGCGGACTTATACTGGCGGGCTGTGCCTTTAGCGCAATGGCCCAGATTCAATGAATATGACCCGCCGGAAGTGTTGGGATGCAAGGGAAATCCAATGCATCAGGGACGGCTGACGATGCTGCAGTGCGGAAACAAGTGCTCTTTCTCGAGCAGAAGCGCGGAAAGAAATAGAAATCGGCATCACCTCGCACGTTGGATCGACACGACATATTCCAATCGCATATAGGATATCTCACCGCACGGCTGGCCGGTTGGCGGCGCTTTGTACAAGGCAAAGGAAGGGGCTGCAGAGACAAGAGCGTGGAACAGCCGCAGTTCGAAGCGCGAGCGGGAAATTCCTCACGCCTTTTGGAGGGTTGTAAAGATATGTTCGCATACTGTACCATACACCATGCATAGTTCGGCGTTATACGTTGCTCCGGGTACCCATCTCCACTGGGGTATATAGGCGATTCGTCTGGAAATCAACATCAACAAAACTCGTGTCTAATTGCCCCATACCTGCGGCACATATCGTTCTTTGTCCGTCTCTGCCCTCCTTATCTCCTTAGTCAGTCTGAATACGTATATAAATTTCAAGGAAAGACCTGAAGGATAGGATGGCGGATTGCTGAACTTCGAGGCGCGCTACGGGCAGGAACATTGAATGGTACATCCAATCCTCAACGAAGGCATGGAAGAAGAGCTATATCCAACGACCCTGGGCTATTCTACCTATTAACCATAGCCCGGTGGAGTTCTCAACATCTCTCAGCAGACGCCAATGTACCAGCCAATAAACCGCATGTCTCCAACACAATGTAGTTTTCGCGAGAGTAAAACTAGACAGCTACCCAACTAGCCTTCTCCGTAATAACAAAAATAGACATCAGATGACCGCCCTCACTCCCAGACGGCCCATGCTCCATCCTAGGCTTTCAATATACGTGACTCTCTTCAGTCCAACTATCGCCATCCTGACCTGGTACGATCTCCCCGGCCACACTTTCGCCCTTTCACAACTCGAACATCGCTTTCGACGATGACTATCTCTTCCTACGTAGTCATATATAAGTACCTTGAGGGCATGTAAGAACCAACCTCAATGCCGTCAGATGAAGCGTGATCTTAAAGGTTGGGACTTCCATTGGCATATGCGGCACGGCCCGTAGTACGAACGACGTGATCCAAGTCGGGATACGGGTGGGTGGCCCAGTCAGGTATACAATTGCCTCGCATTAGCGTCCCCAACCTCACCTTCTCACTTGATCCTACCTCGACACCGGTGAAGCTTAGCCAAATTAGCTTTGAGATGTCTCACTGTATATCTGCACGGCACCTGGAGCCCGAGTTCGTTACTATCACAGCGCCAAGCTGCGAGCGCCAAAGATGAAGCCCATAGTCACAGGAGCGACCGGATTGATTGGCGGACAAGTTACGCCTGACACTTCAAAACAAATCTATCTGTTCTGTTGTGGTCCTCGTGCGTAAGGCAGTCCCGGTTCCCAAGCGTGCGGGAACCGAAGTCGAAGCCCGTTATCCTCGAGGACTGGGAGAAGCCATATCCTGATGATGTCGTCGAGCAGCTCAAAGGCGTTGATGGCTGTGTATGGTTTGTCAATCGCCTACTCTCGTGCCCGGTCATCGTCGACGTTCACGCTCTAGCAGGGCTCTTGCAGTCACCCCCAAAAAGTCCATAGAAGCGAATTTCGACGAGGTGACCCGGATCTGCTTTGACTACACAGTCAATGGTCAACACTATCGCCTCCGCTTACAACAAGCCTTGGTGCTTCGTCTAAACATCGCGCGTGACCGTGGAGCGCGACTAAACCAAGGCACTGCCTTTCCTACAAGACTATCGTCTTATGCCTGTAATTCCTAAGCCGTCCGCTCGCCGTCGCCTCTTAACATCGAAGCACACGGTCGGGTTGAGAATCTCGTTCTCGATTTTGCGAGGCAGCATGCATCCGAAGTACAAGTCTCAATAACTAAGCCAGGGGGCATCGAAGGACCTGGCCATCCAAGAATGAAGTCTTAACAAGCGTATGGGCACAGTTTGATCCCACACTTTGGCTGCATGTTTCGGAGTTGGCCGCTGCTATGATTGAACAGTGTTTGAATGGGGTGAGTAAGGACATCTTGTGGGCGGAAGACCTTCAGAAGATGAGCTCGGGAGGCTCGAAGGCAGAGCATTGTGTTCCTCTGCATTAATAACCCACCGGCGTTCGCAGCATGTCGTGATGTCAGGCACTCGAACTCTAGGCCACTTTGCCTCAATAGCCATGTGTTCATCACAAATTGGGAAACTGGTTACTTTTCATTGCGTCGTTCAAGAACGCGTACAGTTAGGAGGGTGTATGCCGACTGACTCTCGCACTAAAGCCTTGATCAGAGGGAAGTTATATCTGTACACGCTCTTCCCCGTTCGCGGGATGCGGTGGAGACTGCGTTGGTAAGAATGATTGGCTGGGCAGAATCAGCAGGGTTTCCAGATGATCATGGTGTTTGTACACTTACGCCACCAAGTGCAGGTACATTGAGCGCCGGCTGGACAAACGATAGCTCGACTGGTAGCACAATTTCAAACATTTGGCAGTAATGTCTTGTTGGTATTGGGCGCAAAGACAAAGTCCGCAAGGAGTACTTGTGGGCTGATTTGCCCTAAACCGGAAACGTCGCCTCAAGGTTCGTGCCGTAGCTGGATCCAGCATCGCTTACTCCCCAGAAGAGATCCGACTTCGTGTTCTTCAATGATCCAATAATCTCACTAGAAGCTGTCACCATTTTAGCACTTAGAAGGGTGTCCAAGAGCATCCTGTGCAAGCCGTTACGATATATTAGCTCACGCCACCTCCAAGTGCGACTCCTACCTTCAAGTCAATATATGTCAATATTGTGATTAAGTATGCTCAATAACTCAAGCTCCCTCATTGTGCCTACGCATCTCTCCGATCCGAGAGCTCAGTAAAGTCAGTGTTTGAAAGCCTTCCTGATTACCAGAGACAAAACTCACGAAGCTGCTTCTTAGTCTGGCCAAGCGAACCTAAAAACATCTTCGAAACAGACCGCACCACCGATGGCCATGGTGTTCTGCGTCCGATCATACACGTTGCTATTGCATTGCAGCCGGGGGACAATAGTGATCGGTCAGTGTCTCACATCCCACACCATCACAGGCACCTCCACCTCTGCACATTGAAACGCACAAGCGCTCTCGGCCCTCGCGTCAGCTGGCAAGCTATCACTCTACGAATCATTCAAATACTACTCCTCCACCCAAAACACTCGTCGAACGCTCTCCTGTGGCACAGCCAAACGATAGTTTGGGGGCTATTAATACCTCCTAGCGCGTCCGCGAACGACGGCTACTTCCCTATCCCAATCCAACTACCGCATCCGCCCCCAAAACCTCAGCCCTAACTAATCTCCACTACCGTATCCTTGACCCAGCATACGCCACGTACAGGCAAGCGCACCTCAGCCGCACACTGACACGACATCACGTGCGCTGTGGCTGAACTGCAGTTCACAGCACAGCCTCATGGTGGGCCAATGAGCGCACGCTTTTCTGCCAGACCACGAGACAAGCACAGCCCTGAAGTTCGTGATAGCAAAGGACAAGGATGGAGCTGATGTTGCGGGAGCATGGGACTAGCGACGGCTCGAGAGGATGTTGCCATGTCAGAAAAGGTTTGGATTGGGTTGTTGCCAGCAGCGACCGGCCCCGCCTGCGCCGCCGCTTCTCCATGCCCGCATCTCGTTCACCCAGCCTCTGCCGGCGTCTCACGACGAACGACACCAGACGGCTACAAGTTGCCAAATCGAGGGCTGGGTTTCGGCAGTGTTGGAAAGTGATCGCCCGTCATGTGCAAAGAGTGGGTCACCGGTGAGGCTGCAAGGCCGGGCGTGCTGCAATGCAAATGCAATGCACAGCGTCGCAAGCGAGGAAACCGGTCGAGGAAAGTCGGTGAAACTCCACACTCATCTACTTGCCGCGCGTGTCCAATCACGGGGTTCGCGCGGTGCATTTTCGCGAACGGATGGGCCCGGAGAGAGAGATCGTCGGGGTGCGAGTTTTACACGTTGGACGTGGTGCTGGGGGTGTCCTGGACGGGACTTCGCGAGTTGGGGAAAGTGCTGTGGGGATTGCTGTATGTGTTGTGCGCTCTTTGCTGATGTTGCTGGATTGGGACGCCGGTTGCAAGCTGTCTTGTGGGGTGGAAGGGTCGCGACGTGGAGGGAAGCCCAACGTTCGCGTGTTGGACCGAGGATCTTGCTGTTCCTGAGTGACAGCTAGCATCAGGCTATCGAGTACCTGGTGAATTGTGCAATGATATCGCAGTGGGCTCCTCTAGGGTGGAGTACACGTCGAGTGCAGAAGCCCAAGCTTGGCAGGTACGATGTTGAATGCACTGGCAGGAGCTACGCCGGTGTCGATGTCCAACACAGGTCTCGTTACCGGTGCTGAAATTAGCTGTTTGGAAATTGCCACGCTTCATTTGAGTATCTGATGCCATTAGCCCGGCGTAGCAGAATGGCCTTATCCTTTGCCGCTGATCTACATACTATGTACACGCCGCCAACACCGTCCTCGCCTCACTTCTCAAACGAACCCCTTCGCCGTTCTACTTTGGTACATTTGGGAAAATGTAATGATGATCTGATCGACACCGGGACCCTTTCAGAGCTGGTCAATCGCCGGAGCTTTTCAAGCGAAGCGGTTCGGCAAAATAGTCGAGGTGTTCGGTGGAGAGTTGGGTATCTCGCGCATCGTGAGGCTCCAACGCATACGATCGGCGTCGTTCATCCCAGCACGTGAGACTATCCAGCAGCGATCCCCCCGACTGTCACTCAGACGTGGCAGAACGCCTCAAGTCCTCGTTGAAGTACCGAGCCGTGTCTTCCACGTCTCCACTCCGCCATGACAGCGATGCCAGAAGCAGTCGCCGGCGTCGCCGCCAAACGGTGTCCTTTTGCAGCAAGTCGTCGTAATCGCGCGCCGTCAGGACAGCAGCCCAGGAAGCAGGCGGATGAAACATCGCAGCTGGGCAGGGATAGTGGCGTCATGTAGATGAGAGATGTTGGCGAAACGTGCCTCAGGCTGAGATGGCCAAGTTGCCTTCTTCTGCACTCGAACGTAACGATGGGGGCTGCGCCCTTCTTCGTGCGCCATAGCAATGCGCTCCTCCAGCTTGGCCCGCGTGAAAGCATTCTAGACGCTTGCGTTGGAGTCATATTGTTTCACAAAGCAACCTTCATCGCGAACACCAAGATCGTGACTCCTCAGAGGTACATGTCAGTGCCAGAAGAGGAAGCGGCTATGCCACTTTAGGCCGTGCAACTGCCCCACCTTCCCGTGCAACCTTCACAATCACCACCGTAGGCTGCCATTCCAGTCATCTCCGGCTCTTTAACGCACCCTTGATATCACTCCGAGTCCTCCCTTATGCGGTCATCCGTGGCTTGCAGGCCGCGAACGCAATTCTCCACGCTCGCAGGCCTGTGCAAATCTAATCGGCGGGGGGCCCTGAAATGGTAAATCTGGCGAGGGATGTGAGTGGTGCGTGAAACAGAGGGGAAGGCGTGATTGGAGCGCATGCTGGAGGGGTGCTCGTTCGGGCGATCAGGTTCTCAGGGTGCGCGTGAGCGATACGGGTGTGGGACGTCTCGCTTGGGAGTGCCCGAGGGTGTGCGGGCGAGACATGGAGGTATTGGATTGGAGTCATACTGTAGACAGCCACTGAGTGCTTGCGCCGTTGCGCGAAGCAAGCTCGAGGACCCAGATGTCCCGCGCAAACAGGAGCTTCGTGCATGTCACCGTGTCACAGAGAGATGGCAGGTCTGGAAGCGATGTAGTACAAGCAATCCTTGAATTCTTGCTATCCTAGATAGAGTAGATAGAGTGCATCCTGGCCAACGTCATTGCTGACCTGCGTTCCTTCCTCCCTCTTTCCTCAACACCCATATGGTGGAGGTCCCTTATCTTCCATTCCTAGCGTAACCCAGTATATCAAACAGCAGACGCAGTGCTTCTTCCTGCAAGCAGAGCAAAACAAGGACCAAAGATCAGACTTGTTACATGCTGGCGATTCCGTTGAGCGGCATCAGTGTGCGCGGACTTCTCAGTCTCCGCGTCGCGTAGCGCTCGGCGAATATGGTCGCGTTTTTGAGGCGTTTTTGTAGGCGTAATATTTTTGTAAACGTAGAATGTATAAGGCACTCAATAACTGTGGTGCCTTCACCTGTAGTAGCCGGAGAGGCGTTGCTCGCGAAGATCTCGGACTGAGGGTTCTCGGACCTCGATCTTGTAGTTCTTCGCGTTGCGGCGCTGAAGAGCAATGTCTTGCTCGTAGAGGGAGCCGCGCTTGGAGGAGGCGTTGTCGACCTCGACAGTGAGCTTTTGGGCTTTCTTGGGTGATGAAGGCCAGTCAACGATCTCTCCGGATCGCGGTCGCGACTTGTGCTTCATCTCCTGGTCGACCTTGACGGAACGCGAGCGCACAGGCGTGCGAGCGGCAACGTAGTATGTGCGGTCCATGGACACGAAAGGAGCGCGTGAGCGAGAGCGAAGGTTACGCTCGATGGCCTTGAGTAGGCTACGAACTTGGACGTAGCCAGATGGTATCTCAATCTGGACGAGTTTGTTCTCTTCCTCAACGGTGCTGTAGGCCTTGCCGTCCGAGCGCTGGTAGAGGAACGCGGCAACGTCCTGAGCGAGACGGTGGCCGATCTCGCAGAGCTGCTCGTGGTTGCGGTGGACCTCATAAGGGTTGCGGCAGTAGGCACATTTCTGTGCGTGCGTCTCGAAGTGGTGGGCAGCCCATGACTCTTCAGTGTTCACGGGACGCGAGACGGCGGAGACTGGGTCATGCATGAAGCCCACGTTCCTCTCCTTCCTCGACCCGGACGAGGTCTTGGATGAGATGACGGTAGGCATCGTGTGTGTGCGGGAGATTGCGGCAGGCATGGTGGGTGTTTGTGTATGCTTCAGTATGGGTCGAAGTCGGGGAGCCAACGTGACGGTGATGTGGTTGCCAGAGGTAGTTGGAATGATGTGGTCCTGGTGTGGACTCTGGGAGCGTATACCAGAGTCCGATGGATGTTTGGAGTGGTGTTCGAGTTGCTGTGGGTGTGCTGGATCTGAAGAGAAAGAGTCATGGTGGAAGCGGGTTGGGAGGATATATATATGTTTCTGCACTTTGAGGCAGGGCATGGATTGCAGCCTTCGGAGGTGCAGGGGTGGCCTGGCATGTGCATATCGCCGGCGCGGATCCAAGGGCGACAGGGCTCAGGGCTGCTGCACGGCTTCGACTAACGAGGGCGGTGACCCATCCCGCCGTAGTAGCAGATGACGACAAGCAACGCATCGATGTCTAACGCTCCAACGCGCCATGTTAGTAGTGAATGTCTTCTGTTAGCACGCGAAGCTGTCAGAAGGCCGCCCACGCTGTGCCGCACCGCACCGCACCACGGCTCTCCGTCGCAACCTCTCGAGACTCGACATCTGGCAGAGATCTGGCAGCATGTCGCTCGGCAAACCTGTTCGCACCTGTTCCTCGAGCGAGAGCGCGCATCACGCCGCGACGTGCATCAGGGTGCCAGGGAGCGACGGGCTGCGCCTGCGATGGCGCCTTTGCTGCCTACAATCCAAGGCTCCAGCCACTCTGGATGCGGTTAGGGACGCGTTTACTCCACCATTTGGCGCAGCACTGGGGGCCGTCGCAGGCCCTTCACCGCACAACATGGCCCGCCGCACTGCCACACCTGTGGCCTCCGTCGCCGTCGTTGTTTTGCACATTGGCGCGAACGGTCAAGCGTTTCAGCACTCGTGTGTGCAATTTCCCGACGCGATACGTTCGAGCTCGCGCGCGGTGCGCTCCGACCAGATTTGCACGCCTGCGCCGGCACTCCCAACGTGCAACATCAGTCGCTGCGCCCTTCTAGTCGCCGCGTCAAGGTGCGCAGACATGTTGCGTGCAATCAATCAATGTCGTCCTCGAGCGCGCATTGACCTGCAGGTGTCGCTTGTCAAGACGCCATGGGGCCCTGCTCTTGGTTGACCGGAAAATGGCCACAACGGCCAACACCTATTCGTCAATCGCACCCTGCCCGAAGCCTACGTCTGCGGCACCCGTCGCCACTGTACAGCAGTTCGCGCGGCCTCCCGCTGAGCAGACAGCCGCCAGTCTGAGCGGCGACGTGTGTGCTCGACGCAGAGGAGACGACGTCGTCGTCCGCTGCGCAGCAGTCGCGCCGAGTCCGCTTCTGCACTCGCCCGTCTGGCATCGTTCGGTGAGGGTGCCGGTGAGTCAACTCGGAGTGCGTAGCGCAGCTACCATTGATTGATCATTGACGATTGATGACTCCCCTCCATCACACCCAACACGTCGGCCCGCCGCGCACTGTTACACACCCTTCACAGTACCTCGAGTAGCCGTGACCGCCGACGTCCAGATGCCAGCTCACGGCTCTCGCAGGTGACTGCTGCCTCAACATTCTTGGCCAATTCGTCTTCCCTAGTGAGGCTCTGCGCACGTCACATCTTCTCACAATGCAGATCAACGGAGCGTTCGCGCTAATGCCCTCCACACGAACGAGGCCCTGAAGCGTCTTCACCGTCTCGTCGATTTTGTTACTCGCACGACGGCTGCCTTAGCCACACACTTAGCATGCTCCTGGTATCCACTTACGGACTACACTGTGGCGTAGCATCGAACCAAGTGGCCGACGACCCGGAGAGGGCACCGCATTTCCCGACGCCTTGGACCCCGTACCAGATCGGCCATGTTTCAGTTGCCTTGTCCTATACTTACATTCGACCCACGATTCTTGTGGCCAGAACCCATCTACTCTCCGGCCACATGGCTACCAACGCCTTGATGATCTCCCGTCTACACAGATATGCCACGTTGCGCCTTACTACTCAGCACCCAGAATGGCCCCATGTAGTCCTCCATAGAGATACGTGAAGTGCGACTCAACGCTGAGTCTCCAAGCATAAATGCCACCAGGCTCTTGTTACCGGATCTTGCGGCGGTTTGGTGGACCGCACCAAATGTCGCTACATTCGGAGCTGAAAGCAGGCAGCGGGTGACTAAGTGTGGACAGATGCCTCCCACCCACAACATCAGCGCTATTCGATCGCCGGTTCCAATTCCCGAGTGCCAGGCATTGCTTCGGTCGTGATGAATTATAGGCTTCCGATCTTGCCCCTCTGCTGTTGAATCTATTGGCCAAGTGCTACAATTCTTCGTGTTTTCGTTGAAGATTACGACCACAAACGCACCGAGCATCTTCGCTTGGTGCGGTGACAAGAGATTCCTTCGTGCAGTCCCAGAATGGGAGATAAAGCGCCATCATTCACTATATCTAGCGTTCTTCGCGCAATCAGACAGCCGTGGGAGCATTTCGCGTTGCGTGGCAAGATATTCGAGTCGCCAGTGCCTCCTTATCGGCGGTGAGCAGCTCACGTGTCCGGAACAGCTCGCATGTACGGTGAAGACGTGGACCGTACGGATCAGCTTCTTGCCTCTTGTTTTCACCGGTGGCAGCTTACTTTACTGGTTCTGCGGGCACGCAGCGTTGCCAGCAAGACTCCGCATCGAGCTCGATCGCCTTTTCGCCTTACTTTCAAGGTTCGCGCGCAAAAGCAGCCCTAGGCATAGTCAAACTTTATCCTGCCCTCAGCGAATGCGTAAAGCGCACGGGATTGAAGACCCTCCAAGGTTCAATGTTTGGAAATACAGCTTCAGGCAGTGGCTCATCCAGAGAACCCAAGGGCTGTTTCTGTGGGTTCGTCTGTCTAGATGCTTTTGTACTGCTCTGCAGGTAGCACAGCGCAGGGCAACTCTTACATGTCGTCCTCCTCACGTGCGCAGGTGAGACTGCAGCTGCATCTGCTCCATCACCGCTATCGCACACGCAGTGCCACCGAGCTTGATTGCTGTTACTGTTTTAAGCGCAGATTGAGGGGCAAACAGTCGGAAGCTTCGCAATCAACGATACAATCATAACATTCCGATCAGCACTTGTCGATTCTCGCCTGCTTCTTTTTCAACTGCAGCGCAATTACAATATCGAGGTCGGGCAGCGCTTACACCTGACAACGTTCACAGCGTTGCCGGTGCACAGATCTCAGCCCAGTGCCGAATCGAGCACTAGTTCCATCCGTGCTCACCAAAGTTGTCAAACCTCACACCGCTTTTCACGCGTCCCGTCCTGCCAGCGGTTGGGAGCCGCAACTATTTCTGCGAACCCCAGCTGCCGTTCCCTTCTTTTTTTCTCTACAATTACTCCCTTCGTTCCTGCATTCGCATTTCCACTCTCTCGGTTCTCCGGTCCTCAACTTCGATCTCTACTCATCCTCGCATCCAACTACAAATATAAGTCTGGAATATGCCCCCGCGAAGCGTCTGCCTGAATGTTTTCACGACCAGTCTGGGCAATGGCCCGGTGAACAAAGAGGCGGAAGTTTTGGTAAAAGAGGTGCAGGGGAGCCACGGTGGTGCTGCTGCTGAGGAAAGGGCAAGACACGATAGTGTCCAAGAAGGTCGGTACCATTTTACTTCCGATTACCCCCACGCTCAATGGAATGTGGGCGGATTAGTACATGGAGCAATGTCTCACATCACTCATCAGATTCTCTCTCTACCAACAAGCCATTCGCACACGCTTTCGCCACTTCGAACACTTCTCCCATCGCTTCCACTACCATCAACGTCGCCACCCTCCCTACTGACATCAGAGGCACAGGTATGTCTACGTGTTCCCTTTTGCGACGTCAGATTGTTTCTCCTTTTCGCGATGTTGTCTCTCCATTTTACCCACAATCGATTGTGGATCCGTTGTTAGCCTACCGTTGTGCCGGAGCAGCGGTGTGCGATTCCAGCGCTAAGCAACGCCTCGGCCCACTTGGACAGGGGTCCGACGAACCACAACTCTGCACATTGTCGTTCCTTTCGCCTGACACGTTTTCGAAAGCAATTACTGACCAATAGACAGCCAACCCGTTCTTTTCCACCGTCCTCCCGACGACTTGTTCCACCTGCACCAGACCGCCTCCTTCGGGTCACTCTCTTCTCCGCTGCTCGCGCTGCAAGCGTTCCTACTATTGCTCCAGAACCTGCCAGAAGCAAGCCTGGAAGACTCACAAGGCCGACTGCGACCCTGCCTCTGCTCCGAGCCCCTCTTCTGTTTTGGATACGCCGGACGTTTCCATGCCAGGCTCGCCTGCAACGGCCACCGATGAACATCCATTTAACCTGGCTGCTCCAATTACCCGCGATGTAGTCGGCCAGTGCGATGCTATCCACGATTCGGTGTACGGTGCTTCCACCGCTGCATAGTAATTTGTCGGCTGGGAAACCATCGCCGTCGAGTGCGATTCCAGCGCCTCCTCAAGTTCGGCAACAGTCATCTGCAACGACCAAATCGTGCGGACACACTATGCTCCAAGGAGCTGTCTCGATTACTCCTGGCGAGTTGCCTTCTTGTGCAAAAAGAATCCTCGCATGTTTGCAGGACGTTTATGAGCGAACATTTGCATGTCAATACCCAACTGCGCTAAGCGCATCATCACGAATTCTGGAGAAAAATGGACTGATCTCATCGATATTGCAATTGAGCATTTCCTGGTGTTGGGGCGTTTTTGTATTTTATAGACGAGCAAGCATCCAGAGTGCAACATAGGAAGCCGGAGTTCATGATTCAGGTCTATTACGATTTTACACGTGTTCCTCTCTGCCAATGCATAACTATATTATCGGTGTATAACTCGGTATCAATCTATACTATCATCTATGATATGCTAATTCCGCTCGGAAACGCCACCCTCCGTGAGCGGTGTAAATCGCTTCCACCAAACCCAATGACACAACGCCATGATCTTGTATTGCCCCGAATTCGGCTCTGGAACTCTGGAACTCCCGACTGGAAACTCTACGCCACTGTGATCTATGCCGCATGAAACCCGCCCATTCGTTCTTAGATCGCATCCTCCGCATTCACTGCAGCCGCTGGTTGGCCCTCCCCATCCAATAACGGGTCATACCCCTCATGGCCTTCGCTGCGGAACTTGACGCTAATCTGCGGAAACGCCATGTGCTGGCACTGCGGGCAAGCGCTGGGGTAATGCGCCCCAGCCTGTAACGCCCCGATGACCTCTTTGACAACGAAGTAGGCATGGACGCCACTTTTCGGTCTGTTAGCACATCTGTTCTCACGACCAGGTCACACACCGGCAGACTCACAGATTGAATAATAAGAACATCGTCCCGTACGTCCCCAGGATAACCGCCGCTGGATCATAACGCCACCCGCCCATGCTCACCCAGCCCAGAATCAGACACACGAGTAGGGGCATCCCGCATAGCATGTCGCACATCATGTGCAGCGGTGTGCCTGTGAGACCGGCAGCGTGGCAACCGCATTTCTTCTCGTTTGCGAGGAGGACCGCGGAGTAGAGTGAAGAGAAGAAGAGCGGGAGGATAGAGATGGCGGGGTTTACACTTTCAGATACAATGCCGCAGGCGAGGAGGAGGCCAAAAGCTGGTATGAAGGAGAGGATGGATAGCGCGCGCAAGGAGTGTGGGAGGGTGGTGAGGACGTGGAGGCGGAGGATGGGCGGCATGGCTGCTGGGGTTTCGGTTTCGTGGGTGATGGCTGTCATGAATTATGGATAGAAAGAAAGAGCGAAAGACGTAGTGTGTGAAGATGAGATGGGTGTATAAGTTGATGTGAGGTGTAGGTAGCGTGTTCATATACTTTGTATAGCATCCTCAAGGCAGCCATGCGGCTCCACAGCCTCTCGCGAGATACTTCCTTCGCTTTTCATTGCGGCGCAGGATCTGAATGACGGACCTGGTATCCCTAGAGCTTGCGGCGCGGTATGTTGGGAAGCTTGTTGTCGAGTGGTACTATGATTACGGTGGCAACTGTGGCTCAAAGAGTAGCTGGGGGCTGCCGAGGCCGATCTTGCAGGGGGCCTGAGGCGGTGCACTGATTTGGTCAGGCGTTTTCTGCAGCAGTGAGGGAAGAGCGAATCATCACCGCCAGATGGCGGAATTCGAGATTGAACATTGAGGTGGGCCGCATGTGTAGTGTGTTGGGTCTGTCTGGTGGCCACTGCGCAGTAGGGTGGGGTGGCGGGGAGGAATGGGCTGTTCGTAAACGGCATACTTGCGTGGGTATGGTGCTGCTAAAACTTGTCTGAGAAGAGTATACGTTTGCTGTTCTGGCATAGGAGTGGGATACTGACCACAGGTAACAAACAAGCAATCTAGGTGAAGGAAGGCGCGAGCATCGGTTGTCATCCATGGACCGGAGAGCGTCAGGTGACCATGATCGTGCGCGAGCTCGAAGCACCTGCTGTGAGCTCCGTCACTCACTTCTCTTGCACCATCTATATATTTGATTCGTATCAAGTTCTCTCTAGATGCCATAGAGTGTACAACTGAATAGACAATGTAAGCAAAAATCGCTAGGTAAGAGCAGGTGAGAGAAGGACAATACTTTTCGTGATGCCCTTACTCTTGACACCGGCCCTTCTGCGCTCATTGGCCTTTTTCCGGTCTGATCGCCCTCACCTTAACCTGCGACTTCGGGATAGAATATACGCGAGCGCCATTGACCCGGACAGCGAATTTCACCCTATCCAGTATCGTTTAGTCGTCAGGTTCAGACCAATCTTTCATATCCGCCGCGACAGCGAATCATCGTATATTGAGCGAGTAACATGGACACCGGATGTGACATCTACCCTACGCATGGAGATGCTGTTCTGGTATGACAGCAGGCAGTCAAGACCATACATGGCCTACTCGCTCTTCCGTCGAAGTCACTAAACCGCGAAGCAATGCAAAGGGAGGATGTATCTTCTTATAAGATTTGCGATGGACTAGCATAAGATCTTGACAACGGAAGACCTCCAGCTGAGTCGCTCTGTCACGTCGATAGCATTGAGACGAATCGACAACACAACTCTAAACTCCCAATCACGGTACTGCCTGCCGAGGTCCAGTTCATCATACTGAAGCAATGTGGACTAAGCCGGAATGATTGCTATAACCTCTGTCTAAGCGGAAGATGTCTCACAGCCACTGCCCATCAGCATCTCCACGAAAAGGTCACCCTTGAGCCTCGAAATATCTACGCTTTTACGCGTACAATTCTTTGCAATCAAGACTTGCGCAGCGGGGTTCGTGTTGTCGACATCCAGGAACAACGGTATGACGTACTGTCTCCACGAGAGCGGGCACAGGTGCGATTTTGCATCCAGAATTCACAAATACTTGGCGGCCTGAATCTACTGTACCGGATTAGTCCCTTTGCTAGTCCGTAGGATGTTCTCCAAGATTGCTACAGAAGTCATTGGGGAGGCATTATCATAGGGATTCTTTGGAGTGTGCTAGGCGGACACTGAAAATTTCCTGCAAGTACGTCTTTGTATTGGGGCCAATGTTTCACAAACCGAGCTGTGTATTGTCCCGTACTGTCGGTTTTGCTTGTGAGATAAAAGACCTCTAAAAGTGCTCTGACGCAGACATTATCTCTTGGACCATGCCCTTCGACCATCTTGATGCTCCCTGTGGAGCAGTTGTTCACCAAGGTGACAATAACTTCGAGTCACGTTGAATTCATACCTATCTATGATACAATACGCATCGAGAAAAAAAAACTCGACCAGGGCTCGTGCTGCTCTAGCCCAATAAACGCGACCTCTCCGACGCTTGACTACGCAGTACAGCTGCGTCTTCTGCATCTTGCTCCATTTCGCAAGCTCGGTCCCACACGAAGTAGGAATATACAAGTCCCGGATAGAAAATGACACTGTATCCTTTGTCAGATTCGCTCCTCTTTGATGCACCAAAGACTTACAGTAACACCACACTCGCCAACGCCGCGCGACTCACCCTGGCACTCACGTCGCAAGGCCGCACATACGGATTTGACTTGCATTCATCCTGCCACGGTCCATATGCTGCATCGAGGATGAGCCAGAGCCACAGCCCCGTCGCCAGCAGGGACTTCGCCGCCTCGAAAAGAAGATACTGGTACAGCGAGATGACGGCTTTGCGCTGAACATAGACGGAGAAGATGATGCCGGCCGCCATGATGGCGCTGACGCTGTCACGGCTGCAGCTATTAGTGAGTGGAGATCATGCAACGAGATGAGGACGTACAAGAAGTAATAGACAAGCCAGTGGGATCGTTGCTCAAGCATGACATAATAGGCTGAGGCGCCGAGGAAGAGGCAGATCGGAAATGCGACGATTGCTTGCCCGATGCCTGCGCCGCGCAGCATTTGCTGTCCGAGGGGGAGCCGGTCGGATTGTGACATATTGGGTGAGAGGGGAAGAAAAATGTTGTGGCATATAATTGATCGTAGTATACTTATTTGATGTTGCTGGTGTATGGGAATGGTTCTTTATCTGTCCGAACTGCTGCCTGAAGGTAATGAGATGTAGTGGCTGGCCTGACAAAGCGTCTCATTGGTGGACGACTGTGATCGTGTAGCCATGAGCAGATATCGAAACGCCAACAAACCAACCGCTTGTGTCATAGTGAAAGCATGGTATGTTGTATCTCCATTAAAAGCCACTGGAGCGAGCGCATGCGTAAAGTTAGGAGGCGCACTATTCGCTGCCGCATAGAGAGGGACGAGTCACTGAGACTGAAACTTGCACTTATATTGGGATGAATGAAAACTGGCGCATGTACTCTGGTTACACGCGAGTGGTATTTGCAAACAATCCCACCTATGAGGCGGTGAGGACCTATGCGCAAATTGAGTTCAGATTTTGTGGAGTGACTTGGACGTCGTCTTAGATGATTTTCGGAGTGCATATTCTTGAGAATTGCGTCCCCGATAGTTACATTGCTCCACGCTACATTCATTGGCGTACGCTTAGGAAGATGGTGAAATCGATGAGCAATGGTCACTTCGATACGAATAAGTTGAACGGTCATTGAACGGTCAATGGATGATGTCTAGGTTATTGCGACCATTTCCTGTAACGCGATTATTGACCAATTCCAGTTTGAAGCCTCAGCTAAGGATGCTCAAAGATGTACCATAGTAGCAATCCAAAGGTAAGCAAGTTTTGTGGGCCCCCAAAGGCAGGCCCACAAAACTTGCGGAGCGCGCGAGGCCCCCAACGACCTATGACCTCACTAGCCATCTCTCTCCTCAGCCTCGCACGGCAGCACTCCGGTGGTTCGTCCTATGAGCACTTGCGATCGACGTTCGCAGATAATCACTAGAGAATCTAGCAATGTCAACGGCGTGCAAGGCGCAGCGCCTGCTGCTACCTCGTACAACCCGTGCTGGTCAGGAACCCCTCCGTTTCATCGCCGCTGGGGCACCTCGTATTTAGCAGCTGAAGGCCCAGGTTCGCGCCCACGCAAACCTCCGCAGAACAATTGGCCCCCGACCTTCGTTCATTCCTTCTTCACGGAAATCACGTAAAGATGTTATCGCAACGCGGTATGTCCCATCCAAGAGTGCGCGATTCGCGTCACAACACCAGTCAACAAGCTGACGCGATACAGGTACCGCAGTTCGTCCCAGCGCCATTAACTTCTCTGCGCTCACTGGCCGCGCCTCGTCCTCGTCTCTCGTGCTGCGCGCATCACCAGGCGACACCACCAAGAGAATCTGGATCATAACGGGCGCTGTTATCTTGGGGACCCTCGTCATCATCGGCATCTTTTGCGCCGTCGTGCTGTGCCTCATGCATAAAAAGAGGCAGCAGCGGAAGAAGCAACATATAGACTTGGCAGTCTCAAATCCGACACATAGGTATCAACCTGTTGATAACATTGAGCTGGAAGATGGTGCTGTGCAGGAGATGCCGGCATATAGTAGCTACGGGGGAAGAAAGGCCGAGTTGGGCGCGGATGCGAACGAGGTGCCCCGAGTGCAGCAGTTGGACGGCTTCGTTGCGCCGCCGAAGCCGAGTGCGCAGCCAGCAGAGCTGCCGACGCATGCAGTCGGGTATCAACATCACTATCGATGAGATATGGGATCTATGCCTTCGATGCACGCCTCGATCACCAACAATGATGGATCCCGCGTGTTCATACCAACCTGAATTGACCTCGAAAGTCGTTTTGGACTTGCGAAGCGCCTCATCAGAATAGGCGACTAGGAGTCGAAGATCAAGGCCATGACATGTCATAAATCGCGCTTCTCGACTGTCCCATGTCTAGGTTCACTTTGCGACGATCACGTTACTTGATCGATACTCGAGGAGTACACCTGGGGAAAGGATGGTTGGTCTCAAGGATCGCATACACGCGTATTTGAGAGGATAGAAGGTGGTCTTGGTGAAAGAGGCCATGCCAACAGACATGAACCACCTTCGCAGGGGTGCATGGGGGCTCCAGACTGCGTTTGGACATGCGGCTCGGGCGGCCACCAACCGCCTCCTGTGCCAACGCAAGCTCATCACCAAATCAAAATTGATCGATTCTTGCAGCATAGCCTCTTCTCCTACCTTGTTGCTACCGCCGTTGGGTATTCACACCTACAGATACTTGATTGCAATGGCAACGATGTCGATCGTTCCAACTCCTCATCTCTCTGCCATCTGTGAAGGTACCCATAACCTTAGCCTGGGTCAAAGCGCATGACTGGAACATCAAACGCTGCTCATAGGCCTTCTCGAACTCTGATTCATTTGCGGGAAATTCTCGAGCTTATCGATTGGTATAGAGGAGACTCGGTTACTAGAGTTGGACATCGCTATGGCTCATCGAGTTACCCCGCCAAAGAAACCCAGTAAAGTCTGTGTGAACATCACTAATAAGTCAAACATCTATGCTGCATTATGGATCACGGCCTTCCTCGCAACTGTAGCCTCCCTGGGCTACCTCATCTATGTCACGCCTCGCTTTCAGGATGCGGAGCATCAAGATTCAGCTCCAGAAGACTGGCTCAGTCGTCAGGAGAGAATCTCCATCAATGGGATTTTGGGAAATTTGGGAAGTACGGGTGCAAAAGCATACGGTGCTGTTGATGGAGTACTACTAGACAGCCCCTTACCCGCCCCGCAAGACCGTAAGCTGCAGGACTGATGCCCAAGTCGAAAAAGGATCCCGACTGACGTGGAATAGATCCCTGGACACGTGTTCGCGACTCCAACATCGTCTTCAAAACCCTTATCGAACGCTTCATCCGAACCGACGACCAGCAACTTCAGCTAGCCATCAACAGCTTTATCACCGCCCAAGCATCTATACAGACCGCACAAAGCCCATCAGGAACCCTAGACGACGGAAAGGGGCTTGGTGAACCGCGCTTTCTCCCTAACATCACGGCTGACCCCACGAACCGCGGTCGCCCAAAGCACGATGGACCGACTCTTCGCGCGATTGCGCTCATGACATACGGGCGCTGGCTGTTCAGTAATGGGTACGAAGATGCGGCGAGGGATGTAGTGTGGCCTATTCTTCGGAACGATCTCAACTACGTTGCAGAATTCTGGTCTCAACCTGGCTTAAATTTCTGGTCAACTCCTCAAAACGTCAGTGTAGTGGAATCGTTCTTCATCACAGCCGCACATCACCGCGCTCTAGTCGAAGGAGCGGCATTCGCGAAGACGATCGGGGAAACGTGTTCACACTGCGAGTCACAAGCTCCCCAGATTCTATGCAAGCTGCAGGATCATTGGGAGGTCGGAGAGCATCACTGGTGCATAGCCGCAGACCTCGCCGAAGGACTTCCGATCGACGGACGCAGCGGATGCGACACCAGCACACTACTCAGCGCGATCTCAAATTTCGACCCAGAAGCAGGCTGTAACGACGAGACATTCCAGCCATGCAGCCAGCCGATGCTGCGCAACCACAAAGAGGTCGTCGACCGGTTCCGTGGATGGGACATCAACGCCAACATCTCAGCTGGCGAGGCTATTGCTATAGGGCGCTATCCAGAGGACGATCATGGTATATGCACTACTTCCCTAAACATTTTACTGGACTAAAAACGTGAACAGGCAACGCATGGTACCCCTCCACCCTCGCCGCCGCCGAACTTCTCTACGCCTCCCTACACGCCTACACGAAATTCGGCTCCATCACCATCGGCAACACCTCCCTCGCCTTCTGGACCCCCATCTACGCTTCCGCCCGCACAGGCCTCTTTCGTAACAACGCCACCGACCCGTCCGAAGTCTCCACCTATAACGCCCTCTACGCCGCCATGAAGTCTTACGCCGATGGCTTCGTCGACATCGTGCGCTCTAGCATTCCTGAAGACGGATCCCTAGCCGAGCAATTCAGCAAGGTAGATGGAAAGCCACTAGGCGCGAAGCACTTTTCTTGGAGCTATGGTGCATGGCTTAGTATGATGGATAGGCGGGAGGGCAGAATGCCTTCATCCTGGAGCGCGCTCGACGCGTCCCACGTCCCGAGCAATTGTTCCACAGGAGGTATTAAGGGGAGCTACAGTCCAGCCAACAACACCCAATGGCCGAAGTTCCCGTGCAAATCCGTTAAGAAGGTGCAGGTCACGTTTAATGTTTTGCGGGCAGTGGGTGAAGGGGAGGGGGTGTTTGTGTCTGGTTCTGTGCCTGAGCTTGGGAAGTGGGACGAGAAAAAGACGGTCAAGATGGATGGGGAGAGGTATGATAAGGAGAGGCTGCCGCTTTGGAGTGTGTCGGTAGAGGTTCCTGCTGGGACGAAGTTTGAGTACAGATATAAAATGAATGGTAGTGATGGTGGGGTGAGTAAGACTTTTGGGTTTCAAGTTGAGAAGGAGACGTGTTGGTATGCGGTTGCGATCAACGACACGTGGGTAGAGTAGGCGATAAGTATGCGGGCTGAATATTGATTTTGGGTAGACGATGGGCGAGTCGAAAGAGAGGCGACTGAATACTGGATTTGCATAAACAGTCGAAACATGTAGAAAAGAGGGTTGACTTATGTCAGGATTGACCTCCTTTGAACTATCCTTTTGTGGTTGATCTCGCCCGAACACGTTCATAGTGTATGGTCGACGTTGACTGTTACGCGAGTCGTGATGCCCGCGTTCAGGCAGCCGTAGCGTGTCCCGCCTTTATTAAACGAGATCCTCGTACATCAACAACGATACCACTCCGTCAGTTCGCCGTCCCAGACCACCCATGCTAATTCGACAATGCCATCATTTTTCACCTTTCCACGCGAGATCCGCAACGAGATCTACCACCACCTCTTCATTTATGATCCCTACCTCAGTTGCGACTTTTACGAAGGACTACACCTCGTCACGCGCTACTCTACCCACTGTTGCGCTCTACAGCCGGTTTACGATACGTATGGTGTCATTTCCAAATCCGAACCCACATGGCTCCTGACCAGCAAGACCTTCATGCGTGAAGCCCTAGAGCAGTACTCGCTCCATGCATCCTGGATCCACAACGATCCATCCTCTTATGGGCACGCGTGCTTATACAAGCTGCCCCTCGACAAATCCAGGATTAGAAGACTAGAGATCAATCTAGGGTTGTGGCCACAGTGGTCGTTGCCGCAGACATCGTACAGTGAAGACTTAAGGCCGGACCTAAGACAAAATCTGAGGGTGATTGCGGAGGCAAGTAGAGCAGCTGGCATCTCATTCGAAAGTGTGAGATTCCAGGGCTATACCGAGGGTGAGATGGAGGACTTGAGTGCTGCATCGAAGGCGCAGGGCCAGGTTGCGCGCATCTTTGAGGGCCTGCGGGCAATGTTTGATGGCGTGGAAGTGGACGAGTGGTTCTTGGAGGTTGCTACGCCTAAATTCTGGAAGACCGAGGTTGTGTTTGCGCTTGTGGGGGAAGAAGTGGTAATGGTGGTAGATGAGAGGTGGGCGTCGGATGATACGGAGATTGAGAGGGAGCACACAGATAGGTGCACGGTGTTTGTTTAAAAGACGCAGGAGCGCTTCAGGGAAGAGGTTAGGACCAGGGGAGCTCGAAATCTAGAGCGAATGCGGGCAAGGATAGAGGAGAGGAGGAGGATTTTGAAGGAGACGAGGGAGGAAGAACGCATGGAGGGGGAAGAGCGACAGCCCCAGGACTCCAACCCTTCATCTGCGTCATCTGCGTAATGACACTCGATCACGAAGTGAGTTAACCTTCGAACGCACAACTCGCCAATGATTCACCATGTTTAATCTTTGTCGCTACTCACAAATAGACTGCCTTGATAGTTTCTCCTCCCGCAACACACGTACCTATCGAGCACGACCCGCTCCCCTCCTCTTACCCTCGTTTTCTCCACACAACCAGATTTCTAACTCCACTAGTCTCATTCCTGATCACCAACCTCAGCCACTTCCCATACTCCTCGCCCTCGCCTATGATCGTGAAATTTCTCTTAAAAAAGGCTCCATCATAACTTGGCACATTAGACAACAATGGCCCATGCACCACCACGCCATCATCATTATCCTCCTCTGGGAGGACGGTGAGAGTGAACGGCGCGGCGTACGCGAGGTTGTGCTTGCCGAGGATGGCCCAGTCGGCGTCGGTGGTGTTGTCGAATTTGCCGTAAGTGAGGTTATGGGGGCGGTAAGCGGGGAGGGTCGGGGTGAGGATGGCGGACATCTGCATGGTGGGGTGGTCTTTGGGGCGGTTAGTTAGGAAGAGGTGAAGGGGGAAGGAGGACGGACAGAGGATCACGCCAGTGCCATTGGGGCCTTGAGCGGCGTCGGGCGCGCGGGGGACGGCGGTGCCGTTGGGGTAAACGCTATTTCGATATGTTGGCTAGGTTGTGCATTGTGTACACCAAGGCGGATACTCACGATGTCTGGTTGTAGATGGTCCAAGCGCCAGACAGGAGGGCGACAAGTTGCTCTGGGGTCTTCATGGTAATGGCAAATTGATTTGACAAGTCAAGGTCTCCAAGCGGTGGTAGAAGATCGCGCATATATACGATGTAGAACCCTGGATAATCCGAGCAGGGGCGTGTAAGATACCGAAATGGCGACCCCGGTGCTGCCCCGGTGCTACATTACAAGAGCAAGGCGCAGGATCTTGAAGATATGGTAGAGTGTATTCCTTCCTGATCTGACCTGACCGAATCGAGAACAGACCAGGAAGATCATTGCTGGCACTGGATGCGTGTAGTCGGAGTGTTGCGCACATCGTACTTTCTGTATGGTGAAGTGTACAAAGCTGGTGCGAGATCACCGGAATCTGACCACAGACCAGTGACGAGTTCATTGCGACCGCTAGAAGGCTGCTCAAAGTGTGGTTGCGAGGAAAGGTTCATCCCATCGGTAGGTATTATCTGCCGTACCACCGTAAGATTACGCCCTCTCTCGGTGCTTGCATGTAGCTTGCTCCTGATCCAGCACCCCTGCTGTTGGGTTTCCTTCAGCGCATGAGCCGCGAGAATTCTTCCGCATTGGGTCTTCGCTTGCGCGCACGTAGAGCGAATGCACACTGTTCGCATAGGTGTGTCACTGGCAAATCTTTGTCCAGCCGTCAGCGCGCATGTTCGCCATGCCAGTGCTGTCTTCCGGCAAATGCGATGCTGTGCTTCCCCCGGGCGAAGATAGATTGCTTGCGTGTTGTGTGATGTCAATACCCTGGCGCTGGCGTCTTATCATAAATTGGATCGTAACTTGCACCGCAAGCATACGTAAGGCTGCAGTGTATGGTATCGAGCGCGACAAACGTGAATATGTTTACCGCAAGTCGATTAGATCGAGAAATAAAGGTCGTTAATGGGTACTTTGAAGCCCATGTGCGGATGCCCTGTGACGTAAGTTGAGCAACCTGGTGACTCGCCAAAAGTTCTAGTGAGATGAATGTGAGGAAACATGCAATTCTCTTGTTCTCCAGAATCCTGTTTTCCCCGTCTAAGACGCCACGCTATCGGTACAGACCATGACATATGATACAAGGTATTGCACAGAAGCCTGAGTAGAGTGTAAACGCCGACCGCCATCACAGCGGGATATGCAAAACATCCATGAAAAGCCCCAACCACCTTTTATACATTAAAGCCCAGTTCTCAAAATTTGCGTTATCGAAGCGAAAGGTTTACGCAGCCATGGCCATGCCGCCGCTGGGGGCAGGGGGTGCGGTCTGCGCTGGCATCGGGGGCGCCTCGAGCTTTGTGTTGTCGGCCATCATCCTGTTGAAACCAATGCTGACTCCTTCGATAACGGCGAGCAGGATGGCGCACGATATTGCGCCATTGCGCATCGACTTGTAGCCTCCTCGTACGGCAAGCGACCCGCCGGTGAAGAAACCTGCAATGATGGCGTTCCAGGGGTCCTCCTTCTTTCGAATTCCCTTTACGGCGCAGTCGTATGTGTTGAAAAGGCCTCCCCAGACACCAAAGTTGCCGCCGAGGACGGGTGCGCGAGCCTTTATCGCTGTGATGGCACCGATGCGCCGTTCGCCGTAAGGGGAGTTACGGAACTGCAAGACAGTCAGAGTCAGAAATGGTGAAAATCGAAGCGGGAGCTGCGTACGCCTTTGATGCCATGCCATACTGCACCACCGACAGCCTACAACATGTTAGCTTGGAAGTTAGAGCGGCAATGAGGCGCGTACCCCCATAGCGAATGCGCCGCCAAAATCATTGAGGATGACCCAGGGGCACGGATCTCTAGTGTGGTCCATCGCGAATAGTGTGAAATGAAGGGATAAAGCAAGATGGAAACGCAAGCGGTCGTGGTAAGGACGGATGGGGATGTCTGTGGGCGGGTTGTTGGTAGAGTGATGCGCTCAACTTTTCTCGGAGAGACCCTGGTCGCTGACGCCAATCCAATCGGCAGCACCGCACGTGATGGTCGGCGTCGGTCGGGCCGACATCGACGTCCATCTCTCGCGACGACCTCTCATCTCCCAAATGGTCACACGAAACTGTCAGACCTTGTTTATGTAGATGTCCCAGGTACATGCATGTTCTTTGCTTTTCACGTCGGTCTCGATCACTCGAGAGCAACGACCGACGTTGCCGCGTGGCAGATGCGGCCCCACCACAATGAGCACTCTGCGCAGTTGTGTAGCGTCCTCTACATTAATACGAAATCATTAAATGCAAGTCACTCCAATCTTGTCAACCCCAGTGTATGATTCAACGTCTTTACTAGCCGATCCTTGTCTCCTTGACGAGAGAGTTTCCGCTCCGGGCAGAGGCGGCGTTAACTGCAACGAGGTACGACATCAGGCAACATTCTGGGCGGTTATCTATCGCTATCTTGGGTAAAAGAGAGGGAGAGTTGGCAGTGCGAACGCCAAGAAGGTGAGAAACCCTGAGCTCATCCAAGACGAGACGGAGACCCACGTGAATGCTCACAAATATCACTCACTTTTCCCTGCCCTAGCGATACTCAACTTTTCCTCATTTACCTTGTCCCACTCTACTGCACGTATGACTCCTTCATCCCTTTGATGTGCATGTCACACTACATGTCCTCCACCCCTCTCGTACAGTTCTACAAGGACGTTTTCACTTCGTAGCTTTCCACAACGATGGCGAAGGCAGGCCGTCTCAGCGTACTGCGATTATTGACGGCTCGCGCACAGTCTTGGCGCTTTCTTTCATTTGCGTTAACTGCTTCATTACAATTTCGAAGACCTAAGAGCCAGACGTGAAGTTAATGACAACGTTTTGACGAGAGCAGTAAATCCTGTCTCGCGCAGTATAAAGCGTCAAGACCTCTCTCTAGCTTACGCTTGCAGCTTGTCCACTCTTCACCTGGGTTCCTTCCTTGGGCTTCTTCACCGCGATTCTGCGCCTCTCGCCTCGTCTTATAAAGCCTTGCGCTTCCTCAATTCGTTGCTTTTCCCATCACACCGCCTCTCCCCACCTCTCTGTCCCTCAGCTAGCACTCGACGCCGTCATGGGAGGCCCGGCGAGAGCCACAAGGGCTCGACCGCAGCCACAGCAGCCGCTACAGCGTGGCGGCCCGCCGTCTTCCCAGCCTCAGCAGGCCAGCTCAGGCACCACGGTCTTCGATGATTCCATCAATGCGATTCTCAACGATGCTGCGGGATACGTTACTCCGCAGAAGACTGAGGCCGAATCGCCGCGCACTGAACGCTCGCGGCTTAGCCAGAGCTCAGAAGCTCTGGCTATTCGGCAGCCTAGCAGTAGGTACATCACACATGTTCTCTTTGCAACTCTGACCTTCCCAGATGACCGCCGGAACTCTACTGCTGCCCTTGTCGACGAGTCCGATCCGCTGGGCCTTCACATTAAAGAAGTCATATCAGTCATCAGTCAGTTGGAAGGATTGGGCCTGCAGCAGCTGTCTATCCAGCTACCCAAGTGCGTTGTTCTTGGAGAGCAGTCGTCCGGGAAATCGTCAGTCATCGAAGCGATCTCTGGTGTCCGTACGCCCCGCGCTGGCGGCACCTGCACCCGATGTCCACTGTAAGTTACACCGACCTGTATTGTGAACAGGACGACACTAATCGTTAATAGTTTCATAAAACTTGAGCGTTCAAATGACCCACAAGCTGGCTGGCAAGCTCGTGTCGCGCTGCGCCTGAACTACATCTTCAAGGGCGTTACACGAGGTACCAAATTTCCCGGGTGGACGCCCAACCCCAGCGTACAAGAGATTCCGTTTGCTGCCTGTGGTTCCCCGGATGAACTTGAAGAGAAAATTCGCCGTGCTCAGCTGGCTCTCGTGCACCCGCTTGAGGATCCTACGATCTTCGCACAGGGCCGAGCCTCCACACTTCACCCGGATCAGACCCATAAGGTCAATTTCAGCCCTAATATCGTGTGCATATATCTCGCGCACCCAACGCTGCCAGATCTGTCCTTCTACGACCTGCCGGGTATGTAGAATGTCTCAAATCAAGCTGCTTATCAAACTAACGTATCGAAGGCATCATCAGTCAGTCTGAAAACCCAGACGATGTTCCCTTCGTGAAGCAGCTAGTGCAGGACTACGTTGAAGATCCTGATGCGCTTGTCTTGGTGGCTTGCTCGTTGGCCGCAGATATCGCCACGTCTCTTGCCTCCGGTTACGCGCGTGACAGATGGGGAGCTGGTCATCGTTGTATCGGTAGGTGGTGGTGGATGTTCGAGGTGACCTGCAGCTAATTATGGTCAGGTGTGCTCACCAAACCTGACCTCCTCCCAGCTGGAAGTTCCGATAAGCCACTGCGCAGGGTACTCAATAACGTCGAGCTAAAGTTTGGACACGGATATTTCGTGGTGAAAAACCCTGACCAACTGATGCTAAACAACAGGCTCACTCACCAAGACGCCCGATTGCACGAGCAGCACTTCTTCGCCACTCAAGAACCCTGGTGCAGCAGTCTTCGGGGTCACCATGGACGCTTTGGTACCTCAAATCTGCAGCAATTCCTTTCAGAGAAGCTGGCCGGCCAAATGGTGAAAGCACTTCCTGGAATCTACGAGCAAATTCAGGCCCGCCTAGATGATGTCGAAGCACAGCTGAGGCTCATCCCTGAGCCACCGACCTATGGAGCCGCGAAAATCATAACGGATCTTGTGGATGGTTTCTCTAACCACGTGCGAAAGGAGCTGGAAGGCGCTTACCCCTGCAAAGATTGGAGAAATCTTTGGAAAGACTTGCAGAAGCAGTTCTTGAAAGATCTTGCTGCAATGAAACCCACCATGGTGAGGCGCGGCCATAACGATCGTGGTCTTTACAAGCTCTCAGGCAAATCATCCGACGACCCTGTATATCTGTCGGATGGAGATAGTGACGATGATATGGCGGATAATGCTGCACCGGAGACGCCACCGAGTAAGCGCAAGTTTGAGCATACGCCTGCATCGACCCCAAGCAAGAAATTCCGTATATCCGTACCACCCATCCCCACTCCTAAGATCAAAACTGTCCACGGCAAGCGCAAAGTGTTCCAGCTGGACGAGGTCTCTCAGCACTTGGAGACCAACTCGCAGGCAAAGATCCCCGGTCATATCGAACCGAAGGTCGTTGATGATCTTATCAAGCAGACTATTACCCACTGGTGTGTTCCTGCGGACAAACTCCTGAACGACCTCGAAGACGGACTGATAAGGTTTATCCGCTTAACCTTTGAGCGATTCTTCGAGCCGCGACATGATACTAAGCTGTACACCGAAGCGTGGCAAATTGTGGAGAACATCTTAAAGACTAGTATGACGGAACAGCGGACGATGGCGAAAGACGCATACAACGACGAATGGGAGGGGCCATACACTTTCCACGAGGCCGACTTCATCAGGGAAAAGAAAGCCATGCGTGATAAGTATCGCGATGCTCGCATCGACACTCGCCTCAAGATCTACATGGAGGAAATGGCGCAGATCGTGGGTGAAGAGAAAGTACCCACGAAGGAGAAGCTTCTTAAGAATGAGAGTCTATGTAGCCGACTCCAGCAGGAACCCTACGACACTGAGATCGACGTTGTTGCGGAAGTCACTAGCTATTACGAGATTGCAGTCCGTCGTTTTCACGACTCAATCTGCATGCGCGTCGAATCGAAGTTCTTCACACGCCTACAAACGAAGCTGCGCGACGACCTGGAAGAGACTTTGGGCATCAACGACGAGAATGGCACTCGCAAGGCCATGGAGCTTCTTGAGGAGCCTTCTCAACACGCTGCCCGTCGTAGAGAACTTATAGCCATGAGGAACGCTCTACTCCAGGGACAGAAACATCTCGATGCTTTACAGGCGAAACACGGCAATAACAACATCGCTCCAAGCTTCAACTCTTCCGCCTCGTTTGGACCCACGTCTACTCCTCTCACCGACGAGATGCAGGACATCGCACAGAGCGGTCGTATCCGTCATTAAGCTTCCCAAATGGACGACTTCTGGCTTGTTTCAGGCGTTCATGATTCTGGCGACACAATGGATAGGGTGGAATGTCATGGCTTGCGGATCTGGATGCATTTTGGTATTGACCAACGTTCTTCGTGAACACCGCATTACTCATTCGGTAACACTGAACGAAAGCGCGAAACTTCGGCGTGGATCTTGAGATTGATCAGCTCTTTGGCTATATACGTAGTTCAGCACTTTTAGCCGGAAAGCATGTGCCATAGCAACACTCTCTGTCTTTCTATGTGAACTGTGCAGCGAAGTAGTGGACTGCCCCCGCCAATCATCCATCCATTTTGACCTTGACACTAAACAACAACTTCGGTCATCTGACTCCTGCCTGCCATGTTGTCCAGAGCGGAACAAAGCGTAAGCACTGATCGACCGCGACGCTCATTTAGGCTGTTAATCTCATACGCTTGTGCGTGCCGAGGCTCTCCACTTCTCCGAGGTACGGTAACTCCACACTACCCCAGATGCACGTCTGACAGTAATTGCAACCAGAACGTGTCCGACCCTCCGCTGTAAAACATTGGGGAGAGTGCAGCTCAGTCGTAAAGACGAGCATGATATGACGATAGATCGCTAAATCCGGACCCTGATTGAACTCCGGCAGCTTTGCGATCGAGGTGCTTGTGCGCAGAGTCGTTGTACCACCTTCGTTATCGCAACAATGGCGCTCCTCACAAACCTCTTTGCCTACCAACCTTTCAAGGCGCTTTACGTCTTCGGCGCTCTCTTCATCAACTTGTCCAAGCTGCCGTTATGGATTCTGAAATCCGCCTTCGTCCGCCAACACCCCACATGGACCTTCCGCCAGGCGCTCGCAGTGCGCATCACACGCGCTTTCATTTCGACTGTTTCCGTGATCAGGCTGCATACGCCGCTGTCATTGAAACCCGGGAAGGAGGGCGAGCGCTTCGTTATCATTAAGAAACGCGACTCAGATGCCACCAAGTTCAAGGGCCCCATGCTCGCCAATGCCTCCACCGTCCAGCCTGTCGACATCGGCGCAACGTGGTACCCCAAGCCCTTGACCGCAGCAGAGGTTACAGACGATGTGAAAGTGATCCTACACATCCATGGTGGCGCCTACGTCATTGGCGACGGCCGCACAGAAGCAACGGGCTACCTTGCCAAATCTCTCGCAAAGCACACACCCGCGACACACGTTGTGTGCCCGCAGTACCGACTGTCTACCCTACCCGCTGGACCGAATTCGAACCCATTCCCCGCCGCCCTGCAAGACGCGCTTACGTCGTACCTATATCTCCTTAACGAGTTGCAGATCCCAGCAGAGAACATCGTGCTCTCCGGCGACTCCGCGGGCGCAAACTGCGCCATCGCCCTGCTCCGGTACATCGTCGAGTACGGCACCGAGCTGTCAATCCCGCACCCGGGCTCCGCCCTCCTCTGGTCCCCGTGGGTAAACCCTACAGATGCAGACACCTCCTACGTGCACACGAACGCCCACTACGCGACCGATTACATTGTCCCGAGTTTCACGTCGTGGGGCGTGTGCGCGTTCGCGGGGCAGAATCCGCCGCTGGAGGGGCCGAGCATCATCGCGAGTAATCCGTATGCTAATGCGAAGTTGAGCGGGTTTAAAACACCGGTGCCGTTGTACGTGAATGTGGGGGGAGCCGAGGTGCTGTACTATGACGGTCTAGACTGGGTCGCCATGATGAGGAAGAAGGGTAACGAGGTCGCGCTGGACGTTACGGAGGGCGCGTGCCACGATGTATTCATGGTTGCTGGGCTTGTGGGAATGGAGAACGCGGCGAGGGAGATGGGGAAGAACGCTGGGGAATGGTTGAAGGGTGTAGGGAAGTAAGAGGACACGGAACGATCGTTGATGGTATGATATGTAGAAACGCGCACAAGAGTGGGACCTGCTTGGCTTAGCGCGGTTTAACTAGTGCTGTAAGGGCATGCGGTGAGATATACCCGTTTCGCGCACGCAGTGTCCGGCTCTATATTATGTACAAAAATGATAAGCGAATTCAGATCGTTCGGGGAGTGATGATGAGCTGCTCTGCCAAACTGCCTAATCGGGTAATATCACGTCGGGCGTCGATTGTCTTGTGGTCACCGTCACTTTTTCGACCACAGGTGAATGGCCCGTGCGCTGTAGCCCAAGCTCACATCTACGAGTAACCAATCCTTGCGCACGGCCATCAAACTCACTTCGCAAAGGTATGGGCATTTCAAAATAGAAACTGTTCTACAAAATCCCTGCCGTTTTTAAGGTCCCAACGCCGGTGTCTGAGCCTCCTAGACTGTGTCCCTGACGAAATTATCCTTGCCAACCGAAAATCCACTCGCACCAGCCTCCTGCTGCTGAAGGCCATACTTCTTCAACCGGATGCTCTGGATCGCGATGAAGCCAGTAGTATCCATCGGGCTGAAGTTATCCAGCGTATCCATGGACGCCTCCTCCTCGCTATACAACTTCTCCGTCTGGCTTGATCGTCCGAGCACATACGCGTTGCCCTTGTAGAGGCTCAACCGCACCTCGCCGTTGACGCGCTTCTGACTGAAGAGCAGCGAGTTCTCGACAAACTCGCGCTCGGGGCTGAAGTACATGCCGTTGTAGAGCTGGTAGCTCCAGCTGTGGGAGACGAACTGGTCGCGCAGGGCGCGGACCTGAGCGTCCATGACGAGGCCCTCGAGGTCGAGATGGGCAAGGCGGAGGATAGTCATGGCGGGGGAGTCGTAGCAGCCGCGGGACTTGAGGCCGATGAAGCGGTTCTCGACGATGTCGATGCGGCCGATGCCGTGCGTGTAGCCGAGCTTGTTGAGGAACTCGAAGAGCTCGACGCTGTCGGTGTAGGTCTTATCGCCTGCCACAACTGCGACGGGAATACCTTTTTCGAACTTGATGGTGATGTTCTGGGGCTCGTTGGGTGCATTGAGCGGCGAGTCGGTCATGGTCCACATGTCGTCTGGGGGCGACTTGTCAGGGTCTTCGAGGATGCCGGCTTCGTAGCTGCAGTGCGCGAGGTTGGCGTCCATGGACCATGGCTTCGCCTTTGTGGATGTGACGGGGATGTTGTGCTGCTCGGCGTAGTCGAGGAGGTCCTGACGACCCTTGAACTTGTCGCAGAACTCGGGGAGCCTCCATGGTGCGATGACCTTGATGGAAGGCTGGAGTGTGTAGCTGTTCCACGTTAGTATTGCTCCTAAGATCTTGTTCACTTTCCCAAGATATACTCACAACGCCAATTCGAACCGGACTTGGTCGTTGCCCTTGCCTGTGCAACCGTGACTCACCCATCCGCAACCCTCCTGCTGGGCGACCTTGATCTGCGCACGCGCAATGACGGGGCGGGCCAAACTCGTGCCGAGGAGGTATCGTCCCTCGTAGCTGGCATTGCACTGGACGGCGCGGAAGCAAAGCTCTTCGACGAATTCGCGTTTGAGATCAAGGATGACCTGCAATCACCCACTATTAGTATGCTATTCCATGAGAGAAGGAACGACAGAGGCGAATTGAGATCAGGCATACCATCTTTAGCGCACCGATCTTGAGCGCCTTCTTCTCGACCTCGTCCCAGGGCTCATCCTGTCCAACGTTCGCAAGGAAGCACACAACCTCGTAGCCCTCCTCTGTAGTTGCTTAGCTGGTTTATTTTCTCTTAGAATAGCGATACACACCAATGAGCCATTTCAAGATGGTGGAAGTATCAAGACCGCCTGTGAGTCAATGTCAGTACCAAACCCCTCTTTCATCCCAATCTCGACAAACGTCGTCACAGGGACCATCCTCCAAAGGATAACGTTTACATACCAGAGTAGGCGAGACAAACCCTTCCCTTAGCCATAACGTGTGAATTGGGTATTTGCGAGAAGATATGAGTGCTCAATGGCAGGAGGAAACTTGGAGATTGGAGATACACGGGCTATTCGCGGTGGTGGGGCACCTTTTATCTCTCCGCTATCAACAGTCACCGCCAGAAATTTTGGTGGTCAAAGCTCCCCGCGTCCCGATCTTCGGCTTAGTTGCTAGCGTCAAAGATCCCTGCACCCCTTTTGCATTTTGTAGGGCGCACGCGACGCCTACGAAAACAGATGCGTCACACGCGGATTTGCTCTGAGAGGCTTGGTGGGTCAGTCGCATATTGTACGAGAAATCTTGGTATCGAAATGATATCTCGAAGTATGCATTGGTATCATGATATGCGCTGAAGCAAGAAAAAAAATAAACACCTCCTATGCATCTATACAGATCAGATCCTGTTCCAACTCCAACGCCGTGCAAGCGATGTCCATTCGTCCAAAGTATGAAGTACCCAACTCAAATATAGACAGAAAGGTATAAGGGGCCAATGTTTACAACTACGTCAAGTAAGTCGCCATGTACAGCTAGGAAAGCGTTCGGAAAAGTCCGGTGCATCAGAGGCAGTAAGTCGAGGATGCGAATGCGTCTAGATGCCGCCAGCGACTCGTTCTCTCTGGTAGAATACGACGTAAGCCTTCTCGCGGTCTTCTGCCGGCATCTGCATCGGCTCGAAGTCTCGTATGCGGTCGTCGTTGAAGTTTCGCCAGCACCCTTTCGCCTGATCTTTAGCCATAGCCGTGTAATGTCCACTCCCGAGCGTCGCGCCATGATGGAAAATGATAGCATACGCGTTGTACATGTATGGTGGGTTCATCGCAGGATCGGTCTTCAACTGCGCCAGCTGCATATCTGCCTGTGTGTTGTTGGCGCGCGCTTTGGCTTCGCCTTCGGGTGTAATGGGCGGCTCCATGAAGGGTCCCATGTCAAGACCCTGGAGCGGGAAGGACACGGGTGTGCGAACCTTCCTCGCGGCTTGGCCGTGCGAAGCGCTGAAGCGTTTGAAGTGTACGACTAACGTGTCTGGTGCGCGCGTAAGAGTTATTTTTTTGGTCGCTTCACGCTGTTTCTTGCAGCGCGGGCACTTCCAGGTATCAGATGAATCGAGAGTCTCAACAGAGCAGTAACTGCGTAGACAGTCTCTTATGTCGCATGCCTTGTCCTGTCGAATCTCCACGCTGATGCTCCAGAAGGCTTCGTAGGTGGTGCTCGTGATTCCGCATTTTTTGCACGTAAGTTGTGACGCATGCTGTCCGGCGAAAAGATTCCCGATCAAGGAGCTGTTGCGATGAAGGTAGCGATTCCATTCAATCTTCGCAGCGTATGGTCGTGGAAGCTGTTCGCGAGCCATTTCCATCTCTTCCGTCAAATCACGAAGGGGCGCTTTATTATAGACAGTGTTTAGATCTTCGTGCATCATGTCAAGCACAAATTCTAAGAACTCTTTTGCATCCTGTTGCTCGTCGATTTGCCAGGTTTGGTTGAATCGTCCGCACACTTTCTAAGTCGCTGGTCAGTGTCACATTCGTGGATGAATGCGATAAAGCTTACTCTAAAGGTGGACGGGCGAATAGCAGAAGTGTCGCCCTTGTACAAATTCGACAGCAGCGTTGCATAGGCTTCGGGAAGAATTCCTTCGGTCCCCTTCCAATTCCGTTTCTGCAGATACTCCGCATATCGTCCACTGAGGAACCAAGCGGTGAGGTTCGGATTGGCGCTCAGGCACTGGACTACCGAGTTCATATAACAGGTTACCCCAAAATTGATCAGACCAGTCTTGTGAAGGCGGTTCGATGCACCACGACCACTCGACACGTACACTGGTGGCTGATTTCCGCTCGATTGGCGAGTGAGTTGCCGTTCGTGAACTCCCGTATAACTAGGCCTAGGAACGGATGGTGCTGGTCGAGATGGCGCAGGAGGTATTGAAGGCTGAATATACTGGTTCGCTTGTTGTGGTCGTGATGGAGGATACATCATCGATTGTTGGTCGTCCAAGTCGGGGTATCTTCGCAAGAACTCTTCAGTAGTTCGATACATGGGCGAATCGACTTCGTCTTCGTCCTCCTCCTGTGGAGGTTGCTCAACGACTGCGCGCCCCCGTCGTGCTTCCTCTAACAAACGATTCTGCTCTTCAAGATCCATAGGCGTGTAGTCGCGTCTCCCAGAGGTCTTTCGGCTTGTCAGAAGACGCGTTGGATGTGGTACACGCCGCAGTGGACGGGTCCTTGTCTGGCCGCTGGCAACCAACGCAGCGGTCGATGTCATCTTCAATGCTTGAGAGCCGACAAGATCAGCCCAAGCATCAATGCCTCCCATTAAGAAGATAGGCGGTCGTTGTAAAGGCTTCTCATGGTTGAACTCTTGCAAAGTCTCGTATAATTGCTTCAGGGGTCGTTCGCGCTCGTTCGGGTTGTATTTGTTCAGGAACGAGTTTGTTTTTGTAGACTCGTCATAGTAGACTACTAGATCAAACTCATTCCGTCGCTCGAATAAAGCCAACTCTTCATCGGGTGAGATGACAAGTCGATCCTGAAGCTGTCCGGCAGAGAAGCCATCCTGGAGACTGGCCGGCTCTATACACATAATCGTATGAATGAAAATGTGGCCTGCATCAAATTCCTCCCTACTCCTGACATCTATCAAGAGAACGTTGTACATTCGAATATAATCGTATAGCCTTTCGGCAGTGATCTGGCTTTCCGCGGGCTTGCTAACAGACTTTCTTCTCAACGATGGATCCACCGACGCATTGGACTGTTGTGGGAAGTAACTGTCGGACTGTCCATTCGTATTCGGTGCTTGATAAGATGCACTAGAGGCAACGGAGTTTGTTCGGCCACCTGTACCAACCATACTCCGAGGCGTACTACGGGGAGGTTTGATATTGCTGGGCAGAGAGAGGTTTCGTGCCGGGCTATAAGTAGGGCTCGGTTCTTTCGGTAAAGAGGCTGCCCATTGAGTATTGAGTGCTATAGGAGGTGGTGGTGGCAGGTGTGATGGCGGAGGCATACCACGAGGGCCTCGAGGATGGGATGAGTAGTCCGAAGGAGAGGGCATCTTCACCGAGAGATCCATGCTCGAGCGTCCGGAAGACGTGTCTATTGGTGCAGCAGCGCCTCTAAGCTTCGCAAATCGTTCGCCGAGATCGTTGAAGGATGCGCTGTTGACGGAAGATGTGCTCTGGTGAACAGCACGACCGTGCAGCGACTGAGGTTTTGGCTGGACAGGTGGTTTTCGCCGTGGAGATTCCGGTGGCACTGCTGGCGTTGACAGACCGACTGGCGGACCAGATGGTACGTTAGGAAGCATGAGTTCGTCGTCACGTCGCATGTGAAAGCCATTGGACGAAGTCGGCCGTGATGCGGGCTGTGAAGGTGGATGCTGGGCACCATTGCGTTTATTGTCGTTGGTGATGATGTTCTTGATATTCGTAAATCTATCCTCGTTTGCTCCGACTTCCTGCATGAGATTAGCTATGCTATGAACGTATGGCGAACAGGAAACCCACCTTGAGCACCTGATTGAAATCTCGATGCAGCTGGCCGCGGGTCGTCTCGACGCGGTCGATGTAGTCTCTGTGCCTGGGTATGATCTCGACCACTATTTTGTATGCAACGAGATACTCCCAAAAAGCAGCGGCAGGTGACTGGCGACCGTTGATCGATGTTATGGCCTGACTCATGTGATATTTGGCCTGTTCGAGGAGATGTCCAATCTGTACACGCTCAGCATAATCCTAAGTAGGAAACACAATTATGAATACCGTCAGGCCTCTCATTTCATTCACTTTGTCTGTCGCAGAGGCGGTGATCTCGGCGATTGGGGGAAAAGGTCCCCCAGCGCCTCGAGGCCCTCCTGCATCGCTGCCCCTCCAGCCATCTGCACCAGGACCGGAAGCGCCATTGGGGTAACCGTTCATGGCATGTGTGGGGCGGGGACCTGGGGGAGGCAAGGGAGCAGCTGCACTCATAACCGCAGCTTATGCGCAGGACGTGTCTCGCATGGTAGGAAGGCGCGACCGAAGGCGATATGTGGTCGTGCGTGTCAGTCTGGGGCAAAGCGCGGGGATGTCGGCGGTCTGGCGGTCTGTGTGACTTGGGCGCAAGTAAGGAAGGTCTCGTGTGATGTTCGTGGATAGGTTGAGTCGCAGATACCTAGAGAATGAAGGTAGGCGGGACGACAAACAGCGAGTGTTCAGGGTTCGTTTGGTCGAGTGCAGGGTTCCAAGGTCTGGTCACTTGTGTTGCGGAGCCTTGGTTCAGCGGCTCAAGCACACTCCGCCACTGCTGGCCATTGCTGATTACGTCGCTGCCAAGGCGGACCCGACCATCAGCGCCCAGCAGAGCTCAAGCTGCTACCTACAACCGCATAACAACTGAATACTGCACCTGTTCACTCGACCGACGTTTATCAACAAGTGCATACTCGGCCTCTGCACCACAAACCAAGGCCCCATCCCCACCAGCCACGACGGCACTCCCGCGCGCCCGACTCCGCAATCATGGCGGGCTGGTTTGGGACATCCTCGAACAGCGCCCTCGATGAGCAGATCGAGCGCGCCACCTCTTCGAGCTTGTATGTCGAAATTCACAGCCGCTCTAAGCTGTACCGAGTATTTCTTGAGCTGTGCTAATTATTTACAGAGAGGACATGCCCCTCAACCTGGAGATATCCGATGTCATTCGCTCCAAAACAGTGCAGCCTAAAGAGGCCATGCGCGCTCTGAAGCGCCGGATAGGGAACAAGAATCCCAACGTCCAGCTCGCGACGCTGAACGTACGATACCAACACGACATGACTGAATCTCGGTGCTGACTGACCACAGCTTACCGACACCTGTGTGAAGAACGGTGGTTCACATTTCACCCAGGAGATTGCCTCCCGCGAATTCCTAGATAACCTCACCTCGTTGCTCAAAGCTCCCAGCGCCGTCGCCCCGAACCAAGATGTCAAGAACAAGATGCTGGAGCTGATCCAGTCGTGGGCACTCGCCGCCGAGGGCCGCAGTAGCTTGAACTACCTGAACGAAGTATACATTACACTTCAGCGCGAAGGCTTCCATTTCCCTCCTAAGGAGCATATTGCCAGTAGCATGCTGGATAGCAATGCGGTAGGTTACGGATGCCGTATGGTAGATGCTATGATACTGACTAGCACTTGATAGCCCCCAGAGTGGACCGACTCCGACGTCTGCATGCGATGTCGAACTGCCTTCACCTTCACGAACCGGAAACATCACTGTCGAAATTGCGGAAACGTCTTTTGCGGATCCTGTTCAAGCAAGAACATCCCACTTCCCCATCTTGGCATAATGGACCCCGTACGCGTGGACGATGGATGCTACCAGAAGATGACGGACAAATCGAGAGGAACCCCAGTCCCAAGAGGTTTTGACGCTACCAAGCCCAGCCGCACTCTGTATCAAGGGTCTATGGAGCCACGAAATCCTCGTGTAGAAGACAGTTTTGACGCCGACCTGAAGCGAGCGCTGGAGATGAGCTTGGAAGAGGCACAGGGACATAGCGGGGCTGGTTTCGTATCGCAATCGCAACTGCAGTCGCAAAAGTCGCCGACGACAAACGGAACGTCGAAACCAATACCGGAGGAGGATGATGACCCGGATCTCGCAGCAGCTATCGCCGCGTCGCTAGCGGATATGGAGGAGCAGAAGAAGCAGCACGCAGCCACTCTGCGGCAACAAACATCCGTCTCCAACGGCGCGCCTCTCGTGGCACCCAAAAACGATTACGAATTGACGCCGGTGGAGGCTGAGAATATAAATCTGTTTTCCACATTGGTGGACAGGCTGCAACATCAAGCACCTGGGACCATATTGCGAGAACCACAGATACAAGAGCTGTATGAGAGTATCGGGAAGCTGCGACCGAAGCTCGCCCGGACTTATGGAGAGACAATGAGCAAGCACGATACCTTACTTGATCTGCATGCGAAGTTGTCGACCGTCGTACGTTACTATGACCGCATGCTCGAGGAACGCCTATCCAACACGTACAACCAGGCCGGTACCATGTACGGCCTGCCACCTGCCAACCAACGCCCAGCTTCGAGCATGTACCCCAGTCTGCAGTCAGGCGCACCATCAGATCCTCAAGCTGGCGAGAGCTTCTATACCGGAAATTCGGACCCTTACGCAAGACCACAACCTTACTATGGTGGAGGTTACCAACAAATGCCGCAGCCGTCCTATTCTCAGTATGACAAGCGTGCGTCTGCCCCAGCACAACAGTACAACGCTCCGCCTGCAGACGCGTACCAGCAAGCACAACAGCCCGCCCAGCCATATCCCAGCCTGTCACAACGACCTCCCAGCACGACCTATCAAAAGCCTGCGTCTCCTCAGCTCCAACGGCAAGTCTCCAACCAACAATACCCTCCGCAATCTCACACAGCCTATCCGCCGCAAGCACCTCCATCCACTGTATCCGACGCCGAGAGTGCAAGCTACTACTACGGCGACACAAACGCGGCACCGTCCGTACAGCGCACACAAAGCTTTACATCGCAGCCATCACACGCACCCGCGCCTTCATCTCCCGAGATGTACCGCGCACCACCAGCGCAAACGCCCCTCTCGCCACCCACTCAACCCGCCGCCGCGCCAACATACCCACCTCAGCAGCAACCGCACCAGGCTTCCGCGCCCTACCAGCAAGCACCGGCCCAGGCCCAACAGCAAGCACCCCCACAACAGCAACAGTACTGGCAGCAGCCGCCACAGCAACAGCAACCTGCAGGCGCTCAACCGTGGCAACCGCCGCCGTATGCGCAGGGCGGATATGGCCCGGAGAGCTTCCCCTCGGCGCCGCAGCACCAGCTCCCCGTGCAGCAGAAGGTCATCGACGAGCCCCTGATCGACTTGTAGTATAGAACACAGGATGTGAAGTGTAACTCAGCAATGGAAGAGAAGAAAAGAGATTGTCGCACGTGCATGCATTTAAGGCGCTTTCGGTATGGAGCTACAGCGAGCGAGCGCACGCAGAGTTTGAAGAAGAGCCGGGGCGTAGCCAGGTGCATGAGAAGATAGATACCCTACAATTATTGAAATGCGAATGCCTTCTTTCGTGCCATGTGTTAGTTGCTCAAGTGGGAGTTGTTCGAGTGCTCGACGTGGACTCTTCGTTATACTCGTTGTAAAGAAACGAGAATCTCGGTTATGGTGTGTGTACAGTACAGGAAGGAGATGTCTCTGACAGCCTTGCATGACTATGAGCCACACGCTCTACCCTCTCATTCGTATCCCAGATCCGTAACGAGGCTGCGATTCCCCGTGCACTCATCTTATAGATGGGTATTTCGTTCTAGTAGCGATCCAGCCGAGACAGTGCTTGTGCCACTCATATTTGAACATTTGGTATTGATTGATTTCGGACGACCTAGTCATCTCTATGTATATATCCACAGCCCGTACAATTATGTACTCATCTCACCCCGCTCGCTTTCAGCACCTTGTATTGTATATAAACCCACGTGTTCCGTTATAGACAAACGCCTTCCAACTCCAAGCCCCTCAACCAAAGGTAGCTATGCAATGACTCAGAAGAAGAATGAACCATCCAGCTCGGAAAAAAAAAAAAAGACAAACCCTCAAGCTCAGCAGTAGAGCGAGGCGCAAGAACCTGGTATCGAGGAGCGAATGAAAAGAGCCAGAAATGCTGCGCCATATCGGACATGGTCCGGAGAAGCGAATATGAAAAGCTCCCTCGAGGGAGGAAAATCGAAGAAGTGGATAGCTCCAAAGTCGCCAAAGCAGAAGAATGCCGCCGTGTAAAACGATCTTTTTGGGTATGAACATCGAACACATTACGCCGTCAGGAAAGTGGAACTCCTGGTATCAAGATGTTATGATCAGGTAAGTAATCAGCTAGCTCATGTCGCTCGAACGCCGCGTGGGACGGACTTGTAGTCCGCGAATCTCTCGAATGGCCGTAGATGTAAGTAGAGAGCGCACACTGGCAAATCTGCGAGAGCGTCTTGGTGAAACTCTCGCGGCGCGACAACCTTCGTTCTGTAGCCCGGTCTGGCCGAGCCACGCGAAGGGAGGCGGAGACGTTCCAGTCCGCAGACTCGTTCACACGAACTCAGGCCAGTAGTTGTAAGGCATCAGTTTAGGACCGGTCCATTTCTCGCCGTAGGGATTTACGCGTCCGCCTGCGAAGAAGCCATCTTGTGCTTGCTCAAGGACTGACAACCACGAAGAGGGTTCTGGATGTTTGAGCCACTAGTTCAATGTTAGCTCTAAATTCAGGTTTCTGCCAAACGCGGGGCGGAGCGGCGTGCCACCACTAGACATAGCGCGACGCGAAAGTCATTAGCTTACCTGGTTGTGGATGTGGTACGTCCAAGCGCCACGGAAGAAGTTTTCAAGGGTGCGGTTGTTCGGTGGGAACTTGTCCTCGGAGAGCACGTAGTCTGCGACAACACCAGCTCGGCGCAGTTCTACCTCTTCGTCTAGGGTCGCTTGGAACGAGTCCACGTGCTCGGACTTGGGAGTCGGTGCAGAGGCTGAAGCGGGTACGTTTTCGTGATCTTCGCGGCCGCGCTTGCGCAGCTCGTTGGACTGCGCCTCCTGCAGATCGATGGCTTTCAGTTGGGGGCCGTCGTAGCTCTCCCATTCGTCTTTGAGCGCTCCCTCTTTGCCTCTGAAAGCGGCGCCGTAGTCTCGCAGGCACGGTACAGTGCACCGACCTTCGCGGTCCCAGTTGAACTCAGTCCAAATGGGGTCAAATGCGGCTGTTTCGAGCATCAAAAATTCTTGATCGCGACTTTCTTTCCAGGCCATGCGGCCCAATACTCGTGGATGGAAGTTGAGACCCATGCGAATTCCGCCGTACAGCATATAAGCCGAGATGGAAGAATTTGCGGTGAGCGACATGATAGCGGTGTTGTAGTCTCCAGGGTGGGGGTGGGCAGCCCAGCGCTCGGCAAATGCATGCTCTTTGGGAAGAAGGAGTGGGCGCATGTCTCTGAGCATCAGCACATCCATGTCAAAGTAAGCGCCACCGTGAATGTGTAGGACGACGAAGCGAACCGCATCTGAGACAGCCACGGGCAAGAACGTCATTTGTTTCGGAGTCAACACAAGCCACTGTTGTCCGTTGTTGTCTTCCACGATGTTTTCGGCAACGGCCTTCTCACCCTTGATATTGGGTTTTCCAGGCGTGCTGTAGTAGCCATAACCGTTTTTGTTCTCTTCGTCCTTTGGTAGCGGGATCCTAGACGGGAATTTCCAAGCCTTGAGCACTACATCGCCGCGCTCGACGAAGGGGAGGAATCGGGCGAACAGTGCGTCTTTGTTGAGCATGTCTTGGACCGCATGCGGGTTTCGATCACTGTCAAGCCAGAGCCAAAGCCGCGAGCAGGCAAGGTTTTGGGTGTAAAGATAGCTCTTGATGAATGCTTCGACACGCCAAGTGGCCGGGCCAGTCCAGTAGACGTGATAGGGAACGATAGGCCCGGGGCAGGTACCGATGTCTGAGCCGTTGGCGGGTTTTGCCTGGTCCACGGAAATGTACTTCTTCAAAGTCCTACCGTGGCCGTCGGCGTCTGCATACTCTGCTTGGCGGGGATCTTGAGCGCTCGCACGGTCAGCCTGCTCTGGGAGACCATAGTAACGCTTCTCGTCGTTTGCGAAGAACTGCAGGCAGTCGAAGACGTTCCGCATCTTCTCGATACCAGTGTAGGTGCCTCTGCACTCCTCGACCAACATGTGTAGATCAGCCTCGGTATCGACGTGAGGGCGGGGTCCCATGAAATCGTCCTTGGCTTTGACGGCGGTCACAGGTCGGTTGAAGACGTTGGCGTGAGGGTTGATGGTCACGGTCTTGGTGGAACTGGCAAACTTGACCTGCACCCCTGACTTTGTCGTCTTGATCAGCTCAGTCGGGCCAGTCTTGTCCAGGAAGGCGGGGATGCCGAGCTTCCCTTTGGCGCCCACGGTAGGGTCGCTCACAAGGGTTATGACTCCATAGATTATGGCGTAGACTCCAGCTGCGAGGACCAGGTTCTTGACCAGCACGAAGAAGGCCTTTGCACGCGAGCTCTCGGCCATGGTGGTGGCTGCTGGGGATGGCACCCCGTCGCGAGAGTTTTCTGAGGGCTACCGAAGGTCCTCCAGGACTGAATGTTTTCTTTTCGTCGTGTGTGGTGTCCCTAGGGGTGGCTGTGGGGGCGATTGGCTCGTGTCGGTTGCGAGGCCTCGTGGACAGGAGGTTGGAAGTGACCGTGGGTGTCTGCGTTGAAGCGGCGGACAGCGAGAGAGGTGGGGTCAATTGCGAGGGCGCAGGGAGGAGGTATTAAAAGACACTACTGCAAGGCTGGCGCTCTTGGTGTGCGGCCACGCTGTGGAGCGTGGTGGTGGAGAGTGTCGCGGGTGGCAATGCTCGTGCGCACGTCTAAGGAGGCTGCCGATCAGGAGTCGCAGCAAAGCACAACAAGCAGAGCAGGAAAGCGCACCTGTGCAGGCGGCAGGAGCAAATGATGGACAAGAAGAAGAAGAAGAGGCAGTCACAAGGAGAGAACGTGGGTAGACGAAGAAACGAGCGAGCGCAGATTTGACGGCTGCTGTGCCATTGGGCAAGTTGGGGGGTTTCCGCCTCGCTCAGGCCAGAATGCGCCACTGCCCAAATTAGAGACCCTGGTCCTTAGTCGCGCTTGCCCCTGATCCTGCTCGCGCCCCGAAGGGAAGGGACCAGACCAGACGAGACCCTCGACCGCAACACCGAACTTCTGAATACCGTCCGCTGGCTCTACCAGACTTGCTCCCGAGGCCCAAGACGCAGCGCGCACCCGCTTTCCTGCTGCCGTGCCTCTCGATGCGCCTTCTGCGGCACCCTTGGACGACCCGTCGCAGCTGTCCACGCGCCTCGTGTTTGGCGTCCCATCCCATCACAGTGCGTCGCGCTTTCTCAGCCGTCCACGCCCTGCCCCGCTGTGAACACATTCACGTCCCTTGTCGGTCGAACGGCTCCGTCAGAATCGAGTAAGTATCTTTATCTTCAGCCATCCACCTTCGTCGTCTCAACCGTCTACTTTCCTTGATCCTTCCGTCCTCGTGCAGCCTCTGCTGTACGATGATCTCACACCGCGGCTCGCATGCAGCCCCTGCACGCCTCGTCAAGCCTCGTCTTGCGGCACCGCGTCCTGTGACTTGTTTGTCGTACCAAGCCACTGTCAGTTCGGCGCGCCGCATCGTCTCTCGAGTGACTGCGCTACTGCACTGTCGCACAGCTGCCTGGCAACGGTCTGCCTATCCTGCCCGCAATCTAAGTTGCTCGGGAGTCGAAAAACGAATCACGTCGAAGCGAAGATCGGGAACATCAAATTGCATGTGGAAACAGACTCGCAAGGGACGTGCGCACGAGCGACCTGACTGACTAAACCTTTGCCAGCGTTTTTCATTCGTCGACTCCTTCGTCTCCTACTTTGCTATATCTGCCTCCGGGCCCCGTTATACCTGAGTGCGCAGAGGAAGAGGACCGTGTCATCTCTACGCTCTCTGCAACAAGCGGTGCAACCATCGCCAGAATCAATTATCGAGCATCATCACAATACAGATTCCCAACTCCCATTCACGATGTGTTACTAGGCTACGACTGGGTACGCGAGAACTTGCTCCAAGATGGCTTCTCTCGGCCAGTCATTGGTCGAACGGGCGTCTGCGGAGAGCTTGTCGGTGCATCACTATCGGTGATGCTTGCCTTGACAGAATGTCACCCTAGTGAAAGCCGCATCGGCGCTACTGCAGCCAACAACCCTATAGTAGACTGGGTGTTCCCGGATGACCTGCCCACCGTAGCGGAAGCAGAGCTACTCGAGCCTGCAGCTCCAGACGAAACTGCAATGCTTGCCGACGAGGACCCTATGGCCTTGACTGACCGCAGCGAACCAGAATCTCACACTAACTTTACTAAGAAGAATTCAAAGCGAGCAGCGAAGCAGTTTCCCACTGCATGGCAACAACATGGTGACAATACTTCTATTCCTACCGTCACCTTATCCGCTGAGCGAGATGCCCTCTTCCGTAGACCTGAGGACTACTTCGATCGATTTGTCTCCCCAATACATTTCTTCCGCTCTCCACACGGCATGCTGCTGTACCCTAAGCAGGACGATGCTTGGGCATCTGAGCAGCCGGACAGCCCTGTCGACATTGAGACTCAGATGGATCTCAGCCACTATCAGTCCTACGAGAAATCACCCCCAGCTCCTCAGCTACCGGTGCTCGCTAGATGTCGAGCGTACGCGCGCATCTACCCGCCTGCAGGCTCAAATTTGAGCTTACCGGAATGGCGCATTTCTGCAGGGTTGCAGAGTCCATTACTAGATCAAGCGTCTGAGTTGACGAAGATGATCAGACGTAGTGTGGCTCGCCACACGTTGAAGAAGAGGTTGGGCCGCGTGAGATGGCAAGATGCCACCGAGAAGGAATACTACGAAGACTACGCACACGGCCGGGTAGCTTTGGAGACTGTTGACGGCGTTGGGTTGTGGACAGATCACGATGCTAATGAGCAGTGGCAAGCACAAGTTGAGCAAACAGGCACGTGGATGAAGGAAGCTTTGAAACCATAGTGCGCTTGATGTGGGAAGCAAGATATCCAACAAAGTATAATACAGAAATCTATGATAGTTCCACCTAGGACCGTCTCAATCATTCAGATTGAAGTCGAAAGGATCCTGGTCAACCTCACGATACGCTTTCCTCAATTCAAAAACAGCCACTGCCTCGTCCCATTCTCTGTCCAAGTTCGCCTCTCTCGCAATCAGAAGAACCTCCTTGTCCAATTCAATCTTCTCGGAATCAGGTGCTTCTATCCGTACGACAGGAACATGAATGCTCGTGAGCAGTCTACAGCGCTCCACCCAATTTTCGACGTTTTCCCAACCAGCTTTGATCTCCACCTCTTCTCGCAGGATTTGATCGGCCTTGAACGGCAGGAGCGCTTTGAATCGAGACATTGCTCCAGCCTCGCTTGGCACACTATGATCTGGCCCAAACTTCGACGTAAAGTTCCTCTGCACCAATCTTTTGGGGTCGCCCACTTTCTGAGGCAGAGACCATGTCTGTCCCGAGACAGCAACTCTCCACCTCCCCGCCCGTCTCAGCCTCGTGCCGTTGCACAGCAAGGAGACGAAGTCAAAGTACTTCTCGTCCACCCTCCTTCGCTCTTGCTCAGCCGGATCCGTAACCTCTTCCTCGTCCAACATCCACCCCCTCGCCCTAGGCACCACAAACTCAAACACCGCACGCCTCTTACTCTGCTTGTACAATCCCCAGCTCCATCCACCCCAGGGGCCCAGGCCTCCCTTTTTCTCCTCGACTGTGCCGAAGCCGCCGTCTTGGATGAACAAAGGGTAGATCCCCATACGCACGAGTCCCTGTAAAGCCGACTTGTCGGCTTTGGCGCGGAGCGAAGCAGCGTTGTTGCGTTTCCACGGCCCGTCGCCCGGAATGCGATCGCGGAGCCAGAGCGAGATGAGTGAAGAGAGCACCCAGTGGTGGCTGGTGTCCCAGAGGCGGGGGTACATGTGGCGGGCAAGGGCATCGTCATATCGGTGCTTAAAGTAGGCGGAAAAGAGGCGGCTTTTGGTAGCGATGTAGGCGACGTAGAGGACGATGACAGCAGATAGGACGAAGCTAGCCCAGAAGAGCTCGCCGCGGTTGTGGAAGAGCGTTGCGATGTCGTACCACAGTTGGTACCAGAAGCGCATGAAGAGTGACTTGCTCATCGCGGTGTCGACGATCGAGGCCTTGATGCGTGTTTCGGTAATGTTGTGGAATTCCAGTGGAACGGATGCGTTGGCGAATGCAGTGACGCTGGGTGCAAGCGACGGAAATAAGTGATCCCACACCACTTTTATAAGAATAGGTGGAGGTGTTGCCGCGGGGGTGGGTGCGATGTACGATGAAACCCACTCAGATATGACGCTGGTCACAGTCTCTTTACCCCAAGGTGACTTCGTGCTGGTCGCACCAAACGATTCTATGATAGATGTGAGGGACGACGTGGGAAGAGATGGAATGGAGGACGACATCTTTCTTGTGTGTTGTGAAGTTTGCTTTGGCGGGGAGATGAGCGGTTATGCTTGTCTTCGTGGAAGATTGCTTTGTCCGTTAGATCTTCGCCGGACTTGGTTGTGAGCTTGGGAGGACAAAGGTTGTCGGGCTGGCGGCTGCGCAGTGATTTCTTTGTTCGGGCAAAGGATGTGCGCATGGGGGCTTGGGCTTGCGAATTCTTTATCCATGTTGGATCGTGAGTGTGAGCTGTGCTTGATGTATGCGGAGAGGACGGTTTGGTACGTGCTATGGTTGGGAGATGGTAGGCTTAGACAAAGAGATGACTATACTAAGGAGCTGATTCCTATTGAATGTCCTTTGGCGAGAACATAGAGTCGATTCCCTTTACTTCCCACCACAACATCGGAATATTTATCTTAGGCTATAGGCAAAAGCTTGTTATTATTATTTTGATACATTAAGGTGAAGAGTAATCAAAAACGAGCTCCTTCGGATGTAACATTTATGAGCTTGTTGCGCTGAGTGCTGACTTGATCCATTGAACGGTCCTGATGCAGTTCATCCGAGGATGTGACGCAAAGCAACTTGACCTGCTTCCTCCACAAAGATGTACCTGTATTCAGCGACAGAAAGTACTGTCTGCTGTGCATATAAGATCACGTGACACAGTTGTTCTCCCACTCAAATTGCAATGCTCTGCAAATGAGTCATCACTCCGTCCCCTGAAGTCAACTTAGGCATTCCTCTCGGTTTCAATTTTTTTGTTTTGACTTTAGAAACCGGCGACCGGTGAGGGAATCGCAGGATGATTGGCTACATGCTAAGCCGCTCGTTGGCATTATCCCCACATCACCATCCACGTTCATTCTCTCTCTTAATCATAACACCATGTACGCATGGGCACGGAATCAAATCTATTCGTATACAACCACTTGTACCCAGGACTACTACTCAATAACAACGGGTCAACCAGCTTTTGAGTCCCACAGCCTCGGGGGGCTGCCTAGGTCAAATTGCTTTTCTGTCTGGAGACTTAGCAGCGTTGTTGAAGATGACCGAAATGGAACCGTCTATATGTTCAGGCTCGCATTCCTCAGAAAGTCAATCCATTCTTTAGGGGCATCGAGATCAACGTCTGTGACCATTGCGGTGCGCCATGCACGGAGGTCTTGCTTGGCGTAGTAGGTTTCTTGACATCATCTCACGCCACGCAAGATTGGGTCTTTGACCGGGAAGAACGCTTGCTGGAAGATGATGCAGAACAACGCGTGACCCTCCGCGAGGACGTGGTACTCCCCTTCTGTCGTCTGTCAGCTGCGTTTCGCATGTTACGAGCCGCTGCTCGCCTTGTTTGCAGAGACTTTTTGTCCCTATCCACCGCGGCTTCATATTCAGCGTAGACTTGTAGTTCTGTCAAGCAGCCGACAGGCTGTCCGTTGGGACCTGTCTCGTTGCCCACCATAGGAACCTCCCAAGCAGGTTCAACGATGTCCCACTTGACTTTGGACATATCCTTTGCCATCAAATTCTTCCTGGCCAGAAAGAACCTGAAGTTGGGCCATTTCGCTCCGCTGCTCAACGTTGATGGAGTCTCGACCATCTGTTCCCACCGTGCCTTGGTAAGGAACGAGTGCATCCAGTGAGGCTCAATATAACAGACTAAGTGTGACTTAGGCAGCTTCACAGGCACACCATTGTCCCACTCACCCAGAAACTGGACACTTTCGGTGTCGACGCCCTTTTCGGGATGAATGGCGGCGGTCCAGTTGTATCCGAACAGTCTTCGCTCGATCGAAGAACCAATCTCACCTGCTGACTCATCCTCAAACAGCAGAGGCTCCAAGTAATCCCCAACCTTGCACAACCTCTCTCTATTGAGATGCCAGTAGAGGACGTGGGAGAGTTCGTGCACGATCGTTGTCCCGAACGTGAACAGCGTCCGAGCATACTGGCTGGCAGAAACCCGAGTGAGATCCTGCTGGAAGAACTCGGAGTAGGCACCATTCAAGAAGATCTTATGCGCATCTTCGTGACGCTCCAACTCAAGAGGATCCCCTCGAACAAATACTTCGTCCACAAACTTGTCGCCTGGTGCATAATGCACGCCATGTGTCGGGCCGAACTCTTCACCTGTACCCTCAAACTTGCTGTACACGACAAAGACGAACTTGACCTTGCCAGCCAGGGCCTTAAATGCCTTTCCGATAATATCGATCGCATTTACGAGGTCATCTTTCCTTTCCTTATCGTCGTAGGAAAGAAAAACTGTCTCGGAGCCCCGGTGCCCGACCTCTTTTCCTTGAACAAGAGGTGCCCAAGCATTCATGACCTGCGGTGTTGTCAGAAACATGGAAGTCATGCGAAGCGCCGCTTCCATGCGCGACCACAAAAGATCTGGATTCTGCACGAACCCATCCAAAAGCCAGTTTTCCCGTCCGACCAATGGTTCGATGGCATTGTCTAGATCGCCTTGCGGCTCACCCGGGAATGTCGCTATCGAAGGATGGTGCTTGATGAAGTACTCATCGTACTTCTCGTTCAGGGTGATGTACTCCGCAGTACCCCATACGGGGTTCCACATCTTGCTATTCCACCCTGATTCCGATTGGTAGACTTGCTGGTAGCTTCGGACATTGTCAGTGAATGTAGTTGCTTTGGGCACTTGCTCATGCTGCGACGACTGCTTACTTTTGTAGAGGCTCGGGTATGGGAACTCGAAGCCCATCTCCATCTTTTCGAGTTCTTCGGCTGTGAAGTTTGCGAGCTCGAACCCGTAAGTGGGCAGTGTCTTAACGTCATTTACATTCCGGTTGTCAGTGGGAACCTTGACCTTTTTGACCGTTCGTCGTACCTCTCCCTCGGCCTTGCGCTTTTTGCAATTGGGTGCTTCATAACTATTCCAGCATGCAGCGGGAAAACGTAAAACAGTGGCAGTTGCTTCAGGCATAACTTCTCCTGCCAGTGAGACAGGCTGATAAGGAAGAGTGGAGGCGTCCTGCATCTCCACGTCCGAATCCATTACGACCGTCTTAGCCATTGCGAGAGACATATTAAGGGCGTGTGTCGTGGAGATCGTGTACAGACCCCTTCCAGGAAAATTATTCGAGCCTCGAAGGTTGAGCTTTCGTAATATGTCTTGGTATTGGAGGCCGTAATTTGTATGTCGTACTGGAGACATTGCTCATTGGAATTATATAGGAGGTGTCTGGCGTACAGTGTGGCATCCTCGCATTGTTCTGTGATCGTATGTATATAACACAATGTATCAGTTCGCCCTGATTGGAGAGACAACAAAGCCTTCCATGACACTGTAGAACGATGAACGTCAACAGAGAACATGAAAATCCGGATTGTACACGCACGATGCTAAGCATAGCGAGGAGTCCATCTTGTCATAGATTTCTCGTGTAGCTGTGTGGAAAGCTGAGCATTGATAAAGAGGGGCATTGCTTAAATAATTTATCAAGGAGATACCGTGTTTGCTTGTGTCGCTTGAGGCTCAGTAGGCTGTCTTGTTGGCTATTGCTTCTGAGTTGTTTGCTAGACTTCTGTCTTTGACTGTGTCCTTCTCAGCCTCTGCCCGTTGACAGGTATGTGAATTTCTACGTGATACAAGGACCCAAAACGAGAACGTGATAACAAGACTTTGGTTTTAACAGACTCGAGAGGTTACATTTGTGGTAGTCAGAGTGAGTATGAGGCGAATTGTATCTGGTATAATCTCATGATAACGCGTATCTAAGGCACCGGAGCAATGTGAAGCACGAACGCTGAGCATGTATGCGTGGAGAAGAACCGATGTCGTGGGCGGTGGTTGGCCATTATGTATAACTGCGAAATAGAAATGGCCGGCGAACCTGTGCTAGTTGACTTCCAACTGCAACGGACCCGCGTTACGCGTACACAAAGCGCAAAAGCCCGACGTGCCAAACAATGATACCAGCCCCGACCCCGCTGAGTATGATGGCAACCTTCAACTCCGCGCTCGCCTCTCTCCAGTACGTTCCTCCACCTGGCATCAGACAACGACCCCGGCACCTGCCCCGCCGATAGGTGGTAGAGACCTCCAACTCCGCAGTCACTTCCCTCTGATGCCAGCCGCTCAAGCTCACTAAACACAATCGGGCTACGGTCGCAGCACCTCCCCCGCTGACGACGGTGGTGACCTCCAACTCCGCAGAAACCTCCCCCCGAAGGCGTAGAGAGAGAGAGAGAGAGAGAGAGAGAGGGTAGAGGTGGGCTCTTTATATGGGCATGGGAGATTGACGCACGAGCCACGCGCTAGTAGCTGCTCGAGCGCGTCATCCTGCGAACCTAAGTGAACGGTGAAAGTGAAGTAGGTACGTGCAGATTTGCTTGGAAACCGACGGTGAAGGCGATACACAATAGACCGCGTGACAGAACATGATAGAGTCTGGAATGGACGTGACCGTTACTTTCCATTTCTACTTCACCTCACAACAAAGTGTAGATATGCTGTAGTGAAAGGGCATGCACGTGACATCAGCTCGACCTCGTCCGCTAATCACTTAAGCAACAGCTTCCAGTCGCCCATGCTGCTATGAAACTTTGAAATATGGCGCGATTTACCTTCTTGTACAGTTAGCCGAGCCTACAGCCTGATGCGGCGCCAGGGCGAACGGTTCCACGCGAAGTTACTACCTACGGTTCGATCTATGAACTTGGCTCAAGTTGAGCAGCGCCACACTCATCGGTAGCATAATCAGTCATGACAACGATAGCATCAACAGAGACATTATTGGCACGTATTTCACGCTGTTGTCAATTTGTTCCTGCGGCTCCATCGCCTTTGTCGGATACACGCCTATACGTGCAAAGTATACAAACCAGGCAGATGTTGGAGAGCACTGCGCAGAACAGAAAAAAGTAAGTTCGAATCGATCGTTCGTGGGGTGAACAAAAGCGAAAGGACTAGGTGCATCATTGTAACAACCACCCAAGGGGTCTCAAAGAATAACTGTGTCGGCCATAGCTTGTCGACCTTTAAACGTGAGGGATTATTTCGCAACTGATACATCACCGGGGGTGAATCTTAGATCTATTGCGCAGAGCTGCTTAATGGATGTAGTATAGTCTGAGTACCGCACGTGCTCTGAAAGCTCAGTGCTTAAGCTGGTGGTGTCTATTTTCCGTTTGCCCTTGGTATGTCTTCTTGGGCTTTGAAGTATCAACATCTTCATCCCGTATAGCCGCCCCAGTGGAGTTTGCGGAGTATTCGATATCTTTGACTCGATTTTTTGCGACTTCACCACGCGCAATCGCATTGTTTCTCGAGGTTCCAGAATGCGGACGATCACTGTGTTCTTCTTGGCTTGCTTGCGCTAATGGAATCATGTTTTCCCGATGAGGTTTAACGCTTGCAACATGCGGAAGAACGTCTCGTGGTGCGCTATGATCACTAAGCGCGTTGACGCGGGGAATGCGCCCGTTCCTCGTGCCTGGGGAACCAACGAACACCAGCACCGCCGCGGCCGGGAAGGATGAGTAAACCTCGTTCCAATGTAAGCGCAGCACGCGATGCCGAACCACTGCCGATCGTTGTATTTTCTATGCTCCGCTACCTCTTTGGGATGCCGACTGCATTGCTAAGCATCTGCAGCTCTGGGCATTGTGGAATCAACATAAGCTGAGCAGAACCCTCTTGCATGCAGTAGCATTAAGCCAACACAAATCGCCAAGCTGTACGAGGTGAAGAAGCCTTTCACCAGCGAACCATCATGGCTTTCTCCTTGGGAATGTCCTTTCACGAGGGCGAGACGAAAATGCACGAGCTGCTTCATGTGCCTCACCTGGATAACCCTACGTCAACGATGCTCACGCCTCAAGCGGCATTCCGATTGCAGCAAGCGCCACTACTTGCCATCGGCACACTAGATTCGCAGGATCGACCATGGACCTCACTATGGGGCGGGAAACATGGCTTTTCGGAGATGTTGGGAGGTGGGATGATTGGAACTCGGACACTAGTCGACGCAGCGCATGATCCTGTCGTGCAGGCTTTACTAGGTCACGCAGAGAAGGGGAGGATGGTTTCGGGCAAAGAGAAGATGCTAGCTGGGCTCACCATCAGCCTCATGGAGAGGAAAAGAGTGAAGATCTTTGGCCGCATGATAGCGGGATGCGTTGATGAAGTGAAGGTGGAAGTAGACGACGACCGCGAAAGGCCCGCTGGGATGCCCGAAAAGCAAAACCAAGTCCAGCTGATCACCAAGGTTGAGCAGAGTCTGGGGAACTGCCCTAAATATCTAAACCAATACGACATCCAACCTGCGATGGTTACGTCGACCCTGATCTCGCAATCTGAGAGTCTCTCGGAAGAAGCCAAGGCTCTGATTCTAAAGGCGGACATGTTCTTCCTCACCACTAGTGTGCCTGAAGACATGGACACGAACCATAGAGGAGGGCCTGCGGGATTCGTACGCGTCCTCTCCGATACCGAGATTGTGTATCCAGAGTATTCTGGAAATCGATTATATCAATCGCTTGGCAACTTACTTGTCAACCCAAAAATTGGCATAACTTTTCCAGACTACAAAACTGGTGATATAGTTTACATAACTGGGACGACGGATGTTCTAGCCGGTGATGACGCAACAGCGATACTACCTGGAAGCAATCTGGCTGTGAAAATTAAGATTGGGGAAGCGCGCGTTGTCAAGCAGGGGCTCCCATTGCGCGGGATGCGAAAGACCCCATCGCCTTACAACCCGCTTGTGAGAACGCTGGCTTCTGAAGGGAATTTGAAGGCTTCCGTGTTAGCTGCACGAAAAACCGCCCGCCTGATCGGCAAGACTCCACTTGGTCCGACAGTTGCGCGTTTCACATTCTCCGTCCCGGAAGCCGTGCAGTATTCGCCCGGACAATGGGTGGCCTTTGACTTCTCCCATGATCTCGATATCGGCTACTCGCACATGCGCGATGATGACCCACGGAGTCTGAACGATGACTTCGTGCGAACCTTCACCATTTCATCGACCCCGTCGGGAAATGGTCCACAGAAAGAGTTCGACATAACGATCAGAAATGTCGGCGTCGTTACGAGCTTTTTATTCCGACAGAACGATCGTGCCGGCTTTGAGGTGCCCATCGTGGGCATCGGCGGAGAATTCGTGATCGAGCAAGAATCGGATGAGAACAAGCTTACACCGTTCATCGCGGGCGGTGTCGGTATCACGCCGCTGCTTGGCCAACTTGGACATTTGAAACTTCAACCGACCCAATTGAAGCTTTTGTGGACCACCCGACTTGCAGACATTGATCTTATCCTGAACGTGTTGGAGAGATACCCAGACCTTGCGCGATGCACTGAAGTGTTTCTTACTGGCAACACTGAGATAGCTGATTCCGAAGCTAAGGTTCAACAACTCAAGAGCATGGGCGCAAAAGTCAGCAGGAGAAGGCTCGAAAAAGCGGACCTCGATATCGACGAAGCGGGCTCTTACTACTTATGCGCGGGCGGTCCATTGAGAAAAGACCTTTTGAGCTGGTTGGAAGGGAAGGTCGTGATCTTCGAGAATTTTGACTACTAATTGACCGTATGTCGCAGGTCGACCCTTCGGCTTGTCGTCCTGCATATATTTAGTCTCTGACTCTGCCTGTTCGGGCATATCGAAACTTTAGGCATCAACCTAGACATGCTAAGAATTGCTTCGCGAGCTGCCCAAAAAGTCGCTCTCGATCGGATTCGGCTCGGCGTGGACCCATGGTATTGCTTAATGAACGCCTTTGTTCCACAAAACAATACTCATACCCCGGGCTTTTTGGTGTGAGCGAACTACTCATCTTGTACACAATGTATCGCGCACTGTGTATAGAAGATATTAAGTAACCCACGTTTATCTACAAGTTACGACAAAGCACCCAACATCGCAGCAATCAGTGAAGCTACAACCCTCAAATTTTACCCTCGATCAGCGATATGGCCTGTTACGAAGGTACCATGGAGTCGACCAACTCGCTACCCAGCTGGCTGGTATCACTCTGGAATATCAACAGATGCAGGACGTCGTTGAATTCTCTGAAACTGCAGGCGAGAACGTGTTGCCAGAAGATATGGACACGAAAATAGACTGCTCGGTAAAGCCCACTTCTCCTCTTGTGTATGAGCTCCCGCCAGAAATCAACGATAGCAGCACTATCGAGGAAGTGGCAGCGTTCCTTCTCGACTTTGCCTATGCTGAGATCAATTTTTCTCTTCCATTTCAGAACCAACCTGAAAAGATGTTCGCACTTTGCACATTGATTTCGGACCAGATCATGGAGCGTTGCGCAGCAGAGTCTACTGGCCTCCCCCTGTTTGCTCCCAAGACCCACCTTTTCTACCCTTTCTGGCTACCGGACCATCCAGTTAACGTACGTCATCTCCGCTGTGCACTGTGGGCGGTAGAGGAAGTAAAGATGCGCATGGCGGCTAAGGGAGGGTTTGGAAAGTTCTTGGAGGAGAACATCAAGGATTGAATCATTCTCGGTTTGCAAAACCTTTGGTTCCGTGTGTATACCACTCTCTTTAGCATCGCTTGAGTTTAGCTTATCCTTTGTAGTATTGAGAATTCGTTTCGAATCGTACTTGCCGTGCATCGTGTACTTTTGCTATGAAAAACAGCGGATGAGGTGCGCCAATCTACCGGCTAGGCGTTCCTAGCACGTCGCGACTTGAATCCATCGCAACCGTGCTATGTGCGAAAAATCTGTTTTCAGCCCCATGTCTCAGTGGAGAAGCATACCAGAAACTGACGACGCATCATCGACGACACTATCGAATCTGTCGAAGTATCGATAGCCGGGGTTCTTTGCGATATGCCTAAACGGCTAAAGTGCTCGGCCCCTCCACAATGGCGAATTCAGCACGCTACGCTGCATCCCGCGGGCAGTCATAATACCCACAATTCTGGGTCTCTCTTTCGCATTCAGTGTCCATGATCCGCGTTGTGATGGGCATCTTTGAACCAAACGGTGTCAACGTGGTTGCGACTGACTTAGCTGCTCAGGCACAGTTCTAATCTCAAGCGCAGCGCCAGCATGAGGGTCAGAGCATATTCTAGGTAAACATCCTGCATGCTCTTGCCGAGGAATGATCTACACTGTTTTCCGGGGGGAGCGGACACACTAGAAGGCTTATTTCCCACCTGTTCATCTAAATCGTTGCTAGGTTTGGCTAGCGTCCTCGAACCGACACTCGTGGACCAACGCCATTCCGGGTTACCGGAAATCTTCGATTCAAGCATTAAACGTATAAGACTTCCATATAGCTGGCGTATCAAATGTTCAAAGCTCTGGGGCCTGCCAAGTCTTTCTTCGAAGACCGAACCTCTAGGATAGGTTCTTCACCGATTTTCGACATGGCTGTCTGCTCATCTATTATAGCATTGACTGCTGGCCTTGTCGCATTCGCACAGTCTCAATCGATTCAGTCCCGTGCAACTGTCGATCTCTCCAACGTGAAAACCTCGTTGACGCTGGTCTACCAGAATAACCTCAACGCGTCCGACGACAAGAACCACGTTGGAGCGCTTCTTCTCGATCCGTCCTCCCAAGCAAGTGCTGCGGCTGCGTGCGCTTCTGTGAATGAGAAACTACTCCCGAAATCAATACTCCAAAAGCATCAATCGGACTTCGTCCACGCGCTTTCCTATCAGGACTTCGAGGAACACTTCGACGCGGCAACTGGCTTCTACATCGATAATGGGATCGTGTCCATCGGACGCCAACTAAACTTTGTGTCCTCATCAACACATTCTCCGAGGAAGCTTCCAATCCTTTGCACTCAGTCAGCCAACAATGGCTCGTCGAACGCTGGTCCAGTCAATGGAAGCCAGATTGCAGTAGCCTCCGGGAGCAATACTTTCCTTGGCTATCGCAATCAGAAATCGTTCAGGTTTTTGGGTATCCCGTATGCCGATAACCCTCAACGTTGGACGTACTCCTCGCTCTATTCGAAAAAGGGCCAGACGATCCAGGCTACCGCGTACGGCTCACAATGTGCGCAAGGAAGTTTTGGAAGCGAGGACTGTCTATTCCTGAACATTCAGACCCCATATATTCCCAGGGCTGGCTCGAGGAGAAATTTGCGCCCGGTCATGTTCTGGATTCATGGTGGTGGCTTTACGGGAGGCACAGGCGCGGACCCAGGAACGGACGGCGGCAACCTTGCGAGCAAAGAAGATATTGTGGTTGTCTCGATCAATTACCGTTTGTCAACTCTGGGATTTCTTGCTATCCCTGGGACCGACATAGCTGGCAACTTCGGGATTGCTGATCAGATCGTGGCTCTTGACTGGGTGCGTGCTAACATCGCTTCCTTTGGCGGCGACCCCAAGCAGATCACTATCATTGGTGAATCCGCCGGAGCTGGCTCAGTGCGGACACTGTTAGGCTCTCCACAAGCAATCGGCAAGTACCAAGGTGCGGTTGCAATGTCCAACTTAGGAGGCGGCGTAACACTGGGCCTCAATGGTGACTACGGAACGACATATTCGACGTACTACACCGTGGCACAATCGTATGCGGTGGCGGGCGAACAGATTTTTTCTGCTGCAGGTTGCAGCAATAGCGATCTCTCGGCCGAGATTGCATGCCTCAAACAAGTCGACGCACTGAAGCTCGTATCGTTTCCCACGGTAGCCCGATACGTGGTTCAAGATGGCAAGTACGTCAACACGCCCAAGTTGATCCTCGCAACGCGCAATGCTAGCACTGCGCATATACCTACAATATGGGGCGTCACGCGCAACGACGGGGCCTCCTTCTCTACATACCCGAAAACCCCCATTTCGAATCACTCACAAGGTCTTCAAGTTGCGCTAGGCATCAATTCGACATGGGCACGGAAGATCATCGACTCCAAACTCTTTCCTTTCTTCAGCACCGGAAACCTCACATTAGACTCATTCAATGTCTCGCAGCGGGTGGCAACAGACAAAACGTTCCGCTGCATCGACCAAGCCACTGTCTACGCTGGCAGCTCGACCGGTGCTTTCAAGAAGGCTTATTTCTACCAGATGGAACGCACCATTGGCGGATATGACCCCAACAACCTCGGTGGTCCCGCCAATGATAATCCGAACAACCCTTACTTCCGATTCCACGGTTCAGATTTGCCGTTCGTCTTTGGTACCTTGTCCACGATTCGCGAGCCTGCAGATTTGTACTACACGCAGTTGACAACCAGCTATTTCGCGAGCTTCGTCAAGACGGGCGATCCAAACCCAGATCCGGAGTATTTGAGAGTCAGAGGATATGGCAAGGTAGTTGATGCGGTAAGAAGGACAGGAAGTTGGGATGAGGTGACAAGTAACGGAAGGGAAATACGGTTGTTGGATTATCCTAGCAGAAGTGCGCCCTTTGTGGATGTCGAACAATGCAAGTGGCTTGGCTATGGCCTAGACTACTATCTCAAGGGCGGGATATGATGTGGGAAATTCGTAAAGATGGGCTATCTCGAGGGCACTTTGCTCATCCAACCTATCTTTACTGACGCAATCACATATTTGTAACCGTTTCAACGATACAGTAAGATGATGAAGGTGCTATATTCGCACTGCAAGCTGCTTCGATCCAGCAGGCCTCCATGTTTCTAACCGCGACTTCTTCCAAAAGTGCTCATTTTGAATAATTAGACCTGGGATGGATCAGCTGGTTAGAGTTTGTAGACCATTAGTCTTTATAAAGGTCTACACAGCTCATGTGTCTTGTACTGTTGCATTAGCTGCGCTATCGGGAAGCAAAAGGTAATGCCAAGAACGAAAGGATGAATGTCATATCACGTGAACGCACTGTCTCGATCAATACGGCCCGAAATGCTCTCGAAATACGATAATATGAGCTTTCCTTCCGTTTTTATGCCAGACACGATGCTCGCAATCGTCCATCTTGGGCCATCGTAGAGGTCCCGTTGCGAACTATTTTCGGGTTTCCTACGATGTCATGTTATTAGGGGCATTTGAAATCTTCCGATCAGGCTCTCTAGTGTAGTTCAAATGCTTCTTCAGGACGCCTCTTTCCAGTCCATGGACAGATCGTCACTGCAGGCCAAGCTTGGTGAAGCGATTGTTACGTGTAGCAGAAGTGTACGTACGCAGTCACCAGATAAAACATCAGCACCTGACGGCGCTCTGTCTTGCTAGAAAGGCGCACTAATATGGCGGTGAAAGCCATAGGTGCGGAGAAGTTGATGCCTGTGCAAACGCTCGCCGGTCCCGCCATCGGTGGTGCTGCAAGTTGATCGCTCGCGGGGACAACGACGTATTTGGCAGGCACGCGGTGGCACGTGCTTTCACTTCCTCACCTCACCACACATAACAGAAGCGAATAAACAACTTGCGGCTTCACCTGGTACGCGCTGCCTATTGTTCACCTCGCTCCCAGCCGCCACCTTTTCACGCCTATTCTAAAACGCGCGCCCACGCACTTCTTATACCTAACACCTCAACCCAACTTGAACCTCATCGCGCGCTTGCATACTCAACCTGCGCCCTCATTTTCAAGCACTCTACCTATACTTCTCGATTTCCGCCGCTGATCACGGCAATCCACTCACCGCAAGCCAATCTGGCAGCTTCAACTGCGCGAGACAGCGACACCGCGACGTTGAAAGTGTCAGTATCGCAATCCCGCCGAGCCAGCGGCCTTCAGTAAGAACATAATGGACATCTTTGAGCCTGACGCTCGCGACGCAACCTGCGGCGGCGAGCCTTCTTCGACTGTCTGCGGCTTTGTTGCTGTTGAAGCTCCTGCTAGCTCCGTCGTGTCTGAGCAAGCTCCAGCCACTGCTTCGACTCACGCATCTTCTGCGCAGCAGATCGACGTGATTAAGGCCACCTCGAGCATTAGCACTCAGACATCCTACGACCTCTACGCCGGAGACATCTACCTTGGCTCATCCGCTGACCTTGCCCGTGCTCAATCCAACGAGACTGCTAAGGATGAGACTACTTCCGAGGCAACTGACACCAGCCATCACGAGTCTGCCGCCACCCTTGAAGAACCTGCCACTACCGTCCAAGAGCCGGTAGCTGTTGCGCAGGAATCTGCCGCTCTTGTGCAGCAATCTGCAACTACCGCTCAAACGTCTGTTGCACAAGAGACGCCTGAATCTACACTGCCGTCTCAATCAACTTCATCGGAGGCGTCCAAATCTTCGAGTCCGTCTTCAACTGCCTCATCTGGCTCATCAATCCAACAGATCCTTGATGCGATTCCTTTCAGCGATTATCACCCAGACCGTAGTATCATGGCCTTGCGTGACGGTGAGCTCTTCTTCCAAAATGGTGTCGAAGAGGCGGGGAAAGCGAAGGATGGCATGTTCGACGGCGCAACGGAGCTAAATTGGAAGATCGGTTTGCGAAAAATTCTCATCTCCTCTGCTATCAGGGAGAAAGAGAACAATGATTGGAATGAGGCGACCCGCCTATCGTGGGCTTTTCCAGCCGGCGTGGTCCACTCAAAGAACGGCATGGATCCACGCATCTGCGACGACCTTCAAGGCTCACCGGCGAAGTTGGATACCCAGGCCGACTTGCAAGATGCTATCGAAGCATGGCGCGATACAGTAGATGGCTGGGCTGACGGCTACGGCTCCACTATCGGAGAACCTGAAGACTTCGACGGCATCGACAACAACGCATACCACGATTACTTCCCCGACGTGCCGCGCAAGGTTGTTTACCACAGCACCGCTGTTCAGACCCAAATGATCACGACCCCTCTGCTATATGAGAAAATGTATGGTAGGGAGCCGACTAAAGTTGAGTTGCGCCAAATACTCCGCACCATAGGTGCACCTGAATACGTGGATCAGTCCGAGCTTTGGTACGGTAAACCTTTTCTCAAGTCAAGCGGCTCATATCCGGATGTCCAAGCCGAAACCCAAGACAGCGGTTTCCAAGCAATGGACTTTGAGATCCGCGAAGCGAACATACTCAAAGCAAAAGCGAAGGCTGGAATCACAGCCACCAAGCTCAACAAACTCTCACTCGAGCGGCAAAATGGTATACGAGTGTATGGAGAACCGTCGAATGATAGCATTGTGCATTCGCAGCAATTCACCGCCCTTCGTGCCATCGTCGATAAAGCCGGCACCGTACAGAGCTATGGCTCTTTTACACCGATGATTCACAACGTCGTCTATGAGGTCATCGCGGAGAAGCCAGTCACCACGGTCGCTAAGGCCTCATCCACCGTTACTAAGACCTCATCTACCGTCGCTAAGACCTCATCCACCGTCGCCAAGGCCTCATCAACTGTCGCCAAGGCACCATCCACGACGCTTGCTCCCTCTGCTCCGCCTCAGTCTTCGACTAGCAAAGCGAAGGTAGAGAACCCCAAAATGATCTCATCATATTGCCGCTCTCCGTCGCCCGGTCCCTACGACGAAGCCCAGATCAAGGACCCCGAGATGTTCGAGAACGGATGGCCGAGCAACATGTTCCCACTTCAAGAAGTAGATGGCACATATTCGGAGGACGTGATCAAAGACTTCGTCATCCCGGATCCCGGCCGCTTCCACAAGACAGTACCCCAGCATGCGCCTACCGCAGTCGACCCAGCTAAGTCAGCCACTGGTACCAGCGTCCCAGTCCTGAAACAGAAGAAACACGATATCTCTGTTGCAAATGCATCACCCCGTGCTCCAGCCACCGTGCAGGAGCCGTCTATCACACAGAAGAAACACGATATCCCCGTTGCCAATGAAGCACCTCGTGATCCAATCTCAGTACAGAAACCGTCTATCACACAACAGATCCCGCACACCCCAAGCCAGCAAGAAGGCCAAGGGGAAAGCAAGAAGCGAAGCGTGGGCGAGCTGTCGGATGAGGGATACAAGTCTCACTCCTCTTGGTCAGCCTCCAAGCGCCAGAAGCATGCAGAGAACACCGCCGCGGCGTCCTCGCATTTCTCAACGCCCTATGATACACCCTTGTCTTCCGACGATCTGAAGGTTGCGACTGCTACACCTACTGCTTCCGATCCTTTGAAGATTGCGACAGCTACATCTAATGCTTCCAGCAAGCGGAAGCGCGACGCATCTCCTCTCAAAGAGTCAGCCGACGCAACCGAGCAGCCCAACTCAAAGCGTCTCAAGGCCCTACCTACCCCCACACCTATCACGCGTCGCCTACCACCTACCGAGGCAACACTCAAGGTCATCCCGCCGCCAAAGGGCATGTTGAAGATCAAGACCGCCGTGAACCAGAAAAAGGCTCTGCATACCGGCCGACCTACCACTCAGAAGGCCCCCATTGGCAATAGCGACAGGAAGCCTGAGAAGACTCAGCAGCAAGAGTCCGTTCGGGAAATCCAGCAGCCTCCTCAGCATCCGCCTGTTGTCGAGTCTTCGCTAGCTCCGGCAACGCCATCTCGTCCTGGCTGGGCAAATCGCAAGCCCACATCCAATCGAGACAAGAAGGAAAATCCCAACCGCTGGCGCAACGGTCTTGGTGCGGTCGGCCTCGGCTCCCGTTACGAGCCATACAACGCTGGAAACAGGGGCAGCCGTCGTAACTAGCGGTTGCTCGTGGCATCATCAAGATTGGATGTCGAATGTCGAATGTAGGATAGGACGATTTTTATTCTCTTTGAAACTGTACCTCCATCCTCACCGTCGGGTGATTGGATTTTTGTTTCCTCTGCGCTACTACTGTACCTGTCTCCCTACTGCCGGAAGGGCAATGGTTGGATATGTGGTTTTGTCTCTGCAACTGTATCTGTCCCCTCCTGCCGGACACAGCATGTTTTGCATAAAGTCTCAGCACCGGAGTAACGTTTGAAAAATCTGGCAAAAAAGGGCAATGTTGGAAAACATGGGCAAAAAAAATGTCAAAATCGTATAGCATAGTATAGTTTAGCCACCAAAAAAAGCGTAAAAAACAAGATGTCCTATAGTTGAAGTGTTTGTGTTTACACATGATTATCCACAAGTATAGCTCTTCCAGTCGTCAACATCTCCGTTAACTTTCAGTCTTGCAACCTGTGGCCACGTACAAAGCCTCCTCGTCCTATCCTCTCCATTGATGGGACCCCAACTCTTGATGCCTTGCACTGGCTCCTGTCCCTTTTCCACCCATTCTACCAACGCAGAAGAAACACCATATTGAGCAGGCACATATGGATACTTCGCAATATTCGCACCACAGTGCCCGCCCCCAGGCACCATAACAAGCTTTAAGAAATCGTTTTCCGCTATCGTAGACCCAGCCCCGATGGTGGTTTGCGTGATGGCTTCAACATGTTGGATTGACCACATCGGAGCGATGTTTGGATCTGACCAACCGGCATATACGATCATTTTACCACCACTATTGCGGAAAGAGGAGAGATTGGTATTGATTGCGTCAAGTAGCGGGCCGGCGCGTGCCTCGAGAAAATCCACATCGGATGCCCAGTTGAATGTTGCTGGGTCATAAGACAGGTTCCGGTACACTATCTGTTGCAGGATAGGGATGCTGAACGCATTCGAGAGGGCGGCTTGGACCTGGGGTAGCAACCAGCCGGCCTCAGAGCCGAGTGAAAGTCCAGGGAAGAGGCTCATGCCGGGAGAGTCTGAGCGCACGGGTCCTCGGTAAATGGCTTTGGCGGCTGAAAGTTGGGAAGGCGTGAGACATGTGGCATTATCTGCGGAAGTGCCTGCTATGCAGGCTAAGGAAGAAATGTTGAAGGAGCAAGCGAGCGGATTTTCAATCAAGTTGTCTGCTACGCCGTCGATGATGTCGCATTCTTGGATAACACTGGCTTGGATGAAGTCGAGGACGGGCCCAGGAAGATATGTTGCATTGGTCTGCGTCTTGTGAGCGAGGAAGCGGGAGAAAAAGACCAGATGGGTGAGCCTACACTTGTGCGTTGTGCGTTCCATAGGAAACTCAGTAACATATGGGTGAACCAATTCGCCGGACACCCAGATATGATCCCATCGAATAGGTCAGGATAATATTCAGCGAGCGAAAATCCCTGCGCGCCGCCGGCGGAGCAGCCACGATAGTACGAATATTCTACTTCATGCCCGTAGAACTCTTTGATCAAAGCCTTCGCAGCGGGCGTGAGAAGACTTATGGCGTTATGGAGCCAAGCTTGTAACTGATCTTCATCGTTTAAGAATGGCTGATAGACGCCAGGCGCACCGAGGCTAGGTCCAACACCAGCATTGTTATCTGAGGCTAAGTGGCCTGCATTGCCACCAGCGACAGCGAAGCCCAGTCCGCTGTTCAACTCGGCCATCATATCGCTATAACCTATAACTCCTGCCTGGCCCCCGTTGCCGACGGCCATAAAGCGCGAAGAGTATTGCGTGTCTGGCAACCAGAGTGCGAAGACTAAGGAATCATTCGTACCGTATCTGACGGAAGCGTAAACCTCGCAAAATGAGATCTTGTTAAGTGTTCCCGATACATTCAATGCCCCCGTGGCATAATGGGTCGCATTGAGGAGAGAAGCATTGTATGCGCCGATAGATGTCCACGGCGCAAAAGACGAGCAATTGGGGGATAGATGGGATGCGGCCCTGGCTAGGTTGTATGCAGTGATTGCGACGAACGAGAGGTAACGACAAGCGTGCATGACGAGGCACTTAAGATGCAAGAGGCATCAAGAGAGTGGAAACAAAACAACAACACGAGCAAGCGGTCGGCGTCATAAGACTTCCAATGACACAATGTAGTCGTTGGGGAACTCCGTTTTATGACCCTTGCACAACATGTGAAGTAGTTGTTCTGATTGGTACGTCGCCGAGTAAGCGATTACTGAGCTTATTTGAGGGAGTAAATCTCACGCCACAACATACATCTATGCTCCACAATAGAATACTATAGACATGAAATTCCTGTATCACAGAAAGACGCTGGCGTCATCCTCTTGCAGATGGAAATTCTGCGTAGGAGTTCTAAGCATCATTTGAGCCTAGCTACTTCTGCCCGCACTATCACTACACAACCAAAAACTAGGAGCTGCTTCTCGCCTCACTTCCAAGAGACGCAGTGCCTCAGAGAATACAGAGTACGGAAAGACTGACTTGTCTCTTTCACCGATGGCTATTCGTTAGAAGACGTGGGAAATATTCAGTGTGTAAACAGTGCTGTACTCATCTCTTAACGCGGAGTAAAGGATGGATTCGACGGGAACTCATCGGTCAGGGATGAATCTGCGGCCGTCTCGCTTCTGCAGATGGATGCTGAGGAGACGCCAGGCTCGTACGAGAGAAGCAAGGATCCACCCCGCTAGGTGAAGAGCTTGAGCATGAAAACGCGGATTGATTGCATGGTTGTTCATTGAGCACGTTTGTTGTGTACCCGAGGAGCCAGTAAGTGAGGTTATTATCAACTTAGGTACGATGCGCAGGTTAGCCATCCCAAGCCGCCTTGACAAATGACACGTCTCTGCTCCGTGATCTAGATCCGCGGGTTGTAGATAGCGGATTAGGCATTTCTGCGTTGCATCATCTATGAGATTTAAGTGCCTGCACAGTATTGCGAACCAAACACTGCTTACGGCGACTCCTCCAGACGCCAACATCTTTGTCCACCAATTCCCCATTCGCTTCGCTGCATGGCTCGCCTCGCTCGCCTAGCTGTATTCGCGGCCACAGTACTGGAACTCGGCCAGGCTACTGCACTGCTGATGGTTTTTGGATACGCATACCCAGATAATCATCGTACATTGCTTTGGAGAGTCGGTGGTGCGCAAGGTTGGAACTCCGATCCGACTCTGAGGATCTACTTCTACGCGAATTATCGCGAGCCACCGCCGATACCAGCAATCTGGGATGAAAGGCAATGACGAGACTTGCCCAAAGAACGAGCACGTGCTGATGTTTTTAGATAGCTCCACCACAACCAATCTCTGCATTGCTGTGTTCACCACGCTGATCTGGATCATCCGCCTCAACGTTAACCGCTCGATCGGCTATGGTCTGGATCTTTACACCACCTTGGCGACCAATGCGCTATATGACATGTTGCTTATAGCACTCTGGACATACAGCGTGTTTCTGCAGAGCTCGGGTGACTTCTCGGACATGGAACACTTCAGTGTGAATCCGTGGTATCTGGAGCGAGCATGTGGGGAAGCTCCTCAGTTCGCTGACACCGCATGTCGCATGGCAAAGGCCTCGTACAGACTCTCCGTCTTCACAGCGTAGGTTGACCTTTATCCACTTGCCTGGCAATTCATTTATACCTTTATGCAAACAGTATATGGTTTAGCTTCCGGTTACTATCAACTTGCATGTACGTGGCCTTCCAGTATGGACTGCGTATGGGAAAAGAGAGATTATACGAGGGCACAACTTCGACAGTCTCCTTAAACTAGACCCACCATTCTCAGTTAATGACCTACGAAGGAAGATAAGTCGTCTTAGGTATTACGCGGAGAATAGTAATGGTCCCCTATGGTGACGTACGAGACGCGTCTGGTTGTTCTATCCTGCAGTAGCCGGTGTGCAACAAATATGCAAAGTTCGTCTCATGATAATTTACAACAAGGAATCAAGCCCTAACAATTAAGGATGTATCGTAAATAGGGCTTGACTTATACTTAGTCGGATAAGAAAGAATAGAACGAACGTTAGACTGGTGATGCAGTTTTCTGGGCGGCTCGGCACCTTCGACTAACCTATCAAGGGCAGGACCTTTACCCTCTTGACCCCTCTCCTGCTCCGTTGGCAGGGGGTCAGGTAAGGTAGTTCAACATTATTGCTATATTAGCCGCTGAAACCAACGGATTTCGCGTACCCTAATTGAAGTGTATATTCATTGTTTTGACTCTCTGAGAACCTCGCTTACCAGCTGAAGTGCCCAGCTACCAATCTAGTAACACTTTGCTTCCGCCGTCTATTCGCTTCTATCATCGCAAGCCTCACATTATGCACCATATCCCGGGGACCGCAGGTTACTACTACCCCGTCATGACTCCCGGCCAGGGTCGCTTCGGTCCCGCCTAGCTCTTGCCGTACTATATGGGTGACCTGCCACCGAGTCCCTACACGGAAGTGCACGTCGAGATGCGGGACGTACTCTTGGAGTTCGTAAAGACCACAGGAAGGCGTCTGGCCGAGCTCGCAGCAGTGGGAGCATGGCAGTAACGCCGACTCCGCCGGCAATGCATGCTACATGTGACGACGTAGCCGTTCAAGGAGATTGATGTGCGGCGAATATGGCCCTTCCGCAAAATAAGGCAGGACAAGGTCGTTGTTTGGGAATAAACGTGCCGTGACTCCTCGTTGGCGACGGATAATGAACGAAAGTTTGCCGCTCCATGCAGAAGGTTTATCTTGAGAAGCACCGGAAAGTAATGGTATTGTGGATCCTGGAACCAATGATCTGCCTGGGGTAATTTGTCCTGGCGGAATGGATGGGCCATATTCTGTGACTTCCTGCTCGGCCAAAAGAGTCGCGAGCGTCACCCCGAAAATCAAAACCCCCCTGCATCTCCGGCTCAGATCCAAATTCGGAGTCAGAAACGAGCCCTACAAGTTCAAAGACTGGCTCTTCCTGCTCCACTGGCTGGTTTGTCACCCTGTTGTTGCTCTCACTTTCAGCGATTGAGCTAGCTATCGAGAACAGATGACATTCCCAAATTCTCCAGCTGGCCTTGGTAGGAAAATAGCACCAGCACCTCTGGAGGACCGGCACCGCAGAGGTCCAACGCCTTTTCAAACTCATAAGAGGGTTTCTGGAGGATTTTGGTGGCCCAAAAGCGCGACAAAGTCCTTGTAGGCTCGTCACAGCACTGGTGGAGATACCAAGCCAGCGATAATATGAAGGCATTGTCAGACGCATAGCATTCGTTGGGCGTATCGAAGCCCAGACCGCTCCCGCCATGCCAGCGATCCGCGACGGCGGCGTGGAGCAGCTGAGTTTGCTATTATGTAGTATCTTCTGGCATGCGAAAGTACACGATGGCTCATGCATGGGAATGCCGAAGCCCACGAGAGCTCGCAGAGGCGGCGCGCCTTGTATGTGGACCGAGTGAGCACTAGCGACGGGCAGCCACAGAGTTGCGACGACACATAGATTCGACATATTCATCCAAGTTGACACTGTAGTGAAACCGCCAGGCGGATGAGCTGTTGAATCAATGAGTAGTTGAGGGAGAGAGTTTACCGGAAGGAGACGGGGTTTCACCACTCTCAAAATACACTCAAACCTTTTCGCTTGCACAGAGGGTTCGAAATCCTACCTGGATATCTTCAGTGCGCTTGTTGGTGGCTGACCAACACCATCCTGGAGCGTTCCCCATGGTGTAGCCATCATGCTTGCTGATAACGTCCACCGTGGCCTAGAACGGTTTCACTAGCCTCCCGACGAATGCCTACGACCCTGTTTGTGCGATGGCCTGCGTGTGCTCTCTGTACATGTTGAACCCCATCGAGTTTTACGCAAGGCGGTACCAATGGCGTGACTGCCTTCATAGCGTCCCCGGAGTGCCGGCCTACCGATGATCGCTGTCTCGAGATTGCCAAGGATTGAAAAAAGTGGTGACCGATGCGGAGAGATAGTTAGGAATGAAGCCTCGCGTGGGAGCAGCCTCTATTGTTAGTGCGGGGTAATGGGTGCGTTGTCAAGGATCATAGTGCGGTGCACATTCTTGAGCACATTCTTACATTGAGCACATTTTCATGTTGAGCGCATTGTAAGGCACATCGACCATGTTGTAAATGGCTCATCCGCCTGTGTTTTTTGTTGACCGCGCATACAACCATCTCTACATGCAAGGATATGCACATTCTAATCAGACATGGTAAGTTTTGTATTGAAGACCTCAGCACTAGCGAGATCGGAAACATATACAAGAAACGTCCATCAAGATGAGGAGATAGTGGAGAAACACATGAATTTCGAGATTAGATTACATAGCTTAGCCACCAAGAACAAGGTCGAAACAATATCATCTCGATGTGTGATATACCTATACCCAGAGGTCGTGAATCGCATTCATGCCACACAGATACAGATCCTAGAATGTACTCTATAGCCCCTTGCTCTATATCATACTTTACATCCATCTATTTGAACGTGCTCCTCTTTACTTCGTCAGCGCTGCTCCTCATCTATGCTTGGTCTTCCCAAGCGTTCCGATTTTTCGTCACGTTTGCATACTCAATACCCTGAACCCAGACACGCGAGATATCCATGGTGTTGTTGATGTTCTCGAGGGGATTGCCATTGAGCAACAACAGGTCCGCGCGTTTCCCCGGCGCGATGACGCCGCGATCAAACATCTGATGCCACTGTGCCGGAACACTGGTGGCAGCGCTGATGGCCTCTGCCTCACTGAGGCCAGCATCTACCAGTAACTGCAGCTCACGGTGCAGCGTCTCCCCATGCGGCAACGTCAGCGTGCTATAAGCGCCCTCGATTTGCCCAATTGAGTCTGTGCCGGCGAGGATGGGAACACCAAACGAGTGTAGAAGGCCGACGTTGGCGCGGACGTACTTGTAGTCCGATCCGTGCGGCGAGCCGAGTTGAGGGGCTTTCGTAGGGTCTTCAACGAGACCGTAATGGAAGACTGTCATTGTCGGAGTCGCAAACTGGTGCTGTTGCTTCATCTTGAGGATCGCTGAGGTGTTGAGAAGGCCGTCTTGTGGGATGTGCTGCGGGCCGTTAGTACCAGGTTCAACGACTTGGTAATAGTCCTTTATGGTAGCGGCGTGCGACATGACCTGCTTTCCTAGGCTGTGCACGGCTCGGACGAGAGCAACCTGGGCGGACAGCGTCGGCCCGTCATCCTCGACAGTGATTTTGTAGTAGTCTGAGCCATTGTTGAAAGCATTGTCGACGTATTCCACAGCATCTGAATTGGGGTACCAGAGGAGAGAGGGCGATACATTGAATTGCTTCGAGTGTGAACTTCCATTGCCCACGGCGGATGCTCCTGCGGTGTAGAAGTCGCAGAGGCCGGTATGTCCTCGAAACATGTCGCATGCAGTGTAGTTGAAGCAGGACATTTGGAATACTGTTGTTATCCCGTAAGAAGTCAAGAGCTCGAGATCAGTCGGCTGACTAAGGTGTATGTGGCTATCCATGAGGCCTGGAATAAGAAACTTGCCAGTTCCATTGACGGTGATGTTCACGTCCCGCGAATCGAAGCTGCCGATGTGGTCGTCTTCGATAACGATCGTTTGAGGTGGCGTAAATTCAACACCGTTGAACACTCGGACATCTTTAATAGCTGTTTTACCTATTGGAGGTATGTAAGAGCGACGGTTCAAAGGGGCGATATCGCGGACGGCAGCTTTGGCGTGGGAGAAGCATACTGAAGCAGACGTCGCGGACAGAAGAGCCTCAAGTAAAAAGGTGCTGACCCTCATCTCTGATTGCCGATATGATGTTGATGACTTTTACAGATGAGTGATTTGAAACGATGTTGTGCCTCTTGGGACTGCGTCCCTCTGAGCTCTTTATATGTCCGTGTGATCATCTTCCTGTGACCAACTTTGTCGGAAGGCGGTAAGCTGTAGAAAGACTCTTCGTAAATCGGCCCAGTGCGGAAGCTGAGAAGCTCTGCAAAGCCTCCTTCAGACGGGATTGAAGCCTCGCCTTGACATCATCATGGCCGTGACCGCGAGGCGGAGCTTGCCATTTCGTTCATCCTTCGAAGTCGGCGCGCCTGCCTCGTTGCTATTGGTAGACGTCGGGGCCGGAAGTCGACTCGCGCTCCTGTCACGGTTCGGAGGATTTCTGGCGAAGGCGTGTAGATAGAATGATGCTGGATGCGTGTGAGTGGACACACCCCCTTGATCTGCGCAAGCTGCTTCGTACACTAGCGGGTAGGCGCATTAGCGTGCCCACGTACTACGACCCCGGGAACACCGGAACACCGTCTTACCTCCATTCACAGCCTCGCAATGGCAAAATTCGAATCTCATATCAAGTGCAGCAGGGAGACATTCTGGTAGAGACTCTTTCAACACCTCAGGTGGCATGTCTCGCCGTTCGCCTGTATCTGGCTCTGGCTCTCGTGCGTTCCATCAAAAGACGCGGCATGGCTGCAAACGCTGCAAAGAAAGGCGCGTCAAAGTAAGGGACATTGATGAAGTGTAGGAACATTGACTAATCAAGCTAGTGCAACATGCAACAGCCCATATGCAGCCACTGCGATCGTCGCAACGAAAGATGCTCGTATCTGGGGGAAGACGTAGGGAACACCTCGTACACTATCCCCTTGCAACAAGCTTTACCTATCGTAAGCGATCTCGGCATTTGATTGGTTGGTCGCCTTCTCATCGTACACTTGCCTTTAGGTACAGTTTTCTGTCGGAGCCCACAATCCCATCGGCTCCGCTCCGCAAAGTTTGGTCTATCGAATTCCCATTTCTCAGCCTGTCCTTCTGTCATCGCTTCTTCGACAGATCATAAACGAAATGCGCCCTGCTTCGGCACACGAAGTAATGTTGTGGCGTACAACGCTCCAAAGAAGCAGTCTCGTTGACAGCGACTTTCTGTGGCATAGCCTTTCTGCCTTACACATGCTGCAACAAGGACGTGGCAATGCAAACCTCAATGTGCAACACAAAACATTGGAAATAGCTTATCAGCACCACATCAAAGCGTCCATGCTATTTAATTCTATGATACCAGTTGTCACTGAGCACAATTGGCCTGTGTTCCTGGGGTTTGCGATTTCTGTTATTGTCTGCCAATTGGCCATGCAGTCCATCTGCCCGGAGCCATTCTTCGACTATATCGAGATGTTCCAGGTATTGAGGACGTCTCGTGACATCGACTACACTTTGAGGAGGTGGTTGATGACAAGCGAGATGTGGCCCCTGGTTCGGGAGCGGACGAGCTTAACTGAGAGCGAAAAGCTGCACGACCATGGACTGCAAGATGCTTTGACATTGCTTGAGGTCACAGTCGAGAGGAGCGCCCATGTTGCGACTTATGGCAATTGTATGCATGTGGCTATGCACTGCCTCAAAGACTGGGTCAAGCTGTGTGAAGGTAGGCCGCGTCGGTGGGGTCACTACATATACTGGCCAGCTGTGCTAAATGCAGGATTCATTGAGGCGCTGCAAAATGGTAATGAACTGGCCAACGTGCTGCTATTGCACTGGGTAGCAATTATACGGCTGGCACCACCACGCTGGTTCCTGGAGACATGGCTCGTTCGTATGTATTCTTACCCTGGCCCGGCTTTATGCAGATGCTAATACAACAATTCAGGCACAGCCGATCGTATTCTGAACAATTTGTCAAAGGAGTGGGATGAACTAAAAGCTTGGCCAGCCTCTGTTATGCGCACCGATCGCAGTGAGCTATGGAGTAGGGACGTCTCTTCTACGATTGAAACCGCGAGCACGGTCTCCCCGGCTACTGTCCAACTATACAGTACAGGCTCTGCACCCGATGTGGAACAGTATTGATGCGTGGGTCGGCCTCAGAACCGCGCGAGCATATCGATACGGTTAATTCATCCTTGCTGAGTTTCTTACAAATTCTGGGTACCCGTCCGCAATTCTGAACAGCAATCCTCGTTGATGCCCATACTCCAGGCGTGGCATAAGTTGTCGCAATATGGCAGGAGAAGACACTACACGTGTCTGCGATCGTCTCCGTGCAGTGTGACGACGGGACCCTACGACCGTAGATTTCGTCAGAGAGATGTTTGTACGTCTGTAACAATTCGAGCAGTCGACGTGCTAACCAGATAAGGAAGCTGCATGTTCATTTGCGGCATCAATCACCAAAGCTAGCACGTCGATCAGGAAAACAGAACCGCTCAACCCCGCACTTGTTTTGTCGTGGGGTAAACCGATTATGACGTTACAGAAGACGAGGTCGCCCGAGGTCGCGCACCTCGTATATCTGGGTATCTGAATCTGTGGCGTAAGCTTCACAACTATCAGGTTTTCAATATGGTTCGCGTCTTGACTTTGCTGACACATGGCGCTCTTGCTTCGTCCTTGCTAGCCCAAGAGTTGTTACAATACCAGAACAACACTTTCAATTCTAGCTACGCCTTTAGCGAAATACAGATTGATGCTGCGAATATTTCAGATTCCGTTGCAAACAATGTGCAAGTTGCCCTGAACGTCGAGCGGACCAATTGGGCGACAGGCTCAGTTGCTGAAGATCAATTCTACAATCCGCCGCCAGTAAATGCTTCCACGCCACCAGGGTCCCTTCTAAAGGTGCAAGAGTACACGAACACGTCTACCTACACGCTCGCTCCTAACCTGGCCCTATCTCGCATTCTTTTCACTTCTGTGGACTTCAATGGATCCATTGTTCCCGCCTCAGCATATGTTCTGTGGCCATGGCAGGCAAGAAAATTTCCAGATTCATGTCTGAACGTCAGTGGAGTGCCGGCAGTTGCATGGGCGCACGGAACGAGTGGGGTCTTCGGGGAATGCGCCCCAAGTCATATTCGGAACCTATGGTACCAATTCTCCGCACCGTTCACTCTTGCTCTGCAAGGATACGCAGTCGTTGCTCCAGACTATGCTGGGCTCGGAGTCAACCACACTGCAGAAGGCGATGCAATTGTGCATCAGTACCTCGCACATCCAGCCGCAGCTAACGATCTGTTCTACGCCATGCAAGCAGCACAAATGGCCTTCCCTGAGCTATCGAAACAGTTCATTACCATGGGACATTCGCAAGGCGGTGGCGCAGCATGGGCCACTGCGCATCGCCAGTCAGTCACACCTGTTGAAGGATATCTGGGCACTGTAGCCGGAAGCCCGGACCCCAACAACTACGAAAACATCAAGGCAACAAGTGGATTCGGTGTGGCTCCTCGTATTGCGCGCGGATTGAGCAGTATCTTTCCTTCTTTCAACTACTCCGAATGGTTTGAACCCGAGGGTGTGAAAAGGTTGCCTCTACTGGAAGAATTGTCAGGTTGCAATTCAGTCAATGGCGAGCTCTTCCCACAAGCTGAAGGGCTCATAAAACCAGCTTGGGAAGAGAACTGGTATCTCCGCGCGTACAGCAATATCAGCGATCCAAGCCGCAAGCCAATCTCTGGTCCGATGCTAGTGGTTCAGGGAACCGGCGATCAGGCTGTTCCTGCCGCGGCTGTTTCGAAAGCTGTCAATGAGACATGCGCCATGTATCCGAAGAACCAAATAAGATATGCTTCATTCGAAGGCGCATCGCATGTTCCGGTGCTGAATGCAGCGCAGCAAATCTGGCTCCAGTGGATTGAGGATCGTTTTATGGGGAAAGACGTCGATGAAGGCTGTACACAAGAGTACCATCGGCCCTTGAGGAGGAGAGTTGCAAGCTATCAGAAAGAATTGGAGTATTACTTACAGCTTGCGGTCCAGTCTTATGAGGTTGCATAATGATTTTGTAAGAGGCTGACCGAACTCGAGGGCGGTTATCGTCTCCTTCTGTGGCTTGCGTTACTTTGGTGGAGCCCCTTCTCCAAAAGTGCTCACTCTAAAGATGATAAACGCTGCACCAAACAATATACAGGAACAGTCGAATACAATGAATGTTACTGCAAGCATTGGACCTTTTCTTGTTCCAAGATGTGCGTAACGGTGAGAACCTGCCTTATAATTCGGCCGCAACTGAGCTGTACCGAGAGGGCGACTTAATGATGCCTCAAAAGCGAGTGGAGGTGCCGATGCTACACTACGAGCTTACCATCTATTCCCTCAACTTTGGGGCCACAGTGGAAGGAAAGCCAACGTCGCATGTATCTGTCCATGCACATGTACATGTATGCATGCGAGCTCACGCGCCCAAATTAACCGGCCAATCGATCAGCACCCCAACATTCATATGCACCAACCGCCCATCCGCATTTGCGCAATATGCCGCACGTGGCGCGCCCCAATTCATTCATCACTTGCAGGAGGTCGATATGAGCAATACTAGGGTCGAACTCCGATAATGCAGTGCCCGGATGAGTGCAATGGGTGCGTGCGGGAGCGGTACCGGCCACAGGGTCCATCTTCTAGAACATCTTAGAGGCGATGTGACTGGTTGGACTATGACAAGGGGTGGGATGTTGCCGCAGCCGTGCATGGAGGTGTCTCCACGGCCCGAGGGAGAAACACATGGAGCCGAAAGGACCTGGAGTTATCAATGCGGCATAGCATATATCGTCCTCGATTTTATAGAAATAACATGAATTTCCCCCTTTATGAAGATCGTGTTGGAAGTAAAGCATACAAAAGCGGACCCTGTGAACTTGGTGGTCACATAATAAACATAGATGCAGGCAAGGCTTTGTTGGGCCTGTTAAGTGCATGGATGTCTGGACATTGCTTCAGCCTTGCATTGATTAGTATGCTAGTCATCTCTATGATCCGGGTCCGTGGACGACTGAAAGAACGGTTTCCGGGCCGAAATTGGCGGACAGGAAATCGCGTTGAACGATCAAATGACATGTAGCTGTAGTGCTGAGCTCAAGATACTTCCTAAGACATCCACCGACACATGGGTTACATACAAGCGATCTGCTGAACATCACGTATGTTTTAAATTGTGCACAAGATTTGTACCTAAATCTAGGAGTTGATAGTGTATCGGATTACTTCCTCTCGCGAGCATACAACTACAGGCTCCACCGCACTCAGTCTACTAAGCAAGTCTTCATCTAGATAGAGCCAACACGTTCCTCAGTAACAGCGGCAGTCTTCTCTTTCTCATGAATCTCATGCTCGATAATGCGACCCTTCTCAGTTGCAGCATTTCCACCAACCAAAGCAGCATCACCATCGAAGTGACGAGCAATCTCCTCAAGCGGGGTGTTCTTAGTCTCAATGTAGAAGAAGTATACAACCACGAGCTCGAAAGCGAGCCAGACGCAGTAAACAATGTAGTACTTCCAAGCGATGGAATCGAGCGCGATGGGATTGATGTAGGTGTTGAAGAACAGCGCGAGATCGACACAGGCGAACATGTAGCACATGGCCTTGGCACGGATGGAGTAGGGCAAGATCTCAACAGTGTAGCCGACGAGAAGGCCAGACCAGGCAATGTTGTAGAAGGTGTAGTAGAGGAAGATCATAAACACGACAGCGCTGCCGTTGGCCTTGACCTGTGTGGCGGCGAAGCGCTCGGATAGAATGGTCCAGATGACGAACGACATGCACATGCCGGCGGTGGAGATCAAGAAGAGCGGGCGACGACCGACCTTGTCGACAAAGAAGCACATGGTTGTGGCAACAATGCAGTTCCAGATGTTGAGAACTCCGTTGATCTTGAGTTGCATGTCGGAATCTGTAATGCCAATGGTGTCGAGAACGCCGGTGATGTAGTAAGAGACGAGACCGTTGCCAGACCATTGCGAGAAGAAACCAGCAGACACCAGGATGATGAACCGGTGGCGGTTGCCCTTGGTCTTGAAGATCTCGAGCCAGCCGGTTTGCTCAGCCTCTTTTTCAATCGCAATGGTCTCCCTGATCTCCTCGTATTCGAGCTGAACGACCTCATCGTTTGCATCTCCTTCAGCATGGACATGGGCCAGAACAGACAGAGCCTTTTCATTTTGGCCCTTAGAAATGTACCAACGTGGAGACTCCGGAACAAACCAGACGCAAGTGATCTGGAGAATCGAAGGCGCGGCTTGGACGATGGAGGGAATGCGCCACGACCACTGGCTGTCGATGTTGTTGGTGCCATATGTGAGCCAGGCGGCTACAATAGAGCCGACATACCAGGTTGTGTTATAGACGGTTGTGAAGATGGCGCGGTGTTGCGGGTGGCACAGCTCGGTGATCAAGAGAGGAGCAGATCCGTGGGCAATGGCGACGCCCAAACCGAGGAAGAAACGAGCGGCAACGAACATTTGGAAATTAACGGAAGCACTTTGGAGGACCACAGCCAAGATCATAATGATGGAACCGATGCAGATGCCCCATCTTCGACCCATTCCATCAGCAATGTAAGGAATGACAGGCAGGGCAACGAATGAACCTAGGGACATGATTCCAGAAAAGAGACCTTTAATGGAACCAGAGGGGTGGTGCATATCTAGAATTCATCAATGTCTAAGCTGTCATTCTGGGGGTGAAAGGCTTACAGTCAATGAACTGGTCCAAAGACAGGAGACCGTTGACCATAGATCCATCGTATCCGTTGGTGGCGGAGGTCAAGATGGCGAGAGTGAGCAGGAGGTAAGTATTCCTGAGGTTCTTCCTGTTCCACCATTTGATGTTCGGGAATTCTTTTCCTGCGACCCTAAAGTGGCCTGGGGTAATGGTGGATTCGTAAACAGACGACATTGTGACAGAAGACCTCGCCAGGTACAACCGACAAAATTAATGAGTCTCAAGAGCGTTCAATGCGAACGAAGATGGCTCGAAGCTGAGGACCACAATTGAGGGTGGGTCATGTCTTCATATAGATCAGAACTTCACCACCTAGAACGAAGGCCATCCCAAGGAGGCATGGGCACGAATCGAGTTTATCCGTGAGCCGTCTGGCCCGCCATGCATTTTCTACAACGAGTGTTTCTAGAAGACTGCATGCCAACCCCCGCCCGAGAGCTGGGCACATTCCCGGGAAGGAACAAAGCTTCACTGGCTAGTGTTGGCTGGGGGCGGGGCCAATGGCCGCTTCTCCATGGGGTAAGATGCCATGGATAAAGGCGGATAAATTGTGTTTAGCGCGCGGACAGGAGACTTGAATGGTCGACACGCTACACTTGGCTAGGATCTACACAGGGAGACGTGCAACACAAGCAATCGTGTACCGGGAGGCGTTCTGCACATGGCAGGGTGGCGGACGTTTGAGATCTCGCGTATGGAGCGCCTATCCGGCTCAAGGGAACTTCAGATTTGGTGGCCATGGGTGTTTACCATACGCCTGAATTCCAGGCACAGAGATTCCAGAAATGTGGTGTTGGGAAATCTTTATATTGAGCAGACAAAAGACGCAATTTTGGGTGTTGGGTTTGAATGAAATCCCGCACCGGTCGTGCTCTGATCGTATGATTGGGCATGCATGGCGAGACTTGATGGACACCCGATACAATATACGCGCCTTGCACTTGGAAGTAAATCGTGTGCAATCCGATGCGACTCGACCGTCGTCCAGGCGCGTGCGCCGTAGGAGTTTCGGTGCGGCATTCCGCCTCCTCAGCTGCGGCGTTGTGGCGCAAATACATGATAACGACACTGGTGTATGTCTCGCGTTACGCCTCCAGACGTCGCATGAACGATTCTACAATCGCGAGCGCCGCGAGAATCTAGACATGGCCCCCCGCGACTACGGCAAAACTGCCATGGCCATGTGCCGTCGGTAGGATCTGGGCAGCTGTCGTCGGCAGCTTTTGGTGTCATGTCCGAGGTCAACGTGGCGCCGACGCTACCTTGATTTAGCGCCCACGCCCCGTGGGGGAACACGTGACTGAGCGTCGCAGCACCGGATAAACCCCTACCAAGCGCCTTGCCCATGTTTAGGAGCGACGGGCTGCATAAGCACGCGACATGCATTTCAATACGCTCAAGGCTGTACGAAGGCAATACAAGTAAAAAGGGAAATCACCAATCGATCCCAACACCTTTTGTCCGGTCATTCACGGGCGAGAACCAAGTCATTGACTGAATCACCCTGTCCATCAAGGCCTGAATGTTCCATGTATAGTTTTGGACGGGGGCCTGATGAGAATCGAATGTCAATGTCTAAACAAGGATTGGCAAAATCTTATCACGCGTTGGACACGATGTCTGGACTGTCATCTCAACACACGCGATACCAGAAGCACGATCCAGTCACTTGATTTGTATTTATCTGTAAGTGTCATGAGGCTCTTAGTGCAAAAGACCATCCAAAGCAGCTACTATGGCGAACAGTTCAGCCTGCTTTGTTCTCGTTCTGTTCCACTACATTCGTCTTTTCCTTGCTCGACAAGCTTCCGCTCTCGAGGACAGCAGGCGATGGGCCATGCACGCTACTGCCCCAGCCGACGCCTTCTTCCCAGCCTTCCTTCGAGACCCTCACACTCCTCTTAACAACGTCGCCTTCATAAAACAACCAGTCTATCTCCTCAAGCGTAAGATTTGACGTTTCGGGGTAGCAGAAGTACTAGACTTGTTAGCGTAATCGAAACCCGATAACCACCGGCTAAATTGCATACCACGAGCGGCACGAATGCGAAGTTCAAGCACATGAAGATCAAATAGCCCTTCCACTCCAAGTTGTTAAGCAGTGTGGGCGTGATCATGACGACGAAGAAATTCCAGATCCAGTTGGCCGAGATGCCTACGGCTGTTCCTTTGGCTCGCACATGGAGAGGTAGGATTTCCGGCACGTAGACCCACGGGATGCAATTCGCTGTTGCACCAAAAATAAGCATGTACTAGTCACTCGTCAGTATCCTGGCTTGTCGCGTGGTCAGCTCTGTGGCAAAAGCAGCGCTTACGGTGAAGAAGAACGTCTGGCGACACGTTAGCAGGATTATAACCTTTACGGGCTGTTGTTAGGCAGATGGAACTTACGACACTGGCAGCCGCTGTCGACTTCGCTACACTACCTCCCTGATTTTTGAAGCTCAGCAGGATGGAGATCAACATCATGGAAACCCCCAAACCAAAGGAGCCCCACATCATTGGCTTTCGCCTGCCAATGCGATCTAGGAAAAACGTGGGGAAAAGTGAACCAATGAAGAACCTGTGGCAAAGTCAGTGTGATGGATGACGAAGATCTGCGAGTCGCGCCTCACATAAGGTTGATGACACCTCCGAGCAAAAGAGAGAGATTTCGGTCGAGTCCAACATTGAGCTGCAACACTGATGTGATATAATACACCACTATACTATCCGTCAGTCGAATTCATTATCTCGAGAACCTACGTTATAATATAGGATAGTCGTGACCGGGACAGAAACCGAACGGAGATTTCGAAAGAACTCACCCAAGTTGATTCCGCCCATCTGGTTCATGAATTGCATGCCATAAGCAAGTAGGACACGTCGTCCCGTTTGCACTTTGTCTTTCTTCAGCAATTGACTCCATTTGTATTCTCCGTGCTCTTGTTCAACTTTCAACGCTTCTAGAATCTCGGCATTCTCCTTCGCAATCTTTGGGTCGTCCGGTGTACTGTCATATACATCGCACAATATCGCGAGCGCTTCTTCGCTTCGTCCGTGCTTGTATAAGTAGCGCGGTGACTCAGGGAGACCGAACACGAGGATGATCACAAACTAAAAGTAGGTTAGGCAATCCAACGACCGCCTGGCCAGCAAGGTTGTCGAATCACTTACAATTGCAAAGATCATTTGACATGCGATTGGCAACCTCCAAGCAATGCTGCCCGAGGTGTAACTCATCCCATAATCAAACCAGTACTAGAATCGTATGTCAGCACATATTCGACGTTCCCAAATCGTGCAAACTCACCGCAATCTCGATGCCCACACCGACGAACAAGGGTTCGGAGCTGACCAGCCTTCCTCGCTTTTCCGCTTCGCAAAGTTCTGACTGATACATGGGCACGGTTGATGTCTCGATACCCGTTCCAATACCAGTTATAAATCGTGCGATCATCAAATGCGGAACGGAGTATGCTGTTGTCTGCAATATTGCACCCACGATGATCCAGACCATGGCTATCCACATGGCCAAACGCCGACCAGTCTTCTCGCAAAAGAAGAAGGCCAGGACGCAACCGGTGAAACATCCCAGATTATAGATGGAAACGATGATACCTTCGAGGCCTGGCGCTGGGTGATTGAACGTGTCGAGGAAGTGTGGATTACCAACGATACCTATGTTGTTCAGTCACCTTCGCCTGGGCTGCATGACTGTGGACCTACCACCGAACACGCCTTGGTCGTAGCCGAACAAAATGAAGGCCATCTGGCATGCGATCGTGATCGCAGCGCGCAGCTTGAAGCCACGTCCATACCAATTGAAGTGCGGTGCTTTGAACATAGTGTTGTCTTCTCCGTCGCTGTTTGTGGGTCTGCTCTACAACAACAGACCTTGATCTCAAGACCTACTAAGGATAGAGAATAGCGGAGAACACGAGTCGCGTGAAGTGCAACGTCAATAACGCGACGTAGCCGTGGTTCTATACTCCACACCGGCCTACTCATTAGGCCTGATCGCCACATTTAAGCTCACCACCAAGGTGGTTCCCAACCGTCAGCACCATCACCCCACACTGCGATACCCGGAACTAAACTTCGGGATCGATATGAACGATAGTGGTTCGTGGATGATTTACCCGAGCCCTCTCAGCGCGCATCGCCGAGAACCCTGCCTAAACTAGAGACGACAGTTGGGGTGAATCTGGGGTTGTTGTGGAGACTTTTCGCCTTGGTTTGGAGACTTGCAATGACGTCTCTGGCTGGTTGGCGGCTCTGCGCTTGTCGCTCGCGCTAGCCCCTGATGGGAAACCCGGTGGAGATAGCGCGGGGATATGCGAGTGTTGAGTGGAAGAGAAGGCTTCGGACCGTTGCAACGCAAAGAAGCGCAATGCGGGGATGCCGAGGTGCAGTCTGGGCAAAGATTGAAGAGGAAAGCGTAGGCTATGTGTCTGCGAAGGGGAAAGCGCTCTCGTGACGGACGCGCTTACGAGTCTCTGGTTCGTTCACGACAGCTACTGAAGGTACGTGGAACAACCTCTCTCTATACATCCCACCGCACGTGGAGCTGAAATGCATTGAGCGGAAAGATTCTGTATCGTAGCTGTACAGATGTTTCCTCGCTAAGACTGTTCATAGAGCAAGTTACCGTACCCGACCTTAAGCGGTAGCAGGCGCATGGGCATGTATGCACTGGAGAATTCCTATGCTCAAAGCGGCGACTTTCAGGCATGTAGAAGTACTGAGGGATGACGATGTTTGAGGTAACGATCGAATTACCTCCCTGGGAGACCATTAGAATTAATTATTGCGCCAATGACACCTTTATCACTTCGCTAGTCCCATCGCTGTGGCGAAATCAATTGTACAAAGAATGAATAGGACATCTATCAATCGTCTGATAGCTCCAAGAGCGCCTTGGACCACTCTCCGCCCTTGAGCGGCCTTGCATATGCCGTAATATCGTCTCCCTCCGTCTGCACAAATACATACAAACTATCCCATACCGTGATGGATGAGTTTTTGTCGTCCTTGACAGCTACCGCAGTACAGGTCAAGTGGGTACCACTGAGCGCGTGTTCGTCTACGCCGAGTGGTGAGATAGTGAACTGGTCGTCGTTGATGGAAGTATTCTCTGCATCGAACTGAACGTTGAAGCCCTTGATGGTTTGGTCTGCCATCTGCATGTAGAGGTAGTTGGTGTAGCCCAGCGAGGTCGTAGGATCCACTTTGGGGATTGCCGCAGATGAATTTGTCCAAGCGTTGACAGGGTGCGAGTCGCTGCTGATGCCGGTGCTGTTTCCGTCCTTCCACCAAATCTCTGTCGCATTGTTGTCGTTGACCATCATGGTGTAGGTGTTCGTGCCGCCACCCCAAGAGTAGCAACCGACACCCGCATGTACGTTCTTGTTCGTCCACGGGCTGACCTTGACCCACGCATCTTCATCGTTCGAATACCAAACGTACTGCTGGAAGGTAGACTCATCGCTCGCGTACCAGAGATTAATGCCTGTTGTACCTTCGAATGGGACTTCGTTTGTTTCGCCGTTGGCCGTAGGGAGCTTTTTGTAGTCAGAGTCGCCGTAGAAGTTGCCCTTGTAGCAAGCCTGTAGACCAACGCTGGGGTTGTCTAGAACATCGAGCTTCATGTCGTTGATTGGTCCGTTCTCCCAGAGATTGGTGTCATTGGCCAGAATACGCTGGTTGACTTGGTGGTCCTTTGAGATATAATAGATATGAACCTAGAACGTCGGTCAGGTAGTGCGCCGTGGCCATTTCAAGGCAGACTTACGTATGCAGTTTCATTTTTCGTGAATGCTACCGCCGAAATGGTTGTTCCGTTCTTTGCGTTCTTGGCGACCGTCTCACTGCTCGTTCCTCCGACCCACTTACGGTCCTTCGTGTACTGCTTGTATCGGATCTCTCCCGTCCAGTGTTGGTAGTAAATCGTGAACAGTCGTAACTCGTTGTGATTCCAAGATTCTCCTGCCAATGCAATACCTGATCCGTTGAAAGCACCCTTCTTGGAGAAGTACCTTGAGTCGAGAGCACCACCAATGCATAAATCTGGCTTTTCCTTGCAGAAGGGGTCCGCGATGACTTCGTCACTATCACGAGCCAGTCAGTGCGATGACAACACACACATACACTCGTTACCTACCCGTCGTTCTTTTTGTTCAATCCTATTCCCAGCCCCGCACCTAAGCCCACAGCAAGGAGTATGAGTGCGATAACAACGAAAAGGACGATCCAGAAGGTACGTTTGCGCATTCCGGCGATCTTCGTCTCCTGTGCGGGGGGCGTCCCTACCGCCGCCTCGGTGGCGCCGGCGTCGTGCTTGCCCTTCTCACCTGGACCGTAAGGTTGCGCAATAGCATATTGTGGTGGTGGCGATCCGGGCCCTTGTGGAGGAACTCCATAGTGAGGGTATTGTTGTTGTTGCTCGACAGCCTCTGGTGCAGAGAAGTATGCGTACGCATTAGGTTGATACTTCTTGTCTTGATATTGACCTTGGCTGTTCTGTCCGTACTCTACAGGAATTGGCGGCGTGTTGTCGAGTGTCTCTGAGAAAGCCGATACTTGTCTTTGTGGTGGGCTCTGCCGTGGGTTGACCATCGGACTGATAGCCTCCATGCCATCTTGACCTTCAACATGTTGAACCATCTCCAAGAGCTTATCTTGGCTGTGGCTCCCGCAATAAGACAATGAGGAGAACAAGGGGAATGAGCGTAGAGACCCTTGCGGAGGTAAATTCTTCCATATCACGGTCGCGCCGCATCTCCCGACTGCGGCCCCCAAAGGGGGCCCACGATAGGATGCCGCTTTGGGCATAACCTTGCCAGGCGGATCTAGAGTGGGACCTCCTCATCCAATCCAGTTCTTTCAGACAACTTCTAGCCTTCAAGGCTGAGCCGCACTGCAGGGGTTATTCAAAGGATCGCATCAGTTGGAGGTGATGAGAGAGCCCACACGAGGTCCGTGTGTATCTTAGCGGCCGTGCTGTGTCGCTCTGCATCCAAAGCTCGGTAGTGCTGATGATTGCCAACACATTGGGGCAGGAGGCAAAGGAACGGTAACGACGATGCGCCTTGCCAGTGAGTCTCAAGCATTCCCATTGACGTGAGCTTCAAACGGGCATTCCACTCCAGATGTTGCGGGAATGGCGTGCGGTCTCAATAATGGCACACTTGCGAACACGCAGATTCGGGGACGAAGCCACTTGTTTGAGAGTTTGATGAGCCTTCAAAGTCATCCCCGCATTGCGACCGTGGAGCGCTCCATAGAGACTAGACCGTGGGCTATGTCGGCAGACGCCCGAGAAAGGCGGCGATAGCTCGATGTCTATTCTGGTGGTCGCTTATACACGCGCGACAACTCAGCTCGTGCCATGGCCTGTCAAGTCTGTTGGAAACCGCTTGTCTCCATGTCTGGGAGCGAGAGCCCAACGTGTGTTCATGCACATCTCGTACGAGACCTCGTGGTCCATTACGATTGAAGTTGTGATTGATATCACAATATGCGGCGACCGAATACAATGTTGCACCAAAGCATCACCAGCCGTTGCTCTGCGGGTATGCGGTCATTGGGGCTCGGAAATTGTTAGGCGCCTGAAATCGGCAACCTTTTCACAGGTCCGAAGTTGAGCACCTTCCGAACCGAGATGTATCATAAAAGGCGGAGTGACTGCTTGTGTTCATCGAATTGTTGGAGGAGAGTTTGTCGACATGATCGCCGTAAGCTGCTCGGTCAGGCTAATTGTCTGCATGCCTTTCAATGCATGACAAGACGCCGTCTCGCGCGGGATGGCCCGGGAAGCAAAAGCTTGAAGAGGAAGCGAGCAGGAAGCTTTAAAGGTGCGCGGCCCAAGGCGTCAAAGGTCGCAATTTGAGGGAGCGCGTTGTGCGAGCACACGAGTGAAGTTGTGAGGCATTCCGCCTGAATGAACGCTTGGCATTGATCTTGGCACTTCGCTTAGTCGTCCAATGACAGTCAACAGCCTCTTGCATTCTCTCAAACGCCCGCCGCACCTGCTCCCTCACGGCCTCAGCCAGACAGCTTAGATAAATTCAATGTCATCTCTCTTGACCAGCGACGCTTGCAGTCTCAAGTTAGATCGCCCTAACCTTCCGCTCAAAAAGATATACAGGCGAGGGGCGTGCCGCAGCTGAACGAGAGCCTCCAGTACGGTCTCACACCAAATATTGACTGTGTTCTTACGAAGGTCTATTTCTCATAGTAGGGCGAAGTCGCTTGTTCCAAGAGATCTTGCTGTAGATCGACTTGGGCGCGTACTCGAGAGAAGCACAAAAGCTATCGAAAGATCGGTTGGTGTCACTCACTGTGCCACATTGCTGCAGCACCCAATTTCCACTGCATGCCATGCCAACGACACATCGTCCAGCTGACAATGCACACGAGCGTTGCGAGGACGGCTGAGCTGACTGCCAGGATTCAAGTCCTCTCGCCACTATGATAAGATTTCAGAGCCATGTCCTGATGCGGAGGAAGTCGTTGGGCCTAGAAAGAGTCCTCAACTACTTGTCATTCGTTATCAAGAATGCGCTACAACATTCGCAACTTAACGTGCGAACATCAGATACATATCACTCAGTTCAGCCCAACATCCAACCGAACCTTCAATAGATCCCCGTCCTCGATCGCCTTCCGCTTGTCCAGGAATTCCTTCATGTCCCAGTTGCACGATACGTACCTACCCTTGATCCACTCTTTTCTCTCGGCCGTCAGCCACACGATGCTATCACCAGCTAGCTCCGCTGTGTCGTTCAGCAAGCTGTGCATCTTTTCCGGCATACCCTTCGCCAGCTCCGTCGCAATACCTCCTGGATGAATACCAAAAGACAAGATACCTTTATCGGCATAGTCCGCGTTCAAGAACTCGCCGAAACGGAGCAGAGCCATCTTACCACACTGGTATCCCGAGGCTCCCGGGCTGATGATATTTGCGCCGATGCTGGACACGTTCAAGATAGTTCTGAGCGAATCGTCCGACCTGATCAAAAGCGGTATGAAGGCGCGCGTGACCAAGTAAGGCCCCTTGATGTTCACTTCCCACACTTTCCACCAGTCGTCTACCGATGTTTCATGCAGTGGGACGAAGGTCTCAAGGTAGCCGGCATTATTGACGAGAACGTCCAATCGACCGAACGCCTTCTCGACTTGTGCTGCAGCTTCCCCGACGCTTTGCTCGCTCGTAACGTCGACCTTGAGTCGGATAATCTGGGGTGGCAATTTTCCGGCTTCCTTTGCGGCGCGAATCATCTCGTCTTCCACATCTTTCATATCGGTACGTGCAGCAATTGCTATGTGCGAGGCTCCGGCCTTAGCATAGCTGATCGCGGTTGCTCGACCAATGCCTTTGCTAGCTCCAGTGATGAATACGGCACGGTCTTCGAGGGTGAATTGCTGCGGTTGGATATATTCGTATGTGTCGTGGTGCGTTGTGGGCGTAAAATCAACACCGCTGCTTTGCAGCTGAGATTTTGGATTGGTTGACATGCTGATGTTGGGTATCAATTGGTTGAAAGTGATCTGGTATTGGGTCCAGGACCTTTAATATGTCAGATTCAAATATTTCTACGTTTTGACAGTACAATTGCAGTCGTGAGCAATCGATGACGTAGTGTGGGCCCGTCCCTCGAATCCAGAGGTCTAGACCTATCACACTTTACAGATTGGCGACAAATGGTACATGATACGTTCAAGCTACCGGAAATAACATATCACCGTTCAGATGCTTTCAAATGGAAGCATGTGCCCGCTGCTACGTCATGGCAATGGACCTCATTGACTGACAGAGTTTATGAAGTCGTACCCACCGAACAAAATTATTCAATGGGCTGCACAACAACATACTGATACGATCACGGAATCTAAGGCGAGAAGCAAGACACCGTTCGGGTCTGGCTATTCCAGATGCTGACACAACGCGTGAAAGAAGTTACACTAATGCACGATACTGTGAACCGTCGTGCACTTCCCATCCCTTTCTACCCCATCAACCCGCCTAGCATCCTCAAAGCTTGGCCGACCTAACTTTTACTCTTTACTCTGTCCAGAATCAGCCCAATGCGCTCAGACTTCCCGGACATCTCACCACACTCTCGGCCACGAAATCCAGCCGACTCACGCCCCGAAACACCTCATCATCCTTTATCTGAACACACCTCAACGCTTCGCTCCATGTTCAAGGAACAGGTTCCTCGTACTCTTGCTCTCCCTTTACAATTGTATCCCCCTTACCGTAACAGCAACCTTCAGAAGCGCTATGAGCACACAAGTAGGATTTCAGTTGTCTGAGCGGGAATAAATTGAGTTGCAGATTTTTTAGACAGAGGACCTAGTCACGGAAGCAGGTGTGGGTGAATATTCGCAAGTCTATATGCCTAAGCTCAGACGTCTGGCAGAGTGCTAAGAGTAACCAGCTTTCAAATGATGATTCTATCTTTAAGTAGATCTTTCCGCATGCACCTCGACGAAAAGATTTCTCTGTACAGATGCTTCTTTGGCTTAGTCTTGCGCTTGACGCAATGAACTTCGAATAATTATCCAAGACAGGTGTACCTCAGCCAACATTTAGAGAAGACTATATTGGTCACGCTGCGCACTCAATCGTCCTTTCAGTGGCTGCTTCTCGTAAAAGTACATTGACCGCAATATTCAGGCCGATATGTTTACAGTGGCATGACTTGGACTTTCTGGCAGTAGTTCCCCCTCCGTGTAATCACCGATGATGCCGTTATATATAAGAAACTTGGGTTTACAGAGTGAATTACCCTAGGGTATAATGTCCTCAGTGCGATTAGCAACCTGATTTGCTGCGAGCGAGAGAGTGTTCACTAAGAGTGCGATCTCTCCTTCGGCCTCTGGTCCTTGATGATGTATCTTCCCCGCTGTTCGAAAAGAACGAGAAAAACAATAAGAAATGACATCACGACGCTTCCATTAGTCCATTCTGCTTGAATATGAGAAGACTCTCCGCTCTGATTGATGGGTCTGAACGGCTCGACAACTGATGCACACATACCATCATTAACATCAGCTATTCGTGTGCTCACGACCAGCCTTCATGAACTTATGTAGATTTACTCGCATCTTACCTTGCGCTATCCATACTGCACGTCGTCGCACCTTATATGACATGGATAGGCTGCAGACAATATTACGTGCATGCTTTGTTTTCTATAGTTTCTGAAAAGATCAACAAATGAGTGTATGCCTACTTGTACAACCAGTCTAGATAGCGCTAAATGCAAACAACAGGGAACACATAAACGAGTGGTACATGCACGCACAGACGTTAGCCCCTTCACTTCCCCAGCAAGCCAATCTCATTGTCGGAAGGTGATCTCCCGGTGACCAGCCCTTGGCGGAAACGCCTCCTCATTTGGCTTCTCAGCATATGGCGAAATGTATCTGCCATCCTCCCTCAACTCCGCATGCGTTGTGTCGCTATCGTCCGTATTCCAACGCTGCAATGTAGCACCCGAGATAGGACGTGAGAACCTGTTGTGCACGATGACCGAGTTGCGCTTGGGGTTCGCGTACGAGTTGACCGGGGTAGCTTCAGCGACGGACAGCATGCGCACTTCGGTGGGTTCTTCCTCGATAATTGGAGCCACGCCCCTGTAGCGGTAGAAGGCGTCGAGCGCAGGGATGGAGAGGCCGTGGAAGATAATGGAAAAGAGAACGAGCCAGTATACGACCGGGACCATCGCAGCCACAAGGTTCTCTTCCTCTTCGGTCTTGGCTTCACCAGGCTTGGGGAAGATGTGGCGTGTGTGCTCTACGTAGAAGACGGCACCGATTCCTAGAGTGAGACGTTAGTACCAGCTCAAAGTTGAGACGCATACGTTCGTACCTATTGGGCCAAAATACCCCATGAACAGAGCTTCCTTCCAATCTTTGACGCACCGCGGCATTAACTTGTATGTCATGAAGATCGCCGGAATGCGTCGAAAGACCATGATGAGAAAGCCGAGGATGAAGAGGCGGCCGACACTAATGCCAGTCACATCGGGCATCTGGAACTCCGACCAGGGTATTATGGCGCCGATGTACATGAAGCCGCCAAAATTGAGGATGACATCGAAGCAGCTGTTCACTTCATCGTGACGCTTCTCCGCCTCTTCCAAGTAGACTCCATCCCAGTTGAGCGCATTGCCAGCGACGAAGCAAGCCAAGAGGTCGTCCGTGCCTAGCAGCCCGCAGACGCCGATGGTGAAAAGCTACATCGAGTGTGTCAGTCAGGGTATGCACGAGTCAATGTGGTCATGTGTCTTACACCAATGGCCATAGGCCACAGAAGGAAACTTTCAGAGTCGATCCACCTTCGGCGCAAGGCGAATCTGATAGCATACATGCTACCATAGCCGATGATGATGCCAATGACGACAGACATGACGATGATGTACAACCACCCTTCGACAATCCACTGTTCGAATGCCTTCGGTAGGCCACCACCGAGACGTCCAACGTCTTCTTCCCGCGTAAGAAGTCTATGGACGCCCTCAGCTGCAGCTGAAACGCCCTCCTTGAAATCGACGCCTTTGAGATCAGCGTGACGAATCAGGTACGTCGCGAGTAGCAGAAAAGGAAAGCCAAATCCATCATTCGCACCAGCCTCCGATGAGATCAGCTCTCGCAGTGCTCTCGGCACGTACTTGTCAGAGAATGGTCCTTTGGCCACTGCCTGGGACAGGATGGGGTCCGTGCAAGTGACGCAGGACCCGATGACGAGTGCTGCGAGGAAGGAAAGGTTCGGAATAGTCATCAAGATACATAGACTCGTAAATATCCACATAATTGTCTGCAAAGGTCAATCAAAGCCAAATATCAGCTTCCGAACAACATACCATCACTGGCAAAAGACAGATGGCCATCTCCCTCCAATTGGTTGCTTGGTATTTGGCCGGAAGTTGGAATCCCGCGATGACAAGCTGAACGCCGATGACAATGCGACACAAGCCCTGCGTACGTGTTAGCTACCGCGCGGGGTAGGGACAAGGGAAAACATGCCAGTGTAATGGCTTCCTGTTGCCCTTCTTCAGCGGAACCCCATCGCTCTGCATCAATAAATTTCGACGCGATCGGCCCGAGAATGATGCCAACAATGACAGCCGGGACTTTTGAAAATCAGTCTCATCCATGACACGCGCAGACGCTCTATGTACTTACGCGCTTCTCCCAAGTACCATACTTGCTTGATCTTGATGGAAATAAAGCCATAGCAGACGATGAATGTGCCTGTGTGCGCGGTTCAGTACGATATGACCCAGCGAGATCAGCCTTACTTACCCAGCACCGCAATGACGATGTTGAGCTCACTCAGGTCCAAGCTCGGCATGGTGACTGAAGGATCTCGACAGAACAGTCTCGACGGATGGGAATGATGGGAATTCTATAGCCTCGAAGGGGATTCTAAAATGAGAAATGAAGATCGCAAATGCCCAGCACCGGCTAACAACGAGAGAAGAAAAGGGAGAACCGAGCGCAACGAAAAGGACTAGCCTGCTTCGCGTCTACTGCTGAGCGTCACAAAGAAACTCAGCAAGTCGACATGCACAAGGAAAGAAGACGGAGGGGAAGACGAAAACAAAAAGAAGTGAAGTGCCAGACCTGGGCTCCCAACACTCTGCGACCGCTAGTATATCAAGATATCCATAAGCGCCGAGCCTCACTGTGCAAGGCTCCGGCGGCTGAGACAATGCCCAAGAGATGATGTCCGCTAAGCGACGCCTCCCGCGACGTATGTGGCCAATAAATCCCCCACAGTGTTCATCGTCACCGTTTCAGCGCAAAATGCCGGGGCTGAGAGCTTCTCCATCCGATACGAAACCTCGACAGAAGGACGTGACGAGCAAATCCTGTCGATCTTATTGGAATGCCTTGATATCTGCCTTGGCAGGGCTTGTAGCAAAGCATCTTGTGCTTCATTCGCCGACGCCAGGGGGTACAGGCGTCTTCTCAGATCCAATATCCCGAACCATAGGTTTCAGCCAATCTTTCTGCCAGGAGACTAGTTGACGCCAAGTATGCGAGCATTTGCCAACATTGAAAGCCGGTCGGTAGATGGTGTGCCTCGTAACGAACACTTCCAACTGGGAGCTTCTTCTGGTTTCTGCAAGATTGTTCAAGCTTCAAGGAGAACAGGGAACGAGACGCGCAATGCTATCATGGCTGTAAGTAGGATGGGCATAACCACAGTTCCACACCGACAAGCCTTTTCTCTGTTATCCACACTTGGCCCAGCCGTGTATGGCGAGTGATGTTCACTGCAGTGCCGTCCGTTCCGGGGCCAAGCGTCGGCACCCTTGGCGTAGCGCGTCCTCTCCGCTCCGCGGGAAATCTGCCAAGCACTTAAAAGGGTCCGCCTGTCTCCCCCAGAGGCTTGGAAGACCGGTCGTGGAGACACAAGCTGCACAAGCGGAGTCTCACCCCCACTAGCTCTTGTGCTGATTGACCTTTCACCGAGCCTCTTCACGATGTCGGACCCATAAATCACGACTAGTAGAATGTTTGGTGCCGAAACATGCTGCGGTGCTGCAGAAGTTGCTGCCGCACCTGCATGCCACTGCAGAAAGTTGGCGTGTATAAATCCATCCTGTATCGCAAACACAAACGTTTCTATTAACCATTGCATCACTTATCCTGCTTTTCTGTCTTGAAATTTCCCATCTCCTACTGAGAACTTCCGAGAATCAAACCTCGGACCAACATGGGCAAGGAAAAGGCTCAAGGGCCTCTAGAGTACGATCTAGAGGCCCCAGCGCACACGCTGCCATTTGACGATGTGCTTCGAAAGATGGCAGTGAACCAAGAGTCTGGACTCTCCGATAGCGAAGTCAAGAAGCGCAAGGACATGTACGGGCTGAACCAACTCGACGAAGGCCCGGGCGTGCAGCCTTTCCGCATTCTGGTCCACCAGGTGGCCAACGCGCTTACTTTGGTGCTCATCATGGCTATGGTTGCCTCTTTTGCGATCAAATCCTGGATTGAGGGCGGCGTCATCACCTTTGTTATCCTCTTGAACATCATCGTCGGATTCTTCCAGGAGTTCAGTGCGGAGAAAACTCTGAGCAGCATCCGAGCATTAGGTTCGCCAACTGCTCGCGCTATCCGCAATGGACAGTCTGTTGTGGTCCCTACTATCGAGCTCGTCCCAGGCGATATCGTTGAATTGATCACAGGAAACACGGTTCCAGCAGATCTGAGGTCAGTGAGACAGTCTGATGTCTTCTTGGATTCTTATGCTGATATTGTCTAGACTGATCGAGTGCGTGAACCTGGAAACAGATGAAGCACTTTTGACTGGAGAATCTCTTCCTGTGGCAAAAACGTCGCATTCTACCTTTGACAAGGACATGGGTGCGGGCGACCGCCTCAACATCACTTTCAGCTCCTCTACTGTGACCAAAGGCCGCGCTAAGGGAATCGTCATCGCAATCGTAAGTGTGGCTTTGTCAGTATGATATGTCGCTAACCAGCGGTAGGGAATGGGAACGGAAATCGGGAAGATCGCTGCGGCCTTGAAGAAGCAAGGCTCAAAGGTTAGAGCGGTGAAGCGCAAAGAAGATGGTAGCGCGGGTTTCCATCGTTACGTGCAGGCCTGGGCTCTCACGGGTGGCGACGCCATGGGTCATTTTCTGGGCATCAACACAGGAACCCCGCTCCAAAAGAAGCTCTCGAAGCTCGCACTCTTGCTCTTCGGCATCGCATGCGTCTGTGCTCTCATTGTTGAAGCAGCCAACAAGTTCAGCGGCAAGAACGAGGTTGTTATCTATGCTGTAGCCACAGGGCTCAGTATGATCCCAGCCAGTCTTATCGTTGTGTTGACCATCACAATGGCGGTCGGCACAAAGCACATGAGCCAGAGGAATGTCATCGTCAGGAAGCTTGACAGTCTCGAGGCGCTTGGTGCTGTGACTAATATCTGCTCGGACAAGACCGGAACGCTCACCCAAGGACGAATGGTGGCGAAAGCCGCGTGGGTGGCAGGGCGAGGTACCTACAGCGTTGGAACCACTCGTGAACCGTTCGACCCAACCGAAGGCAGCATCACGTATCGTGAAGGTCCGCCGTGCGACCAGCGTGCAACTGAGACGGCTCTAGATGCTTCACGCGTGCAGTCTGGCGCAGTAACCACTGAAGCCCCCACGACTGAGCGTTACATGAACATCGCATCCATGGCCAACGTTGCTCACGTACAGCTAAACGAGGGCAAGTGGACTGCGCGCGGAGACCCGACTGAAATTGCGATCCAGGTATTTGCTTCGAGGTTCGGTTGGAATCGCCATGGCCTGGTAGGTGGCAACGACGACAGCGACACGGGAGCCTGGCACTGCCTGTCAGAGTACCCGTTCGATTCCGATACGAAGCGCATGTCTGTCCTCTACGGTCGACGCAGCGGAGACCGCGAAAAGTACGCTTCACGTTGGGTTTTCACCAAGGGAGCTCTTGAGCGCGTCTTGCCTCTGTGCGTTTCGATACAGGACGAGCAGGCAAACCCACGACCCATGACAGACGCTGATAAGAAGACCATAAATGACAGCGTTGACTATCTTGCCAACCAAGGACTTCGCGTACTTTGTCTAGCAAGCACCGAGTGGACAGGTCCAGAACTCGCCGATTACAGCGATGTTAAACGTGCGGACGTCGAACAGCAGCTCACTTTCTGCGGATTGGTTGGTCTTTATGATCCACCTCGTCCAGAGTCTGCGGATGCTGTTGCGGCTTGTGCTCGCGCAAGCATCATCGTCCACATGCTCACGGGCGATCATCCTGGAACGTGAGTACAGCAAATCTTCCTAGTGGACAGTGAAGCGCACAAAGACTGACTTGAGAACAGAGCCACCGCCATCGCGAAACAAGTCGGAATCATCCCCGATCGTTACGAGCATCTAGCTGCTGACGTAGCCAACGCAATGGTCATGACAGCCATGCAATTTGACAAGCTGACCGATGATGAAGTTGACGCTTTGCCCGTACTTCCACGCGTAATTGCGCGATGCACGCCCCAGACCAAAGTCCGAATGATTGAAGCTCTCCACCGTCGGGGCCGTTTCGCTGCGATGACGGGTGACGGTGTCAACGACTCGCCGTCACTAGTGCGTTCAGATGTTGGCATCGCTATGGGCCAAGCGGGCAGCGACGTGGCCAAGGATGCTTCAGATATCATTCTGACCGACGACAATTTCGCTTCGATTCTCAACGCTGTAGAGGAGGGCCGCCGGCTTTTCGACAACATCAAGCGTTTTATCCTCCATGTGCTCGCTGAGAATATTGCGCAGGCCGCCACACTTCTTGTTGGTCTCGCTTTCAAGGACTCGGCAGGCAACTCAGTCTTCCCCCTAGCACCGGTCCAAATTCTTTGGGTCATCATGGCCACCAGCGGCATGCCCGATATGGGCTTGGGAATGGAAGTTGCTGAGCCGAACATTATGAGCCGACCGCCTCACGACCTGAAGACGGGAGTGTTCAATACCGAACTCATTGTCGACATGGTCGTGTATGGATGCTGGATGGCAGCTCTATGCCTGACGTCCTTCGTCCTCATTGTCTTCGGCTTTGGCAATGGAGACTTGGGCGAGAACTGCAATAATTCGTACTCCGAGCGCTGTGACCTCGTCTTCCGTGCACGCGCGACCACCTTTGTCTGTCTGACATGGTTTGCGCTATTCCTGGCGTGGGAAATGGTCAACTTCCGCCGCTCATTCTTCCGCCAGAAACCGCGCGACGCCAACTACCGCTGGTACCATGTCTTCTATTCCTGGTGGGAGGACAGCCGGAGCAACCCCTTCTTGTTCTGGGCCATCATCGCCGGTTTCGTTACTATTTTCCCAACTTTGTATATCCCCGTCATCAATCATGCCGTCTTCAAGCACGAAGGCATCACATGGGAATGGGGAGTCGTTGTCGTCGAGGCTATTCTCTTCTTCGCCGGCTGCGAAGCCTGGAAATGGGCCAAGCGTATCTTCTTCCGCAGACGTGCTCGGAAGCAGGGCGGAAGTGATCCGCTCGAAGCCGTCCGTCCATCAGGCATGAGCAACACTATCAACTCCGGCGAAGACACCATGGACCAGTCTACCGTTGTTAACTCCACCTTCAACTCCACCTTTGGCAAGCAGAGTCAATGACAAGAGCTGGTGGGGTTTTTGATTTCGCCTGCAAGATGTTTAGTTGAGGATAACATCAAGGGAAGTGTTGACAAGGAAGCTGGGGAAGGGGCTTGTGCCTGGGATGCATCGACGGCTAGGCGGATTACGGGCTGTTCCCGAGCTGCAAGACGAAGCGGAGGGGGACAGATGCCTATGAATCAATGGAAAAGTGCTTTAAGTTTTATATCCAACAGTCCTTACATAATGAAACATGATCATACTTTAGAGGCCTCTGCGTGTGCTCTGCTTCATGCGAGACGACTGAGCCGCTGCACCGTTCCGCTGGGCTGGGCGTAGCTCAAAGCTATGCAAGATGTTGTCGTCCAGCAAGACACAAGCGAATGTTTATTCGCAAGTCCGAATTCGATGTTCCAGGGAAAGTAGTAATGAGTATGGACGAAGATGTGACCTAGGTCGAGTGCGCGCTACGTCAGCATCGATGTCACAAACGCTAGTCTGAAACCAGTGTAGCGTCCAATGTGACCTAGGTCTCCCCTCGTACACACCAAACAGTGTCGAACCACCGGATACCATGTTAGATAGAGCCGGCATAATCTGAGATCATAACAACTGCATAACAAAGCATATGAAAATCAAAAATAAATGGTTTGCCGATAACAAGCTGCAGAGCGCATCAGTAGCCTAGAAAATACATCTAAGTAAAAGTGTAAGATGTGGTAGAACCGCCTACCAGGTACATTGTCATAACAAGTACCTCACAGAGAACCTTATCTGGAAAGAGGCTAGTAGTTGTACTGTGTATGGAAGCCCTGGCGAAGGATACGCCGCTTGTCTCCTCACTACTTCTCACCAATTATCGGTGCCCCACTGCACGTCTCAACACCATACTGTACAGCACATGTCTCCACATGAACCCTGAGCAACGCCCTCTATGCAGCGAACTGCTCCCACTCTCAGCATTACAGTTCCACAAACTCCCCTCTTCCCACCTTTCCATCTCTGAAGTCTGTAACGAATCCCTCAATCTTCCCCGCCATCCCCTGTGTCGTAAATCCAAAATACTGGTAGATATACTTTCCTGGCAAACTATGCCCAAAACCCTTCATATTTACGCCAGCATCAGCCCAGCGTTCCCAGCCAAGCGAGACGTAAGGCTCGATTACCACCGCAGGGATGCCTTCATTCCTACGCAGAACTTCTCGCTGATAGTCGAGGGGCTGTTCGCGGAAAAGCTTGTGGCACGGGAAACTCACGACCCTCGCCTTGACGCCCTTTTCGGAAAGGACTTCCGCAACGTTGACGGGGAAGCTAAGCTCTGCGCCCGCCGAGATGAGCGTAACAACGGCCTCCTGTTCTTCCTGGAGGACGTATGCGCCCTTGCCTACACCGTCGCGCTTGGTGAGGCGGGGAAGCTGTGGAATAGCTTGCCTGCTCACGCTGATCATCGTCGGCCCGCCGTCGTATTCGATTGCACGCTTCCACGCGCCTGCGACTTCTTCACTGTCGCCGGGCCGGATGTACTCCATGTTGGGCATCGCGCGGTACAGCGCGGCGAGCTCGACGGGCTGGTGCGTGGGACCGTCCTCGCCAGCACCGATGGAATCGTGCGTTGCGACGTGGATGACTTTGAGTTTCTGGAGGGCGCCCATGCGCACCGCGGGCGCGGCGTACAAATAGAACATGAAGAAGGTGCTCGTGATGGGGATGATCGTTCGGGGCGAATACGCAGCGAGACCGTTGGCGATAGCGGCCATGACGTGCTCGCGGATGCCGTAGTGGATGTAGCGGCCTTTGTAGCTGCCCTTCTTTCCACTGATAGGTTTGAGATCCGGCGGGTTGAAGATCTCGTAGTCGGGCCATGTCATGTTTACACTAGGCGTGAGGTCTGCGGTCCCAACCATGAACGTAGGGCATTCTGCAAATATGTTGCTGACCACCATGTTATTCGATTTACGGCTAGGTGTTGGGTCAGAGGGAAAAGATGACGGGATCATGGAGGCCCAGTTGTCAGGTAATTTCCCAGCCATGCGTTCCTTGAACGTCTTTGCAAGGTCTGGATATTCCTCGCTGTATTGTGCCAGGAGGTCGTTCCATTCTTTGACGTGCTTCTCGCCCCGAGCGGGAATATCCTCGTAGAACTTCTTGACTTTGTCGGGAATGTGAAAGACCTTCTTGGTATCCCATCCATACACCTTCTTCATGGCTGCAACGTTATCTTTGCCCAAAGGCGCGCCGTGTGAAACAGCTTCACCTGCTACTGCTGAACCGACGCCGATGATGGAGCGTACGTTGATGAAGAGGGGTTTTGTGCGATTGGGGTCGCGGCCTTTCTCGAGTGCGGCAACTATACCTTCGACGTCGTTCACGCCGTCCATCACGTCGATGACTTCCCAGCCGCAGGCTTCCACCTTCTTGTTTACATCTTCGGTATTCGTGAGGTCAACGGAGCCGTCGCAGGTTATTTGGTTGTTGTCGTATATGACTGTGAGGTTGTTGAGTTTGAGATGGCCAGCATAGCTGAGGGCTTCGCAGCCAACGCCCTCTGAGAAATGTCAGGCTCACTGTTCCCAAATCTGTGGAAGAGAAATACCCTGTAAACATGCGTCTCCGATTGAGCACCAAGTATGGTTATTCACTACCTCAAACCCAGGGCGATTGAACGTCGCGGCCAAATGCTTAGAAGCAATCGCCAACCCCACAGCATTGGAGATTCCCTGCCCAAGTGGCCCCGTAGTGAGCTCGATGCCCTCATGCTCAATTTCAGGGTGGCCGGGACATAGGCTGTCGGGGCGCTCGGAGTGGTATGATAGAAGCTGTTCCCACGTCATAGCTTTATAACCAGAGAGATACAGATTGGCGTATTGGAAAAGACATGTGTGCCCTACAACTCATTAGCCCGTGGTCTGACAGTTTCAGAATGCACTGCTTGCCATTGGACAGGATGAATCTATCCCTGTTGAACCAATCTGGTGAATGCGGCGCATACCGCATTGTGTATTTCCAAAGCGCGACACCGAATGCTGCCATACCAATTGCACCACCGGGGTGACCTGTAGCTGTGAGCATACGAACTCTTGGCTAAACGGGTGACAGAACCTACCCATGCCGAATTGCTGGCAAAGGTCGGCTATCAGAAGCCTGAAGCTCTGAAGCACCAATTGCAAGTCCTCTTTGTTCGTCTGCTTCGGCGCTGCAGGCTTCGATCCCACCTTCAAGAGCCCATTAACAGCAGCCTTGCCGTAGGCTGTTGAGCCATTGGCATGACCGTTGGCGTCTTGCATCTGTACGTCAGTCATACTGATATTTGCTGCCTCTTTTTTGGGCCTATAGTAGACTGGATACTAAAGCTCTTATATACTAAATGTACGAGAGTTGGGCAGCATGCATCATGCCGACCGCGGAGGTCTTCAGTATATTCCCCTGCTGGTGACCTCAACAATGATTTCTCAAAACAGTGTCTGGAGCCGACATGTGCCGCTCTACGGATTACCCCTTTGGGGGCATCTCCCACACGCGTGAGCAGCAGTGCGGGGATACTCCAAAAATCCGGAGGCGCGGTCCGCGTAATTCCAGTGCTCTTCTAGAATGCCATGGCGATCACTAGTGGCGATGTTGGTTCCGGGTCGTATAATTGGTTAGTATTCAGGGTCGAATCATGATCACTGAGAGCTACCACCGCAGTGGCGACACCAGAACGTGAACTGGCTCTTGCGCCAACATGAGGTACGGCCGTACACTAGCAGGCCGTGACTTCAAACACGCATTGTAGAGTAGGTTGCCCTAGGCTAGACTATTAGTTACTAAGCTTGCAGCCGATTGCCTAACGTCTTGACACGCGGACCTGGGAATCCGGCACCGTTCATACTCAAGTCGTAAACATTTATACATTGGAGAGAAAGTATGTATCGTAAGTCGTGCAAGCATGTGCAAAGCGTATGCCCACTGGGCAACCGCTTCCAGAAACGCCATAAGAAATAGCCCGGTCGCTGATGCAGGTGACATATCCGTACGAATTCTGGTATCGCGCAAAAGAAACAATGCAGAACAGTCGTCAGTTCGCCAGAGGTTGTCACACATGCGGTGGTTCCTCCACAAATTGTTTCTTACAAATTTCCGATAACAACCATGAACCTCAATTTGCCGTCGCCCTTCTTTCCGGGGATACCTTCTTCAGGTGCGGTGGGTTCTACGGCTCCTCCAGTGAGCGCGACTTCATCCAGCATTAATGTGCTGCTCTTCCACCCCCAACTTTGGCTGAAGTTGAAGCGATCTGGTGCGCTCTCATAAATGCTCAACATCCTGCCACCCTTGGAAGGGCTGTAGATCTTGAAATAAGTTTTGATAGTTGGACGAGCATCCACGTACGTCGGGAGGGTCAGAACCGATGCACGAGTCCTACGCTGTGCCAGCGAGGGGTTCGCATATAAGAGAGGGACATCGTCGTCATCATCATCATCAGAGGACTCGTCAGATGGATTATCCGAGGGAGCGTCAATGGTCAAAGGGAAGAAGGGTGAATTTACGGGGCCCTCGCCATCTGTCTCTGACGAAGTGATGACTGGGAACTGGAATTGTGAAGGACCTCGGGTAGACGATAGGCGAGGGATGGTACCGCTCCTACGACCAACCAGCGAGCCAGATGTGAAGAGAGGGTCTCGTGGTCCTGTAGATAACAAAGTGCCGTCTGGATCGCCGCCGCTGCCGCTGGTGTCTTCGTCGTTTGCGGGGTCCGTAGGGGGAACACGACCGCTTCTGCGGCGCTCCCGGCGTTCACTACGCAGCATCATCTCTCTCTCGAGTTGCCCAATCCTTTCATCAACCGAACCTGCGTTTTGCTGGCTGACGGCGTTCCCATGTGGATTATCATCCACGTCACGCTCTTTGGCACGGTGCAAATATACGCCCAGCTGGACGTTCTTGGCCGATCTGACCTTTTGGATGTAGATGTTCCACAGTGAACCCGCGTATGATACAGTCCGCGAGTAGACTCGCTTCTTCTCCTTCAAGAAGCGAGGGTTCGGGAATTCGGCAGCAAAGCGGAAAGGGGGGAGTTCGGTGTATGCGATAGGCTTCGGTTGGCCAGCGTTGCCTCCACCCGCAGATATTGGCCGGCCGTGATCAACCCGCGTATGGGGGTTTGCCATGGTGCCTGGTGATGAAGCGAAGTCAGTAGCCCATTGTGCGTCCTCTGGCTGTAGCGTTGCCGATAGTCTTGTCGCATGACGCTGGAACGAGCTTGAGGTGGTAACGACTGGATCAGCGCCATTCCCCAAGACGATGTTGCAGTCCGAACTTGGTATCCAGAACTTGCGGGGCTTTCCGTTCCCGTCCCAGCTACCTGATTCCCAATCTGGCTCGTTGTCATCCTCAGGAGTCAGGACGACCGCCTTCTGCTTGCCCTTGGTCGAGTTGTAGCCTTCTAATTTCGTGCCTGCATTTGTCGTAGCGGGCTCCGGCACCTGGCTGCATAGTCCCAGCTCTTGTGAAGAATCGTCTGCATTCAGCACTTTTTGGCGGAGCGCCAGCTGCTGCCATAGAGCGTTAGAAATGACCTTGTCTGGCAACACAGGCAGACCAAACACGTCGCGTGCCTTCCGAATGAACTCCAGCTGTTCGTATTCCATGTGAACATAGTGAATGCCCTCGTCTAACAGTACCAAAATACGTTCGATGTCAGCATCAGTGTACAAAGCGAGCCAGCTGCTCTGTGCATCAGTCGCAGACTGTTGTAACGTAAGCGCATCCTGTCGGTAGACACCACCGAAGCGGACCGCAGTCAACGAGGACCAGCCAGGTGCTTTTGGAGTTGGCCTCTGACCCCGCTGTATCAAGCCAGCATCGACAGCAGCTTGTCGTAGCCTTCGGTCCAGAAGCCGTTTGGCCAGTACCCAGCGGTCCCATTCGCTGTCCACATAAAAGCCGTCCGATGCCACTAATTCTCGGATAATGTCGCCAGGCATGCCATCCCAGAACTTGAGCGGCATCTCCCAGCCGTTACGGCTCAGCATGGCTTTCGCGGACTCGAGTATGCGGTCTCCAGAGCGCCCATAGTAGTTGGATGTGACCAAACGGATCAAAGGACCAAGCAGCTCAGGCGTCATCTGGCGCAGTATGGACTCGATTGAAGCATCGATCAGGTCCTGCATCTCCAGCCAGCAGCCCGTCGCGAACAGGCCGATTGCCTCGACATCGCACTCTTTGGAGATATCGACGCCATACAGCCGCTTGATAGCCAGCTCGAAGGCGGCCTGTGTAATACTGTTGTCGATGTCCTCGGGATATAGCTTCACCTCCCTCGACTGGCTCTCGATCCACGGCTCTGACAGAGCGGTGGTAAAGAAGGGTGCACGATCGAGGATCAAGCGATGTAGATTATATCTCTGGCCAAATGCGATGACAGTGATGTCTGAGTGTCGACCCTCGAGCAGGCCGCGCGTGTACAGGTGGTCAGGAAGGGGCATGGACTCGCCGGACGCTGAAGCAGTCAGTAAGAAGCAGCGCAGTACACAAAGGGCGATTCGAATTTACTTCGCATGTACAGCGGCCCGCTCGCGTGGTTGTAGGACGGGGCACGCGAGCTCGGCATGGTATCATTCCCGGCGAACAGGCGACTGAGGGTCGTGAGGGTCGTGTATTCGCGGCCGTGGGAAGCTCTGGTCGGCTTGCTATCTGGCGGAGTGGTGGGGTCGTCGGTGGCCTTTTGTGCACGAGGTATCTGTGTGCTGAAGTGCACGATGGGCGGCGGATCCTCCGTGGCTCTCGTTCTCTGGCTGCGTTTCATGTTGGCAATGCTCGCGAGCGTGGCCAGCGGGCGTGAAGAGTTGGAGCTCGAAGTGCTGCCCACATGAGGGGTGGGGGCGTCGAATGTGTGCTGCTGCGACGATGCCTCAGGTGAGATAGCAGCCCGGCCGGCGGAGAAGAGGCTCGCGCGGGGAGCGATACCTTCTGCTTGGTCCTCCGGTATCAGGGTCCAGGCATGGTCGTGTTGGTCGGTTGCTTGACCGCCAGTCTCTGGAGTCGACACATGATGGCTATTGGCGTCGTCGTGCTCGCCTGCGGCAGGAGCGCTCATGGTCAGGAAGAAGAGACGGCCTGGAGCATGGGATGCTTGACAGGCGTCGGCGCAGAACTAGCGGCGGTCGGCGGGGTATACCTGGATCACGCAGCGTCCTAGCAGTCGGGGTGCGGATGCAGCGCGCAGTGGACGATAAGTAGAAGCTGCCAGTCGTGCCAGTCTGCCACGGATCGCGGAGGAGCGGGGGCCATGACACTGGGGGCGCGCCCAGCACGCCGTCATCGCTCCTTTGGTCTGCTGGACGCTGATCGCTGGCGGATGACGGTCGTGCGCCGGTGAGTGTGGTACCGAGTGGTACCGGGCGGCCATACCTGCCGCCTCGGGAGGTCATGCAGGGCTCGACCAACGGCTTGCCGAGCGCCACTAGCCGCCGCGTCGAACCACCGTAGACGCCTTCGCAACAAAAGTCGTCGACCTCGCCGAGCGCTTCCCCCGCCCCATCACCATGGCCTCCGTCTTCCACGCCCTCCCGCAGCTGCGCGCAGCTGCGCCGCGACTCGCTCGCCGCCTGTTCGTGTGTCGCCCCTGCCTCGGTTCGCCCGCCCGCGCCTTCCCCGTCCGCGCCTCTCCCCGCCAGCCCTCCGTCCTGCAGTCCGTGAGATGCAAGTCCACCCAGCCATTGCGGAGCAACGTCGCCACGGCCGAAGGCGCAATTGCAGAAGCAGGCCCAAAGATTCGTGCCAAGAGCAGCAGCTGGCCCGAGACGAGCAACAGGAGCGTTGCATACTGGCTGCTGGGCAGCGCCGCGAGTGTCTTTGGCATCGTCATCTTCGGCGGCTTGACGAGACTGACAGAGTCAGGGTGAGCATCTCAGCCGCCAATCTCGGGATATGGCTAACTTCGCCAGTCTGAGCATAACCGAATGGCGTCCCGTAACCGGTTCCCTGTGGCCGGGGAGTGAGGCCGAGTGGGAGAGCGAATTCGACAAGTACCGGGCGTCGCCCGAGTTCAAGCAGCTCAATTCGACCATGGACCTCGCCGACTTCAAGCAGATCTACTTCATGGAGTGGGCTCACCGCCTGTGGGGCAGAGCCATCGGCATCACCTTCTTGCTCCCCACCGGCTACTTCATCGCCCGTCGAAGAGTCACACCGTCAATGGCCTGGAAACTCACGGGAATCTGCGGCATGATCGGCTTTCAGGGCTTCATCGGCTGGTGGATGGTCAAGAGCGGACTCAAGGATGATTTGTTCGCAGAGGGCAGCCATCCGCGTGTGAGTCAGTACCGCTTGACTGCCCATTTAGGCGCCGCCTTCCTTGTCTACTGTTCCATGTTGTACACCGGACTCGGTATCTTGAAAGAGCGTCGCATGCTCGCCGATCCTGCCAAAGCGGCTCAGTGGGTCCGTACCATCAAGCATCCTGCGCTCCGCATCTTCAGAGGTTCTGTCGTTGGGTTATCCCTTCTCATCTTCACGACTGCCATGTCCGGAGCTCTCGTCGCTGGACTGGACGCTGGACTGATCTACAATGAGTTCCCCTGGATGGGTCTTGGTCTTACTCCACCAAAGAAGGAGCTTTTCGATCCTTTCTACAGCCATGTCCCTGACCAGTCCGATCTGTGGTGGCGCAACATGCTCGAGAATCCCTCCCTCGTTCAGCTAGACCACCGCATCCTCGCTACTACCACTTTCACTGCCGTCCTCTCGTTCTTTGCCTATACCCGCTTCTCCAAGTCCGTGCGAGCTAAGCTCCCTAAGGACGCCCGCAAGGGCGTCTTGGGTCTCGTCCATCTCGTCTCCATGCAAGCTGCTCTTGGTATCAGCACTCTCATCTACATGGTCCCTACCTGGCTTGCCTCCGCGCACCAGGCCGGCGCCCTAGCTCTTCTTACTGGCGCTGTGGTCCTTTACAGCAGGATATCTATGCCGCGACGCGCGATTTTACGACAGATCATGAACAAGCCCTATGGTCCGACGAGTGCCCAGGTCCAGCCTCTCAAGTCTCGCATGACCGCTTCCCAATCTCAATCATAAAATTCCTTCAACGTGTATATATGTACGAATACCTCACTGTAAGATGTAACCTGTCGTAGCAAATGTACTTCTACGCTCAATGCGATACCACCATCACATAATCAAAATTGTTCAATAATTTAGCCTTCCAACATCTCGCCCATAGGAAAGCGACCGCAATTAGCGTGCCCCAATCCACGAATCGATACCCATCATATCGGCCTTGGTCCTTGCTGCATGCTGATATTGAAGAAATCGGACTACCACTAAGGTTCACGCACTTCTACTAGCCTCCTCGACAGAGACGTCGGCGGACCAGTCCGGTGTCGGTGGTGTTGAGCCGCTGGAAGGTAGCGCTGGTGCGATGGACTCATACTCTGCTTTGGACAGTTGATTGACGAGTAGGTCCCAGCACTTTGGCGTGTACCAAGCGCCGTGCAGGAGGACGAAAACGGGTTTAGGCATGGTAAAAGGTGGTGGCTAATGCACAGATGAGAAATGCGGTTGGTATTGAAGAGAAGAGCTATATGCTAGCGAGGTCTTATATAGTAGTAGCTAGCATGTTCGGGGCGGAGTATATTCAGTGCTTACACTTCTGAGGCCTACTCCTACTGGAAGTCAATCCCTGTAAGTTGTTCATTCTTCACCTTGCTGTGATTTTTAGACGTTTTAACTGGTATCACAGCAACAAAATTTGTTGGTCGCGTGTGATGCTCGTCTGATTCAGACACACCTGGGCAAAGAGCGAGGCACTTGACCCTTACCTTCACTATGTACTTGCGACGGGGTTCTGCTGCATAGCAGATACATTCCTTGTTGAACTCAAACCAACTAATTGAGAAGTTTTTGAAAGTGGAAATGGGACAATTTGACTTCTGGTAGGATTCAGAGCCTATTTGCAGGAGATTAGACTGGTCAACTCGAAGATTATTGCTTACATAGCCCGCCTTGTCCTGCATTTGTCGCTATCGAAGGAACCGCCGGCAACTTTGAGTCCAAGGCTACCTGTACACAACCAAGCTTATCAGATACAAATGTAACGTTGAAAGTGTGTCATAATGGAATACCTTGTAAAGACAGGAACGAATGTTTCAACTCTGAGTGTTCGATCGTGGAGATGGCGTTATCAAAGCATTTTAAAAGAACGGTTGAGGGTTCTCGAATGGGATGACGCTACAATCAGTGGGAATTTACCAACACGAAGTAGAAAGGTTTGAGACGGAGGAAGCCAGGAATAGCAGGTATCCCAAGCAAGGTGATTCTTCGCTCGAATGCAATATATTTAGACTTGTTGATCAAATAGAGCTTTCCTTCTGAGCGCTGGGTCGGTGTTGGTTTGCCGAAGGTGATCGCAGCAAGTGCGCCAGATCCCAAGAATAGTCACCATCTGCGAAATCGCAACCTAAGTAAAGATTGCTTCCATCCCTTTATCAGCGTCGGATTGCTGTAGTACTGGGCCAGAGGACTGGATACTGCATTGCCGATCCTGGGTAACACCGTGTACGGAAAACATAGAATCTGCAGGCAGCTCGATCTCTGGCAGCTCGTCTCGTCGCAGCTTGACCTCTTCCTGTTGCTCTTGAGGTACGAGGGCAGACGGTGGAATCCTAGGTACGACGGTTTCCAGTATACAAGCGCTCGTTCACGGCTATTATGGCCCTCCATACCATGCATGCGACGCTGCGGTCAAGCCTCGACAACAGCGACCAGTGTCACCCCTTGTTCTAGGTTTTGGTACTCTGTGTCACTTAGGATGAGCAATACAGTACCTAAATCCTTGACCTAGTACTGCAGTCTTTAGGACAATACAGCTAAAACTCATCTCCTGGTGGGCAGACGGACAGATCAGTGTATTTTCATATTCTGCTTTTCTGGCTTCGTCACGAAGAAGTCGTGTCCACCCCACATAGTCAGAGTCGCCATCGTCCGCCGCTCAACCCAATCCCCCTTCCTCTCCAGCACAACGATGAACACCTTTTGTCTGACCGAGCCCCGGCCCTCGTCCCTTGGAATGTGCCTCTGTACCACGAGGCACAGATATGTTCCCGTTTCAAGCGTATTGCTGTGCAAGAAATTGCGCTCCAAGACTGCAGCCACCGGCTCCTCCACACCAGGAATGAAAACTTCGCTGAAAGGCTCTGTATGAATCGTCAAACGAACGAACCATCCAGTGACCGTGAGCTCGTTTCCATCGCAGCTTTCTATGTGTGGCTCAAGGTCGATTTCGACGAAGCGGTGCTTCTGAATGCGGAGGTCGATGACGGAGCGCTTCTCCTGATCTACACCATCGGTGGTTTGCTGTTGGTTGTCAAAAGAATGGAGGACGTCCTCCGGGAAGGACACAACGCCTTCCCATCCTGACCAGCACCAACTCGGGAATGCTGGACGACGTCTTGGAGCAGATTTTCTGTCGTGCATCCAAGCAAGAGATGTAGGGTGGCTGCTAAGCGGAAGACCGTGAAGAAATTTGGTTTTGAAGAGCCGTCGCTCGAAGGCGCTGATCATGCCCAGGAAAGCATTGAGCGAGTCAGAGTCGTTTGTCATACGACGGTTGGTATATTCGTGCAGCATGCCGTCGAAGAGCCTCATACGCCCGTTGACCAACTCTGGGGGGTCGGGGTCATTGCGTTCTGAGCTCTATGCGTCGAGTTAGTTGTTTTTGAGAGATAATCTGAACAACACTTTACATACATTTTGAGGTCGCATCACCATGTGTACGGCAGAGAGCACCGGATTGATGGTCTCGGGAAGCTTCACGTTAGTGATAGGATCGATGGACTCGGAGGCTTGGGTCAGAAGGCAACGAGTTGATACTTCGCTTGCCCCAAACGAGAACAATCGACAAGAGAGGTTCTCTTCCTGCAATGTCCAAGCTCGCGTGGGCCAGTCAACCGTCGCTCGGTTACTCTCTGAGGTTTCAGGCACAGTGCGGAATGTTCGTCCTTGGATTACTTCTCGACACTGCGTTGGCCTGGGAGCAGAAATGCCTGCTATGCCGGCGTTGGAATTTTTCCCCGTGAGGGCTACAATGGTCAACGCTGCGCAGCCATATATTGTGGCCATCATTCCAAGCTGCTTGTGTTTGAATGCGACTTCTCCAGGTGTCTTTGGGGACTGATTGATACAGAGTGCGTCAACCTTGCAAATTAGTTTTTCCCTTACAATAGCAGTGTTAAAGACGACGCACCCAAAGATATTGAAAACCCAACCCTTTGGTAACGAAGATAGCATCTTCGATGGTCTGGGGAAGGCACCCATTCGCCAGAGCCTCCTTCTGTGGTTTTACGCCTCCCCACACATAACTCAACGCAACATAATCACCTTGTTCAAGATACGGTATGACCTTTCTCGAAAACACGTCGATCACACTAATCTCGCTTATTTCTTCGGGTTTCTCGAGCTGGCAAAAGGACCCATGGTTCTCTAGGCAGTAGTCCAGACTCTTTCGAAGAAGGGACAAATCAACAGCACTGCCATATTCTTGAACGTTGTAGGCGCTTCGATCCGGAGACGGCATCTCAATTCCAATTGCCGGGCCTGTCATCATACCTTGCATCATGTGATCGGATGTTGCATTTAGCGGCTGGCTGATGCCGGACATCAAGAGGCTCTCGATTGAAGCAAGCCCTAGAAAGACTGCCGAATGCTTCTTTGTGTACTCAGGCAGTATATCCCAACCAGACTCACGAATGTGTGCTGGGTAGGGCTCAAGCTGCACTTCAAGTTCGGCATCCTCAATCTTCCGTGGTAGGATCCAGTAGAGCAGTCGGCACAACTGGCACGAAGGCGTTAAGACTATCTCGGATGGACACCCGAGACGTAACTTGAAGGGACGTAAACTGTCATAGTACTGCCTACGGGTTGTTTGAGCATCGGGTCCCAACTCGTCCCGTTTGAGTATCTCGACATCATCCAGCGGTTTCGATTCTGTGAAGGCCCCAACGATGTCGTAGCGGGCGCAACGTGCGCACAACGAGCTAGGCCTGCTTTGCAGAGAAGCGATGAGTTCTTCGTCTTGTTCAATCACTTCGGACGCAGTAGAGGAGGGCTGGAATTCGGCCTGTGTCCTTGAGCTGATCTGTGGACAGGGCTGGCCTACAAACTCTATGCGACGACAGTAAATACACAATCGTTGTGCAATCTGCGAGCTCATATCGAAGATTGCTACAGCTTTGGGCTGCTCCTGGCACCAGTCTCGGACGTTGCTGTATTGTGTAGTCTCTTGGTGGGGTCATGGTAGGCGAGACCACAACATGGATGGATGCCTCAGCCAGTCAGGTGCAGCCACACAACGCTACAAGCTCGTGTAGAAGAACGACACTTACATTGTAATGGACGAATTGGGCCAATAGGATGCAATCCAAGCAAGTGGTGCGATGTATATTCAGACGGGTCTAATTTGGATAGGTTTTTAGATCTCAGATTCAGATCGGCGGCTATGCGATGGAGAAAGGGTCCCGTCGATTAGCGTGCGGACATTCGCAGTATTGTCCGAAAGCTGCTTCTTCTGGCTGGGCTACGAGACCGCACAGTGTTGTCTTCCTATGATGACGTGGATAGCAATGCACGCCGGTTTCCGGCAACAGTTCGCCAAAGTGTGAATATCGTGCAGAGTGGTGAAACATGATCTAGTCAGTGACGCAGAAAACTACTCAATTTGGGTTTACTTGGGGATGACCCGCAATGAATGAGACAACGGAGACTCAATGGGATCCGTGATATCCCAAGATGCTCGATCAATGAGCAAGGGGGACACCTGCAAAAGTAAATAAACGAGAGCTGTTGGGACTATTTGTTGACTGTATGCGGATATAACCGCCTGCTAGCGTTGGCCGTAGGGCTCGGAAGTTGCTGCAGAAGTCAAGCTAGACGAACTCTAATGAACATAGACGCAAGTTGGAGCAACGGCCGATCAGCACCCCACCAAAGTCTTCGTTGGTGCGGTGCCTCGTCTTCTTCGCCAGTCGCCCACGGCAAAGGAGCCGCAGCCGCAGGGGAGGGATGATGCTTGTTGCGATCCTTCCTGAGCACCTTACGATGAAGCTAACCCCAGCCGCAGAGATTTCTGTCGACTCTTCCAGATATCGAAAATCCAGCGGGATGGATGTGGCTGACCTTCCCGGTAGGCCACGTTCTTCCCGTGGTTGCGCAGAGCGAGGTTTCGCGCCTATGTGCGATGCACTCGGAACCTCGCTAGGAAATCTGCAATGGGAGAGCGCTGCCTGTACCTGCATGATTTTCTCATCCTGTAGTGTGAAATCGTCTGATGGCACAGTATTGTGGTTCTTGTGCAACTGGGAGCGGCAGCCGCCCTTGGTGGCGTTCGTATAGCGCGTTTCACGTCAGGAGTGGTGGTTGCTTTTCTGCTGTGTCGTGCGGTTGCACAGCTCGCCATATGAGTGGCCGTCACGCTGTTCCATTCAATCGTTGCTGTCGAGGTGACACGGTGCCTGCCGGAGGCCAAAGCACGCCAAAGATGACCTTTGGTCGGAGATTTGCGCTGTGGGTGGCAGTCAAAGGTCAACGCCGTGACGGACAGCTAAGGCGGGCCGCAATCTCGTGCTGTATGCCACTGCGGTGAGGTGTGTTACAGCGTCCCGAAAGCGGACGTGTGAGATGAGCAATCTGGGTGCGATGCTCCTCGTCAGTGGAAGAATCGAAACGGCGCGACCATGGCCAGCGTTTGGCCCCGGTGGAGAGCTGGAGAGGCTCCAAGCTGCAGCCGGGAGGACGGGTGCGGCTTCAACGACTGTCAAACGCAGCGCTGCATGAGTCGCAGTCAGCCCGCCAATCTCGCCCTGTGGCAGTTGGGCGTAACGGCCCTTTTGGCGGCTGGCTGACTCGCTGCTGGACGGTGGACGCGCAGCACTTGTTGAAACACATGGCTCGCAGACGCCAGACGCCGGGGAGACTGGAGGCTGGAGGGACCTGAAGCTGGGCGGCTCCTGAGCCGAGGGCGTGTGGGTGTCGGGACGGGGGGGATGACGATGGTGGAGCACTCGTACTGGGGTGTGGGCGCTGTTGCAGGGAACAGAAAGGCAGAAAAGCCAGGACGGCTGCTGGGTAAATGTGCTGTCCGTGCATCATTCGCAGAGCATTCGGCCTCTTCCTGCGTCTTCCTTGAGTGCTTCTGATGCATGCAGCGCTGCCGTGACCTCTCTCGCAACCGCCTCAGCAGCCGTCCAACCGCCGCCCATAGGACGTCGTGCCCTGTGTAGCCCCAGCCGAACAGGAACGGCCGCCCGCGCCGTGCCCCCCCAGCGCCGTCCCTCATGGACTCCCATCCCGCGCACACAGCTCCACGCAAGCTGCTGAAGAAGACGGGCAAGAAAACACATGCAGCCCCGCCTGTGAGTTTCCACAACAGCAGCCGCAACCACTCGCTCCAGCGGGCGCCTTCTGCGCCTACGTACCCTTCCTTCCACCACAACCAGCGAAGCGCTGAGCATCTTGGCACCCACGACCCAGCCGCGTTCCCAGGAGCACCGCAGCCTTCGCCCTCGCCGCCAGGGCTCCTCCGCCGACAGACATCCAACCCAGCCTTTTCCCTTACCTCTGGCAGCGGGCCCTCTGCCGCGAGCTCTTCACACTCGCTGCGCACCACCCCCGAGCTCGTCGGTGCGCCCTTCGACGCGGCTGCCATCAACAAAAGCATCACCCAGACCATAGCCACCCAGCGCCCCCGCTCCCCAGCAGCACTCGTTCGCGTCCGAACGCGCCCCCGCCCACCAGCAGAAGAAGCCTTCCAAATCGCCCAAGCTGCGCCAGAGTGCCAGTTTCACCCTCGCCCGCAAGATGAACGACACAATCACCCCGCCGCGCTCGGACGGCGGCACCAAGTCGCCCCGCCAGCGATACTCGGACGAGGCCGACGCCTCCAATACCAAGAACCGCAAGTCGGATGGCGGCAAAAAGAAGGGCACATTCTCGAGCTTCATGAACAGCATGCTCGGCTCGCCCCGCAGGCCGACCATCTCTACGCCCACCAATCCAATGCACGTCACCCACGTCAGCATCGACAACGAGACAGGCGAGTTTACGGTACGTGGCACGTCGTAGCCCCCCGCTCCTACCATGCATCTTGATCCTGCGTGCATTTTCATCGCTGACCGAGTCTAGGGCCTGCCCAAGGAATGGCAACGCATGCTGCAGCAAAATGGCATTACCGAGCAGGAGCAGAAACAGCACCCGCAGGCCGTCATGGATGTCGTGACCTTTTACAAGGACAATGCCGAGAAGAACGAGGAGGACGCGATATGGGATAAGATGGGGCCTGCGCAGGCGTATGCATACCAGGCAAACCTGACGCCAGGCTCGGGCTACAGCAACATCCAGCCCTTGCTCAGCCCTCCGCAGAGCCCACGCTTCCCGCGCAACGACCTGGACAGCTTCGAGAACCCGCGTGCCCCTCCGCCGGTCCCCCGCAGCTACACGTCGCCTGGTGTTGCGCCACCCATCTCCCCGCAAATCAATGGTACTCTCATTCCGAACCGTCCAGCTCCGAAACCACCGGGTGCTGCATCCGCAAACCTCATCCCTAGTCGCTCTGCTCCTTCAGCGCCCACTCCGTCTTCGCAGCAGCCCGTTCAGACCCCGAGGGAAGAGAACGCCTATCCACAGGTCGCCTACGCCCCTCCCACCGTGACAGACAGCCCACATGGAACCTCTTCGGCACCACGAAGTCGAGCTAACACAACGGGCGGCACACCGCCTCACTTCGACTCGCCATCGAGTGCGACGGCCATGTCTCCTGCCCAGCAGTATCAGCAGCAGCAAGCCCAAGCTATGGCTGCTGCTCAGCAATCCATGTCCGTGAAACAGCCCCAATTAGCACGAGCTCTGAGCCAGAAAACACCACAGCCGCAGGCCCCGCACCTTACTCCTGCCGCCCCTGCGCCTTCGCAACCTTCGCCTCAGCAACAGTTCGCTCAGCAATCTGATCCCCAGAACATTCCTCTACCATCTCAGCAGGCACGCGTTGGTCCAGCACCCCGCCCTAGACAGAGGCCACGACAAAGCCAAGGACCGGACATTGTAGCCAAGCTGAATGCTATTTGCACCAACGCTGATCCCACGCTGAGATACCGAAACCTGAACAAGATTGGACAAGGTGCATCGGGTGGCGTTTTCTCTGCGTATGAAGTCGGCAGCAACAAATGCGTGGCTATCAAGCAGATGAACCTGGAACAACAACCGAAGAAGGATCTGATCATCAACGAAATTCTGGTCATGCAGAACAGCAAGCACAGGAACATTGTAAACTTTATGGACAGCTTCCTCGTTCGGGGAGATTTGTGGGTAGTCATGGAATACATGGAGGGTGGCAGTTTGACGGATGTTGTAACCTTCAACATCATGTCAGAAGGACAGATCGCTGCCGTCTGCCGTGAAGTACGTATAGACGGACCTTTGTTTACATACATGCTTACTTTCCTAGACTCTGAACGGCCTTCAACATCTGCACTCAAAGGGTGTTATCCATCGTGACATCAAATCTGATAACATATTACTCTCCTTAGAGGGCAATATCAAGCTGAGTAAGTGCAACTGTACGTTCCTCAATAAGCTCGAGCTAACAAGCAACAGCCGATTTCGGATTCTGCGCCCAGATCAGCGAAACCCAGAACAAACGTACCACCATGGTTGGAACACCATACTGGATGGCACCGGAGGTAGTCACGCGAAAAGAGTATGGCAGAAAGGTCGACATCTGGTCCCTAGGTATCATGGCTATCGAGATGATCGAAGGAGAGCCACCATACCTAAACGAAAGCCCTCTTCGTGCATTATGGCTCATTGCAACGAACGGCACGCCTACCATCAAAGACGAGCAAGCTCTCTCGCCTGTGTTCAAGGACTTCTTGCACTTCTCGCTGAAGGTCGACCCAGACAAGCGGGCTAGTGCCCATGATCTTCTCACCGTGAGTTTATAGTATCACGCCCTCCCAAGAGTCTGAGCTGACCATCTTACAGCATCCATTCATTTCCACGGCAGAGCCTTTAAATACGTTGGCACCACTGGTACTCGCTGCGAGGAAGGCTCGGGCTGAGGAACGACGGAAAAAAGGTGGTTTGTGATTGCGTCCGATTGAATTCAGAATGCATCTCATCAGGGGCGGCGCAGGTCCGGCGGCAATGCGAACCAGCGGCCACGATTCGAGCATAAACGGAGTGAATTCGACATACTCGTACGCCGAATGGTACTGCCGAGCCCAAGACCTGTAGCCGGCATGGCGTTCGCCATAGCGTGATCCTACTGCTGGTACGCCGGTACCGCTTCGCTTGCCTCACGAGCGGCCGTACAATCGACGTTTCCCCAACACAGCAACAAAGCCGCGCACGTCCGCTGGGGTTCCAAAACATGTATAACCGACGGCGATGTCTCCTTTCTTGGATTTCCGCATTCTAGCGGTCTTTCTTTTGACGCGGATTGAGCCTCGCTTTTGCGCATTGCCTGTTCGACTACAATTTTCCTTCGGCAAAAGGTACATCTTCCAAACAAGGGACCATTGGGCCCGAGCATCCAGCGAATCACGCTTCAACGATAACTGGATCCTTCACTTTTCTCCCGGCCAAATGGCTATTGGTCTTTCACGGGCGTTTTTCACTAGGCGCAAGCATGCAATATGGAGCGTTTTGTTCTCATTGGCCAGGTTTGCTTTCGAAGCAGAAGTTTCCCCTGACCTCGCGCATCCGGAGGAGGGTGACGAAGATGACATATTGGTGCCTTTTACATTGCGCTTTTTACTTTAGTGTCTATAATTGGTGGCAGCTTTTGGGTGAGGGCTCCTGTATGAGTTGGGATTAACGGGCGGCATCGTTGCGATACCAAAAGTCGGCCCGCGAATATAAGCTGTCGAAGAAGCCCCATGAGGCGCATTCTTCGCGCATTGAACAATGCAAATCTTCAGGCATCGCCTTTTAGTTGCTCACAGCAGTGTTCAAGATGTCTGCATGCATACTGACCCAAGACAGCCTTGTGAGGGCATGTTTGCTGTGTTCTCGCAGGACTTGCATGTGCAACACGGAGTACTGGTAACCAGGCCCAGGACTCGTCGGAGTAGACGCATCTCTAAGATCTGTGAGCAGAACGCAGATTTCGCGGGTAAGACATAGGTGGAGATTTAGGCCACCTAAAGCGGTGCTTGATCTAAGCATGCGAATGGATCACAGTGTAGAATGTGACTAGAAGTCACCTGCGATAAATATGCAAAATAAACAAGTTTGATTTCATCCTGGCTAATTTTCGACAGGCCTGGGTAGTAGCCATGGAACTTGCAGCGAACTCATGTGTGGCGCGACCCTGCGCCACAGGATGACGACCCCACGGGAAGCTGGGCACCACCTGGGCAGTTGCGTCAACTCCACTCACTTCAGGCAGTTGCGCTCCGCGACTTCCACTCGCCACCTCTTCCCCAACTCTTCCTCTTGATACCATAGACCGCAACTTTCTACATATCCCAGCGGTCATACACTCGACATGTTTCGTGCGCAGACGAACGCATTTGACGATGCCGTGTTCAAGGCCACCGACGAGAACCTGACGAGCGAGAACTGGGAATACATCCTCGTACGTTTTCGAATTCTCCTCTTTTCAAGGATCGACGTTTGTACTCTTGAGATATGCTGCCATCATACCAAAATACATGCGAAGCTCCTTCGGAGCCTGGAGCTTCAAGCCCGACCTAGGCTAACCCGCCACTACAGGATGTATGCGACAAAGTCGGCGCTTCCGACACGGGCGCGAAAGATGCTGTTGCTGCCATGATTAAGCGACTGGCCCATCGAAATGCCAACGTCCAGCTGTACACGCTCGAGCTCGCCAATGCGCTTAGCCAAAACTGCGGGATACAGATGCACAAGGAGCTTGCTTCGCGGAGCTTCACCGATGCGCTTCTTAGGCTCGCAGCAGATAGGAACACACACCAGCAAGTGAAGGCTAAGATCCTGGAGCGCATGGCGGAGTGGTCGGAGATGTTCGCGAAGGATCCTGATCTGGGCATTATGCAGGGCGCCTACGAGAGGTTGAAATCGCAGAGTATGTGATTGCCTGCGCTGAAAAACAATTCACATAGACTGATTGATGCAGATCCGAACCTCCGCCCTCCCTCGAAGCCGCAGAAGACGCAAATCACCGACGTCGACCGCCAGAAGGAAGAAGAGGAGCTCCAGATGGCTCTCGCTATGTCGATACGGGATTCGAAAGGCGCAGCACCTTCATCAGCCAAAACGAATGTCCCCCAAGCTTCTGCAGACACCTCAAGCTCTCAGGCTGCCGCGCCAGCTCAACCAGTTCCCGCAGGTACGACTGCAGCAACTGTCTCACGAGTACGAGCGCTCTACGACTTCCAGCCCTCGGAACCGGGAGAATTGCAGTTCAGGAAGGGTGATGTCATCGCGGTACTCGAGTCAGTATACAAAGATTGGTGGAAGGGCTCGTTGCGCGGCCAGACGGGTATCTTTCCGCTGAACTATGTGGAGAAGCTACAGGACCCCACGCCGCAGGAGCTGGAGCGAGAGGCACAGATGGAAGCAGAAGTTTTTGCGCAGATTCGGAATGTGGAGAAACTGCTCGCCCTGTTGAGCACCACATCGCAAAGCGGAGGTGATGCGAGGGAGAACGAGGAAGTCACGGAACTCTATCACTCGACCCTGTCCATTCGGCCGAAGTTGATCGAGCTCATACAGAAGTACTCGCAGAAGAAGGACGATTTCACGCAGCTGAACGAAAAGTTCATCAAGGCACGACGAGACTATGAGTCCCTTCTTGAAGCTTCGATGGCACAACCTCAACAACCCTACGGCGGCCGTCCGTACAGTGCTTACAACGCACCCCCTGCAACTGCCTACGGTGGATATCCGCCAACATCACCTCCACCGCAGCACTATGGCGCTGCGCCTCCTGCTTCTCAAGGTCCTCCGTCGCAATATCCTCCTACAGCCTCGAATCCCGCCTTCTTCATGGTACCACCTGGGCAACAGCGCCCTCAGCAGCAGACCCCGAAGCCTGAGCCACCTGCAGACGCGTACGCACCTCAGCAAGGAAGGATTCCATCCGGGGGTCGCCCGCAAAGCTTTGCACCGCAGGAGCTGTCTACCGGACACTACGATTCTCCCATTGACAACCGCCAGTCCTTTGCTCCGCCTCAAGGTGCTCCTTCGGCACCACCACAAGATTACGCGTACCCGCCTTCGCAACCCCAGCCACCTCAAGCACCGCCTGGGTACCCGCCCATCACGAATGCACCTTTAGCTCAGCAGAATCCTTATGATCAAGTTTCGACTTCCTACCCACCGGGTCAAGCACCTCCACCACAGACGCAATCGCCCTCGGACCCGTACTCGCAGCCACCGCAACAACAACAACAACAACAACAACAACAACAGGACTACGGATACCCGCCGCAGCAACCCAACCATGCCCCACCGGCTCCGCCGGGAGCGACGAACAGTCCGCCACCGCAGCAAGCATATCTACCGTATAGGCCGGGCGGGCAGGCGCAAAGTGCGCCGCCCGCTGGCGGCGACGAGGGGTTTTACAGGTAGATAGATGCATGGCAGGAAGATGGAAAGGAAATTTGGTTTTTGTATGAGTAGCATTGGATATTTGTACGGTCTTAGGATCAATTGAGATACGGAGTGTTAGCAAGATACCACAGCATTGGACAGTTGCTGGTTTTTAAAGCATACAAATTGAACGTTTCTACGACTGGAACAATGAAACCACAACAACACCTGTGCGTGTTGTCCTTGCTCTTACATGTGCTAAACCATCTGAAGTATCTCTACATCCCTGGTCATGTTGCCGTCAATGGTCAACGGTCGCCGATCGGACATGTTTCGGGGATGCATTTGCCGTTGCCAGTTCCCAGCGAGGGGTAGTTGTCGGCGTATGACGGCGTTTGTTATTGGCAACCCTCAATCTTGACTTCACGAGTACCTAGGTACTCGAGAAGTGCCCGCAAAGATGTGGTCCGATGCTTGCCTTATCGGGATGACGGTAGCCGGCAGTGAACAGCATGGCATGTTGGATGGCCACGGCTGGACGCACAAACACAAATCCCAAACGGGAAACAGCCAAAAGCTGACGCCGCACATGCGAACATGATCCACTCGGTGACAGTATCCCCAAAATTCCAGAAGAAGGTTCAGATAGACAATCAAGCGGAAGCGGAATACATTCCTCAGCGCAGCGCAGCACACGCGGTTAGCCCCGCGACTGTGGGGGGAAATTCACAGCCAAGAGTCTCCTTTCCCTTTCGAGCAGCGCAACGCAGGCCGGCGCTCAACCAATCGGGGCCCTTGCGTTTGGAACGACGCTCACCTCGCACCGGCTCTTTCTTATCCTGTCTACCCGTTCTGCTCGGCTACCGATTTGACACCACTCACCTTCTTCACACCTCACCTCTTGTTTGCGGCACTGTACGGCGTTGCAGGCGATCTTTTTCCACGATACCCCAGGGACAGCAGAGGTTTAGACATCACAATGGCCGACAAGGAATTCACCTACTCGGACGTGTCGGAGCACAACACGAAGAAAGACCTCTACATTGTCGTGCATGACAAGGTGTACAATGCGAGCAGCTTCGTGGACGAGCACCCGTAGGTTTCCCCCTTATTTTGCCTTACAGACACCAGAATCTCCACCGCACCCTCCGACACTCTCCGACACCCCCCGATTTCGTGGGCGCCGACCCCGCACACATCACGCTTCGCAGTCACTGGGAGTGCCTCAAGAAATGATGGGCAGAAGGCTGACGTGTGCACAGCGGAGGCGAGGAAGTCCTCCTTGATGTAGGCGGCCAGGACTCAACGGAGGCATTCGAGGACGTAGGACACAGCGACGAGGCGCGCGAGATCCTTGAGGGTCTGCTGGTCGGCAACTTGAAGCGATCGGTACGTTCATCTCCTCCTTCTACCTCTACCTACTCGACCATACTTTCTGCGAGGATGTGGACGATTCCCCCACCCACCCTAAAATTCATGAGACACCCCACCTCCGCAGAATAGCCTCGGCGCGGTTCCGCAGGCTAGCAGGCTTCAGACACCGACACATTTCCGAGATACGACTCCATCCCATGTTACAACGTCAAAACCAGCTGTGGGATAGTAGCTAACGTGATATAGGAGGGTGACCCCAAGCCCAAGTCATACGCGCAGGCCAACGCCTCCGTCGCCAACGCTGATGGCGCCTCTGCCGGCATCGGCCTCTACGCCATTGTACTCGTTGGCGCGGCTCTTGCTTTCGGTGCTTACAAGTACCTGCAGACGCAGCAGGGTGAGCAGTAGATGGACGGTGGTGACAAGCACAGGGCAGGATGGCATATACAGGGTTTTGTTGATGTGAGGCATGAGTTGATCACATATAGCGGCTTTCTTCTTGAGTGCGCCTGTCGTCGTCTGACGAGGGCACTGCTGGGTTTGGAGACAGCGATGGATAAGTTTCATGGCCATGTAACGCCTACGGCACTTGGCACGGTGGAGCTATTGCAATAGACCACGATTTTGCACCACTTGTTGAGTCATTAAGGCGTCTGAAGATGATAGGCACAGGTGAGCCTATGTTATGCAACTTACCTGCCATCAAGAAATGCGTCCGATTCGATCTTGATAATTGGTGTCAATGAACCGGCTAGGACAACATCCGGCTTCCGAGCTTCAAGCAACACCACATGCACCCAAGATTGCAGACAACTTCAAGTTGGAAGGGTATCATTCACGTCCGAAACTTTTCCCAAGCCCTAATCCGCACCATCCTACATCCCCCTAAATGCATTGTTACTCGCGCTCCTCCTATCCTTGTCCTTCCTCCGGTCGTGCCTCTGTGCTTGTGTCTCGCTCTGCTTGCCCTTCCTTTCCGGCGCAAACGTGATTTCCCTCTCGCCGACCACTGTGGTCGTCGATTTATTCGCCGGCCGCCTCTCCTTGAGCTTCGACATGCGGGACCCGAATGTGCGGTCGCGAGTGGGCTCCGCTCTTCGCGCCGAAGAGGAGACGACCATCTGCGGCCCTGGGGGTCTCTTGTTGTGGCCGGATTTCTTATAGGAGGACGTGGAGATGCGCGTGTTATCGACAGGTGCTGCCTTCTTCGCCGGCCGCTGTGCACGCTCCTGTCCGTCGTCGTCTGAAGAACCGTCATCTGAAGACTCTTGTGCAGAATCGAGTTCCTCCTGTTCGACGGCCGTGAGACCCTTGGGCAATCTCGTGCTCGCGTTCGTACTAGGGTTGATAGCGTTGAACTCGTGGCTCGCCTCGTCAACCTCGAAGTCTTCGTCCTGGAACAGGCGCGCAAAACGCGGGTCGCTGAGCACGCCCTTCGGCTTGTCGTCCTCGACTTCTCCGACTGCGGGCGCGGGCTCGGTGTCTGCGTCGAGCATGTCGTCGTCGCCACCTTTCTCGAGCACGCGCTTTGCGCGCCTGCGCTCGGCCTTCTCCTCGCGCTCCATGATCTTCTCCGCGAGCTTGCGATTGACCTTGACGGTAGCCTTTTTGTTGCCGCGGATGCGAGATTCGCGCTCCTTGGCGACCTTTTCCGCGATACTCTTTTGCCGCTGTTCCTGCCAGAGGTCGGGGTTCGAGATGAGGCGCGCTTCTTCGTAGAGTTTCTGCGCGACGAAGTAGCCGTGCATGTATGGGCGGAGCAGACTCGTGGTGCCGATGAGGTGGTCGAGATTGAGCTGGCGCAGTTGCTCCATGGTGAGGAACTTGAAGTTGTCGTAGACGTCGCCGCCGGAGTTCTTGTTGAAAGCGTTGGGATCATTAGGGTCCTCGGCCATTTCTTCGACGATGTTGTCGAGGAAGGCGCACCATTTTGGGGCGGGGCCGAGCTGGGGGATGAAGAAGGCGTGTTGTTGCTTGCCTTCGTTTGCTGTGAGGAGCATACCAGTGTCCTTGCACCACTCAACGTGATTTAAATCTACGGCAGGTTCCACGGATGTCCAATGCTTACCATCACGGGCGTCCCAAATCTTGATGATGCGTTTGTCGGAGGTGAGGATCTTTGGCTCGGCGGTTTGAGCGCGGGTCGAGGCTGAAGAGTTGAGATAGACGATGTTCTTGATGGCATATCCGTAACCTTGGTCCTTCTTCAAGATTGGGACGGGCGAACGTAGATCGTAGAGGTGGACTAGACCGCTGGAGTTACCTGTGGCCAGTTCCAAACCAGAACGGTGGAATTGCAGGGCAGATATTTCGGAGCGGCCCTCGAAGGCGTCGGTGGGAGCGGACAGTATCCCTGCTCTATTGCGTGATCGCGGGTCCCAGAATTCGACTGTGCCCAACGATGTTCCGAATGCGAGCAGGTTGTGGCTGTCCTCTGCTATCGAAGCGGTATTCACGCTGCCGGCATTGATGCCTCCCTGTAGTGACCCTGCCCCTGTAGTGGCCATGTCGTCGCCTCCAACGTCGATCTCATAGCTCTTCATAAATCTTCCAACTTCGAGGTTTAATCTGTACACCTCTCCCGATCCTCCTGCATTGACACCGACCGCTGGGATGAGTGCTTCTGCCGAGTGTCTGTCGTACACAAGGTCTCGCCCGTAACGTGGAATTCGCGTGCGGTAATGCAGGCCGCCTGCAGTGTGAAGCTCTACGAACCGATCTGTCTGGAGATGAATCGACTTGGTCCAGTCGGAACTGAGCAGCTGGAAGGTCTCGTTGATGGTGTTCGTATGCCTCTCGAAGGATAGAGCTAGCTGTGAAAGGTTGTGTACGTGGATCTGGGGTTTGTATGTTCCTGTGGACATTACCCACTCCCCGTCTTCAGAAACGCGCACACACTGGCTCGCTTCTTCAAACTCGAAGTCTTGAAGTAGCTCTACCCTTTGTGCGAACGCAGCGTCTTGTTTCAAACTTCGTTTGCGCCTTCGGACGAGCCATTCTGGAAGTGGCCGGGCTTCGGCACCCGCTATTGTGTAGACTGGCACGGCGCTGTCGTTTGAGATCTTCATGGTGGATTGCGTCCGACGATGGTGGAAATACCCATGCGCGGTGTCGCTTCAGGTATCGGAGGAAGGACCCAGAATGTGTACGGTGTAGAGAAGAAATCTTGCTCGCCCGCACCGTGAAGTCAAACGTTCGCGCGGGTGTTCGAGGACAGGTGAGGCGTGTGTGTAACACAGAGATGGAAGCGACCGTGCCGGAGATTCGGGGCGGCCGCGCTGTGTTCGCACCGCTGTTGCAGGGCAGCCTCAGCGTGCGTCAAGTACAGAGTATCGCGATAGCTTCAAAAATTGGCCGACAGTTCTGAAAGTTCGGCGTTAGCGCGAGGGCAAATCCCTGCTGCGTGCACAGACCCCCGCCCCAGGCCGGTTGGTCGGAGCATCGCATCGCTCGCTGCTTCCCGCGCCCAGTCCGAGTGTTAACAACCTCAGCACTCCATCGCGTGGGGAGGCCTACAACCCCTTCCCATCCCACTCGAGGCCTGGTCAAGTGGGCGCTTGTTCCGCTTGCTGTACGCGCCGGTCACCTTCTGGCCGCCTGTATCACGCTCTCCGATTCGCGCGCATCAGCTTTGTTGCGCATCCGCCGGGTCCTTAGCTCGGGCAACATGGTCCAGCTGCGCGTGAGAGCGTGCCATGTCATAACATCCTCCAAATCGCATACCACCCAGTTGCACCTTCCCTTCCGGTGATAACCTCACGTATCAGTGGACGGAATACAGTGGGTGTTGATGAAGGTACACAGCGCCAGTCCGGGATTGCACATTCGACACCAATATCACTTGAGCGTTCCATAGAGAGCCGCCCTCTCTAATGGAATTTCTCAAAACCTGCAACACCAATGCGCAAGCTATCGTATGTATCAACCATCTACTCATGCATGTATTGCTGATGACGTGCAGGGAGATTTCGAAGCCGTCGCATTCCAAGCCTTCTCAGTCGCGCGCAATCCCACTCGCTCATCGTCGAACACCTTCGACTGGAATAACTCCGACGATATACGCGTCGTTGAGGCTGAACTGCGCAAAGGAAACCATATTGTACTCCACGATGTATCGCGGTCCTGGTTGTGGCTGTTTCGGGCTGCCACGGCGGACCAGGTGGGCCACCCGCCGTTAGATCCGCCAACACTGGACGACTTTTGCTTGAACAGTGAGTCGCATCTTCCCCACTCCTGGAGTATAAAGCTAATATGTATAAGGAGAGCAACATGGCGTCATGAAAGCCCAGGAATTAGAACAACGGTCCGCTCGAAACCCCCGGAATGCGCCGCCGTCTGCCTCTTCCAACTCCCCAGTAACACCACGACCGCAAAAGGCAATACAATCCGGTGTTTCTCAGCAGTCGCAGGGTGGCACCCAGTCGGGCACTTCAGAGCAACAGCAGCACGATGTTGTCGCCATCTATGGACTGTTCACATCGGCTGTGGTTGCTTTGATATCCTTCCGTTTAGTGAAAGACTACAACGCAGTTGCTTTGAACTACCGCACTTTTGCTTCGCCGTTTACCGCCCAGCTGGAGTCCGACTCCCGCCATTTTCATACAAAAGCACCCCTCCGTATCACTAACGTCGATGTGTCTTGGGCTACTGCTGGCGCACTTGTAGTGTCGACTTTTTCGCTGATCAAGTCTGACATGCACAGTCTAGCCGAAACTTTGCCAGATGATGAGCAGAAATACTTGATCGGCAAATGCGTACGCGTTGCCCCGAATGGCATTCTGGCTAAACTCATGAGCTTTACGGACCCTGTAGATACAACCACCGACGATCCTGGCCAAAAATCGCAACGCAAACGACCTAGAGTCAGCCCGTTAGAAAAGGGGATTGAGAAGTGGAAGGCCAGTGTAAAGCGCTGGCTGTCATGGAAAGGTTATTCCATCCCTCATCTTGGGACCAAGGAATCGTGGGTTAGAATCCAATTCGCCCACACGGGTCAGACTGCGGCGTCAAGCCCAGCATTCTCCAGGCCTACGAGAGAGATCCTGTGGCCGCGAGCCTTATGTTTCTACTTTGTCGATCCACCGAATAAGCCGGACTTGTTCAATGCTCACGAAGAGTCACTGCTGCAGGAGGTTGATGCACTGGCCTGGTTCGAAACTCCCCATTCCAAAGGTTATCAAGATCCGATTGATGTCGCGCAGCAATGGTTTTTAGGCAAGATGGAGCGCGACAAGGTTGCTGAAGCTCAACGCAAAGCCAAGAAAGCCGAAGAAGATGCTGCGCGGGCCAAAGAGGAGAATCACGGCATATTCCCTTCGTCACCACTGAACGCTCGGGCTGGGACGTACGGCGATCTTCAGAGCGTCAGCGGTGTGTACCCAACTCCACCTGATGGGGTTCCGCCGGGGACTGTGTTATCTTGTGGCGACACTCCAAGTGTTTCTGGTTTAGCTACTAATGTCATCCTAGCACCCGGCGGCAACAACCCGGCAATCAATCTCTCCGTTCCGCAAGACATCACCTCCGGCGATGCACACCAACAGTCTTCTACATCGCCGAACTTCGACTTACAATATGAGGACTACAATGCTGACGGCAACAACGACGATCTCTTCGAAGACATGGACGAGGGCAACTTCGATGAAGGAAATGGAATTACGGATGCCGACTTTAACTTTTTTGACGACGCAGATGATGAGGATGTAATTATGCCCGATGCTCCTCCTCCTGCGGATACAGGAGTGGTGTTGAAAGAGGAAGTTAGGGACTCAGGCCTATTCACTGTTCCTGAGGCCGCAGTAAAAGAAGAGCCACCAGATCCTATGGCTGCATTGGACTTTGCCTTAGCTTCAGCATCTGCGGCCACTGAGAAAGAAAAACAAGACCAGGAGGCAGCGCATGCCCCTTTGAAGATGGAAGCAACAGCAACGGCTTCGGCAATCCAGGGATCGACTCGTCTCTCGGACTTAGGGACCCAAGCAATCGACCACGCAATGAGAACAACCACGCCTCCATTAAGCCCACGCTTTATTGAGACTGCCCTGTTACCTTCTCCGAAAGACGAAAGACCTCAAAACCAATCCTCATATCAGCACCGAGATAGCGTCTTCGATGCACTCAATTTTAGCCACAAGATGAGCCTTTCGGACGCCAAGTACAAGGCCGGACGCTTTATGTCTGTCAGCGAAAGACCCAAGAGACCGGATGCGGTGGACGACGTGCACCGAAAGCAGAGTTTGCGCGATCTTCCTCTGATGACCAAACTTCGATATGCTATTGGCGTGGCTTCAGCAAAAGGCAATTTGATTGCCTCTCCACGGGACATGTCTGATAGTGATGATTCAGATGCATCCAGCGAAACTTCGTCAGAGAGCGAGGAAGAAGTGAACGACGTTGCACCCATGCCGTTCGTTGGGAGTCTGATCATACCAGTCAAGCGGAAGCTGCCCACGGAGAGTGTTGCAACTCCCGTGTCTGCTACATCATTTGCCGATTCGTTCGGTGGTGACCTCGGCGAGCTGATTGGATTGCAGACTGACGAGTCAGCTTTGGTCGTTCTTGAGCCCACGATATTCGACTGGTCTTTGATACATCTTCCCCCTCCAATGGAACTGACTTTGAGTGGTGCACGCTGGAATCTCCCCGCTTTTCCATACTCATATTCATCCGTGCCAAGTACGCCAACTTCGCAGCCGGACTTGTCTATGAACATGATTGAAGAAAAGCCTCTGAGCGGGAAAGACAATATTGCAATAGCTCAGATAGTCACCGATCAAATCGCATCTGCAACCTTGGACATCCTCCAGCAAGCCCACGATCCTGGGACCTCAGACGATCTGCCATCTGAAACTCAGTGGCAAAGCGCGATCAAGACAATCTTCCCGCAAGCCACGGCGTGCAATGTGGCGAGCCTTGCAGCGGTTCAGGATGTGTTCCCAGACATTTCGACGCAAATGAAGGCCCAACAGAGACCTCCGCCTCGCAGACCCAACGATACTAGCGCTACGGCACTGGGTCATCATACATTCTCGCTTAATGCCCCTTACGTGCGAGTAAAACGTGCGGATACTCTATGGGACCTTTTGCCTCCTGCGATTCCATTCTGGGAAACGTTGGGTTTGGGGCCTTGCAGTCCATTGAAGAATGTCGTGGCACTCGGCATTTACCCCTACAGTGAGGCTCTGAAGCCCTGTGTCGAGAGCTTTCTGGTCAACATGCAATTGGCGTACGACAGTTGCAAGCTGGGGAACCACACTCGAGCAGACGCGCTGACAGAATATCCCGGCGGGCTCGTGCCGTGCAAAATCGGGGGTGCAGCATCACTACGCACCGTTTTCAAGGCTCTGCGAGACACATGTATCCAGCTAAGCAAAGTACTGGCTGCCAGTCATGCACAGATGCGGGACAAGGACGATTCAAAGATTGATGCCTTCGTCATATATATGATCGATCCATTCGAGCAGGCGTCCGCCATCTGGGAGCTGTGCTCGGCCTTTTGGAGTCTCTTCCAGTCGTACCAACAACCGGCTGGCCGGCCCGACCAGATACAAAAGCCTGACCTTGTACTCCAAATCATTCCGATCAGATACATCGCTTCGTTCGAAGCACCGGTCATCTTAGATTCGAATATCTATACTGGCCTTGCTCGAGAAGTGTACGATCGGTGTCCGCCTAGTGCAGCAAGCGATGACAGGCTACCGCTTAGCATCTATTCGGCACCGTCATTCCAGCTCGAGGAAACAATTCCGCGCAACATTCAATTCAAGCTTATGGCAGATACCCCGCAGGATCTGATGCGGGAGAACTCGTACATGCACATCGGGTACGCCATTAGTCTTGACGGGACGTGGGTAACTGCGGCATGGAGCGATACTTGCGGGAAGTCACAAGCGGTTGTTTCGTACAATCTTGGCACGCGTCCATTCGCCGACATTGCTAGGGAGATTTGGCAGACCACGATCGAGATCATTCAAGTGCGGCGAGTTACGTGGCGCGTCTGCATAGCCAAAGCAGGCGTTATGGAGCGGGAAGAGCTCGAAGCTTGGGTATTCCTCGTCCAATGCCCTACTGTACTCAATCTTTTCACTACCTTGATGACAATAGACATGGAGCCACATCTCAAATTCACCCCAACGATGCCTCCGCAAAGTACATCCGCCAGCTCCCCAGGCTCCACGCCTCAAGCTGTCGTCTCTCCAGAACAAGGTCTGACACCCGCAGCAACGCCCGCAGCGGAAATTTCTACGGACCCCAATACTGAATCAGACGCCCGCCTCGTCGACATGACCGACGAAACCTGGGGCATCATCCTCGCGCACCGCCTCCACAACTCAAATTCCACTAATGAGTACCGCCCCGCCCTTATCTCAGGCCTCCTCGTCAAACGTGGCCTCTCCCCTCCCATGCCGCTCCTCCCTCCTCCCCGACGCCCAAACTGGGCCTATTATAACCGGCGTCAACATCCTCTGGATGGGCGCCGTAAATCCAACCCGCGCAGCCACCTCACCCTTCCCCACTGGCTCAGGCGATGGCATATCCTGGCGCTGCGGGCAACGTACCGCCAGCAAGCACGAGCCCGCAGGAACCGAGGAGTAATAGTTTGAGTTGGACGCCAACGCCGCAGGCGAGGGCGGCGGCGGAGAACCTGATGAAGGAGGTGTTGGGTCAGTTTAGGGGTTGGGGTTGCTGGCGAGATTGAAGGGGTTAAGGGGAGCAGGCATGGAGCTGTGCCGTGGCATGTTGCTGTTGCGGTGAGGGGGGTTAGGGGGCTGAGTAGGACGGTTCCTACATCCACACGACCTACGTGATTTTTGGTTTACTTGGCGTTTCTCTCTCTGGGTGGAGATGTTGCATTGTTTGGTGTTTTGGCGTTTGGGATCTGCTTTGACTTGGACAGGCACGGGGGCATGTTCACATTTTTATACGTTTGTGATATACCATTTCATCTATTACGACGATCACGGTCACTCGGTAGTTACTTGTAAATCAATCATTATTAGGTATTAGATCTTGCTATTGCGCCTAGATTCGCCTTTCCGTCAGGAAACTTGTTGCTTGACGGGCTTTTAATATGTGCACCAGGCGTGAGATAACTCCTAGTTCTCAATTCCCAGATGATCCACCTTGTGGCTCTGCTTCTGCCCCGCCACAATCTTCCCCTGCTCCTGCTTCTGCCCTATCTCCCGCCGTTTCTCGTGCTTGCCTCCGTCTTGCGTGTTCCCTTGGGCGAAGGCATTGCCCTGCCCCGCGGCGTAGCCTGATGCTGCAGCTGTACAACACTATCAGCAACCATTCACCCTCGTTCACATGCTAGGGAAATACGGACGGATGACGGGGAAGGAGGGGGAAGGAAGGGAAATTGGAAATACCCTTGTCATGCGAGTCCTCGATAGTATGCTTGGAGCCGTCGGGCTTGTTGGTGGTTTCTTTGCGTTTTGTGGAGCTGAGGGCACCGGAGAGGGCGCCAAAAAGGTTAAGGTTCAAGCCGGCCTGCGTACATGCTCTGTTAGCTGACGAAATGGTAATATTGGGGATGTTGTAAAGCGTACCGAGGCATTGGCACTAGACTTATGTTCCGTAGTCTCCACATCGCGGGCATGCTGCTCTTGTCCTTGGTGTTGGTGCGCAATCTGCTGCGACTGTTCTTTCTTGCTGACGGCGCGGGACATGTTGGGCAGTGTATCAATCACAAGGTATCTTAGTCACGAAAGTTGTATTGGCAGTAGGAGATTGTATTTAGTAGGAAACTCGTTTCGAGGGTACTTCCGTCATGTATATACCTACTCCATGGTGTTGCGCTGATGTATGACGTCACGGGCGTCTGGGGTTGCTTGTGAACAATGCAAGCGAACCGGTTTTCGTATCCCGGCAGCGATCCTAGACCGTTTGCGGGAGCGGCCGTTACAAATATAACACCGAAGTTCTACCCCAAGTACTGTCACCATATGCTTAATGTAAAAGTATCTCGACTAGACTGTCCCAGAAGCCCAGGTCATACACGTTCTCCACAGCAGCAAGATCCCATACGCGCTCGAAACTTTCTTTGTCCGCGACAGACTTTATCCGCGGTGGGAGGCCTGTGGGCGGCTGGCCATTGGTTGTGCGCACGAGGATATGGCGACTTTCTAGCGGCCAGGTCGTCGGTGGTTCTTCGTCTTCGGGTGGGGTCTCGGGGGGTGTGGGTATGGGTGTTCCTGAGGACGAAGACCGCGCGGAATCCACCTCTCGGGCGCGATAGTCCCGCATGGTTTCTGGCTTCCGTTTGCCGAGGAAGACATTGCCGTCCGCGATCTCGTCTGCCCAATCTGCCCATTTGGAGCTCTCGTTGGTGGTCATGCCTGCGTAGATGAGGTAGAGGTGGTAGCCCAGAAGGCCGAGGGGAAGCGGCCATGTGAGAAGTGCGAGCAGTCCGACACCTGCTGCAGAGACACCGCCTACGTCGATGTAGATGCTGACATAGATAAGGAAGTAGTGGAGCTTCTTCTCGCCGTATGTAGCCCAGCTGGAAGGATTGGATCCGGGGCTTGGTCTGTATCTGTACCAGTGCTCGTATCTGGCGTAGTTTTTGTGGACCTTGGGGCTCAAGGCAAAGTATGCAATGTAAGCGCCGTAGGCTAACAGAATAGCTGTAGAGAGAAGCAAAGCGAGGAACCACTTATGGTTGCCACGCCCAAGGCAATTGTTCACCCATACACAGTGATGATCGGCTCGGGAGACACAGGCCTTGCATATACTGCAGTGCTTGCTACGTGCAGGCTTATTGAATTTGCATGTTCGGCATGCATTCCCCGGATAGAACAAGATCCTATCGTAGGGATAATGCCGCATTTGCGCTGCATGATTCAATTCCGTAACGATGGATTCGGGGTTCCTCTTTGCACATAGATAGGTGAAGTAGTATGGTTGCGGAAGCAAGATAACAACGAGGAACTTATGCTGTATAGGGAGCAGGTCCCACACGGTAGGCACGAGCAGACTGGCTGATATTGTGATGAGTCCGAGGAAGAAGATCATGACCACCGGGTGCTTCTCATTCATGAGATGGTGGCCCAGACGGGAGCCACCGCTAGTAATGCGCCCACCCGTGAGAAGAACATCGAGGGCACCTAACGCGGAGGGAATGCGGTGGACAAGGAGGCGGTAGCAGAAGCCAATGGGCGTGTTTCTACAAGAAGTCAGCCTGTCAGCGCGGTTGAGCAAGATGTATGTACCTAAAAGCTGGAGTGCGACCGAAGAAAGCAATAAAGGTCAGAACGGAGACCGTTATCACGAAGGTGATGATAGCGCGCACAAGAGTCATGGTGAAGGTACGTCAGGGTGCGTTGCGCATAGCGGGGTACTCCCACGACAAGCAAAGATCGTTTGCTACAGTTGCTGAATTACCCACCGCGACTGTGTCTGTCAGCTGTCCATGCCGCTGATCGTATCTCGAGTTCTTTGTCGCTGTCTTCGTGCGGTGAGCGTTGCAGGCAACAGTTGCCAAGACCCCGCGTGAGAGCGCGTTGATCCGCAACGCGTCAACTCCACGTTCGCTGCAACTCCATGAGTCAACCCCACCAGAACTCCGCGCCATGGCCGCGCCCGTCGTGTACCAGGATGTAGCTCCAGGCGCAAACCTCCATGGTCAGCTGTTCGCCGGAAAGAAGTTCTGGGTCGCCCAACGCGTCTTTTCCCGGTCGCGCTACTTGGATCTAATCAGAAGCAACGGCGGCGAGGTCGTTCTGCTGGAGAAGAAGGCCGATTACCTCATCGCAGACCACGTACGCCACGATTGCCCGCCTGGAAGTGTTTCCTACACATTCATCGACGAGTCTATTGAGAAAGGCGAGATCCAAAACCCAGAGAGCCATCGAGCAGGGCCTCCAGAAGGAACAGCGCGAGCACCAGGCTCGCTGAGCAGACCGGCAAAGGGTACCAGGGCTGCATATACCACAGAAGAGGACAGGGTACTCTACAAATGGGTGCACGACCGCATCAACGCGGGCGGACTAGCAAATGGAAACGAGATATACAAGCATTTGGAAAAGCAGGTATGCTTTTGAACCCAAATGGCTGATGTATGCTAACTGACCAGCACCCTAGGCATACATGGCAGTCGTGGCGTGATCGATATGTGAAGATACTACAACACAGGCCACCCTCTGCCTTCAACATCCCAGATAATGCACCTCCTTCACCTCCCTCAGATGCTCCCGCCGAGCCCGCGCCTGTACCGGCACAAACGTCATCCACGAGACCTACAACGACCACTTCCGGTAGCAGCTCCAGGAAAGCAAACGGTTCGAAACAGATAAACAGTGTTGAGTACACTGTCGACGAGTTGACAGCTCAAGGGTTGTTCGAGAAAGAGGACTGGGAGATGCTCTACGCTTTTGCAACAGACATTAGCGGCTGGGAGGGTGATGAATATCGCCAAGGCTGGAGAAGGTGGGCAGAAGGTCGACGACAAACGGCAGGGCAGTGGAGGCAATATTTCGAGAAAGTGGTGTGGCCGCAATGGCGTGAGGATTCGGACGAAAAACACGATGAGATCAGGATTCGGGTGGTTCAGCGCCAGGAAAAGGGAGACCGACAGCAAGCTAGTCAGGCAGATGGAAGTGAAGGTCTGCCCAAGCAAGATGAGCCGGAAGCCGAACCCTCCACTCCTGATTCAAGGGCGCCGAACACAAAGCGAAAACGCACGGACCCAGACGACAACTTGTTCGAATCATACCTTAACGAGCATCACAATGGTAAATCTTCCTCTGCTTACCTGGTGTTCGCACGAGAGAAGAAGTGGGCTCTCTGGAACGAGAGAACCGATCTTTCATATGGTACGTGCGACTACTCAAAACACCTTTGTGGTAGTAGCGAACTGACTTGGTATCATAGCTGGCCTGCACAAAATCCTCGTGTCTCAATGGGATGCTCTTTCATCCGAGGAAAAAGCACCCTACTTCGCACAAGAAGCAGCTGAAGCAAGTCGCACAGCGAACGAGACGGTCACACTATCGTCACAGGTATTTCTATCTTCATCCACTGTGGTCAATGAGACTCCGAAGTACATCGCTGAGGCTTACAACAAAACTTTGCATCAGCTACGCGAGGGTTTCGGCACTCAAGAACCTTATGTGGATCGCCAGGATAAAACAACACATCCGACGAAGAGGCAGAAGAGCATACCACCCAATCTGGGCACTCCACAGGACCCTGTGGAGGTTTCATCAGCCGGTACGGACTCACAAGAGTCTACGCAAGACGAGTTGCCAGATTCTAGGCCGGCGGAGAGGTCGATAGATGATGGCGAGGATTCGGATATGGGAGGCTTGGAGGCGATCGCACCGCCTCCGGGCGTGGCTGAAAAGTATGCTGGAGACCCTGCTCCAGATTCTCCAACGCCCCGCGCGCCACGCTACAAAGCTCCCTCATTCGATACCCAAGCTATACTATCGTCGCCATCGCAGGGCGCTACTCTACACGCCTTGCCACTCCCAGCTCGCTTGACGCAATTAGCGGAAGCAGAGGCAGAAGACAGCGGCGATAAGCTAGTATCCGATGCGTCAACAACCGAGTCGCTCCAAGAGTTCAGCCAAATAGTCAACGAAGACTCATATAATCGCGGGGGCATCATGCCGCTCCCTCAGCCCCATTGTTCGTCTCCACCTCAATCACCAGCTTCTAGCATCGCATCAACAGGCTCTGGTGATCCCGATCCTCCTCTCACTCCTGGTGAGGTCGACGAATACTTCGAAGAGCTCCACGCAGACGGATTTCCCGATGAGTTTATCGCCTCCGCGCTGAAGCATACGCGTTGGCGCCCAGAATTGGCCACTGAGGTGCTCCAGGCTTGGAAAGAACAGCAGCCGGTCCCAAAGAAGAGGGGCATATGGAGTGATTCAGACGACGAGGAGGTTGAGGGAGGGGATGGCGCAGCATTGGCACGGCTGGAAAGGAAACATACGCTGGACGGGTGGGGTGGAGTCACGGAGCGGCTGAATTTCTTGGCAAAGTATAGAGATGCTAAGGCATGAGTGAGTCTGGAAAGCAGAATTTGTGGAAAGGACTGGATCGTAGTGTTAAGATACCCTGGAGAGAGAGAGAGCACGCCATAATAACGCGAGATGTTTGTCAGGAGCTGCTTCGATTTTGGCCTGTCGTATATGGAGTACCAGCTTCCCATCGTTGTAAGGTGCGTGACTCGAACCTTCCTTCTGTCCTCAGGGACACGGCTCGCACTTCTTTACGCGATATTGTATGACGCGTTATCGATGCGCCATCCTCACTCGATACTGTCGGAACTACGCCACCTTCACTCTCAGCAGTGCCGTCACTCAAACACGAGCCGCTCAGGCTGCGGAGACCGCGATTTCCCTCCGACTAAGGCTTGCAACGATGTGAGTAACTAAGCAACTGGCAACAACGCAAGCAAAGTGTGATCACTTACGTATTGAAAGGTGTGAGCTCTGTCCGACGCCACCTCCATCTAGCGGAGCCGCCTTCGCGGCGTCCTCTAAACTCATTACTGGCTGCGTCGTTTGCGGCAAGCAGCACAATCTTCAGAAATGCAGCCAGTGCAAGGTAGTGTCCTTTTGCGGACAGGAGCACCAGCACATATACTGGGCTTCGCACAAGACCATCTGCAAGAAGATTGGCAAGCAACTGAAATTATTAGATCGGGCACACGAAAATGTAAGTTGTTAAGATGCTCCGGGAGCATTTTGCATATGTACCAGGTGTTCTGGAGCAGCAAGTAAAAGAGCACATGACTGATTCTGCCCAGGGTCGAGATGCTCTGATGTTAGTCATGGATGAATTTCAAGCAGCAGGCGTCCAGGAGATGGCCACAGTTCTACCCGTGCACCAGTTGAAGTAGGTTATTCCATCTCTACATGCAATGAAGATCCCACTAAGAGTGCATTGCAGGCTAGCTGAACGAATGCTTGAGATCAATACCCGCTTAGCCGTGGAAACTGCGTTCGACCGTCTGAGATTCATTAAGAAAGTACCTGACGGACTTAAGACCGACTTGCTCTTGATGGTATCATCATGCTTGATTCGTCTCAATCGGGATCAGGAGGCCTACAACTACTTGAGGCACTGGACATCACCAGACGCCATCGCCGACCATGACTCGTCCGGTCCACCCAAGATCTTCTGGAACAAGAGCGACTATGACTTACTCGAGTCGCCCGAGCTCTTCTATGACAAGGCGCCATCTATGGCTTTCATGGGCACAGTTTTCCTGCTGAAGCTGCGAATCTTGCAAAGTTTGGAAATAGCCCAAGAGTGGAAGGAGATGATGGGTGACGATATGGATCGAGAAGCTATCGAGCAGGTCAGGAAATCCGGCAGCGGACCCATCACAAAGGAGCATATCCAAGCCGGGAAGCTAGAGGACAATGCCAACAGGCTCATTCATGACCTCGGCCAGATGTACGCTTTTGTGAAGGAAGGGCAATCGGACTTTTGGATAAAGCTACCTACAACACACCAGAGTTTGGAACCTCGCCACGATTGCACAGGTCTCGAAACTTGGCCTATGCTACACTGCTATAGGGCTTTCGCCGATACTGAGCGCGGCCTTGAATACCTCCGATCCTTCACCGAAGTTGGGGAGAAGATTAGTGCGAGTACCCATTGAAGGTCAAATCGGGTGCCTCGTGCTTGTCCGATCGAGAGGTAACAGCTCGTATTAGTTACGCAGCACCTTGAACCAATTAGGGAGTCATCGGATAGGACAATAAAGGAGCCTCAGAAGGTGAAACCATGTCTGATATCACAGCATCGTCTGTGGGAACAAAGATAGATCACCGGAAATCCGCTATTGCGAGACGGCGTCATTCTCAAGCTCAAGGTCACTTCACAAATTCAAAGTTTCCATCGTTATAGACTTATATTGCCATAGCTATCCCATAGCAAGTAAATGAACCAAACTTTTAGTGCCTCTTACCTGCAAACGACCCAGCTATAAACGCTACGTCCGCTTATCGCGTAAAGCGGTCCCACATCGGGCGTTATCCACGTGTTTATCTCTAGACTAGTATCTATCCAGCAAGAAGTGTTTTCCCCATACGCTCTTTCTCCACAGCAACTCCACAGCCATCTGAACACTGATAAGTTTGCTTGTGCTGCCGCCGGCGCTTCGGCATCGGCATCGGCATGTCTCTCTCCCCCTCTTTGTGCGACGTTCCATGTCGATCCTCCACATTCCAGATACTACGAAAATATTTCGCGGAAGAGGTCCACAGTGTTGGTCTTGGGAGACTACAATAGCCGACCCAAATCGGTACAGTTACCGCACTAGGCAAGCTCCCTGCCGCGGCTGGTGTATTATCCGCCAAAAGTTACCCCATCGAGATAACCGTCGGTCCAATACACGACACACGACTGGCAGACTTGATCTACGCACTCATCGTACGGAATGGTTCCGCCAGGGGCTTATCGGACTGTTGTATAGATGCTGGCGGAGGAGCGGCCGTGGAGCACATGATCTGCTTGATCAACCAGTAGACATCAGTGCCACCAGCTTACATGTGCCTGATCGGCGAGATGACAGCCAGCAACACGTCGCGAAAACAGCTGCAGATAAGACGAGTCGCAGAAAGACTACATAAGGATTATGGGGTTGCCATTGCAACAAGTTTCTGTTCAGCCTACTTCAACTGCTTGACGCCGCGACCCCGCATTCACGAGGGACTTTGCGCAACCCTCTCAAGAACCACAATCTCCTGATTATCATATCATAGACAATAAAAATGTCCTCACGAACACTGCGTGTCGCGGTCACGCAAGCTGAACCAGAATGGTTCGATCTTCAGGGCACTGTCGACAAAACCAACCGCCTCATAGCAGAGGCAGCCGGCAACGGCGCGAAACTGATTACCTTCCCTGAAGTATGGATTCCCGGGTATCCCGGTTGGATATGGTATGTTCCATACATCTCACTCTCTCAACATCACGATCCACTGCTGATCGAAGGCCCAGGGCGCGCCTCGTCGACCCTGCGTTAGGTACGCGCTACATTCAGAATTCGATGACTGTGGACGGCCCGGAAATGCAATCAATCCAAAAAGCCGCACAAGAGAACTCCATTGCCGTCGTCCTCGGCTTCTCTGAGCGTACCTCATCAAACAGCCTCTACATCTCACAAGTCATCATCTCGCCGCAGGGCGAAATCCTGCTGAAGCGCCGCAAGCTGAAGCCTACACACATGGAACGCACAGTCTACGGCGACGGCTCCGGAAGCGACCTCACCAATGTTGCGGAAGTGGACTTCGGCTCCGGCGTCGGAAAAGTCAAAGTCGGGACTCTGGCGTGCTGGGAACACACGCAACCATTGCTCAAGTACAACACCTACTCGCAAGAAGAAGTTGTGCATGTAGCGATGTGGCCTCCGCTAGACCCCTTTGGTGCCCAACCTGCGCCCGAGAACCCCGGTCTCTTTAGCATGAGCCACGACGGCGCGTACGCGCTCTCGACAACCCACGCTATCGAAGGCGGCACCTTCGTCCTCTACACCACTGCCGTGTGCACAGAGAAGGGCATCGACGCCTTCCAATCCAAGGATGGTCTAATCTTCCGAGAGGCAGGCGGTGGACACGCCGCTGTGATTGGACCTGATGGAAGGCGACTGACGAAGGACCTGGAGTGTGGGCCGACGAAGGAAGGGATCTTGTTTGCGGATTTGGAGTTGGATAGGGGACTGGGGGTTAGGGCGTTCACGGATGTGGTCGGGCATTATTCGAGGCCGGATTTACTGTGGCTGGGCGTAGATAGGCAGGAGAAGAAGTGTGTCGTTGAGAGGCCAAGGGAGCAGCAGTAGAGTGACTGGGTTCATAGATTTGGGTTTGGAAGCGAGAAATAAATCGTGGCAGAGTGAAGGCTGCAATCAGCTTGGAGCCGCTTTACTCACGAACACAATTCCAAACCAACGCTCGAAAGGACAGCTAGCCACGCGCATTCACTATCTACGCTTTGAAGTTGCTTATTGAGACTCATCATCATGTGCAATGGCACAACCGAAATCTGGAAGCCTTCTTGAGACTGCGACACCTATATAGACAAGCCTGACCTCACATTAGCAGGAAGTGATAAATACAACCGGAAAAGTTGAAACAAGTCGTCCACAAAGCGCAGACCAGCTCTCGGTCCCGGTCCCTACAATCACAGTTCCTCTGCATAAGTAATCAAAAATGGAGCATCGGCGCCAAAGAACAAAACACGATGAACAAAATCAGCCGCATGAAGCCCGCAGACAAAGCATAGGCATTGGAAGTGCATCCACGTAGTACGAGGAACCGAAAATGAAGCATCATCATGAAAGACAAGGATACACAAACAGAGCTTCAGTAAAAGCCAGTGGACAAGGTCTCGGCGTTAAAGTGCAATGATTTGTAGTAAACAACTAAGAAAGAAACGTCAGCGTACGGAATCGTGAATACAAAATGCAGTGAACGAATGCGGATGGGTATTCAGGCGATAAAGCCGCTGGGAGAACGGAGGACAGATCAGCAGATTGATGAATTGGAGACCGTGAGTGTTGAATAATTTGCGGTATGTGACACATGCAGACGCTGAAGCCTCGCCTCAACCTGGAGCTACGTCAGGCTATGTTGTGTTGAGCGCCGACAAAGGTATGCCCTCAAATTCCAAGCCCAGAAGCAGCAGGGATGGTGAATGGATGACTTGGCGAGAGTATGAAATTGGAGGCCGTGGCTGTTCGCAGATCCCGTCGTATGCTGATTTTTAACAACGTTGATGCAGTACCAGAAGCAGAGTTCCCTCAAGCTGTGTTAACCTCCAGAAAAGTCACTAGAACCCGTGTATGGAAGGATCAAGTGATCAAACAAAACGAGAAGCCTATTATTTGGATGCGAGCGTCGCAAGGTGAGAGCCACCGGAAGCTGGATAGTGCGGGCTTTTTGATCGGCGGTTTTCGCAATCGAAGGGAAGTATTGCAGTGGCGCTGTATCTTACATTCGTGCCATTGTCTGATATATGATCTTGCTTTGGCGCATAATTGTTTGCTTCGCCGACGAGTAGATTGCGGAAAGTGCGTCCTCGTCGTTTTGGCCTTGTTGTTAACAAGTAGACTGTTCAAAGACTACGTTCATGGATCAAAGCTCGCCTTTATCTCAGCGGGCATACAACCCTCAAGCTAAATCAGACGCCCGCGGGATCCCGAGCCACAACGGGCTCATCGATGATACAATACGCATGACAGTTACCATTGCCGTCGACCGACACAATCTCTGGGTATGTCACGTCACGATTCGGAGTGCAGTGGCGGCATTGGGCTCTATAACAAAGCGACCTGGGTGTGGCTCCAAGCTCCCCATGTTGCGGACGCTGAGAATCCTGGCCTCTGCGCATTCCAGGTGAATGAACAAGGAGGCAGCACAGAGAGCAAGAAGCAGATCTTAGCATCATTTGTGTTCCGACTCCTAATTCCCAATCGAGCTTAAACCTCCTATCAACTATCGATGTGTTGGCCGTTTAGATGCAGAGTCCATCAGGCAACTGTGGTTACCTTCTGGGTTTGATGAGATCGGCTACATCATGGACTCCGAAGAGACCCATATTGACGATCGCACTGAAAAGATAACCCATTTTTCCCATGCCGCGAAGCAATGGGATGGTCCGCAGACTCCTGAACGGGAGGAGCCTCGACCTAGGAAAAAGCAGAAGCTGTGTCGCGATCGTGAGTCTGGCGCAATGTCGCTCACAACCAACCCCTGTGCGGGAAGGCCTGTAGCTTCAGCCATTGATGGAACCCTGCTCGAAGCGTTCCCACCAAAAGTTGCCCCTCAACTAGTCAGTCCACAAAACTCTGACTTGTTTGAGGCGCGAGACGGGGGCGAAACGCAAGTCCATACGCACGTACAAGACTCACCCCAGACGGCGACCTCCGAGGCCGAGCGATCTACATTCCTAATGCTTCCCCAGATCTAGTTCAGTCGGCGAGGCTGCAGATTCTCCAAAGCGACAACCTCTGAGAGGCCCCTCGCCGCTAGGACATCATCCGAGATGGCGCTCGGAGGAATCACTGGGATGACTCGGGCTACGGTGGCAGTAGAAACGGTTGTCTACATTACGGAGACTAAACAGATACTGTACCACGCCCGCGTACGTGAGGTAAGTTTCGATCCACATGACACCTGGGGTCACTTATCTATACACTCTTCTTCTAGTGCAACACTCTAATTCCCAATAGTGAAAAGGCTGGCCGGGATTTTGCACTGTGCGACAACAACACGGATCGAACCGCTCGCTGTCGAATGCCTTCCCGTTCCGCACGCCTTTAGATATTCTTGCACGATGCATGCCTCACTGTTCGCGTATGTAATTACGAAACGGAAGCTGTGAGGAAGATTCAGCAGCATCGGCTCTTGTCTGCGGCATTTAGCTCTGGACCCGAACGCCAGGAATCTTACGTGTATAAGGATATGTGTGAGGTTTAATTGCTTGGGGGCTTTCCGACCTTTTTTCAATCTTTTGCGACGATAGGGGTGTAGGAGTGCGGACAGTTGTATAATCATACTTGCTTTCTTACATCGAGGGTTTTGGCGTTGTGTTTTGCGAGCCAAGGTCCCGAAGTATTGATGTGAAGTTGGTCTCAGATGACACGTGCAGCAGTCGATTTGTAGAAGGATCCATGGACAGAATGGCCTTAATCAATAGTGTTCGAGGAATACATCATAACCTCTAAGAAGAGATTGCACCTTACAATATAAATCTCCCATTCAGCGACTAAGCCAAAACCTCCTTCATCTTTATCCTGAGCCCACCCTTAGGACCGCTCGTGATTCCACCCCCAATCTCCAACGGCTTGTCCGGCTCCTCCAGCTCCATCTCAAACCGGCCTACTAGCGCCGCCAACAGACATGCAAACTCCGCCTTCGCAAAGTCCTTGCCGATACAGCTTCTCGGCCCGTGCAAGAATGTTGTGACCGCGTAGTTTGAGTCAGCGCCGCCGGTGTTCGCCTTGCCCTGACCCATCCAGCGCTCAGGATTGAACTCCTTGGCGTCGGTTCCCCAGAGCGCGTTGGAAGTGTTGATTGCCCAGGGGCAAATGACGATGGTCGTGCCGGCAGGAATGAATTTACCTTGGATGGTAGTGTCTTGTTCGGCCTCTCGAAGAGTGAGCGCAACGGGTGGGAAGACACGGGAAGTCTCATTGAGGACGGCGTTGAGGTACGGTAGGTGGTCGATCTCGGTGGAAGAGATCTGTGCGGAGGGATCGTTGATGGCAGTGATGTTCGCGCGCACTTCCTCACGCAAGCGCTTCTGCTCGGCGGGATGTTTGCAGAGGAGGTATACGGCCCAGGTTAGCGAAGTTGCGGTAGTCTCGTGTCCTGCGGCAAGGAACGTCATCAACTGGTTAACCATGTCGTCGTCTGTGAAGCCGCCGGATTCGATGGCAACGCTGAGGATATCGACGTCTGTGCGCTCGCCCTTCTCCAACTTCGCGCGCTTTGAACGGACTAGGTCAGCTGAAACGCGCTTGATGGTGCGGATGGCTTCCTTGAACTCCTCGTTACGCTTCACAGGGAGAGCTCGGATCAGCCACTCGGGGAGAAACATCGAGGCGACCTGCATCACCTTGGCGGCGGTACTGGGCTTGAAGATGGTGCGGTAAGTGACATTGAGCTCGTTGGTCGGATCAGCAATCGCATTGAAGTCTTGACCCATTCCAGCCAAGCCAATAATATCGAGGGTCGCCCGAGAAGCCCAGTCACGGATTTCCACGACAGAGGTCGACTTCATCTTCATCTCACGGGAAATAGCATCAGCCATCTCGACGGACTTATCCCAGAATACAGGGTAAAGGTCTTTGATGTGTCGGAACGCAAAAGCAGGCATGAGAGCTCTTCTTTGGCGCTGATTGCTGTTAGCATTGTCTCTGCACGTTACACATTTCGTCCTCACCTTGTGTTCGTCGCCCTCGGCAACGAGAACACCTATGCCGAGGAGTCTTCCAACGCCTTTCCTCACACGTTCGGGTTTGACAAACTCGTAGCTCCTTTGAACCAGCACCTCCGCCAACGCCTTAGGGGTAGTGATCAGAATTCTTGGCTCGTTGAACAGCCATCGGTAGTATAAAACGCCATCATTCTGCACCGTATCAATCCATTCCCTTTGCGGTTCACCACTTGGTTCCTTGAAAATCCGTTTCCAGTTTCCAGCAAGAAAGTTTGCACCCTGATTGTATGAGCCTGACGAACCGTAGTAGAAATAGCGTTGATACATACAGGCGCTTGTGGCAAATGGCGCAACGGACTGAGGAGCAAAGGATACACCAAGGTACCCCAGCAGAACAGCGCGAAGATGGCTATCATCGACAATGCTACCACGTTCCATATCGCACTCGTACTCAACGCAGCCCACGGTGCATATCGCTGGGTGAAGAATGTGATGGCTGCGGAGGCAACAACTAACGCCCGCTTCGGTACCGCCATTTCTTTCCTACGGTTAGAAAGATGTCACGAACAAGTTGCGGAAGTAAGAGATCCAAGGCTTGGCCAACAAAGAAAGGTATGAATGTAAGCAACACGACGAGCTGCGCCTGTTATAAAGTTATACACGGTGCCATACGTGGATCGTTTCATAGCGTGGCGCCCACGGAATACGACGCGCATCATCGATTAGGGCTAGCGCGGATCGGCCGACGGTGGAAAGAATTGCGCCGATCTGCCGGACGAAGATCGCCCCAGCAAGCACGCGAATCAAAAACAGGCACTGGGGGCGTATCGCAAAGCTGTCCCGTTTTGGAACGAACACTTGTGGAGGGCGTCGCAACAGATGAGCATGTTTGTTGAGAAGCAGCGTCGTGAGCTACCGCGCAATACTGTATTTGACGAGGGGCCCAATCACCGCTAGTACAAAGCCCACCTTGAACAGCATAGAACATCACCAGATAGATCTCAATCAGTTATCATGTCTGTGGAACACTTTATTTGGAAGCACAGAATGATATAACTCAGCTCAAATGGTTCGGAACGAGTGCGGCGAGAGTATATGATACAGTCGACAAGTCGAAACTTCCGTCAAACAAAATGCACTCAATGTCGCAAGTGAGCATACCAAAATTGCTCTTGTCGCGAACTCTTGTTAGTCGTGGTACAGTCGTACGATCTCGCCGTTCGCGTCTGAGATACACATAAATGTTGGCAAACTACGCACATACATTGTGATAACATGTGCTTTCTTTGCGCTTCGTTGCAAATATGTTATTTTCAAACATTCTTGTTGACTTGGTTAGGCCTTTAACCCGCGGTCTAAGTCTGGGTGAGGGAGTAGATGAAGGAGATTAGGAGCTTCTCGCAACCCAGTTCCACGTCTATGAGGCCTTTAGCGCTTTATTACCATCACGTATTGCAAGGCGGCGCTAGGGAGATACCTCACGATAGGGAAAATTTGTCCTCAGTCAATGCGGTTCAACACGCTGCTATGAACCGGCTCACTCAGGCCGACTCTGAGAAATCTGTACTACAGCAACGCCTCAATGAAGAGGAGGCCAGGCCTAAAATTACATTGAAGAGGCTGGAAAATCTTTCCCAGAAACAGAAAGAGCTCGAGCAGATCTTGGACAAGCTTACCAAGAAGGCTAGGGGAGTCTGAACTGTCGACGTTGGCCAACAACTACGCTGACATGTTGGTTCAGCTTCCGCTAGCGGCGAAACGACAGGCATGGAAGAGGGCATATAACTGTGGTGGAGAAGGCCCAACGGTGTAGGAGCACCGATGATTCTGCGATGCAACCCCGGCAAAAGGAGAGTTCCCTTTTCAAGAGCTAAGTCGTTGACGAGAGGCTCTTGGTCGTGTTGCCTTTACCATCGTACATATTCAACACCCTATAAGGATGTGCGACGGAATTTGTGGATACGAAAATGCTCATACAAACGACTCCGAATGAAAACACCCCGATACACCACGTTTTCTCTCCATCATAAAAGCCACGCCGCCCCTCCCCCGCTCTCGAAACCAGCACCACCGCACCCTAATCAATAGTAACAGCATCCTTCCCAATCCACTCCGGCAACTCCCAGTCCTCCTGACAACTAACAAACTTCACATCCGCGCCGCCAAATTCCGTCGAACCCTACCTCACATTAGCTTCTTCTTTCCCACTTCAGAATCTTCCCCAAGTGCAATTACCCCAAACGGATCAGACAGCACCCACTTGCTTTGGCTGAGCGAGTTGCTGCTAACATAGCACGCTGCGACCTCCGACGAGTCGGTCGTGACAGCGACGGTCGCGATGTCGATGTACAGCTCGGCGGAAGAGACGTCAAACCAGCCGGAGACGGGGCCGAGCTCGAAGTTGAAGGTTTCGCCGGTGCGTTTGGTGAAGGTGAGGTTTGTGTTGGCGAGAGCGGTAGTTGCGAGAGCGACCACAGGGAGGAGTATGAAGCGCATGCTGAAATTGGGTTTTGCAGCGTCGAATAGGAATCAAATAAGTTAGAATGAGCATGCGTGTAGCAAGTGGTGGCTGGCGTGGATGTTTGGGAGACTGGAGACTCAAAGTCTTATAGGGTTTATCTGCACACTACAATCTTTCTATAGAACTATAATTGGGTTCGCCCGATCCACTCGTATCGGACCTGCGTCCGGACCGTCCCTTCGTTCATGAACGAGCAGCGTGTCATCGCGGAGCCGCAGCAGTGAAACAAGCCTCTTTATTCATCCCGTCGAGTGGTAGGATCTACATAATCAGCTTGGCGCACCCAAACGGGAACCTGTATAGAGAAAGCTCATGCTGATAAGCATCTCCGTGTTACACTCTAGCCGCAATTGCTTATCCGTTAATGGACTGCTTTTGGAGAAGGAAGCATTGAGCTGTAAGCATCGTTTCTGATTGTTCGATCTTGGATAATGGACGCAGAGATTGGATCTGGAAAATTTTGCTCGCAACGATTGGGGGTGGCGCAGACGCTTTTGGTGATAATTGCTAGAAGACTTCCGACATTCTGCGACTGCCCTTTGTTCAGCACCTGAGGTTAACCAAGTAACAACCAACATATGCACTAGTATAATCCAGTTTCCAACACGATTATTAGCGACAGTAGACGCACCGTCGTCAGTATACACGTAATAACGATCATCGAAGGCACCAGGCCACGGTTCTGGGGGTTAGTACATATCGATCTCGTAATCATCGTTCTCATCCGAGTCAACGTCACTATCCTCGAAGCCAGAAGGCAACGGACCATCCAGATAAGTCTCCTCGTCCGAATGCATCATGTACCTCTCGTGATACCTCGCACTCTTTTTGAACGCATTCTGAACAAATCATGACTCCTTCCAAGCCTCAAGCTCTTCGTCGTCCACGACCCAGTCTTCAGGGTCTGTAGAATTCGATGGCTGAAGTTGGTTCATCTGTGAGCCGTCGCTCTTGCGCTTGACACCGTAGTGATATTTTCGACTTTGCACAATGGCAGGTGTACACGGATTAGGCATTGTATTCTCGTTACTTCATCACTACCATACAAAACTATTCAAGACCCACAGAGATAGCAGCCAAAGCCCAGTCCATGAAACCGGCATTGGTGTCCAAGATGTTCGTGTTGAATTCCGAGAGCGTGGGGTAGAAGTTACCGCTCGGCGCAAACTCGAGCGTGTAACCGTAGACCTTGTTCGCACCGGACACGGACCAGTACCTGCTGAAAGCATAGTCATCCGTAGCACCGGAAGTAGCGTACAGGCCGACAGCCTGCTGGCTAGAGTATGATCGTCCACCAACCGCCTTCATGGCTGCGACGGTCTTGGTAGCCACGTTCCTGATATTGGTCAGATCTGTGGAGGGGATGTACTCCTTGTAGGCGCTGTCTCCGACGGGGCCACGCTTGCCGTCGTATGCGCTGTTCTGGAAATTCATGGTGGTGGTGGTAGTCTGGTCCTCGTCATCGCCCCAGCTGTAGAGCAAGTCACCAACTGCAGAGTGGATGTCCATGAACCAGCGGATCTTGGGGAAGTTGGAGTAGACGGAGACGTGGTTCTTGGTCTCAGGCTCCGAGGCAGCTGCAGTGCCGTAGAAGGTTTCGGAAGACGGGGAGGTGGATGCTGGAGACTCGCTGGATGCGAAATACTTCTTGAAGTTCCACAGGAAGTCGAAGTTCCTGTTGAGGTCGACACCTACAGAGGCGCCGCTGCTGCCGGACTTGGTGTTGCGGTTCTTTCTCCACAGGTTACTGTTGGCCTGGTCATAGGCGACACCGTCAGGGTTGACGAGAGGGAAGAAGACGATACCGGCGGCAAGAACGCTCTTGACCTGGGCATTGGTGTACGTCTTGCTGCCGTACGTGAGGCCGGTACCAGCCTTGCTGGCAGCTAGCAGATCCGCGATCCAGTAGATGAGGTTATCGGGCCCACCGCGCTCACGTGCGTGAATACCAGCACTGAGGTAGAGATGGTAGGCCGACTTATCCGTGCCAGCGCCGACGTAGCCCACGACTTGGGTGCGACCTTCGAAAGTCTTGCTGGACAGGGTGAGTAGGTTGGCACCATAGACACTCTTGAGCGCATTGAGGGCCGATGTGATCTCGTTGATATTCATGATGCTCGCGATGGTGGTGCCCGAAGCCTGTGTTCCGAGACCTTTGGGGGCAACGGTACCAGACGAGAAGCGGTCGCCGGTTCCAATTGGCGCGGTCGCGGCTCTCTTGACCAAGTTTCGCTTGATGGAGATGTCGGTGTCCCGCTCGTAGAACTTCTCCAGCTCCACAATCTGGGGCTCGCTCAACCACGCAGCCAGGCGGAAGTGGCCATCCTCGGTTGGTTGCGCAACCGGTCTGCAGCCTGTGCAAGTGTGAGTAGGTAGGCCGGGTATCCCACCGACTGCCAGTGCTCACCAAAGTCGTACGTGTCGTTGCGGACGACGTCGCGGAAGTGCGCAGGACTGGGGGCCTTGAAGTGCACCGGCACCAGTTCACCGAGCACAACGGTGCTCGAGGCAATGAGCGACGCGACGAGGGAGTACTTCATAGCTGCGTGAGACGGTCGGAAGGATGCGAGTGGATAGCACAGGCCGTGACGGCGGGCATGGCCTCTCTCTATATGCTCGCATCGTGAGGTGTATTGTCCTATCGGGTGGTGGTTTCTCCTTACAGGGCGTGACACTCCAGGTACAATGTGAGCGACTGTGGGGTTATCTCAACCAATGGCATGGCGTGCCACGTCGTTAGGCGGCCTCGCACCTTCTCCAAAACATCTAGCGGATCGTCTGTTCTGGGCAGGCACTCGGCGGCTCTACGTGAATGGCCGTCCACCTGCTACTCTCGCGCGCTGTTCCTGGCCAGCGTCTTGTCCGCAATATACCAGCGGACGTACTCCTGCCGCCCAGCACCGCGCCATCTTGATGGCCTGCCGTTTCCGGTGCCGATCCGGTGTCTTGTCATTTAAGGACCGAAGGCGATTCTTGGGCGTGCGATAAGAGGCGTGTTTCTCTTAGGCGAGTTGCGACTGTACGATGCCGCCGCCGTCGTGTGCATCACGCTGTGCGGTCGAGCGACGGCCTTCCCGGACCGGCAAAACGAACGAAATCGTCCACGGAACATGGCCTTGGCGGGAGTCGAGTTGCCGTGCATCACAAGGGCGTGTTGACGTAGCGAGGAGCCGCAGCGAGGTGTGCGGACGTGTGTAGGTTGGACTTGCAGTAGAGGGTAGCCTGTCTCTATATCTACATGCGCAGGGCCAACACAGTGCTCGAATCTGACTAATCGCACGCCATGTAAAGGCCATGACGAATCAGGCGACAAATACATCCCACCTACTCAATTGCTTATAACAACGCAATCGCAACAACCATGGCGAGCACTCCGCTGCCCATCAACGGCTTGGCTGAAGTGGCGGCACCAGCTTGCGTCGTCCCGGAGCCCGAAGGCTGAGCAGCTTCTTGCGCTTCTGAAGCTCCAATGCGTGTACCTCCTACCCCAGTTCCGTTTTTGCACTCTTCGTCGTCGAGGAGCTTTGCGTCCTTGCTGAATGTAATGTCCATGCACTGTTGACATGGTCAGCATCCTATTCCCTTGATTTGTCGAGAGTAGACTCACGTTGTACAGACTGCTCCCCGAGTGCGCAATCTGGATGACCTGCAGACTCGCCTTCTGTCCATCCAAACCGTCTGTCCCACCCGTAATGTTCCCGGCCTTGAGACCCTCCTCGAGTGCGCTCTTCACAGCGTCCTTGAGACACAGCGCACCTGCACCAGTCTGGTTGAAATTGTCCACGAGGGACATGTTGAAGTTGGTGACGTTCTCGCCAAGTCCGAGGTTGACGTATGTGAAAGCAAACTCGTGGCTACCGTTGATCATTATAGAGCCGCCAGTCGTGGGCCACTTCGTTCGCGTGCCATTTGTCGTCTCGGAGATATTCGCACAGGGCCAGATCCATTGCGATGCAGTCTCGAGCTCGAGCGAGTCACCCCGCCATTCAGGGTAGAGCACATGAAAGTGTGCACATGTGAGGGCAGCCAAGGACGCGAGCGGGAGGAGAGTAGAGGCGAGCATTGTGGCCGTGGTCAACTGGGATGGGTTCCTTGAGCGGGATTGAGGCCAAGAATTGTCCTCAAGGCAAGCACCTGAGCGAGGCTGCAGCTCCTCTTTATACTCCCATCCCATCGCGTCGCTCTTGCCTACTGCATCTAGGGAACAACGCTACTGCCGAGTACCCTCGTTCTTTCCGAAGCTCGACTGTGCTCCGCTGAGTCCTGTTCATGGGAATTGAGCCGCGAGTGAGCGTTCTGGACGTTTCAAACACCAATAGACATCGCACAAACATTGCTGGGCAATCGTTGTGGCGCTAGCTATAGCTCGGCCCCTAGCCAGTGGCCCTGCAGCCGCATCTTCGTGAGCTTCAGCAAGATGCTCAAACTTGCTCACTTTGCTTGGCGGCTAAGCTGCATTTGGAGGGGGTAGCAAAGATGGGACGGACGCAACGAGCAGAGAATTTCAACAACAAAATGAATGGGAGGGGATGGCACGGTGAAATCGTAAAGTCATGTTGTAGCATAATTGTGGGAGACGGTAGGTTGTTTACCAGACGTCTATGCGCCTACCGCCGTCTCGTGTAGCCCTAGTTCCAAACATTGCTCGTAAACGCTAATGCAGGTGGGTATCGTACTAGAACATACTACTCTGCTTTTTCCTGAGGGTATTCGCATTCGATTCGCTCGAGCTTCGCAGGCCCCAGAAGCTCTTCTTTCTCATCCTCTGCTGCCCGTTGGGCTTTGGCAGGCCGTTACTGAAGTACGCACTTTGTGAGGCCTGCGCTCCTGGAGGCTGCAAGTATGGACCTGGACCCGGGCGCTGCGGTTGCGATGCAGGTACAGGACGATGGAATGGGCCTTGCGCAAGGGGCACAGAGTGTCTTTGCGGGTGTTGTGAAGGGGACAGAAGATTGCTCTGATCTCCGAACTGTCTCCGCAGGCGTTCAGTTTCCCGATCTATTTCACCCTGTCGCCGTCTGCGCTCCTTCTCGTCTTGTTTTCGACGCCTGTCTTCGTCTTCGAGGAACTGCCGTGTTTTTCGTTCCTCCTCTTGTTCCAATTGTCTTCGCTTGCTGTCAGCTTGTCGCCGTTGCTCTCTTGCTTCGGCTTCTACCTGCTCTCGCAGGCGCGCTGTCTCAGCATCTAACTCCCACTGCCGTCGAGGATCTAGCCGCGGGCCCGGCCGGTTCCCAGTTTCCAGTGGAGGGAGCGATGTGCGTTTGGCGGCGTTGCGGGATGGCTGGATGTATGACCCAGTCGCAGGATGAGTGTTGGTATTCTGAATCGGCCGCTGCACGGGTCTTTGAGGTTGTGGTGGAGGCTGAGGAGTCATGACGGGCTGCATGACGGTCGATGGTTCAAGCGGCGACGAGCCTTTTCGTGTCCTAATGCCGCCGCTGTTCTTGCGTGTGTTCGGGTCTAGAATGTGGTACGACTCCCGAGCGTTACTGAAGAAGAGGTCCCGTATCACGGCACCTCCGAGTAATATGACCACTTCCAAACCTTTATAGTCCTCCATCTCCACTCGATAGAGGTTTGGTTCCATGATTGTTATCTCCTTCAGCCCGGAGAACAGAGCAACGGCAATGTCTGGCTCTTTGCTCTTCTTTGCTTTTTTGCCCACTACGTCCGTCGACTTGCCGGTAAGATAGCATGTCATGTCCTTGCCCAGCCGGCCTTCTTTCCTCCAAACGAAGTTTATGTGCGGAGTGGTGGCGTCGGCACCCGGGTCGCTCATGGTTCGGTCGAGATTCGAGGAACTAGGCGTCCTGAATGAGGTCTGAGGCATGCTGAACTCATACGATATGGTTGAGCTCCATTTGGTGGTCTGCTGCTTCACGATGATCTGCTGGTCCGGGTTGTAGAGCTGGATGGCGAACTCGGTGGGGAAGATGGGCTGCGGCGGCGGCGGGACTCCGCCATTCTTGCGTATCTCTTCCTGCGATAACGATGGCTGTGTCCATCCCGGCTTGGAGAGAACTTCGCCGTACAATATGTCGGGGTTGTGTGAATCGAACAGGGCTACCGCGTAGGTATTCTTCGCATCGTTGGAGGCGGGGTCGACACTCGTGAGGGAATATGAGGCTTCCGGCTCAGAGCCATGTTGCGTGTAGTAAAAGGATTCGTGATGCTTGACCTTGTCCGCCGAGGGCTTCAGAAAGAAAGCTGCCGGCGTATGTTAGCGCATATCAACGGTCGCTAGGCTGGGCTGCATACTGGGCAGAGCTTCGTCTAGCATGGCGTCATATTCTGCCTAGAACTGGCGCAGAGCGAGAGGGACGAGGGTGTAGGATGCGTGCCTGGCGTAGTGAGTGTGAAAAGTATCAAGAAGCTCCAAGAGAGACAGAGGATTGTCTTCCTTGGGGCATACGCGTTTCGAGGCGCTGGGTTGCGGCTGTGCGATTGCTTTGGCGCACGGCCCCCGCCAATGACGAAACGGCAAGGGCAACGCATCGCCCTTGTCCATTTCGCTTCACAGGCGAGACGCTATTCTTGGAACACCCGTTCATCGCTCCCAGCCATTCATATGCTCTTTCACGCATAGTCGTCTTATTCAACCTCCGCTCTCTCTCCAAGCATTTGGCAAGCGATTGCAATGTACGTTTCCAACATGGTCCCGTGGCTCGCCGGAAGCTGGCTACCACATAACGCGGCTACGCGCGTCTCACGATCCATCGGGGAGCCACACAGCCCACCTGGGAGCAGCCTGCCGCGCCGGCTCTGCACATTGCTCTACGTCGTTTCAGATCCACCGTTCTTTGGTTCTACGATTTAGGGACCATGTTATGGCTTGACATTTGCTGCGGAATCTTACAAGTCTGTCCGTACATTACGCGTCCTCACTAGCATCACTCCCTTCGCAAGAAAATCCTTTTGAGGTAACTAATCATCTTGATCATATTGTCGTCCAAACAAAGGAAACTCATTACCGCTGAAGAGCATCACTAGTTATCAATCTATCTGTCGCAACCCGCGCGACTCACCACCCTTCCGCCCTTACTGTCTTTACCATCCTGTCAATGCTTCAACCCTCTATCTGGTAGACCAGCTCGTGCAGCTGTTCCAAGGACTCTGGCGTAATTGATCCCGCAATAAGAATCTGTGAGCTTAGCGTCACTATGCTACTTATCAGGTGCACGGCGGCCTCTCGCTTCATTTCGCAGAATGCACTGTCCACCTCGAGTGGTTCGTGGGGAGACTCGTTGTGCAAGTAGCAATGCCCCGCGTCACGGAGCTCGACGTATTCTTCCCGTACCGATCGAGGCTTGCTCGCAAGTCCGGTCCCGTTGAAAGTGTTAATGGGTACCACCTTCAATGTTTGTCCGATCTTACGCGTTACAATGCCGAACCGCCCCTTCACCTTCACCCCAGCGTGAAAGCGGAAACCACCTAAGAAATCCGACGCTTCCCCTTCGACTTCCTGATCAAAGCCAATGATGAAGGGATCCATGTAGTAGATAATATCCCCTTCCTTGATCAGATGCACGCTGTAGCACGTGACAGTGTCGTAGCGGTCATACATGTGGCGTAAGAGACTACGCACATGCTTCAAGGAGACGTCGAATTGGTTAGCAACCCACTCACTGTAATGGTGATGCCTCCGCTTCTGTCGATCGAACTTCACCCTGGGGTCGTTGATCATGGGATCGAGCTCCCGCTGGCCACCAATGTCGTGCTTCACTGCCTCCATATATCTTTCCATCTCATCTTCCCACCCCGAGCGCCGAATGCGATATGGGAAAGACTCACCTGGTGAATGATCGGAAGATGAGTTGTCTGAAGAAGAGCGAAGGGAGGATGAGTAATTAGAAGAACGGCGACGGCCAAGAAAGCCACCCGAAGAGGAGCGACGGCGAGAAGAGCCGATTGAATATCGTCGGGAAGATACCCTGTCAGAGTCATCTTCCGGAGTCCAACGGCCAACACCACCGGTACATCTATGTGCTGGTTTGGCTACTCTATAGGGGTCATGCTGACGGCCGACCCGGGTGTCGTCGTGCCTATCCTTGGCCCGTGAGCGCGAAGTTCGGTGAGGGACCTGCCTAGCCATGACTGATGTTAGCAATAAATGGAAAGGAGGGAGCAACCCTATGAACCGACTAACTGGAGGGACGGAGGTGGCTGATCGAAAGCGTTGAATCTTGTTGATATGCCGCGCAGCAGCAATATCTGGAACGCCTTGAGTTGTCCCGTAGTCGGTCGGTGTTGGCTAATGTTGGTCTGCTGGAGAGTAGGATCGGAGGACTCATCGACCTCTTTTTATGATGTTTTTCATAGATGCTTCCATATATACCGCACAATGTCATACAATGGGGTTGTGTTCTCGATAGTCCCAGGTGGCTTTGTATTATTCAAAGGTTATGTCCGGAATCTGAACAATGGTCGTGAACGGCGATGTTGCTATATTTAACATAGACTAACATTCTACTGTCTCTTTGACTGAGACAGCTAGACAAAGGTTGTGAGTACATGGTACTTGCGCGTCTCCACCACCAATAAGACATAGCTTCCTCACTGACTTACCACCGTTCTCATTCTTAGCACTCCATCTCTATTGAATCCATCCGCAAACATAAGCATACACATACACACATAAACACATCATAGACCCCGACAAAAAGTGGGGAAAAAAAAGCTTCGATCGCCATGCCACCTCACAAACCCCAGCGAAAGGCCCCTCGCCACAACAACGCCACACCATCTTTCATAGCACCCCGTCCAGTAGCCCCGTCAACAGCACCCTCCATGTTAGCCCTCATACCAACGGTCAACACAACAACCAAACCATACATACCCCTCCCCGACTCCCTTTCCCACAAGATGAAAACCCTTATCGCCATCTCTCGCCGGGTGGAATCCCTTCTTTATGGCCTTTCCTATGGACTATTCACCACAGAACTCGAGCATCGCGATGCGTACACCCGTATGACACATTTACGGAGCAAGTACGCAGCGCTACGTCCGGAAGTCGATGCTGAGCTTGTGTATCTAGGATATCGAACTGGTCTGGATGTCCCATTCTCAAATGCGTCAAGCGGGCCGGCATCGCCGTCAAGTATCATCCCGCAGGGACACAAAAAGGGTGGTCACACGCATAGGTATGGACCTACGAGTCCTCAGTATACGGTTGACAAAGCCCTCAAACGCAAAGCCAATAAGATACCCAGTCCGTTCACCCAGCCTGCGTTCAAGAAGCAAAGAATGGCCAGTACAGAAAGCGACTTCGTGGAAACGGACTGTGAGAGCGAGAGCGAGGGGAAGAGGAAGCTGGAGGTGGAGGCTCGGTGGCCGCCGGATCCGATCACTAGCTTGGCGAGTATGCCGTTGGGAAAGAGAGAGAGGGAGAGCTTGGAGAGATGGAGCTGGGTCAATGCGATAACTAGGAAGGGAACGAGGAGGGAAGCGGAAACAGAGAGGGTGGAGAGTCCGCTGGGGACCACGGCATGTTGGTAGATTGGGTGTACAGGGGTGGAGGCTTTAAGAATTTTGGCCTGTCTTTTCCTTTCGCGAGTGAATTGATACCGCTGTGATTCATGGATACGATTCTGCGTCGAAAAGCAGCGATGTGCTTTTGCAACCAGAACTGAAACCAATAAGTCGTACTTTGGCCGAAGGGCACGATGGGTTTCGCGATGGGTCAATTTGTTTGCACACAGTGAGAGTATTGCGGGAAAGAGCTAGTTCGGGCCCTAAATTGAACGTTTCAGTGCTGGAGTTGTTGCTTTAAAATTTTCAGGTACAGTTTGCAGCTGATGCTTGATTCAAGGGGACCAGTTGTAGCTTGAAAACTTCCTGAAAGACAAGTGAGAGTCCATCTCTAATTTTGAACAGAAAGGAGAAAAAAAAAACGCAATATCGCATGCCAAGTGGAAGACATGCCATCCTCTATAGGCCACAGCATCCGCATCTGCAAAATCTCATACTGCCGCCCAATGTAGGGAACTCATCAAGTCAATCATACCCCTCCCAATGCCAGCCATGGAAATGTATAGTCATGAATGATGATTGTTGTACTCCAGTATGACCGCTCAACGTAGTCGAGTGGGCTATGCCGTCTATACTGTCGAGAAAGCAAGTCGTAGGTTCTTATCGCCATAGCCACGTGCTTCGTATCTCTTATATCAACAATACAGTATCGCAACCCAAGCCTATCAACTTAGCTGTGCGTACGAAACTGTTCGAAGCGTCGAAGGTGGTGTAGCTGTGCGATTTGAGAACCAAAAGGCTCTATTGGTCCATCCGACGACGCTTGTCATTGTAGTGAGTAGGTTCGTCGCAGTATTTCTGGTCATGGCATGTATCGTGTCCTGCTTGCTGGCTATTACGGCGCGGCCGCTCACGAGATTCGTGTCCAGCTCTTAGAGGCCGACCAGAGCCGTGGCAGGATTGAGCTATGGCACTATTACAGCGTACATCTGACGTGAACTCTGTTGAGTCTGAAAAGGCGGCGCAAGCAAGCTGTTTCCTCCGTAGGATGGGATGGCGTTGGTGCTCACGGAACCGTCACCATAAGCATAGAATGAAGCAGGAACGCTGGTATCATAGCGTTGTGAATCCTCGGGAGCCGGTCGTTTCCTAGTTAGGGTTCGCCTATATCCACCGACCGCGAGTGCGGCAGTTCTCTGCTGTCACGATGGGGATGGAGTTTATCATTTTGATCATCCAAACGCTCTATTCGACGAGGACCACCTGATTTCCTGGGATTGGAATCGCGAATGAAAGAGTTTCCTATCTTAGCATGCAATTTCATATGCGGCTGAACGTTACGGACCGGCCAATAGATCGTGGATTCTCGCGCTCCCTGTTCAACGTAAAGTACTCTTGCAGCGCCCCAACATTGAGACATTGAACGTCGTTCGGGATTTTGTGTGTTTGCACAGCCTTCTGGAGAGCGATTACCCACTCCAGGCCCTCCTTGGGGATCGCACCGAGAACCTCGGTGCCTTCGATCGGCACATATGGATACATATCGAGAACGTCGATATACAAGAGATCCTTCAGATCAATTTCGGATCCTTCCAAAAGTTCAACAGGGGCGTGCGGGCTATGGTTCACTTGCTGTTCCCTTCGGAGAGCTATCTCCACCAGCAGAAACCTCGCTCGCTCGCTCTCCGGCACCTTTGCTAAGCCCTTATCTGTCCTCGTTCGGAAAGGAATGTAAAAAATCGTGCTGTCGTACGAAAAGACGATTAGACCTTTCCTAGATTTCGTGCAGGTGAGCGCTCCGTCTGCATTCTTTGCGAATGAACCCGACGGCATGTCTTTAGTCCTATTCGCGAACAAATTCCCGACTCTAGGACCCAAACACACTTCGTTGTGGAATACACTGATGATGTAGCAGTAGGCTGAACAGTATCCCCCACTGCAGTTGCGGCTTGTGGTCATCGGATATCGCTCTTCGCTTTATGCTCGTCTACAACGCCCTAATCAAGAGCAACCGAGTGGTGTATTTCCCCATGTATGTCGGCGAGAGCCTTTTCAATTAGGACAAGCTTCTCTATGGATAGGAGTCCGGCCAGATTCTCAGTGTAAACCACGATAGGACGGCCTTGCAAGCTCCGAGGGGACTCGTCATCATCTCTGGGCGAGTCGTCATGCTCATTCTTGGGAGTAAATAATGATGATAGACCAGGGAGAAGGAGTTGCGGCGATTGTGATGTTCCCGAGTGATTCGTTATTGAAACACCTTGGGTGGAGCAGCACGGCTGCTCGGACGGACTTCTACGAATGTCAGCCCATAGAAGCATATGAGAACACAATATCCACGCACCTAAGCCATCATTCAAAGTTTCCTTGCCAGGAGTTTTTGCCACGGCAAGAGCAAAACCGCTCTTGGCCAATTTTGCTTAATTTCCCCCAAGTCAGGCGGAGTATGATCTGGAAGTATGCCATATGTATCAGTATATAGACCTGAGAACATTGTAAACATTAGCCAAAGTGATCACAGCTAGCTGCTTAGTAGGATGGATATCTATCAAGATGCGTACAGCGGGGTGAGTCTCCAGAGAAGTCAACCGATGCCGAGAAACAGGAACCACAATCTCGACATGTTGAGCGCATGCGAAAGCCTGCACCTAGGCATGAGCCACACGCTTCGTCTCCAGCCACAGACACATATATGCGAGACTTCTCTTCAGCCGGTTGTCGTGACAGCTCAGCTACCGAGTTCCATTGGCTTCATCACCCCCGTTCTAGTTCCGGATGAGGATTAACTTTGAACCTCCAACGGTACGCCTCCACAACCTCATTCAATGAGCGTTTCAGATCCGCCGCCATTGGCAAAGCGATAGCACCACACGACTGGTAGGTGGGAGAAGAAACTGCAAGCCGTCACGAAGAAGAGTTCCAAGAAACCAGGTAACTTTTAAGCGCTATGCGGTACTGGTTGTATCTAATAACGCTAACGTAGAAACGCAGAGATGTTCATTAGTTTGTGTGTCGATAGCTGCGTGCATTCAAAGGCACCACGACGGCATCCGGTCAACTCCGCAACACAATCGATGCCAAAGAATTTTACTAAACATCGAGAGAGATGACGCCATTAATCTTAAGTTGAACCAGAAAGCTGGGCCCAATATCTGCGTATCGGCTGTCATCGCACGCTGTTTTGGACCGGAGGCCAGCAAGCTATTATTGTATCAGAACATCGAGGAGCTTGATTCGCGATGCGCACAGCAAACGCCCGCGTGAGGGCAGTGTGATCCGATCTGCTGGTCTCCTCAACATCGTTCCGCTGAAACTCTGCGATAATATTCGCAAGTAAAGAAGACGATATTGTGCTATACAAAAGTTCCGAGTACCCATGCTCGGTCGAAAGATCATGTGATGTAGCTACAAGCTCTTCGCCAGCCCCGCGTGCCATCAACTTCGAAAACAAGAATTCTCGGCAGCCTTCGCACACCAGAGAAACTGATTTGAACACCCCCGTTGCGAAAGCCTGGTGTCCATGCTAATCGCCGCTTCCGATGGAGGACAAATCAGGAGACGAATACCTCTATTCGCACGATGTATGTCGACAAGCGAGTGAACAAGTGGACGCATTATGCCCGACCTGTGAGATCATTGCATTCGATTCGAGCATTGAGCGCACATTGCAGCTAGGCAAACACGCAGAACTGAAACAGAATCAAAATTGCCCTTTATGTCGGTTTGCACTGCACGAGCTCAAGAAGTTCGCGCTCGCCGAAACGACATATTCGCTTGTACTCCAACCCAACGGAGTCGGCAAGGTCCGGTGTGAAGAACCCGAGGGCAGCAGTTACTTCACATTCACAAAAGCCATAAATCACAACCCAGAAGTCCCCGATTTTATTGTCGCGCGCAATTGGCTCCAGGAGTGCAACGATTCGCATGATGGAGCTTGTCATCAGCCCGATGATGAGAGAGCTACACCACCTACCGATATGCGTTTGATTGATGTGCAAGAAGCTCACCTGATTCAGGCACCATCGCGAGCTCGATACGTTGCTTTAAGTTATATTTGGGGTACGAAAGGCAATGTGAAAGCCACACGAGCAAATAAGGCCTTCTTCGAGCAGCCAGGATCCTTGCTCTCTACCGAGGCCGGCATCCCACCTCTGATCAGGGACGTAATGCAATTGGTAGCTGCAATGGAACAACGGTATCTCTGGGTAGACGCGCTATGTATTATTCAAGATGACGAAGGGGATCGACAAAAGCAAATTAGTTGCATGGACGCCATTTACGAAAATGCACATTTTACGATTATTACGCTCATGGCTCAGGGGGTTTTCGACCGAGTCCCCGGGATTGGCTCACGAAGAATTCGGTATTACGAAATTGTCAAGGAGATGCGGCTATGGCACTCCGGCAAGCCCCAGCTCACGGAACTAGTCGATCAATCGATGTGGTCGACACGTGGGTGGACCTTCCAGGAGCACGTACTCTCACGCCGGCGAATGTTCTTGACTAAAAGCGAAGTTTTCTTCGATTGTGCAAAAGGCAGTGTCAGTGAGCTAGAGCCTGAACGGACAAGACCCCAGGACCTTGCATTCTGGGCGTTGCCCGGACCCGATCCACAATTTACCTTTCACAAAAGTTTCCATGACGCCTGCATTGGGAGCACACAGCCAAGTCATCTAGCCATGGCTATTGGGGCTATTTTGGAGTCCGAGAAGATCGACCTTGAGGCCTGGCGGTACTATAAGCAAGCAGAGAATTACTCGGGGCGGTTGTTGACGTTCTCGGGCGATGTCCTTAATGCCTTCACAGGGGTGATGTCTTCATGGCACCGCATTCGAGGCTGGCAATTTTGCAACGGCTTACCAATGCCCGCGTTGCGACGGGCTTTATGCTGGACAGCGTTCAAAGTACTCAATGCTCGTGAGGCGACAGAGAAAAAGTCCACGCTGATTCCAACCTGGTCTTGGGCTCACTGGAGCGGTAGCGTCCGCTTCGCACCCACAGACGACCCAGGGCACCCTAATTCGTACATGGACTATAAAGAAGACAGGGAACAGTCGAACATCCAAATCCTCCCTGCATCCCACACCAACGAACACATTCCCGACATTCTCAGAGTACAGTCTCCAGTAGTGACTCTTACTGTATCCTCTAAAGACGCTCTACGCTATAGGGGCTCGAACGTAGAATCTACCGCGCTTCCAATGCTTCGAATGTTAATATTTGATCAGCATAAGAGGCACTGCGGTATGGTTTGGGGCGTCCATCCATCTTGGTTCGAGCCACCCGGAGACAAAGAGTTTGAGTTCATTTATCTATTTGATCTCGGCGAGAATTCCAAAGAAGACTTGTCTTTGGTCCAAATCAAATCTTGGGAGGAAGCCATGGCGATGGCTTCCGATACATCGCAATGGCGAGAACCTCTTCTGTCGGGGGTTGGGAAGGCCGTTTATTATGACAAGACCGAGTTCCCAGATACAGAACATGATGGGCCACGAAGAACTTCACCGACTGGCAGATCGATTTTCGCGTTAATCGTGAAGCGCCAAGGCCCCTTCTACGAGAGGCTGGGCGTAGGACAGATTGTGAAACAGGCATGGGACGAGGCTTTGCCAACAATCAAAGTATGCAGTATGATCTGAAATTAAATATAATGAGTGGCGTGGTGTTGTGAATAGAGGAGAATGTATATTGCACAAAGGCACCAGATTTAGTCGAGTCCAGTCGCGATGAGACTATAAGGATGCTTTGACAAAACGAGCATAAGGGACGGGTATTGTCGCTGCACCCTCCGAGTAAGCAGCTATAGAAATCTCGGCTGGAATAGGAGCGTGGTCACAAATTACGGTCATATCATTAACGGGTCCACCATTGAAAACGGCATAGACTCAATTCCGGATGTTGGCATAGAGACAACCAATTTGGCCATCGACGACAGAGAGTCCCAGGCCTTTGTTGTGCATGTTGTGGATCAGTGTTCAAGCCCTAATAAAGATCGAACCAATGGAATGTCCTAGCGATCTGATACTGTCTGCTAACGATGAAATACGGTTTCTGCTAACCTTGAGAGTAGATCTGCGAACGCTGAGATGCGAGGCTGGTGCAAATGCGAATATGAAAGAGATAATTGAATAATCGTGGATAGTAAATATTTAGCCACTGCCTTCCGACGAGAAGCCAACTTACGGTCGATCCGAAATACCGCGCGATGGTGCAGAGCTTAGGAATTAATGGTAAGTAGCTTGGATTGGTAGGCTTCAGGTAAATGGTCCTGCCCGTCATTCCTGATGATATAACTAAGTTCAGTTCTTGTTCAGGTACTTTGCATTATATACTGGTTGGCAGCCTAAACCTCGCTAACTATGATTATGTAGCCTATACCGCTCATTTGTGATGCTAGGGAGAATTTCTGCCTCTACGACGATGATACTCTCTCATGGAATTCTGGTTGTTCTCTTAATGCAGGTTGTCCTGCGAGCATTCGCTAATAATACATAATACGACAAAGTACCAGAAAAAAACCTACGCAGGCCATCCTCAAGACATTCCTAGCATATTGTCTAGCACGCCCTGCCTCGAACGAGAGACAAGAATGAAAGAAACAGTCAACGATACGTCCTGCATTGATACAGTCGGGTTATTGATGATCGTGAGGGGGGCCAAGCCAACGCACAACCGAGCCTGATTTTTGGGCAAATTGTTTTGGGAAGCCAGGAAAGGGTATGCGTTCGCAAGATAACCGCGTGTCTTCACTCGGCCTAGGCAGCCTCTACGGCACACGAAATATAGAATCTTCACGCTTTCGACTACCTATCAAAACGCTCCTGACTGATCTTCGCGCTCAATCTTCTGCGGCTTAACAATATCTTCCTCCACCTTCTCCGCAACCACCCTCTCCTCAAACGTCGGTACATCCGCCGTACCAAACTTCCTTAACGGCACCCCATTATGGAACAAATAGTCGATTTGTTCAAGCGTCTTACCCGAGCACTCCGGGATGCAAAAGTACGTAAAAATGAAGCACAGAAGTGCGAAGCTTCCGAAAATGAAGCCGACCTTCGACTGCAGGTTGGCGTATTCCGCGTTGATGAGGTAGGGAATGGAGAAGTTGACTGCGAAGCTGGGTGATGTTGTCAGTATAGTGATATGGGAGGGAGGAGAGGGCGATTCACTTGATGACGACATTAACGGAGAAGCCCAGACGGAGTGCGTGGTCTCTAAGCTTGATGGCAGGAAGCTCGGATGTGACAACGTAGGTGAGCGGGGCCCAGCCAATGCCAAAACCCACTGCCATTACTGCAATCATGGCGACGATACCAACTTTAGATGAGTAGTCGACTGTCTTAGGTGTGCCAAGTCCTCCCATCGTCATGAGTGCGGCCGTCTGAATTGCCGCGCCGAGGAGGAGGAGAGGACGTCGACCGACTTTGTCTGTAAGGAGGAGGCACATGATGATGGAAAACATGCTAATCGCCGATGTGATCAGGCTGAAGTTGAAGGGGTTGATAGTCTGAAGTGATTTCACACTGTTACATGTCAATCGTAAGGGTTTGCAAGTGTACAAGGGACGTTGACTGACTAGATCGTACCGTACTGGCTAGCGAAAGCCTGACCTGTTGCCTGCTGGAAGAAATTCACCAGGACGACTATCGTCGTGCGTTTGAGGTTGATGCCATGAAACATTTCCACGAAGGTACCTTTCTCGAAGGCATTCTCAAACTCGAGCGCTGCTTGCAGTTCTCGAAATTCAAGGTCCATTTGCTCCTCGGTGAACTTTCCTTCTCTAAGCTTGATCAAGTTTGCTTTTGCCTCTTCGACGCGGCCTTGCTTCAACAGCCAGCGTGGGCTCTCGGGTATGAAGAAGATGAGGAACATGATGATCGTCGGTACGATATAGAACAGTCCGACAGGAATGCGCCACGCGCGGTTATTTCGCATGCCACTCGTACCTCTGCAGACTGAGTTGATGACAAAGCCTCCAAAGATGAGTGAGAGCTGATAGGTTCCGACGATGAAGCCGCGGGCGGAGGCGGGCACGATTTCTGACTGGAATGCAGGCACTACAGCCAGCTCCATACCAACGTACACATCTTGACAGAGTCAGTGACATGCGAGAAAGTCAGCTTTCAACTCACAGTTTAGGATTCGTCCAGCCATAATTTGCTCACGGCTTTGTGACGTGACAGCGATGGTCGCGGTGACCAACGCGTATACACTCATGCTAAACATGCAGACTCTTCGTCCATATCGAGCAGATACATGGCTACCAAGGAGCACACCTGGCTTGTCAGCTTCTGCTAGAGAATTTCCAGCGGAGGGCATACCGAAAGCGAACCCTATGTAGTTCAGGGAATTGAACAACGACAGCCAAGATGGTTCGAGCACCCATGTCTTGCTTTTCGCGTTCCACACACCGAACTGCTTGTCGAAGGCATTCATAGCTTGCGTGGTTGCAAAGGCTTGATTATCGAAGCCATAATTGAAGGAAGAAATGGCAATGAGCAAACAGCCCAGGGCTAACTTAGTGTTGAAGCAGCGAAGCAGCGAGAAGACCATTGTTGCTGTGCGACAAGTCCTCTGGCGCGTCGATCGGCGGAGGGTGCCAAAGTCTGTTGCTTTATATCCATGGAAGTTCAGTACCCTTAGGAGAACGTTTGCCGAACGAGCTTGACGCCAGCCGCGATGAATGGCGACATGTTAGCTGGTTTATGGGGTCGTATGAAGAAAGTGGACCTCTGATTGGTGTCTCCACACATGCTCCGAGACCCCGTCACCGAGCACCGTGCGGAGACGGTCCTCGGCGCGGTCCTCGATGGGAAGCCCCACTGAAACACGGCGGTTGTGACAGGGATTGACGGACCGTCGGTACTCCTAGAAATGCCTTATTATACGCAATTCTCGCTTCCAGCACGCAATGTAGTGTTCCGCAAGCTCAATCCGACTTACCATAACAACGGGTTGCACTGTCCTACTGCATAAGAACCCAGACCAACATGTTACCCCACTCTCAACCACCACGGCAATCTCCCATCAAAATCAACTCAAAGAATGGAGGCGAACGCCCAAACTTTGTTATATTCATGCCGGATCAACTGCGTTACGACTCTTTGGGATGTACAACTGGACCAAACAGCCCCATTCGGACACCAAATGTTGATGCATTCGCGAAACGCGGAACTCGCTTTACCAATTGCTTCGTTCAGGCTTCGGTATGCTCGCAGTCTCGTTGCAGCATGTTCACCGGGACGTATCCACACGTCAGTGGACATCGAAGTCTCGAGAACCTCATCAAGCCCTGGGAGCCAAACATGTTCCGCAGTCTGAAGGAGGATGGGTACCACGTCGCATGTTTAGCGCCAAGAGGCGATACATTTGCGCCAACCGTGACCGAGCTCAGCGTGACGGAGTACGGATTCCTGGAGACTCCCGAGTTCGTACCAAAGTTTGCAGGTGGTGGCAGGCCTGTTGATGAGAGCATATGGGGTCGCCTGTTCTACAAGGGTCTTCGGAACGCAGAAGAGGCCTTGGACTACGACGATGGAGTTGTGCGCTCAGCGTTGAAGTGGCTGGACTGCCCGCCTGAGGACAAGCCTTGGGTTCTGTTCATGCCACTCATCTTTCCGCATTGCCCTTTCCAGGTTGAAGAACCATACTTCTCCATGTATAACAGGTCACAGCTGACCGGAGAAATTGTAAATCCTGCAGAGAAGACAGGCTACGAGCCAAGATACATGAAGATCAATCGGGAGCGATACGACACTGCCCGAGCGACTCCAGAGATATGGGCAGAGGTGAAAGCAACATACTATGGTATGATCACAAGGCTGGACGATCAGTTCGGACGTGTTGTTCAGAAGCTTGACAGCCTAAACCTGTGGGGTGACACAGTCACCATGTTCTTTACAGACCATGGCGAGTACTTGGGTGATCATGGTATGATCGAAAAGTGGCCATCGGGTTTGTCCGATAGCCTCACACACGAGCCACTTATAATCGGTGGTGGAGGCCTCCCGCAAGGTCGCGTTTCTGACGTGATGGCAGAGATGGTTGACCTGGTACCCACCATCTTTCACCTGTCCGGGATCGGAGAGCACTTTCCACACAATGGCATTAGTTTGGTACCGGTCCTGGTCGACGGCGAAACTTTCCATAAGACTTACGCTTTCACAGAAGGCGGTTTCCTGATCAGCGAAGAGCCCTTATTGGAACAAGCACCGTTTCCATACGATATCAAGGCAAACCTCCAACACGAGGATACCTCATTGGTCGGCAAAGCTATCAGCATTCGCGATAAAGAGTGGACCTATGTCTATCGACTGTACGAGCCAGCTGAGCTTTACAATCGACGAAGCGATCCAGGCGAGCTGCACAATGTGGCAGCGGATGCAGAGTACAAGCCAGTTGCGGACATGCTTCAAGGTGAAATCTTCAGATGGTTGGTGGCTGGATCGGATTTCTTGCCTTGGCAAAAGGATGACCGATTCCCTAAAGTAGACTTGAAGTCGCCGAAAGAGCAGTTGGAGGAAAGATTGTCGAGAGCTGGAAGGTAATCATGCAATCGACACACTGCCAATTTGCTTCTCGTGCTATTAGGTGCTTTCCTATAGATTCCAGAGCTGTAGATCGAATTGACTCAGTTGTAATGCTTGCCCTATATACCAGGGATTCTGTGGCCAGTACTCATTCCCCCGACCAACAGCAGTATCGCCATGCGCGCCCTCAAAAGCGTTGCTGGTAGCGAAATCCAACGATCGTTGACTTAGTGGCACCCCAAGATCGATACCGGAGGGGAATCTATACGGTGCTCCTTGGATTTGGCTTGCAGGCGCATCGGTAGCATGCTCGTCTTGAACGCTCCGCTGTCGCCGATGCGGAGTCTCAGCGCCGTCATCCACTATGGAGATTTTCCCAATCGCGCTGTGACGTGAGAACAAGTGATTTGAGTGTGCCAAGGAAGGTGAACGATAATCTGCAGCAGAACTGTCCGCGGTGGCAGTTCCAACATTTAAGAGTTGTGATGGAGGCGAAGAACCCCTGAGCAGCAAACGCGAAAGATCCCCCGTCTGAATGCATCGTCAAGGTCTGTAGTAGGGGGTATCGATATACTTACAATTAGATCACCCACTGAAGATGAGGAGGGAATTACTTGACAAGCAGCAAGACAGTTTCGTGCGCCTTCATGTGCGTCATCAACGCTGAATTGCGTTCCGCCATTGTGATAGTTGGCTAGGTGCAGCAACATTCGGGCGCATTGATATGCGCAGGCAATAACATCGTGCTCAAAGACCGGGCAACCAGTCTTGAGTGCGGGGAATTTCTGGAAAACCCTAGACAGGCCTACGGCGTTCTTGAAGCACGAGGAACGCCACTTAGTGACAATTTGTGCATCTAACCGAGAGATCTGCTCTGCAGGTAATGCTTCCTTCAGCCCGGTAAGAGCAATGCGGTACAGGTCGCAGAAGCACTGCCGGAGCCAAACGTGCACTAAAAGGAACGGACCAAGGCGTGATGAATAGGCACGTAGCTGTAAAGCTTTCGTGGATAAATGGAACGAACCAGGAAAGCTATCCTCGAAACCAATCAGCTCTGTTGCGATTTCTTCAATCGACGCGGAAATAGTAGTAACATCCGGCTCCTTAGATAGCACTGCCGCTTTCGTTGTGTGTAGTATCCGGTGTCGAAACCACATTAGCCGAACATAGATGCCAAGAGAGCCAATGCATTCCGATAGAGGCTGTCCAAGTGTGTATCGTAAGCCTTCGGTATCTTGCTGAAGGTCGAACTCGAAATTGCGCTCGTGGCAAGGAAGCTGTATGTGAACAGAGGTGTCTGAAAACAGGGAAAAGTCGGACATGCCACCGGCAAGCCTTCTGTCGACGATGTAAAGAGACCACATCAAACGTCGTCGAGATTCCCGCGCAAGGAAGCCGAGATGTCGAGCCTCGTAATTCAATCCGATTGCATATGCAGCCCTGGAAGCAAGTGCATGTAGCATTAGAGCAATACCAAGCCGGCCTTGACGCGTGTGGTGTTTGATGAGTAGAAGCAAGCACTGCACCTTAATGACTGAAAAATTTCCCAGGTCCTGCATCACCAAGGTCTCAGCTTGCGACATCCATTGCGGGCTGAGCGCTTTGAGCTCGGCGTCCAAGTCCAACATATCGCATGTCGTAGCTACTAGAGCAAGTAATAAGGCTTGGTCAAGGCTTCCAGACTCGAAACGTTCTACCAGTGATGCTTTGTGGAAGAATGAGTAGTCGGGTATCGGATGAATGTGTTGGAAAAATGCTTCAAACATGCGAAGGGTAAGGCCGTGGTCTAACCGCGCATGAGCCGTAGTAGTATTTGGTATCGAGTTTAAAACGGGTGAACGATCCGATCCATCCAAAGCCCTCTTTGATCGCGGGTATACGCATTGCACGCGTCTGCGTTGGCATCGTCGGCAACTAGGCAACTCTCCGCAGCACTTTGCCTTCAGAGACCGGCAAGGAATGCATGCAATCTTCTTTCGCCGAAGTTGTAAGATTTCATCCGGAACCAGGCTGGATTCAGGTGAGCTCTGCCCAAAGGAACAGCGGAGGTTCAAGCGTTCACAACCGTTGCAGACATCGCGCCTTCCGTCACACTTGACTTTGCGAGCTCGACACTCTGCACAAGTGTCTGGCGACCGTTTGGATGCTCCTCGAGCAGACATGCGTGCCGTTTGATGCAACAGTTTAGTACCAAAGAATTGGCTGCAGTGGCGCCATGATGGATGAGTTGGCGTGGTGGGGTGTCAGTGCGTGGTGGGCTTGGAATTGCTACACAAGTATAGATCGCTTATTGGTCACGCACGCTAAATCATGTGACTGAATAGGAGATGGGGCCGGGAGGTGTGTAATTCCCAATGTCAAGTGCAGAGCTATCATGCTTCATGGTCACGATAATCGGTCTTCCAGGTGTGACACAGCACACGTCTCAAATTGTGGTGGCCCTTATCTGGTCAGATATTCGCAAGAGTGGATATTAACAATGTGGGACGGTGGTATCATGCATATCTACAATTTCGCGCGTCGCTGGAGGTACATGCGGATACCGGCGGCCACTGGTAGACATTAGCAGATGCTCAACCGCCGAACAATGGGGGAACCAGGTGCGGACGCAGGCAAAAGGAAGTGCATCATCATCATGCTTTGCAACGCTGAGAACGTATGACTAGCTCAACGGCTAACATGAGATACAGATAGCAACGGGTAACGGCAACATGAGAGAACCGGAAGAAATCCATCCAGCCAGATGGCACAATCCAACCAAAATATATCACATGATGAAGAGCGTAGCGACAGGGCAGACGCGTGGGCATCACTTACCCACAACGGCAGCCAATGACTTAAAACCGAGCAATCCCAAAAACCACCCACCCCATCCGATCGCTCTTCCTTGTCGGTCGAAGTTCGGCTTCATCTCGCTCATCTTCAAAAACTGCTGCAGCTTCTTAGCCGTGAAAGGAGGATACCTCATATCCAGCATGCCCTCTATCCAAGTAGGCGTACTCGTCACACTCCTTCTGTGGGTGAATACATCGAATGATGCTTTGCCTCGGTACGCGCCTTGACCCGAGTCACCTACGCCACCAAAGGCAAGAGTGGGGATAGAGGCGTGGAAGAAGCCGTCGTTGAGAGTGGCGCCCCCGGAGCGCGTCTGCGAGAGCACCTTCTCCATCTCGGCTTTGGAGCCGAAGGGGTAGAGACCGAGCGGAGTGGCGTGGACTTCATTCGCGATTTTGATAGCTTCATCGAGGTCGTTGACGGGGAGAATGGGCAGGAATGGACCAAATGATTCGTCCTTGATAAGAGAGTCGTTCATGGAGTCGACTTGAACCACGGTGGGCTCAATGAAGAGATCATCCTCGTCCATGGTACCACCAATCAGAATCTTGCCGCGCGACTCGTCAAGCATCTTCTTGAGGCGCTGGAACTGGCGCTGGTTGACTATACGACCGTAGTCGGGAGAGTTCCGGGCTCCTTGCGGGTAGAACTGCTTGAGCTGCACCTCCAGTTCCTTCACGAAGGGCTGCACCATCTCCTTGTCAATGAGGGTGTAGTTCTGACCCACGCATACCTGACCCGCATTGAATGTCTTGGCCCAAAGCAGACGGCGTGCCGCCAGCTTCGGATCCGCGTTCTTCGTGATAAAAGAGGGGTTCCTGCCACCAAGCTCCAGCGCGACTGGTGTGAGTGTCTCGGCAGCCTTTTTCGCAATGATGGTGCCGACGTTGGCGGACCCTGTGTAAAAGATCTTATCCCACTTTTGGTCGAGGAGTGCGGTGGTCTCAGGAATGGCGCCCTGTACAATGGTGTAGTATTCGGGATCGAGAGATTCTGCGATGATCTTCTGCATGACAGCCGCGCAGTGGGGCGAGCTCTCGGAGGGCTTGAGGACGGCGGTACAGCCAGCAGAGATGGCGCCGATGAGGGGACCGAGCGATAGTTGAATGGGGAAATTGAAGGCACTGTCTGCTGTAAGCAACTTTCCATGAGCAGGTCCTAGTGTGCACACCCAATAACCAGCACCGCGCCGAGGGGGTCTTTTCGGATGCGCGGACCCATCAGCTTGTTCGTGAAGTTGATGTCTTCTGCCTTCTCGTCCTTGGCCCATCGCGGCAGGTTGTTCTGCATGAAAACAATGTCGTTCATGCACCATGAGAGCTCCGCAAGGTGCGTCTCGAATGTTGGCTTGCCCAAATCCTCTTTGCATGCTTCAATGATAAGAGCCTCATTGTCCTTGAGTGCCCAGTATAGCTTCCGGAGCTGCACCAGACGGAACTCGAGCGGGCGCGTCTTGTGCGACAGAAAGCTTTGGCGGATGCGCGCGGCGACGGCAGGAATTTCGTCAAGCGATGTGTGCTCGAAGGGGGGAATCTTAGCCGCCATGGTGTTTGAGCTTCGTTTAGATGGAGGATCGCGCTCTGAGTAGGTCGTGAGAGTGTTACGGAGACGCCGTGAAGCTAATCGCGTTAGTGTGTCGTGCCAGTGTATGTCGTGAGAGCTGCGCGACCCCTTTAAGTTCTGTCGCAGAAAGTGCCTGGCATATCCAGAGTCACGGGCGGCGCGAACTGCCTCGGTACACTATCCTGGTAGCCCCGCAGCCCCGCTCACCTCCCTTATGTGGTTTAGTTAAGACATGCCCGCCTCAACACCAAAATACATAGGAACTAGCACACCTTAGTAGTAATAAGTATCTAGAGCTAGTGTTTAGCTTTTAGATAGTTATTAAATCATATTTATATTTATTAAGCTTTAAGGTTTTTAAATTAATCTTACACTAAAATAGCTATAACTATCCCTTAGACGCGCTGCAAACGATAGTTGGCCTATGCGATGTCGATTTTACCGCACTTACGTAAGCTTTGATTCACAGCTCCCACCTCCACGCGGGGCGACCTCACCACCAACAATGGCGCCGAAGAAAAAAGCCAAAGCATCTGTACCCTCGCAAACACTCGTGATCGATAACGGCGCATATACCCTCAAAGCCGGCCTTGTGTCGAACGAAGCCGTAGACCTCAGCTATGACGATTGCAGCGTGATACCAAACTGCATCGCGCGAAGCTCACGCGACAAGCGCACATATGTCGCGTCAGAGTTAGCAGAATGCAAAGACTTTGGCGAGCTCGCGTTTCGAAGGCCCGTCGAGAAGGGCTTCATCGTCAATTGGGAGGCTCAGAAGGCGATCTGGGAGCATGAAATCATGGGTGCTGATGCGGGGACGGAGCTGTGGGTAGGTACGAGGCCGAGGTTTACCATAATAAATGCTCCGAAACTAAGCCTGTTGTAGTGTGAACCAAAGAATACGAACCTGCTTCTAACGGAGAAGCCGAACTGTCCCAAAGAGCTGCAGAAGAACTGCGATGAGATCGTTTTCGAGCAATTCGAATTCGCTGCCTACTATCGTTGCGTTGGTGGCGCGATGAACGCATACCACTCTGCTTTCCTCGGCGCGCTCCCACAAGAGTGCCTACTTCTCATCGACACATCCTACTCCGATACGACCATACTGCCTGTATACAAAGGGCAGCTGTTGCATTCGGCGGTACGACGACTCACGGTCGGTGGAAAGCTGCTCACGAACTACCTGAAGGAGCTCTCTTCGCTGAGGCACTACAACATGCTGGAGGAGACATATCTGCTCAACGAGATCAAAGAAGCTGTGTCATTCGTTGCGCCGACAACGCAGCAATTCTCGAAAGACCTTGAACGGACATGGAAAGGTCGATTAGGCGACAAGAGAGAGCTTGATTCGAGCATAGTGCTGGATTATGTTTTGCCAGATTACGAGCAATCAGTTCATGGGTATGTGAGGCCGCACGACCCGGCGAAGTCGAGGATGCGCCGCGGATTGCAACCTTTGCAAGGCCCGCGAGAGGACCTTCTACCGCTCGGAAACGAACGGTTCGCTGTCCCAGAGCTACTCTTCAATCCGGCCGATATTGGGATACGGGAAGTCGGACTACCCGGCGCTGTCATAGAAGCACTGAGCGGACTCCCGGAGTCTCTGCGGGTTGCCATGCTGGCAAATGTCGTGGTCGTCGGAGGGAACACGCTCATTCCTGGTTTCATGGACAGGCTGGAGGGCGAGTTGAGGACATTGGTGCCTTCACAATACTTGCTCAACATCGTAAGAGCAGATGACCCGATCAAGCATACGTGGCTGGGTGCTGCGCGGTTTGCGAGTCGGCCAGATCTGATGAAGGAAGCGTTGGTGACGAAGGCTGAATATGACGAACGAGGATCTACATGGCTAGGAAAGAAGTTCGCTGGAGGAGACCGATGAGGTCAAGAACGATCCATTGGCATGCAATTCTGTATATGAAACATCAAGATGTATGAAAGAAACGTCGCACTCACTTCCCGAATGACCGACGTGTTGCTTTGGCCTTGTTCAAGCCGCACCAAATTTGCCCCTGCCCAAACTACCGCGTCTACATGTACCGGTCTGATCGTGTCACAAGTGCAACGTAGACCTGCTATCAACTAAATAAATAGTCATTGATGACCATCGCCAGGGTGTCGTAGTGTCGCGTGTTGCTGCGGCTTACAGTAGACGCGTTGATTGGTCAAGATGAGTCGGCAATTCTTCGGCCTACGTCGAAAAGTTGCAGCGTTCAATCGTGCACCGCCGAAGAGGTCCATCTTCATCACCAATCCAATGCGACGAATACCGCGCCCGCAGCGGGCAATCGATCCTTCGCTTCCCGTTCCATCTCTAATCCAGCGTCGGACAGGCCCTTCACAGTGTTTACGTGCCGCCGCAGCGCAGTCGCATCTCCGCACCACCTCCGCGTGCTTCTCCACGACCCCTACCTTCAACTTCCTCCTCGGCGGAAAGCAAGACAAGAAGAAGCACCAGGCCTTTGTGCGAAGATGGCAGAAGCGAATACTTGGTGACTCGGAACCCATTGGCGCGCACGTCGACCCTTACGATCCGTCATCGCCGGTGCGCATCGCTCCCGAGGAGCAGGGCGAGGAAGTCGAGGTTCTTGAGGATGAACGATCCGTGCAATCTGCTCGAAAACAACATTCGAAAGACGAGCGGCTGCTAAAGAGGAGATACAAAGAAGCTACTGAGGGACCGTTGTTGCATGTTGGTGGAAAAGAATGGATCGAGCAGGCGGAGGAGGTCAACATGGCCAAGGAGTTCGAGAAGCTGACCATGAGGACCTATACGCCGATGACGCAGGAGATGGCGGACCAAATTGAAAATCTGACGGGGACGTACTACACGCTCCGGGATGAGAACCTGATGATGGCGCAAACGTTTGATGAGGCCACCGGCAAACCGTACACGGACTTCAGGTGAGAATGTTAATCCAGCATATAGGCTTCAACAGGCTAAGCAGCGTAGTTTTGGCCGCCAATCGCGCGTCACCAAGCCAGAGATCCTACGAGAGAATTTCCATCAAGCTGTCGTCGAGGTTCACGCACTTAAGCAGGCAGGGAAGGATCTGGACATTTCCAAACAAGCAAACCGAGGTATCTACGATATTCCCACATGGATCAACGATATCCAACTGCAACGCAATGGCGAGGGCGAATTCATTCTCTCCTTCCCCCCAGGTCACTCGCTAGAGGCCTTGCTTGCAGAAATGGAGCGTGTGCCGGATTACGAACATCCGGCAGGGGAGGCAGGGGAGGTCACACAAGACGAATTACTGGCAGAAGAGGGAGAGTCTGTCACATCTCTAGAGCCGCCGCCTCCACCACCCATCATGGACCCTGCCACCCCTGCCTTCAAAAAGGCGGCGCTGGTTAAGGACGATGCTGAGAAGCCCAAGTTCGACTTCATGTCGAACAGGCCTGTGCCTCGTAACGTCAAGACTGCTGATCCCGTGGCGCCCGTTGTGGAAGTCAAGCAAACCGTACAAGAAGTTGTCTTGGAAAAGCCTGTGTCTGCCGTCCCGGCTTTCGACTTCGATGCCGCTTTGGCAACCTCCTCAACCACCCTGAACGAGCTGCGCCATGCTGTGCTAGAGTCAGCTGCCCGCTCAAGTGAACAGAGTGTCTCTGCCATTCGGGATGCGCTTCGTGACAGCATTACATCCGCGTCTAGCAAGATTGTACTGCACGTGGAGCCTAATGTGCAAGTAAAGTGGCAACATGTTCCGCTCACAGACTCTGAACTCAAATTCGCTGTAAGTTACCCATAACACGAGTAATTGATACAGTAATTAAATATCCTCCCAGCTCTCCAAGCGCTTCACCCAACTCACCGGCCACTACATCTCCGACCCGCAGCTCACCTCCTCCAAGCACCTCGGCGACCTCTACCACCACATTTGCGGCAGCGCCAAGCCTACCACCACCGACGTCTATTCTTACATCCACACCGAAGGTACACGCCAAAACACCAAGATCAACCAACTCATGCGCACTCATGCTGAAGGTTCCGTTCTTAAAGTCAAGGCTCCCGTCACCGGCGAGCTTCTCAAGGCCCGCAACGTCCAGCTACTGAAGAAGAACCCTACGAAGGCTGATCGTCGTGTGGAGCTGGGTCTGAACAAGGTTGTTAGGAGGGAGATGATTAGTAGGGGTTTGTTGCCGGATCCGGAGAAGCAGAGGACCATGAAGGGGCTACAGAGGCCGGGTGTGGTTAAGAGGAGGAAGGAGTTAGAGCGTATGACGGGGCTATTTAGGGAATTTAAGGGGCAGGACGAGGATATTTATTTGTTGAGGAAGAGGGCAAATAAGAATTAAGTAGGTAGAAGGGTTGTATTAGTAAGCTACTAAAGCGCCTACGTGTAAAGTAAGGGTGGTTACATTACATATCTCAGCGCCGTCCCATAGGCGGGTTTGTACTATATGTAGGATTATTACCTATTATCCACGACTTTTCGGCGGTAACGTTTTGAAAATGCTGCCTGGTGCCTTCAACAGGCACTGGGACGGCGATGACGGTGGCGCTGGAAGTTGAATTATATATGGCTATTGATCACTATTTTATGGCAAGTGATTCTGCGCGGGGGCTTCCAAAGGTAGCTTCAGCATACCGGCCGACCTCGCAGGGTCATTCACATGGTGAAAAGGTCGTCTATGAGTTAGCTCATGGGGTCTTCCACAGATTCGACGCCGGCATTCATTCAGATCCCGACCCTCCGTAGGAGATTTTATGGTATGCCGGCCATGTGGAGAACTCGCGATGAGCCTTTTGGTATCCTGTCCATGCAAGTCGATTCTTTGTATCTAAACTATCGATGGTCCATCCGAACGGCGATACAAAATCATAATTGACATCGCAGACTAGTCACTATGGATGTAGAAGATACTGCGAGTGTAGAACCTGGGTATGTAAACTTCTTCTCGGAGTCGCACATTGATATCATGAGAAGCCAATGCAGAACCTCTTGGGTATTTTTATAAATGGTTCGAACATGTGCATCTTTCATTGCAACATCTTGAAGATTCTCTCGTCGAAAGACACTCGCATAGGTATTTGCACCTATTTTTCGAGTTGGAATCATCAGCAGTGGTCGATCTCCCTAAAAGCACTCTGGTAAAATTTCGTTCTGTTTATCAACACCATATCACCATTTCCTTATCAAACAATCAGGCGTTTTGCACCAGACTCACTGCTCTCCACCCTGATGTTAACAAAGCCACCATGCCGTCTACATCACTTAAACCGATCTACCTGCACTACCAACATACTCCCCGCCATCTCCGGGTGGCCATAATTTGTGAAGAGTCGCATGCGTGCCATTCCCGTGGTATCGTTGCAACTATCATCGAATCACCCACGATTTTCAAAGCGCACCGGAAAAAGTAAGCCTGGTTCATTTCGATGGGACGCTAGGTGCTCTTCGCAGCAAATATATTGCTCGATTAGCTTTGCTTGAAGGCACTACAATCCCCACGGTAACATAAAGAGGTGAGGAGACCGACCATCTCACAAATGTTACTTGTGTCGCATCGAAGGTCACTGGTGATTTCACGGTTCTCTTTCGGCACTTTTATCACGTGCTGTTAGGCAACGAACGTGGGAATAGCTTTGATGTGACTTATCAGTGTTTTTTTGAGTGGTGATGCCTAGGGTGGTAAGCGATAGCGCTGAGAGCGCTGTCAACCGCTGCATCGCCCACCTCACTTCCTTCCTTTACTACATCTTCCACACGCTTGCCCAGAATTTCACGGTCCTACATCGCCGATCTCAAATCCGAGATTCACTTGGAGCATAGGTAGTCATAGCCAGCGACCCACCGATCTCCACGCTTGTCGCCTGGACCATCCCATATGCGGTATAGGCGCGGTTAGATAACGCTTCGATAAGGTATTGCTTGGCCCCCGACCACCTAGACTTCATACCTTCCGACAGACGTGACGACCGCACACCATGCGGTTCAAGAGCAGCCACGAAAATGCTGTACGCACAACGCTGAACCAACAATGCAATCGAATCCTCCCGAGCGTCCTGGAGCACCCTTTCCCAAACAATTTCGCTTGAAGCATACTCGTTCCAAGACAGGTTGCCTACCATGTAGGCAACGAAAGAAGAAATGCGACGAGGTACGTCCATGTTGTTCAGCATGCAGACGCAACAGCTTGGGTTGTGAATGGTCCGATCAAAGACGTGCTCCAACCAGAAACAGCAGTTCGTGGTCGACTCCATCCTTGTCCCCATTGAATCATCTCATGTTCGCTGGGACCAGCCGCGCTTGCGAATTCACACCTGAGTCGTTCAAGCTGCTGGAGCACTATAGGAATGTGACAGCTGTTCTGCTTCCGGCATGGACTCAGACCCAGGCTCGGAACCCCTTCATCAGCCGTGTGCTTCCATTGGCCCACGACGATGACCTGCTAATGCATGCCGTCCTGGCTGTCAGTGGTGCACATCTATCACACAAGCTTGCAGGCATAGCATCAGTGAAGCGAGCTACTTACATGCATTACTCATTGGTCTTGCGGGAGCTCCGACACGCTATTGCTCGCGGGCACTCTGGCGAGATGAACGGCACCATGCGACTTCTGTCGGTGCTAGCTTTTCTTTGCCTGTATGAAGTAAGACACCCCTCCTTTTCAAAAATGCTGAGCTTTAATATGTCATAATTTTGTAGATCCTAGCTGGTTCTGCTCGGACGACATTGTCATTGCATCTTCAGGCAATTCAGCATACGTTTTCCCAACTCTGTAACATCGGAGCCGCTGCTTCGGCTCAGTCCGACGAGACCAACGATGTACTATCATGGATCTACGACGGCTACTCGTATATGGCACTCTGTAATCTCATCATCCCCACTCAGCCGAGATATTCGACGGAGTTTATCTCAGTAGTACCACCCACTCTCGGTTTGAGGCTATCCCAGCCCCTGAGTAACATTTTCGGTGGAAGTAGGATGCTTTTCGAGATGATACCACGAGCTAATGCGCTCTTTTGCCGTCGCCTCGCTGAGCAATCGATGGGCGAGATAGAGCCTACCCGGGCGTTCCTCGATCACTATGCAAACCTAGTCCTTGCTATCGAGACCTGCATGTCTCTCAATGACAGAACGTCGCCCGACAACGCCCACGCTGCTTTTTCCGAGTGGGTGCAGAGCAATATGGCTGCTGAGTTCATCCGACACGCTCTTCGTATTTATATCGCGACTGCTCGACTGGGGAGCAGCCCGCCGACACCGAACATCGAATCAGCTATTCAGACCAACGTAGAGGCCATGGTTAGAATTAGTCGCACTATTGCGGCCACTCCATGCGCTTCAACCCTGATGTGGGCTGTCATCGTTGGTGGATCCTGCGTGAGAGACGAAAACTATCGCCAGGAACTTGCGTATTGGCTTAAAACTTCCCACTATCAGATGCGGCATCTTTCGCTTGTTCTCAACGCGTTGGAGCTGTTATGGGCCGATCCTAGTCCACAAGCGTTTGGGCCATATGGATTGCGTTATATTTCTGAAAAGCACAGCCTCGAGATTTGTATCATGTAGCAGATTTTCACTATGTTTTGGCGGACTCTTTGAAATGCGTATCTTCATAATACAACTCGGTCTCTACAAGATTGCGGACGTAGGAAAATCACCGCGGATGCGAGCCTGGCTCTTGGCCACTTGGCACTGCTCTACATACGGCCTCCTGCAGACAGAATCTGTGTATGGGCCCACTTGTGTGATGGCTATATGGCACACTAGTTCTGGCGCGGCCAGTGGGATGCGACGTACGACGGACGCTGTTTTGGACGAAGACCGAAGATCCCGAACTTGTACACTAAGCTGAGTGGCGGTGTGCACCTATAAATTTACTTTCGCCCCTCTTGCCTTCGTCTGTTTGAAAATCTATCCTTGTGACATCGCGAACAATGGGGACAGAAATGGATCTAGATGCTTCTGCGACTCTACCGAGCCAGCTTTCACCTAGTTTTATTGGTGCGAAGCAACACGAGTTGATCACACAAGTAGGTCGATGCCACTGGCTTCCCATTTCTCCTACCGACAATTCACTAATATCATATTCAGTCACCTGCTATACACAATGCACCGCTTCCTGCCGACGGACCCGGAAGGGATAGTTTCTCCAACACTCTCTTGCTACTTGTACTCATCATCACCCCCGTTATTTTAGCTCAACTTGTTGGTGGTGGTCTTCTCGTCACGTTGACCACAAGCCTCTTTACCTTGATCCCCCTCTTAGCATTTTACTGGATCATGGCCTCCCGGAGCAGTCCGAGACCAAACAAGAATTACGAGCTGCCGGGCCGTCCCGTCGAACACTACATTTCATTCACATTCGACGTTGATAAGGCAAAATGGTGTGGTAGGAATACGATCCCGATACATACCTTCGCCGAAATGTATATTGACGGCAAAGTGGCTTTCAATGGAGATTGCCTCGACATCATGGAATATCGACATGACTGGTCAAATTTTACCCTTACGTGGGATCTATGCAAGTACATTCTCTTCACGTTTGGTCTAGATGCTCTTTTCCACACGAGAAGTCAAGATCTGGACCAAGTGCGGCCAAACTACGACCAAGGCAACGATCATTACTCGTTTTTCCTCGGGCCACGCATGGTATACACGAGCGGCATCATCTCTGACCCGACCCGAGAAGAGTCGCTGGAGGAGATGCAAGATAACAAAATGGCTATTGTTTGTGAGAAACTAGAGCTCCGACCAGGCGAATCTCTTCTTGACATTGGATGCGGATGGGGAACACTTGCAAAATTTGCCAGCGTCAATTATGGCGCTGATGTAACTGGTGTTACCTTAGCTCACAATCAAACCGCCTGGGGTAACGAAAGCCTTCGCCGAGCTGGCATTCCCGAAGATCAAAGCCGGATCTTGTGCATGGACTACCGCGATATCCCGCAGGAGAAGAAATTCCACAAGATCTCACAGCTCGAGATGGGCGAGCACGTCGGCGTCAGGAGGCTTACTAAGTTCTTCCGCCAATGCTACGATATGCTCGAGGACGACGGCTCTATGTACGTACAACTGTCTGGACTACGACAAGCATGGCAATACGAAGATTTCATATGGGGGTCGTTCTTAAACAAGTATATATTTCGTGGTGCGGACGCGTCCACGCCGCTTTGGAATTACGTTAGATCTCTTGAGAGGGCTGGTTTTGAGATCAAGGGGTGAGTCGTCGGTCGTTACCGTCCCTTTTCGTGAGTCAAAACTCTGATATCGACAGTGTCGATACGGTGGGAGTTCACTATTCCGGCACTATTTGGCGATGGTATCGCAACTGGGTCAGCAACCGTGGAACTATCGAAGCCAAATTCGGAGGAAGATGGTATAGAGTAAGTATGAGATCGCGCAATAACGACTTGGTTTCGAGTTCTGACTGACAAATACTTTTCCTTTAGATATGGGAATTGTTTCTCGCATGGTCCACAATAGCCTCTCGCCAGGGCAGCGCTGCTTGCTTCCAGATTCTTGTCGTGAAGAATCTGAACTCTACTCCCCGTATCAATGGCGTATCGTCGCAATTTGGGCTCACTGGTGCTTTGGTTGTGAGCAAGGCTGCTGGTAAATGCAGGTTACAGTGAAAGGGGCTCGAAACCAGCCACCATAATACTTTCCCCTAGACTGAGTCGCTGATGACGAGTGCTTTAGAGATAATCCACCAAGTACAGCTTAGCTAGTGTCATTCATCGAACTCGGATTGTATTGTAACACTAAACAGAGAACTGTTCACTTGCTTTTCGTCCTGTCTTCGACATGTCCAAATGAAGTAGCTCCACCATTTGCCTTCACCTCCACTTACTTATGAGCCTAGTACCGAAATCTACCGTTCAAGCTCGCCAATAACTATCAACATCAATAAACAGTAAACGCCCATTCCTCCGTCCCCTTTGAAGTCTCTCACCTGCAATAAATCTATCCGTTGATATGAAAAAAAAAAATGTACTTCTTGATCCTAATCCTTCAACCCAAATACCCAAACGCAACAATGACAGCAGCAGAGACACTACTGACCGACCACGACCCTACCTCAGTCTTCGTGAAAATGTATGTGCGATCTAGAACCCTTTCCAAGCTCACTGATTCTTTGCTGACTCACCTGCCTCTACACGCCCTTCTCTGCGCAAGCTCTCGCTTTTTAAGAATAAGCTCGCAAAGCTGAACGCACCATGCGATACGTCTGCGTCAGACAGCATAGAACCGGGGATTCGAGTTCAGACGTAGGCAGGGAGAACTCCGCCATATCAGAGCCAACTAACACTCCAAATGCCGCAACGACAATCGAGACGTCTTCGACCGCGACGGCCAGGGTCTCTGAGATCCCGACTATCAATTTTCAAGATGCTGATCGAGCGACTTTCGGGTTCTTCCTCACCTTCCTCTACCACGGCACCTACCGCTCTTGCTACTCACACCCCCTTACGCTCAAGCCCGCCAACACCACTCTTCTGAAACACAAATCCCCTTACACCGTCACAAAAAGCATTCATCTCTCTTCCTTCTCTTCTTCTCAAGTCATACCGACGCCTATCCTCGCCTGCTCGCCTGGACACTGGGCAGTTCCTTGTCCGCCGCAGCGTTCACAAAATAGAGTATGGGGCACACATACAGCAGCACTGGATTCCAATTCAGCCTCACACCTGTTATAGTCTAATATATCTGGACTCATACTTGCGAAGGACAAGGCCTACGTGCCTTCATCCTCAACGCCCTGTGTCAGTACTGGAGAGTACCAACGCCCCACATCTCCCGGTCTCCACAGTCAGCCTAAGAATCTGTCCAATACCCATACCGACCTTCGCCTCGTCTTCATCTTCGGACTGTAAGGTCGGAAAGTTGGAGCTCTGAAAGCGTACCTCATCACCGTACGTCCCCTCTTCTCCCACGCGTTTTGTCATGCTCACGGAAAAGCAGGCTCCGTCTCCACCCCAAGCTAGCGCCCAAGTCTCTCCCGCCCCAATGAATGAATTATGCAAACCCGCACTCATCAAACAGTCACATCCCCCCTTCACGATCCAGCCCATGGTCCCCGGCCTAGCAGTCCCGAATACACAAACCGCACCGTGCTTTTACAACCCAATACAAGCACCTGAGTCCCTAAAGCGTCCCCCTCACCCGCTGGCCAGCAACTCACCAGCCCCAGGCCTACAGAAGCCATGCATACCCTGACGCGCATACCGTTCTCCACCACCACTGCTCTCAAGAAAGAAAGCGCAGTGGAGAAAGAAAGAGAGGGAAAGAGGGTGAAGCTTGGCCCTGATACAAGGAAGCTAGAAGACGCAAAGGGGTTGATCAAGGGGCTGACAAGAGAGGGAGAGGGAAAGGAAGTCATCGAGGTGGTCTGAATGTAGTTTTAGGGACGCGGGTGGTAATGCGAATGCGGGTCTGGTCCTGGAGGTGCGGTTGGATTGGTCGATTGCATGTGAAGTGAATCGGCTTGGTCGCTACGGTAGCAATTTCTTTGAGCATCGGTGGTCTACGCTCTTTTGTAAAGCTTTGCATTGCCCGGGGGTCCGTTAGTCCTAGTGCATATTACGCCGCTAGACCAAATCCAATGAGTCCACCAGCTTCGATACCATGGGTTTCTCAAAATCCTAGAAAAGCACAAGGTGGAGGCTATTCGAAGCTCTCGCGGGTATTTCCCCAAATAGGAACGCCTTTTCATGCAATGAAACCTTGTCACCTCCAACTCATACCAAAGAACCTCAACGCCTTACAAAATGCCTTCTACACTTAGTAGTGCCAAGCATCAATCCTCTTCCTCTCACCCTCTGCTTGTATCATAAGCGCACAGTCGAAGCACACCGAAAGGCTGCACTCGGGGAGCTCGCACTGCATATAGACCTCGGCGTTGTCACCACATTTCTCGCAGCAAATGGAACCGTCGACTTGCTGCATGACCCCGGCTTGAGTATTCAGGTAGGGTGACACACCGATGCGTCCCATCTCGACGTTGTCCGGGACCTAAACAGTGTGAGCAGATAGAAAGCTTGTGAAGATAGAGGATACTCACCTCGTGGAGGTTCATGGGGCGGAACGTGTGACCACCCTGGACACAGTGCTTTCGAGTCGGCGCCTGAAGCGAGGAAGACCTAGTAGGCGAGACGCTGGAAGCTGGAGCCGGCAGCTGTATGCGGGGCGGAGTGCTACGCAAAACGCTAGGCTGACCAAATGACGAAGTAGGCTTACCTCTCACTGGCGCCCTACGGAAAGGGGGAACAGGCGAACTGGGAAGAGGCACTGCAGTCGGAGACGGCAAGCTGGACTGCCTCAGCGGAGACCTAGCTGGGATGGGTGGAATTCTCAATGGTGTCATAGACAGACGAGGTGGAGTTCTCGATGGCGGCTTAGGCGGGGCCCTCATCGGTGACATGGAAGTAGCGTGCGTTGTATTGAAACCATCCTTTGGGAACGGAGCAGGAGGAATAGCCCTCTCAGCACGTACATCCTGGTCACAAGCGATTGATACTGGGCGCTCCTTCACGTCGACATGCCGATCAACCCAAGTCTGAGTGAAGTCCTGCGACTCGTCACGGGGCATCCCGAGGTTCTTCCTACGCTCTCCTTCCTTGAAATGTTCGATATACATCGGAAAGGGCTCGGTTCCTCCCTTGTTGAGAGCTATCGGTGCTTTCACGCGCTTCAGCTCGCTCATAGAGGGCTTGTTCTGGATGGATTTGTCCAACACACTGTTGTCTGCGACCTGGGTTGATTGACTGTCCTGGCCAGCCGCCATCTCCTCTCGTTGACGTTTGTTCACCGCAGGACGGCCCCTGCCCACCACCCTAACCGTACCAGCAGGTATCTTAGTGACAGGGTAGCACACAGCGACATCGGCCTCGCAAATCTCAGGCTCTTCGTCCGAGGGGATGGCGTCAATGAGATCACGGCTGCTGACAGACGTGAGAGACGAGTCAGGCGACCAACGTGACACAAGTTGGTTGGCTTGTTGCGTGAACAACTTATGGGATTTCTTCAGCGAAGCGACCTCGGTGTCCATCCTAGACTTCTCTTCCGCCATGTCTGCCGCCATGAGCAAGGCTCTGTCGGTTCGCTTTCTGAGACTCTCATTCTCTGCGTCGGTCATGTTGCGCGCTCGTTCGTCTGTCTGTACAATGCGTGCGATTGCCTCTTCAATCTTCTCGAGTTGCTGGTCTCGAGCTGGTACCGAATCTAAGACGGGAGCAGAGGGTCGGTGACTCCTCAGCGCAACGGGACGGGCCAGAGAGGTGAAGGAAGGCAAGACGTAGCCTCGTTGTACGAATTCTTGTTCCTCAGCCTCTTCGCGTACTTCGGAAAGGTCATGTTGATCCGGGTCAGCAAGTCGCGACAAATTTGGTGCGGTGGTAGTCAGCGGCATCGATGTCGCCGACGAACGCTGCTCCTGGTAGCCTTCGATAATGTCTAAGACTGAGTTGCTTGATGCACGCTGGGTGTTGCGAGAAAGAGCCCTATCGCCGCTCTGGGAAGCTTCATCGTTGCGGCTCAACATGTTGGTGTCGAGAACCCTTGGGCGGTTGCGGGCGTGAGGTTGAGGCGATGGTGTGAATCGCTCAGGGTGGAGGCGCTGGTAGAAAGGCTGCTCGTCTAGAAAGCGGTCGAAGCTATCGCCCTCTGCGCGGCGGTGAAAGTCAGAGTGACTGCCGCTCTCAGCCAGATTCACCATAGACCTGAACGGGAGATGAGAGCGGAGAGCCGCAGTGCGCTTGCCAGAGTCCTTTTCGCGAGTGCGGAACGGAAAAAGGCTCTGGAACTTGCCCTTTTTGCGCTCGGTGTCCTGGGCGCGCATGCGCTCGTCGTCCGCAAACCTCACCCTCGTGTGCTGGCGGCTGGAGTCGGATGCGGTCTATGTGAAGTTAGCATGAGCTCGATGGCAATTGAACAGAGCGGGATCGCAGGACTGGCCAGATCATTGATCTCTTAGCCATGGTTGACTTGAGCCTGATCATGGAGTGCAAATCCATAGTCATTGTGACTGTCCGTCTCCTCGTGGATGTCCTTCCAGGTCACCGCTGTGGTCGGAGCACCGTGGAACTCGCCAAAGGGCCTGGCGGTCCTGGGACTCACCGGAAGCGCATCTCGCACCGGTTCGAGGGCAGCGGGGGTGGACCCAGTGCCCGCTGCGGCGCGGAGTGAGTTGGTAGACACGGCAGACCGGAGCCTGGGTGTAGGGCTGCTGCGTGGAAAGAGCCGCCGGGGGTCGAAGCGGCGGCGGGAGCGCTGAGGGGACGGCGACAACCTACGTGGCTTGTTAGCTGCCATTTTTCCAGTTGCAAAATGGCCAAACAACGTAGGGAGCGAGTCAAGGGGCAGAGGTCAAGGCTGGCTGGGGCATCTTATATACCAACAGGCCAGGCAGACGTTGCTGTGGTGAAGCAAGATAGATCAAAACAGCCGTCACCGCGGTGCTGCCTTGTGCGTGGAGTAGAAGTGAAGGAAGGAAGCTTACACATTTGGCAGGCGCGCGGTGGTGAAGGAAGGGGCAGCGTGGGAGGACTCGGTGAAGCATGCAACGTCAGAAGCAGCGCAGCGAAGGTCGACCGGGTAAATCACATGAAGAAAGCACGGATAGCAGTACAAGAGAAATCGTGTGATATTGATAAGAGAGCTAGCCATGCCGACCGATGGTGTGGGGTATACAGCGAGGGTGCAATGCAAAGTCCTTAGATGTTCCTCCTCAAACGCCCATTGTCCAATGACTGTCGAATGCACCAAAAGCGAGATTGAAACTGTTTGCCAGGGCCTACATCTACTTGGAGTCCCTCGAATCTGGGAAATAGCTCAACCGTGCCACCTGCTCAGACACGCCCCCACTACCGCTTCTTGCACGGCCATCTTGTGCCGACGCGGATGCCGGGCTGCTGACGTCGAGCGATTTGCGAAGTCCCACACCGCTGATGTTCGCAGAAGGTGTTTGAGGTGGGCTAGACGTTTGTCGTCCCTTGCCCAGCATGGCGCCTCCGCCCATCGACTCCAGCGAATCAGGTTCGCGCGCTCTGGCTGGCTTCGACGGTGAAGATCCAAGCCCACGATGCATGTCTATACCCGAGGAAGAAGTGGACAGGAACTCTGCAATCTCTGCACGGCTTGTTCCACGTTCTGAGTCGGGCGTTCTCGGAGACCTCCTGCCCTGAGGCGGTAGCTGCAGGAATTTCTGAATGGCATTGCGGTCGTCGTCTTCATCGTCTTCATCAGAAGTGCCTTCGAAATACATGTCATCCCAGGTAGCTGAGTCTTTGCTGCGTACCGAATCCGTCGTGTGCCCACGTGCTCGTTGGTTAACTGGCGTTTTGAGAGGAGCAAGCTCGTCAGCAACTTCGCGCAGTTCGCTCTCAGTACGCTCAATGGGTGACACCAAGTCTTCCTGTCCCTTGACATGCTCTCCGTCTTCCTTAACAGGAACATCGACGCCCTTAGCTCGATCGATGGCGGGTTCACGTTCGTCGCGCTCATTGGCTGCGTACGTGTCGGCGAAGTGAGTGTCGCACAAATGCTTAACGACCGGCCAGCCGTATGCATTTGCGAACATGCGGCGAACTATGATGTTGTTGTGCGCATCTGGCTCCAATCGCACCAACACCTTCCGCCATGATAGATCCTTGTGGTAGGCGCGAGCAATCTTTTCTTCGACCCGCAAGCCACTTGTCTCGTCTGCACTGCCTGCGGAGACCTGAGATGAGCTGCTGTCGCCTGAGAAAGAGCGACCAGTGTTCCTCTTCCTGGTCGGTGGCGGTGGGATGTCCTCTGGATGGTAGATGCGGTCATGGAAGATCGTGCGGGCTCTCGTAGAAGGGTCGATGATCCAAGAAGTCTCAGGTACGGGAGGGGCAAGGAGATCGCTAGCAGATTCAAATATCGTCGTTTTCGGCGGTCTCGCAGCGTGCGACGGGTCGTTGAGTATCGAATCACCTCGGGTCGCTGGTGGTCTCTTGCTCTGCCGCTCCGGCTGGTCTGGCGACGCGTGCTCGCCGGCCTGAGCGTCGGCCTCTTCCTGCTCCATTGCTAGCGTTTGGCTTCTCTTGAACATCTTCTTGTCTTTGGCAGTGTGCTTGCCTGAAGGGCGTATGTAGTTCCAAAGCGTGTAAATCGTGCTTGAGTTCTGGATACCATCAGAGGATGTCTTTTTCCCATCCGAGTTTCGTCGCTCTTCATCAAACCACTGATTGGCGCTTGGCTCTGCAGCCGCTTGTGCCTCACTATCTTCGTTCGTCACGTCAACTCCTGGCTGGGGAACAGCAGTGTCATCTTCACTGAAAGAAGGTGATTCAATACCGTCATTCTGTTCATCAGAGGAAAAGGCGACCCTCGATGGGTTAGGCGACGTGTTCTGGCCGATCAGTTGCCCAAAACCCCAGGCAGCCACTGTGCCAACAAGTCCATTCTCTCTCCTAGCCTTTTCGACCTTACCAAGACCTCTCCAGTCAAGGAACAATAAGCAACTGGTCCGGAGCGGTACAATGCCATCGTTGACTACATTGGAGTAGACGGTCCTGTTTCGGAACATTCGCAAGACTACATGGGCAGGACCGGACGGTAGGATCCGCAGCAAAGGCTTCGAGCCTGGGTCATCTTCCTTGTGTTGGGCTTGTGACTGTCCTCCGAGACCGCTCACCATCGCTGTCCATCCGCTTCTTGCCAGTGTAGGTGCCCTCCATGTTAGACCCAGATCTTGACCAGTCCTCCCTACCAATCCGAAATCCAGGGCAAACTTGACATACATTGGATTTTCATTGCTTAGGCCCAGAAATGGTGATGCCATGGCGATGAAGTTGATAGGTTTGATGTTCTCAAAAAATTTAGGCGAGTGCTTGTATATGTATGCAATCGCGTAAGTTTGTACAACACCACCAAGAGAATGCCCAACAAAACTGATGCTCGTGAACTTATAAGCTCTCTTGTCTTCGTCAGAGTGGCCTTGGTGACGGATGCTGCTCCCATCGTGTGCCGGTACGCCTGAAGCTGTCTTGTCTTTGGTCGGCGTAAACGAAGTCATTTTCATTTTGGGCTTCTTAAGCGGAAGATACGGCTGATCAGGGTAGGTCAACTCGAGGACGTACTTAGCTAACCTCTTGCCGAGATACTGAACTCCGCGTTCCGTCCGTATGACATTGTTATGGAAGCCGCGGACGATAACCTCCTCATCATCTTCGTCTTGATCAACCTCTTCAGAAGTGTCATCTTGGCCACCGGACAAGGGAGCAGTAGAAACACCAGTCATGTCCTTTCTTTCCGTCCCTGAAGCCTGCCGCTCATCCTGTCGCCGTTTCCTACGGTCTTCCCGCGCTTGTTTAGCTGTCGCATCTATGCTCTCTTTCAAATACAGCATATCTGCTCCCAGATTGCTATGTAAGCCATGCGTAAGAATCACCAGGTGAATCTTCTTCTGCTTCTGTGGCTCCTCTGGCGATTGTTGAGGCGCATCAGTAGAGTGCCTGTTCGGATTCTTCGGCAGCTCCGGCTTGTTCCACAGGCTCGTAGTGTCATCCACGACCAGTTTCACTGCTTTCGAATACACTCCCTTCGGGTTCGCAGCATGGCTCGCCTTGTGCGATTGCTTTCCCTGCTGGTGGTCTTGAACCTGACCGGGCACTCCATGTGAGTTTCCGGTAATAGCCATGAAACCCAGATCCAAGGATTTCTCATCCCGCGCAACCAGCAGCTCGTAGCCAATAGATGCCGACTGCGAGAAGATAATCTGCGAGGCGATCTCGATTATCCACGTTGCGCTCTGTGGTGTGCCGTCGTTTTGTTCCCTGTTCCCGCCGATCTCGCGAATGTGCTCCGGCACTGTGAGCCTTGCATTCCAAGAACCGCCAGCCTTGAGATTTGGCTCAAACTCAGGCACGCCTTCCTTCTTTGGTGCCTCCACCTTCTTGTTCGGATTGAATGTGGAGGGGTATGCAGCGACATGGATTGTGTAGGGTCCGTGGAGGTATGCGGCGCGGAGGGGTATCGCAGACGTATTCCGCACGCGGACATGTAGAAAGTTCGGCGACGGTAATATTCGATCTTGAGAAGGTGTATATGTGACCGTGTATCTGGCAAGCGGTCAATGTCACGGCTGTCACGGCTGTCACGCCTGTCATAGTCCGTACCTGACTACCTCTCCGACCTTGACGCTCCCCGTCTGGTGGAGCAGCAACATGCTCCTGGCGCGCTGTTCTTCTTTGCGCTGCTCCTTGCGCGACTTGCTGAGCAGAAAGTAAGAGGAGCGGGCTTCCGAGCACCCGGCGTCCGGAATCTGGGCAAGGGAATATGTACGCGGTGTGAGCAGCATTTAGCGGAAAGCTAGCAAAGTTCGGGTGGATTTGCGTGTGGCAACGGCGGTAGCGGAGCGGCAGTGCATCATAGGGGTTCAAGGGTTCTTTTGCAATGTTTGTAGCGTCATCTCAAGTCTGCGAGCGCAGATGTCACGCAGCGAGGATGCGATGGTTGATGGGCACGCCTATGGGCACGTCATACGTCAGCTCTGCTCGCGTGGCTCCCTCGCAGCCTTATTTACCCGGCAGACACGCGTGGAGTTTCGCGACTGGCGGCGCGCCAGTATGTTGTCACTGTTCGAAGGCCCTTTAACCTGTCATTATCTTATGGGGAATCTCCAGGCACGCGTACGTGCAGCCAGACGCGCGTTGCCTGCTATTTGGAGCTGCTGTCACCGCCGAAGCCTCCAAGGCTCTTGCGAGTGCACGTGCCATCGGCACGTTCTCTTTCCGCTTCCGACGCGGTCATTCCACAGTCAACCTCGAAGCTGGTGGACGGTGCATCTTCTATCACATGGGTGTCTCTGGCAAACAACTTAGGCATCTTTTTACTTCAGTAAACGCCTTCAGATGACTTGCTGAAGCCGCAGAATGTTCCTCAATGAAGGACGAGCTTAAAAGAGCAAGCCAGGCGACCGCTACTGGTGTTTACTGAAGCTGTTGAAGAGCCAGTTGATAAGGGTCAAGATATGAGGACGCCAGTGCTCACTTACCACTGGCTTCGTTATCATCCGGCAAACGATAAACGAAACGGCTAGTAGTCGTAGTTCGAGCCTGACTTCTCTTAGCTGAAAAGTCATATGTAGAAACATGATCAAGCTTTGTCGTTGACGGACTATAGCTCTGGCACCATATTCTCTCCAGTCTCCGACTCACGCTGGAGCTCCTGGCGAGCGGTGTTGACTCCAGCATCCTGGCGCTCGTACGCATCACCAGTCATAGAGGCAGCAGAGAACGGAGGCACGCGTGCCTCGGCCGAGCCAACATAGCCAGTCTGAAACTGGGCGATGATAAGGCCCTCACCCGTGACCCCATTGTAGTGCTGGTACGAGGTGTACGTGGAGTACACCTGTGCATTTCGAGCGTCTCGCGGACCCAGCGGGGGCTATCCCCAATGCGGTCAATGATTACACCATGGTTTTCCGCGTCCTGATTATTACGGTAAGACTCAGACCAGGCGGAGGTACTGAGAGACAGCCCGTTCCCGTCGGCGAAGAAGGTGGCAGCTTTATCGTGCCTATTCTTCGAAGTGGTCTTGGGGGCGGACGGCTTTGAGGGAGGTCATGTATGATATTACTATTTTTAAGCCTGCATTCAATTCAAGGGACTGTAAGCTTACCGTTCTGGTCGTCGCCGCCATTCAAAGGTGGAAGCGAAGCCATGATGAATGCCGAGATACGCGGATAGCGGGGGTATTCAAGAGGAGAAGGAATATATACAGATATGTCGAGCTCGATGTTACCTAGTCGTCAATCTGAAGAGAAGAATCGGAAACAGCGGCCGTGGGTTTCATATGCACTTGCACATTCTAGATGACCGAAAGCCTTGCAGCTAGGAGTTCTCTTTCACGCGGATTGGAAAGTCGAACTCTCGGTCACCGCAGGATCTAACACTCGGGTACCTATCATACTAGTAAGACGCAAAAATATAGGTTCCGGCAAAGATCTCTGCCTTGCAGCTCCGTGACTTCAGTAACATGATTCTCAACCAGGGGTTGGATATGAGCTGGTAAACATTTGAACTACCACCTTTCACAAAAGTCTCAGCCAAGGCCAGCCTTAAAGGGGGAAGTCTATCAAGAAGTTACACCGAATTCGTAAGGGCCTGAAATTAGGAGAAAGAGCCGTGGTCGAGCCAAACGCTTACGATATGTACCTTTTCGAAGGAATGTTTGTATCAGTCCTAATTCCGCTCAAGCGTGCTCGTAGATTCGGTTCACTATTTGCCCTTGCTAACAATGTTGATTCATATGTTATCTTCTATGAAAGGTCAATGTACCCACCATACCTGTAAAGGCTACGGAAATATTCCGAATTCAATAGCAGAACGATCGGCTAATGAGAGTAGTCTCGTTCATGAATATGGCACACATCGTTCAAACAATTTACTCGGTGGCGTAGTAAACAGCTTGGCGGGCTTCAATTCAATGAAATGGTATTCTTTGTTGTTTACTCACACACATACATACAATCACTTACGTGAAAGGTCCTCACCGCCATTGCCCAGCTCATAGAGCTACACGTGAATTCCCACCAACTTCACACTATTCTCTAAGTCTAAAATTGCACGCACGCACGCTTAAAGGAAAAAAAGGCATTAGGGTGTAACTTTTTTTAAAACGTCTTCTTCCACTACGAAACCTTGCTGCAAGTTCGAGTCGGACAGACAGATGCTTGTTGAAGGACGGATAGAGCAATACTCACTGAGCTCAGATTGACACACGGAACTGAATGATCCTCAATTTCTGAACGCATCTACGTGGGAGCTCCTGGCAGGTAATCAGACCCTGAGAATACAATACACTGCTCGTGGTGATCCAGAGATGGGATTTATAGCCGTGTCCCCAGACGTGTATGGCAACACAGTAGTCTTTCTTCCTCAAAGGCACATCAACGATGAGCCATTCGATGAAAAAGGTAGTGAAACCCCTTGCGGAGCCAAGATGTTCAAAAAATTCCCTCGGCCCGAAGGCGCCAGAAGTTGCTCAAAGAGCAGAGTGTAGTTTTCACTCGCTGGCTCGGTCAAGACCTCATCGCCAGAAAGACGTATGTTAGTAAAGAATCGCGATCCACGGTCGGTACGTCGTATCGCTCACGAACAACATCACCCAAATCCCTGGCCTCCCATCCCCCATGTTTCCTCCTTTTCCTGACCGTCCTTGCCCCCTCTCACCCAGTCCGGCGTCCAGCGCCCCGAAATGCCCAGCTTGCCATCCGGCCTAGCACATCCATACTGGTCTACTCGTTGTAACTCTGGAGGGCGCGCCCAGCAACCCACAAAGTAAGGAGGGAGGCCGTCCTCTGGGTGCGGCGTCAAGCAGTGGAAGAGGGCACTCCTAAGATCAGGGCACGCCGTCCCGTTCCCGTTTCGCGGAAGTGAAGGCCGTACCACCGCCCCGAGCGCGACATTGACCGAGTTCCGCTCCGGTTTGTCTACGCCGTCCAAAGCCCCGGAATAGAGTGCAGCTGTGCTCTTTGGAGGTCCTTTGTTGAAAAGAGACCCCGACGGCTTCAATTTCATCCGTCGCCTGCAACGCATGGATCAGTGGAGGTCAGTCAGTCACAGCGTGGCGAGATTTCTTACCTTGCCCTGGCCCAACAGTGTCGAGCTGTTGTCGTAAGCGAGTTGAAGGAGAAGGGAGAGGAAGGCGCGGGGTTGTAAGGCTTTATAAGAGTGAGAGACGGCTGATTACCTAAGCTGTTTGACGCCGGGCAGTTGCAAGAGGCAGTCGCGTCGCTTCACTTGAGAAAGCGCCAAACAGCGTTGGTGAAGCCAGCGGTGAATGGGTATCAACGCCTCTTGCAATCATTAGTGAAGGAGCCTCTACTAATAGGACCAAATACATGGCAGTAGATAATCTCAAATCCAATAATCAATAATAATGGTGATGAGAGGTCTATCCGGACAATGGTAGGTAGCAGGTAGTTCGAGGGACGTGGTCACTCACTACATTTGTACCACTACATCGCCACATTAGCTATCAAGGCTGCACGATGTTGAGAATAGTACTATATACTTGCACTGCAGGCAATTAGAGGTCACACCATCTACTTTTAAGAACTTTCTCCCATACTGTTTCCAGGCCCAAAGAATCCGACGGAACAGCACTGCAGGCACAAAAAGCAACGTCTCATGGAACATCAGTAATCAAAGAGATATCAATTCCATTAATGCCACACCAGCGGCACTGATCTCTGATACCATACCTACCCAAAATTTCGAAAAGAAAACATAATGGTATCAAAAAGAGCGAACGAAGCGCAGCCCGAATCTCGAAAAGGGAATCACCAGACTATCTATATACACGTCACTCCCGGTCCACCTCCCCTATAACCGACTAAAATTCTTTGTGATCATCACAATAACCCCTGCAACAACCTTAATTCCAATCCTGAGCACGAAAACCGCTGCCTTGAACGCAAAGGTCAAAACCGTGATAATCGCGCGCGCTACAAATGGCAGCCCATCCTCTACCTTCTCCTTCTTTCCCTTTTTCTCCTTTGCGCTGACTTTGGCTTTGGATTTGGATTGCCCGTACCAATCGCCCAATTCAATATCTTTGTCGAAACTGGCGTTTTCATCGGTGGAATTAGACCGTGACTTCGTACTCCATTTGCGCAGCGTCTCAGCCGGCGCTTTAGGAACCTTGACTTTCCCGCCAACGGCATTGAATCCGTCTCTAAACGCGGATTTGAACGCCTTTGCATCAGTCACCTCATGTTTTCCCTCCAAGTCCAACGTGGGTACTGGAGGCGGTGCGAAGTTCTCAGTCGAATTATGGGCGGACTTGTACTTCCGGCTGCGTACGCCTTCGGCAACTGCGACGGAGAGGAGGGTGGCACATGCAACGTCCACGAGGAACGGGTTTCCGAAGCGGGTGAGGGCACCGAGGTTCAGCGTGAGCGCATCGTTGGTGAAGTCTAGACGCGCGAGCATGGCGTCGTCGGGCGCGGCGTCAGTAGTGGTGGGGAGCTGCGTAACGCTCATCTCGCTGGGTGTTATGGAGATGGGTCTGGTGTCCCGACCAAGACTGTCGAGTCTCGGCGGTGGCTGCAGAGGCGAGAAGCCGTTTGCGCGAGGTGATGATGGTGAGAGAATGTATGGGTTGAGGATGGTGATGGAGGCGGGCTTTTGGTGGGCTGCATGGGGCGTGGGCGACATATTGTGGCCGTATATGGCGGTGATGGGACGCGTAGAAGGCTTGTTGATGACGGAGCAATCGCCTTCGATTTGGATGGGGAAGGTTCCTAAGGCGGGGTGGTGCAGCTGGTAAGTTCCTTCTGAGGGCATCTGCTGTGCCCAGGGATTGGTTTGCGGTTGCGGGGGGTCACGGGTCCAGGTCAAGGCGCAGCATTCGCGTTGTGCAGCTCCGGCGAGAACGTCCTCTGCCAGGCGCTGAGCTGCTGGAGAGGTTGCGCCGGGGTCCATGACGGCTATGTGGGAGGCGGCCGGGGAGTTTGCGGCAGCGTCGAGAGCCTGAAGCGCGGCTAGCTTGGGGAAGATGCTCGTGAGAAGCGTTACAGGCTCCTGTTCGTGAGGAGCAATTGGACTGGCGTTAGTGGGAGGTGGTGTCATAAGATCCAGCTGCGCAATGGGGAGCACGCGCGGTTGTGTAGGATGATGGCGCTGAATAAGAAGCTCATTCATGATGCTTTGGACGTCGTGGCCGCCGGCAAGGTTAGACTGTCCCAGGCTGTAAAAAGGTAACGATGGTGTGGTGCCGAATGTTATCGTGGGATTTGCAGCTGTCGCTCGATGCATCCGTAGGGTGTATATTTGCACGGCCGGGTCCTCTTGGCCATTGGCAGCTAGCCATAGGTTGTCGAGAAGATGAGAGGGCGTGAAGAAGGGTTTGGGCGGTGGGCTTGCCGGTCCACTGCTGGCAATATTATGATGCGGGACGTAGAACTCAGGCGAATACGGAGACCGGCTGATTTGGGTCCGTGGAATGTGTGTCGGCGAAGCTTGGGTGGGCTTGTACGTTTGTTGAGCAAGAGACCTGGTGGGATCAAATACCGGAAATATCGATCGCATTGGAGCCTCTGGTTGCGGAGTGACATTACGCTGGGCAGTGCTGTTTGCTCGTACTAGTGTGGCAGCTTCGGAGAAAGCTGGGGACGCTGTTCTGTTCAAGTCAGGGCTGGAGGTCTGCGATCTGTAGTTGAAGCCATCCTGAACAGACATAGGTGGTGACTGGGCTCTACGATCAGGACTTCTCCTAGGCAGCGTACTGTGCTGTTTGGGCGATGCCTCCCTTGGCCGTGGTGGAGGGCCAGGTCGTTGGTGTCGAGGAGGAGTTTGTATCGTCAGAGTTGGAAGATGTGCTCTTGGTGGGGCTGCCACAGCAGGTGGTGGAGGTGGAGGTGGAGGAGGAGGCGGAGGCGGTATTGAATCGTTATCTGGAGAAAGTGGTACTGCATTGACTTGGATTACGAGCTCGTGGAAGTCGGCTGCACTATCCATTCTTTCCACTTGTCCAGGTTCTGGAGTGGGAGGCTTCGTTCGAAGCTGCTTGCTATTCGGACTCGCCTGTCTCGGACGAGGCGGTGGGGGGAACAGTTGAAGCCCGGGGCCAGCCATGCTGATCCTCCTCTTCTTTTAATCAGTCTGCTACAAGACACAGCTGTAGGTTTGCTGGTAGGGGGCGAGACGACTGAAAACTAGGAGTTACAAGCTTCAGAGCTGGATCATGGTGAGCGGATGCATAGAGTCGGATAGGCAGGGTCGAGGGAGTATAAGACAAGTGCGCTACATGCTGCATCAAGCCTATGGGAAACGGTGAAGGACCCAGCGAGCAATAGCGGCTCTGGGGTGTTTTCCCGTGCAGACGAGCACTCTTTCGTGCATGGCAGACTGGCACACGGCCCAATCAACATGCCCATAATCCTGGGCGCTTAACTCAGATCAGAGGCGGCGGTTATGATTTTGGTGGTTGGTTGTTTCGTCGTAAGCGCTGGCACCTGCAGCTCGCTACGCGACCAATCGAGTGCGCTTCGCCCCTGCACCTCGCCATGATTCGCCAGACGTTGTGTGCTGGCTTCGCGCACGGTGCCCAGATGTATGTGATGGACTGACGGCGGGCCGAAGCGGTCTCTATGTACATCTATTTTGAGTGCTTCTGTAGATCGAGGCCACAGCTCTTGGTGTTCTGCTGGGGCAGTACAACGCGGGGATGCCATGCCTCTGCGATCCATTTTCGAAGCGGAGGATGAGAAAGGGCTCCTGTGGGTGTTGCACTTCCGAATGCAAGAGGTGGTAGCTCTCGCTATTTCAAGATCAACGTGATGAGTAGATTGACATGTTTGTAAGACTGGCGGTGGAGGGTCAGATCGACGCGTTTGTTTACTCGAGACGTTCGGAGGCTTGAGGCAATGCAGCCACAAGGAACGTGAGCGGTTGCGCGACAGGTGCGGACGTGTACCGTGTTTTGTAGCCGCCATCGAGCGCCGGCTTGGTTTAGCGGAGCTCCACCAACCTTGACGCCGCCCACCATCGTTCGGCATGCTCTGCTGTTATTCGCCCCATGTTCTTCTGGTGCGGAAACGTCGATGCCATTACGCATTGGTTGAAGCCAGGCTGAACCGAAAATCTGCCCCGCGAGCGCATATTGATACGACACCTGGAAGCTACTGCAGGAAATAGGGTGGTGTGTCAAGCACGAGCGACACAACGGCAGATGGAAGTTGTGGTGAACAGCAGAAGGATGGGCTTGCAGGCTGATGCATAGGAAGGGACGTGAAGGCTGAGGTGCTGTTGGTTGTACGTGTCCCTGGCACGCACGTGCCTTCAACCTATCCATGGATCCATGGATGCCCCTCCGTCTTGCCCCTCCGATCGCTTATCGATAAGACGTTAATTTTCGCGTCGCGAAAAGCGTCATGAAACGTTCACCAGCAATTACACGCAACAATGCCTACCGAGTTGGAGGAGCTGGTGGAATTTCTGTATGTCATGTCCTCTTTTGCTACTCAAAAGCCTGTGCTGATCTCGACAGACACCATGGAAACACGCAGATACGGCAGGTCGCTGCAGAGCATCTGGTAGGATACTCGCAGGCGGATCTGCCTCTCTTCAAGCGCAGCCAGCTCGAACCCGTCAAAGACCTTAAGCTCCTCGTAAAAGACTACGGGCCAATCGCGAAGAATGCTCTGACCATCCTCATCAACATCTCGCACGATGGTGAAGTCCTCAAGTCGCTCGCCAACGATGACGCCTTCCTCGAGACACTACTTTCGCGAATAACCGTATGTCAGTTCATCAGCGCCAAAAGATTCACGGAGCAATGCTGATGGAGGAACAGAACAAGAAGGAGCCCAATGCCAACGAGATTGCCATGTTGCTCGCCAATATGGCAAAGGACGACTCGCTGCAGCGCGTGCTGGAGCTCAGGCGCGATATTCCTAAAGAGCTCTCAAAGTCAGAATGGGCGATGGATCAGTTGATGGACTGCTTCGTCAAGGGTGCCGAAGGAGGCTACAATAAAGATGCGGACTACGACTACTTGGCCTACTTCTTCGCCGACCTGTCAAAGTTCCCCAAAGGCCGCGAGTATATGACCACGCCGCAAGCGCATGACTCCGACATCATACCTCTGACAAAGCTGCAAGTCTTCACATCACATGCCTCGCACATCCGCCGCCTCGGCGTGGCCTCGACTATCAAGAACTGTGCCTTCCACGTCCCTGCCCATCAGACATTGCTTTCGAACCTTAACCCCGATCCGACTCTCCCACCACCGCACATCGGTGCAAATCTACTTCCGTACCTTCTTCTCCCGCTCATGGGACCTGAAGAATACTCAGACGAAGACACAGAAGGCATGCTCGATGAGCTACAACTGCTAGAGCCGGACAAGGAACGAGAGAAGGACATTGAAGTCATGAAGACACATCTGGAGACTCTATTGTTGTTGAGCACAACCGCCGAGGGCCGCAATGTGATGAGGCAGATTAAGGTGTACCCAATCGTACGCGAGTGTCATCTTCACGTTGAGGATGAAGGCGTAAGGGAAGCTTGTGACCGTGTCGTGCAAATCATTATGCGGAACGAAGAGGGCGAAGAAGGAGAGATACCCGAAGGAGCCGTTGGTGCGGCGGGAGCAGATGCAGGTAGGATGGTGGAGCTCAAGGATGAGAACGAAGACGACGACGACCAGATAGTCGAGATATGTTGAGTTCCGTACATCAAGCAAAGACAAGGTACCGCATGCTTATGGTCGCCAGGACCCAATCTGTCAGATTATGCAACTATTCGATCGAGGTGAAGGTATCTGTTGCAAAAAAAAGGTCGCGTCTACCTCCGATGTGTAAAATACCCGGTCAATGCGATTCTAATGACACGGACTTCCGCTTTCCCATTCGTCTCTATTGTAATCTTCCAACACACGTCCAGTCTTTCAAAGCTTTCCCTCCCAGGTTCACGCCCTTTGTACTGTGTTTGAGATGAGCATTTGTTAACACAAGTCACGTAAATAAAACCCGCGGTTATCTCCACACAACGCCAACCCACCTAGGACTAGCCCATCGCTTTTCCGAAGATAACGCTCGCTGGCGCGCATGTCGGTAACGAACGCCTCCCCTCATTGCCGAAATCGACAAGGTACACGAGCTCGCTCTCCGTCATGCATCTTCAATTATCTTCGGGGCTGCAATCCCCTCCTCCAATTGTCTCGTCCTTCTTTGTTTGCATTGTTTCTGCTGTGTATAACAAGAGTCGGGAAATGGCTTGGATAGCCACATTACGGACACGATGAATTCAGAGAAGAGCCCTACCGCCGGTGCGGGAGCCGAGGATGCTACACCGACGCCGCCATACACAATCTCCGAACCTTCATCGCCAACAATCGCGTCGACGAAGAAGAGGCCAAGGTGGCGCAAGATCTATGATATACTTACGTACACGCCTCCACGATGCCGCTGGGATCCTGATAAACCGCCACAGTTCTCCATGAGCATGAACGTCCTGTTCGCATTCGCAGCCGGCTTTACTGTTGCCAATCTGTACTACAGCCATCCCATCTTGAACATCCTAGCCCACGATTTTGGTGTCAAGTATGAACAGGTAGCGCAGATTCCGACAGTCATGCAAGCCGGGTATGCTGCGGGATTGTTATTCTTGTGTCCGTTAGGGGACTTATTTCCTAGGCGGCCGTTTGTAGTGGGATTAGTTGGTGTGACGGCAACGTTGTGGTAAGTAAATGCCTTCCCATCTTCCTTGTTCCTAGACATGGACATGCAGTGTTTTTGGTATTGATTATCTTCATGGCTGTCCCGACACTGCGCCAGCTTAAGGATGGGGAAATGTGTCCGAGATGTTGGAAGGGGAGCAATGTCAGGAGAAGAAATGCTCACCTAATGCAGGCTCGGTCTTTGCTTAACATCGAACCTGGGTGTTTTCACAGCGATATCGTTCCTTGTATCCATTACGACGGTCACGCCTCAGCTGATGCTCCCTCTTGTTGGCGACCTCGCGCCACCACATCGCCGCGCAGCGGCCCTTTCAGTCGTCGTTTCTGGTCTTCAGCTCGGCATTCTCGTCGCGCGTGTACTATCAGGCACGATCTCTAACTTCGTCACCTGGCGCGCCGTTTATTGGATGGCATTTGGGCTGCAGTACCTCATCTTCATCCTGTTATGGTTCTTCATGCCAGACTACCCCGCGACAAACACGTCCCTCAACTACTTCCGACTCCTCTGGAGCATCGTGCAAATGCTCACTCGCCATCCCATCCTCGTCCAAGCCTGTCTCGCGGGCTTCTTTACCAGCTCCACATTCACTAGCTTTTGGACGACGCTAACGTTCCTACTTGCCGGTGCACCATACTTCTACGGCCCCTTGGTGATAGGTCTATTCGGCCTCATCGGCATCGCTGCCATGTGCTTCGGACCACTATGGGCGCGCAACGTCACTGACAAATTCGTGCCGCACGTGACTGTTCTCTTCGGGTTGTTCTGCTGCCTGCTGGGCATCTGCTTTGGGACCTACCTAGGCACGTTCACGGTTGCAGGTCCTGTCCTGCAAGCTTTTCTGTTGGATTTTGGCATGCAGACTGCGCAGATCGCGAACAGGAGTGCCATCTATGCGGTTGAGCCCAAACGGCGAAATGGCGTCAACACGGCTTTCATGGTCGCTACGTTCTGCGGACAGCTCATGGGTACCGCGGCTGGAAACCACATCTATGCCGCTGCGGGATGGATCGGTAGCGGTAGCGCGAGCGTGGGATTTATCGGTGGGGCATTACTGGTCATGTTGGTGAGGGGGCCATGGGAGACGAGATGGGTTGGCTGGAGGGGTGGGTGGAGCTTCAAAAAGAAGGACAAGACGAGTGCAGATGGAAAGACGGCAGAAATATCGAACGCATTGCAGGGAAGAGAAGACAAGGACGAGGAGATGGGTGCCGAGGGCAAAGTATTGGGAGAAGTGGGAGCAGAAGGCCATGAAAGCCCGCTCCAAGGCAGGAGCGAGTTGGAGCTGGAAGGTGCGACGAGCGAAAAGAGCGGGAGGAGCAGTAGGATGGATGCGACCGGGTCTGTAAACAAGGAGACGGACACAATTAGGTCTGTACATACGGAGACGGACGCGATGCACACGACGAGGGCGTAGCGTATAGACATGGATTATAGATGCCCGTCGAGATGCGCGTAGCGCTGCAAGGGACCGTGCCGATACGTCACCTTTGGCGGGGTAGCGAGAGCTAAGTGAGGGGCAGCAGGGCCGGAGACATGATTCCTCTCTCGACCATGACGGGAAGAGTTGCACTCCCAGCAATTGCCGAGGCTCTAATGCGTCGTGGCCACGCAGCCTGGGCAGTTCAACCAATCGAGTCCGCCATCTTCAGCAGGAAGAGTGGGAAGATGCGCGCTTTTGAGACGCACACCGGATCATGGAAGGGAAGATTGGTGGCCACGAATGAGGGCGGCCTAGGGCGAGGGAATTCTTAAGTACGACCATGTGTCCGACAAAAGTCTGGTCCATCGCTGAGAAAGCCCACTTCGACGCATAACAGCTACCATGTCCTTTCCACTGCATCGCAACCCTCCCTTCCGCGCTGAGCATCTGGGCTCCCTCAAGCGCCCACAGTACCTCCTTGACGCGCGATACAAAGAAGGCAAATCCGCCCAAGAGCTGAACCCCCTCGAGGACAAAGCCATCAACGATATCGTGCAAGCGCAGCTAGACTTGGGCTTCCACGGCATTAGCGATGGCGAATACCGCCGACATATGTTCTGGGGCACCTTCTGGCCGACCCTGGAGGGCATGGAAGAAGTGCAAAATCCACCCATTGAGACGTTCAGGTTGTATGTGCCTGATATCGCGGCTTTCATGGAGACGGGACATAAGCCCGGTGAGAGCGTGTATTGCACTGGAAAGATCAAGCATACGGGCGAAAGCACCTACATCCGTCAGGTAGAATATCTGAAGAGCATTCTGCCACAGGAGAAATGGGGTGATATCAAGCTCACCATGGCCGCTCCGAATTGGTATCATCTGAGGTATGTCGATGGGAAGGCGTTCCCCAAGGACGTGTACAAGAACGACAAGGAATACTTTGCGGATGTCGCAAAAGCGTACCAAGCGGAATTAGACATCCTGTACAAGGCCGGCCTCAGGAACGTCCAATTTGACGACCCTAACCTGGCATGTAAGTGTTTGTTCGTGTACGTGTGGCTACAGCAGATTGCTAATCCGGGCAGATTTCTGCTCCGAGAAGATGCTGGAGGGATGGAAGAAAGACCCTAACAACACCGTGACCGCCGACGAGCTCCTTGACCTGTACATCGAGCTTTACAATGACTGCACCAGAATGATACCGGCCGACATGCACGTCGGCGTCCACTTGTGTCGAGGTAACTTTGTCAACTCGCGCCACTTCTCCGAAGGCGGCTACGACCGCATTGCGACCAAGCTCTTCACCCAACTCGACATGCACACATACTATCTAGAGTACGACACTCCACGCGCGGGAGGTTTTGAACCGCTTGCGCATCTTCCGAAGAACAAGAATGTAATCCTTGGTGTCGTCACGAGCAAGTTTCCGGAGCTTGAAGACAAGGAGAAGATGAAGGAGAGGATCTACCAGGCAGCGGACATCATGGCGAAGGGTCAAGGAGAGAGCAGAGAGGAGAGCTTGAAGAGGTTGGGCGTGAGCCCGCAGTGTGGCTTTGCGAGTCATGCGGAGGGAAATCTTATTGATATCGAAGGCATGAAGAAGAAGTTGGCTTTGGTCAGGCAGATCGCCGATGGGGTCTGGCCTGGCGAGCCATGAGGCTTTTAGCAACTTTGTCCCAGGAGTAGAACTTTGTCACAAACGCAGCATGATAGCATGGTTAGCGCGCTCTCTCACCCTCGCTGATTTCTTCCTCCCTCTTTGTATCATGGTACTCTCTCGCCTTCCGTTCGTCCCATGCGTAAAACCTCCTCACAAACGTAGCATCTTGCTGAGTTATCCTTGTTGGTGGCAGAATACGCCAATCATCCGCAGGTACTTTCTTGCCCGTTTCATCTTTCTTAATCTTGATCAGAACAGCGTCGTCAAGGTGTGCATGGTTTTCCGTTCCGTGACTGTTCGCCATCGAGGGATACATCATGATGGAGTGGACATCGAAGCCGCCCGGTCCATCGAATATTGGCTCTTTCTTCGGATCGAGGCCATCGCCTTTGACTAGTTTATGCGGTTGGTGTCAGCGACTCTGCCTTTATGTCGGTCTGGTTGAGAGAAAAAGGTAGCAACATTTGTTTGTACGTACCATACTCAGAGCTCGGCGATCCATACTCGACCGCAAGCTCACGGTCCGTGCATAACATGTCCAAGGCATCGTGTTCACTAAGCCCAGGCCTGTCTGTCTGCAGCCCATCTACCGCGTCAAAAATGCCGACAAGGCTATCACAGCGAAAGAGAATGTGATCATCACGGTCCCAGCGTTGGTGCTCGTGAGACATACCGAGCACTAGCAGAGCGTTAGTAGCGAGAACGACAACAGTATAGGGTACGGTAGGTTGAAAGACGGACCATGACCAAGCTCATGCGCAATATTACCCGCGGTGGCAACGTCGCCAACATGCATCCAGTGCCGTCCTGCCTCTGCGTTGTGTTCCTCCGCCGTGTAACCTAGCTGGGCCTGCGCCGCGCGACCGTTCAGCTTAATATCGTCGAGCCAGTGGATGGCAAGAGCGTCTTTGGGATACTTCTCCTCGTTCCACTCGCAGTGCAGATCACCATCCTCGAGCAGTCGATTTTCCGGCCCATATTCGTACTTCGTGCAACAGTAGTCCTCAGGATTCTCGGGTCCCTTAATGACGAGGCTGTGGAAGTCCTCACGGCTTGCTTTCCCACCTAGCCCGTCCTTCCAAATCTCAATGGCGTTGATAAACTTGCATGGCTCACCGATCTTCTCGTAAGATCGCTTGTCAACGAAGCAGTATGGTATTCGGCGTAGATAGCCTTTGTTCACGTCATGGATGCCGAGTCGGAACGGCCAAGCTGTGACGGGGTGATCAGCTGTTGCGCCAGAGGTTATGACTAGATAAAGTTGCGTCAGTTCGGTCTTATGTCAGAATCATGGTGCTAAGCTACTTACATTCTGCGTACCGTTTCTGGGGATCATTAGAGTTCACGCTGGCGTTGGAGTAGTTCTTTCCGGCGCGAGATCCTGGGACGGGTCGGCCGAAATACGACGCTGCGGCTGAGACGGGTTGTACCGCAACGATATATGTTGCAAGCACAGCAAAGAGCCTCATGATCATCTCGTTAGTCTGGGGGATAAGTTCAATTTCGAGTTGCGTGCCGCGCGGAGCAGTAGTTTGTAGTGTTTCGTGGGTTGGGAGGGGAATAGCCCGTTGTTTTATATATCTGGGCGTTGATCAATGACGGTGTGAGAGAGAAGCTATGGCCTTTGCTTGTTCCGTGTTGGCAAGCTCAATTGATACTCTTCACTTCGGTGTTCAGACTGAAGTGCCCCGTGCTCCAATATTTCCACCAGAGGGTTGAGTGCACTGATAAGATTCAGCGTGCAATTAGCGTCTACACAACAGCTGCTCTGTGAAAGAATTGAAAGTAATTTAGGTCTATGGATTTCCCTATCCAAGAATATCAATCCGCTTGAACGATTCGGCCCTTAGAGGCCTTCCTGGGAAACCCAACTACCCTCTTCACCGCATTACGAATAATTTCGCCTAATGCTACAAATAAGAGCCCAAATTCAAGTTTCCTAATACTTAGTCCCGCGTTATAATTGAGTTTGAGGATGTCGAAGGCAGCGATAATCTTTAGGTCATAGTAACCTGGTCTAAACGATTGATATTGGGCCTGTGTGCTGGCGTTGAACTTTCTTTCGATGAGCGCAAAGGTACACTTTTGATTCTAGCGGGTCCATATTGGGACGCAGAGCATATTTTCTGAGCGAAGACTTGCAAATCCTTTTGTGGACCCGCCCGTCGGCGGCCGGGCACCATGCTGAGCAGCTGTGATTTTGTGCGTATCAGAAATGCACACATGAAAGATGATAGGCAACGCTACATTTTCGGAATAGCTTGCAGGCGCAATACTACGCTGTGGCTCGTTGTGGCTCTAAACTTATGACAAATGACCTTCAACGTGTTGGCTCAGCACACTAGCTCGAAGAAAGACGACATCTTGCTAAAATGCTACCTCATTCGCCTGCTAGTGGGTTTTCTCGATCAGAAAATGACAGGAGACGTCCATACTTATGAGTAAGGGAAGATCAAGTGACAGTGTACAACGAACAGCACTTGAGACTGGTAATCATGCAATGACCCGTCAGCTTGTTAGTTCCATCAACCCTATTGTAAACCAAAACAGGATGGATCAGATTCCATACAGTTGTCAACTTCACATTGAGATAATAAGAGCCCCTACTGATGCCGCATCTGTGAATTCATACATTCAAGTGCAAGGGTGTAGGCATGCTACAAGGTACCGGCTACGGTGGCCTCCATCAAGTTGATCAAGATAACCGCGAAGGCTTTCGATTGGAGTCCTTCACCATTGTACAATCGTCGAGGGCACTCGTTGTGTGATCACCGTTCTACTGTGCCGTTCGGTCGCGCGAACATTGTTAATACAAGTCCGAGCGTGTCCGTGTTCCCGTGACTTTAGAAAGCCCAGGGCTGATGAGCCCATTGTCTCTCTCTCTCCGAAACACCCAAACCAATTTACATACAACCCTATCTCGTCTGGAACAATTTTACATTGATTGGAAAATGGCTTTAGACTACCTGACCGCGACACCCGCAGCTAATGAAGTGGTAGAGTGCACCAAAACCTGTGAACTCATGGACCAGATGTTGTCTTCCATGTCCGAATTCTGGGTCCCTTACAGCAGTTGGCTCGAATGTAGAGAGCTTCAAATCCAACCTGCTTTTTGGAACGTCACATTGGCTCAGTGGACCTCGGCCTGGAACGCGCACAAATTGGAGCGGCAGCAGGATTTATCATCCTCGCCAACAGTAATTGAGCGCGAAATGGACGTGCCGCCTTCAGAACCGACTGTGCTTTCAAAGAACAGCTTGGACATGATTAAAGCGCAGTATGGAGCTTGTAACCCATATGCGTGGTCCATTCCCGAGACGCAGGCTACAAAGCAGACAGACAATCAGGAGTCTGCATTAGCCAGCGAGGAGCTGCCAGAAGCTGCACAGATTACTGAAATTTCTGAGCATACCGAAGTACCGCCTAGAGCTCCTTCATCTTCACTCGAGGCTATCACGTGTTCGAATCAAGAAACCTCGTTGGCCTCGTGTGCAACGGGTGTGCCATCTTCAAGTCACGTGAATGATCACAACTCTTCAGCGTCCGACGATCGACATGCCCGCCTCTCAGTTGAACAGGATTGCGAACAGCTACATCGGCAACTGGAAGATTACTCTTCTATATCCATGGTAGTCGAAGCGGGTCACGCAGCACAGCGTAAGCGTGGTAGGATGCCCACTGAGCCGTTAGAAGATATTGCCTGGCATCCTGTCTCCGCGATTTCTCAAGGTCATACGCTTTTTAAGCATACTGAGACCTTTATAGTGAACCGTGTCCGGCGTTTCAGCATTTCGAATCAGGAAGAGATCGTCGCGTACACTCCGTCTCCCAAGGCTGGAATTGGTTCGCTGTTGAAGACTGCGGGCCGAATAATGCGCGGGATACACCTTTAGATGCCACAGTAGTAGTGATAGATGTTTGTATCATTCCCTCGATACCGGTGCTTATCGCAAGTGTAACGAAGGTTGCTGAACGATAGGCGGACTTACATTCCCTTCGATCCGGGAGCTCAGTCTTCAGAGTTCACTTTATTTTTTCATGTACGTTTGCTTTTTCTGCTGCTGTTAGCCTGGGCCTTAGACAGCTGAGCCTGTTGTTTCAAGAGTACAGTCAGCTGTGGCGTGCGCAAGACCTGTAGATTAATATTAGACCAACTACTTCGAAACCTTACCTTAACAATACTAAAAATGTGCCCCAGATCCAGTTATGGAAAGTTCATTGCGGAAGCCGAAGCGTTCGAGGGCGAAGAGAAAGGCATATTGGTTGTTCCATTCTGACTCAGATATACACAAATCGGGCCTAGTCGATCCCTCGTTACCTAGGTAGGAAGTACTTCTGCAGGGTCCACAAGTGACATCCGATCGGGGCATGGGCTCCGATCTCACAAGTAACATTGCTTCGCGCTAAGGCACGGCGCATTCGACCCACAACTTGGCGACGCTGATAGTCTGCAAGGCTGTGTTGTTTGTCCGTGGCTGTGACAGCCTGTACAAAGACGTCAGCGCCCCCGATGGGACCTCAAGAGCGTCCCCTTCATGTCTCACTAACTTGATCACTATCCATCTATAATTCACTTGTCCCAAGTGTTTATCCTGTCATTAGCATCGCGATACAACGGAACCCATTCATATCCTATCCTTTCCCACACTCGTCGCCATGGCACCGAGGAAAACCTACGAGCTTCAAACCACGAACAAAAAGCGCACCAAGGCAACCATCACCGAGACAAATTCCTCGCAACCCTTATTTGAGCTCGATCTAGGCTTCATCACCGGCGATATAAAAAGGAGCCAAGGCAAGCACAGCATCATTTTGCAAACACCCAGCTCAGACGCTTCCGTTCCGTCGCGCACTGTTGGCGTTTGCGACATACAATTTAGTTCCCTTTCAAAACCCATACACATCGGGCTGGGCGACCCTGAAAATGCACCCAGTGATGTAAGATGGGAGGATTTGCTTGTTACAAAAAAACTCACCGCGGGTAATGTCGCTGTAGGATCAGCGGGCGGTTTGGAGCTGAACATCGATCTTGGTGAAGAGGTTGGGCAGAGAAGCTTTTTCTGGAAGCGGACGAGTGAGATCGAGGGTGTCTCGGCGATCGGTGGAAAGATGGACTGGCTTCACTTGAAGATGATAGAAAAAGACAGCGGTAAGGCGGTGGCGTACTTCAAGCACAATTTCCTGTTTGGATCGAAGAGAGGGACATTCATACTTGAGGAATTTAATGGGGGAAATGAGTGGGAGAAGATTGTTATGCTGAGCGGGTGCGCAGTTCTTGAATACATGCGCAAAATGACTGGGTGGTCGTGGTGAGGGGTGTAGAACATGTTCGAGCAAAGTCGCCTTTGTGGTTCTGCTTGCGAGAAAGTCACGAAACATACAGACGTTGTGATCCGTTATACCTGTGTAAGATTTCGTTTGGTAAAGTTAAAAGGTGTACTATAAGGTAATCGACCTGACGATTGAAGGCAAATGTCTCACATGGGCATGGTCAAACGGTTTTTCAACCAAACATCTAACTCAGAAATTTTTTGAAGTGTTGTTAGCTTATTTTACACGTCGTATTGACTGCAGTATAAAACAACAGCTCACGTTATCCAGTTGCGCATGTCAGGACACTCGGCCTGTCCCTACAACGCCGGTCATAGAAACATCCATTATCACCTTCCTTATCCACCGCCATTCTCTCACCCCCTCGAAGCCCGACATCGTTGCCCATGTGTCCCAGTTCTTTGATTTTCACTAGTCGCTCGACCCGAAATTTACTTTATATCACACGTTCGGCGAAGACTGCATCACGAAGTTCCTACCCAACACTAGCAACGCGTTTGTGCTTGCCTTCCCAATCAGAAACAACAACTCAGCAGCAGCTCCTAATAAAGAGAAGCTTGTTAGTGAGACAATAGATGAGATAATGGCTCACGAGTGCGAGATCACGGTCGATGTTGGCGTCAATCAGGAGAAGATTATCGTGAGCACAGCAGACCCGGGCGAAGACGAGCCATCCTGGTGTTTGAGCTGACAAAGGCGAAGGATAGGAGGTTCTTCTGTCATATGCCGTGTTGGAGGGCGGCGAGGGAGAGATCTCGCAGGACGTCAATAACGTTTTTGGCGCTGCACGTAGCATACGACTGTAGAGCGTTGCATATGAACTATCTTGTCCCTGCATCTGTAGCTGAAGGCCATACCGATCAAAGGACACTGACCAAAACCCTCGAGGGCTTCACAAGGCGATAAAATGTACAATCGCCAAACTCCAGTTCCTTTCCTGCCTCCAACCTTCAACCTTCAACAAGCCTAGCTAATTCCACATTCATATTCAATGCTTGTAAGTTTACCTCAGAGTGTATTGTCACAGTTCACTATCGATACTGCGACCATGCTCTCGATTGTAGCAAGAAGCCCCAATGTTGACCTAGCTGCGCATTTCTCGATCGTGTGTACATTATCATCTCTAGTTGCACACTTCCACAGCCTCACAACATTTGCGTCTACATGCCTCACATTTACAAAGAACAATGCGTACCCGCGTCTAGAAAATCTCAACATTGTGCACTTACAGCAAAGTTCCGCCCATATCCTGCCCAGTCTCCACTGCTGCTCTCCCATAAATACTCCCTCAAGCTGGCACTCTGAACTCGAAGCAAAGCAAAGCAAAACAACACTGTCGGCCAACCCCTCAACACCACAAGCTCTTCCAACAGAACGCCAACTCTAGACTCCAACTCTCCAGCCTCAGCAACAAAACACTCCTCGAACACCATGCTTTCGAACACGGTGCAAAATTACCACTCCGCTATGGCTAAACACTATGCTGCCCAGGACCACATCGCCCTCCGCCCTTATGAGCGCGAGATGCTCCTCCGCTCACACGTTTACCTTCCCCACCCTCACGATCCGCCCGCAGCCATGCAGGAGCCCGGATCGTATTTTCCGCCTGGTCTAATCTACACAGACATCGCACCAGCGGAGGACGAGTTGAATTTGTACGCGCGTACGCCTTATCCCCAGCGTGCAGACGCTACAGCCGAGATTGGTGACAAAGTCGCAGAGGTGCGTCGGCCTCTGGGTCAAGTGAACGTCAACCCCACCGTCTGCACGTGTTGCAAGCAGTACACTGTGAGCGGTAGAGCTAGTGTGTTGACACGCGTGCGCAAGTTTTGGCAGCGCTTTGTGCTTGGTATAGGTGGAGTGAAGCATGCGGAGCGTGCTGACGACATCCATTTCTGATCTACTGTTTGTGTCTGAGTTGTCTCATATTGCTTCGTTATGCAGCGCATGTCACAAGCGCTGAGATTGTCAGTCGCTGTCCCGTAATAGCCGATCCATCTTTTCATCTCTTAATATCAGCCTTTAGCACCATAGTGAAACATAGCATCTCATAACGTGTGTTCAGCATACTAGAACAAATTGTTCATAACGTTCTATGCATGCAACCACTTCACGAACTCCCGTCATCTATCATTGATCGTAGCCTTGATGCAAAGGCCTTGCATGCCGTGTCTATCAATACGTCATTCATCGTCTGATGGTCGTATGCTCTGTACCTGAGGTCAATTACCCCTGTAGCTGCGCAGGCGGAACCGACGCATCCTACAACCTCTCCGCCAGCAAGCCTGTCTCATCATACTTTGCTTTATTGTCGTTTCCATCATCCTCGCTGACATTCTGCTCGCCGAACGCATCTGGCACTTTCTCACTAAGATTGATGGCGACGAACGACTTTGGAAGCTTGACACTGGAATGAATGAGCAAAACAACATCAGCAGGTAGGAGCGCAACTGAGACATACGTATGGAACTTGGCGCGCAGTGTCTCGAGCACTTCCTTCCAGTCGTGGTGGGCTGTAAGACTGCGACGAGGCGAGAAACCAATCATGTGTCGTGAGTCAAGTTGGCTGCGACTTTGTTAGGGAAACACCTTGTGTTCATGGGACCATACTTACACATCGAGCGGCGCAAAGGCGTGGCAGCCAGGCGAAAGGGTGATGCGGATACTGTAATTGAAAGTATTGGGCGAGTCATCCGTCGATGTATTCTCCGACTCATACAGCTCAAAGCCGATCTGAGATAGGTAGTCTAGCTCTGGAATAGCGTTTCGTTCAATCTTCGTCTTGATGCCACCTTCCAAGATGCAGTTGAGAAGCGTGTAGATGTGTGACTCTTTCGTGAAGTAGAAGAAGCACTTGGGCGTATCCGAAGCTTGTAATTCCTCCAAATCTTCAACAATCTCCTTCAGTAGTGGCAGAGAAGTCAGGAGACCAATCTCAAGCTTCTCTTCATTGTCGATACCGTACTCCTGTGGACCAATGTAATCGAAAAGAACCTTGCTGAGATGGTACATCTCGCGCAGCTTGACTAGCCGTGCATCCGTTTGCGCCTTTGATTCTTTAGATGTGCTGCCAACGCCCGTGTAGAGTTTAAAGTACGACTCGTGCACGTAAGAAGGAGGTGGAGGGGGTTGAGCGTTCTTGATAGCAACCTCGGACTTGCGACGGAAGCCCATACGATGTGCAAGGTTGCCACGCTCCGTAGGCTTCTCGGACTGAGCCTCTTTCTGTTCCGCTTTCGCCGGATCGAACGGTGCAGGGACCGGTGGCCTGCTTCCGCTGTCTATCGAAACCTGTCTGGAGTTGTCGACAGTCTCCTCATCTAGGAATACCGAGTCGGGGGTAAAGATCCACTCCAAGAATTGACGATTGTGGAGAGCGTCAAACTTCATAGTGTCGTAGAGCTCAGAGATTTTGCTAGGATCAACTTTGTCAGCGTCTTTAAACTCCTTGAAAAGCTTCTCCCAACGCTCTTTGAACAACTCTGGTCCTTCGTTACAGCACCAGCGCGGCTGGATCTTGTTGACATCCGCTCCTGGTGCAGACCCGCCAGGCGAGGTCGCCTCTCCAGGATTTCCAGCAACAGCATGTAGTGACGACACTGCTTCTGTTTCGAGCTTCTTGAAGTTGTAGTTCATGACTCGTTGATGAAACTTCATCAACTCTACTACTTGTTGAGCCACGATGTACGGTTCTGCAACGTCCTTGGGCCACGCGAATTGGGGTGGTGCCTTATCGCCCGCGCGAAGAAGCGTCTTGAGCTTCTTCTTGACCTTGTCCATAATGTCTTTCGCGGCATTAGAATCGTCGAGAAGATCTTTGCGCACGTGGATGTTCTCGGCCGCGAATTGGTCTCTTTCCAGGAATGACGCTGCAAAGATCTGCGCACTGGTGGTAACGCGTCGCTCAGAAGAACTGAAGAAATGAACATCATCAAGAACATCTCTGTTCATCAGGAGCAAATCATTTCGGAAATTCGCACCCATGTCCTGCGTCTGGTGACGCGCAGAATGGGTAGGCTCACCACCCCACTTGATGATGAGCTGCAGCTTTTCTAGTATGAGATTGTTCTCAGCTGCAGAGATCCTCGACAGAGTCAATCCGGACGTCGAATCGCTTCGCTTTGCGGCCAGATCGACAATGTCACTAGCCGTGGAACCTGCGCGTGTGCGTTCGGGAGATTCCTCGGCCGTCTCACCGGGGAGTCTCTCTTCTTTCCTTCGTTTACGAAACATGGGTTTGATCTGCACTTTAGTCCCTGGCCAGGCTCCTTTCTTGTCAAGATACACTTGGAGTTCGCGCAGCTTCTTGGGGTCCTCCTCTCCTTCCTTCATAGCTAACTTCACAGCCTCACTCACGCTCTGCAGTGCGGCCTCGCCAATGAGCAGGACCTCCTCTTGGTGCCCTTTGAGCAAGTCGACGAAGGGCTTCGTGTGGAAGGTATACTTGAACTTCTGCTTAGGTGTGCGATCCGCATGGCGAACAACAGAGACAACGCCTTTCAGCTTCCATTGCGCTTTTGATGCAGGTGGAGGTACGTTCACTTGCTCTTCGGAGTGCGACTTTTCGATCTCCAAATGCAAATCTGTATCGCGAATTGAAGGCGGTAGCAAAAGATCCGGCTCTGATTTGAGTGCGGCTGGCGCGGGGCTCGTTGTGATGGGCGTAGCGTCGGCCTTCTCGAAACTTGGGGATGCTGCAATAGGGGTGGCACCTAGCGACGTATCAGGTGAATTTGGAACAGTGCCTGAACGGCCCATATGGGGAAGATGTGGATGGTGACCAGCCAACTTAGACATACTAGGAGATTTAAATAATTCTTTCAGGGTACTCCTGTGTCCACCAATGCTCTTCCTCTGGGCACTCGATGCGAGAGGTGCTTCTTGAGCTTCGGCGGCGGCGGCTTGGGTACTCTTTCGTTCTCTTCGTTGAATCTCTTCGAGGAAAAGCTCTTTCAGGATGGTTGATGCCTTTTCGTAGTAGGTTTGATTATCCTTGACGAAGCTCCAGCCGTTGACATCGATGACATAGCTTCTATCTCCTGCCCGAAGTAAGTCAAAGCCGCATACCCTCTGTCCAAAGCCATTCGAGATTCTCGCGGCCATGGCTGTCTCAGCTTCAGTCAGATTAGTTACATATCGCACTTCTTTGCCACTGGGATTCCGCTTAACAAGCCCGTCGACGACAGGCGATTTCCTGGTCTCGGCATGGCAGAAGTTCGGGCCAACAGTGTATGCCTTCACATCTTCGGCGTTCTCGACTTGCAGAAACTGCTCGTAGATGTAGCTGCTCTCAGGCTCGGTCATGGATCTTGGCATGTACAGGCTATCGTCCTTTTCGGAGCTCTTGTTGTTCACTTTGCGGAAGAGTCTACGACCGCCGCCTCCGTCCTTGGAGTGATAGTAGATGTGAATGTTGTGATCCTCGCCGCTGACAGGTTTTTCGACAAAGGGCTTCGTAAGGGTCATGCCGTCGACACAGATGGTGTCGCCGTTGTCGATCAGCTCGATCTTTTGCGGTGGCGCGACATCACCTCCAGTGCCATCGGAACCGCCCAGAACCACGCCGGTTCTCTGCTCTAGTTGTTTGGCAAACTCGGCGCTCGCCAATCGGGGTCCACCATCTCGGCTGACTTCAACACGGCGTGGGGTAGGCACCTTCAACTGGTCGAGTATCAGTAAACAGAGACGACGATCCCACAAAATCTGCTGCATGGGCAAATCGTTGACGCAGAATGGCTTGCGCAGGCGTGCATAGGCGATGGCCTTGTCGAGCGGGAAGCCATCGGAAAAGAATGATATCAAGAAGTCGCAAACAGGCCAATTCTCCACGTCCTCGTCAAGGATAATTTTGTCGCCAAAAATCTTCACCTCAAAGTCATCCACAAGCTTGCCGAAGATGTTACGTGCCGGCTTGCTCCGCGCCTTGGACTCAAGCGCGCAGACGCCTATGATGCCCCTGGTAGGCCGTCGTGGCTCCCGGCCCATGTCTCTCCCGCCGGGGCTGCTGCTCGCAGCGGTGCTCCCGCTGATACGTCTCTGTGCTTGTGTTCGGCTGCGGGCGCGGCGTTCGTGATTATGGGGCGAAGAGGTTGAGGTTGGCGGCGGGGATGCGTCGGCGGGGCTGTTGGAAGGATTCGAGGCGATGGACAGTCGATTGCTGTTGCCGCCGGGGTAAGTCGGATGTTCAGCTGGAAAGAGCAGCTGCGTGGGCGAGACTCTAGGGTTGAGACTGCCGCCATTTTGGCTCGCCGTCATGACATTCAACGACGATGTTGCGGTGGTGGTCCCATTGTGGCCTGCCCATTCGCTCTGTTAGCACGAAGGCTCATGCAGAATAGTTTGATACGCGTACCCTCGTCACTGCCGCTGATTGATGCAGGCCCGCTCATCCTATGGGTGCTTGGGTATATTCCTGAGCCGATGGAATACAGAGACGAAAAGGACAGGCGGTTGGAGGTGGGTTCGATTTCGGGGCGGCGGTCCGAGTGGGTCAAGGTGCGCACCGCTTCAGAGGTGGGCGTGAGAAGGTCGGTAGAATCGTCAATTGCGGGAGATGGCTGGCGATCGGTGAGCGTCTCCCGCAAACTGACATCGGACGCTTTCGAGGGACGGCGCGAGGGAAATTGCCTAGGCACGGCCTTAGAGGCGGGTGGCGGCATCGAGATACTGGCGCGGACGGCCTTTGCATCGCTGGTTTCCTCTGACGCGCGACCTTTCCTGCTCGCTGCAGATGCATTGCCGGTACCCGCCAGCAGGTGTGAAGGTCCGGTACGCGCATTCTCGGCGCTGACTGTGCGTGACAGCTCCATGCGCCTTATGTGCACTTTTTGGGAGCGAAGCGAGATGTTATGCCATGACGTCGGTCGCGCTGCATGATGGATCGAAGGAGGAGCAGCCGGCCGTCGCTCTGGTAGCGTTGCAGAGGTGTACAAGAGGCAGACGGCACGACAGCTGCTGAGACAGGGCATCCAGCAGCGCTCCTTCGCTGCGCACGTGTCGACAGATGGCGGGCTTGCAGGCGTGTTCTCGTGGAGCCAGCCGCAAACGTCATTGCAGCTCCTCTGAAGGGCTGGAACAAGATGCACTTCCGTGGTTCAAGTCGGCGCTGTGGTGGACGCTACCACGCAGGACGGACGATATGCGAAGCACCAGGAAGCATTCAAAAAGATACGTATCAGATCCTGCCGTCTTCACTCGCCCGGGCGAACAAGTGGAAGGCAAGAAAGCAACGCAATGGCAAGAAAACGGTAGCATGCCAGCAGAATCGAGCAAGGAGCAGCGCTGAGACGCGGGGTTGCGTCCGCTGGCAGGCACCACCGAGGCCCCCCACGAAAAGCAATTCGTCAGGCTTTACTTTGATGTCTCCAAGCTCGGTGAGGGTGCCTGGGTACGGCGCCGAACGGGTCGAGAAGCCCGAGCCTGACAGTAATGTCTTCAGTGCAGTCAGCATACTGTGAGAATGAGGCTTTTTGACTGAATCGGGTCCCAACAGGGCCTCTGTTCCAATGCCCATGTAGGCTATGCCGACGTGTTTGCCGCAAGGAACCCGTGCCGCCCACAACGGTTGCAACAGTCGTCGTTGCCAAGGTTGCATTGTTCGTTTGCCCGGCTCCAACGCAAGCGCCGTCTTGCTTCTTTCGTCCCATTTTCTTGGACATGTGCGAATGTCTCTACGCAGCCTCAATGCTGTAGTCTGGTCACGGGCCATCAATTGTTCAAGTTCAACCTTTGATCTCGCGGGGGCCAATACACAACACTACATTGGTCGTCTGCATTGGGCATGGTACAAATCCGTGGCGTCTACTATTAGGAGGCCAAGCACGTGCGATCGCGCAGAGGCTGGGCTGTGCTAGCCGTTCACTGCCGTTCTTCCTCGAGCTGAACAAACACGGCCTCTATGTCACTTTCGCACGATACTATGGGGCGTGTGCTGACGATTCCACGTGCTCCATCACGATTCCTTCCAACAGACGTCGATGAAGACAGTCTGCATCTGTTTACCCTAGAGGCGTTGAACACGGTCCAAGGTACGTAGCCGCCGGAGAACAGTTGAAGTCGCAAAACACGTACGGCACAGTATCGTCAAGTGGAAACGCTACACACGCGCCCCTCAGGCTGATTCCCAAGTGTTCGATGGAATTGCCCGATGTGGTCTGCGTTGGAAGTGCTAAAGTAGGGGCTGGAGCCAAGGGTCTGTGGTGGCGGAGCCGCACTGTAGTGTCCTTTGCCAACATGTTTACCGGTACTGCCCAGGTCATTGTCCGCCCTGCAAACAAAAAAACAGTCTGGCTTACGACTGGCTGAATTGCACGAGTAATCAGCAGCCGCGTCTTTTGCACCATGACTGCTTCGCCTGATGCTTGTTTGCCCTTCCGGCTGTTGCGCAGCCACCGTTGCTGATTTGCACTCAGGCACAGACGCCGCACGGTTAGTATCGCGAGTTGGGCACGACATGAAGATCTGCATATATATTCCAACACTTCGCTCCTATGTCCATCATCATTACACAGCTAATTCTCTCTTCCTCATCAAGAGTAAAACATCTCTTCTAAATCCCTAATACCAGTTGCGATATTCCTCATATCCCAACCTTATACTCCACGGCCTAATCATCAAAATGTCTACCAAGCTCTTCGCCTTCACATCTCTCCTAGCTTGCGCCGCAGCTCGTCCCACACTCTCTGGGCGTCGCGCAGATCGCTCCGACTGCTGGCAAACCAACCCAGGAACCGTCTTCTACAACTGCGCGAACGGCTACATCGGCTGCTTCTACCAGAGTCCCTGCGATCTCCCGCCGCTACCCAGCACCACTTCCACCACTCCTGCTCCTACCTCCACCCCCAAAGCCCCGGAGGTTCACGAGATTACTAAACCCCGCTCCTTCAACATCTACGTCCTCAGCGAAGCCCAGCACAACGTCCAAGACCAAGTCCCGCACGTCGACCTTAACAAGCCTGCTGATAGTCGTACTACGACCACCAACGCCATGGTCTTCGACAACGTCCCCACCGGCGCTAAGAACTGCCGTCTCAATTGGCGTAGTACCGAGGCCAACGACTCAAACAATTTCTTCGTCAAAGGCAACGGGCAGGCGTGGCACCGCCAGCTCACGGGCTTCCCTACCAAGGAGGAAATCGTGTCCTACGATGGGTTGAAGCCGTACCAGGATCCGGAGGCTGACTGGAGCCCCAGCCTGGATTTCACCGGGTGGCCGGAGAGCCCGGCCGATCACGTTGGACCAGCATTGAAGTGTGGAGAGCAGGTTGCGGTTGAATTGAAGGGGAGTGATGAGGGGGAGCAGGAGAATAGGATCTTCATCACGCTTACTGAGACGAATGGGTTTTATCTGGCGTACGAGCTATAGAGACTGGAAGCAAACAGATGAGAGCAGCGGATTAATGATGTGGTAACGGGTCATATTGTATTGCATTGCATTGCGACGGCGTTGTTGGGCATTATCATAGAGATAGTATTTAGTTAGCTATGGCTACACTCCTTAATAGTATTACACCTTGAGCGCATCTTGCGCGTTTCAAACTCAAACCCAACCTTCACTACAATTTTTGATTGGACTTGATAGTAGCATTGGTAATCTGTGGAAATCGAGTCACTTGATGGAGAGTCACGTAACAGGCGCTAACCTGCCACAAAACCATATTGACCTCAACGCAGCTTCCCAGAAGCAAATCTTCCTCTGTATAGCTTCTTGGATCTCGTGGAATTCACTTTTCACGAAGCGGTCGTTCACATTGCCGTTTGCGTGGTACTGCGCGGTAATAGGCTGTACTTCTTTCGACTGCACGTGGGGGCTGACCTTGGCCAGAACACCAAAGCTTCCTCGAAACGTCCTTTCGAACACAACTAATGTGGACTCTCCTGCAAGTATCAGCCACCTATGATTTGTATGAACGGCATTAGAGCCTGCAGCGTGGTAGCAACCCTCCACGAAGTGTCCGAAATGTATTTGACCATGCCGAAGCACGTCCAGGCTGCAATAATTGCAACAACGAACCATAATGTGTTGCACATTGTCGTGAGTTTTCCACGATGCTGGGGGTGATCAAGCTCCATGATGAGTAGCCGAGCCGAGCCTTGTGAGAGATTGGACCTGTGCGAGGTGTGCATGTCAGAGTAAGAAGCACTGCGGACGCCGAACGAAGACTTACCCAAAACCAACCAAGAAACGGCCGCCGATGAACTGGTTTGAGTCGACTGATGGAGAATTCCTCCAACGAACAGGATCGTAAACCCCACTGTGACGCCCATTCTTCGGCCAAATCTGTCCGCAACGATGGCAGCTGTATACCTTCTACTTATAAAAGGCATGGCTGCAATAGCACTAATATTTTGCATCACGGTGAACAGTCCGATGCGACCTCCTTTAGGGTGATCAAAATCTAGACGAATTAGCTATAAAGCGACGAGATAATTATTGTGCACCAACATTCCTGCCATGGTTGCAATGTCTGTAGACCATTGAGCAATGAGGCATTGTAGCCGCTGATGGTCGCTCCCAGGAAGAGTATTGGTTTCATCAGGTAGGGATGCCTCAAACCCGGGTCCTTATACCAAGTCACCTAGTCGCAGTCAATTGATCTTCAGGGCCTTTCCATGAGCGAACGATGTATACCTCGTCTTCTACTACTAGCAAGGGAGCGCCACATTAGTACAGGGCCTTCTGAGTGCGGTGTTGCGAGCTGAATGGATCCTCCGTTAATGGGACATTCTGTGCTTCGGTCCCTGCGGCAGCAAGACGCTTGGTTTAGCTTTCGGCTTGCTTGGTTACGTTGCCATCTTTGTGCGGTACAAGATCCTCAGCTGCGGCAGGAATGGCATACTATCAGGCCAGGCATGCTCCGATACTGTTGACTGAGACGAAGGCGGGGATGGCGTATTGTGCTGTCCTAGACCCTGCATGATACTGCAGCCACTAGGTAGACACGAGTCATGCGCTAGCTATTGTGACCGGTCCACAATACCTAGGTACCATCTCGCAACTATGAGACTACGTCATCTGCTCGAAAGAGCATTTAACACTCCCTGACATTGGCACGTGGAGCTGCACTGCGAGTTTTCGAAGAATGCGGCGAAGGAAGAAATCTTCTCAGACAAGCGCGTTCAAGCGCGCCATGTTCGCGTTGACGCTTGCGGCACGCCCAAAACTAACCGCGCGAAAGATCTCTCCTAGTCAATGTGTTCACAATACCTTCAGGCATCAACTTGCTATATCATTTCGAATCGACGTCATCTTCTGCACAACGTTTGAGTTACTCGTAAACCCCCAATTCTTCGCATCGTAGATCCATACGTCTTTTCACTATATAGTTGTCGCGAGATGCAAAGCATATTGAAACGTTTTTTCCCTCGGGAATCACTTCCCAACATCTCGATCATGGGTCTAGATGCTTGTGGGAAGACAACGATGCTCGACAAGCTCGCTTCTTCGGAGGTTGTCACAACCATCCCAACGATCGGGTTGAACATTGAAACTGCAAGCATCCAGATCCCAGCACTCGCTAGAAGCGGAAATAAGCAAAAGTTCGCCGCTCGGGTTACTGATACTGGTGGATGCTCAAAGGTCTTTCCCCTCGTACGACGAATGATGATGGATGACACCGTATCTGGAATTGTGTGGGTCATCGACGCAGCCGACGGAGATAGGCTTGCGGAGAGCCCTGAAGAGTTAGGGATCTTACTTCCTAAGCTGGGGGTGAAAGACTCGGATATCGCTCCGTCGATTCCCATCTTGATGTGCGTCTTTCCATTCAGGCTACGTTCTCGGTATTGACGGTACTTCAGACTCGCCAACAAGATCGATCTGCCCGACAGATTAAGCTCAGACGAGATTCGCGCCAAGTTCGACAGTCTCCTTGAAAACAGGCATTCTGCATATTTTGAAACATGTTTCACAGCTCCTCTAGCTTCTAGTGGACTCCCGGAAGCTTTCGCTTGGCTCGGCGACGCGATCACTTCAGCAGCTACAGGAGGACCAAATAATTCGGAGACTACGACATTAGAAACCAAGAAGCCCGTAGAAAAGATACTCGCAGAAATGCGCTCTCCTGTAGCGCTATCCGGTAACCTTGAGGAATGGCTATTAAGAGCAGAGAAAGACATTCCTGCCGAGACACTTGTACAAAAGTTCTACACACTTGATCTTCCCAGCTGGGATCACTATACTCACCTGCGTTTGGCATACATACTGCTTCTCAAGTTTGGCCGAAGACAAGGTACGTCGACCAACGCTGCTGCCTTACTAATGCTAACAGATGTAGGCAAAGACAAGATCTTCGAAGGATTCAAGCTGTACATTGACAAAAGCGGCAAGATCCATGGGAAGTCTTTCCACATGACCATGACTTACTTTTGGGTCCAGATGGTCCACTTGGGTATAGCAAGCATGGGCGTGAATGTGGACTTACACACGCTCAAAGCAGAGGGCACGGAGAAAGACCCGCGCCTGGATGATTTTAGAAGGTTTTTGATGGTGAACCAGTACCTAGTTGACGGGCAGCTATGGGCTGATTACTACTCGAAAGAGCATCTGATGAGCTCAGAAGCAAAGGAGGGCGTGGTGTTTCCAGATATCAAGGGACTACCGGATGTGCTATATACCACAGTTGCGAAGCCTGGGACGAAGGAGAGGGACATCATCTCGGCATCAAGGACGGCTTTGGTCTGACACGAGCTGACAGAAATGCATCGTTCGCATTTGGTATTAGAGCAGACATATTATGGAGTAGTGAGAGCGATGGCCAAGCCACCGAATATCTCAGAGTAGGGTCGTTCTTGGTCTTTGACTTTGTATGATACCTAGGTATAGTAGTTACGGGTTAGGTGAAGTGGTAACTCGGTAGTTCCTGCACTGGAGATCATGATAACGAGGCCGGAACATTAATGAGCTCTTGCAAGGTGTACTGCCTTATAAGTGACTGGGGAGGGGCAACCTGAAGGCACTTTCCATCCGACTTCGAACAGAGTCAAGAACATAAGCTATGCCTGTTATTTGTATGTCTGTGACGGCGCGTCTATAGTACAGTTTAGTTTGATGTAGCTCACAAATTAAGTTGTGGCCTTACCATATGTATTGGTAGGTAGTCGCCCGGTGTACATATAGAATGGTTTGGTTGAGCATGTGATATGGGTTGGGCCCCGGGAAGATCATTAATCCGATGGTCCAAGCTTCCGAGAAGTGGGAGCCAATCACAGCCCAACCCACTCCGCAAGAAAAAGTTGCGACCGCGTTGCCAGATGATTTCCACGGAATAACTTCCACAATGCCGGTGCCTGCAGTGCCCGAAAACATTTCCAATGGACCTGTCGCGAAGCGGCAGAAGCTCCAGGCTGGCAGTGAAACAAGTGGCACCACTGTTGTGCGCAAATCAAAGATCTTTGCGCCGTTTCGAGTAAGCTGTCCACCATATAACGTAGGACATTAAGAATATTGACAATTGCAGACTGTTGGCCTAGTGTCTCCGACAGATGTTCCTTTCGCATCAATTCCACTCGGAAAAGCAACATTCCAAATCACTACCTCGGTTGGCAGATCGCTGCAGACGTACGACTTGCGACGCGGATTAAACCTCGTGTTTATCACACGCCCTCAGACTCCCGAAAACATCACAGCCACTCTGGCATGGAAGAAGGTGGTATTGGCAGCATGGGGTGGTCCAGATGCACAGTCTACTAGGGGCATCTGGGTATTCCAGCGTGGCAAAAAGATTAACGAGCTGGAACTACCGCGAGGGCTCGACGAGAACATTACGCGCCTCATTGCTTTCGGAGAATGGATCATAGGATGTGGTGCTACCAGAATTGAAGTATGGAAATCGGCTACGCTGGAGCACTACACCACGCTGCAGGGCGCATCGTCTAGTGCTCTTTCGGGTTGCTTCTGCAACATGCCGACCTACTTGAACAAGATATTTGTGGGAAGAGAAGACGGATCTGTTGAGATTTGGAACGTCAACACTGGCAAATTACTGTACACACTCCTACCGCCCGCGGCCGACTGGGGCTCTGTAACCGCGCTGCAGCCGACACCTGCGTTGTCACTCCTCGCGATCGCATACGAATCGGGCCCGTTGTGCATTCACGACGTCAGAGCCGATAAAGAGGTGATGCGCCTGAACCTGGGGTCCTCGAAGAAGACACACATCACCTCTATATCATTCAGGACGGATGGTCTCGGGGCCGGAGAAGATGGCCGGAAATCTGGTGTAATGGCAACGGCGAGCAGGTACAGCAGCGACGTCACATTCTGGGACCTCAACGACAAAGGTCGCAAGATGGGTACTTTACATGGTGCGCATAATCCTCCTCCTTCGGCTAACGGAAGCGTCGGCGGCGGTATCAGCAAAGTAGAATTCTTGGTAGGCCAATCTGTGATCGTTTCGAGTGGGCTGGACAATACTTTGAAGAGCTGGATATTCGATGAAACCCTTTTCTCGCCAACACCGCGAATCCTGCACTCACGTGGTGGACACGCTGCGCCTGTTTCTTCCTTGAAGTTTTTGCCATCAAGCTCCAATGGTGCGGACGATGTCGGGAAGTGGTTATTGAGTGCGAGCCAGGACCGAAGCTTGTGGGGTTGGAGTTTGCGAAGGGACGGCCAAAGCACTGAACTCAGTCAAGGCGCCGTGCAGAAGAAAGCAAAGAAAACAGGACTTCTCAAGGGTGGCGCTAAAGATCCCAGGCTGCATGGCGCCTTCGAAAACCTCAAGGCGCCTGCAATCACCTGTATGGCATGCTCTCTCAACCGTGACGGTGGCATGGGAGCAATGCCTGGCGTTACGGGAATTTGGAATAATTCTTCCAAAGTGAAAGGAGAGAAGGGCACGCCTGAGGTGAACATGGCCGGGTGGGAAAGCATCGTGACGGGTCATGCAGGAGATAAGAAGGCAAGAACTTGGTTCTGGGGTCGCAAAAGAGCGGGCAGATGGGCTTTTAGTACTGGTGACGATACTGCAGTGACGAGTGTGGCCATCTCCCCGTGCGGCACTTTCGCAGTGATCGGATCCGCTGGTGGCGCGATCGACATGTACAACCTCCAATCGGGTCAGCACCGACGGAGGTTTCCATCGCGACTGACGCCGGTTGAGGCTAAGAAACTCAAGCTCGAACGACTTCAGAGGGAGGAGGATTCTCTTGACATGGACTCTTCAGCGACGAGAAAATTCAATAAAGGTGAAGGGCGCCACAAGGGAGCCATCACTGGTCTGACAGTAGATGGACTGAATCGAGTCGTTGTCAGCTGTAGCGATGACGGTAAAGTGAAGGTCAGTATAGCTGATGAGCCTGATTGTTTAAAGCAGTGCTAAGTATGCGCATAGTTCTGGAACTTTACGACAGGCATCCTCCAACACGAACTCGACTGGTACCCAATGACCAAGATTCTTGGCCTTCGGTACCACAACAACAGCGATCTGGTCGCGATGAACTGTGACGATGGATCTATCAGGGTCGTGGACATTGAGACAAAGAAGCTCGTCCGTGAGCTGTGGGCGTCGCGATCACATGCAGATCTGCAGATTATCGACTACACGTTTTCTAACGATGGGCGATGGATATTAGCAGCGACTTCCGACTCCACGGTCCGGGTCTGGGACCTGCCCACCGGCCATCTAATTGACGCGATGAAGCTGCCCGGGACATGTACCGCGGTCTCTTTCTCGCCTTCTGGGGAGTATCTCGCCACTGCTCTTGACGGAGAAGTAGGAGTACACATCTGGACAAATCGGACTCTTTTCACACACGTGTCGACACGACAGATATCAGAGGATGAGGTAGCTATCATGAGTGCGCCCACGGCCTCGGGCGAAGGCGGCGAAGATCTAGTGGATGCTGCTGCCGAGGAAGAAGACGAAGAAGACGAAGATGAAATTGCCGTGCCTATCATGGATCAGTTGAGCGAGGGTATCACGACACTCAGTCTGGTCCCGAAAGCGCGATGGCAGACATTGCTCCATCTCGATGTCATACGCGCGCGCAACAAGCCCAAGGAAGCGCCAAAGGCTCCCGAGAAAGCGCCTTTCTTCCTACCATCTACGTCGCAGTCAGACGCGAACAAGGCCGCGAATGCTCTTGTCACGACAGACGTCGAGCCAACATCACGCATCTCGAGCTCGACGCTTGCCTCGCGGTCACGGGGTGCGACAGCTACGAGTGAATTTACGCGCCACCTTGCCCAGGCAGCAGATACATCCGACCATGCTCCTGTGCTTGCGCATCTCTCGTCACTGACTCCTTCAGCAGCGGACATGGCGATACGTACCCTTGATACGACGCCGCCCTACGATGAGCTGCGTACGTTCATCGAAGCCCTAACAGGCAGGTTGAAGGAGCGGAGGGACTACGAGCTGGTGCAAGCATGGATGAGTGTCTTCTTGCGACTACATGGTGATGTGGTCGTTCAGGACGAGCAGCTTGTAGGATTGCTGAGGAAGTGGCAGGAAGAGGCGAAGAGAGAGAGGGAGAGAGTGGGAGGGCTGGTGGGCTACTCGGTTGGTGTAGTGGGATGGGTTAGGAGTGCGAGATGATTGGCTCTTCTCAAACCACAAGACGCGTCCGTTTCCAAGACACGGATTCGTCCGATGTGTTCCTGTGTGCTCTATTGTTGGGTGAGGTCTCAGCTGTGGCGTGAAGGCACGTGTCCAAACGTTGTACCCCGCGTTGGGCGTGAGAAGGGGCAGGGCCACAGGGGGACAACAGCTGATGCTCCGAATTCAGGCGATGCTGCTGCTGCCAGTCTGCTCCTGATGTGCGTCTCCGCCCACCGTCAGTTCGTCCGTTTCGGCCGCTTACCGACCGTTTTGTTGGGTTAGTCCAGAAGCGGAAAGGTGCAAAGCGCACGGCCCGGACGTTAGGTCGTTAATTGCGGGACTCGAACGGTTCGAGGACACCTCCAACCTGACTTATCGACTTCCTCTCTGGGTGGCAGATATACAACACTACAGTACACGCTGTGCATATACCCACGCCACTTCGCAGCCGCACCACTACAGTCTCCAGCCAACGGTAGACGAGTGCCTCGGCCACGCGCCAAGCCAGTTCCGCCGTCTCGTGTGCGCCGGGCCGCAATGCGCGCCCCCCCGCGGTAGCATGGACGATCAGGACAACTCCAAGCCCGGTAGCAGGAGTCGCAGACCACCGCGGAAGCCCCAGCAGTTTATGTTCATTGACTCGACTGGCGCCAATGGAGTAAACGCCAAGCCTGATAAAAATGTCCGCAGTTTTGTCATGAAATCTGCGAGAAGCAAGAAACCGTGGAGTACAAGACAAAAAGAAAAGTCTACATCCCCATCCGAGGACAAACCCCAGATATCACCAAACTCCGTTAAACCAGAGAACCATTCCCCTACCATCGTCTCACCATCCTGGCAACATGCTGCCGCGAGCCCGACGACCTGGTCTACCCCGTCCAATCTGTCCCCTGTCAGCAGCAGGAACAGTAGTTTTGTGTCGACACGCAGCCGCAGTCAGCCCTACTTCATCCCGCCCACATCTTCGTGCAGCCTGTGTGACAACCCACAATGCGCTGGCGATGTGTGCACTCAGCCACATGGGTCGAACCAGCTTGCGAATTGGCGCGGATTCGCAGTCGGCTTCGTTAACGACTTGGACTGTCTGCCTGTGCCAACGGATAGTAACACAAGAGACCTTCTCGAGAACTGTGAGACATTTTTACTTGGTATGTTATACATGTTAACGAATCTACAGTCGTGAATACATACGCCGTAAGCTTTGTACCAGTCGACCAGCACCACACCTCCAATAAAGCGACCACCAAATGGATATCGAGAAGCATCTTGAGCTCGACAGGCGCACCATTCATCTATGTCATCTTCACCGCCAGTGCTTTGTACCGCCAGGCCCTAGGCGTCGCCAATGCTCAAGATGTACTGCAGTACAAGATCAACGCCATTTCCGAGATTAATAAGCAGCTCAGTGACAGTACATCGCAAATTGACGACAACAACATTGCTGCCGTGTTCATGCTTTTGTGCATAGAAGAGGGTGCAGTGTCGTCGGACCAAGACGTTGAGTGGGCTACGCTGCAGAGACAGCTGCATCTGGATGGTCTGAAGACGATGATTCAGCAAAGAGGAGGTCTGTCGGCGTTGAAATCGAATCAATGCTTGCAAACATTTATACTCATGTGAGTCCTCTCGATGCTTCATTCCATCTCGTATGCTGTCTACTTCTCCCTTCACTCTGTGTCAATCTCGCAATGCTTTCTATCACTGCACCAGACTTTCTCGATATGTCTGATGATACCCACGTTCGTTCGTTTCTCTCTTGGGATGTTTTTTCTCCCATTGCACAGGATCATTTCCTCACAGTCCATGCTAATAGCTGCTTAGGCATAGTGTTGCACACGCAGTATCAACCTTCGAACGACCTTACGCCACGCTCATGGACTCCAATGGCCATATCCAACAATACGACATCCCCTCCTTCCGCGGCCGTCCCGCCTCAACCCGGACCCTCCGACTCTTCCACCCCCTAAAACTCGACACAGACCTCTATGACCTCATTTCCAACATCGTCGTCTTCGTTGGCGACTTCAATGTCTGGATTGACGACAAAAGATGTCCAGTCGATCCCATTGAAATGCAAAAGCACATCTGCCTCCTCATCTACCGACTTTTCGACTGGTACAAGCGCGGCGAAGAAGATCCCACACTTGACCGACAACCCGTCGACCAAAGTCTCTGCCTCGCTCTCACCATCTTCCTTATCATCGCGTATAATCAGAACTACGGCCCGATGGTCTACGCCGCGTCCCAGCGCCTGAAATCGAGTCTAGAAAAATGTCTCCTCTTCCGTTGGGGCAACGCCACCGACCTTTTGACATGGACGCTTACGATGGGCGGCCTCGCCACGCGCGGCTCAGATGACTTTGATTTCTTCAAGCAGTACAGCGTTATGGCGTTCAGAGAACAAGGTTTCGCCGAGAACACGAATCCAGAGGAGGTGCTAGATCGCATGAGAAAGTGTTTGTGGCTGAGTAAGCTGGACAATTGGGTCAAAGAAATGTGGGCGGAGATGGGCATCTGCAGGGGCGAGGATGTGGTGGATATGAGCAGCCCATCAAGCGGAATGAAGAGCCCGGATAGGGTCAAGAAGGAGGACATCGTTGGAGGACTGACGAATGAGCGTTTTTTTGCAAAGAGGCCGTAATGGCTTGTTGCGAACATTTGAGGAGATAAAAACAGGCGCGCAAGAGGTGAGGGAAAGGAAGAGCAGGATAATATTTTCCCCACGAGGCGTTCGGAGCGGTGTCATTGATCATTTGGTATGAAGCATTTGGTAAGGTGTCAGTGGAGGGGCGGGCGGGCCCCACGTGCTTTAACATGCATGGCGGTGTACGTTGCGTTCGGTATCGCTCCTCTTCTCTTCTTTTGTGTACTATTATTCATTATACCCCAACATTACTTTACGATACTTTCGTCCGACCGTCCGAGAAGGATGCAAGGTGGTCGACAACTTTCATGTGTACTGCCACGGCTTCTGAAACCTCGAAGTGCCTCAGTCTAACCTTAAATAGGGCGAGCATAGTACAGGTGCCCCGCGCTGGTGAAACGCCATGGAGAGAGAGCATCAACATACGGACGAATATATCTCTACATCCGACCATCCGAACATGCAGTGTGCTATAAAGGTCCGATGTCATTCTGTTGTAGATCTCAGACAGTTGACAGGCACATCTCCTCAACAAACAAATTCTATACTTTTCCATCACACAGTCCTATCTACCATTTCAATCTTACCAGATATCACTCAACATGGCCACCGCTAAGCCTATCGAGAGCAAAGCCGACTTCGAGGCCGCCATAGCCGAGCCCACTAAGTTCGTCATCATTTACGTCTACGAAGAACACGTTCCCGAAGGCATGCGCGAGCGCTTCCAAGCTGAAGCGCCCGCTTTCGCGGATAAGGTTGAGCACTATAAACTCGACATCGCGCAGAATGCCGCCGAGGTAATTGCACCCTAATACTTGAGGAGGGGACATAGGGGGTAAAGGTTTGGACTGAGTTGAGGGAGCAGTATTCGAGCGGATGTACCTTACATAAGGGGAAGTGCTGACAAGTCCAACAGGCGAAGGAGAAGATGAATCTCGAGAAGGTGCCGGCGCTGTTGGTATATAAGGCAGGCGAGGAGGTGGAGCGGCTGTACGAATTGGGTGAGGAGAGCATGAAGGCATTAGCGGGGAAGTTATTGGGTTAGGGGATGTATAGACAATGACAAATGACGATATGACTATACAAATGGTCAGCATTGATCTCAAGCCGACGTTTCAATGTATAGCGGCTTCGAGCACACCGATCCAGAGTAGCTATTAATGCTCTATTTCGGGTTGCTTAGTGATCTACAGCTTAGCGAACCTATCTACTCATGATGGCACAAGATGGGCGTGTGAAATTCATGCAATGGGATGCTTCTATACCCGTTTGCCAGATATTCTGGGTAGTATCAGTATCTCCAATATATCCGGAATATTTATACATGAGAGATGATGACCCATCATGACTCATGCACGCCAACCGCAATCTAACCGCGAGAGGAAGATTCAATAGTACGCGAGAGGAACGGCGCAACTAACATCGTATCATTTAGCGTTCATCATTTCCAACTGAGCCAAGTTGACGTCCAGACCTTGTTGTTCATATTCAAGAACATGGTCTTAGTATCTCCACATCAAGCGCCCTCACACAACGCCAAATGTCGGTTAGGTTTCATTCCAGAGCATCTGCCATTCGAATACTTCGGTGGTTGGAAAGATAAGGAAAGCAGAATCTCAATATGGGAGACCCACGCGTACGCGCCATCGACAACTTTACGTCTACCCTTCAGTCCACCCTCGGTGCTACACTCAAAGCCTCCCTCTCCACACCACTCCCTCCAAACTTCGCAGCATGCATTATTGGTGCGGCTCGCGGGATTGGCGCCGGTGTTGCTTTAGCATACGCTCGTGCAGGTGCAGAGGCACTTGTGCTTGCAGCGCGCCCAAGCTCAATGTCTGCCCTCTCTTCGATCGCTTCGCAAATAACCTCCATATCTCCAAAGACCATCGTCCACGTTCATGGCGTTGACGTCACAGATCCAGCTTCAATGCGTGGTCTTGCTTCCTTTGCCAAAGAAAGCTTGACCAGCACAGACGGAAAGACATGTCGAATGGACGCAGTGGTCCTAAACTCCGGTTATTCCGGGAAAGTGCACCTGAAGGTCACAGAGGGAGACGCCGCAGAAGATGGGCAGTAGGCACAGGCATTCGGCGTCAAAGCGCTCCAGGGCTCCAGCTAGGCACGTATCACGTGATGCACTACTTCATCCCGTTGTTACTCGCCTCGCCCGCCGGCAGTGCTAAAGACTTTGCTGTGGTGGGAACCATGGCGGCATGCATATGTTTACCAAGCGAAGCGCGTTATGACGTAGGGTCAGCACAACCAACTTTGTCAGCCCCAGCATTCTTACCTCTCGCAACACCCAGTAAAGCACTGACTACCATACACGCCGGAGGGGGTACTCGTATCCTCGTTAAGCTGTCGCTACAAGAAAGTTGTGGCGGTTTTTCTTCCATTGGCATGAGGCACAAAACCTTGAGTCTTGATGAGATCCTGAGATCCAGCCTTTTTCCTCGCGGCGCGGCGTTCTCAAGACGTGGCTCGTTGATGGCTTTAATCTCGTTACCGCATTGCTTCGAACGATACACTAGCCATCCAGCAATATACTCGGTATCCTTCTTGTACTGCTTGTCGTTCGAACCGTGGATGGTCGCCATGGTGAACAGCAGGTAAAATACTGCGAGGTATGAACGATGCTCCGCTCAGAGGCAATATAATTAGAACATCTGAGCATCCACATCAAGTGTTGAGAGGGAACAATAAAGTGCAAGCCAATGCGGATAGCGAAGTCGCGGTGTCGAGGTGGGGTTGCTTCACCAACCTCCTTCCAATAAGTCCAGGCGACAAGAGATTGCATCGTTTCTGGGAAATCTTGCTCGTATATATCACCAAGTTTTCTCCATCAGAAAGGCTCTAGCAGTTGTGGAAGCGAGCGCCTGAATACGTCTTTGAGTAACCCACTTCTACCTGGTACACAAGTGCTCTTTACGGTCCCAGCATTTTCGCAAGAACCTGCGTCGTGCAGGACGGCGAGTCAACGCTCACTGTACAAGTAAAGTGTCTAGAGAATAGATTTGGAGTGGGACGAGAACGCGGTTAGGACGCGCGTTGAACCCTGGTCGCAGTCCCTTACTCGCACGACAGCTGGCGACCTCCGAATGCATAGCATGATCAGTGAAGTCCGTTTGTTTTTCCCCCTTGAGGCGAGCTGAGGTGGTTTCAGTGATGATTTAACATCATCACAAGCACAATCTGTCATTTTGACCCGTCCTCATGTATGAGACGAGTTTGTGCACCCATGATTGTTCTACAGCAATACGGCTGTACACTGCAAAGTCACAATTGCTATCCCGGCTGTGTATATTGCTCTATCCGCTATGATGTTGAGTTTTGTCCGTGACCCTTGCTATCTTACCATCTACCTCCCTTATCAGGAGACAAGTGCGAGGTTCAAAATTTGGTCATCCTGAAGTCTTTCGTACGAAATGAACTATAAAACCCATCTTCGCCATACTTCGTTTTCACTTGCGTGTGACCTCACTCCCCAGCTCGACTCACACCATACATGAATCCAGCTCCATTGAATCCTCCATACTCCATAACCTATCTAAGTTTTGCACCGTTTCAACATGCGCACCTTCACCCTCTTCTCCGCTGCCGTCCTGGCACTCGCCCACATGGGTACCGCCTCGAGTCCTATCGTCGAGCTTTACCCCGACAGTGAAGACTGCACTGGACGCAAAATCATCCTCAACACGACCGGATGTCAGAACGTTCTCATCCGAGGCAGTGGAAAGGTCACCCAGGGTGGCGTCTCGGGTTTCTACGGCGAAAATTGTTCATCTCAGATGGTCGGTGTTATGTTGGCCTCGCATGGCTGCTGGACTGCTTATCCGGGTTATATGAGTTTCTGGCCTGTTAACAGGGACTAGATCGAGAAGGATATGGGTGCGGGCTGAGTGGAGGGCTTCGGATGGGTGGCAGGTGGAATGATGCAAAGATTTTTCCGAATAGAACGAGAAACGTCTAGCTCAGATCGCGGCCGTATCATCGCTGCTTTACAAATGTTCTGTCCGCACATTTCCTGGTGCTAGGTATTGATTTCTGTACATTTCAGTCAACAAGTGTACTATAGGAGGCTGAGCATTAGCTAGGATCTATTGAATTAGGCCAGAATCTACCGAAATACTTGTAGGATAGTCTGTCATCTCGACCTCAAACAAGGCGCTGTGAAGGACGGACTGGAGTACACGTAGAAGCGATAGACAGCGTCACACTCTCAAGTCGACGTTCGGACGATGATGCTGGCTGTTACCCGATGCGGTTGGCTTGATCACGTGCTCTCGCGCGGAAACTTAGCACACTCCAAGCTTCGCTACGGATGCATCAATCCACCGCGTCTGCCATGTTACCCACCCTCAATGTCCCTCCTTAGACATGCCCAACGACACATTGAAAATATAGGACGGTATGCGCATCTCAATGCCTTCGTCAACACTGCCGACGCCGATTCCATCCACGCGCGCGTTGCGACGGCCGTCAATTCATCGCCAACCAGCAATGTAGACCCTCGAAGCCCTCATGGCAGGCTCATTGCCATCAAAGACAACATATGTACAGCCGATACGCCTACTATGGCCGCATCTAGGATCTTGAAGAAATTTAACAGCCCATACGATGCGACCGTGGTGAGGCAGCTGCGCGAGGCAGGTGCGACCGTGGTGGGGAAGACCAACATGGATGAGTTTGGCATGGGGTCGCATAACATACACTCGCACTTCGGAAGAACAAAATTTGAACACAAGGGCGAGGATCGAAGCGCGGGAGGCAGCTCAGGCGGAAGCGCTGTTGCGGTTGCGACAGGGCAGTGTTGGGCCGCACTGGGAACGGATACGGGCGGCTCTGTTAGGCTGCCTGCTGCGTATACTGGCACGATCGGGTTCAAGCCGAGCTATGGCTTGCTTAGTCGATGGGGAGTCATCGCCTACGCAAATTCGCTCGACACGGTTGGGATATTGGGCAACGACGTGGAGAGCGTTGAAGGCCTCTTCGACGTCACGAATAAATACGACCACCAAGATCCTACGTCTTTGGACCCTTCAACGCGCTTGCGGCTTCCTACAGAGGGGCCAACACCGTCGAAACCCTTAAGAATCGGAGTTCCGATAGATTATAATATCTCGACCCTCGATCCGACCGTCCGGAAAGCATGGTTGCGTTCTCTTCGACACCTCCAACAGCGCGGACATAGTTTGCACAAAGTGCAACTACCAGCGACTCAGCACGCACTTTCGGCTTACTACGTCCTCGCCCCTGCAGAGGCTTCCAGTAACCTAGCCAAGTACGATGGCATCCGTTACGGATCGAGAGCGGAAGGCAAAGACGGTACAGCCGATAGTGTGTTATTTGCGAAGACACGCGGAGAAGGCTTCGGACCTGAAGTGCAGAGAAGAATCCTGTTAGGTGCTTTTTCGCTCAGCGCACAGGCCATGGACAACTACTTCATCCAAGCTCAGAAAGTTAGAAGATTGGTGCAACAAGATTTCGACAGGGTGTTCGCAACCCCTAATCCTTTGCTTACCTCGCAAGCCAAGGTGAAGGCAGAGGGCGTCGATGTCCTTCTGTGTCCTACGGCACCAACGTTGGCACCCAGGCTTTCCGAAATTCAAGTGCAGAAGCCCTTGGATGCATACATGAACGACGTATTCACGGTGCCTGCGAGCTTGGCTGGGCTTCCCGCTATTAGTGTTCCTGCGCAGGGGGACAATGCTGTCGACACCGAAGGTTCGGAAACCGCCGGGATGCAGTTGATTGGGCAGTACGGTGACGATAAGTTGGTGCTTGCTCTCGCGAGACAGCTTTTGAACGCAGCCAAAGCCGGATAATGGAGTGATGGTTTACGATGTAGAAAGAATGTATAATTATACGGAAAGGAGACACGATTTCGTCTCAGAAGGAAATAGCCTGCAGCAATGTTTGTGCAAGCTCGCGTTCATGAATCCTCAAGGACTCAATCTCATGAAGAAGGCGCTTTTACTTGGGCAAGCGCGGAAGCGAGCACACATGTCACGTGGAGACACTGCAGCGGCGCAGTGACGTAGACACAGAATGAGCGTTTCTATTGATGCACTACGTAAGCGGGTGCGAGCCATGACATGTGCCTTTATTCTCCCGTTCCGACTCTCCCTTCAGGTATCCCTATCGGATCTCATGGTCCAGGTGACGATTTGACAGTGCTCAGCGAAGAGGTCTGGCGAAGGCGAGTGAGGGGTGTACGACTCGGTGTTTAGTGGCTGCAGGAGCTGCATCCGCAGCTGTTGCAGTCGCCGTTGCAGTTGGCGCAAGACTGGCAGGAGCTGGAATTTCCCAAGTCAGTATGTACTCGCCTGTCAAAGGAGCGAAGTCCAACAACAAGTCAACATGGCGGGTACGACGCAGCACATACCAGGGAGACATGGTGATTGATGGGTAGCTGGAAGGCTCGAGGGGTGCTAGATTGATGCTAGAGTGATGCTTGATTGGTCGGTTGGCGTGTTGGAGTTGGTGGTGGACCATCAAGGTGCGCAACCACCGCTCTATATATACTCGTCCCACGACCGGGATGTGCCGCCCTCTCATCACACCCTCTTTGCCTTTGGTCTAGCTCGGAGAAAAAGCACGCATACGCATGCCACGCGCACATGGATAGCACCCACGGGGCGCTCCCTCTCGCAGGCCGATACGTAGCCGGGCGAATCGACCCCGCTTTGCTGCGAGGTTGCGTGGTCTCGAATGGTGGGCGGCGGCCGATGAGATGATGGTCACGGGACTGGTGGACTGTCCCTGGCGTTGCGAGGCCTATGAGGTGTGAATACGGCACACCATCCCGAGACACGAAGCGGACCTCTCGTCATCATGGCTTGTAGCGTGGGGCTTTCCAATGGGTGCCGAGCCGAGACTGCATCATGGAGGCGTACCATGGTAGACTCACCACAGAGGGCGGGGTCGGTGTCACCCCGAGGTGAGATTGGCCTGCGAGCAGCATCGTGTAGGGGTCCTGTGCAGACTGGTCGCAGAGGGTTCGATGCGAGACATGGCTTCTTGCTCGCAGTCAAGCAAGCAACTGCCGGAGCATGACATACGAAGGCACAGCACGTCCAATGACAATGGGTTCCAGCAGCCCAAGATGCTCGGGACTCTTGATCGCACGTGTAACCAAGCCCCTCACGACCGTCACGGACCCAGCCGCTCGGGTGCCCTGCTTGCCTCAAGCTGCTGAGTGTCGAAGCGTACCAAGGTCATGCGCGATACCCGCGGTACATGTACACAACACGATAAGCAGGTAGCATCCACCCTCATCCTGCCCAAGCACAAGGCCCCAGCGCCATCATGTACACAGAAACGCATCCAAGCCGCGTCTAAAGTTGATCCGGTCAAGATCATCCAGTGCCCGCCGTGTCAGCAGAAACCGTGCCCTTCACCGTCTAGCAACACCGGTGACATATCGCTTGAGCTGAGCGGCATTGGCGCGTATCCTTCCAGGTACCTTCTTCATCGAGGTACTTGATTCTCGACAAAGGCCTCGAGCCGAAGACATCTCGCCCCATCTGAGGGGCGAAATGGCCCAGACAGGCATTTGAGACCCACCCTGGAAGTCTCATGAGCCATCACAAGGTCTCTGCGGACCTTCCCAAGTTCCATGTGACTTTGTTATAGGCCTGGTTGACCTAGGTAATCGGCCCGCCTCCTACAGCACTACATCTTGGAACAACCTCTTTTGGCTTGTAGTCTACGCGCCAAGCGCTTGACAGGTCGAGGGAATGCCAGCACACCTACCGGTAGTTCAATGGAATTGCTAGAGTCCCAGCTCAACGCGACTCTCTTCGTGAACTTCGACATGTCATTGTCGCTCATAGCTTTCAATTCACTGAAGCCTTATACCATGTTGCGTTTCGACACCGTGACAAGAAACAAGTTACACCATGTGTCTTCACGAGTGCTGTAAAAACATAAAAAATATCGTGCTCAAGTCCAAGTAGGAAACACTTCACATCCAGTCTCGCGAAGTGTCGACGAACAATGTCGCACAGTGGTCCGTTGTTTACGTTGTACTTACTTTTGATTGAATATCGACTTTTGTCTATCATGACTATCGTTTAATGACATGCCATCGCTCACCTGCCATTCTTGTTTCAAGGCCACCGCGGCCCTCCCAGCAGAGGATGCCCACGCTATGAGCTCCCCGCCTGCTTAACCAGCTCAGCAACCTTCCTGGCCAGATCCTCGGCCTCGGCCTTTGTCGCCGCCTCCGCATACACCCTCACCGCATCCTCCGTCCCACTCGCTCTCGCAAAGCTCCTCCCCTGTCTCACCTTGCTGACCTCGGCATCAATCTGCTTTTGCAACCCTTCAGGGCTCGTAAGTTTTCTCTCCGCATCCGTCGTCTTGAAGATGGTGCGGTCGTTGACGAGCACCTTGAGGAGCCGGTTGGGAAGATCCGTGTACGTTGAGAGCCATTCTTGGGGACCCCAATTTTTGTGCGCGAGCACGACTTCGACGAGGAGCATGTCCGAGAGGGCGTCGCCGACGGATTGGTTGATGAGGTCGATGCAGGCACGGAGGACAGATAACGCCTCAGCCTGACCGGGGTTCTTGGGCTCGTACCTCGCGATCTGGTCGAGCGTGTCGGTGGAGAAGATCACGGTGCCGTGCCCGTTCGCCTCGAAGTACACGCCAATGTCGAGTTTCTCCGCCGCGTGGTGCAGGTGCTTTACGCCGGTGGGCGTGCAGTCGACCTTAAGCTTGAGGTGCTGCTCGACGTATTGCGTTGCAGCGCCATTTGCGTAGGCGGTTTGCACGACGCCGATTTTGATGGTGTCGGCGAGGCCAGCGAGACGAACTTGGTCGCCGAGGAAGGAGGCAACGAGCGTGGCGATGCGATCGCCGTCGAGCAGACGGAAGACGTTGGAGGAGTCTTTGAAGTAGAAGACAACGCGGTCGGCATCGCCATCGAGAGAGCAGCAGCGGTCGCCGGCACCGGTCTTGGAGGAGGGAGGCGCACGCTGGTTGGTTTTGACGAAGTCGGCGCCACACTGGAGTTGTCAGCACATTCCATTCAAAGTCAGGATGATGGTAGTCTTACATCAACGTTCAGGCTCTCCGGCTTGATGACATTGTCGTTGACGACGTGGATCTCCAGCGCATCGTCTTTGGGCGGGAGATATTTGATGAGCTCCACCAACTTTGGGCCACCCACACCGTTCGCACAATCGACCGTCAAGCCACCAGACGGCTTCTTGCCTTTCAGCGCAGTCTTGAACGCCGCTCCAAACTTCTCGTAGTAGCCCTTTTCGGTCGGCGTGCCGTACGCATCCTTGGTGCCCTCCGTATTCAGACACCGCACCATGTAGTGCAGCTGCGGGGTGGTCAAGAAGCCGTAATCTTTGACCTCGGCGCCCGCAGACTTCAAGCCGTCCTGCACGCAGCCCAATAATCGGGCACCCGAAGCGCGTGTGTCCCTGGCTACTACTACACGGGCAGGAGCCTTGAGGTCGATCTTGTGCTTTGCGGCGATGTCCTGGTAGAACTTGAACACGTCTTCTCCGTTAGCCTTGTTGGCCATCTCTGTGCTAAGGACCTCCCATTCTTCTTGCAGCATGTTGCCCTTTCCAATTGTTAGCTTCAGCCATGCCGAACATCAGTCCATTACACCCACCAGCGGCTCCACCAACTTGACGCCGTTGTCCTCAGGCGGGTTATGCGACGCTGTGATCATAACACCGATCCATTTTCCCTTTAGCGAACGCGATCGCAGCGCGGCTACGAGACCAACGCGCGTGAGGACCGAATCGAGGACATCGCTGCATCCGTAAGCTTGAGTTCATGCCATCGGTCTCTCTGGAGGCGGATCGGGGCCGAACGTGGGTGTGAGGGGCTGGAGATTGGATGGCGGGCGAGTACTGAGGGGATGCTGAGAGGTAGGAGGGTGTCTTACGCCTTTGTCCTAAACTTCGGTCACTGTTAGCCTGTCTCCTACGTGCTCGGCCTCTTTCAAGCACTTACGCCAGCGGTTCCATACGTATACTGTAGACCCTCAGGCGCAGGGTGCTTTTGCACGGCCTCGACAATGGGGTCCGACATTGTGGCTACCGACTCGGCTCAACAATCGATACCTCTCACAGATTAAATATGACACAATTGCAAAGAGGAACAGTAAAAAGACAAGGGGTCCAGAGTGTAATTTAGGATGTCAAGAAAGGAAGGCTGACAAGAAACCAGCATTGGCGGGGAAACGGTGTGCACAAGTACTCGCGCGCATTAGGCCATCAGGAACCCCCCACCAGGGCTGAGTTGCCCTGAGCCTCACCGCACTTGCCGACCAATCATGTAGACACGCCACCGCACTAGCCCATTTCGGGCGACGCCACAAGCTGACGTCGTGGTTCCTGGCGCGGCGAGCGTTCAGCTGTCTCAGCTTGGTTATCGTGAGAATATTGAGACTGACGTACGATTGCTGGAATTGAGCACATTTTGTAACGCGGACCTGACAGTGTTGAGCGGTTACTTTGCACCGCCTCAGCAAGCGGGAGCGGGCCTGTTTCCGCCCGCTTTTAGCGTTGGTACAACCACAGCTACGTTCTTTTGGTACATAAAATCTAGCATCACAGCTACTTGCACAGTTATCGAGTAATGTCACAAGAGGAATAGGCTTCTTTTGAGCTAAACAGTCCAGCCAAGGGCTATGACCCTACTAGACTATAGACGGTCCAGATACCATCCATGCCCATAATGAACCATGTCCAAAGTTCCAGCCAGAAAGGGGATATTGAGAATACGAACAAGTTAGGTTCGCGAGAGAATAATCAGAAAGCCTGCGGCCCAAGTCCAGGAAACGGCCTGCCCGCTCCAAATCCTCCTCCCACCGGCACGCTGTGCGAAGGGATGGGGCTACCAATCTCGCCGAGCGTGGGCGGCGGTATGGCGCCCGCGTCCACGAACTTGATGTGGCTCAGCTGCCCGGGTGGTGATTCTTTGTATTCAAGAGACCCACCACCGTTGTTGTTGTCCCCGATGATGTCGCATGCCTCCTTGATCTCCTGCATGCCCACCGTAGGTTCGGTAGGCCCACGCGCCGACTCGATATGACTGTGGACCTCCTGAGCGTCCATATAACCATCTGCACCAGGTTGCCGCATGGACAGCATCTTGCAAGTCGAGCATACTATGCGTCGGAGCCAGACAAGCCGCTGCTCACCCGGTCCTCGTTGTTCGTTCGGTCGCTGCGCTGACATCATGGGAAACGGATTGCTGAAGATGTTGGACGTTGGAGAGGTACCCCAGCCGGCGCCAGGCATCGGAAAAGGCATGCCGCCCATCGGTGGCGTTCCCCAGACGCTCGCATTGTTCGAGCCTGCAAATGGTCCAGGAATCTCAGGTCGGGGCGGCCCTGGCACGTCGGCAAATCCGAATCCAAGTGGCGCTCCGCGCAACGAGCCATGTCCAGGCTGTGTGCTCCTCCTACGTGCCGCCGTGGGGTTGAATTCGTCAAGATCAAGGTCTTCTGCGTCATCCAACAAAGCTTTGCTCCCTAGATGATCTGCGAGCTCATCGACTTCGCCATGGACCTCGTGAGGCTTGGTGCTGGATGGGCGTTGAATGGGCGCTGGTCGCTGGATGGGATGTGCTCCTGGTGGACCGATAGGGCTATCGGCGTTCTGCTTATCGAAGGAGCCTGATGCTTGCCGTGAGTGAGTGGGCATACCCATTCCAAAACCAGGAGGGTGAGTCGGTGTCGGGAAACCTTGCATTGGGCCAAAACCTGGAGGAGGTCCATCCATAGGGAATCCTCGGCCCATCGGCATAGGGTTTGGTGCATGCATGCCTGGAGGTGGGAAACCGCGGAAAGGCTGCGCAATAGGCTGGGGCGGAAACATTGGCATGCTGCGACCGGGACCCATCATGCCTGGCATCTGTCCGGGAAAACCGTTCAGACCAGGCGGCATGTTGCCCATACCCATGTTTGGGGGTATTGGCATCCCAGGGGGTGGGCCTATTGGAGGCATTGGCGATGTAGGCTGCGTTGGAGGTGCCGGAGTAGGCTGTTGCGAGGTCGGTGGTTTGGTAAGGATTGACTTGGGAACGATGGGGGCCTGCGCGTGTGAAGCAGGCGACATTGATTTACTCGAAGGCTTTGGAGATGATCCATGCGAACCTTGCTGCGAGCTTTGACGTGGTCTGCTTGGTGTGGGCGCTTTTGGTACAGCCGGTGTTACGTGGGGCGAAGGAAATCCCGTTGAAGAAGTTTGCTTCAGCAACTGAGGTGGCAGAGCCACAGCGACGGGATGTGAGTTCTTCTTAGCCGGCGCAGCCGTACTCTGAGCAGTGGCTTGCTCTTCTTTTCGTGCCCGTTCCTTCTCTACTTTCACCTTGGCCTCACGTTCTCGCCGGTCCTTTTCATCCTGAGCTTTCTTTTCCTTCGCCTCCTTCTCTCTCGCCTCACGTTCCTCGCGTTCCTTCCGCTTAGCTTCTTCTCGGGCTTTCTTCTCCTGTTGCTTGTGCTCTCGCGCCTTTCGCTCAGCTTCTTGCTGCCGCTCACGTTCCTCTTGTTGTCGACGAACGCGTTCAGCCTCCTTCCGCTGTTTTTCTTCCTCTTGAGCTTTGCGCTCGGCTTCCTTCTTCCTCCTCTGTTCATCCTTCTTCCTCCGCTGTTCCTCTTGTCTCTTCTCCTCAGCTGCTTTTAGCTCAGCCTCCTTGGCGGCCTGCTCAGCCTCCTTGCGTGCCTTCTCTTCCAACTTCAGCTGCTTCTGCTTCTCTTTCTTCTCCTTCTTTTTCGCCGCTTCTTTAGCTTTCTTCGCGTCCTTAAGCTCCTGTTGCTGGTCTTCCTCTATCAATTCCTGCAATAGTTGCTCCTGGCGCTCTTTTGCGACCTTTTCACGATATGCTTGGAGGACCCTCTGTTCGAACATTCGCGCGGCAAATATTTGAAACATGCGTCGCCCCTCTTCCATCCGCTGCTCTTCGGTCATAGTGTCCTAGGAGACATTAGTAAAAGACACGTAAGCGCGTCGTCCATACGCACTTCTTCATCCTCGTCATCGTCCTCGTAGTCCCCGTCTTCGTAACCTTCCTCATCCTCTTCTTCGTCGTCGAAGTCATCTTCTTCCGGCGGCGGGTTGTGATGAGAGTTGTGAGGGCCTCCTCGGTACATGGAAGGATGAGCTTGATATTGTGCCTCTTCCTCTCGCTGCATCCTCCGCTCTGCGAGTTGCTCCATCATTTCGATGAACTTCTTCCCGTCGTTTTTGAGCAGGTCGTCGGCCACCGTTAGGATTCCGCCTGGAGAATGCATCAGTCTCTCCCGCAACAGCGACATGACAGATGCAATACCTTTTACTTGTAGACTATTGCCGAACCGGAGAAAATCTGCAGTTTCGGGCGGTGGTAAGCTCGGCTCTTCCTCACTGTAGTCTTCCTCAGATGATATCTCACTATTAGAGTAGTCTTGGTCACCCTCCTCTTCGTCACCTGAGTACTCTTCGGGATCGCTGTAGTGCCCCGGCGAGGCATGGGTCGGCATAATCGGACGAGGGGCACTGGGAGGAAAACCGTAATTAGCATGAGAGAAAATGTTACCGGCGGATGTATGGTGGGTTGCATACTGCTCCAATTCTTCGTAGTATGCGTCATAGAGGACTTCTAGCTCCTCTTCGATTGCCGTCCGTTTCCGCCCACACACTGTGCAGCTGCAGGAATGCTTCTGCTGTTCCTTCATCTTGCGCAGAACCGCTTCCTTCTCGATTTTGACCAGCGACTTGCGCTCGTCCTCGCCCAGCGACAGCCAGAACTCGCGTATGCGCTCCCGCTCTTCCTGGGTTGTGGTGTTCCATATGCGGTTGTTCTTGTTGGCGTTGGGCTTGCGCGCATTGTGATTCGGTCGTAAGGGAGTGTTGTGGTATGCAGGTTGAGATGGCGGCAAGGCTTTTGATTTTTTCTTGCCCTTTTTGCCCACGTTTTCGGTCGGCGGTCGTGGTGAGTACCCAGGCTCATAATGACCGTTAGTCGGATAACCCTGCTCGTCGTAGTAGCCATCGTCCGCCTCGTCCGAATAGAAGTCGCCCTCTTCGTCATGCGGAGTGCCGTCGTCGAATTCGGCTTGGTAGTCGACGTCTGTGTACTGCGGCGCCTGCTGGTGGGCGGGCGGCACGTGGTGGTGCTGAGCGGGTTGGTGGGCAGGCGGCGGTATGCCGTTCTTCACAGGTACCGCGGGCTGCTTCTGAGCCTCTGCTGCCTTCTTCGCGGCTTCCTTCTCCCGCCGCTTCTGCTTCTTGCGATTCACGGCGGCGGCTGGGGTTGCGTGGGTGCCCGCGACGCCGTTGGAGGGTGCTGGTGCCGTTGGAGCGGCGGCGGCCGTTCGCGTGCCTTGGGCCATGGACGCGGGGGGGAAGGGGGGTTCGGGAGGTGTGCTGGCCGGCAAAGTCAGAAGCTGTTTGGGCAGAGGCGATATTGGTGTTTGTAGCAGCGGCAGCTAAGGCCGTGACAAGCAAATGTCGGCGGCGCCTGTCAGTCCCCCGCTTTGGGCCTGGTACTCACGCAATGGACAGGGCACGCGGGCGGCGTAATTCCTGGTCAATAGGTTCGTAGGAGGGTCGAATGCCAGCGGAAGCTCTATCGGGCCGGTCGCATGGCTCGTCGCGGGGCGCTCGCTCTGGTGATATTGCGAAGGTCGGGTCGGACGTTGGCCTTGTCGAACGCGCTTAGTGTCGTTCCATGCGCCAAGGAAAGAGCGGCCCAGGTTGCGCCTGCCCCATGCATCTCTGCGCCTGCTCAGCCTCAACTTGCACCTCATCGCTCACCTCGCACCCGTTACAGGGCTTCTTCCTCCCGCTAGTCACCCGCTTGCAGTCCGCCCGTGCGTGCAGCGACCCTGAGCCATTCTTAAATTCTCGCCCGCACCCCAGTGACGCTGCCCCCATTCCATCCATCTGCTCGTCTCCCCGTCAGCTTCTGCCCACCACACCGCAGCTGCTCTCCCAAGGCCCAGCCCGTCCACTCGCTCGCTCCCTGTGTGTTCCACTTTGATTGCAGACGCATCTCAGGACGACTCTCTGTCTCACCGCACTCGATCGACCGAACATCCTCCCTCCCTGACGCCCCGGCCCCTCGTTTGTCACACCGAGTTGCTGCCCGCTGCTGTCCTCTTCACACCGACCAGGACCGCCGTCAACAGTTGCACCTGGCGTCTTAACTCCCTCCTTGGAACGCGACCTCTTTGCTGAGAGCGCGCATTGTCCATATCGCATACCTCTAGTCGGCCGAACCAGCGACCATCCATCCATCTCGCTGCATATTCTCAATCAGGGCAGCACGCCTGTTGGACAATGGCCCAGAATGGAGAGCCCGTGATGCGCAGGTACGTATGCGTCTCTCGCTTTGTCATTGCATCCGCCGTCATCACGTCCGTCGTTCCTTCCTCGCTGCCATGTCAAGTTTCGCTACCGTCTGTCCTACAACTCCCCGCGCCCGCGTATCCACCCGCATCCACACGTTTTCCATTACTCGCGCGACCGCATTCCATCGCATTCTACACGCGACTCGCCCTATTGCGTCGTTGAAGATCGCCGGCAGCATTTATTGGGCGTTGCAGTAGACCTGCGTCGTGCGCAATAACCTGCATTGGCGTTCCCGATCCGACACCACCCTGGTCTAAAAATAGGACCCTGACAAGCCACCCATGTCTATCTTTTCCATCGCGTCCTGTCGATTTTGACTTCATCTGATGATCTTTTTATCGAATGGGTCGTCTTCCGCTATTATCTTTCGGTGTCACCGCGTCCGGCTTTACCCTGTTTGACATTTCCGTCATTGAAACACCTCGTCATGTTATGAGACGTTGGCTAATCAAAGTAAAATGATAGGAAGCTCGTGATTATCGGCGACGGTGCGTGCGGTAAAACCAGTCTCCTGAGCGTCTTTACGCTTGGTTACTTCCCTACTGTGGGTCTCCTGATCGCCAAGGTCGCACTATCGGAAGCTGACCTTCACAGCGTTATGTGCCAACCGTCTTCGAAAATTACGTCACCGATTGCAGAGTGGATGGCAAGTCCGTTCAGCTAGCTCTATGGGATACCGCAGGACAAGAAGATTACGAACGCCTGAGACCTCTTGCGTATAGCAAAGCGCACGTCATCTTAATCGGCTTCTCCGTCGACTCACCCGACTCCCTGGAGAACGTTAAGCACAAGTGGGCCGAAGAGGCACGAGAACGCTGCCCAGGCGTGCCAATCATATTAGTCGGCCTTAAGAAAGATCTCCGCGAAGACCCACTGGCACAGGAAGAGATGCGCAAGAAGTCGCTCAAGTTCACGACTTCGAAAGCGGGCAGCGATATGAAGGAGGTCATTGGCGCGCGGAAGTACCTCGAATGTTCATCACTCACGGGTGATGGCGTCGACGACGTTTTTGAGGCTGCAACCCGTGCTGCCCTTCTTTCTCAAGACAAGAAGGAGAGCGGCGGCTGCTGCGTCATCATGTGAAGCGTCCATTCATCCATCCATCACTTGCATCAGGCGGAGTTTTCACGGCGCATTTATCTTTCCCGTTTTGAATTGCTAAGCGGTCCACGGCATAGCTTTTTCCATTGCTAGTATCTTGTTATCCAGCCCGTGTTCGAAAAAGTGGGAAGCTTCTGGTTCTAATGGATATATTTGGGGGGTATTGGTGGCTTTTGTTTTTAAGGTGGTACAGTACGATATTGATCAGCTCTGCGCGAGGACGGACGGATGGGTCTAACGATTGATGACGACGGCTGGTCATCGCACACTCCTTTTTGGATTCCATAGCATTTGGGGGCCTGGAGCCGGCTGGTGATGGTGAAGCGTAAGCAGTGATGTTCATCGAGCGGCGTGGCATATACATTACTGTACGTTGAGCGTTAATATTGAGAGCGTACTGTGTTTTTGAGCTTCGAGGTGGCGGCCGGATAATAATACTTGGTTTTGTCTTTGCGATGCCCCTGTCCCCAATACATTCTGTATTCGAACCCGTCCGAGAGAAATATATATAATACAACATTGTCCAGCCAGCACTGTCCGCTCCACTGCCGACCTGAAAATACATTCCTCTCGCAATACTATATCTTACACTAATTTCGACTCAGATAGTCAGAGGCATGAGGTTTAATTCCTCGTCCACCCATGATTCCACCCCTCCCGCCCCGGAAAGTCTACCTGCGCCCGGGAATACTCGACCGGTACAGTCCCCCACACTCCCCTCTTTAGCATGGCCGCCCGATACAACCGTCCCACCTCCTTTCCTCGCGCTCCCAATGCGCCCGCATCAGCTCCCTGTCCTCCAGCTTCCGCTTCAGAAACCAAGTTCCCGTTCGAGTCCATGAGGCGCAGGTGCTCGCATGCTGAGCGCATGGCTTGGTACTGCCGCTCGAGGTCGCGTTCTTCGGCCCAACGGCGCTTGCGTAGGAAAAGGAGCCACGCGCGATGGATGGTCCAGTGGCGGAGGGCGCGCATGCGGGAAAAGTGCAAAGGGCGAGGGGTTAGGGGGTGCGAGAGGTGGTAACGGATTGCGGCTGTGGGTCGTGTTAGTACATGCGATGGAGAGGTAGTATTGAAAGCAGTGAGAGTAAGGTGGCGACTGCGGGAACAAGAAGAGAAGACATACTAATTCGTGGGTCTGTGCCGGGCCCTTTTCCCCTTCTTGCGCTTCATCATGCGCGCTGTTGATGTGAATGGGGAGGCCGTCGCGGGTGTGGTGTTTGTGGTTGGTTTTATCGTCACGTTGGGTCGGAATGCGCTTGGTGTCGGGTATTTCGTGGAATTGGTCGGTCGGAGGACCGTTCGGAAGGCAGAAAGGTTCATTGTGGGCGGTGTTTTGGTGGGATGCGTGGAGTGATGTCGTCGCGGTTGGCATCTGGAAATTCGCGATGCTGCTAAGAATGTCCCGGGGGATACGGGTTCACGTGGTCAGCACGCTAGCTAGATATGGGATCGCGCACCACTACGATCAGACACTTCACTCTATGCCAAGACACGCAGTCCTTCGACTTCTCCCCTTCCTCAAGAGTCTTTACGATGAATGGGGAGCATTGGCGATACACCAGCAAATAGATGCTGTGGTTCCCTGAGACTACGGTTCCGAGCATGGCGACCAGCCTATGGGGGGTCCGTATGGTGGGGTCGAATGTTACCTTTGCATGTGATTGACATCACATTCTGATCGTTGATAAGTGTCGTCCTTAAACGGCAAGCTATTGTCTGAGACTACGTGTGCGGGCACAATCGTGACTACTACGTCTTACTGCTTAACTGCTTGCGCATCCAGGACTACCAACAGTACTAAATGGGTCCCGGTCCCTTAATAGTTGTGACGTTCCGAAAATCGTGTAACACAAGATGGGAAGCTGTATACTCTTATTCCTTCGAGCATTTGTATTCTGTACACCCTCTCGTCATGGGAATTCCTCTCAGCACTTACCATTGTGGATCGCGGCACCATCATTCTGGCCGCCGCTTCTGCCTCTCCACTTCCACTGCTTCTTTCGCACGTCGCAGGTGCCGATTTACTCTGCATTAGCTAAATCTTGTTGAGTCCGTTATTTTGGGCCTGGTAGAGCCTAGATTAGGGCACTAAGCTCTCAAAATAAGTGTAACAGAGAGATAGACTAATACTCTACTCCATATAGTAACTATGTTAGTTGAAAATACTTAGACTCCTGATTCCAGCTCCGTGGGCGGTGGCACATTCTTTATACAAAGTGTCGATATTCATGTGGAGCTATGTTAGCTAGTCGTCACAATAGGAATTATTACAGCTTATCTCCCACCTCTCCCGGTCTTATCAAACCAGTCGACGTTGCGAGGACCGGAATGCTACGGCATTCTAACCTAAGGAGCTGGCCTACTTTGCTATACGAATGTTTGGAGTTACTTGTGCATGCTGACGCAAGTAGTGTCTTGCACTATGTCGACAAATTAATAATGCTTACCTACGTCGACCACAATTCATACAACTGGAACGCGAGACTTATTAGGATGCAGAGCCAACGCTTCAGGATTCACAATGCCTACATATTACCTCACGGAACGATATGCTGACACGCTGAAGGGTAAATGATATGTGGAAATATATCCTCGATCCATACGGGAGCGAGCGAGACCTGCGAACGAGATGTTGATGTTTGCTAGCTTGCGAAAGCCATTGTTACGATAAAGTATGGGATGATTCCGCACTCAGGCTCCGGACAACGATGTTTGAGATCGATTGAAGAGCTGTTGAACCTGCTAGCGAACGCGGGCGTGGCGGGGTACAAAGGATCCCGACCCCCGTTGCGGTTGCCTAGCGCGTTCACCCGACAACCCAACTGATGACTCTACGGGGTCGTTTTCACGGCATGAGGCTACCGCACTTCTTTGCAATATTCCCGTGAAGAAGGCATCCTCTTTTCTTTTCTGCCCGTCAACGCACGTTTCAAACCGCCAGTAGCCTTGCCATGTCGCACTGCGATCGAGCAATTGGCCCTCGTGTCGACCCGTCATGCCGCTCTTTTGACTTCACCCTCTATTTTGAAGATTGTTTCTTTGTCATAACACCAAATGTCGCCCTTTTCATACTTGCAGTTCTACCAATCGTGCGTCTGTTTAGAGCCCAGCATGTCGTTAGACGCACGAGATCAGTCGTAGTCAAAGCAGTAAGTGAGGAAACACATCCAGTCTCATCCCAGTGTCATACACCGAAGCTGATAATTTTCAACATCAGGCTCTTTATTTCACACTTTTGGCATGTCAAACAACCTTCCTCGCCCTCAGAACTCGGCACCCGCAGCTGCACACCCCTGCCTCTGTCGCGGCCGATGCACTTGCTCTCGTGGCCACCCTCGCCGCCGGCAGCCTCTCATGGCTCCAGCATCATCGCTCCGAGCAGCCTTCAGCGCTACTTGCCATCTTCTTTGCCCTGACTTCATTGCTCGATATCGCACGCGTCAGGAGCCTCTGGCTCCTGCCTCATTCGACAGGACCAGCAGTGCTGCAGACCCTTGCCCTCCTGCAAGGCGTTGGTATCTTGCTTGTAGAATCTCTTGGCAAGAAAAACGCCCTGAGGTTCCCCGAAAAGTTTCAAACTTCTGGCCCTGAGCCTTTCACGGGATTTTGGAACCTCGTGGGATTTTCTTGGCTCTTCGGAACCCTCCGCCGGGGATATCACAGTATCCTCTCTGTCGACGATCTCCCAGACCTCGATTACCGGATCGACTCGGAGGTTCTGCGAGAAAAGCTGGCTAGTACTTGGTCCAAATGCAAGTCAAGCGACCTTCATTGTTGGTAAGAAGCAGCATTGCTGACTGAATCCACAGATGATAAGACCCAGAAACGTAGTTTGCTGTTGGCATGCTTCCGCGCCTATGCACCTTCCTTCCTGTCGGCAATAATTCCGCGTCTGATTTTGAGTGCGCTCAAATTCGCACAGCCTTTCATGATCACCAAGCTCATCCACTTCGTGGGCGACAAGAACGTTCCAAGCGATATCGGGCGAGGTTTGATTGGCGCGTATGCGCTTGTATATCTCGGCATGGCTGTAAGAAAGCGGGAATTCTCAATCGTCAGTTGTTCATCAAGCTAATAAAATGCTGATGTAGTTATCTACCGCGCTACACGGGTACATGACTTTTCGATTTCTCATTCGCCTGAGGGGTGGCCTAATAGGCCTCATCTACTATCAGACTGTAGAAGCACGAGCTGTCGAGCTTGGCAGTATCAACGGTCTTACTTTGATGGGGACCGACGTGGAGCGCATCGTCCTCAATTTCCTGACTATTCACGAAGTCTGGGCATCACTCATGGACGTAATCATTGCCATCTTCTTGCTTCAGAGACAGATGTTTCTTGCATGTCTCGTCCCGGCGTTAGTTACTTTCAGTGAGATCTCCCCTCCTTGACCATTGGTGCCAATTCGGATTAACATATTGCGTCCCAGTATGCGTGCTGGGTACATTCAAATTCGCGACCTGGGCCAAGGCTGCGCAACGAGTATGGATCGAAAACGTCGAAAGGCGACTGGGCGTCACCACCGTCATGCTTGAAGCCATGAGGACGGTGAAAATGCTTGGCCTCAGCGAAAAGATGTCCAGTATCATCAGCAACTTCCGTACAGTCGAAATCGATAGCTCGTCCAGGTACCGCAAGATCCTCATCGGCATCATATTCTTTTGTGAGTACCGAGCGACTGAGTTTCTCATGAAGTTCGTCGAACTCACGGCTGACTTCTGGAACACATAGCCGTCTTGCCGCAGAACCTCGCACCAATGCTAACATTCGCGGTGTTCTACGCTATCGCCGTTGCGAGAGGTGACAATTCGATCCTTGCAGGACAGGCATTCGCATCATTGTCTCTCATCTCTCTTGTCACATTGGCAGCTTTGACCTTTATCAAAGCTATTCCCGCTGTGATCCAGTGTCTCAGCAGTTTTGACCGGATTCAGGAGTACTGCAGCCAGCCTGTTCGACCCCACCATACACTAAAAGACCGCAACTCTCAGCAAGCACCTTTACGGGACATTAACATATCCGAGGTGGAATTGACGGCAATACAGCCAATCAACACCCGAACCAACGAGGAAGATCTCCTTGTCAGGTTCCAGGACCAAGATGTCGCGTGGGAAATCGCTGGTCCGGCAATCCTGAGAACACTCAGAGCCGAAATTCATGCACGGCGCTTCACGGTCATTCTCGGTCCAACAGGAAGCGGAAAATCGACTCTTCTTGAAAGTATACTTGATGAGACAGTCACGCTGAGTGGCGATACTGACAGACGCTATTCCACCGCTGCTTACTGTACCCAGGTGCCATGGTTGGTCAATGGCAGCGTGCGAGACAATATTGTGGCCGGGTCTTCGACACTGATAGATGAGAAGTGGTACCAAACAACCATTTGGGCCTGCGGACTTGAGAACGACATCGCAAATCTCAGTCTTGGGGACCGTACTTCTGTTGGCAATGGTGGCAACAATTTGAGTGGTGGTCAGAGGCAGCGCGTCGTGAGTGACCGATCCTGATGCATATCGTCAATCACTCGGATTATAGCTGACCTACCTACACATAGGCTCTGGCACGGGCTATCTATTCGAGACAAAATGTAGTCCTTCTAGACGACGTCTTCAGCGGTGTCGACGCCCGCAACACTGCACTCATATCTGAACGGCTTCTCGGTCGCCAAGGGATACTTCGCAGAAATCTGACCACCGTAGTGCTCGTTACTCACTCTCGTAGGTGGAAACGGCCACAGAAAACACCAAGCAACTGACCGCAATGCAGCATCTCTCATATCCCTTGCTGACGATGTCATCGTTGTGGAGAGTGGTACCATCACAGAGTCTGGTATTATAGACTCACTAAAGGATGCGGACGGGTATGTCGGTAGTCTCCAATTCCAGGCGCCAGCAGAGTCGACTGCGATCGATGCGTTGCTGCTCAAGGACCAAACTACGCGCCCCTTGTACAATGCAGCAGCAGCCAGCGCAGAAGCACTGATGGAGCTGAACAACGAAGAGCAGGACCTGAGGCGTCAGACCGGAGATTTTTCCGCCTACAGCTATTATTCCAGAGCTGGTGGTCATATCACTGTCGCCTTGATGCTGGTTACGGTGGCCTTGTGGGTGTTTTGCCTCGAATTCTCTGGTACGTTGACCCGAGTTATACCCCTTGTTTGCACCGGTTCTTGTGCTCATATCTTCAACGTGCGTAGTCATCATCGTCGACTGGTGGTCCGCAGCGAGTGCGAAGACACAAGGCCATACCAACAATGGCTTGTACCTGGGCGTATACATAGGCATCGGACTTCTTGGGGCGGGCTTCCTGTTCAGTGAGTTGTGGTAAGCCTTCTCGCTCAGAGTGTTTGAATGAGCGCTTCAATGTGACTTAATCTTTTAGGCTCATATTCATCACCATCATATCAAAAACCGCCAAACGCCTCCACGAAGATCTTCTCAAGGCGGCAATGAGGTCTGTCGAGATAGAGCGCAACATACTATGACTTGAAGCTGATCAAAAGCATAGCGCCCCTTTGCGTTTCTTCCAGGAGACTGACGCTGGATCTATCACCAACCGGCAAGTTCAAAGCCTCTGCTTGCTTGTTACACAGACTGACCTCTTGAAGCTTCAGTCAGGACATGGAACTAGTTGGCCTAGATCTCCCAACAATTGCGGCTAATTACATCATCGGTGAGTCCCTTCCGTCCAACTGAGATCATAAAAGGTGGTGTGAACATCACTAAGTGCACCAAAGCTGTGTACGAATGCATCGCCAAGGTTGTGCTACTCGGCATCTTTGGCAAGTATCTATCGGCAATACTGCCAGTGATTGCGGGGAGCGTCTTCTTCGTGCAGCGGTTCTACCTGCGAACATCCCGTCAAGTGCGATTGCTCGACATCGAGGCAAAAGCCCCTGTGTACCTACACTTTCTCGAAACGACAAATGGCGCGAAAACGATCCGCGCGTTCGGATGGCAACATGCATTTAAAGAAAGGCTACATGCTCTCCTCAATCGATCGCAGAAACCGGTCTACCTACTCTATTGCATTCAGCAATGGCTTGCCCTCGCATTGGATCTCATCGTGGCAGTACTTGCAGCCATCCTTGTTACAATCATGGTGGTCTGGAGGGATTCATTCGATCCGGGAGCGGTCGGTGTTGCCCTCGTCTCGGTAATGACTTTCAACCTAAACCTAGCCATGCTTGTCAAATCCTGGACAGCGCTAGAAACTTCGATTGGTGCAATCGGTAGGGTTAAGTCTTTCGTAGAAGAAACGGCTTCAGAGGAAAAAGAGCTAGGAATAGACCGGCCTCTACCTGGACCTGACAATTGGCCGACGAGAGGCACAATCTACTTCCAGGACGTAACAGCAACCTATAAGTACGTAATCTGTGAATCTGACGATCTCTTCAATAGCTGACTTGCTCGCAGATCTGGAGGTGATCCGGTCCTAAAAAACCTCTCCATTGCCATCGCTGCTGGTGAGAAGGTGGCGATCTGCGGGCGATCTGGCAGTGGAAAGACGTCTCTCATACTAAGCTTGCTTCACATGATCCCTTTTTCGGGGTCAATAACGATAGACGATGTGGAGACGCATGATCTGATCCCCGGGGATCTCCGTTCGCGCATCAACGTTGTACCGCAGGAGCCTTTCCTGATGCCCAGGTCGATACGGTTCAACATTGACCCTCTAGGCCAAGTAAACGATGAGGCCATAATCTCGACTCTGAATCGGCTTAAGATCTGGGACAGGGTGATCGAGTGCGGCGGTCTTGATGCGCAAACATCACTGTCATTGTGGTCTGTCGGAGAGAGGCAGTTGCTATGTCTGGCGAGGGCGATGGTCCGGAGAAGTCAGATCGTGATACTCGATGAAGCCACAAGCAGGTAGGTCCAGGATATCTCGACCCGTAACGCTTGAACTAACCCAAATCGAAGTGTGGACGATGCGACAGAGGCTGTGATGCAGGATGTCGTGGATAACGACTTCTCTGCCCAAACCGTTCTAGCTGTCGTTCATCGACTGCGATTCATTGAACGATTCGACAAAGTTGCCGTACTAGATAAAGGTGTGCTCATTGAGTTCGATAAGCCTAGCACGCTCTTGGCAAAGAAATCAGTACTGGCCGACATGTATCAGGCTGGATACGGATTGGGAGAAGTCAAGCCCACTGGGTCAACACAAGCATAAACGTTGTTGCGATGTCACAAACATATCTCAAGAGCCATATCGAGAGGAAGGTAGGCGTGGTGATTGGTGTGTGTCTACATTATACTACAGTCATTCTTGCATCGCGATCTATACGATTATAGTTTCATCTACGACACGCTATATTGGCCGGGACCCATAGCAGACGTCAAGCAGTGTGCAGCCCCCGCCTCGCAGAGCCTTTCTCACGACAGGACATGATTCGTAGCGAGTCGATATACAGAAGACTGATATATTCACAGGATTGATGTTCATGAAAAAGGTATTGCAAGCTCTTTGTACTTCAGCAGAAGAGCATACGACCAGATTGTCATTCACAAAGACCTAGCATGAAGATAGCGAAACGAAAATAGTTACCCTTTTTTTTTCTATAACGAGTACAAATTTCTGAGCATCAGCATGTTATGTTGCGCCAAGACGACATGAACCAGAATTCCGCCCCAGCGAGATTCACGATGCGGAGATATTGTTGCATCACGCTCGTGACTTGTTGATCCAGCCCGTCTCCTAATGCATCAATGAACTCTTGATCTATCTTGATAGGCCAATACATTACTGCGCGCATTGCAATGTGAGCAGAGGTATCAATTCCAGATTGGAGCGATTCCAAGAGCTGGTTTGCTGCCGTATACGCCAGCGGGGAGCATGGCTGAGTGTCATCCATTAACGCTCGAAGCTGAACCATGCACGAGGACAATAATGGAGGAAGCGATCTTGTTGGGCCAGATGCATGCTGAAAGATTGACCGGAAAGGTCCATTCCAAATGAGGTCTTGGTTGCCGCTTAAGATGATGTTCATGCCGCGTAGAAGCTGGAATACCTCGAAAAGGGTTTCAATCGTGTTGCTTGTGCTTTCTGCGAAAGCAGTCAACGTGATCAGGCTTGCTGCTGCAAAAAGGGCGTGGCAATTCGACGGAGTGATGTCTGGCAGTACTCTGTTCACCCCTGCGATGGCAGCAGACTGATGGGCCGACGCTTGGATACGATGCTTTGACCGTGACTGCGGATCAATGTACGCCAGATGCGAGGCGGAGAATGCGAGGATGCAATGCATCAGATACTTGTGTCGAAAAGCCTCTTGAGTGACCAGGAAGCCCCATGTCTGTTTCGCTTGATCATTCCCGGGTACGGTGAGATAGGCATGCGCAGTGTAGTGGTGCATAAGTTCGAGATCTTCCATCCAGCCATCTGTCCGGCTGGTGGAATGGCCGCACCGGGAGTCTGCTACCGGCAGCACCGGAACAGGAGGGTTCGAAGATGCATCAGGGCTGGGATGTGAGGACGATGGGCCGGACGGCGTACTGCCTGCACGATCGTCGGATAGCTGCGGTCTGCCAAGCAAGCTGCATGCAACGCCGTACTTGATGCAATTTGAACAGGGACTCTGCTCGTCACACTGGACCCTTTTAGTAGAGTACTGGGCATGGAGGCTAAGCCTTACCTTGACGCGTCTCACTTTGCAGTGCTGGCATCCATTTCTGGACTTCTTCGAGCCCAATCGTGGCATTGCACGCGAAAAACGAGGGGTGGAAGTGCGAGAGAGAGAGCGAGAGCGAAGTTGAGAACGGGAGCGAGAGCGATGGGGCTATGATTGGCGTCATCCAAGGGCACTAGGCCGGATCCGGCGCACTGAAACCTGCAAGGGCGGCGCCTTGGCCAATCACCGCATGCTAGGAACCAGCTGGGGAAGCTGGGGACCCGTATCGCCCGTATGCATGCTTGAGCTCCCCTGCACCGTTCGGGAGATGGAGTATTATGATCTACAGGCCAGACGATGCAGGGTTGATCTCGAAGCCAAGCACGCCCAAGATCACATAGCCCAGCTAGTCCACCATCAGATAGAATCAAGCTGAGTACTTGGAGGGACACTAGATCTAATCGCCGTCACTGGATCTAGACCAACGCAGACTAGCTTGTATCGAGATTGATTGAGCTACAGTGTATGTACACCTGCTTCGGCGACTTCGAAGCTTAGGGTATGGTACACTAGCGCGCTCTCGTAGATCCCCTCGGACGAACATGGGCAGCGACGCGCATCAGCAGCGTACCTTTGTGGCTGCACTGATTCCAACTACCATAGGTAGCTTCTCCGAGGTTCCGGAAAGCAAACCCTGCAATGTCATTCCGTGGATGCTTCCGCGAGCGAGGCGTGCAATTAAACGCTCATGTGCATGGAATTACTTAAAGAAGGGTCGCTGCTTCCATGTCGACGACGTGCCAGTACCTTCATCAAAATGGTTCAACTACCCTTCTATGTCCTGGCGTCCTCTCTCGCGCTTGTATCAGCAATCGAAAATTGTGTGTCCGACCCATCTGAAGCGTGCGGCATTCTCAAATCTTCACATCCGAATATCACCTTTCTTCCCGATGACGAAACTTATACCAACGAGACACAAGTTTCCTGGACCGCATCCGCTTGGCTCAAACCAGCCTGCGTTTTCGCAGCTCGAAATGCCCAAGACCTATCGTTCGCTGTGAAGACTCTCGTCAACACCTCCACGCCCTTCGCCATGAGAGGTGGTGGCCATATGCCTATCTCGGATGCGGCAAACATCAATTCCACCGGCGTGCTTCTAACAAGCACGAATCTAAATACCCTGAAGCTGAGCGATGACAAAGAGACTATGAGCGTTGGCCCTGGTCCACGATGGGGCGATGTTTTCCAGTATCTTGAGGGGACCAACTTGACTGTCATTGGGGGCAGACTGGCCCCGGTGGGTGTTCCAGGCCTGTTGCTCGGTGGCGGTATGTCTTGGTATAGCTACAAACACGGACAAGGATCTGCAGGAGGCAAGATCAAAGCCTATGAGGTGAGATTTCCTCGTCGCTATCGTCCTGCAATACTGACTCGGTGCACAGGCTGTTCTCGCAGACGGAACCATAGCGACTGTCACCGCAACCTCCAAATATAGGGACCTTTACTGGGCACTTCAAGGTGGAGGCAATTCTTTCGCTCTTATCACGCGTTTCGATCTTCAGACCTTCTTTGCCGAAACACCGCTTTTGGCAGATGCCGACTATGGCTCATCGAACACCACACGTGATGCGTGGCTCGCCAACCTATTGGATTTCACCCTCAATGTCGACAAGGATGGCGACACAGGAGCTGCCGTGATTCCAGTGGCCAGATGGGGACCAAACTTTACGGCACCTTTGTACCAAACTACCCTGTTCTACAACGGAACCACCCCTCCGTCTTCAGGTCCGTTCAACGAATTCGTCAATGGCACCAAGCTCCGAGCTATTAACGGTACATCGACCCTTCAGCGAGTCTCTTTGGCTCAGTATGGAGCCGCAGTAGGGCCTGCTTTCAAACCAGGCGGTCAATCACATGGGCTGAATCAGAAGTTCCGTGTCGTCTCTATCAAAGCGAGCCTAGAGGCCATAACGATCGTACACGACACATACTTTTCCTCTCTTCAGGCTTCTGGCATGGCGGACCGTCTGGCAGGGTTTTTCTCTGGACTGGCATACAATTGCATCACGGGATCCTGGGCCGCCGCCTCACAGGGTGCTCCCCAGAACATGCCTCAAAGACCGCAATTCTGGGTCGAGCAATCTTTGACATGGGAATCCGCTGATGACAGTGAGGAGGTTGAAGCGTGGGTCGCTTCCGTAAATGCCGAGATACACGAGAAGCTTGTAGCTGCCAACGCAACTGAGAGATATACGTACCTGAATGATGCCGGACAAAGGTCAAGATGTCTTCCGAACCTATGGAGAAGAGAATTTGGGCAAACTCAAGGACATACGAACCAAGTATGACCCTCGTCGCGTTTTCACCGACTTGATGCCTGGTGGCTTCAAGGTAGCATACGAGTAGACCGTTAATTGGCTGGAGAAAGGGTTTTGTGGTGTGGGAGTCGGAAAGGTGGGTTACAGATGAGAGCCTGTTAGCTTAAATTGAAATTTGTTGCTTGAATCGTGGCTGCCAAACAGTGCTACCGTTTCGATTGACTTTAGCTGCAGAGAGTCGAATATGTCTCTTGATAGTCATCTATATCCCGAAATACTAAGCGGACTCGCCCATTTGCTCACGCGAATGTTTGCAATGAGTCGATGTATCTTTGTGTTATCTACATTTAACAGTGTTTCGTTCCTAAACAGGTGGAACAGTGCATGGAGAGACTGTAAGAAAGTCATGGATTCAAATCGATGCACGAGGTCATGAAGAACGCAAAACATCAGGTTTGACTGACAGCCAACGTCATGTTCCTAAGATGGTTACTTCCTAGCAGTGTTTATAATTCAACCACACAGGTATCAAGAACATTTTCATCTTGTTGATACCCCGAAAGATTACACCTATGCAAACCCTTACACTTCTCCGCTGTTTGATTGAATCGGAACTTAACTACAAGTTAATACTGACGTACAATGCGCGAAGTAATCATATATTGTTACGCCCTCGGGGATCTACTATGTCAGTATCCAGGGTCTATGGAAAAGCTCGTGAAAACACTACTAAGTTCACGTAAGACCATTCATGATTCGATGCATGTGGTTCTAGTCATTGCTAAATGCTCAATGCGCCAACGTGGAACAGGTCTACTCTAATGAAGAGAACAAAAGAAAATCTAAGATACCTATGGTACAACTCTATTCAAGTTTAGTGGCAACCCGTCATCAGAATCCCCTCGTTTGTTATTCTCTTTGCGAATGATGGCATATTGAGAGCCATTGGGCGTTGTCGTTATCGGACAGCCATTCTAAGCCTTGCTATCCGTCGATCGCATAGGCATCATTGACGATGAGCTACCTGGGGTGTGATCCATGTCCGCATTCTCTCCCTGGCGCCTCCTCTTGTACTCTCGGAATTCGCGAATCGCGATAGCAGCGGTATACGACATTGAAATACTATCCCGAGTCAATGAAAGATCAAGACAAGCTGATCGTACACGTACTTTAGCACGATGGCAAGCCCTACGACTGCCCAGCTCAGATAGCAAGTAATGCCACTGCATCTCTGCAAGTTTGCCTGCATCACGAGAAAGGCGACTGCGCCCCAGAAGACGGTTTCTAGGCAGTTGATGATCGCATTTGCTTTGTAGCTATGCCAGCGCTTAAAGGGGCGCGAGTATTCTGAAAGAAGCTGGTATAGAAGGAAAACCAGAGATTTGGCCCCCTACTGAGATGTCAGTATACGTATTATTGGCGAGAATCTTGAAAGTGTACCATGGCTAGTGCGATCGTGTTGGCCCGTGTACGGGGTTGATTTTTCATGAAAAGTCGCGGAACGGAGAGACCCATTGCAACAGCTATCAGAAGTAGTTGCACCAGATGGAGTGGGAGCATGAACCGAGGAGAGAAGAAGCCGTTATTCAGGAAGTCTAGAAGAGCCATGATGCGAGGACTGGATGAGAAAGAAGTTCCAAATTAATTTGGGACAGACGTTGCTCGTATTTCGTTGTTGGTGGATACAACCATGGTCTTTGACGGCTGCCTTTAAAGCACCTCTTTACCAGTATACTGGAAAAGAACCATTGCTTGCTCATCAGCAACGCGTAGTGCTTCAGCCGCAATGTAGGTGTACGGTGTATACGTCGGATGTATTTGAGACCGAGTGCGAGTACGAGTGCGAGTACGTCGGGTCGAAACCGTGCGGCACTTTCCAGCTTGGCAGGCAGCCGCGCATACTAAACGTCTTTGCCAGCTGCGAAAAGGCCCTTCTACAACCATTTCCTTCATGCTTTGAGCCTGTGCGTCTCTCAAGGTCTTCCTAAAACGACAATGCTTGAGAAGCTAAATTGGATAGTTCGAGTGTCGAAAGTCCCGTCTCTTTCGCCGCACGACCTTAACACGTTCCTCAGGATCCTAGTGGCCAGCCATGGTAGTTCCGGTTCCGTTCTCGCAGCGCACCCGGGCGCATTATGATGGCGGAGATGGGTTTCGACTCAGGTCGTAACAACAAGAAGTCCCAGATTAGCATCGACTGATCAGCAAGACTCTCGCGCGAGGCTTCCGGTATGTTCCCGAGGCCACAATTTTTTTTTTGGCACTGAGTCGGTGCTTTCTAGATTTCATTTTGGTCCCAAGCAACCCGTCGCACAGTGCACACAAAAGATTGTGAATAATGTCCTCAACTCGCGGTTGCTGAATTGCTGGAAGTCCCTTTAGATGACACTTTTCTTGGACGTGGTACAACAAAGAAGCTAGAGCCCGCTGCTCGCAAGTCGTCTAGTAAACCTCGCAATGGTGGACGAAGCGTTTCCAATGGTACATCGAGCGAACATCGGCCCGCACTTAGATTGTGTCGACCTCGCGAAAGACGAGAATGACATATGCGGTATCCAGACGCAGGTACGATTCCGCCATCTTGTCTGATTCACTTCAGTTCGCACGTCAAAGCCTTGCTCTGGCGACCGCGCCGCACCTGGACTTTCATGGGCCCATGTCTCACGCATTGTAATCGACCGCACCGCTGTGCCGTCCTACACGATCTATCGACCAGCCGCACATAGCCACGACGATCTCGTTCAAAGGCAAAGCATTGGAGAAGGAAGCACCAACTTGATTGCATTCCAACAGTGACCTAATATGTCCGCTACCACTATTTCTATACGACAATTCACTCCTCGCAATTACTACAGCTCACGGGCTGATCACGATCGAAACAATGGTCTTGTAATCTAGCGAACACAGATCTAGATATGTATTTGACCAAGAAAATTGCGCAAGGATGCAGGACTTGTCATGGTAAGCATATACAACGTCTCGAAAGCGTGCGAAGGTCATATTGTACTGTCGGGAAATGGACCACGAAGTCGCATTCAAACACGAGACCAAGAAGCCTGGACAACGTGTGTGCGCAACGTTCAGAACTTTGTTCCCCACTTTTTTACGAGCGACCCATCGGGCTTGCTCCAGAGAGCGACAAAGAATTTCCCGCCGAGGAATTCAATGTTCTAGGATATCCCGTGTGTGTGTACAAAACATGCAAGGCGCAGGAGGAAGACACAACGATAAAGCAAAGAGATGCCTTCTGCCTTCAGGTGACAGCCGACCATTGAGGACTCTCACCTTTCTTGACCTTCTAACTGTTACAGCTCCACAGCCGGAAAACCAAGCCTATCCTTGTACACCAGTACCTTTTGCGGATCATACCGAAGTTCCAAGAGGCTACATGGAGGCGCAATACGCGTGGCTTCAGGAGCTCGTTGAACGTCCAGATGCGCCAGACGACGTTCATTTCGAAGCCAAGTGTGAAGGCGAAGCTCGGAGCGACAGCTTTTTAGCAATGAGGATCAAAGAGTAAGTTGCATACCCTCAATAGATTGCTCGATATACTGAATTTCAATCGTAAAATCAGAGAAAATGCAAGAACCATCGCAATCCAAAAGACGGCGCCCGACATCACCAACATCGTCTACAAGGGGACAAGCTGTGGGTCCAAGTCATCCGTGAGACTGGAAAATAAAGTGGATTGTACACAAGGACAAAAAGAACACTGCGAATTGGACTGCAGAATCGTGGTTGGTGCATTTGCTGATAACAGTGACTGTAAGTATCTGTCGGTGCTAAGTGACTATGGATCGATGGACTGACCAGCAAATCGCAGGTGTCCAATTAGACGAGTTGTTGAAGGCAGGACATATTGAGACTGACCGTGGAAGGGCGCGACATGAAATTTATTCCCAATCCCAAGTGATCGGATCGTAGACAAGACCGTTGCCAACGATGGCACTAACGAAATACGCGATGTTCCGACAGGTATCACTACCTAGGTACAAAACATGCTTCGCCACGTGACCTCTTTTGATTTGGACGCTCTACAGGTAGCCAGGAACTATCGAAACTCGACCAGAGCTAAACACATCGACAAGGTATTTCTGTGCCGATGTGGTAATGAAGAGCGACTCGATTGCGGCAAGGCCAGTTCCCAGAATCGGTACCATCCAATGTACTGGCTAACACACCATTGCAGAACATTGCAATGAAAGTAGAAGGGCGAACTAGAAAATTTCATTGAGTATCAGCTGTGTACATACTTATCACGATGAACCAGAATGAAACGACGGTTAAGAGACCCTCTACCTACAAGGGCCAATCGCTGTCCCAATACGGTAAGATTGTTGCGAGACGGGCTTAGCCATTGCCTCGAAAGACTCAGCCCCACCACGTGTGACCGCCAATGCCTCCCACATCCACACCATGTGAACCGCAGCATCGCAAAACATGTTCCCAATCTAGATGAACAAACCACGTGGAGAACATTTCAAGTTTTCCGAACAGCTGCTCGGACACATCCCCAAAGGGGTTTATGCAGCCCAGACCCGACATCTCGAGATCGCAGATGGAGGTAATTGCCAGCCTATGCATAGCCATCTAAGAAAACGTTGAAAGTCGACTTAAAGGGTGAATCGTTGCTACCAGAGCGCATTACTCAATCGGTATTCAGGTGCAGAGCCCCATGTTTAGGGGGCCATAATGCAAATTCGGGTAATTGCGCCTCCGCCTCCATTTAGACCCCACCACCCCATCTATGAACAGTAACTTTCTGACTGTAGCGGAACATGTTCAGTAGTATTCTAAGCAAACTTGTGGCTGACACGATGACCGCTATTGGATGTTACTTTTCGACTCACACAAGGCTGGAACTGCGCCTTTGTGTAGGCTTCCGGACATGGCATGCGGCTCTGTGGACTGTAGAGGCGCTGTCAGCCCTGCGACAATGGGAAGTTGGTATATCAGGAAAAGCCAGTCCAGAGGAATATGATCTGATTCATTGACATTGTAGTGCACAAGTTCCTCAGCAACGTTACAGATATCCACCTACGGCAAATCACAGGACGCGTTCTTATCCATTCCACAAATCACTCAAACTTCTTTGCCAATTTACTGCCATGATGGCAGCACCTAGTTATACCGACGCGGATGCCAGAACCGCGCATACCAAATCAAGACACCATCGCGCTCTCCATGCAACAGCGACGGGTCTCTCCCTTGCCCTGACCCCTGTCGCTCCCTTCATGGCCATCCCGTCCGCAATTGGAGCGTACAAGACCCACAAACATCACAAAGCCAAGCGCCTTCTGGAAGCACAGCACCCTGGACTTATGCAAAAGACTAACGACGACACATTCAACGCCAACGTCCGCCAGGTCATGCGGCACTACAGCCGTGGCTCCATCGGCCTCATCTCAGCCAGCGTTCTAGCGCCCGTCCTCCCACATATGGTTCTCCCCGCGGGTATTAACGTTTACATCTTGCACCGCGCGGGGAAAGACCGGGAAGAACTTGCCCAGCAAATGCATAGCAAAGGGTTCCGCGTCCGCAAGCGCGATTTAGCCCGGGGTCTCGCACGCGTCGTCATCGAGAAAGCGATTCTCATCCCCATGACACTCGGTCACGATGATTTGCTGATCGCGTTCCCAGCCGCTGCGATCAGCGACAGTGGCTTGTTACATGCCGACTTGCTAAATGTAGACGGAATTCACGAGTTCAATGAAGCGGTGAACGAGCCTGTAGAGCAGATACAGGAGGCTCTTGGCATCCAGACTGCAGAGGAGAGGCTGGAAAATGTGCAGCATCTCAGCCCAGATACTGGAGGTTGGCATGAGAATGCGGGTGTGCTTGCGTCGAACGTGGTTATTGCGGGGTCTGCAGCGGCGGCGGTCGAGTGGGTCGTTGATCGGCCGTTGGAGTACAGAGATGAAAAGATACGAAAGATCTCATAGATCTCGATGGGAGCGAAGGAGGGTGCTGTAGTGAGCGTTGCTGAGGTGAAGAGATGACATGGTGAAAGGCATGGAATTGATGATATCGTAACGACACTGTGGGGATCTCCAATCTCAATGCCCAGACCGGCAAATTCTGGATCCTCAACCATTCTACTTCGGACCATTCGCGCTTTGATACAATTAGATAAAGCGGCTGTCACGGGTTGCACGCGCATAAACCCAGAAAAACATATGTTCATGTCTATAGCAATGCCAGAGCCGGAGCTGAACGTCCCGCCGACTTCCGAAACCGAAACCACCATCAGAGTCCGATGTTCACAGATGATTTTTCGACTCTATTGGGCTTTCAAGGCCCTCCGGATAGCGCAATTTCCGCCATGAGCAGCAGGTGGAATAATTCCGACGACCCTCCAGTCCCTTGTTGCGACAAGACTGGATTCTTGCCCATATGGCACCCACTGTCACAGTGTCCGCTCACCAGTCTTAAAACTTCGTCCATCGCCGTTCATGTCGAGCCACTAGACTATTGGGAAAAAAGCTAGATGGAATTCTATGGCAAACATGTGGAGAACGCTCTTTTGTGCCCAGACCGTGGATGGGATGCTCACTTTGGTGCTCTTCCTGATCACGAGACTCCGAGGCCTGGGACTCAGATAAGGAGGGGCATGGACACTTTTTACCGTGTTGCAGAGAAGATCGTCCATGGAGAAAGAAGGTTTCGTTGGTAGTCAAGACCACTGGGCAGTTACTTACTGTTCACGATTTATTTTCGGCGGTTGATTACTCTTAGGGCACTCCACCCCTTCTATACGTAAGCAAGGAAGAAGCATGGGAAAAGGCATGATCTGAGAGGGCGCACCAAGAATATCTGGACAAGATAGAGCGTGCAAACCAGTATCGCACTAAGCAAGCCCAGAAGGCTTTGGAGCTTCCCAACGTCAAGGTGTACTCCAGATTAGAAGCCAGGCACTTGATATCTGAGCCTCCGCGCATTTGCCTGTTTTGTTGATTGTTGCAGCGAGCCCCTTACGAAGGGAAGCTACAGATGATCCAGGTGAGCATTTTTGTATGTAATATAAATTTTGGCATTGTCAATCTTCGTGAGCTTCAGTACCTGAGTCCCAGCTTGACATAGCTCAAAGAAGACGCTGCGTTTCGGCTCGGCGATGACCGCTACTCGAAGCCTGAGTCCGCGGGAGGGAGCATGCACGGCAGTGCATTCGAATTTGAACGCTGCTCTGAGTTGCGAACGTCGCTTTGCACGCGGCACGCCATCAAAGTCGAAACACGATATTGTGATATCTTCCCCAGATGAAATCGGCCTAAGGACGTGAATAGTTCGGTGCTTAGCGCTGGCGTTCCACATGCTAATGGTGTTCGGGAAGAAGCTGTGATCGATGAGGCAAATTGTGGAAAACATCACATTCGGTCGCGTCCTGCCCGCATGGCATGGAATATCTGTCGAAGATCCTACCGAAGTTGATTGACGAGAGAAAATTGCCCCAGAACCGGTCTTTGGAGATGCGTCGAGGTTCACTTGGCAAAATCCTCCAGAACAGGGCAAGGATTCTCTCGCGGTCCCACGATGCCTTTTCGAATGAGCGATGTCGACGCGTGCCACGATGCCATTGCCTTTGCCAGGTATAGAACGTATCTTCGCGAACCTATCCTATTGGTTTGTGTGTGCCATTTCTAGCCGGGAAAGCCATGGTTGTGTACGATGCTTAAGTATGGTTGTCTTCGTTGGGTGCGGTATCTCTTCTCCAGTCTACCAAAGTGCGATCAGCTATAGCGACAACGATCCTTTGCAATTCCGTGACTTATCGGTCGATTGAATTGGGTTTTGCGTTGTGTACTCCTAAAAATTCGAGGTGGGGGTGGAGAGAGTTGTTTCCGCGAGGTGTGCAAAGCCCGAGATGGCCGGTTGCCCCTGTTCTGATGTTGAGCTGTCAGTGATAGTAGGTTTCTGACTTGTCAAAACGTTACTATATTGTTCGTAGGATGGGAGACGAGGACAAAAGGCTAAACCAGGCGAAGCAAACGGGCTCTAGCGCGTTTACCGTACGTTCCCCTCACATTCACTGACAGAGCCGCTAGTTGCTAATGTTACCCTAGCAACCTTTCATTGGCGGAAATAGCGTTCCTCTTGAAGTCAAGGTTGCTCTCCTAGTACAACTGCAATCAGTCCCCAAGTGCAACACCAGCGGGAACAAGACGAAGATGCGAGCACGAAGTTAAACATGACTTGTTGTTTTTTCAGCCTGCAATCCAAAGAAGTGTGGGCTTCGTGGGGACTATACGGCAGCACATAGATCCTTAATTGCTGTGACGCTTCTGCCAATTCTCGATCACGGTAAGAATACAAGAAATTTGCGACCACACCTCCCACTGTTAGCTCTCACACTATTTCGCGCCACCTAAATTCGCTTTTCTGCTAGAAAGAGAGTTCTGGTAGGCTTTGAGCGCGGCCTGGCATAGTTCTTATATGCCAGTGTCCACGGTATCCATATTGTCGTGCATGGTATTGAACATGAGACATGTGATCGTGCTAATGTATTCGTACAACTCACGAATGCACCCATTCGAGCCGCTTTGAACCCAAACTGCCCTATCCGGAAAGCAGAATGAGTGTCGATTGCAGAAGGACTCGAAGGACCGCAAGCTATGCAATGATTGGCTGAGCAGTCGGTCCGATGGTAGACAAACATGCGCTGTACGTAGTGCTAAAACAATCGAGGCAGGTGGGGGTTGCGATGATTCATTAGCGGTGATACATTTGCAGGAGAACCAGGGCACCGGGTGGTGAATGAGCAGCGATCCAACAAGAGCTTCCGGAGTTGCAAAGAGTTCCTGCGCGGATGAGCATTCGTTGATAATGAGATGCTTTTGATTCGAAGTATTACAGGTGAGATAGATTCCCTTGAATGGAAGAAAACATCAAGAAGACCGCATACACCAGAGCTATGCATGCCCATGTCAACTCCAGCAATGCCACACTCTCGAACCTATCCCATGTCATGCTATGCCTGGCCCCAAACCGATGCTATGCAGACACTCGCCATACCATGAACTTCTATGCTAGTTGCCCAATGCTACGCTGGATCGCATCGGACCGCAACACATGTGAAATATGACGTTCGCTAATCAATTATCAGCAGCATTTAGTGGCTTCTGTCCCCATACGACATAGTAGTTATGCTGCAACAGCATCCTCGGATTCTTCAGTTCCTTTCTAAGCTCCGCACAGAGCACCTTGACTTCCTCCGGTCTCCATCCCCAGGCGTTCTGATAGATCCTCATAGTCAGAGCCTCAAGATTGTCTAGAAATTGGACCAAGTTAAAAGCACCAATCTCTTTGAGCTTCTTGTCTTTGGGCCAGGTGCCGACCGGGAAGGGGAAGGTGCGCGCCTCAATGTTCTGGAAGCCGGCTTCGTTGACCCAGCCTTCGATCTGGGCGCTATGGACGGGTCAGTAGATTCAGTGGAGCAGGGGAGAGGATGAGTTACCCTGGATCCGGCTCTGCGCCAAACTTCCGAAGTCCGTCGGCCACTTTGTCAGCCCATTGGCTTAGCTTAGTGTCCTTTGTGAATTCACCACCGCGCGTGTAGAACCGAGTGTCAAAGTCTATCTTGTGTCAGTAACAGCAGACTGCCGATGCATTTGGCATACCTTGAAACTCGACCCATCCACCCGGCTTTACGAATCTGCATCGGGTCAGCAATCCCTATCCTCCAAGCGTATCAGAGCAGTAACACGAACTTAAAGCATTGCCGCATCAACTTAGGCCAGTCTTTGATAGAACACGCGAGATATCGAACGTGGATATAGTCAAATTTGGTAGAGTAGACCCATTCTTGTTCCAGGTCATCGACTTCGAACTTGACATTGGGCGGAACCAGATTCGGTTGTATGGGACTGATGTCGTTCCCAAGGATCTCTGCGGAGGGGTACTTGTCGCCCATATCTATGGCCCAGATACCAGTGCCCGTACCGACGTCCAAAATCCTTTGTGGGTTGTCGCCGATGGGCGCGAGATGCAATTCGCCGTCCAGACTGAGCGTTTGAATGTGATGGTAAAGGTCTAGCCTGTCGTTCTCCTCCTTGTACCTGTCAGTTTGATGTGAACCTTCTGCGACAAGATGCGTACGTCGTCGTTGGGCCAGAAGTAGGTTGCTTCGTCCTTGTACCCATGGTAGCGCCGGCCATTCTCGAAGCGGTAGTTCAAGACAGTGCTTTTCAAACTCGTGGTGTAACTCTCTCTGCAAAGCATGGGCGTGTTAGGTCGCACAGCTCATGAGGCTATTGCCGCTAGACTCACAGGTCGTCTCCATAGGCCGAATCGCCATCCTCATCGATCTGGCAGTTCATCAGTGTCTGCAAGCGCACCGACGGGCTGCGCACTGACCTCAAGCGACTCGGCTTCGACATCAACGGCGGGAACATGCACTGCACTCTGTTGACCGGGGCTAGCGGGCGCTGGGCTGCCCGAGGCGGATTTGGACTTTGGCGCTGGCGGCGACGCCATCGTCACCTTGGTAGCGCTTTTGATCCGGGCGCTAGGAACAGAGGAAAGAAAAGTGTTTCGCGCGTCAGCAGGACGATCGAAGGACAAGGCACAGGCACTTTGAGTGCTGTATATAGTAGCAAGCTGGGTGTGCGGCTGCTCAGCCGAATCCTACACTGCAACGTTGGCACACGGCATGGTTTACAACGGCGATCAGCTCTGCATGGCCAGGGAATGCTCCGGCGGCAGCCGCCATTCGTGCGAGAACAGGCGCGCGTAAGCAGTCGAAGTCGCTTTTGCGCACCGCCGACAGCTCAGGTGACTGTTGCATGGGCGCATTGGACGCGGTGAATTCTAAGCAATGTGCACTAACCCGGAGAGGAATGACTGCCGCGGTCCGCCAGGGACCGAGGCGGGTGTTTCCGTGTGGGGCGTCGTCATGCTCGCAGGGCCTTGCATTCATCTTCACGCGGCAGTCTCCATTCGTCATCCGTGTAATTTGATACTGCCACGTTCTTCTACCAGAATAGCATGCATCGTGGCAGCCACGGGCGAAAGCGCCACAAGCAGGTCATGCTCCACGCCGTGCCTCGCGCCTATAAGCCCGCTATCCGCCGCTACGGCTCTTCGCCGAGCAATGTGCGTACATCAAAGCCGCTCCAATCACTCCCTCGACCATCGCCATCTCCGTTCTCGCACCTGTTCGCTCGAGGAAGCTCGTGTATGCGCGTCTGGTTACACCGCCTTCCAAGAACCATCCACTCCTTTCAAGCTCTTGCTCAACACGCCGGTCCAGCCTTTCTCAACAAGCGTGCCTCAAGCACCCTAGCCACTCGCTGCGCGCTGAGCAGCACGCCAGGAGATGCTGCAGAGCGCTTGGGTATCGTGGCGCTTCGATAATGGCGAGTGGTAATGGGGCACAGGACCTAGGCAAGAAAGTGTTTCCCACGTGCTGCCACGCCATTATCGTCTGCCTAGACAGGCAAATGACGAAAGCTTGATCTTTGCCAAGGGAAGGACCGAAAGCACGACGAGCATGCGTCAACCCCTGGAGAATGTCTGCCCCACCTGCGAGCGAAATTTCCCAAGGTTCCAGGAACTCCAGCGAGTGAGGGAACTGCTTCTGATACTTTGGGTCAAATAGTGCAACTCTGCTTCAGCCATCATAGCACGCCATGTGTGAACGTAATGTAAACTATGATATTACTTTTTTCTACTCCCTGGGGTACACTACGAGGTAGACATGCCATGCAGAAAAGAAACAAAGCAAACAATACTGAGTGACAGTGCCAATCTTGCCCGCTTTTCTTACTATCATGGGAAAAGTCGAGACACTCCATGTGGTATCCTATGCCTCGTCAGACGCTCCGCACTTCCAATCTCACAACTTCACTCGCACACAATATCGTACGTTCCTCAAGCCCATAGACGTTATGGGGATCAAGCTGGTTCGTGGTCAAGTCCTACTTCTGACCAGCATTCCCGCCTCGAGACACAATATCCAGAATCATATCTCTAGCCTCCTCACATCCTTGCTTCGAACCCACAATCTCGATAGCCTCGTCCTTGGCTTGATCACGCGGTACTTGCACCTTTGTGCCCGTCTTCTTGCGGATGCTGTTGATCGTGCTACCGCCTGCACCGACAACAAGCCTATAACTACGCGGATCCGGAAGTATCAAGTATCCATGAGCGGAAGGCTTGGATGCTGCCTCGATAGCCTTCTCTAGTACCTGGCGCGCCTTCAGGATGTTGTCGGCAGGCCCGCGAAGTATCCATGGGATGGTAGCCGACGTGTCGCCCTCGGCGGCGGGGTTGTTCTCGACAATTTCCCAGGAGTGTGCATCAGCTCCGCCGGTGGTGTCATCGGTGATGAGAGGTAGAGCACCATTTGTGCCCTTGCGAGCCTTACCGCCCTGCTCTTGACTCGGCCTAGGAGGGACTTGCTGGCCAGCATGATCAACCGTCACCTTGTGTTCGTTGCGGAGACGGCGGAAGAACTGGCCGTTATCCGAGATAGCGTGGTGAAGGTGGCGCGGCACTTGGATGGTCTCGCCTTCCTGGCCCTTAACCAAGTCGAGGATATGCTCCTTAGCTTGCTGCACCTGAGCCGGCTCACCAGAGATCTTCACCTGAGAGCGCGCGGCACCGGTAGTTGTTTGCTTGGGGACGTCGAGCTGAATGGCGAACTTCTCTTCCAGAGACCGACGAGTCTCACCTCCGCGACCGATTAGTAGTCTATGCTTGTCGGGCGAGATTTCCACATTTTCTGTCACTTGCTTTTCGAGAGTTTCCGCCTGAGCCTGGAGTGAGGCAACAATCTTCTCCACGACATTCTTGGGTCCCTCAACGCGGATCACAGACTCATCGGTTTCAGGACGGGGAAAACGGACCATACGTGCCAATTCACGCGAGTTGTCGGGCCCACCGGCAGCAGTAACAATTGAGCGGATATTGGAACCGCTGCCGCCAATGAGGGTCCTGTGATGTTTCTTATCCACATCAAGGGTCTTCACGATGGTATCATCGAAGACCTTAGCGCGCTCCTGCAACAACTTCTTCGCTTCCTCGACTTGCTTCTTGGTACCCTTGAGCTTGATCTCAGCACGTCCAGAAGGATCGGCACCCTCACGAGCACCAGGGACATCGATCTGGCATCCAGTTGCATATCGGAGGTTCTCCATCTCCCGGCCGCCAGACCCGATCAGTTGTGGGACCTGACTCTGCGCAACGAAAACGCTATCGGTGTGAGAATTGTCAACGGCATACTGCAGGAGGCTAAGAATTTCGTCACGGGCCTCATCCGCACCCTTACGTGGACCGCGAACAATGACCTCATCGGGAGCCTGAGCGCGGAAGTTGCGTTGCGACGCGCCTTCGCCTGCAGCTTCATCATCGGCTTTACCACTGGATCTAGGGAAGTTGATGCGGACGTTGTAGCGCTCCTGCAAGCGGTTTACAGTGCTTCCTTTGGCGCCGATGAGGTCGCGATGGTACTGAGGCTTGACCTTTAGAGTGTGCGTAGCCTCATCTGCAAGTCGCTTTCCAAGCGATTCAATGTGGGCTTTGCAGGCATGTGCTTTGGCCTGGGGACCTTTAAGCTCAACTTTGCCATCGTTGACTTGGATATCGACGTCGAACTCTTCTCGCAGCTTGCGAATATTCTCACCACCCTTACCAATGAGGAAGTTGGCATATTTCTGGGGGAAGTCGAAGGAAGTAGTGTAGCCACGCTCGAGCTCATCCTTCTTCTCCTGCTCGATGAAAGCAAGAACTTTGGTGTACAGTTCCTCAAGTGCATCTGCAGGTCCGCGCATGCCGAAGTTGTTGTTCGAAGTGCTAGCCTTGGGGCGACGGTCGCCGAAGAGCAGCTGGACGGGAATCTGATCTTGATCGAGACCTTGCTGCTCCTTCTCAACGAAGCGCTGAATCTTGGGATGGAATTTAGCATGCGTCTCGATGTCTCGAGAAGCAAGCTCCTGCTGGTTGCCTGTCAATCGTTGGATGAACTGCTGAGCCTCTTGTAGCGCCTTTTGATACGCCTGTACGTCTGCAGAGGGCGGTGCACCCCGAGGAATGGTATACTCGGCATGAGGAGTAGGACCCTCATACACAAGGATCAGCTCTGGTGACTCTTCCAATTCATCTGGGAAGACTATCTGCACACCCAGGTTGTCGCGGACGTGTTGTGCGTTCCGCGCTTGCAGGTGTTGGTGATAAAAGGGGTCGACATTGACGGTGGAGAATCGTGACGGAGGGTGACCAGCAAAGATGCTCATGATATCACTGCGTGCCTTTTGGGTGTCCCGAGCCTCTTTACCGTAGATTTCCCACGCGGTCGGTCCATCTCGCTCTGACGGGGCGACGATGCTCGTGTTGTGTGTACGTTCGAGTTCTTTGATGAGCTCGCGTTGCTGAAGATAGCGGGTCAAATTGCGGGCATGCGTCTGGGCGTTTGGTCCACGATGCTCGCGAGTGCTGTCAGCCATTGTCGATTGCATACTGTACGCGATGTCATTGAGCTTGTCCACGCCAGCCTTGATCTTGTCGGCAGGTCCGACAACGTAAATGTCCTCTTCACTCGGATCGGTGCTGGGTGGCACAATAATGGTACAGCCAGTTTCATCGAGGAAGTCATGCAACGAGTAACCCCGCTCACCCGCAATAAATTGATGGCGACCACGCTCTACATTTTGGCGTTCGATAGCCAATTGAGTGCGCAACTGCTCCACGCGGCGTTGAAGCTCTGCCTGAATTTGCTGTGCAGCCTCCCGGTCTCCAGAGATCTGGATAGGGTACTTGGCCTGTGGAACGAAGTTGCTAGGCGCCTGAGCAGGAGCTTGCTCGTCCCAGGTATGGTAGTGCGGAATTTGCACACGAACATCGCGATTTCCCTGGATATTCGCGATGTGGGCATTGCGGGGGCCAGCGAGGAAGGGGTAGTATTCGGCGGGGATGTCCTTGAGTCGCAGATTTACAGTCGATGTGCGCTCCTTCACGATGGCCATGATCTCTTGACGAGCAATTCCAGCAGTAAGAGCGTTGCCCTCAATTATCACGTCGACTTCGTCATCCTCATCTTGTACGTCCTGCTTCGGGATTTGCACGCGTGCACCAGAGCGGTTGCTGATTTCCTTGATCTTGTCACCGCCACGACCGATGATGAAGGGCCGGACCGAAGCAGGGATGGAGAGCTTCACAGATTGCTAAATTGGGTCAGAAATCGTACCATAATTATAAGCGAGTACACATACCTTGGCGAGAACCTCGTTAGCGACCTCCAAGAGCGACTGGCGAACAGCCGGCGCCGGACCAGTGGCTTCGAAGATGACGCCATTTGGAGATTCCTTTCGCTCGAGCCTAGCCTTAGAACGCTTGTTGATGTCGTGGATGATCTGAGGAATAGGCTTCTTCAACTCCTTCAGCGGCTTGAGGTCGGAGGTAAGGAACGCAATCTGCTCTTTGTGCTTGCCAGGAAGAGCCATGCTCGGGAGGGCGGGGCCACGCGAGGCTGGAACAGAGGCGGGAGTAGCGGTTCCAGAGGCTGGGTTCGAAGCACGCGAGGCGGTACCACTGCCATTGACGCCATTCGCAGCCAGTGAGGCAGGCTTCTTGCCCCAAGTGGGTGCAACAGCAGCCTGGGCACGGGGCTTGACAGGGCCGAGAGCTGGAAATGCCTCTTCTGAAGCGGTGTTCAGCCCGGCGGCTTTTTTGGCGGGCGCAGCCGTGTCGTTAGCTTTCTGTTTGCCAGCAGCCTTCTCGCTCAAGGGGGCAGCAGCGCTGTCGATGGCGTCGGACTTGAGGGCGGCAGACGGCGGAGGATGGGTGAGATCGTCCTCGTCGACAACGTCCTCGACCGTGACATGGTGGTCGTGCTGCTCCATGAGCTTCTGGGCAGGGGTGAGCCCCTCGCTAGAGCTGCCGGTAGCTACAGCCTCGGATGCCATTATCGGAGTTGACCGTTCGAGTTTACCAAAGGGTGATTCGTGTACGCGGTGGTGTGAGCGGGCTACTACTGCAGCGCCAGGACGGATTATATATGCGTGTACGAGCAGTAAGTGGAGTTCAGATCTGGGCAACGGATCAGTAAAAGATTTCTGCAAGTGCCTCTGGCGTTTGGTTGTGAAAGTTGATGAGAGAGGGACTGTGGGTATTTCCGTACCAGATATCAGAGCAGCCGATGAGTTCAACTGCAGCTTAAGATTGTCAGAAAGTGCGGCTCAGTAGGCCATAGCGTGTTGCGCAGGGGGATCAATTTGTACGCGGGCGATGTTGCCAGAGAGAGGCAGGTTCAAGAGCAGAGAGATGCTGCAGGGCGGGCGAAGTTCACAGGTGTTACGATGTTCGAGGAGCTTCTGTCGGTCGAGGTTCCGCCCACGCCAAGAGCGGATCCCTGCGTCTCGGCTATTGGCATTGCGGAGATGGCTCATTATAGCGCTTTCGAATACCATATCGAAAGACAACATGGCGTGTAGAAGAAAGTCCACGGGGACACGTATTGTGAGGAGGCTTCTGGTTTCTTTAATTTTTCATGTTTCTCTTCCTGCTCCTAAGCGATGGCTTTATCTTAGGGACTGTGCTATTTCAGGTCACGGTCGTCCGTGGAAACATTCGTGCCTATCCCAACGCCGCTATCGATGCAATCTATGCTACCCTACCATATCATGGTTCACCCAAGTCAGGATCCGAGTACTTTGACCCTCATCCACTCGCTTGTGCCTACGCCCAGGTTCAGCCCATTGCGAGCCCACCACTTCCTCACATCCTCGCCAGCCTCGCCCTCTACGCCATCCTCCAGTGCCTCTTCGATGTCGCATGTTTTGTACTCCACTCGTAAGCCGCTACGCTTCCACCATTCCAGCACTTCTGCGTGTCCCATCTTGGTGGGGCCAACAAGAACCTGGTTGTCGAACAACATCTTCTCCCCGCAATGTCTGTGCCAGTAGTTGAGTATGCGAGTGTGACCGTGAGCAGAGGCAAGCTTCGCGATGGTGTCCTCGTGAGAGAAGGGAATACCGGATTCCACCCAAAAAATGACAGCGGGGAGGCAACCTGCCTGGGTGGCGTACGTGATAGACTTGCCCACCTTGAGCGACAAGAGTGGCCGCCTATTCTTCTCCTCGTCTTTCTTCTGCGTGGGTGACGGGGGTGGCGCGGGTTCGGAGCGGTATCGACTGTGCTCTTTCCACCATTTCAAAACTTCGATGTGGCCTTGTGAGCTAGCAGCCTCTAGAGCGGACTCAGTAAACTTCAGTGGCAGGCCCGAGTCAAACCACCAATCTAGGGCCTGGATCGAACCGGAGCGGCTTGCGCTGTCTATAGCCTCTGTAGAATACTCTTTGGTGAGAAAGGTTGGCGACGTTCTCCAGTACTCCAGGATCTCTATCCTGCCGAACATGGATGCTTTGTGAGGAAGAAAGGCATGTCCAAACGTGCCCCAAAAGAGGTCTTTGTGTGCATTTTCCAGGTGGGTCAAGACAGGTACCATGGCGAAGCGCATGATAAGCTCGATGCAAAGGCGCGATATGCGCGTGGGTGGTTCCGCATCAAGCATGGCTCTGATATCCGCGTAAGTCCCAGTCAACAGCATCCACTCGAGTCTCTGCATTTGGTTCTTTGGTCCCTCTTCGCTAGCGGCCTGGCGCCACTCTGGCGGGACGGGAAGCGCCGTGCGAACATTCAGCATAGCCGCGAGCTCCCAATCTTCTGTATACTCTAAAATGATAGACCATAATTCTGGGGGTAGACGAGGCCCTTTACTCTTTGTCGGTGTCAGGGTAGGCATGTGAGCTATCGGCAATGCGATGCGGCCGTCACCCACAGCCATCAGGTCAATCTGGGTCTGGATGGATTCATTGAACGCCTTATGTCCCTCCCAAAGCTGATACTTTCGCCCCATGTGATCGAAGGTCCATAGGTACGGTGGCAGCACTCGTATCCAATTCCATTTCCTCCGGATCTTGCTAATTTGCTTCTTCGACATAGGATGCTCCCACATGAGGGTGGACATGGCCGGTATGAGTAAGATTTTCTTCGAGACATCCCAGCTACGCAGCACCTGAAGATGCAAGTTACTGGTGAAGCCGTGCAGCATGCGGGCTATGTTTTCGGCGTCGAGGGGTGCCAACACGAGTAGATGGGCCCACTGGCAGTACTCGGCGACCTTTGTGTCGGCGTAGTCTGCGTGCTGCCACTCAGGTCTCGCGTTGCTGTCGACGTCGTAACGGTGCCACACAGGCTCGAGTGCGGGGGGCACTACGTGGGAGGATGGTGGGAATTCATGGCCAGCGATGACCTGGAGCGAAACATCGGGAATGCGGTGCAGCCGGGCAGCGATCCTGTGGCCAAATTCGAGGGTGGAGGAGTCGGGGAGGGCGAGGAGGACGTTCAGGGCGCGCTTCGTCATGAGGGCGAAAGGTACAGCGGAGGGTGGAGGAGTGCGTGCATGTCGACGTGTGCGCACTGTGTTTCCGCATTGACAGCGACGACGGCTACGATCGGTGGCGCGACCGTAGTATGATTGGCCACTGTGCACCCCGCGTCACTAGGCGTCGAGATTTATGCTGACATAACGAATCGTCACGGTACCTTTGAAACAATGCAGGGTGCAGATGGGACATCTGGATGCTGACAGCGGTACACATGGTTCCCTGCATACGTCGCTATTCGTCCAAGACTATATGGGCTGAAAACAACCGAAATGTTCGACATACCCAAGCTCGTGTAAAAGCCACTTCACATACGAGCGAATGTCCATGTGAGAGTGCCCACTCGGAATGTGTTCTTGTCTCACGAACCGACAGCCTCTTCGGTCCATCTTGGACGCTCGTGGGTTCCTACGAAGGCACATCCGCGGAGCACAAGAGGTCTTGTGTGTCACGACTTAGGGACGTGCCAAGGTGAATACTTCTCGCGTGTATATGTAAGCAGCGCAGCGAACTTCAAGGGTACCACGAGGGTGTACAGTAGACAGCTCGGCTGAAAGGCACGCAGCCGGTAGAGGGCTCCGCAGTTGCGCCCCCTGGTGCGTCGAGGTAGTACCCAGGCCCTCTTCTGAATTTTCAGACCGGCGGCCAAGCCTAGCGCGCTGCTAAGTAAAGGTCGACTTCGAAATGCCATGGGTACATTCACTGTCACGCCTATGGCTGCCCTGTTATGTCACAGGCTGCAGCTCGCCAGTCGGTCGGCCAGGATTCTTCAGTACCAAGGCGCATGACGTAGCGTCGCCACGGACACAGGCCATTGCGGTCCGTCTTTGCACCTCACGCTGGGTTGCCAGTGGGTATTGTGCTGAGAATTGCGCATGGTGCCCCTCGCCCTGCGCAGCATCTAGCGACCGGGCCATCGTCTGCATCTGATCCGCTTTCCCCCATCCGCCGAGATAGGCGCCGATCTCCTGTTCTCTTCCATGATCTGCGCTCTCGTCCCTCCATCAAGCCACACAGACGCCTGCGCACCTGGCCACGGCCACGGCATCTGCCCGTCTCGTCTGCCCACTGTGGCTCTGTCTCCATTTCCTCCATGAGCGTTGCATTCGCGCCGATTAAGCACTAAGCCTCTGCTGCCCAGCATCGGCCGACCTGCGTCAAGTGTCCACATCACCTTCACTCCACGGCCGCTAGTGGAATCATGTCCTGCCATTGACCAACGACCCCTTCCTCCCACCGCGTCCCCACCCGCCGCACTGCCCTCTGCGTGCACTCGTGCCCTCCTTCAGCACGACAAACCGTCCCCGACTTCCCGAGGGCCCCATTCCCTGCTCCTCGCGCGCCCTGCATAAGCCAGGTTTCGGGCGAGCAGCCGTCTCGGTGACTGCTCAGAGGAGCCACCCGCACCAACGTCATACAGGGAACTGCTGTTATCGTCCATGGGCACCTGAGACCCTCACAGACAGGCGCGTCGACTTCTTTGTGCGGACAGGAGCGACCGAGAGACATCGAGCCCTGCCTTCCCACCTTCGCCAACCACTGGCACCCCGCCTGCCTGCGGCCATCCCCACACACGCCTCTTCCCTCGAGCTCAAGAAGCATTCGCCGCGCCCATGGCTGAATCACCGCCGCACCATCCGCCTCCCGAGCCCGCTGCGGCACCCGATGTCGAAGCAAACGACTTTGCTGCTCCCTTGTCAGGCAGAGGCGAAAATCCATGGTCGTCGCCACCCGAGAGTACTCAACAACAGACGTCTTCAGCCCCACCGCCGCCGCTCAACACTGCAGTATCCCCCTCCGAGGGCATGGGCGCCCTCAGCCCTAACGCCACTGATCGCGTTTTCCCAATCCGCAGGTGGGTTGCCATGCTTGCTGCCTCTGTCAACGTCGACGCATGCTGACTTGCGTACAGTGTGGTGTCTGTCGATCCTACCCCGACGCCCACTCAGCGCGGGCAAACCTGGCAAACCGATTACTTCCACCAGTATTCCCGACCCTATGACGGGCGCACACCAACCGATGCACGCCGACAATCGCAGGGCTCAACCGCTTCGCAGAATTCGCAGCCCTCTCAGAGAGCCCCACCACATCAACAAGCCGCTTCCAGACAGACATCTGCGAACAGAGGTCCCGGCGGCGCAAGTCGGAATGAGACGTCACGCAATGCCCCACCCTCGTTACCTGCACAGTTGTTCAATGATTTCGGCTCCAGCAGCTATACTGACAGCGTTCACGGTAACCCCAGTCGCTCCCCGTCTTTGAAGCCTGAACAGCCTGCCTCCACGGAAGGAGCCTCGATCAAGAGTGTTGCCAGCAGCCTAGGAGACATCGGCGGCCTTGTCACACATCGCTTCAAACATGTTGTCACAGACGGTGGACATGCAGTCATAACAGGCCGGGATGGCGATACACTACAGCGTTGCGAAGACGAGCCAATACACATTCCCGGCGCCGTTCAAGGCTTCGGGCTCCTTATAGCACTGCAGGAAGACCCCGGCGGAAGCGGGAGTCTTCCCGTGCGCATAGTGAGCGAAAACTCTAAGCGGATTCTTGGGCGGTCACCACGGGAGCTCTTCGCGCTGGAAAGCTTTACTGACATCTTCTCTGAAGAGCAGGCAGATAATCTTCTGGATCACATCGACTTTATCAAGGAAGAGGACGCCGAAGTGCAGACCAACGGGCCTGAGGTATTTACCTTGTCCATCAAATTACCAAATGCTAGACGTTCGCGTAAACTGTGGTGTGCAATACACATCAACGACTCGAATCCCGGCTTGATCACCTGTGAATTCGAACTCGAAGATGACGACATTTACCCCTTGGTACCATCGAACGAAATGACCCCTGAGCTTCCAGAGGATACGCTGCAGGGCAAGCCCACCGCCGAAGAATATCAAGAGAGCACTGAGATTGGCAGTCGGCCCTTAAGAGTACTACGGAGTGCTCGAAAGCGCAAGGGAGAAGCAGCAGCTATGGAGGTTTTTAATATCATGTCGCAAGTCCAGGAACAGCTGGCAGCCGCTCCTGACCTAGAGAAGTTCCTCAAAGTGTTAGTTGGCGTAGTCAAAGAACTGACAGGGTTTCATCGCGTCATGATATACCAGTTCGATCAGTCTTTCAACGGCCGCGTTGTGACTGAGCTCGTGGACCCCCGCGCGACGAAGGATCTTTACAAGGGCCTCAGTTTCCCAGCATCCGACATTCCAAAACAGGCCAGAGAGTTGTACAAGATTAACAAGGTTCGGATGCTGTATGATCGCGACCTTGAAACGGCTCGGCTTGTCTGCCGTAGCACAGAGGATCTGGAGACCCCTCTTGATCTAACTCATTCTTATCTTCGCGCAATGTCGCCAATCCACCTCAAATACCTCACCAATATGGCGGTCCGGTCTTCCATGTCCATTTCCATTAACGCTTTCGGTGAGCTCTGGGGGCTCATAGCGTGTCATTCATACGGTTCGCGCGGCATGCGTGTTTCATTTCCAATTCGAAAGATGTGTCGCCTTGTGGGTGATTCGGCATCTCGCAACATCGAGCGGCTTTCGTACGCATCACGACTACAAGCCAGAAAGCTCATCAACACTGTGCCTACTGAGCACAATCCTTCCGGCTATATCATTGCTTCCTCGGATGATCTGTTAAAGCTGTTTGATGCGGATTTCGGATTGTTGTCTATCAGGGACGAAACCAAAATTCTAGGTCAGCTGGAGAGTTCACAGGAAGCCTTGGCGTTGCTGGAGTATCTCCGCATGCGGAAGATAACGGCTGTCCAGACTTCGACCGAAGTTAGTCAAGATTTTCCTGATCTTCGCTATCCTCCAGGCTTCCAGGTCATTGCAGGGATGTTGATCGTGCCGCTATCTGTGGGTGGCAGTGATTTCATTGTCTTCTTCAGAAAGGGTCAGCTCAAGGAGGTCAAATGGGCTGGCAATCCATACGAAAAATTCATCAAAGCGGGCACAGAAGGGTATCTGGAACCGCGAAAGAGTTTCAAGGCGTGGTCTGAGACTGTGGTCGGTAAATCTCGAGAGTGGACAGAGGAAGAGGTGGAAACTGCAGCGGTGTTGTGTCTCGTTTACGGAAAGTTCATCGAAGTTTGGCGGCAAAAAGAGGCTGCATTGCAGAGCAGTCAATTGACAAGACTACTCCTGGCAAATTCTGCGCATGAAGTCCGAACGCCCTTGAACGCGATCATCAATTACCTTGAGATTGCTCTAGAAGGCTCAATAGACCAAGAAACGAGGGAAAATCTAGCTCGATCACATTCTGCTTCCAAATCTTTGATCTACGTTATCAACGATTTGCTTGATCTGACGAAAACTGAAGAAGGCGGACCTCTGATTAAAGGAGAGTCTTTCGACCTCAAAGCGACTTTGACCGAAGCTACAAACATGTTCATGAGAGATGCAAAGCGGAAGAACATCTCATATGATGTTGTGGAGCATCCAGGGCTGCCTCAACACTGTATAGGAGATCAGCGACGAGTACGCCAGGCCATATCGAACATCACCGCAAACGCTATACAAAACACCACCCAAGGCGGGGTAAAAGTCGAAATGTATGTTGCTGCAAGGCGCAGCAACACCCAGGTGGATGTGGAAGTGGCGATCTCCGATTCTGGAGCTGGTATGAGCTCGAAGAAGCTCGATCAATTATTCAACGATCTGGAACAAGTCCAATCTGAACCTGCGGCAATGCTTGAAGACGCTCTTGTTCCTAGTACCGAACAGTTGCTGAAGGAGAACGAGAAGACAACACTTGGTCTTGGTCTTGCTGTCGTTGCGCGCATCATCAAAAATATGGAGGGGCAGTTACGACTGAAATCAGAAGAAGGGAAAGGCTCGCGGTTTGTCATTCAATTTCCTTTCGAGTTACCCGATTCTGAGCCACAAGAGCCTCCTGCTGTTGAATCGTCAGAAGGGAGCATAACTCCCTTGCCTGACACTTTATCACCGGCCGGTGAGGACGGCGAGCGCATGCTTGTCGCACCGAGTCTTTCACGTAATGCCTCCGCCGACAGCGACGCTGTGGCCAGAAAGCCGAGTGTAGAGAGTCTGAATAGTGCCAAGAGCCTTCGAAGCTTCAAGAGCGTCTCTAGCAACAGGAGCCAACGCAGCGATGTTGACCGCCTAATCGAGGCCATACAGGAACCACATATGGTAGAAAGACGGCCAATGAGCGAACGTAGTCCGAGCTCAAAATCCATGCGAACTGATATTTCGAAAGGGAACAGCTTAGACAGTGCAATGTCCACTTCACCGCAAAGGATTCGTTCCAAGAGCTTAGAGCAGGACAGGCAGATCGTTGTTCCACCCCATCAAAGGTCCATGGAAGTTGAAACCCCTGGTGAAGAGACGATTCATGGTTCAGGAACATCGCTGAAGGCCGTCAAAATGCCGGACGATGTAGGCTCTCCTATTGATCCGCGTCCGAAGTCCGGCACTGTCCTCGGAGAAGTAACAGATGAACCAGAGAAGATCTCTACAGGTTCACAGGAGCTTTCTTCCGAGCATCTGCGCGTGCTAGTTGCCGAAGACGATCCAGTCAACAGCAGGATCGTGCAGAAGCGTCTTGAAAAATTGGGACATGAAGTGTACCTCACTGTCAACGGAGAAGAATGCGCCGGCGCTTATGGCGACAAACCTCAGGACTTTGACGTCGTCCTAATGGATATGCAGGTAAGTACGTAAACTCATAGTAGCTGCGCGTGCTCATCAAGAATCAGATGCCTATCGTTGACGGCCTTACCTCCACAAAGATGATTAGGTCTTTCGAGAAGACCCACAAAGATATCTACTCTCCCCGTGCTGTAATCAACGGCAGGGTTCCCATTATTGCCGTCTCCGCCTCTCTTATCGAGAAGAACCGCAAAGATTATATGAACGCAGGCTTTGATGCCTGGATCCTGAAACCGATTTCATTTCCCCGGTTGAATGAGCTTATGGCCGCTAGCGTGGATCGAAAGATTAGAGAGTCGTGTCTATATCAACCAGGCGAATGGGAAAAGGGAGGCTGGTTTCATTTAGACCAGAGCACACCGGACGAGGCGTTGACGATGCCCTCCGGAGAGCCACCGACTGAGAACCTTTCGAAGGGCACCGAAGAAGCCGTCAAAAATCCGGAAGATCCTACAGCAGGTGACGAGCCGGGCCGCATTCCTGACGAACAAGATCGGCTGCTTCGTGCGCAAGTAAAGGAACGGAAGGGTGTCCACTTTGACGAGAGTACACCGGAACATGGCGAGGGCGTTTAGATTCTCGCAGGCTCATACGTCGGACGCGTTTGGAAGCGCGATGGATGTCGTCTAGCATTTCTTCACAACACCGGCGTTCTGGACTTTTTGAATCTCGAGATACCGATCATTCACTCTAGATTTTGACTTGGTCGATTTAGCATGCTCGACATTATTCTCACCTGTCGCACAACACTGTACACATATTTATGGCTCAACGCAGCTTACGTTCACGAGAGCGCATCATTCCGGCAGCAAATGGCGTACACGCATATTCTTGTCTTCTGGGGGAAGACATCGGACTTGTCTTTTTTTTTTGGGAGGCTCTTTGACTGGGCTGGATGCTCGCGCGCTTTCAATCCTAATACTGTGCTCCTGATGAGCTTTTCTGGCTGTGTTGAGTTAGGCGGCGCTAGAATGGGTCTGCTGGAATACGTAGCTGTGTGCGGCCTGTCTCAACCCGCGTGCGAAGGTTCGAAAGAAGGTGCGTAGCGATAGCTGATGCTAGGGAGGATAAGGGGGATACGAGCGAGGGGGCAGGAGCCGATGGAAGGATCAGATTAAGCACAAATTCCAAACTTCCTTGAATGGAAGCACACCATTTTTTTTTGCGTCTCTGTCGTGATGATCCGATCCTGGTACAATGCCGACGGACCCGCCGATCGATTCGCTTCCATGCCGACCTGCTGGTCGCTCCCCGTTTTAGTGCCCGCGAGTTCCCCCCGCCGCACAGTCACCGCCACCGCCTCCCATCGACATTGCTTTGCTGCTCATCGTCGTAGTGCTCATTATCGTGGTCCTATATATATTTCATAAATTTGCATGTTGATATCGATCATCACCAAGCGCGCTCCAGCGCGCAATCCTCCGCTTGGTGTAGTTGGTTTATCACGTTCGACTGTAATATCTGTTGTAATCGAAAGGTCCCTAGTTCGATTCTGGGAGCGGAGAATATCGTGACTGAATTCTTTTTTGGCATTTGTATGAACTGGTGCTAGTCTATAATATAGGCGAGGGGTATGCATTTTACTCTCGAAAGAAGGCTGTTCTTTTAACTATTAGAACACTTCTGTTCCGTAATCTGTGTAGGCCTAAGGGAGGTATAGTAGTACTCTAATCACGATCATGTTTTAAAACCCTCATACGTCATGCTGTATCGTAAGGCCCATCCTATACCACATGCACCATCTCGCACTTGAGCATCGCAAGTTCCAAACACTGTGTGATTGTTGCGGTGGATCCTCAATCATCGTGATACACAGTAGTGCTCGTCGCAGGAAAAATTGTGATTGCCGACCGCTCTCTGCCCGATTGGTCGTGACGCTAACCACGAAGGTTTAGCTGATACGCGGATCACGATCAAACGTACCTCCAGCTTCAGGCCGCGACTCTTGTCCACCACTTCCTTCATCCTCCTCTTGTCTTACATTTACCGGCACTTTCCGCAGTTGCTGAACACCTCACCTGTTCCACAATGGCAGGCAAGCAAGTGGAGTGCTTTCGACTCCTTGATCTTCCAGGGGAAATTAGGAACCACATCTATCGGGAAATCCTATGTTGTTTCAATCCTCCGTCACCGCGCTTATCGGAAGGTGGGATCGAAAACCGGGCGGCAGTCGAAGCTACTCACTCCATTGACACATCCGTGCTGCGTACGTGTCGTTAGGTCCATCGCGAGGCTTACGATGTCATGGTATAGACCAACCAATTTATCAAGGTTTCAAGCGTTGAAATTAACATCGCACGCTTATTATTGGACTCGAGGCTGCCCATTTTTATCATGGATCGTGCAATTACAGAGGAGTTCCAGGGTTGTGTCATGAGTGTTAACCTGAGTGTGATGCCCTGAGTTTATTTAGATGTGCTCCGTGAAGGAGACGGGGAAGACGAATTCGATGAAGACATTCACGCACGACCCGCTGGAACAGAGTCACAATTCAATTTCTTGATGTTGTGGCGCGATTGGAGTACCTTTTGCCCAATGCTCAACCTAGGAGCTGGTTTTACCAAAGGTTTCGAGACCAACGTTATGATTGAGGTCAAGATGAACGCCTACCCGGAGTATCTACCAGATCTTAAGGCCCGAATAACAGATTACTTCACAGTGGAAAGGCAAGCAGCGTTTTGAGAGATTTTAGCAGCATTCTTTGCGACCTCATTCATGTGTCCGTTACCGGGACGATCGACGAGCAACTTGCTCTTTCCACTGTGCAGGCATTTGCACGTCGCCGTTGGACCTCACCCGAAGACGACATCTGTAAGCTACTCGCCCGCAAAGAAGGCAGCAGCCAGATCTCAATCAACGTGGATATTTGCGGAAATGGTCGGTTTGATGCGCTGCATGTGTGGATCTGTCGATTTTCCAGATCTCGTGGACGATGGCGATGTTCGCTTTGTTGCTTCCTTCGCCGAACTCTACTTCGATGTTCTTCTCGACGCATGTCAACCTACCCTGGACGCAATGCTTGTCACAGTGAACTGGGATGATATTAATGCCTTGGGTGATGTCGTTCATTTGTATCTCTCTCTCGTTCGGCGTCTTTGCACGAATTTACCCCAGAGGGCTCTTTCTTCAGTAAAACAGTCTGTAGCAGACTACTGGGTCAGGCTTTACGGGAAGGTCGACTTAACTCGATGCTGGAATACCGAGTACAGGCGCTAAATGCTATTAGGGCGGCATATTAAGTGTATCCATTCGATGCAGAGATCATAGTGGAAAGTGTCCGGATAGATGAATGGAGGTGATAGGTCGAGTCTTTTGGGGCGAGTATGATAAAAAGAAAGTAAAGTAGCCTTACCATGAAGAAGAGCAGCTGTATTATGATTTCCCTCACCAGGGCAGTTGGGTACTTTCCGCGACGAGCTTCTAGCATCAGAGATTGAAAAACCTTATAGGATTGTGCATAGGTTTTGACGTATTCCGACAAGGCTGCCATCAGCGAGTCTTGGTCCTTCCACGGCAGAAGACAAAACATGCGTCAGTACTTGAACAACGCAAATATTTCACAAGTGTGGCATGAAGTTGTCGATAACACCCCGCAAGACCTGACTAAAAACTCATATGGCGGGGTCAGTCCAAGACATGGCTAACAGAAACGATACGCCGTTCTGTGATCGGAGATGCATCGCACTACCACTTGTCTTTCTCCTGTTAATGCGCCTGCATGGCTGTAGTAGACGCTGTCACTATTGGAATTGTCTCGAAAAGGCTTAACGCGATATTCCTCTTGCTCTGCATGTATTTGAACGCGATCGTTCTAACCGCTCGTACCTAGGTATACAATACACCAGGTCTCTACTCTGACGCGTAATATCTATCACAAGAACGACTCGTCTCTGGAAACAGTGCATAAACACCCAGACTCTTTGGCCATGCCACTCATGGACTGGGTCACTGACTATGTTGCAAGAGATACCGCTACAGAGTGTTTCGACCAAGTCGCTGAGGCTGTCCGGATTAGGAAGCCAGGCTCAATCCTAGACCTTACCCTGCCAGCAGGAGGGGATTACGGCTTCATGAACCTTGACTGAGAATGGAACAAGGGTGCATCAGTGGAAAGCCGAGCATAGAATAGTTCTGCAGTTGCAAGCGCATGTCTTTCGCAATTATCAAAGTCAAGTTTCTGTAGAACCGAGCGCGGCGTGAGTTTCGGACTTATCACGTTTTCTGAGTGTTACACGAACCATAGTGTGGCTCTTTTCCCTTATGAAACGTCAATAGTTTGGTAAAGACTGACTGCTCTAAGGCGGCGAGAGACGCTATACGAGCTGATTCAGACCCAGGACTAATCGGCCACAACTTCCACTGGAACCTCAGAGGCCAGCAACAGGCGCCTCGACGTAGCTCTCGTGGGCCCCTCCAAAATTCACACAGTGTCTGCCCTTATTCTCCGTGGAAAACGTCCCTGAGCGGCGCATAATCTGGCATCCGCATATCATGGCCTGAACCTCGGACCACCAGCTTCTCATTAGCTTCATACCGCATAGATGCAGGCCAGATCCCGATCTTTGACTTAACAACAGTTCCAGGTGATATCTTTCCTTCGGCTGTGTGGTCGTGCACTGCCTAATTCTCGGTCGACAAGCTCTCATCATGTTTCCTATGACTTGCACGCAGGACGCCCATAGGCCCTATATACTGGTGCGTATTCACCATCTCCACATCCTTCTCTTCTGGTATACCTGGATCCACGGCATGCAGATCTGGAATGGGAATATTAATGTTTCGAAGCACCTTTCCCTCCGCATCGGCCTTGCGGAGAATGATGAAAACGTCCATGTCGTCGTGATTAGGACAGGACATGAACAAAACGGCCTTGACGGGCCCAATAAGGGCGCTCCGTTCGGGGAACGTTAAAGTGAAATTAAGCTCCTCCGGATTCGCGTCCCATCGAGGGGGGTTTGACCTTGGACTGGTACGCTTGTTGTCCAGCTATAACGCTGTCTTTGCTTTTTTTCAGGCTGGAGAGTGTTGTCATTGGAGAAATAGAGCTTGGTCATAGTGGTCGAAGGGAATGTACCCGGTCGGTTCCTAATTATATCGAATCAGTGAGATGCGCGCCTTGGGCGTCTGTTCTCAGCCGTTGCGGACGTCTTTCATGTAGAAGTCGAGGAATTTCTTGAAGTCGGTAACTGATTCAGGTTGGTAGAGATCGTGCCATTCTTGCGTCGGGTGAAGCCGCAGCCTGCTGTCCATCAATGGATATGGTGCGAATGATTTGGGGGGATGTACCATTTTTTGTCGTGGGGAATCTGCTCAAAACCACGTATCGAGCCGAAGAGGTGTAAACTTGTTGCCATGCTAGCTAGAACGTAGGCCGGACATTGTATGAGGTGCGATTGCGCTCGCTTGTCCTGCCAGTAATCGTTGACAAGAGGATACTTCTTGATCATCGCAATGATATCTTCGCGCTCGTTGTCACCTGAAAGCTGTTAAGTATTTCCTGTTCATGTTCCATGCGTGAAATCTACGCACTGAAAAGGTGGCCGCCCACAGGTCCATAAATGCAAGGTTCGGGACACCGCCCCTGCATAATAACTCCCTATAGAAATCACTCATTCCTTCGAGAGGGAGTATTCAGGTAAGATGAGGTGGTCTCGTAGCGGCGACGAACCATTGCGTGATCGCAAGCTAAGATTTGCCCGCAAGAGCGACATGGCCGGTGCACCATGGGAGTTGAGCAACGTACTCTACAGTATCGTAGCCGTCGTGGCCTCCGGACATTCCTCAGAAGCTGTCCTGAATCATTTGTTGAAAAAAAGGTGAAGGAATTGGCACATCGATTACCTGATATTCCCTTGGGGACCCATCACGCCTCGCGTATTGACGTTGACGATAGCATAGTCATGATTTACCCACTCAGCTGGATCAAAGCCTTCGAAGTTTTGGTACCCGGAGACCGCATTGCGTGGAATTCTCGCCCGCCCTTGAACGTGGAGGTCGTAAACACCTGTGAAGGCTAAACACATGTGCCCCAAGTAATGGTAGCGGATCTATCTCACCTTCTCCAGACTTCCCATATGGGGAGAACATGATCTCTGGAAGTCCCTATTTTCCAGCTGGACGGAACCATCACCCCTAAGGACAGTCCCGTCGCGCATCGGGATTACAATGTCCTTGTCGAATATAGTCTCCGATTCGAAGGACCGACAGTCGGGCTCCCTTTTGTGGCCAATAGGAAGGTTGATCGTGCCATTGTATTTCGCTCTTGGGTCGTTGGCTTTTGATGAGGAGGTGTGAAACACTTCAATGGTACCGACTGTGTATTCGGACTCGGTCGGCGTCATGATTGCACCAAGACTGACTTTAACAACAGTAGTGACGGATTGGAGATGCTATTTGGCAGGTACCATACGTCTGCACGTCTGGAGTAGTAGTACAAAGCCTCTGACCTGATAGCCATTCTCCAAACTCACGTACACTGACTATGTCCGAGCGAAAACCGAACGGAATATATTGCTCAGATCTACTAGGGTTCGCACTTGCCCTCGCGGGCTTCCACCAACGTCACAGATGCCAGAGGAGGAATGGTAACTGGCTGTATCGCTAGGTACCAGTGATCGTCCCCGGCGGGCGGCGATAAATTTTGGTCATCTTACACGAAGAAGGAATCTAGCTCACCAATGACACTCAAGAAAAGAAAAGCTAGCTCGGCATGCCGACACAGACGTCTAAGCATTCTTCATCCAAATAGCATGTCCAGGTATCGTACGAAAGTGAACACCCTCTGAGTCTGGGCGAGCACCTGGGACTAAGGTGCGTGCTAGGCTTGTACGGCAGTTAGCTTGCACAGCACTGTTACCACACTCGATTCGTGGCATTTCATGAAGCATTCCACATAGCCATAACCCCGGGAAGCTCGATTCATCCTAAATGAGCTGACTACAAGTCACGAATCGAAAATGAACACATCCAACAACCCAAGCATATTTGCTGTTATTTGCTTGATTATCGATCGTGTTTAACGTTTTTGATATCGTAACGACCTCGGGAACATTTGATCGAACCCAGATTTCACAGGCTATTGTCAAAATCGAGGAATGCGTAAATTAGTAATGAAAAAATCTTGCAAGGCCTCTTTATCAGCTATAGAGATGTGGTGTAGGGACTATTATAAATGATAATACCGGCTTACCACAGGTACCTACTTAGAGTATCTAGTTCTCACGTATACGGTGTCGACGCCTATTGGAAGAAATGGACCAACCTTGCAAATAGCTTCTTTAAACACCATCAGGTAGTAAAAGCTCACATAGTCCTGCACGTCTGTTCAATCAATACTCTGTAGTGCCACGGAACTAGCACCCTGCGGAAGACACGATGTCACGTGGAGCGCGTCTCGGGCACGGACCACTTCGCTATAGCGCGACTTCTCTCAACGATTCTCAATATACCCCAAGACCGCTTGCCTATCGAGCCCAAGCTTCTAGATTCTCTCGTCGTAATGTCGTCTCGTCATCGCCAGTCTGGAGTCAGGCCAACTCCTAGCCGGTCCTCCATCGTTCCCACGCAAACCCCAGCGCGTCGCCCCGCAGTTGAAGAGGAGCTACCGCCGTACAAGAAACCATCTCACCCGCTGAACGAACGCGCGCAAGCGAGACTTCGCGCTCTGAACGACCGATCGGTAGCCTTGCTCAAGGATCATAACCAGAAGGCTGGCGATCGGGTCACGGAAGCAGCCGCCCTCATTCTGGACACCCTGCATGAGCGGCAAGAAGCTGTGGCTAAGCAGCGCACGCGGTGGGAAAAGGGTGTTGAGACGGAGAGTCAGCAGGAAGATGAAGCACGGCTTGCCAGTTTGCAAAAACAGGTCGAGGAGTACACTAAAAAACTCGAGGAGAGTATGAGGGGAATCATTGACAACGGCGTGGCCGCACAACGAATTGAGGAATCTCTAGGATGGTTGCAGACGCACGCTCCAGGACGACTCCAGCAAGAATATGCGACACAGAAGTCTCAGCAGCAGTCGCAGCGGGAATCACAAGGGGCGTCACAATCGCAGAGGCGGCGCACACAGAACAGAGCGGATGATGACGGCGATCATATGGAAGACGAACAGGAGACCCAGGAATCAGTAGGACCTACACCAGGCCCTACGCCGCTCGACGGCTCACGGCCAAGCCTCACTGGCGTGAGCGAGATGTACGCGAACCGTATGGAGCGCGAAAAGATCGACTACACTTCTATCTCCTATGTCGGTCGTTATTCAAACAATGACGCTTACACCAACTTCAAAAAAATGGTGCACGATGCGCGATACAGAGATGATCGCCCGCTTCCAAAACCCGAAACGTGGTTCACAGAGACAGGTTCACCTGCTCCGGGAATTACCGGACACGGGGAGGACCATGACGACGATGATGATATTGTCATGGAGCGTGCAACTATCAGTATCAAATGCCCTTTGACATTCCTGCCTCTCAAAGATCCATACACAAGCGCAAAATGTCCTCATACCTTCGAACGAACCGCCATATTCGAGATGATTAGGAAGAGCACGGTAAGGGTTGGAGGTGGATCTGCAAGTAACGGAGAGAAGGCTGTGAAATGTCCGGTGACCGGTTGCGATCAGGTACGCACCTTGAAATCTAGTCTACAGCCCTTGTTGTTTTGCGTACAAATTTTGGAACAACAGAAGCTGACCTTGCTACAGATGCTTAGAGCCCAAGATCTTCACCCCGATCCGGTTCTTATGCGCAAAATCAAACGCCTGCAACAAGCAAAAGCTCGAGAAGCAGAAGACGAGCCAGATGAGGAAAGGGAGCTATCGGTTTCGCAGCAACCAACGCCATCTGTTCAGCCGCGGATCAAAGCTTCACCGTCTTCGAGACTTCAAGTACCTTCTACTCAGGAACCGCCAAGAAGCTCGATAGTCGATGATCTGGGTAGCCCTAGTGACGAGGAGGAATAAATCTACGTGCCGGCCGAGAGCTCGACAGTGCTACTTGGGGAGAATCTAATCTAATCTAAACTTTCTCGAAGCTCTCAAGGGAGGTCTTCAGACAGTTGTACATTATAGCCCACGAAAGAACGGATGATGTGGATGTTTCATGATTGAAGTCGGAACCAAGCCATTGTTGCTCAACTCTTCTAGCTCACACGGCCGGTTACTCGCAAGTAACTGTCTCTGGCCATGTATCGCAGCCTAACCCTACAATGAACATGTCCCCTTCCCGCCCGATCTCTCCTCCTCGGTTCGGCTCGGTTCGGGTTCCCTCTCCAACAGGAGGTTTCCATCTATCACCCTTGGGATCTCACACTGAAGTTGTTTTACCGTACGCGCCTCATGCTGTCGCGGCTACCTCTCGGCCGCGGCGCGGATGCGCCTAGGATGCCCGCGGTTTAAGCGCCCCAGCCTCACTTACAGCTCCTATGCGGCTCAAGCGGTGCATGAATTGAGAGAAGGTCCGTTCGGTTAACCGCTCAACAATAGGCGATAACGTCGTCAAATGAGCGGTCGCAATGCGAACATGCTGTCCGCGCCGCTTGAGGCTTACGACTTGGGGCTCGGGGTCGATGACAGGGAGAGTATACGCTGAGCTCAATTTGTATTCGTTGAGTCTGGATCAGGTCGGGACGGACGTATTGTACATGTTCAGCAGCTGTATCTGCGCATGATGCTACTCGGAGAGACGGAAGGCTACGTCATTGTCAGTTGGGACAACAGCGGCAGCATACCAGATGCGGAACCGCAGACAGTGCCCGAGCGCCGAGGATAATGCTGCGGTACCTGACGATCTCGTTGACAGCTTCGATGGTCGAGGTACATGGGACTGAAGCTGCTGGTCGAGCTGCTCGGAGCACGCGACAGGGCGTCCTCATGCATGACCGCTTCGTCCCGCAATCCCCTCGACCGCAGTCGTCGAGCGGTCCAAGTCGGCCATGGTCATTGGCTGGGAGCGCGTTGAACAGCTGCTCACGTCACAGAAGTCGTCCCTCGAAGCAGGCTGGACTGGCGCACCTCTTTGTCGTGCGGGGTGCAGCCAACCACAATGAGGGGAAGGTCGGAGGAGGGGACGACCTCCGCTCTGTCGTCTGATGACTTCAAGCTCCATTGCTCTGTCAATCCACCAGCTTACGAGTGGCATTGTTAACGCGCAGTTCATCTTCCTGTTGCAGTGCAGTAGGCAGGCGAGCTCCACTGCGACCGCTCGTTGAGGCAGTCTAACCCTTCTCAACGCGCGACCCACCCGCCCACGTCCAAAGAGCGACTTGGCGTGGGCTTCCCGCTACAGGTGCGTCCGCTCTTCTTCTTCTTCTGCGCCTTTGGCCGGACACCAACCTTCTCGACTCGCATGTCCGGAGAGTTTCGGAGAGAGCAATCGATGCGCTGCGGAACTCGGGCCTCGACAGCTGTCACGGCTCCTGGTCCCCGAGCAGCCTGTCCGCCTGTCCACGCTATGCCATTACGGCCGCGGCTGGACGCTGCAGCACACCTGCAGTCATGGTGCTGGACCTGAGCATCCGAGCAGCTGCGCCATGGCCTTCATAGACCGCGCGTGTCCTGCTCAATTCAAGGGTGCCCGTCAAGCTTCAAGTCAATTGTTCTGGTTGTCGGCAGAAGCCACCAACCGTCACAACCTGACCCTTCCGCGTCATTCTTCCTTGATCCAGACCTTCACCTAACCGTCATGTCAACAGCGACCCTTAAGATGCCCGCCTCTCGTGCTATCGACAGCGCAAAGCAAACCTCAGAATCAGCCCTCGCTGACGCGTCCGCGGTCATGAAGAACGCAGCAGAGAACCCTAAACAAGCAACACAAAGCTTCCTCCATACGCCATTCGTACGTGCAGCACTGCCCTTCATCAATGGAGGCCTAGCAGGCATGACTGCCACCACAGTCATCCAACCGGTGGACATGGTCAAAGTAAGACTACAACTCGCGGGCGAAGGCGCAAAGACAGGCCCGAAGCCCACCCCGGTGTCCGTATTCAGGGAGATAGTCGCTAGCGGAAAAGCGCTAGATCTCTACACGGGTCTCAGTGCTGGCCTTCTCCGCCAAGCCGTATACACAACTGCCCGTCTCGGCTTCTTCGACACGTTCATGAAGTCCCTGACCGCATCTGCGGAATCCAAGGGCCAGAAAATCGGGTTCAAGGAACGCGCCGGGGCGGGTCTTGCTGCAGGTGGTCTTGCAGCAATGGTTGGGAATCCGGCCGACTTAGCCCTAATCCGCATGCAATCCGACGGACTGAAGCCCCTCGCCCAACGTGCAAACTACACGTCCGTTATCGACGCACTGGTCCGCATCTCCAAGGCAGAGGGTGTATCACGATTATGGGCTGGTTGCTATCCCACGGTCGTCCGCGCCATGGCGCTCAACTTTGGGCAGCTGGCTTTCTTCTCGGAGGCGAAGAACCAGCTCAAGTCTACATCTCTTTCGCCGAACACGCAAACGCTGACTGCATCGGCAGTCGCTGGCTTCTTCGCCAGTTTCTTCAGCTTGCCGTTTGATTTTGTGAAGACTAGGCTCCAGAAGCAGACTAGAGCGGCGGATGGAAGTCTGCCATATAAGGGCATGTTCGATTGCTTCAAGCAAGTTGCAAAAGACGAAGGTCTGTTTAGATTTTACAGAGGATTCGGTACATATTATGTGCGTATCGCTCCGCATGCGTAAGTCTTTCCTTAGGGATCCATGGAGAGGTGACGACTGGCTCTAACAATCGATAGGATGGTAACGCTCGTCGTCGCGGATTACCTCGGCTTCATCACCAAATAACTCGCTCGACGTACGCGGGGCACGGAGAATGACTTTTTTTTTATCACGACCAGGAGAGCACTCAATGGACTTGTATATGTGCGCTTTTCTATACCTTTGTGTACATTCGGGGCATCTTCATCTTGGATTTGGCGTTCGCGGCGCAGCACCTTCTCTCTCTTTGGGTGAAGGAACGGTCACTGGGGGTATGGGCGCGAGCGCTTCTCACGCGCATGTTGCTAGGTTGCGAAATGGAACGTCTTCGCGATTCGAAGTAAGCGAATACAACGAACAGGTCATGTGACGCCAACGACGCCGATCTCTAGTTGTGTGTGACGTGTTAGGTTTGGGCCTAGGCTTCGGCAGTCGGCTGCCGAAGCTGCGAGGTAGGCGCGGTCTGATGATGGGTCTTACTTACAGTCAGAACATCATAGAACGTGCCTGCATTCGAAGTGGGAAGCACTCGTGAGATGGAGGGGTCTATTGGGGTCCTTGAGAGAGATCGTGCGAAACGCAACTGCAGGTCTCAGGATTTGCTACTTCGGCGCCCCAAGACACCTGCTGATGCGAGGATGAGTGGGTGAACGAGGCGCGGGCTAACGAGAGAATCAGAGTCGCGTTCGTCTGACGTGGTCTTACCTAGGCATTGTCGTATCCTCGGCATCGATCTTAGCTTCTGCTTCTTGTCTACAAACCAGCACAACGAAAGAGGCCTTGTGTCCGCGAGTCAGTCAAGAGTATCAGTGCGACAATGTATTGTACTCCTTGCCCATGTAATGTTCAGAGCTAACAACCTGCAGTGTCTCTTCGTGGCTTCTTAAGTGCGCAGATATACTTCTCACCGAAACCTTACGCCGCCACCTTCGTTGGACAAGATATTGTGCACCAATGTCGTGCTCTATCGCCAGAGCGTATGAGAATAGGACAGGGCAACAGATCGTGTTGGCCTCACTTGGTGTCACTCGCACGGCCTGATTGTCCGAAATCGAGTGACCAGGCTAAGCCACTACGTCTGTACGAAGTGAGTGCGCTGGACTCTGCCATTCAAGAGATTCAAATGAAGCACACATACTTCTTGATCATAGGAGTTGCCTAGAGCAGACAAGGGACGAAGAAAATCCGAAAGCAAAATGTCAGATGGTAAAGGAGTGCCACACTTTGGTTCGCACGAAGCGCTGAGCAAATGAGTCTACTGCTCAAACCGTGAGCAGGGGTGTAAAGTGGCGTCCAAGCCAGAGCAAACTTGCACGCATTGTCCTACAAGATCCCGCAATGGTAACTTGGTAGCAGATCATCGTTGATGACAACCGGCAAACCAACGCGAACTAGCGCAATACTCATCGTCGCAAGCTTCCAGCTCGGATCTTATGCTGGAGAAGAAATAGTCTACCACCCTCGTCAAATCTAGAATAGCTCTCTAAAAATCCATGCCGCATGTTGACACTCAGTGAAGGTGTCTTAACTATCGCACAGACTCGTTGATTGCTCATCGAGTTGCGATTGCCCAAAGACATAGCGACCAGATACCTGGTTTTGGGGGGGCGAACACAGAGATCTCCTCATGGCAGCAGTGCCACCACACCTCGCCCGGGGATGGCACAGGCAACAGAGCTACTAACCACGATGATTCTTGGTGAGCGCCCTACGCCTGGTCGATAGAATCCTTATCGCACGGTGCATGCTCATGCTCTTGAGTGACACATCTTCGAACGTATCGTCTTTCTATGACTTTAGTTGTCAACACTGGAACCCAATCGACCAAACATGCACACACTTTCTTCCCTCCAAGACTTTCCAGGTCCTTCCGAAACTGCGAAGCAGTCGCATGGCCTTGGGATAGATGCCACCTCAAATGCAGGGACATTTAACTATGCCGCGAATTCTGCGTTCCAGCGCCTAATCTACCAGCAGTGCGAGAAGTATCTTCCAGACTTGAAGGGTCGCAAATCGATCACTGTAGTAGACTATGTGCGTATCGTCTTCTGTTGCACTCCTATCTTGCACATGAATTACTTCTCGAGAATCCTGTACACTAACGCAGCCACGCCTTGTAGGGCTGTGGCTCTGGTCAAAACTGGACACACAGTCTTGACCTGCTGCTCTCTAAAGCTGATGAGGATGTCCAGTATCAGCTCATACTCAATGATGGAATGAACAATGACTGGAATGGAGTGGCAGAGGCTGTGCAGGACTACCGTACCGGACAGCGTGGACAACAAAATGGACACTTCGCTGTGCTGCCTAGAAGTTTCTACCAACAAATCATGCCCGATCAATCCGTAGATGTCGGTGAGTAGAATGCATGCAACGTATGCGATGATTTTACGTTATCGAGAAGCTAATAATACTGCTCACAGGCATGGCTTGGAGTTCTTTCCATTGGCTTGAGAAGACACCACCGCCAATGGTCATTCCACCCGAGGACGATTACTACTCAACTTGGTACTCTACTACTCCAAGCATACGTCACATTCGTACCATCAACTTACAAGCACCACTAGGCAACAAAGCGTCCGCTCACAAGGCCACGCAGACCTCACAAACCTCCTCCGCCTCCGTGCCAGAGAGATCAGACCCGGTGGTCATCTTCTCATAGTCATTCCGACAACCCCAAGCTCGACCGTAAAGCTCCATTGGGAAGCCACGGCGCAAGTGCTCAAAAGATGCCTCGAAGACGGCACCATGACACCAGCACAGTATCGCGCTTTCAGTGGGCCGTGGTTTCAACCTACCGAAGAAGACTTGCGACAGATTCTTTCCTCTGTGCGGGATTTGTGGCATCTGCCTATGCCGTGGGCGTATCCCACGCTTCCGCATCCCGTGTGGACGAAGCTACAAGGCTCTATGAAGACTTGGCAGGACTACGAAGAGTATGCGGAGGGTTTCGCGGGATTCTTTATGGCGTTGATTCGCGATCCGTTGGTGAGGGCGTTGAGGGGCGGCGAGGGTGCGGAGCTGCAATCTCTTTCGGCTACTGAGGACATGGTTCTACGACAATTCACGATGAGGTTCAAAGAGGCTGTTCTCAGCGACTCGTTGAGGGACAAACGTGCTGAAAGTAGTTGGTTGGTTGCTCGGCTTGTAAGGAAACCGGTGGCGAAACTGCTGGAGCCCAAGGCCAATCTTTAATGAAATACTTCTACAGCCGGTTCCTTAGATGCACTTCATGCATGATGTTCTTCATAGTTCATAGCCATTACCCATGTCACGTCCCTGCGCCGTGCCGACATCTTGTATCCTCGTCCAAAGATCTCGACGTGAGCAACGCAAGAATTCCTGTTTCTTTCAGCCGAAGTTCTCAAATTAGCGACAGCACAAGTGTGCGATGCTGGGTGAGGTAAGGACACAGCCCTGCAGCCTCCTGACCCAAGTTCGCGAAACAGATCAACGGTATCAGGAGGAACCAGCCCCCAGTACCTTCGTCCTTTGTCCTTTGACAAAAATTTATTGGTGAGCCTGGAGTACTTGTGTATGCACCACATCCGGGCGGCACATCTTGGTCCCGTATTGCACGTCTCATATTAGCTAGGCGCAATGAGATATCGCAAATGTGCGAACATATCGAACTACGGTCTCCCCGATGTCCAATACCACGCAAAGATATAGCTTCAGCGAGCCGCAGTAGCGACCTTGGAGATTGGAGAGGAAGTATTGCGTGCGAAGTTATGAGTTTAAAGGGGAAACATGGAATTTCCACGAGCTATTGAAGCAGCAGATCGCATCGCGCATTCCCTGTACAACGAGAAAGCCAATGATGCACGTGGTCCCGAAGGCCAAAGTTTCAGTGAACGCAGGTAAAAGTATTGTCCCTTGAACTACTGTCAGGCGACGAAGACTGACACCTACTCCATAGACAAGAAAGCCGACATTGGAGTATCGTGATGTCGAATCCTTCATCATCGTGAGAATAGCTCCTAGTTACTTCGGAAACATACAGAGAGCGAACAGGCCCGTCATGGTTGCATTGCGGCGGCTTTGCAACAAATGCAGAGACTGAATTTGACTTGCGAGAAAATAATATTACGACGAGGGACCTGAATAGAAAATTAGTGAGACAGCAGCGCAGGGAAATGTATATGATACCTGGGGGGGGCTGCTATGCTAAGCTGACGTGGATCCTGGATGTGTCATGGCGTGTAGGCTGTTGTCATTCCGAGGTACTGGTGTGCCGTCTCCTGACAACCTTTGGGTGCTGGAGCAAGGTGTCTTTGTCCAACGCATATCCTGGCTGAGAGCCTTCTGGAAGCGGCGTAATTGAGGAGTCAGTATGCAGAGGAAAGAAAAATGATCCTTGCCTTCCACCAATGCCACCTAAGTCGAATAATCTTGGGTACATGACAACACGCATTACGCAGCTCGAGCCGGGATAGAGGTGGTTTGACAATAACCCATGTCTCAGAACAGGTTCTGGACGACATGTAACCGAATTGCAACGCAGGACCAAGAAAGTAAAAATGAGCCTAGGGTCCCAACGGACGCGCATGCTTGCCTCGGCTCGGCGGTCAAAGCTTCGAAGCTTGTGAATGTGCGGGCAGGCTGCGGGGCCCCGCATTTACCCCTGTCATCCAAGCTCATCTTAGCCAGGAACACTACATGATCTTCAAAGAAGTGATCACGCCTTAGAAACATCTCCTCGGTGAATGTATCTCCCATTCATGTGCTAGAACTTTACCAATTCGACTCTCGCGCCGATTGGCTATTTGGTTCGGCGCATGTTCTTATATGTGCAGGCGCTGACCTTGTCACTCGTTGAAGCCAGTGTTGGATCCCACTACTAATTATGACGCTCTGTGAGCAGCGGTGTAGTTTTCAGGTTACCCTGGTCTCGTTAATTTCTACCAATGCACATCTGTTCTACAATTCACGGATCTCACCTTCTCAAAATTGATAGATAGCCGACCCTAGCACCCTCGTAGACATCTCACCATAGGTCAATAGATTCCTTTGTAAGTATAAGTTCAACACAAAATCAGGTTGAAAAAAGTGCGCTCCAGACGCTTCAAATAAGCTCGTCACCTCTCATTGCCCTTCAAGTCCAAGACCCAAACCCCAATTCCAGAATGCGCTTCGCATCACTTCTCACCTTCCTCCCAGTCGCCCTCTCCCTCCCTCACGCACCTCGAGATGCCCCATCTCTCGCCCCTCAAGTCATTGAGCAGATCGGCGTCCTCAACTCTTCCCTCACTAGCCTGACCACTGCCGTCAATGCCTTCGACGGTACACTTCTGCACGTAATTCCGCAGTCACTCGCAGTCATCACCACTGAGACCTCCCTCGATGCGAATACGCTGAAGACAGCCTTCATCACTAAGCAAAGCGGCAACTTTACTGAGACGGAGAGTAACAACGTGGTCGCCGGGTTGGCGGGATTGATTACGCCTATTCAGACAAGTCTGACGGCGTTGAGTGCGAAGGTACGTGTCGTATTGTGTGTGGGGAAATCTCGTGGTACGCAGCTGACACCTTGTGTAGTACGAAACGTTCAAAAAGACACTAGAGTCGCCGATCGTGCTGCTTGACTTGAAAGTTCTAAAAGCGCATACAGATGATCTGGTAGATGCTGTGACGCAGAAGGTCGTACCTGCGAGCGCTGGGCTGCTTGGGTTGGGCAAAGGTGTCATTGATACTGCGTTTGATAATGCCATTGCGGTTTATGAGGGAAGCTAGGCGAGAAATAACACGGACGTCGAAAGAAGGTGCATGATCATCCATTTACGTGTCGTTTATTTCAGTTCTCCTGTAAATGCACAATGTAGCTGCAGCGTGCTTCCAGTTCAATCTCGCTTCAGTCTTGGCTCACTATGAACATTCTGCTCAAAACGCACATTGATCGTCCCCGACAGCTCTTCAGATGGTCACAATTCAGATTCCCATCGGCCATGTTCATGCCGTTTCTTCCATAAGAATTCATCGGCGACGCGTTCGGACAGTAGTTGTATACTGCCCAGGTTGTCGGCAAAGAAGTGAGACAATCTGGTCTCGCTAACGCTATCATTCCGTTGGGAAGGCTTTTTTTAGTTTCGTTTGCTCTTGGAAAAAGAGGCTTTACTATGTTATCGTCGATATTTGCAATACTGTGGTCGTAAACCAACGTAGAACCGAGGAGCAAGAAGGGGAAGTCTCCCTGATGAGTCACACAAGAGAATTGCCAAGCTCGTACATGTTCTGACATGACAGAAAAAAGGGGCCGCAGCTTCTGGATATTGCCAACTTATTTCGTGTCGTTGTCAATATGTAATCTCCCTTCACACAAAGATAATCGTCGATGTGAACTGCTTCCGGTGCAGAACACGTAGCACATGCTGCAAGTGAGGTGAAAGTTGGAAAACGGCATTCCGAAGTTGGGCAATAGGCATTTATCAGTGGTGACAAAAGGAATCCGAGCCTGCGTAGCAACGCCTAAGATATCTGACGACAGGAGGTACATAGCTGCATTTTGTTAGTGCCATTGAACCATGAGTATCTGGTAAAGGTTGGCCCACTTTTCTGGTCCATACTTTCCACGTCCGTCATCTTTGTGAAGAGATTAGTCTGCGGAACATGTCCATATTGTCCGGACGATGGCCCCATCCGGTTTGCGAACCCAATGCTTTGTTGTGTAACAGGTTCAACTGGGAGAGCAAGAACAGTAATTGCAGCACCAAGGCTGGCGAAACATGCGGCTTTCTTGACGTGTGTATGACAGCTGAGTGCTACCCCATGGACCTCTACTCGCACTGTCCACTTGTTCCATGCGATCTAAGGGTGTTGTACTTTCGGCATAATGCCATTTTAATTGCCCTAAATATTCCGCAAGAGGGTAAAGCAGTGATGACTTTGCTATAGTTGAGAACACGGCGAAGAGAGAATCTGGTTAGATTGGAAGCTTCCACTCCGAAAGAGGCTCGCCGTTCATGGAAGCGAGAATTGCGGCAACTTCCCACCATCAGCTGAATGTGGCGCACCGCGGCGACGTAAGTAAAGCAGCAACATCTACACTGGGCGCAGAGGAAATCCGGACGCTTTTGGTAACGTCCGTGGTAAAAGTGTCCGAGTTTATTGTGGACCCGCTGTAGTTTGTTGCCGTTGACTCGGTTCCGTGGCGATGATTTGAAGACAACGCTTTCAATGATAACAGCCTCGGTTTGTCTGGCCTCAGGTTTGCCGCTGAGCTGAACTTCCTCGAGAGGGTCAGCATCAGCGTCAACGCGTGTATTTAGGCGACCACCCTCAAGCGCATCTTCTGGCGATATCTGACAGTAGAGACTTTTGCCATGCACCTCCCACATGATTGCAAAATCAGGTCGAACCACGCCGTCGGGCAGAATGCAACCGACTTTGTGCGGGCTTTAATCTAGGAAAAAGAGAGTAAGCAAGGGCATTGAGGTATGGACACGAGGTGAGGAATCAATAAATTGGCCCACAAGATGTGTGACCTTTCTTCTGAACAGGGGCCTTCACCGGCCCTTGCCGATTTCACCTTGGCCTTATTTGACGCGTCGCACCAACCCGTCCTCGCCCCGTACCTCCCCTTCAAGCAAGATCTCATGCCCATCTCCTTCTCTTACAAATTGTGCCGCTATGCTCCCAATGACAGCCACACACGCGAGGCCCCACCATCCCAATGCGACGACGCCAATATCTAGACCTTTCCCAAACAACCAGCCGAACACGATAGGACCGAACGTCCTCGTGAAGCTGGACACCGACTGACCAATACCATGCATTGTGCCTAGAACTGATGGGTGCGGACAGCAATTGTTGATGAGAATCGCAGTGCATGGCAAGGCGAATGTTCGAGCCAGGACCTGGACGAACAGTACGACAGTTATCGCTACCCAGATGAGTGGGCCGGACACGCCTGCTGGAGGCTTGGACGTGCTGGGTACAAGACTCAGGGCGGGTGCAATGAAATAGGCAACAGGGAACAACGTAAGGAAAATCCGATAACTACGTGCTGTACCTAGCCGGGTGCTAAGTCCTGGATACAGGAAAAGCTGTAGAGTTATACCGATGACACCTAGGATCGAAAGAGCTAAGCCGATACGAGGAGGCGAAAGCGCCATGCCGCCAGTGAAGTGTAAGCCGCGAGGTTTGAAACCAGGCGGATTCGGGTGTTCAGGGTCGTATCGCGGAGCGGAAAGGTAGGTAAACCAGAGAGGATTGAAAGTTCCAACATGCATGGCCATCAACCCGTGAGAGAGCAGAGTAACAAGCACATTAGGTGTCCACATCCGCCGAAAGGCCAGTTTGGTTCGGGGAGATCCTAGAACCGGATGTGCGGATGTGGGGGTAGCTTGCATCTCAACAGCAGACGCTGCAGTAAACTCGTCTCCCGGAATGGCGGTATACGCGTGATCCCCTGTGGACCTCTGCCGGAAAATCCTGCGCTGGATCCAGCGTCCTATGCGTAGGCCTGGGTCTGGTTTGTCTTTGCAAATCTCGCTGGTTTCTTCGAGAAACAGAACGATACCGATAGCAGCCATGAAGAGAAAGAGAGCACTCATCAAATTCGGTAAAGCATATGGCGAATTGATCATCCATTTGACGCCTGTTTTGCCACCAAGCAGTGAGCCAGATCCAAAGAGAGACGGATAGCTACCGACCGGATCGGCCAATATGCCACCTTGCTGATATTAGCACACCAACTGATTTTAGTTGAAACAAATAACTTACCCAGGATTGGCCCTATGATGACACCAATATTGAAGGTCATAGGCAATAGAAGAAATGCTCTGCTTTGATATTTTTTTTCTTTGATGATCTCGGAGATCATTGTCCTCATGACTCCCACGTTCCCATTTAACACTCCACCGAGGCAGCGAAAGAAGAGTGCCATTGCGAAGCTGTGAGAGAACCCGAATCCTATGATAGAAATCATCGTGCCCAGTAAGCCAATCGAAATGGCACGCTTCCGACCTCCATACGCAGCGTCCGCAAAGCGTCCCCAAGCAATTGCGGTCAAGAACTGCGCACCAGGAAACGCTGCATGTAGAATTCCAGCCTGGTAAGCAATGGTTGAATCCGGCAAGCTAGAATCAAACGACCGGAGTTGGTAGAAGATGTATGACCCAAGCGAAGTCTGGGTGAGAGGTTCACTGAGGCGCGCGATGGTCAATACAGCGAGTTGGTCCTTCCTGGGTAGCGAAAGCCATGTCACAGGTTTCTCTTTCAGTGCTTCTGTCTGCTCTGTTTCGTCGATCTGAGGCAGAACAGTTCCACTCTCTGCATTAGTCTGGATAATAAGGCCTCGTGAACGTCTATATTGTTCGCCATCCAGATTGGTGCTCTCAACTATGCCATATTTATGTGTCGAGGTGTTGATAGTGCTGTTATTCTGGCCCAAGAAAAGGTCGTCTTCCTCGCCTTGGCCGTCCAAATTGCTACTTCCTTGGGAGGCTTTTGGGTGCCTTATCTCCGAAGCCACGGCAGTTCCAATAGGTGACAATTCTGATGTGGTCGACTCGGGAAATTGATCCGCGAGCGTAAATTTGCCACTCATCGACAGCTATCTCGAACGCCACAGCACCCAAGTAGACCAGGAAGTGTCTGCTTGGCGACAGTAAAAGGTGTGAAGAAAAGTTAAGAGAATAGCAATCCAAAGGTAATTACTCCTTCACTAGAGGAAGGCCCCCGCCGGAGTAAAACAGCTCGGAGTAAGGTTCGCATGCACTCTCATTGGTGTGCACGGCGGTAGGCCAGGCCCTTGTTCGTCACCTGCAGGTTTGGTGTGGGCGTTCATCGGCTCGGTCGAATCTCCGCCGCCGCAGAAGAGCATGGCTTCTTCTGGGGTCAAGGAAAGTCCAGTGCAGCGAAACCCGTTGTTACAGTTGTGGATGAGTGAGTAGATGCTGCAAGCTCATTATGAGATGGTACGCTGGTAGGAGTTGCTCCGGAGATAAGCTAGTCACGTGATCTCTGCAGCTGGCCGTCCAGCTGTCATTGTTCCTGATTCATTCCGGCTTGCATTAAGAACAGTCATTCGAAATAGATGGGACCGCTGCAAATTTGCTGTAGGGGGAGACTTTTGCGTGTGATGGGAGTATGCTCTGTTCAGCGAATCATGACGCAATTCCAAATCGCGAGACGCGGTGGTGGCGCAAGCTCCCCGCCCCAGAGATTCCATAATCGAAGTGTACGAAGAGTACACGGCGCCACGATTGATTCCACATACCCTCAACTTTCCACCTATTTATTCTTTCCTTCATGCGCTTCCCGTCCATTCCAACCCTCATCCGCACCTTCCACGCCTTTACCAACACCACCTTCCGAGCTGCGAATCCAGCTCGCGGCATCTACAGCTTACCCCAACGCGCGACTCTCGTGCGATCTATGCCCAACATCCCATTTCTCGGCGCGCTTTTCGGCACCAAGATGGCAGACAACACGAACTATCCGATCCAGAAGACGGAAGGAGAGTGGCAGGCCCAGCTTTCACCAGGTATGTTGCAATGTGCGCGCCATCTACTCATATACCCACCCGCAGAATTAACGTACATAATTTTCAGAACAATTCCGCATCCTCCGCAAAAAGGGCACCGAAGCACCAGGCTCTAGCAAGCTCGACAAGCACTACCCCGACGCCGGCGTGTATACCTGCGCAGGTTGCAACGCCCCACTCTACAAAGCCAATCATAAGTTCGATTCCGGGTGCGGATGGCCTGCCTTTTGGGATGCATTCCCGGATGCTGTGGGCCAGCGGGCCGATCCAGGTCTAGGCATGATGAGAACGGAGATCGTCTGTAACAATTGTGGAGGACACCTTGGGCACATCTTCAAGGGGGAGAGGTTCGGGAACCCCAAGGATGAGAGGCATTGTGTGAATGGTGTTTCCATCAACTTCAGTCCCGAGGACAAGAAAGAGTGACTCGCGTAGGTAGGACCTGGAATGAGACGAGAGAAGCTGTAAATATTGGGCGAGGAAGGTGTACCATAGGACGTTTGGTTGATGAAGTTGAAGAGATGACGAGACGACGAGATGAGACGACGAGATGACGACGATATGTAGAGTTGTGTGTATAGTAAGAATATACTTGCATTGACAGAACGATGGTGTTGCATGCCATTCGTCCTACTTTCATGGCCGACATGGACATTTACGCGAGAGAAGGCCTACTTAAACAGTTCGAGTTTTCCTTCGGCCTCTGTGGTCCGACCCTCCGAACTGCTCAGCGCTCAACGCAAGAATGTCACCTTTCCACTATGGGAACCATCTCAAGACTTGATTTACAGTAATACCGCGATCCGCCATCCGTACCTTGTTTCTCCCCCCACTCGACCTAAACACGAACGGCAAAGTCGCAAAACAGATCTCCCGATCGCTCCGCAGGCATCCATCGACCTTTATGGTGTACATCATGCTCGATAAGGATACAGCTCGACCGCTAAGGAGACGTGATTGGTCTTGAAATTGGAAGTCAACAATGACATCGTGGCATTGCTGCAATGTCATGGCTGACCCGACGCGTGAAACCCGAGCATTTCCATGATTCAGCGTCGTGTTGAAAGTTTCGCATTGAATATGACACCGTCCTAAAATCACATTGACCGGGAAGGGCTGGCCTGCAGAAGGAAAGATGATGCTGGTAGCGAAGGTGCCGTGGAGGAGGGAACCGTGCGCAGTAATCCGTAAGCCAATCCTTACAACGCCAGAAGAACGGGGCCCCAACACCATGCCCTCGCTTGAACCCAGCGCCCAGACTACTATTTTACTCGTGGATATAGTCCGTTGTTGACATTCAGCGGACATGGGACCGTTCTTCAGCCTTAGCGGAGCTCCGTTCAAGTGCTGGTAGCTCCGTATCGAGGACCCCCACATGTGCACTAAGTATCATCAAACATCGCGCTGCTGGACGTCGTTCTCTGTCGACTTTACTCCACACCACACCGACTGCTTAATTTGTAGAGACCGTCCAGTCGCTCCTTCAACAGAGAGAGTAATTGTGAGCGTTCAACACAACCCTTCTCATGGAGCTCTTGGAGCTGTACTACGATGTTCTCATCAAGATCTTGGAAGAGGTAGAGCCTGAGGATCTGGCCACTTTGGCGCAGACGTCGCTTGGATTCAACCACTTTGTTGCAGGTAACGAGAGGTTGTATAAGGTCCATTATCTGAGGAATTTTGTAAGCTGCAGGATAGATGGTCACGACATAACGTTCGGTAACATTTTATAGGATGATCCCCGGCGGAGAACAACAGACCCAGAACCAAACTGGATCGCGGAGCTTCAACAACTTGTCAAGCTTCGCAAGGTTCTTCAGTCACAGAGTTTAGATGCCAAGGTCGCTACCCGGTGATATCGTCTCATGGTACCCACTAACATGGACACAGACTGAGCATTACGACTTCGTGCTGGAACTAGTTGATACTCTGATACGGACCGGCTCAGAATATGACGGCTTGTCGTTGAACAAGGAAGAACTCACGAATCTCTTTTCGAACCCTCAAAATGCCGACACTTTCCTGCATAAGTCCTCTCTGTACGGCAGGGCAGGCACCGAGATCCAGTCTCAAGCGCGCAATATAGAAGATCGTCAACGGAGTGCACGACTTCATTGCATCCACGGTATACCTAACGACACAACCGGTCGACGCACTCTCTCCACACACCCGTTCGCCCGCTCTCGTGTCTACGACTTGCGCAATTACACCAAGCGCTCACGCTGGGGACCCTTTCGCAACGATGGCAGCATGCGCGTAGATTGGGAGCTCGTTGAAAGTATAATGGTAGTGTTAGGATACAATAACGGGCTCTGTTCACGACGCTACATGGATCGCTTTGTCCTCCCTTGGTCTTCACCTTTTGCCAACATTTTCCAAGACCGATTCGCGCATCTCCCTTCCACCAATTCTCCACCTCCATCACCAAGCCTGACAAAGGAACCAAGTCTGCCGCTTGACCTGCAGGACCCCTACAACATCTCTGGAATCTGGGCGCGAATCGTCTGTTTTCTAGACTACGATGACTTGCACCACTTCAACTTCAACACGACAGCTGTCAGAACGCCGGAGGGTCAACCCTACCCGCCGATCACGATGGAAGAAGCAGTCCGCCATATCATGATGCAGCTGGAAGTAACGGCCGTCACTGCGCCTGGCAATAACGACGACCAGACAATGCCTGTAGTGCATTTTAGCGGCAAAGCGCGCGCTGTAGACACGAATATGGATGCGAATGCTAATTCGAGTATACGAGGGTGTGTGAGGACGACAGCTGAGGGTGAGGTGCGTTGGAGCACAGTGTGGGTCTTTAATGGGTGAGTAATATCTTCGTTGAAGTGGGTCTGTGAAATCTAATTCGTTGGCAGTGATGAGGAACGCTGGCGCAGCGAGGCAATTCAAGTGGGCGGGTTGCGGTCTAAGCGCGGCGTTGTCGGAATCTGGTACGACAAGAGTCTCGACCCTCATGGTCCGGCTGGACCGACGGCTTTCTGGAAAGTGTCAGAGCTTCGGACTGAGAGTGACGAGCATGGAAATGGTGATAATGATTGGATGGATGACTGAGCGCATATCACTTAAATGATCGTGGAGTCCAAATGTCTTTCATGCGGCAGCATTGCTCAAGGTGTCAGAAAATTCATGTATGTTACGAACATTTATTATCGATATCAGGTTGTATGTAATATCTTTTCCATGTCACAATTCGAGTAGTGTAAAATGGTTGGAATTAGGTCACACTAGTTTGTTGTAGCTCAGGCATTTCTATCTTATGTTCGTTCTTGCGTTTACATGCCTTGTGTTCGATAGACGCTCAAACCGCGTGCACGACACCCCAGTGTGTCCGAGAACCATGAACGCAGTCTTAAGAAACTCTTGTGAGGCTCGAATGTACAACACAGCATCTACTCCGATTGTTCCTTTCTTTAACCATATCACAAAGTACGATAATGGCAACCACCTCCCAATTGTCACTTTAATTGTGACTTCTGAAGGCCTGAGCTATTGTTAACGCCTCAAAGTGTCGGCATCGGTACAAACATCGTGGTCAAGGTTGTGCTCGGCGTGTGAGTTGTGGTCACTACCTCGGTCGTTGTGTACCAAGCCATGGAAGTCGAGTGCAAAGTCACGGTCGGCGTAGGTGAGGGCGCTGCGACATGCTCATTCTTCTTCCGGTCCATCTGAAGGCCGCCCCATACCGCGAGTGCAATCAGGCTAATGGTAAGAAGAACCACGAAAATAGCCCGGACGTACTTGTGCATACAGAAGTTCTTGATGCGTGAGGGCATCTTCGGGCGTTGCGGAAGAGTGCTGGGAAAGGAGGAGAAATTCCGGAACGATATGAACGTTGGCTGCGGCTGCGGCTCCAAAGAGTCAGCCGTAGGGAGAATCATTGATGTCGGTTTGGGACCACGCATCTCTTGATTGAGGCGGGTTGGTGTTAATGAGGCTCACGGTCGGGTGCTTAGGTAGTATAGGGGGGCGAATAGCATTTTGTATATATGGTGAGGGCGCAATGAGAGGGTGAAACATCGGGGAAAGCGTGGCTATCAAAGAGAGGTGAAAGTACAATGAGCCAGTGCAGATTATCACAGGGCCTGCATAGCTACATTGGCACCTAACATGATGTCTCAGAGATAAAGTATGGGATACTCTAAGGACACAAGCAATATCTGTATGTGGCAATTCTTTATATAGACTAGCTAATTATGACTCAGTATCTGACGCAGTCATTCAGTAGTTTCAGTAGTTCTTCTTCAACTGGCGAGTCGCCAATCCTTTGGAGACTTTATCCACCACCCCCTTCATCCGCCCAATTATGCAGCGTCACATCTTATGCATGTCCATCGCCCATTCCTCATATCACACTGCTGAACCTTGGCCTCCAACACTGGAATGCAAGCACTTTCCATCGGGCTTTTTTGTCCCAACTGCCGGCAACAGGTAGTTATCGACGGCTCAAGATTCAAGTGAGGGGTACAGGCGCGGCGAAAGAGGCTGCAGTCGCACTACTCGTGGATGTCGATGTAGAGCTCGGCGGTGCGAAGATAATAGGGGTGATCGTGATCCACTGAGTAATAGTAGTTGGTGGTAGTGTTTCGAAACTGATGGCCGTTTGGGTTGCTGTCATAGTAACGCGATGCCATTGAACCGTCGTATTCGTGGTATTGCTGAGACCTGGTGAAGGTATGGAACGATTGTGGGAAACCTTCCTGCCTATGAGAAAGGCAATGAGGAGCGCAAGCAAGAGCATCGCAACGCCAACAGCCGTGTAGCCGATCTTCTTCTTCGTCCATCTCGAGCAGCTGCGCTTAGGGCTCACTTGGGTGTCGAGATCGACGGGCGCCAATGGATGGTTTGGATCTCGATAATCTGCAGGCATGTCCGGCGAGCCAGGTTGCTGCAATTCGATGGTGTCTCTGGCATCATGAGAAGGGTTGTTGGACGTGAGCATGAGTTTATTCGGCATGTCGCTTATTGACAAACACTACTTTGGTAGGTGCGATATCCGAAGGCGGAAGGAAAGTTGTATAGCGATTTCCAACAAGGTAATTGTGCGATAACAAGTTCCGTACCGTGCAGCAAGAATGTAACCGATGGAAAGGGCAGCGTGAATAACCCGCGATCATTGTCGCATTATATGTCGATGAGTTGCAAAGGTGATGTAGTAGAGGACAAACATGTATCTCTTCAATCAGCTTTGGCTGATTCCATCCCTTCATTTCTGTTAACTGACATTGAGCTGTTTCATTTACTAGAAACTTTTTCCGATCTTTATTGGTGCCTTTCTTCGGTCGGGATTAGGCATAAGAATACTCTGGCTGCGGTGCCACCTTCAAGGAGCGGGATGTTACAGGGCCCAGCATTTCCCCGGGCAAAGTCATTGTAACCCTTCCTCCAGAGCGGAGTATGTGCGGGGCCGAGATGACCAGCGCAAGTGCAACTAGGGTTATAAAAACTATACTGGTGCAGACATATGAGATGACTCGATGCGCTTTGAGAAGTCTCCTGCGCTTAGCTGAGTGGGAGGGGAGCACCTTGTTCACATCTTGCTCCAGGTGCAGCTTCTTCTGCACATAGTACAAAAGAGCACTTTCTGCTTAGTAACACACAGATACGAGGAGCCAAGCAAGTTCGGTGTATATGCGATGGAAGACAGTGTTATTGAACTAGGCTGGAATAGTTGCTTGATACATGTGTAGTATAGCGGGATGCGGCGCCAAGGCATGAAGAGTTGCCGCACTGGCTGACGACGCTGCTCATGCGACGAATTCGGGGCAGATGAATCACGCGCTTGAACAGGCGGAGCGTGGGGTCTCTTTCGGGGGGGCGGCCACAGTATCAGATGTGGCTATCGCGTTTGGAGGCTGACTCGAAGTTGGAGGTACACAGTGGGCAGATGGGTACAATGACGACACAAGAGCATGTCGTGGCCGAAGAAGGAGCGAACGAGGGGTCATTTGTGGTGTTGATGCTCGATCTTCAGTGCCTCAGACATGGAACGTGGCGCAGAGCTGATGCACGTAGCGCGAGTATGCAGGAGCCGCTCGTGCCACGGAAGAGGCCAGCTCCTCTCAACGCACGAAGCCAGTATAGCAGTACAGCAGGTGCAGATGGTGTGGTACAAAGAGGGCCGGAGTTTCGCGGTGGTCATGTACCGTTGGTGGGCTGGAATGTGCAATCTATCTCACGAACCGTTGAAGAAGTCTGGGAGGAACAAGCTAGCGCGTTTCCGTATGTGGCGTGGTGAAGCCAAGCTCAAACACAGGGTTCCCGGGTAGCGGCCGTTCGGTGCCCGCTGATTGGCGCCCCGCACGAAACGCGCCGGAAATGGCGAGCCGCCCAGCGAGGAGCGACTCCACGGCCAGGAGAGCGACAGTGCGGTTCGCCGTGCGTTCCTTATCACCACTCAGTCCCTCTTTGCGCCCGCAGCCAACACGCAGACGCCAGCCTTGCAGCCGTCTGCGCATTCGAGTCCTTCGAGTCCTCTCTTTGCGCCCTTTGCGACGTCCCTCCATCGTGCCTTCCAGACGCGCCTTCGCGCCTGCCGCACTTAGTCCCTCACCCAGCAGGCCAATTGACCACCCGCCGGCATTCGCTCTCTCTGTATTCACCGCGCGACCACAATAGGAACAGTCCACGTCAACAGCGGGCCGCACATGCTGTTATAACCTGTCTTTGTCCTCGGGAGCCGTCTTTCCGCTGTCGAAACATCTTAAGCATTGAGCGCCCCAGACAGCAGCTGCCCCGTCGCATCATGCCCTACGCCTGCGCCTAGCCTCTCCGGAACCCCGTAGCATTCGCGCGCCTGCGCCAGCTCTACACCTTCGCTCTGTCTGAAGACTCCCTCCCCTGTCGCTCATTTCTCCGCGTCAAGTGGTGCGCAGCCGGCCTGTCACCACACACACCCCAACGGCATCTCTGACCAACACTCCTTCCTTGCCCGAGCTCATCTAGCTTCGATGCTGGCATAGTTCTATCCACTCCTTGAACCACAGCTGGACTGCCCCGTTGAGCGGATATAGGATATACTAATACAAGCAGCAATCATGGGCTGCTGCGGAGACCGTGAGAAAGGCCTCACCGTCGCTGAGGAGCAGAAGTGGGATTACATCGTGCGTCCAGCATTCGACTGCGGCACCAGACAGCTTGCTAACCCCTCACAGACTCTCTCTGACTTCAAGTCCTCATCCTGCCTTACGCCCTTGTCGTACGTTTGGTTGTGGATCCTTGTCATCATTTCGGGCGCCGTCTACGCTGCCGATGCCTTTACCGCCGTCAATCTTCTTGCCTTTAACAAATGGTCGAGCCAAGTCAAACCGAAAGTCGACTTCAACATCACCAAATGGATCTTTGCCGTCTGCATCATCGTCTCCTACGTCTTCTTGATCTACCGATGGATTCGCGCGATCCGCGTCATGCGCGCTGGCGGAGTCGCCGAGTGCTATCTCGAGCCACTTGCCGCTATCTTCCAGAGTTTGCGATTGACCAAGGAGGGACAGGGATGGCGCCGATTTTTGGTCTTCGCCGAGTTGACTAAGAGTAGAAAGGGCGTGGACTACATTGCCCTCTTTGTCTACTTCCAATTCAAAGGTAGCCTCTCACCACCTACTTCCACGACCGTCTCTAATCCGTATAGGTGCTTTGATCATTGTTCTGGCACAAGGCCCTCGCATTGCCATCAACGGCCTGACGCTGTGGGCCGTTATGCAAGCCCAACTCATCCCCGAGGGAGAACACGCGGCGCCCAAGGGAAAATCGCCTGTCGCACAGTTCTTCCTCAATATTGAAACTATGGTCCAGCAAGGCAACAAGCAAGAGACGGTCATCTACTTCACTATGTTGTTCTCCTTGGTTATTTGGGTTATCGCCTTCCTGTCGCTGTTCTTTTCGGTCCTCTTCTATGTATTCTTTCTCTGGCACTATGTTCCCAAGGCTGACGGAAGCCTTACGCAATACTGCCGCAGAAAGATCGAAAGCCGTCTTGAGCGCATTGTGAGCAAGAAGATCAAGAAGGCCCTGGAAAAGCAAGACCTGAAGCGCAAGAAGGAAGAGCGCGATGCATTGAAGAACGGAGGCGCAGAGGCCCGCATGCCCACCCTGCCGAAGCTTGGGAGGGATCGACGACGACACCTCCTCCATGTATTCGGGTGTCACGGGCGTCACACGATCAGACACCATAAGCACTTCGACCACGCTCCCACCGTATTCTTCAAACGCCCCGTCACGAACAAACACGATGAGCACAATGAGCACGGCGAGAACGGCTGCCATGAAGCCATCCCTGCCCTCATTGTACGAGAGGCCTGTACCTACGCGTTCTGATACTCAAGGCACTACGACGAGCTTCGGTTCGAACGCTCCACTCCTAGGTCAGGCTGGCGACATGGGAATGTCTTCTCCACTTCCGCCCATGCCTTCGCTCGACCCGCATGCAGAGTACTTCTCTGGAGCTCCTGGGCCTCGACCGCCACCTAACGGCATGTCTGGAAGACCATTCTCGCCAATGTCGCAAGGTCGTGCATCGCCATACCCTCCCCCAAAATATGCTTCCGCCTGTGGATACGAGCGTTGGAGCACGAGGTTCTCCTGCTCCTCAAACGATGTCGGCCGATGTTTATGGCAACCGCGGTGTATCACCACCCCAAGGCAACGCACCCTATCCCGGCCGTAGACCTGGTGCCTCGCCTTTCGGTGGACCGACCTTCTCTCCCTACAACAACCGTGGTCCCGCCATGGGTCCATCTTATGAGATGTCGCCCGTAGATCTCAACGCTACCGACGACCCACTAGATTATTACACTCAGGCCGGCGATACAAATGACTACCGGCCACCCCAACTTCCTAGTGCCCTCCGCTCTGGCTCACCGGCACAGATGCAGAATGCTGGACCACCTAGAGTAGGCACTGCTCCACCTTCCCGATCGGGCACTGCTCCGCCGTCAAATCCTCGTGCTGGAGTGCCCGCTACGTTGCAATCAGCTATACAGCGACGCGAAGCATCCCAGCCTCTTCCTAATCGAGGTATGCCTATGCAACAACAGCAACGTAGTGCTACCGCGCCCCTTGGACCACCACAATGGGCACCACGGTCAGATGCAGAGCCGATGCCCAGAAGTAACACAACTGGTCCAGGACCCCAGGGCTACCGCCCGTACTAGGGATCATATCTCTTTTCCGCCTCAATTGCATTCATTGAAAGCATTGCCCGATGGCCATCACTATACCATAAACAGCTGCTTGTCATGCCCCCGAATTCTTTTTTGTATGCATACCTGTGCATTTCCCGGCGTTCGATTCTCATCCTCGAGGGACACCCCACTTTCTGTCTGCGACTACCACCTACCTTTACATATACTGCGACGATATCTTCTTGACGAGACGATGGGAGGTTTGACGATTTGAATACTACTTGTTCGAGATACCCTTCGCCGCTGGCCTCGAGCGTCCATTCGCTTTGCCACTGGTTGGGGAAACACCTTTTTCGATATGGAGAGATGACTTGGAGGATGAAGAAGGAAGCTCGCATGCATGGCAATGTATGGTGAGTGAGTTATGTAGAAAGGAAGAAAGCTTTCGGAAAGCAATCAAATTCCTTGCATTTTCATACGATGCTATGTTTGGAAGTTGGCCTGTGGAAGGGGTGACGTGTTGTTGCGAGCTGGTTGACCCACATCTTGGTCTTAGTCGTAAGCGGTGACGAACTGACAAATGGTAAGCCACTGTGCATGCGTGGCCACTGTCTAGATGCCGAGGGTAAGTACCGAATAGACGACTCACCCGAGCCTTTTGTCCAGTTTCCTTGCTAGACAACGAGCTTGAGGCTGGACCACTCACGTAAAGCTTTGTCTGCATCTAGGTAACATGAACACGAATAGTGCTCCCGATCTAGGTGGCTATGAACGGATAATCCAGTATCATGTGAGTGGTGGGCATCGGCTACCGGAGAAACTCGCACACCTTTAGAGGGCGACAGGACAGATTCGCAGAGCCCCAAGAGCGTGCAGCCCTGGAGTGAGATGCATCACAGGAACAGTCGCTCTCAGACAACGTGTATACTGCATACACTACGTTCGGTAGGACTACGCAGAAGCACAAACCACGGCCTGTAATGGATGGACGAATCCATTACCCAGTCTCCAATGCCGATTTGCTCTCTATGAGCAGCACAGCATACTCTTGAAACAAAGCATAGAAGGTCGATTCCCCTCCGCAGGAGCACGTGTAAGTCTTGCGAGCGGCATGCAAGGAAGATGCGACATCTGCACGGCCACTCCGTGAATGACATGCTGCCTAGTTTACATGTCCAGATGCAGACCGATAGGCCCCTAGCGGTCATTCTACGTGGCGCGGTTCACAGAATAGGAAGTCATGCTACAGGTGCGTGTAAAAAGTAGCAAGTAGATTCATGGAGTAGGTGTCGGAGTTCCGATGAGAGGCCTGGGCTTAGGGTGGCGGAATGATCAGGGAACGCATGTTTCTACGACGGAGATGATGCGCTAGACGAGAGTGTAAACAGAACGAAGGAACGATGAACGATGCGCGAACGAGTGTATGTGCTAGTCGTACGATCGACATGCTTGGCTTGGGGAGGTGGATCTAGAAAGTGTGGTCCCAGTGGCAGTGGTCCTTTGCAGGCGAAGAATACTTCGTCGAGCGAGCCATCATCTTACAATCAGCTTGAAGTGGCTTCTTCGGTCGCCTAGTCATGGTCAATAACAACGAAGGGGGGGTACACATGTTGTGGGAGTGCATTCACCTCCTCTCATCGCACACAGGTCGGGCAGCTTACCGCGTAACTCGCATACACTCCCTTTCCTCCCGTCCGATCACTCACAAACCTACTCTACTCTAGCTGGTATTGATCCAGAAATAGCGCACGACCACACGCCTCCAACCTCAGTTCCGACGTCTCTCATAGCGGACTCCGCCCGCAAATGCCATGTTTCGAAACAGCTGCAGGCCGCAGATCATCCGCACCGCCCATGCGTGACCTGCTCGAACGAGTGTTCGCGCCAAACACAGCAGCGTGTCGCAGCATGTCACTGTGCCCCGCGATAAGTTGCGCAAACACCTGCTCTACGACTGTAGGCTGTGCGTAGGTTAGGCGAACACCGTTGGAGTCGTCTCGTCCTTTGTAGCGGATGCAGTGATCCTTTGACGACTTCTACCGAGCGAACAAGTTTCCGAACGATCGCTGCAGAGCCTCACTCTCGATACGAGATCTTCAGGCACGAAAACGAGACGTCGCACCTTGCGCCTGTAAGCTGTGATCGACGACGAACAGGGAAGGCCATTGCAAGCACTACGTGGCAGCACAGATAAGCGCGAAACAGCACCTGTACTGTGTATCCTTGGCGTCAGATCGCGTGTAGCCTTTCAATGACTGGAGGGAGTAGACACACCTCGTGATGAGCCCGAGTACTGTAGCATCCAAGCGACCTTCGCGCACTCGAGTATCGACTTGTGCGCATTCGCGTACTCGGCGGCGCAGTACTGGCGTGCCCTCTTACATCGCAACGCCCTCCGCGCTCGTGGTCAAGCGACAAGACTACAGTAAGCAGGCGGATGAGCATTTACCGCTTCGCACTTTATTCGGGCGTGGCATATCCCAGCTTTGATCGGAGTACCGGGGGCCATGGCTTCTCACGTAGGCTTCATCTCCCTTCCTCCAGGTACACCCATAGTGTGCCATGTCGGCCATGTGGAGTCGCATTACACACAGAGTATTGCATGACATCATGCCCCGGCCGATCATATCGACGATATCGATAAACGGCCGTGTATTGATAAGCGGGCATATGGGGTACTGATCGCGTTGAGCGTTCGGAGAAAGGCTGACGGTTGTTGAGTAGTGGCTTGTCGGGCGTTGGCTGATATGCAGCCGTGCCGTGTGCGGGCTCGGGAAGAACGATCACGGCACTTTCACCACGTCTCTTCAGATTGCGACATTCACGCTTGAAAGACGGCAGAGAGGTAGTCCACCTCGGTCGACTTCTCTTCGCGGCGCGTGAATGAAGGTCCAGAATGTCGCGTGCGCGTACTTCTCGCGACGGCACAACGTGCAACCCACAATTCCAGGCTCTAATGCAGCAGAGGAAAATCTTGACCGGGCAGGCTGGATCCCAAGGTTGCAGTCACCGATCTGTCTGCCAGTGAGGTCGCGAGAAAAGCCTTGAACAAGTTTTGTTCGTGACCTTGCCGTGCTTGCATGATAGCGTACCATGTTATCAAGCACACGTCGGTCCTACTTGAAGTAATTCCCCAACAACCAGCGGTCGCGCTCCACATTCGACGGCTTGCAGCGCGGTATAGGTCTGGGCTCTGCTCATGTGGATGTTTGTGTGTTGTGCCTGGATCCGACTGGATGGCGAGATGCACCGTTCCTTGCAGCGACCCGCAAGGCGGCGTGAGCCCACGTTGCGATAGCAATCAGCTGGGTTCCTGGGAGACAGGGCTGCATCTGCTCGCAGATTCGTGATGTAAGATGTGAAAGAAATAGCTCAGCTGCTGACGCGCTGCAGCGTGTAGGAGTGGCGGTGGGTAAAAGTAGCCATTTGCGCGAATGCACGTCTTGGGCGTCACAAGTCGCTGTATCCAGCGTGCCAACAGTCGGCGCCACGGCTTCACCAACATGGACGCAAGACGTGAAAGAGGCGTGGCTGCTTCGCACGCACGCAGAGGCTGAAGCGACCAAGCAGAAAGGTTTGCCGAGCGCTTCAATGTCGAGAGGACGTGTTCTGGAAGACGCAGCGTCTCCACTCGGTTCGCGGCGAGAAGAAAACGTCGGCTGGCAGCGCGCTGGTCTACCCAATGGCAGTGCGGCATTCCCCACAAAAGCGCACATCCTCATTGCGCGTCCATGAGAAACCGCTGGCCCGAGTGCTATTGGTCAATCTCTGGCGAAAGGAGGTGGGGCTGGTGAGTGCGCTGGTGGATGCGCTGGTGAATGCGCTGGTGACAGGCGGGTGGGTTGTACTGTGTACACAGCAAGTGGCAGCATCCACGGCACCCCACCCAGCCTCGGCGGCGGCGAGGCTCGACGAAGGCGCGACGGGCGCACTGGCAAGGCTGGTGACGATGTCTGGGCCAGGGCCGCACGCAGAGGGTGCTGGGGGTGCTGGGGTGCTGGGGCTTCCTCTGCAGGAGTCGAAACGTCGGAGGTGCAAGCCCGCCGCGCTCAGGTACACCAATGGCGGCTCAGTCCGCAGGGCGACGCTAAATCCAGGCACGGCTCCCCATTGGCAGCGCAGCGGGCGGCGGTGATTGTCGCCGCGGAAGGTAAGGCGCGTTGCTGCTTCGGGCGGCGCGCAAGACACGGGAGATGAGGTGCCCTCGTCGAGACAGGGCCCCCAGTGCGTCTCCGTTGGGCCCACACACACAGACCAGCGCTCCTGAGTCCAGCCGGCTGAGTGCGCCTCAAAGGATCCTGCGTCTCGCCGCTCTTTGTTTCCTTTCTCCCCGTTCCCCAGCCAGTCCGCAGGTTCTTATTGCGACCTAGTCCCCTCGTTTTTGACAATCCAACAATCGCGCGTTCACTCATTCACGCAGCGGTACCCAGCCATTCACCCCAGTCACTCTTTGAAGTCGCACGCACATATCTCGACGACTTGCACTCCCACGATCTAACGACCACACAACACACATTCGCAAAGCAATCCTCAACCCCTCAACAACATGCGTTACCAATCCGCTTTGGTGCTGAGCACCCTCGCCGTCGGCCAGGCCGCCGCCTCTGGCAACCTTCGCCATGCCAGCTTCCACAAGCGACAGTGAGTGACCCCATCGTCATGACTAGTCGCCCGCGCATACTAACATCTCGAAGCGAAGTGAAGCGCGACGCCCAGGACGTCGACTGGAACAACGTTGCCCTTGATCTCAGTGGCGTTGACTGGAGCAAGGTCGACTATGGCAACGGCGCCGCCTCCTCCACTCCCGCCGCCTCCACTGCTGCTGCTGAGACGCCTGCCTCTTCTCAGCCCGAGGTCGTCGCTACTTCCGCTGCTGCTGAGCCCTCCGCCGCTGCTGAGGCTCCCTCCTCCACCGAGGCCGCAGCTCCTGCTGAGACCTCTGCGTCCGCTTCCTCTGACGCTGGTGGTGTCGTCGGCGACATCCTTAGTGGCATCGAGAGCCTCGCCACGAAGCTCGGAGCCCAGCTCGGTGTCAACTCCGAGACCGACAACGGACAGATCTGGATCGGTGGCGACGGCAAGCACTCTGCCACCTTCACCAACGGCGCTGACAAGGACGCCATGGTCTGGTGCTGGGGCAAGTCCACCATGTGGATCAACGCCAACCAGCCTGTCATCTCCATCAAGCTCGCTGCTGGTGAGACCCAGAAGCTCTCCGTTGCTGATGGCTTCTCCGGTGGCTGCGGTGCTTCCTTCGACGACTCTGACCTGTACATGGGTCTCCTGAACGAGTCCATCCTCGAGTTCACCTTCGGCTCGGGAGCCAACGGCTGCTTCGATATCTCCCGTGAGATCAACATGAAGGGCATTCAGCTCACTGCCAAGGGCGCCAAGTGCACCAGCGGTTTGGACGGAAGCTCCGACTCGTGCACCTTCATCTGCACTGACTCCAGCGCCACCAGGTGCGGTGCCGGTGGCGGTGACTACGCCATCGATGTCGGTACCTCTACCGAGGGACCTTGCATGGTTGGCAAGGACCCCTTCACTGGTGACGCCGCCGGTGGATGCCAAATGGCCGACGACGGCGAGCACCTCGAGGTCACCATCCACGCCTCCCGATGGTAATCGCTTGTCCCTGTGCTGCTAGGTTGTTCGTCCTTTTTGTATCATGCTGCTTTTTCTTGCGATACCCCTGCGCAAACCTTTTTGGGTATCTCTTAAGAAACATGTTAGGATACAGACTTTCTTCTGTACTATCCTTGTGTCATATTTCGCACACCAATGTATATCTGTTTAACTGTCATGGAATGTTGGTATTTCAATACGAAAACTCAAAAATCATTCGTGTGCGTACCTGGGTGACTGATTGCGCATCGTGTGGTGACACCCCGAGCCAACTGATGGCGTTATGCATGACTCTGAAGATAGCTTGTCCGGCGACATGGCAGCCTTTCGCTGGAGCATCGAGCATTCGCTGATGCCAACTGCGTGCGGGACAATGCTGCGGTATCTGATGTTTGTGGCTCTGGACGTCTTCAGCCAGAGATTGCTGTTGCTACGGCAGACTCGATGAGCCATTATAAATGCACATTGTCTGCAGCTTGCTGAGTCGCGTCTCATTCATCGGAGCGGTTCGTTGTCCCGCTCCATGGCGGATGTCATAGCCAATGTGGTAGCGCGTGTGGTAACGGCTGTTGCTCGTCAGCGTTCGTCTTTTGCGTGTACCTCGCTGAGCGTAGGAATAACGCGAAGAGGGAGCCGTATCACGAGGCACACCAGGGCACAAGAACAAGGGGGTTTGCAGAGAAGAGGAATGAACAGGAGCACAAAAAAGTTGGCAAGTGGGGTACCAGCTAGCTAATCGCTTTGTTCGCAACCGTGGAATTTGGCAGCCACGACCAGCTATCCACAACGGAAAGCACTTGCAACGTGAGCAAAAAGCCAACAGGCTGTTGATGCACATCAAATTCTTTGAAGCATCACGAGGGTTCAACGCACAGCAAGGTTCGTTTTGATTTTTCATTGAGATGATTCCAAAAGAAACAGCCTAAATACTCCACATAAAGCCCGAGGCGTCTATACTGGACGACCGCTGTAAGTTTGCTAATCGTACACGGCCAAAGCCGAAAGCTAGCTCCTTAACCGTTAATCATGCATTTGTCGAACTTTTATCCCTCTACAACTCATCGTGACCAGGCTCCTCGTCGGCACCCTCGCCACCAGCTCCGGCATACAGCTTGGAGGTGATGGGGTAAGCGACGTTGGAGAGCTTCTCGAACTGCTCGTCAAAGTCCTCAGTGACGGCCGACGCGGCGTTCTCCTCAAGCCAGTCCTGAGTTTCCTTGATGGCCTCAGTGATGGTCTCCTTGTCCTCGTCATCAATCTTGCCACCGAGGCCATCGTCGTCGTTGACCTGGTTCTTCAGGTTGTAGGCGTAGTTCTCGAGTTTGTTGCGGGCCTCGATGCGCTCACGGGTAGCCTTGTCCTCATCGGCGTACTTCTCGGCCTCCTCGACCATGCGCTCGATTTCCTCGGCGGAGAGACGACCCTTGTCATTCGTGATGGTGATGCTCTCACCCTTGCCGGTGCCCTTGTCGACAGCGGAGACCTTGAGGATACCGTTGGCATCGAGCTCGAAGGTGACCTCAATCTGGGGAACGCCACGAGGTGCCGGACTACATGCTTGTTAGTCTTTGCTTGACATTGGTGGAATGTGTTGGGACAACTTACGGAATGTTGGTGAGCTCAAACTTGCCAAGCTGGTTACTGTTGAGAAAAGTTAGCAACATGCACCGACCAAAGACCGTCATATTCGAAAGAAAAAAATGCGAAAGGGATAACAAAATCATAGAGCACTCACTTGTTAGAAGTCATTGAGCGTTCGCCCTCGAAGACCTGGATTAGGACCACGGGCTGGTTGTCGGCGGCCGTCGAGAAGATCTGGCTCTTCTTCGTGGGGATGGTGGTACCACGCTTGATGAGGTGTGTCATGACACCACCGGTGGTCTCGATACCAAGGGTAAGCGGGTTAACGTCCATGAGGATGATACCACCAGTAGCCTCGTCACCAGAAAGAACACCACCCTGAACGGCAGCACCGAAGGCGACAGCCTCATCCGGGTTAACGTCCTTGCGAGCCTTCTTCCCGAAGTACTCCTCGAGCATAGCCTGAACCTTGGGGATACGGGTGGAACCACCGACAAGAACAATGTCGTCGATGTCGCTCTTCTTGAGCTTCGCGTCCTTGAGAACCTGCTCAACCGGCTTGAGGGTCTTCTTGAACAGGTCGGCGTTGAGCTCTTCGAACTTGGCACGGGTGAGAGTCTCAGAGAAGTCCTCGCCCTTGTGGAACGATTCGATCTCGATCTTGGTGGTCTTCTGGGAAGAAAGCGTGCGCTTGGCCTTCTCTACCTCGCGCTTCAGCTTACCCATGGTCTTAGCGTCCTTGGTGATGTCAACACCCTTGTCCTTGTTGTACTTCTTGACGAAGTGGGAGATAACACGGTTGTCGAAATCCTCACCACCGAGATGGGTATCACCAGCGGTGGACTGAACTTCGAAAACGCCCTCCTCGATAGCCAAGATGGACACATCGAAAGTACCACCACCAAGATCGTAGACAAGGACCTGGCGTTCCTTCTTGTCATCCTGCTTGTCGAGACCGTAGGCGAGAGCGGCGGCGGTGGGCTCGTTGACCACACGGAGAACGTTAAGACCGGCAATAGTTCCAGCGTCCTTGGTGGCGGCACGCTGAGCGTCGTTAAAGTAGGCGGGGACGGTGACGACAGCGTTCTTGACGGTCTCGCCGAGGTAGCTCTCAGCAACCTCCTTCATCTTGCCCAAAACCATGGCGGAGACTTCTTCGGGGGTGAAGGTCTTCTCCTCGCCTTGAACCTCGACCTGGACGCGGGGCTGGCCATTCTGCGAATGATGTTAGTCACTGCATTTTGATTACGATGTTCAGAGCAGTTCGCGTACCTTGCTCACAACTTTGAAAGGGAAGTGCTTGATGTCGTTCTGGACCTCCTTCTCGTTGAACTTGCGACCGATGAGACGTTTCTGCCACTTGTCAACTTCTGCCCCGCTTGCAGACACAGTTTGTACTCACGATGTCGAAGATGGTTCGGTGAGGGTTGCTCGCGTACTGGTTCTTGGCGGCGTCACCGACGAGACGCTCCTCGTCGGTAAAGGCCACCCAGGAAGGAGTGATACGATTACCTGTGGTAGAGTTGTCAGCTTCATCCCATGGCGCTTGAGGCGAGATGTGTGCTTACCCTGGTCGTTGACCATGATCTCAACCTTGCCATTTTTCATAATACCAACACAAGAGTAGGTCGTGCCCAGATCAATACCGATGACAGGCCCACTAACGCTGGGCGAGTCGTCGTCCTTGAGAGGGGCCTGTTCATCAGCGCGGGCTGTCCGCGCCATCATCAGACCACCAACGAGGACGAGGAGAAGATAGAAGGCGATGCTCCATGTCGAGCGCCGGTCGGCGCCCCGCGATCGCCGCGCCATTGTGGTGTTGTGTGTGCGGACGAGAGACAATTGCAAAAAGGTGCTTGCTCGTTAAGAGCGCTCGCGTGGTGTGGTGGAGCAAGCAAAGGCTCCGGGTATCTCAAGAAAGAAAGAGAATGGAAAGACAACTGGCGGTGAGGTGGAGAGTGGAGTGGAAGTAAGAGACAGAGCAGAGCCAGTCCTCGCGGCGTTATAAGGCGTTGGCGCTGGACTTTTAGTAGAGGCCATGTATGTGTAGCAGCACAGTGCCCGGGAAGCTGTTCACCGCCTTCCGGATGCAGGCAAGCGCGGGCAGAGAGAAGGTGCCACCTTGCCAGTTCGCGAGGCCCGAGAGCGCTCATCAGCCTCCATTTTACCTATTTTCATGCATTCTTACAGGACACGTGTAGCGAGACCCGCTACTAGAAACTTCCGCGCCTGTGCAAGCAGCCTGGAGGCGGCAATTCTGGAGGTTGCTCGGGAAAGCTAGAATCCCGCGCCTGCGCCCTGCGGGACTGTATTCATTGCTATGGAGCTCTCTGACTGCAGCCCGTTGCATCTGGAAGCTGCGCGCATCTGTAGACCATCACTCCACCCACACCTCTCTTGCAGTCCATCACCACGGTTTCCCCACCGTTTGCGACCATTGCCACGGCCGCCTTCGCCAAGCGCCCCGCCAAAGGCCACTTCGATATCTGAAACTGTGTCCTTTTCACGGCGGCGCCAGGCGGTCAAGGCGCCAGGCGCCTTTGTTAGTCATCTCCCTTTCATTCTCCCCACCAATAGTCCGCGCCATGATCTGCAACGTCGCCGTAACTTTTTTTGCCGCCGTCAACAGCTGTCTGTCCGCATGGACCAAACCTATGACTCTTCCATGGGGCAGCAATAATGCAGTGCTCGCATACTCGTATGCTGGTCCTGCATGGGTCCGAGACGATATCGACACGTAGTATTTCCGACGTCTACGATTTTGAGCTACAGAAGAGCCCATCTGGCTTTCTTGAACATCGCTCGGTACGAAGAGTGGAATTCCCGCCTTTGTACTTTTGATTCGAATCCAACGTTACCTATTAATGGTAGACACGGCTATCATGGTAGACAGCCTTTGTATGCCTGCCGGATGCATATTGCTTGTTGAAGACCATGCTTTGTAGCGCATCCGTCTCAAATCTTTGAGTTCAAAAAGGGGGATTTACGAACCCATCGATCGCAGCACTAGAGGGTTGGCATCGATGAAACGCCAATAACGTCGGCTTCAAGCCTTGCCAGGAGACACCAAGGCCGTAGCGTTACGTTACACCGGATCTTCGTCGACTGTTTTCGCATGTACAAACATTGGAGTATCGCACTTCCCTGATAATATTCGCGCAGGTATCAAAGTGGCGGATGGTGTTCTACACATGATGGTGGTGTCGCAACGCAATATCTGCATCATGTCAGTCTACCGACACTTTGAATAGAAACAACAAGAATCCTCTGGAAGGCAGGAGTGCCCGACGTGACAAGGCTCAGCACTGCGACCATATTGCTCGATATGGTATGCTCACTGACTGTCGAATACAGCACTAAAGGCTTGGACGGCGAGCTTCGGCGAATGTTGATACTGTGCTATCATCAAGGTTATCTACCATGGGCTGAGTAGTTCAAATATTTCATGACATGCAGGTTGAGTATGTTACGTGGAGCTGGAATGCGTCCGAAAGTATTCATCGGTCGAGCATCGGGTGTGAGGTTCAGTGGTGTTCGGTCCGAACCGGGGCGGCCCGAGTCACAACAAGAAACATGCTCTTATCAGTCGATCTCAACAAGCACTGCCTTGTACTTTTATTGAAACGTCCCCATATTTCTGCATCAAGCCTTCAGAGGGCCGGTGAAGAGCTTGACTGCTTGCTGACAGAATCGGGACAGCCATTCGGAGCGGCGTGGTAGCCCGACACCACCGAATGCTCGTCACAGTGAAGTGGGCCGCTTAGAAACACCGTAAGTGCTGTGATTGGATGCCAGGACGTTTGACAGAGATGTCGCTACCGATGAGCAACCGATAGATGGTAGGTAAGCCTCTATGATTGCACCTTGATGATGCTTACAGCAGCAGCTGTTGCATACTAAGGCACCGATTTGGGAAGCATCCCCCTCGCGTCTTGCATCAAAGTCTCTATGCACAAATCACACGTTAGACATATTCACAACACCGAAACATCTCGTCTTAGAAATCCAGTTAGGCACGGTGGCGTGCTTTTCCTTTCTGGGTTGGCGGGGCACATTTTAGATGCCCCGCGGCCAGGGTCCATTTGTTAACGGGTCCGACAGAACGTCACTAACCACAGTACCTTCCGAAGAGTGGGATGACTATAAATCCCACGAGCGCGCCTCATTGTCTCCCACTCTTCACTGCACTGTCAATTGCGTTTTATACCAAATTACATTTCAGTCTTTTGTGTCATTTTGCAAGAGAAAAGCACTACGAATCATGACGACCACACAACACGCGCACCATGCACTTCCGGAGACGGTTGAGGGGGAGGACCGCCTTGTAAACAGGCCTGCACCTGGTGTATGTAACGTTGAGCGACTATCGAGGAACAGCAATTAACAACCTCAGATCTCTTACTTCACACCGCTGCAAGATCCTCCAGCAGGAACGGCCCTGGGCATGAAGGATGGCAGCGACAAGATCCCTAAGCTCTTCAAGCCGCTCAAGATCCGTGGTCTTGAGCTCCAGAACCGTATCTTTGTACACCTCCCTGAAATACGAACACAGGATGATCCTTACTAACGCTCGCAGGTTGCTCCCCTCTGCCAGTACTCCGCCGATAATGGACACATGACAGACTGGCACCTCGCTCATATCGGCGGCATTGTTCAACGTGGACCAGGGCTTACTTTTATTGAAGCTACCGGCATCGTCCCTGAAGGTCGCATCACGCCCCAGGATGTCGGCCTCTGGCAAGATTCTCAGATCGAACCGATGGCCCGCGTTGTCGAATTCGCCCATTCCCAGAATCAGAAAATCGCCATCCAGCTCGCACACGCCGGCCGCAAAGCTAGCACCGTTGCGCCATGGCTTAGCATGGGCGACGTCGCTACGGAGTCAATGGGTGGCTGGCCTAACAACGTCTACGGCCCCAGCGCCATCGCCTTCAACGATAAGCACGCGCAACCGAAGGAGATGACCAAGCAGGACATCGAGAATTTTAAGTCTGCCTTCAAGGCTGCTGTTGGACGCGCGTTGAAGGCCGGCTTCGACGCTATTGAGATTCACAATGCCCACGGTTACCTGCTACACTCTTTCCTCTCGCCCGCATCTAACAAGCGCACCGATGAGTACGGCGGCTCCTTCGAAAACCGTATCCGCCTCACCGTCGAAGTCGTCGAGCTCGCTCGCGCAGCCATTCCCGACACTATGCCGCTCTTCCTCCGAGTCAGCGCCGACGACTGGCTTCAGGAGGCTGGAATCGAGAGCTGGACCATCGATCAAACTGTACGCCTCGCCGAGATTTTGGCTACCAAGGGTGTTGACGTGCTCGACGTGTCTTCCGCTGGTCTCCACGAGCAAAAGATCAAGAGCGGGCCCGGATACCAAGAGCCGTTCGCCAAGGCGATCAAGGACAAGGTCGGCAACAAGCTGCTTGTTTCTGCCGTAGGCTCCATTACGAACGGAGAGCAAGCGAATGGATACCTTGAGAAGGACAACCTGGATATCATCTTCGCCGGACGCATGTTCCAGAAGAACCCGGGTCTCGTGTGGGCGTGGGCAGATGACCTTGGTGTGGAGGGCCGATGGGCGAACCAGATCCGATGGGGTTTCGGTGGCAGAGGATCCAGGGCCGGTCCTAAGACGAATACGAAGAATGTATTTTAGTTCCAAGAGCACAAGAAGCAGTCTTCGCTATAGATTTTTTTCGCGTCCATGAGCATAGCATTATAGACCAGAAAGAGAGGAGTAAATAAATTCAGCGTGTAGAGTAGAAGAGCATTTAGTGGAGTAGTCCGAATGGTTTTCTCAATCAGATTATAGTATCAGTCCTTAGAATCCTTCCATTGTCCGCGTATTAGACCAACGAAGAGGATTCTCGTCTAGGTAAACGAAGAATAGCGCTAAAGCAATCATCCAACAGTCCGCGCGTGAAACTCTTAGCTTGGTGTAGCTCTTCAACTGTTCTCTGGATTTAACCCCACCTTCTCCTCAAAAAGCCCCTCCAACCCTTTTTCCACATCCTCCAAACTCTTCTCCACCGCTGGCGTCCCTACCGGACTCCCTGGTGCAGTTCCCGCAGGCGTCTCTCCCGCGCTCTTCGGCATCTTTAGCCCATACGCACTTTCCAGCGTCTTCCGCATCTCATGCTCCTTCTCAAACCACGCGATGCAGAATCCTATAACAGCCAACGCAGTGAACAGAACCCAAACGCACTTCAAGCTCTCTGTGAAGCCATGTATGATCTCAGCCTGCACATCTGTTTCAAATTTCTTAATAAAGCTAGCTGTGGCGCGCTGATAGGCTTGTCCCTTTTCGAGCTGAGCCTGTGCTGTTGTGGAGGAGATTCTGGGTAGTAAAGAGGCGAAGCGCACGTTGAAAACCGCGCCTGGGATCGCTACGCCGAACAGTGACCCCGTGCCGCGAAGGAATGCCCATGAGCCGGATGATTGGCCAGTCGTGGTGTCCGGGAGCCTGACTTGAACCGCGGGCAGCATGCTCGAGATGACGATGCCGGAGCCGGCGGCAGCGACCAGCTGGAACATCAGCCATGCGGGCACGGTTGTGTTCTTCGCGAGCATAACGCAAAGTCCTAGTCCGAGTGCCATGCAGCCGAAGCCGATGATGTGAATAGGCTTGTATCGACCCCAGTGGGTAAGAAGGGGACCACCTGCGGCTGCGAGGACGACGATGACGAGGGTTGTAGGAAGGACTTCGAGACCTGACTGCGTGGGTGTGGAGCCTTTCACGGCCTGGAAGAAGGGCGGTAGGTAGAACTGGAAGCCGTAGGTGATGAAGCCGTGGATAGTCGTAAGGGCGAAGGCGATGTTCGTGGTGCGGTTCGAGAAAACATCCTTCGGCATGATGGGGCTGGCGCAGTACTTTGAGCGCTGGAACAGCGCAAAACCGATGAAACCTGCGAGGCTGAAGAGGAGCTGGATGACGATGGCGGGATGGTCCCAAGGGTGAGAGGCACCGCCAGTGCTTAGTGCAACGAGCAGCATGATGACGGACGCAGTGAGGACTGTGGTGCCCCATATGTCGACCTTCTTTATCTCTTCTCTGATGTTCATGTTTTTCATCTTGAGGCCGCCGCCCACATGCAGCCAGAGATACATGACGATCATGGAGATCACACATACCGGTATGTTGATGAGGAAGCACCAACGCCAACCGCGCTCAGCGAAGACGCCTCCGAGGAGTGGTCCCAGAGTCGTTCCGATGGCAAAGACAGCATGCTTTATAGCCAGATAAGGACCCCTGCGTCGGAGTGGGACTATGTCGCAAAGTACCATCTCAGCGAAGAGATCAATGCCGCCCGTTCCAAGGCCTTGCACAATTCGACCGAAGATCAGCACTCCGCCTGAATTCGCAGCGCCGCAGATGGCGCTGCCGATAGCAAAGACGCCCACTGCCACCAACATGGGATACTTGCGACCCCACATGTCCCCTAGCTGGCCATAGAGGGGCTGCAACATTGTGCTGGCAAGCAAGAACGCTGTAGCGACCCATGAGAACTGTGTGCCGAGATCGAGCGCATCAGATATCGTTGGGAGTGCGGTGTTGGTGACGCTCCCTTCGAGAGCCGAGAGCAGAAGCGGGATACAGATGGCGATAAAAGAACGCCAAAACCCCTCTTTGCGTCTCCATTGCAAGCTAGGAGTTTGTGAAGGAAACGAGGGTAGATTCGGGCGGCTGTGTGTTCTTGTGCGTGCTTCGCATGTTGCAGCTTCACGCTTCAGTGTTCTTTCAGAGTCGTGGTGCCAACTTGCCTTTGAAGACAATGTCGTTGGCAAATTGGAAAAGTGCACGCTTGGTGCTGGCGAAGGTAGGGAGATCTTAATAGCTGGCTCGCTCTGCATTTCGTCTGGCAGGTGACGGGCTGCGCGTGTACTGCACGGACGAGGCAAAGTTGGAGTAGTCGTACGTAATGTGAAGTGATGGGGAATAGGCTTGGAAAATTGCGAGAAGAAGACCGGGCTGTAGTCACCTATGCCACACGGGAAAGATATGATACGAACTGCGGTCAAAATAGGATTTCTGTGGTTCCATTACCAACGTCGTACCGCACGTTAGAATCCACAACCGCCCAACTTCATTTACGGTGCGGTGCAATCTACGGGTAGGGCCCAACATTGCTCATCGCTTGTCATTACTCGTAGGCTCAATTGCTGGAGGAGCGGTGGGTGCATGTCGAACGGACGTGAAGACTTGTGTCATACCCATCAAACCAGTTCAATGGGTGGTTGATGGTGATTGACCGACCAATAGAGCTGATACACTGGGGCAGTAGTAACATCAGAGTTGTGGAGAGAGAAGTACTGTGGGATGGGAGCCGTCAGCGAGCTTGCGAGATACTGAAGGGGCCAAGAGTTGCTGGGACCACTGCGGCAGCTCCGAACCGTGGTTCCAGAAAAACGGTACTGCTCAACATTGTAGGGAGCGGGGCTTATGTTGATACTCGCGCAACAATATGATGTTTTATTAAGCCAATACTACGTTCTCATCCATGTGTACAGATTTGCTGGTTGCTTGGAGCCATTTCAGAGAAGTAAAAAAGGCTCGAAGCAATGCCATGGCTGTTCAAGATGGCCCTTACAACATTTGATGGCCCTGATTATCGAAAGATAATTGCTGTCAGTCATTTCATCTGGTAACATGCAAGTTTAGGTGCAATATCTTAACCTGAGAGAGTGCGAATGAAGGGGCGCACGATTGAAGACGATAGGCTACCTAGGTAATGATGAGATACACGTCTGGGCGACAGATAAGGTGGTGGGAGCGCATATTAATCAGTGACAATCGCTAACCCGTCCTCCACTACTTCGCCAAAGAGCTTTACGGTAAATCGTTCTTGGAAACATTATTAGGACAAGGTATGGCGCGTGTATGTCAAGTTGAGGATTGGTCTTGGTCTTGGTCCAGACCCAGACCCGATGTTGGCTAACTGTTCGAAGCCTAGCGCTTGCACGTGTTATTTGCGTCATCCATCTCCTCTCAACATCGACCTTCGACCGGACTCAGGACATCACTAAACACCAATGCTGTTGTCCCCGCATCGGCGCGTTCTGTCAATAGAAGAGAATTTTCTATGTAATTCATTCAAAGCTGACCTGATAGGGCAATGCAACTCTGCGTTCTCTAGCAGTAGACACATTGGAGTGCAGCCGAGCTGCCTCCGCTTACCGCGGTACTTCGGTACTTGCGCAAGACAAAGAGCCTAACGTGTAGCTACTAGACGGAAGCATCAAACAATAAGATCCACTATCTCTGGGAGCCTCGGCATAATTCCTCGTACCCGTCCCCTATGACTGGACTGTGGCCTTCGGCAACATGGAGACCATGCTGAAGAAGCTAAGCAACTCCACGATTGCAAGTTGCTTAGCCCGAATGACCCACTGGGAGCCGCGTGGGGATGCGCGTCACAGCTGGCATACCTTTGAATGCATATTAATGTAGACAGGTCCCTTGAACGCATTGGCACGTTCAGAAACTTGCCCAATTGACTCGCCATGTCGCCCGCTGCAATCACCTCCAGTGCCCCGCCTCCCACGAACGGGAAAACCGCCACCATCAAATCCCCCGCCAAACCCATCATAGCGCCCTCATCGGTGCTACCGAACGGAACGAACGACGGCGTGCCTGCCTGGGTGAAGCCTGACCTCAGCCGTCTACTCCGTGTCGAACACTTAGAAGGCGACTTCGCTGCCCGTTCAGTCTCGCTCGTGGATCTGCCTGCCGGTGCAACTTTCGCGCGAATAACGAACCCGACACCTGCGACATGTGCCTACACCTCCGTTCAAGCATCGCGAGATCTACACATCGAGCTGAACTGCGATCTGGTATACATAAACCACTCTTGTCGGCCTACGCTGGTGTTTGACATGCTGAAGTGGGAGGTGCGGGTCAATCCAGAGATGAAGGGAGGCTTGACGGCGGGCGAGGAGCTCACTTTCTTCTACCCGAGCACGGAGTATGACATGGCGCAGCCTTTTGAATGCCGCTGCCAAGAGAAGGAGTGTCGGGGAACAATTTCTGGTGCAAAGGATATGTCGTCAGATGTCTTGCGCCAGTACTGGCTGAACCCGCATATTGAGGAGCTGCTTCAAGAGAATATAGCATAGAAGACCGATTAGATATGTTGAAAAATGACCATTGTCTGCACCAATGATGATCTTAAGGTTGTTATGAAGCGTTTCGCCAGACCTTCTCTTGGAAGCGGAGCATCTAGTCTGGCTAGGCACCCATGGCAAACCGCTTCGTAAAGCCCGCCTCAGCTTCAATCGTCTTGGCAAGTTCATTACCGAAAGGAAGCTTAAGTCTACTGCTCTCCCTTGACGTGAGAGGTACAAGTGTTCATATATCTATGATATTTGATCGTTTTAATACACTAGAAAAACTTTGCAAGACCAGACCTAACTTAAATTCAGCAATCACAAATCTTTCCACACCCAGTCCTCGGAAGTCTTAGGGGAGAGACCGGGCGCAGTCATGCATTGTGCAGAACATTTCTTGAGCCTTAATGTCGTGCCGCAATGCAATAGGAAACGTGTCCTGTGAGACATTTACAAGATCACCAACCATTGCGGCAGGGGTGTATGTATGGCACCTAAGCGCCCGCCAATCGCTCTTAAGTGGCTTATTCATGGCACATCGAAGAGCCTCATGAAGGCCACTGCAACCAGCAACATTATACATATGCTGCATGGGCATCCTCCAAACCATGATTCTCCTTTGCTTTATTGTTGTGTCAGACCGAGAACATTTCAGATCTCTCTTCTATCTGCGTCTCTTGTCTTCATATCGAAGACTTACCGCGGCAAGGCGTAGCGCGATAACTATGCCCTGGCCCAATGGAACCAGCTCTTGACTTGTGGAGTCATATGATTCGCCAGCGCTCGGGATCCGGTGTACAGTGCCAAAACTGCTATCGACAGACCCGAGTATGTATCTGGAAGCTCCGAATGGGACAGACTGCGTCATATATTCGTGACGTTCTGGCGAGGCCTATCCCTCACAGCGCTGATGCAAGTGATGGAAGAAGATTATGGCTTTTGCGCAAGGTAAGTCCTAATGGGTCAAATGGGTCACTTCTTGGGTGTCTGATGCCATCTCTAGGAAGTACTAATACAAAAAGAAGTTCGGGGAGTGGTGCACAAAAGGCATGCTTTCAGCCAATCCTCTGACGAAAGAGCAACCGCTCGAATCTGCTTCCAAGGAATGCTTCTCCTACAGAAGTCACTCCGGTGCGTCATCGGTGAATGAAACGCCAGCAATAAGTGTACCTGACGCTACATGGATCGGATCGTTTTGTTCTTTGTCTCATCAGCCTCATTGCTGCTTTACCGCACGTATCGCCTAACAACTTGAGCCGGCTCAGCTCACCAAAGGTCCGGAGGCAGTCCTAGTAAGAACGGCAGATTCCGTTGTTGCATATCTAAAGGATGGCTTCTCTAGACCAAGATTACATTTGAAAAAGGCAGTCATAGGCAGGAAGAATCACATTCGCCAAAAGGGGAAGTATCTTTGTCCAAAAGATTTATTTTGTACCAGTAAAGACTGTCTTAGTGCACTCCATCCCATTCATAACGTCAAGATCTCACATCGAAGACAAAGAACGACTCACCACATCGCGACCGACATCGTTCTCCTTCTCTGATACCGCTCTGTTCTCCGCGTCATAGAGTTGCTTGAATATGCTTCTAAGCAGGGCAGTAGCCAGCATTCCCCGACCCAGCATTGACGCAGCCACCACTGCCGCAGAACTGAACGAACTAATTACCGCTGGTCAGAAGAGTATTGCAATTGAATGAGAATAAACAGGATATGATCGGCGTCGGTGGGCTGTCCCTTTGAACTCAGGGCATTCTTGATGTCGCTTCCGTACTTGCCTGAGCACGAGACTGGTAAGCATCTGTACTCAAAAAACAGACATTCGACGGAAAAAGAATTGTGAAGGAGAGGCTTACCGATATAGAGTAGGTCGGAACCCCAATAGTTGTAGCCGTAACTACAGTTGCGCAGGGCTGCGTCTGCGGTGGCTTCCTCAGGTGTTGGAGCCGCGATAGTCACGGCCGCGAGGACGAGGACGAGTGTGGGATCGGTGAATTTCATATCGGGTCAAGAAGTAAGTATGCTCAATAGTGGACCAGGGAGCTTGGGGAAAGGATGGGATGAGTGTGCTGGCAGATTTGTACGGTCTCTGAGCACATTATTGGATTCGATCCCGGTCGGTGGAAATTTTCGTCAACCCCTATGTTGTCCACCGATACAGTAGCGACCTTCTTATTGGGACCATTACCTTCACAAGGCATCTCTCGTTCCCGGTCTTCGATGACAAACCTGTTATTTTGAAAGCAGCAATGTGATGATGAATTTTTCGAGACAAGGGGTTACTCATTTTCATAACCTTGAACGATTTACCGTATGTCCCTGCTCTCCCCAGCTCCCAAACAAGGCACAGCGAAGTCTCACTGTCCTTTCTCTTTGACGTCACTCCCGTAGATACTCTTCAAATCTTCCTCAGAATCGTAATCATTACTGCATCGATCGTCAACACTATTACGACTCATCCATCAACTTCACCGAACCGCAAAGAGACTGGCGAGCAGCTTATTATTATCACTCATACACAAAACCATCCTTCAGCTTCTTTTCCACCGCCCACTTGGTCACAGCATCCAGATCCTCCTTTGGCAGGGCTAGTCGTTCATTCGCCAACCCCTTTGTTGCTTCGTAATTTCCGTCACCGTTCGTAAAGAAAAATCTTGTATACATGGCCTGTGCAAACCCCGAAAAGCTGCCCTTATACATCTCCTGCAGTGCCTTACTCGTGCGCTCCTCCGCAGGCTCAGACGCGATGTCCCAATCGTCGTCCGAGTCACCAAGCGCCTTGTGCACAGAGTCCAGCATATCGCGCTGGCTGACCAGAAAACTGGACACATAAAGGGCATCGTTCTTCCAGTCCTCTACAGCAGGCTTGTCACCTTGCTTCGTGATGGGCAGGTCGAGCAGTGCGGCCACGGCGCGGCCGCATTGTGCCAAGGTGCTGGTGTTGATCTTCTGGGTGCCGTCATCGAAGAAGACGGCCTTCTTGTTTTTGATGTCGATGCCGTAGAAGTCGAGGCCTCCGGCGAGGGACCACTCGTACCAGAAGCTGCAGGCGAGGACGATGTAGTTTCCGCCGGCGGATTTGACGTCTTCGAGGGCTTTCTTGGCGACCGGGCCGTAGACGTTCTCCTCCATGAACTTCGTGTTGTTGATGTCTGGAAACAGTCAATTTTCGAGCGCTTGTTACGTGCGTTTAGCCCTTTGAGGATGGCCACTTACCCATGCCGTAAGCATTGGGCATGATCCAATGAACTCCTGCTTTAACAGCAGCCTTGCAGATAGTGGGATGCGTCTCAGGCGCAGCCGATGCGCTCAAACTGATGATAAGGAAGTCGTGACCGCGCATAGCTTCGATAATGGAGTCTTCGTTGGAATAGTCTACGGGGGCAACCTTGACACCCGAAGGAAAGGTGGCCTTGCTGCTTTGGCGCGAGATGGCGGTTATGTCATGGCGACCATTCTTGAGCAGCTCAGCTACGATATGTGAGCCTATATGCCCGGTGGCCTGCTGGAAGTCAGTATGTTTCTGTTTACGTAACCCCGAACAATGAGAGGCTAATCTCAAAATCCATATAGGCAACGTACACCGACGATGGCGACCTTGTTGATGCGGTTGTTTGGCATCTTGAGCTGTGCAATCGTTGCGGTATCGAAGAAGGGGATCTTGTGGAGAACGTTGTACTGAGGATGCGACGATCTGGTGTGATGAGAGCCTTCTTCAAGCCTTGAGGCCCATCCCTTTATACCTTCACCATGTTCTCTTCTCCGAGCGCAATCCGTGGTTGTACTGCCTAGATACGATTGCTAGCACATAACGGGAACTGCCGCTAACCCTGACTCGTATAATAAGCACGCAACGACGACATCCTCCCGTAGGCGGCGGAGGGACCCTAATCCCGAAGTACGTTCAGCAAACGGAGGTATTAGACCCCGAGCACAGCGCTAGCTGCTATAGGACTAACAGAAGGAGGAGAGCGGATGAAATCCACTCTCTGATTGGTGCACGTCACCTGATTTCCACGGACTTAGAGCCAGAAGTCCGCCTGGTGAAGGGAGCGACAACAACATTGACACGCCGATGTGGCTCTCAGCGAACGCCCAACAGGGACCGCGAGGACCCACACTAATGCCTTACAGTCACGCCGACTTCGTCTTCGTCCAGCTTTCGCGCAGTTCTCGTGTGGCTTCCCGTCCCAGCCATAAGCAGGCCAAGCTTTACATCAAACCTCAATCTTTGCAGACTCGTTTCCAGTATCTGCAGGCTTGATAAGTTCGTCAAGCCGCTCATTTCCCCCTTATGGAATGGCTGTTTAAACATTTGGATGAGCGCATGCAAGCATGCAAGTCTTGGGACTGATGTGAGTCTAGAGGTCTGCGCTTCACTTATGTATCATCGGTGTTCAAATCAGTGCCCACCAACAACATCCCTCAACTCCGTCTTCGGCGTCAAATATGGTTTCACCTGTTTCCGCACCTTCGTCCGCTGCTCAAACGCAAACGCAAACCCCACCAAGCTCTCCTCGCTCCACTTTGCCCCCGAAAAGCTGATACCAAACGGAATATTCGGCCCAGTCGCAACAAGATTTCCCCTCCCATTGTACCTTACCGTCGTGTTTGCTGGGTACGCCCCAAGCGGCACAGTAACAATCGGCGCGCCAATGATCGCTGAAATGCCCGACGACACGCTTGAAGGTGTGACAACAGCGTCGAGCGAGTAGTTGGCGAGGGCACCTAGGATGCCACCTATTCCGCCGAGGTATTGGTTATACTGGTAGGCGGCCCACTCTGCAGCTGAGCCGTATGTGACGTTCAGCGTGAGTGCTTCGTCCCAGGTTGCTGTGTCGCGGCTGGGGAACTCTTCGGGACCGAAGGATTGCGTGAAGTTCCGCACGTCAGCCAAAGATTTGACGCCCGTGGGATTGTAGGTCAATTGCTTCAGATAGCTCGCGAGGTTCGCAACGAAGTCGGAGTCGAGGACGATAGTTTCGGCGTTGCTTTGTGCCCATTGTTCGAACGCGGTGTAATTTGTGTTGTCAACTATGATGGCGCCTGCATCCCGGAGCACGTCGAGTGCGGCATCGAAGGCATCGAGGATAGGTGCAGAGTTCTCCTGCCCGAGGATGTAGTTCCGTGGCACGCCAATGCGCTTTCCCTGGAGGGCGCCGAGCTTGCATGCTGCAAGATAGTCTGGTAGCGTGCCATTGAAGGGAATTGCGGATGTGTAGTTGTCGGCAGGATCCGGGCCAGCGATCGCTTGTAGTAAGATCGCGGCATCCTTCACTGTGCGTGCCATAGGACCGACAGTATCCTGATGCTCTGAGATAGGTATGACAAGAGCGCGAGAGGTCAGTCCGACGGTTGGCTTGATGCCAACGAGGTTGTTCACATCGCTGGGGGAAATGATAGATCCGTCGGTTTCTGATCCCAGGCTCGCAACTGCTAGGCCTAAGCTACTTGCGACACCTGAACCGGAGGAAGAACCTGACGGGTCCTGCTTGGGATAGTAGGCCCCATACGTTTGTCCACCGTACGCTGACCATCCGTTCGAGCTGTTGGAGGATCGGAAATTGGCCCACTGGGAGAGATTGGCCTTCCCAAGAATGATGGCACCTGCTTGGCGAAGCTTTGCTGCTACAGTGGCATCGCGAGGAACTTTGGCGCCGCGGAGAGCATAGGAGCCGGCGGTGGTGTTCATGAGATCGTTCGTGGCGATGTTCCCTTTGATCAGAATTGGCAGACCATGGAGAGGTCCGCATCAGTGTTAGCCACGTATCAGAAGATGGTTGGCTTAGAGGCATACCCTCTACATTTACCGGCTTTCCTCTCAGCATCGAGAGCCTTAGCGATGTCCAAGGCATCCGGATTGAGTTCTGTAACCATATGCAGCGTCCCATTGACCTCCAATATCCGAGCGATATATGCCTCCACAAAATTAGCTTGCTGGGAAAAGGTCACACTGTCCTCTCCAACTCACATTGACAAGGTCTACGCTCGAGAACTCCCCTTTATCAAGACCTTTGGTCAGTTCACTCGCCGTAGCATCAAGCAGCTTTGGGAACTTATGCCCGCGGGACGGAGCTCCAGCCACGAGTGGCGCAACAATCGTAGTGGCTACGAAAGCTTTCCAGAGGTACGCCAGCAAGAGCATGGTTACGCAGTCGCAATGATGAACCACTTATTGGTACGGTCAGCCGTCGTGCCGGTCTTGGGAGCAGCTGTGCTGCTCTTATAGGTGCCTGACGACATTTCTGCATCCCGGTTTAACCAGCATAGTCTACCAGGATACAAACAGTCGATCAATTCACAACAAGCGTACAAGGACGATAAGAGACCAAGGGTCTGGCGCTGCCAGGTACAATAGTCAAGTACTCGCAACAAAGCTTCGGCAGTGGTACGAGCCATTGCGCTGTACCAGCCGCGCTGAAACAGTATCACCAGACTTCCTCGCTCGTAGTAGCAAAAGGTAGGTGTGACCTCAATAGAGTTGGCACAAAACATGCATTCATCTCGCGATGTCAATGATGATGTTTGCGAGGTTGGACCTGCATGCGGAGAACTCGATGACCGATAGTGGGCTAGCTGAAATAGGAAGGCGCAACGTGAGTTGAGAAATCTGGGGCGGGACAACTCGACGCGTTGTTCTCCGCGGGCGCGGGACGGCGGCCGCTAGCAGTGATTGCGCATCACATTTGTGAACTTCCGATGGTCGGCTGGGACGCTTCTTGGGAGCAGTTATCGACCTTCCTTTTTGGGCGACGTGATTGCATAATGGTCACCAACAAGATATGCTCTGGGACGCGTTCTTGAACGTTGTTGTCGTTGCCGTTGCCGTGGCCGTTGCCGGCCAGATACTGTGCTCTACGGGGGTAGTTGAAACCCTTCTACACGCAACAAGGCTTTCTCAGCAGCCGTTATGTCATTGCTGGTTTAGTCGAAGTAGCCCGGAAAGAGCCACTGCAGCTTCTGCTCGACTGGTCCGCGGGCCTCCTTGTGGGTCATGGCGCCCGCAAACCTCATTTGGCCTTCAAGGTGCTTCGCAAGCACCAACTGGCCGTGTTCCTCCTTGCTGAGCTCGTCAAGCACCGCGCCGACAAATCGACGTGCATTCTCCGAGTTGGCTTTCATGTGTCCCATCACCATCTCAACGTTGACATCCTCATCGGGTCCACCTCTCCAGCAGTCGTAGTCTGTAGCCATGCAAATCATCTGGTAGGCGATCTCGGCTTCGCGTGCCAGCTTCGCCTCAGGCAGCGCGGACATATTGATGACTGACCCGCCCCAGGAGCGGTAGAGGTTCGACTCGGCGCGTGTGGAGAACTGCGGGCCCTCCATACAAATGAGCAGACCCGTATCGTGCAGACGGACGCCTTCGCCCTCCAGCGAGTGCCCGCAGCGACGCACAATCTTGGCCAGGCTCGTGTCGAAGGGGTCGCCGAAGCCGACGTGTCCCACCATGCCGCCCTCAAAGAAGGTGAAGGGTCGGATGCCCTTGGTGCGGTCGATAATCTGGTCTGGGACGACGAAATCGCGCGGGTGTACCTCCTCCTGCAGCGAGCCAACAGCCGAAAAGGCGATGATGGTGCGCACGCCGATGCTCCTCAGGGCAGCAATGTTGGCCCGGTTCTTCACCTCATGCGGGGCGAGCTCGTGGTGCAGACCGTGTCGTGAGAGGAAGGCAATGGGGGTGGGCTTGCCGGACGAGGGCGAGGGGTGGTGCAGGATGGAAATAGGCGACGATGGCTCGCCCCACGGCGTGTCGACCTTCAGCGACGCGGCGAGGGTGAAGCCGGGGAGCGACTGGATTCCTGTGCCGCCAATGACGGCAATGTGGACGGGCTCTGTTGGCGGTCAGGACGCGTCTTGCGGGTTTTGAGTTTGGCGCGGAGGAGAGAGCTGCGCACCGTCATACGTAGAAGCGACACCAGCCATTCTGCGGTACGGAATGCTTATGAAACGTTTCGTTGTGTGTGGCACAAGACGAGAGGACAGGAAGCATCCAGCGCGCGGCAGCATTCACGCAATTCGCGAGTGCCGACACGTGGATTGCCTTCTTCCAATTTTCGGGCGCGTAGCGGGGCATCGGATGACGCCATGCGCCCCGACCCGTGAAGCCCAAGGTACACAGCATGTAACCACCACCAGTCGTCCTCAACGCCTATCGCGAGTTGCACAATAATCACCGATGGATCATGGACTGGTCAGTTGTACACCCTATGAGCTCCAGATGTTGACTGAGTATGTGGACTTGCTCGGAACCATGTCATCAAGATCAATCATCACGTCGAAGCAGTCCGGACTTGGTTGAGCGAATTGCGCGGCGTCAACGGGGACAGTATAACAAAGCCCTACGTACCAGCCACCGGCCTCTGATGATGATGAACACGAGTGTTGTCCTGTCTGTAGGATCGAGTACCCCCGCTGCGGGCGCAGAATTGCACGAGACAGCCAAGAGCCGGCTCGGGGAACAAAAGCATGCAGACACAACTTCGAAGAAATGTGCCTCGAAGCCTGGGTAACGCGCAACAAGGTCCAAAGCGCTTGCCTGACGTGTCGTGGGAGTCTATTTGATGCAGTGGATCGTGAGACCTGTGTTGTTCCCAGAGCGCTTAGAAGACTGCGCCGCGTTTGCAACCGTTCGAACTGGGTACCGAGCTTAGTTTGTGGAAGCGTGCCGGAGGTTTTATAAGTTAGTTGTCTGCGGTCCGCATGGCAACACCAATGGTCAAGCGATGGGATGCCTCAGAGTGCAATATTGTACATCAAGGAACTTGTTTCCGCACATGCAATACATAGGGCTCTAGAACACATTAGAAGTAACTGGTCTGAATAAATCATGCTGCACACCGCGAATTGCGCTTATTTATCTCTAAAGGAGGTCACATTGTGTGGTCGTGCTAGAAGGTACACAGTACATCGTGGACACGCGCTTTTCCACTTGGGGCGGTCCCCACGTCCCAAAAAAGCTGCCCAATCGGAGTTCCCCAAATGCGAACAAGCCAATCGTTCCCAACACGTCGCAGGACCTTTCATCTCACACCTTCGGCAATGTAAAGCATCGACTCAGAGCTCATTCAGTCGTCTGCATGCACCATGGCCAATCTTCTTCCGAATCATCCGAGCCCGCCAACATCCTTCGAATTGGCCTTCGCGTGCCCTCCTACTCGTGGATCCGCTCCACCCACCCCTTGAGCACGGCTAACAATGACTGACCTCATGACCAAGCCCGCAGACAGCCGCCCTATGAGCATGAAGAAGAACCAACGGAAGGTGAAATCTGGATGCCGGACCTGCAAGTAAGTGTCGGGCCCCCCACTAAACACACAGCTATCTGAGCTGATACTTCGCCTCAGAGTTCGAAAAGTGAAGTGCGACGAAGGTTGGCCTGCCTGCCGTGCCTGTATCTCTACGGGGAGAGTCTGTGATGGCTATGGAATATGGGGTGGAGGCGGAAACCGCTACGGACAACGTCAAGCCCTAGGAACTGCGGCAAAGTGCCCGCAGGCAACTCAGCGCGACCACAGCGTAAAACTGCTTGTTCAAGGGAGTCCATTTCCACCGCTAATACCAGTATCAAACACTGAAGAGCACTTGCATTTCCAATTTTTCAAGGAACAGACCTTGGCAAAATTACCAGGTGTGTACAGCAGCAAGTATCGCAACCTATGGGAATCCCTAGTGGTCCAGGCTTGCGCCGAAGAGCCGGCTGTCATGCATGCAGTACTAGGTGAGTTTGGGCTAGTACGATTGAACGAGCTACAAATTGACTCTCTTGACTCTCATTGGTAGCCATCAGCTCGGCACACCGAAGGAAAGTACTCGATGGTGCTTCCAGGAACAAGGTGCTGGTGCTCCCGGACAAGCAAGAGGAGTTCTTGCTCCGGAACTATTGCAAGTCTATGCAATACCTTCAGCCCAGCTTTCAGAACTGTGGAACGCGATCTATACGAACCACTTTGATCACCTGCCTTGTTTACATTTATCTCGAGCTTCTACGGGGCACCTACAAGCGCGCATATGACCATCTAGATGGCGGCATGAGACTGTTGGCCGATCTACACGATGAGACATCTAAAAAGGGAATTTTGCCTAGGACTTCTGCTCATAAGCCGTCTTTAAGCCTAGATCAAGATTGCATAGACGCCTTTCTCACAGAAGCTTTCGCTCGATTGCGAGTCCAAATGGAATTCTCGAGGCTCCGATCCGGCACAGGCTCTACGCTCGCTCCTAAAGTCGCGCCTGACCTCCCCACTCTCAAATTTAGTTCCTTCCACGAAGCACGCCATTATCTGGACCGCGTGTTCGATGGCATCAATCTCATATCGAAAGCGATTCGTGATGGAAGCCATGCAAGCTGGCCTGATGGTTACTGGAACATGGTATTGACTGAGCGCCATTTCATGCAGGGCTCTTTGGACTCGTGGCTGCGGTCATATACTGCCACCACAGCTGATTTGGGCAGTAAGAAGAATGATAGTGAGCTCACAGAGTACAGAATGCTTCGCATTTATCACACCATGGCCGAAATCTTGGGCGCGACCTGTCTGTCGCCAGAACAAGCGGTCTTCGACCATCATGGCGCGGGTTTTCTGTCCATAGTTACACAGTGTAACAACATTGCGTTGGCTGGCGAACCCAGCAATCATGCTTCTAGTGGTGCTCGCCTTCCAGATACTCGTCGTCGCGCTTGGCCGGACATCAGCTGGATACCCCCTCTGTACTACACCGCCATCAAATGTCGCGATCATCAAATTCGTACGCGCGCTGTGGATCTCATGTCTTCTTTCTGGCTTTACGAGATCGTCTGGGACCTAGGAATCCTGAACATGTCCAGCATCGTCGCTAAGGAGGTTATTCGAATGGAAGAAGGAGATTTCTTCACACCTGCAGTGAATTTGCAGGAGAGCGATAATAACATCATGCTCAAGAAAGTTATCGAGCATGACTCGGATCCGTCGCCATTATCGTTGCCAGAAGAGCGGAGATTCGATACAGTCGAAATGGTGTTACTAAATGACGTCCTAGGAAACATCCAAATGGCGTGTAGGAAGTGGCTTCAGGGGCAGGAACAAATCATCCGAAAAATATACAATGCAGCAGAAGATGCATGGATCAAAGTTGAAGAAGATCCGATATCAAGATCAAACGTTCAAAGGAGCGTGGCCTTTAGCACCGAAGGAATTGCGAATCGAATATGATGACCTCACTCCTCGTATATCTGGAACTCAACCATGGGAAGTGTGCTCATAGATTTCTTTCAGAGCATAGAAGTCCTTGCCAGCCGCTCATAAAGCCTGGAACAAATGCTACACATTTTGGGGTCTGTCTGTACTTTTGCTGACTAAGCCGCACCACAATGGATGCTTTTTCCGACCAAGCCTCTTTTTGCCCGCTCACAAACTTGGAAAGGACGACCGTTGCTGGTATTCTGTTATTGGACGGAAGCAGTCACGTTGTGACGATCGTTTGCATCAGTTTCACGAGGCTTCAGCAATTCCATGAACGACCAATCATATCCCATAAGGATACCACCTTCCCAATGAACATTGCCAGGATGCCTAAAGTGGCAACATTCAAATGCCAGGTGACTGCGCATCCTGTTCAGTCGTCTTCCCCTCACTCCTTTTCAACTTATCGACGAGAATGAAGTTCTGCGACATTGTCGCGCTTCTGGCGAGCCTCGCGCAGCTGGCAATTGGCCTACCTCAAGCGCCTGTGCAGCAGGTCGTCAACCGCGCCAATTCAGGCTGTGGGAAGACACAATGGCCGACGGACTTCACGCATTATCGCCTAGGATTGAAAAGTAGTGGAAAGGATCGAAGCTACTCGTACCATATACCTGCGAACTACGACGATCAAAAGCCCTATCCGGTCGTTGTCGGATTCCATGGCTCTAGCAGCATTGGCCTTTTTTTCGAGCTTGACACAAAGTTGAGTCAGTCACGGTATAGCGAAGACGTATGAGAGCCTTTCGTGTTGCTGCAGCGACGTTTGCTGACACCAGCGAACTAGAAAATAGTCGTCTATCCCAACGGCCTCGATGGTAGCTGGGCTGGACCAACATACCACACATCCTCAACCGTGCAAGAAGACATACAATTCGTAGCGGACCTGCTCGCGGATGTCAAATCTAACGTTTGCATAGACGAGGACAAGATCTTTGCAGCCGGCATGTCCAATGGTGGCGGCTTCATCGGAACACTAGCCTGCGATCCCCTCGGCAGCACTCTTTTCAAAGCCTACGCCTCTCATTCTGGAGCCTTCTATACCGATCTCAATGGTCCGAAAAACAACTGCGATCCTTCCCCTAAAGCACTCCCTATCCCGCTTCTGGAAATTCATGGCGGCAACGATAGTACCGTGCACTACGAAGGAGGGCAGGGCGACGGTGGTCCTGAACCTCCAATCCCAGACTGGCTGGACTGGTGGGCGGAGAGGAATGGATGCGACAGCAAGACCGAGGAACCCCTTTTCGAAGGACAGGTGCAGCATCTATCATGGAAGTGCGGGGACGCGGAGGGAGTATTGCAGCACTATAAAGTCTCGAGCATGGGTCATTGCTGGGCTGACACAGAGATCAATCTTTCGCAAATTTCAGTTCCGCAAGGCCCAACGGTGATAAGAGCTAGTGAGATTATCATGAGGTTTTTCGACAGCGTGTGAAAGAATAGGAGCCATTCTCACCGATCCGAAAAGTAGGTTTGCTTTCACGACCATCGTTTCTTTCCGGCGGTATCGGAAAACGATGCGGACTATCATCTATATAAGATACCAACAACATACTTTATGGGGAATTGTTCCTGTAGATAGGCTTTCATCATCAATCGTCGCCTACATCCTCCAAGCTGTGTCATTCCTATTCGTTATATGGAAGCTCGGCCTCTTTAGTTTCGAATCTTATCAACATCGTACCAGTCAACTCCTGTTCAGGTTCCTCATATCAGATGAAACAGAACTCGATAATAATAGGCATAAAGTTTCTAACAGTTACAATACGTCCGACCGACCAAGTCTTCTCCAGAGAGACTCTGGTGCTAGCTAATAGAGAACTTTCACTAGAGATTCGCCAAAAAAATGCCATGTAGGCTGAGAAAGTGATGGGGCTCTCTACAATCATTTGTATCGGGCGGAGCTTGATGACTCCAGCAGAACAGCTCATTTGTTGTAGTGTTGACCTTATCTCTTCCATGTACTCAGAGATAGTCCGCAATCTATCATGGCTGCGAGAAATGTAGCCATGCTGAACAGAAGAGTGGCATCGGGAACTAAGCGTAGCGACTCGTGAGCTGGACCCCTAAATGCGACCAAATTGCTCTCTCGTGCGAGTTTCTCCTGAAACCGTATGCTTATAACTACGACGCCATCGTAAGGCGAGTATGGACACGTTAATAACTCACGGTTTGATCAAGAAATGTACCCGTAAGGCACGTGTAGAACGAACATAAGATTCCACAACCGTTATCAAGCTTACAGACCAAAAGCAAACTTCGACGTTCCAGCTAAGAACACTGCCCACTTGCTGAGACCCATCGTAATCTTCCTTCCCTTTACCGCTTAAAATTGCTGCCATCTCCCTATGTCCCTCCAGTCCGCATGAGCGAAACTCGCACTGGTCCTACCACTTTGCTCTCGTGGGTTTCTAGGTATGTGTCTGCTCGCATTACGCCTACGAAGAGAACTACATGGGCTCACACTGCGATGACTGTACCCGTCACGCGGCATTTGGCGCGGCCACTCGGCTTGGTCACGAGGAAGGCTTACACGACGAGCGTATGGGCTCTGTTCGTGGATTGTGCGTATTTCCCCCGGCGTGAGGAGACCTTGCTGTCGATAGAAGGCGTCAGCGCTGCGGTGATCGCTTCCGAAGTAGTTTTGTTGATTGCGGGGATTCATATCTGCAGTTAGCTTAGATAGCGTGTGCCGTGACAAGAGCTGAATTCGTCGCCCCTATGGTCGTCGGTTCTTTTGTTGGTATAAAAGTTGCTAGTGCGTATACTTTGTGGTACTACCGCTGGCGCTGGAAACTGTTCTGCGGGAATCCGGAGGGTCTTTATAGTGGTAATCACGATGCGACTGGGAGAGCTTCATTTTTTTCATGTGACTGGCGAGTGAGTGGAGTGGTGTCGGGGATATTTGAATATTCAGTACCTCAGAAGCCACAGTCATCTCCGTGCGTGTGATTTGTCACTGGAAGTGCACATGGTGCTGTCTTACACGCTGATAGCGCGCTGGCAAACGCATCATGTCAATCTACACGCGCAAGATTGCGAAATCGACTGTTCGCTCCTGTGCATGTGTCCGTGGTAGGGTAGCATAGGTCTAAGTCAAATAGCGGCATATGTGAGCGTGCTTTATATCGGGAGAGTTTGATTTATGGCATGATGTATGTTTGGGTGGTGTGGGAAGCGTAGTTCAAAGAAGTAACGCTTCTGGTATGCTTGTTACACGCAGGCGCTTCTATGAAGTTCGCAGTGTGAAGTTTTCTCCAAGTGGCACTTCCGGTTTGGGTTATAGGGTCAAGGACTGCTAGTGGTATGTGAGTATGTCTCTCATCGTCGACTTGAACACATGGAGGGTCAGATGATCACTTACCACGCGTTAATCGACCCCATGTCGCGAGACGACTCAACGGCACCCCTAAAGGACTTCACACTCGTGGCCAAACAGTGCGCGAATTGGAACATCACCGATGTAACATGTAGCCTCACTCTGCAGCCACGCCCACGCGGCCGTGAGCAGGCGCAACTAACCGTTTTTGTGCTCCTTCATGAGCTCTCGACTTTTACGGAAGGAAAAGTAGACCTGTTACAGGGCTGTCTACGTAAGACAGCGCTGACGCGCCTGGAGTGCAGCAAGGGTGTCGAGAAGCGGAAGATTACCACGGTGGACGTGAGATATGTGATGGGCTGATTGAGGAGAGGGCCAGCAACGGGGAAACAGAATGGGAAACGATCTAACGCAGAAGAAAAGCAAGCTGGAATCTATGAGATTAAGCAAAGGCGCGACAAAGTCATTGACGGTGTCGATGGAAAGCCCATGGTCAGGAGGAGCGCACGATTGGCTGCGGATAAAGCGGATGAAAGCACAGAAAGCCTTCGCGTTCTATCCACGGATCCAGCCACGACGGAAGCAGACAGCCGCGATGTCGAATCGATCGAAAGCGAAAGCGACGATCATAGTCATGAGGATGTCTTTCCCGAATCGCCCCCTACATCGCCACATCAATATCCTTGCCTGAGTAATGATGGTTCGAGCTACCGGTATGCTGCACTGAGTGACGACTCATGGCTTGTTTTACATGGAGATGAAGCCCCAGGCACGGCCAATCGCCTGCAAGAACTGGACGGGTACCTGAGTGAGCATCAGCTCCAGGATGCCCTCCCTCCACTCCTGGACGATCTCCAGGAGACAGGCACTGCAGGTACTCTGGCGCGCCGCAGGCTGGCACGGCTTATTCAGCTACGAGAGCAGCCAACGGCGTATTGTAAACGAGAACCCATACGAGCAATACGTGAAACCTCACAAGACTGAAGTGCAAAGGTTGAAACAATCTCTTGCTGTTGATTCAGCGTCTCAACTTATGTAGTGACCACGACTCTCTTGACTACCATCGTACCGGTAGCGCGTGACGTCATAGGAAACACCGCGCTCCAACTTTCTTCTCGTCCCTTTCGATCCTTCCGTACACCACCACCATTAACCAATCGATTTCTCCCCAGCGACAATCACTGCATCATTGCCACTTTGCGACACCTTCCCCTCTGTACTTCTGCCACTATGCCTCTTCGCGTGCCGACGGTCCGCTTAACCCAGCGCATCTCCCCTCGTGCCTTCACCACGACATCGCGCGCCTCCCTGAACGAGGTCGGCAACCGCTCTGGCGAACAACTCGAGCAAAAGAAACAGGAGCAGTTGAAGAAGCAGGAGAAGGGCGAGGGCCATTGGCATGAAGAGCTTGCGTCACAATCCGAGGCTAAGATTGCAGCGGACAAGGAACACGTGAAGGATCACGACAAACACATGAGTGATTTGCAGCAACATACGGCCAAGAAAGGCGAGAAAGGGGAGCTATCTGTAAGTCAATCGCTGTGTATGGGTGGGTCGCATTGGCGCGCTAACGATTGGCAGTGATTGTCAGCCGGAAGCGCACGAATTGTACATAATCTCGATTAACTTTGATGCGAATATTCCGAACCTCATTGATCAACCTTATTTTAAACTGCCCTACAAAGGATCTCTTCCCATTGGCGTTCCTACTGCAGCTGTAACATGTTGCTAGCACCAGAGCCGTACTCGTACCAAAAGCCACTGCGAGCCTACCAGCGAGTTTCAAACGCCTATCCATGCATTGACACTCGGCCCACCAAACATGTACTTTGAACCTATCCTCAACGGGTACTATTGCCTTGCTCACAGCACGTGGTGTCAGCTACGGTCCATCCGCGAACGCTAGTTTCTTCATGACGCCCACAGCGGTCATTTACCGGCCCACTGTGTGTGCAGCTTCGTTCGGCCCCTTCCTACGTGAGCTTGGTAAGTAGAATGCACACCTCTTGAGATGGATTCGCCCTCCTTTCCCATCTCAATGCTGCATGAAGACCGACCGAGATGGTAACCGGATCTCGACGTTGCTAGCCGTAGCAGACTTCGTTTGTCTCACGCAGCGCCGAGACATGACGGAATCTGGGTCTCGAACCGGTACGTATTCGGTACGATCAGTGCACCGGTGCGGGCACGAGTTCGGCATGCCACGTTCGATGCCTGAAGACATGGACTTATCGGGTTAGCGCCGGGATGCGCCGCATGTCATCCAGACTTCCGTCCCTATATGAGGCTAGTCCTAAGGGCAGCGTACGCACGCGGCAGCTGCTCCGCTCCCCCAGACAGCCCAGCTATTATCGGCGCACACACCCCTTGCAGGAGCGTGCACCGATGCAAGCAATACATCTGCCAAAGTTTCCGCTCGTTGGAATTTCCTTTTCTTACTTCGTCTCGCGCACAGCTGCGTTCACGGCAGACTAACCGTCCGCTAAGCGGTCTAGCAGACCAGTTATGCCGAAAGCACAGCGCTCGCGCGCCTGCCAGCAATGTAGGGAACGCAGGGTAAAGGTGCGTATGTTCCTGCATTTCGGTAAACATGGTACGATTTGTGCAGATCCGTTGACGTATCCTGTTCTAGTGCGATGAGACGCCGGAAACATGCCAGCAGTGTTACCGCCTCAATCTGAGGTGCTCGGGACCCCTGCAAGGCTCTGTCATTATTGACATGACTGAGCGCGTGACAAGACCACGACCACGTGCGAAGCGTGAAGTGAAGACGTCGCCAGTGGTCTGCGCAAAGAGCGAAAACGAAGCATCGCCTAACGACAAGGTACTTGTTAAGAACGAACCCGGCACTCCGGATCACCCATCGAGCAAATCGGCGCTACCCGTCGCTTCTCCGTCCAGTCGGAAACCCTCTATGCTCGACCAAGTGCAGCGCAAGGAATTAGCGACTAGAGATGCCATCGCCCAAATTCAACGTCACTACAGACTGCCTGCCCTGTATCAGCCGTCAAAAGCTGTTCCCGATGCACTCGACATGGCCTTCATTTCACATTTCGTACACCAAAACAATGCCACGCGCAAATATACGCCAGAAGTACCATGGATAACATCTCTACCCGATGTCCACGGCACGGCATCCAAGCCCGCTGTACGACTCTCAATACGTGCTGCATCCATGGCTTTCTACGCCGCCGTGCATCGAGACACTACCATTCTCGTCGACTCGTACCGATGGTACACCATGAGCCTGAACTGCCAAAGACAGTCGCTCGCTAGACTACCTGCGAACACTATTCCTGATGCTGAAGAGATTCTTGTTCCTATCATCTTGAGTATCTATGAGGCGTACGCAGGCACGACTACGACTAGCATGTGGCCGCATATGGCAGCAGCGGCGAAGATCGTCGAGCTACGTGGGCCGACCAATTGCACGGGCATCACCTCTACACTCTTCAAGATAATGCGCGTTTCCGATGTGAGTCAGTCTTGATTTCGCGACCCTAACCATCACTAACGGCCGCGCCAGGCACACAAAGCTATTGTCTTCAATACACCCTCCGCTTTTGCCTCTCCCAGATGGTTTACCACGCCCTTTATAGGTCAAGCGAAAAGCGCTCACCAAGAGATCGCCGACATAATGCTGCTCATACCCGAGACAATCGCCATGCTCGAGGTTGTACCAGGCAGCCTCCGGCGATTCTTCAACCAGCCACTGCCATTTGGTGCCGTCGCCGAACCTGTCGTTGCACGAATACATGAGTGGCTACGCTTCCTCGATGAATGGGCCATACGCTTCCCCTACCTCACAAAAGCACCCATCGGCGAGATCGTCGTCACCACCGACATGACCAACCTCTCAGCAGGCGTCAACGTGACGACAAACGGGGAGCTGACATTGCCTAATAGCTTCGTTGCTTTCACAGCTGCCTCTTACCAGGCTCTCCGCCTCATCCTCTTCCTGCTTCTCCACAAGGTCATGCCCAAGATGGCTCCTTCACCTCTGCCCGTTTTCACTACGTCACCCACCTACCCGTCGCCGCCGTCTGGATCTTCACCGGCCATCCCTCGCATAGATGAAACCTCATTACTGGACACTGCAACCATAGCCGCGCAAAACGTTTTGGATATCGCAAAGTATCAGGAGACTACACATCAGATTGGCGGATTCGATGTGCTGCGTACTGTGTTTCCGCTCGTGATTGTGGGAAATTTGAGCCCGGGCCAGAAGGAGAAGGATAGAGCGGTCGATACACTTACAAAATGGGGTCATCAGAGAGGTATAACAGGGTTGTGCACGGCTTGGCTGAACGTATGAGACTAGATCCACTACAGAAAATGTTCAGTGCTTGGTTTGGATTAGCACTGGGAGCAGTCTCTCAGCTCGATACTTCGGCAGAATGTGGTTTGAGGCCCAAGTCTATGCGCCGAAAAGCAGGACCGGTCGACACAATGACCGCGTGCTCTTGCTTGCGGCCACCAATGCTCCACTTCCTACGTAGGAAGAAACATCCGATCCTGCCGATCACACGCAGTCGGAGCCGTAACTGCCGCTGTCACTTGAGGCAAATTTCCATCACCTACTTGTAGAAACATGGAGGGCAGCACCCAGAATGCACAAGTGCAATCAGAGCAGCAAGAAGGCATTAGCGCATCCGTCCTACCATAGCTTCGAGTCTAAGGGGTCTCGCATGCGAAGACATGGCGCCAGCAATGGCGGTAAAAGTCCTTTTCGCGTACACAATCCCCTCTACATAAAACTAATTTCAATTCGAATTGACGTGTGAACTCCCTTTGCTTGACATCTCGCGGTGAGTGATGAGAAACGCAGCAATCGCGCCAGCCATGGCAGGAAAGCGCGTCCAGCAGCCTCGAAGTTCAATTGCTTCCCCCGAGACGCCCAGAACATGACTTCCCGCGCATATGAGCATCCGGATCTCACTTATCTGTCTGCAATGGGGACTCGACACTCGAGCCGCTTCCTCTCTCGTCCGATGCCGTGAAGCCCTGCTCTCCCAACGACGGGGCATGGAGACTACCCGTCGACCCTTTCTCGAACCCTTACAAAGCCAACAACATTGAATTAGAGACTGCACGAGCCAACAAACGGTAGTCGCTAGCTTCGATGACAACGTCGTTTCTGTTCCGCAGCCATCCAGCTTCGCTAACGTCCTCGTGACTGTCATGCGCCCCTCTACACTCGATAACGTTCTCGTCACTGCTTCACGAGCCTTCCGAAGCGCCTTTTACGCAGTTGGTGGATGATCAGTCAGTCTCTAAGTGGTTTTCTTTTTCGCACAACCCGTCCGCGATCTATCATCTCTTCGACGTGGAACCAAAATACAACGACACGAAGGCACGCCATCAGACCTTGGAAAGCCACAGGTCGAGCACCCGGTATGCAAGATAGTGAAGAACGCATCTCTGGAGGTACAGTTAGGAAGAAGCCACCGACCGAGTGAAGCAGAAGATTTTATAACAAGAGAAGATATCCTTATTGATAATAAGACAGTCGTACATCAAGACACTTAACATATACGCCACGGCCACCGACTCTTCGAAATCCAATGCCAGAGAATCCAATTGCACCACTCTAGGGAATCTTAAAAAGTTATCGCCAAAGTACAACTGTATCCTACAAACGCAACACACAGCAAAAAATCACTGCAAAAAATCAATTAAATCGTCTCCTCTTTCCCCCACGCCTCTCTGGAGCCTGCATGTTCGCATAAAAGCCATCAACGCGGTGTCCTCCATTGCGTGTGACACGGCGCGGAGCAGGATTCGGTGCGGGGTTTGCAGCTACACCTATGAACGCTTGAGCTGCTGCTTGAAGAAGCTGGAGTTGGGTACGTCTGACTCTGAGAGGTCTGGGAGGTCGAGGTGGAAGATGAGGTGGACGGGGTCGGAGAATTGGTCGAATTGGTTGAGGTCGAGGTTGAGGTTGAGGTCGAGGTTGAGGTTGAGGTTGAGGTTGAGGGGGAGGTTGAGGCTGAGGCTGAGGTTGAGGAGGTGGAAGTTGATCTTCCTCTTCTTCTCCTTCCTCCCCTTCTTCTCCTTCCTCCCCTTCTTCTCCTTCTTCTCCTTCTTCTCCTTCTTCTCCTTCTTCTCCTTCTTCTCCTTCTTCTCCTTCTTCTCCTTCTTCTCCTTCTTCTCCTTCTTCTCCTTCTTCTCCTTCTTCTCCTTCTTCTCCTTCCTCCCCTTCCTCCCCTTCCTCCCCTTCCTCCCCTTCTTCCCCTTCTTCTCCCTCGTCTCCTCCAGAGACTGGATCTTGATCTCTTTCTAAAGGTTCAAAATCATCGTCTTCATGTTCATACTCCTCTCCATTCGGCCAATCAGAAGCACCATAGTACCTACGCCCGATAGCATTCAATTCGACATCCCAATCGCGTCCCGTAACACCGAGGTCGTTAAGCGTGGCTCTTACATCATCGTAAGTGAGCCACCTTCTCAGATCGGCCGGGTCAACTAACAACCGTCTACGAATCTCGGTTCTGAGGAAGAACAGCAGGTGGATAGTGCCACTCCCATCACTCTCGTCGTCGAAGATCTCCTGCTGCGCTGCGTTCCAGCGGGCATGGTCCGCAGGGTCTAGACCCCCTAGATTTCCTGCGAGGAGGCGCAACGCCTCCAGCAATATCGGGTCCCAGAATCTCATATCTGCTCGATCTAGACTGGGGTACAACGTGGACCCACGCATTGGCGAACCTGCCGGCGGAGGGAAAAAGAAATCCTCGTCAAAGCCGGAGAAGAATTCATTGGCCTGCGGCACGCTCCAAATGCGTGCCAACTCCTGCAGAATTTGCCCGATACGGTCCCGGTGGTCCTCACTGAAGGGTTGGAGAGGCTCGTCCGTGTAGCTTACGGTTTCGTTGTAGGTCTGCATGCTGTCCACTGCGTTCCTGAGCTCCTCATAATCGAAGCGATCGGCCAGCTCAACTGCACGCGTGTATAAGGCAACTCTGTCATCGTGAGTCAGGTTTGATTCTGGGTTCGTGTATGCCTCCAATCTATCGTTCACCTGCAGGATGTCCTGATGATCGATGTCGTTGAATGTTTCCTCCAACGTGTTCCGCGCACCCACGCTCAAGTTCCCATCTTCTTGCGCCTCTCGTCTCAACGACGCTCTTCGCCCTGGCGTCGCTCGATAGTCTTCGATATTTACATAACCCACGTCTTCCAGCCAAGCGTCCTCCTCAACGAGACCTTCACCATTGTAAACCACTTGGTAGTAGTCTAAAATCCTTTGCCTCAAGATTTCGTGCTGTTCGTAATAAGTCAAAATAGTCTCCGTAGGATCTTCACTGTCAATTTCTTCCAACATCTGCATCCAGAGGACTTCTGCCCGTGCTGTTTCCGGGCTCGTTCTGTGGAGCCGTGAGCTGTTTGCGGCCATACTTGGAAGACAAACGTCAATAGGAATGCTTAACCGTTGTGTACTGTCTATGCCACCGAATGTAATTCCAGGGTGGACGTTCATAAGTCAAGAGACCGACTGGCTCCCTTTGATGGCTCAAAGCATCACGAATAAAGCCTCACAACAGAGTCGATGAAGTGTGTGGCTTCTGAACAGACAAAGCCAGCAAACGTGACTGCAATTATGCCTTTGTTGCAGCATTTTGGGTGGCTGAAAGCCGTTATATGCCAAAGATGTATTTGTCGCCGTTCTTTGTGTTGACCGATGGTGCTGCCCTTCGTCCATGTCAGAGCTGTCTGCCAGTCAGGACGGATGTTGAATGGTGTAGTCATTCTAATCAAAAGAGAAGCTGATCGTATGATTGATAGAGATATTCATTAATGCATGTACCTGTGCACCTTTTCAGGTGCCGATAAAGAATCAAAATTGCATAATACGCCGAGTAGCGTAGGTTTGTACATTTGAAAAATGAAAAACTCCAGGATTCCCGAGCGGTATAAGCAGAGGACTGTCCAAATGCAATTGAAGCACGTCGTCTAGTGGTATGTCGCATGCGAAACAGAAACGCCAAACGCTATGATAGAGAAAAGAACACAATGCAGATGCGCTTAGGAAGAATGAGATCGGAAAAGCATTTTGAGACCAGAAGGTTCCTTCTTCTTGCTCTTCTCCTTGACGGTCTTGCTGCGGGTTGTGGAAGTGGATTTCGCGGTGGTAGCGGTCTTCGCGGTCTTTGCGGTCTTTGTAGTCGCCTCGCTGCGGACGCTCTTTGCTTTGTGGGATTTCGAGCGATGCTCGCCATCTTTTCTGGAGCGTGCACTACGTCGAGACTTGATGTCGTCCTCGTCTAGGACTCCTTCAGCAGCAAGGTGTCGTGTTGCGCCGGGCGTGATGAATTCGCCGTCGACTGAAGTGCCGGCGCTTTCGGCTTCGACGTCTGCGATGCCACGGCGCCAGACCTCGATGCGGCTAAGCTCTGGGGGCTCCAACTCGTCCAGCATCAGCGGCTCTTCGATCGGGCCCATATCCATACCCATAGCCATAGGCTGGGCCTGCTCCTCCTTCTGAGCTTGCAACTTCTTGACGATTTTATAGCCACCAAGCGCAACAATGGTGACACCAACCGCGACGCCTCCAGCGATCATGAATTGGGGGCTCGCGAGCAGAGCTACGACAGCAGGGAAACTCTTGGCGAGTATGGGGAGGACACTAGGTCCCATCTTCTTTAACATGGTGCTGATCTCGCCAAGCGTAAGCGCAACCGCGGCAAGCGCATCCGGGTTCTTTTGTAGGTTTTCAATCATCGAGGTGACGGAATATTGTAGACAGTTGGCCTCGTCGAGGAGCATGGTGATCTTTGACGCTTTTTCGCGCAGCTCCCCCTCCTCGTAGCGCTTGTCTGGCAGGGGCGGTGGGATATCTCCATAGCAAAGGTCCATGTCAACGCCCGAATCAGATTTCCGTCGCGAGGGATCCGAGCGCTTCACGGAGATAACAGCTTCGGTATTCCGCCTGGCGAGCTCCATCTTGTGGCCTTCCTGGGCGGCGCCTGCCAGATCATCCTCGAAGCGGTGGCGGTTGCGGCGCGGTGACGAGTCGTCGTTGGCATAGAAGCTGTCGGTGTAGCCACGGCCCAGCGGGGGCCGCGAAGGTCGGCGCGACTTGGATCGGTGGGTGTCAGCTTTGGAGTGCTTGGAGCGGTGCGAAGATGCGCGCGAGCGGGTATCGTCGTCCAGGCGGACCGACTTGATGCCCTCGCGGAGCTTCTTCTCTTGCAGGGCGGCGTTGCGCTCGGCCTGGATCTCAGCTTTGCGCTCGCGGTAGGCCGACTTGGCCTCCTTGAAGACGTTGATGATGTGCTTGGACTAGGTAGGCGGTCAGTGGATACGCGGGGAGCTAGTCGCGGAGGGAGGGAGCACTTACGCTACTGACGACCTTGCCCGAGCGATTGATGACGGTGATGGTCTCTCCTACGCCCATGATGGGAGTCGCAGAGGCGGCCGCAGTACAGTGCAGCGGGTGCAATGTGCAGTGGAACGTCGGACAGCGGACAGCGCAAGGTAATTACTTGGTCAACAAGTCGGAGGCGGTCAGGAAGTATCAGTGCTCAGACGCCGCTCGTCGGCAGTCCCACCACGCTTTATCCACTTCCCTGAGACACCCGCACCAGGGACTCTATTTAAGACGTCGGAGTCAGTATTTGCACGGCGAGAGGGTCACGAGTGAGGCGGTTGCGAGAAGCAGGGCACACCAGTCATGCCCCGCCATCCATGTGCAAGCCGCGGGAGTCGGGGTTCGCGGGCCTCGATGGGCTCTAGCAGACGGTGAATGGGCAGTCGGCAGGCGCTGCGTCGTGACGCGGAGGCGGCCTGCGCTGGCATTCGTGGAAGCCATGGAACAGGCGGCGGAAGGAGGGCAGAGACAGGCGGGCAGGCGTGGCGCCTTGTAACTCGACATAGCGACGTCGCTAGCAGTAGCGGCTGTTTATGCGGCCAGCGTATCGCGGTGCACGTCTGGCGCGTAGCACCGACGCCATTGGCGGCCCGCACTCGCTGCCATGGGACGCTCTCTATTACTGCGTCGCCTGGGAACGTGTCGCATGCGCGAGTGGACGACTGCTGTGATCGAGTGCATGCTCGCCGCGCAGGAGCAGTGCGCCCGCATGCAGAGATGCTGCCATTGCTGCCCAAGTACCGATACAACCGCCCATCAATGGCTACGTCGTCGTCGGCTTACATGATCTGCCCCGGGTAAGGATCCAGCTACCAGAACAGCTCTCCACCAATGCATGCGCCACCAGATGTGGCGGTGCGCCGTCCGCAGAATCGATTCCGGGCCGCCGTCACCAGCATTGACATGGAGCTGGGTTCGCGGGGCAGATGGAGACATGGACCTTTCCAGTGGCGACTTGCATAGAGATGCCGCCCGGAATCTGTGGAGTGCCATCGACGCGCATTGGGGAACGTCAGCCATTCTGTCCGTGTTTCCTCGCCTCTGTAGCAGCGTGACTGGCTCTGGTCTGTGTTTGCTGGCACGCTTGGGCGTGCATGTGAGCAATTTCATATCGAGTGGCCCTCAACAGGTGCATAGAGGAGCAATCGGAAGGCTTCTCGGGACACCGAGTTGATCACAGCCTGAAGCGGAAGATACATGCGGCGCAATGCATGGGAAACGCAGATCCACGGTGAGCCGCATCATACTGGCTGGGCGAGAAAGAGAAGGGTCCCATAACGTGAACCAAGATACTTACGAGTCCTGCAGTTGATCGAGTGCTCGTGGGTACGCTGAGCCGATGATTTGCACAACACAGCCATACGGAAGCCCGGGCGGGCAGAAGCAGTGCACATGATCCTCGCGACTTCTTCCTCTCCCAAGTCTGCTGTCCGCTTCGTAGCAAGAGCAACCCGCGCAAGGCGAGACCACCCCTCGCGTGAGGCAGGAAGGCCCAGTGCAAGCGCATGCCAGTTTGCCTTCCAAGGTTGCCGTCTGCGAGACAAGCACACAACGAACAGAGACAAATACGTGACATGAGTCTCGGTACATAAATCTTGATATACGAGACGACTTCGGAGCGTTCCAACAGCAGATCGCGCCACCCGAAGAAGCGAGCTCGCCATCGCAGGTACGGCGACGGCCAAGGTTGATCCGGAGCGGTCAGCGTCATGCTCGGGCTTCAGCAGGGATCGGATTCGGAAGCTCTCCACGAGACATCAGCTTCCAGTCCTCAGATATCCTCTGCTTCCTCGCACTCTGCCTTTGATCATGTCGGCGAGCAGGAGAACGCAAGCTGTGACCATTCAGACAACGCCGTGATACGTCACGTCGGTGTCAATGGCAGACGCTCAGCGTCCACATTCCCAGTCCATCTCTTGTCAGCGTGCAGCGGTTCCAGCAGAAACATGTGTCCTTTTGCGAATTCGATAACGTCGCAAGAGATTTTATCGGGGGTTAGAGGTGCACCGACCCAAGGTACGTCCGCTGTCGTCCAACCCCACGCTTCCCTCCGATACCGTCGAGAAGCACCCGACTCTGTCGGGCTCGATAGGAGATGCTTGGACTCACCACGCCCATCGCATACGGCAGTGTTGATACGTGAGGCGGTCTAATTGTCAGAGCCAAGGGTCCAGGAGGATCAATGAAGCCCCACTACGGAAATCGGCCCGCCATACTACCCTAGCGGGGCTTCGAGGGCTTCGGCGCACGACGATGTCATTTCCCACAACACCACGCGACAATGTGCTGGCCCATAGGCAGGCTAACCCTCCCATGGCAGAGTTCCCCCAGTGTGACGGCGCAATGGACACCAACGCCCACCACAAGGCCGCGCCGAATGACGGCCGGACGCCCACCCTCGTCCATCGCATGAAGCACGACAAGTCAATCCTCGCCCTTGCCGTCTCGTCGCAATATATCTTCGCCGGCACACAAGGAGGCGAGATACTAGTACGTCGAGTGTGCATGTAGCATCCAACTAGGGCGATTGGGCTGAATCTTGCAGGTATTTGGCCTTGACACGTACGAGTTGCGCAGGACTATTGAGGCTCACAGAGGAAGTGTGCTTAGCCTGACGTTGTCGCAAGACCAATCCCTGCTGTTCTCCAGCGCGACAGATCCGATTGTCAATGTGAGTAGGAAACTCCCTCGTTTGGCCTTCATGGAAGCTGACATCCCAGGTCTGGTGTACTTCAAACTTCGACCGTCTGTACGCGCTCTGGTCGCCCTACGACGTGGGCGACATTTTCTGCGTAGCCTACTCTTCCTACCACAAAACTCTCTATCTCGGCGCCCAAAACACCAGCATACAGGTATGAAGCCCATGTGCCGAATGTCGATCAAACTGACAAACCAAGTGGTACGACCTGAAGCAGAAAGACCTCCGGCCGCAGCCCAACCCGGCATCGCACCCTTCCGAGCGCAAGAACCGTTTCTTCGATTCCACTGGCCCCGGCGGGGTCTCGACCCCCCGACCACAAGCCGCGGATGTAAGCTTGAGGGATGCTGTGGGAGGGCAATACCTGGAAATTGACAGGCAGGACGTGCACCAGTTCGCACACTATGGATACGTCAACTGCATGCTCCTGGGTAAAGGCATAATTCCCGAGGCTCCTGAGGAGATACTAGTATCAGGCGGTGGAGATGGCCGAATCATTCTGTGGAGGATAGACCAGACCAACGGCGGCGCCATTGCAAGTCTTTACACGCTGGAAGACGGCAGGGAGGAAGGAGAGTCTATACTTTCCCTTGCCCGAGATGGTTCATTTCTCTACAGCGGACGATTTGATGGTGAGGTCAATGTTTGGGATCTGGAAACAAGGCAGCTCGTCAGAAGCCTCAAGGCTGCAACAGGAGACGTCCTCACCCTCGCTCTGGGCGGTGGCCATCTCTTTGCGGGCGGAGTGTCTGGACTTGTGCAGGTAAAGGCTTCCCAGAAACATTGCCACACATCTGGGCTAAGAACCTCAGAAATACAACCAGCACTACGAAATCATCTCGACCTTCAAAGCGCACGAGGGCCTGATATTAGCATCCACGTTCACAAGCTACAACTCCAAACCGACGTTTGTGACCGGTGGCAATGACAACACCATTGTCATCTGGGAAGTTCCAGACTGTGAAGGCCACGTGTCTGACGCCAAAAGGAGCAACAACGGTAAGCTTTCGATCGACCTTTGCGCATGTTCACAGTATCACAGTATCACTAATCAATGTTCAGATCTCATGGTGGAATCGCTTAATCAGTTCATCTCGTTCAAGACCGTATCCTCTCTGCCGAAGTACCGTGCAGACTGTCGGCGCGGCGCGTCGTATCTTCGCTCTGTTTTCCAAAACTTTGGTGCCGCTACTGAGATGCTCAACACGAGCGAACCTTACAACCCAATCGTTTTCGCGAAGTTCAGAGGCAATCCTGCCTCTGCAGCTTCGAGGAAAAAGATCCTTTTCTATGGCCATTACGATGTCATCGCTGCCGAGAACGAGCAGGCAAAATGGAAGCATGACCCTTTCGTACTGACGGGAGAGGGCGGATATCTGTACGGTCGAGGCATTTCCGACAACAAAGGCCCGATCATGGCTGCTATTTATGCAGCTCACGAACTCGCCAATGAGCAGAGTCTAGGATCCGACATCATTTTCTTGATAGAAGGCGAAGAAGAAAGTGGCTCGCGCGGCTTCGCGCAGGCTGTCAAGGCAAAGAAGGAGCTCATTGGTGATGTAGATTGGATTTTGTTGGCAAACAGCTACTGGCTGGACGATCACGTACCCTGCCTCACCTATGGTCTGCGAGGTGTCATCCACGCAACAGTCCAGATCGAAAGCAAACATCCCGATCTGCATAGTGGTGTCGATGGAAGTGCATTGCTTGATGAGCCACTGAAGGACCTTGTCATGCTCCTGTCAAAGCTGACTGGCTCACACGGCAAAGTCCAGATCCCGGGTTTCTACGATCCGATTTTACCTCTTGCAGAAGACGAGGAGCAACTGTATTCCGAGATCACCGCCACGCTTCTCCGCGGCAATCCAGACCTGGGCGATGCCGACGCCTTGGCTCAATCACTGATGCGCAGGTGGCGCGAAGCATCGCTCACCATTCATCGCTTCCAGACTTCAGGTCCGGATAACTCCACCATCATCCCGCGACTAGCCAGGGCGTCGTTGTCTCTCCGACTGGTGCCCAACCAAGAAGCCTCAGAAGTCGCCCGCTCACTCCAAAATTTCCTCCAATCCGAGTTCTCCCTTCTCGACTCTAAAAACTCTCTCAAAGTGACGATCGACCACCAAGCTGAGCCTTGGCTCGGCGACTACCAATCACCTATTTATCAAACCCTAGAGTCTGCTATCATGTCCGTCTGGGGCCCAACCCTCGGCCGCCGGCGTAGCTCGGTGCACTCCCTCAAGCACAACCTTGACTACTTCAACCCCAATTCCAATTCCGCCTCGTCTGACACCCGACCCAGCCCAACGACGTCGAACACGCTGGCGAACGGCTCAGGTGAACCAGATGAAAAGGGCTTCGTAGCACAGAAACCCCTATACATCAGGGAAGGAGGAAGTATTCCTAGCATCAGGTTCTTGGAGAAAGAGTTCGATGCCCCGGCTGCGCATCTACCGTGCGGGCAGGCGAGTGATAGCGCGCATTTGGATAACGAGCGCTTGCGCCTTGTGAATCTGTACAACAGCAAAAAGATCTTCAAGAAGGTGTTTAGTGAGTTGCCTTTGAGATAGACTGACTGCGTTGGGGAGGAAAGATGGGCTTGGCGTTTTGTCTGGGGTGTTAAATCAGGTGTATGAGGGATACCCAGAACGAATGCATTTGATTATTTCTCGTTCTTTTTTCGCTTCTCAAAATTCGCTTCTTTCAACATGCACCCCCGAGTCGATCTCAGGCCGCTCCGCCCTCTACCGCAAACCCTGTTCCTCCATCATCAACGCCTGAGCAACTGCCTTTCTCCTCGCCACCACCTCGGCTCGAAGACGCTCCTGCTGTATCGAGGCCCGTAGCTTCGCCTCTGCCTCTTCCAATTCCAGCTTCCGAAGCATGACTTCGGCGCTTTCACGTGGCGGGTGGGGATGCTGTGGCGATTGTAAGGGTCGTGCGTACTGTTGCGCGGAAATGGGGAAGGGAAGGATGCTGGCGCGTGTTCCGAGGGGGTGGGGAGGTACGTGTGACATGTGGGTTAGTCCATATGGCCAGGGAGCGTACTGCTGGGGTGATATGGGCGTGTAAGGCCCTGCGTGTCGCGCATTTGCGGGAGAGATGGGGAAGGACCGGGAACGAGGTGAAGATTGTGCGTGTGCTTGTTGCTGTGCTGCTGGGTGTTGCATGTAAGCCAGATGCTGTGGGTGAGGTGGGTGAGAGTAGATTAGATCTGGCCTTTGTGGTTGGTGTGCCGTGCGGCTTTGAAATTGTGTGGTATGTGGATGATGGGGAGTAGACTGTGGTGGAGATCTAGGTAGGGGGCTTGGAAGTGGATGTCGACCATGCGGGGATGGTTTGTCTTCAAGAACATAGTTAGAGGCAGCGGAAGTGACCTGGGGAACAGGTGGCGGCGCGCTTTGAGGTTTGCGAGCGGCTTGCACGTCTACGACGAGCTTCTTGTAGGTCTTCTCTCCGACCTTCCTCCGCTCTTCTATGGCTCTTGCATATGCAGCTTCCAGCTCGATGCTGGAGCTCTTTGTGCGGGCTACTTCTCGGGAGAGTGTCTGCGGAGTGAGTGCTTCTATGTTGACAGCTTGCATGGGGACATGCTGAGCATGATCCCTCTCTGCTCCTGTATAGAATATCTCTTTGTCTTGCTCTTCTTTCTGTCGTCGATAAGTGCTTTCTGATTCATTCGTGACAGACTTGATCTTCGTTATGGCTTCGGGACTCTCCGGGAGTGTTCCTCTATCCACAGTACCTACTTCTGGCTCCGCATCAAGAGATTCGTGCTGCAACCATTGGGGCTTAGATGCTCTTGACTGCCTAATTGACGCTAGCGTGGGTAATGTGAACAGAGTGGGAGAACGCCCATGATGCGGAAAATGTGCAAGATTCTTCGTAGTTTTACCGAACGCAGTTTGCGAAGACCCCGATCGAGTAGTCTGATGCAAGCTGGTGTTGTGGAGCAAGCTGGTCGTTACCTTATCAGGTTTTGCAACTTGATCGCTGTTGCACTCGGTACGCCTCCTTTTATAAGATGGCTCTTCTTGCTCATTTATTTCTCTAATGCTTCCACCTCCTGTTTTGTTCTCTGCAGATGACTTGCTCTTACCTGCCATACTCTTCTGGTTTCCAAGTGTCTCTTGATACTCTTCGTGGCCTTCGTCATTCGAGTCAACTTTGCCACCCACTTCCGGCCTTGACATGTACTCAAGTCCCGCCACCGCAGCTTCTACGTCCACGACTTGCACACCTAGTTTCTTCACTTGAGGGTCTCCGTCGATTCTTGCACTGAACGTCGTCTTAAGGTACCATATTGCCCTGTCTTTTTCGCCGACAGTCAGCTCACTTAGACGCAATAGTGATTTAAGGAGCGGTATGGGCCATGCTTCAGGGAAGTAACGGTCGGTGGGTGGGCAAAGCGGTGGTATTAGACCGATAGAGGGTATTGAGGATGGAAGATGCCAGTTAGCGTGTATGGAACTTATTGCGAGGATTTCATTGAAGGCAGTGGACGGTTCCATGTATGGTGGGGAATGTTAGCTAAAGACATTTAAGCTGTGCGCACAGGTAAGTGTACTCGTGGCTCACGCCTGTCTCCTCCTTGATGTTGCTCATTCCAACCGAGCCATTGTTAGAAGAGAAGTTTGCTCCCTGATGCGGACAAAGAGGGTGGCTTGCCTCTGTACGCCTTTTAGCACTAGGGCAGTGTAGATGCTCTTTGTTTGTGCTAAATACTCCTCTGGTGGCTCTTTATCATGATGTTCACCACTATTTTGGGAAGATCACGCGTGGCAGCTTTTGTCGTATACGCATAGCCGATTGGGACTGCCCAAAGTGCTTCTGTTAACTACACATGTGCTTAATGGCTGATCTTCGCTCCGAAAACATCATTCCTCGAATATACAGCATCCATGAACCAATCTCTGAGCAATTTTGGTGGAGTCGCCCTCTTGCCGTCTTCAATGACATCGCGTCACGGGCCCCAAAAGATCGCTAACACCTGGTCGGCCTCCTCCTTTACAATAGATGTCGCAGCGACTGTCGCGAAGGAGCGAGCTCAAGTAGCATTCGTAATATTTGATCGGAAGTGCGCCGTAGACTCAGTTGCGTTCTTTCCTTCGTCTCGTTGCGATCGTCTGGTACAACCGAAGCATACTTCGGGATAATGCATCGCACAAAGATTTGGGGGACTGACACCAATCAATGTATGTCACTAGTATTCCCCTGAGTAAACATGGATGGACAAACAGCAGTCATCTTCACGTCCCTGTTCAGCCCATGGTCTGTTTTCCATGGTAATGATTACTCGTAACGAAACTTCGGAGCAGTCGAAGAAATACGATGTCTCTGGCGCCTTCGAGCTTGGGAGTGAAGTATTCGTACCGTCACTTAGGACTCGACCGGTGAAGATTTGCCATCCTCTTGGACTCGTCGACAATCGGATCCGTCGCCATTCGGCCATTGCTGTTTCCGTTTCAACGACATTCGCGTCCTCTGGCCTATTGCGGACCGCCTCTGACTTTTCCATCTTTGGCGTGTCCAGCCACAGACCGTTCACCCATTCATTATGTTGACTATAGACGGACGACAATGCGAGGCCAACAAATGCCGCGTGTTCGAGACTTGATAAATCTGACGACTTGCTTGTAAGTTCTAACAACCGTTTGACCGCTTCGTTCCACATGTACAGCGGAATACTATGTTTCAGGACGAACGTGTTTGCTGCACCGAAGAGGTCCAGAGCAATCGAGCCAAACGCGCCTTTCCGGCCCGGATTACTTTGACGACTCCAAGAATATTCTTCCAAAGAACGATACAAATCCATGTGATGTCCCAAAGACTCCGTTGGGATCCGGAACACTGATTCTGTAGTCCGGAACGACTCGTCCGTGAACGCCTTGCATTCGAAGATTGTATCCCAGTAAACATCCTGTGGAGTCTTTTCATAGTCGACTTCAATCAAATCAGATATATGAGCTCCATTTTCGATGTCTGTTGCCATGCCCAGGAGGCTGTAGATTCGATCTATATGCCGACTGCTTTGACGTCCTTTTGAGAATGCCATGAGCAATTTCCACAATGATCGCCTGCCATTCATCCGGAGTTCACGAAGCGCAGAATATACCAAGAAGGACTCGATGTCCCTGCCAGCCCCTATTGTAGAAACGCGGTCAAAAGCGTCCAGGTCGATGTACACTCCACCGCTTGCAATCTGCCCTTGCTTAGCAAGGGCAAATTCTTGTATGATCCAGGTTCTGCGCCAGTATGGGAGTTGTAGAAGACCTTTCATAGCCTTTTTCGTCCTTTGTTTCCAGACGATATACATTTGGGTCCCGTATGCAGGGTCTATCCTGCGTGCTGTTCGTGTGATCGCCCTCCTCCATGGCAATATACTCTGCTACGGTCTTCAACGCTATCTCCGTCTCTATTTGATGACCGAGCCAGATCAGTACCTCGGCAGCGCTCTCGTAGATACTCCCCATATGTGGCACCTGTTGGCTTTTCTCTTTCACATCGCGTTGATTCAAACACAACGAATCTATCCAGAAAAAGGTGTCGTACTTGCGTTGAGACCACATGCAATCCAAGAAACGCAGGAGATTCTCGTGGAGTGGGTGCACAAAAGTCTTGCTCCAACTGTCGCCGATACGTACACTGCCAGCTGGGGTCGGATCGCCCCATAGATATGACAACGCAGTATATGGTGGCGCATCGGAAGAGTTGAAATGATAGAGTATACACGTAACACTTCCGACGGCCCGCTGAGGGAGTATCTTGAGTAGACGAATGGTTGATGATGAACTCAGAGAGCGGTAGCTGTAAGGTTGAGCCATCTAGCGTCTCTGTACCACCAAGGGGAGCGCCGGAGTGGAGTTACAGAGGTGATCTTTCTGGTTATTGATCGCATACAAGTTCGAAAAGCCGGCTCATGGCAATTCAGGATCGTTGGAAGTTCAATGGTAGCCTTGCGGGCCATGTCCACATCGGCTGCCGGTAAGAGATAGAGCTTCTCATTGGGCGACCTACCTAAGCGCGCGTTGTGTCCGTCCACCAATGATACTTGGGTAAGAATTCGACGTTGAGATCTCGCATCTTCATTTTGCCCGCAGCGACTCGCCTGGAACTTGGTGGGTCCAACTCAAAGGGGTCTACATGTCTGCGTCTTCTAGATTGAAAAGCTGCCTAGGTGACTACGAGGAACTGGTGTGCGCACGCCCGCCTCCCTACCGGCTACTATTCAACTCCTGCTAGAGTATGGCCATCTTCTTTGCAATCCATGCCCGCAGCGTTTTTGCCCCTCCAGTTGCTTTGTTAGCCCTAGGTATGCAACGTAAGATGCGTAGGTCTCATGAGGAACTACCTGTGGTAGCTCTAGCAAGTCTAGAGAGCCAACAACAAGCGTTGCGCACGTCATTATGCATAGGCCTAGTATATCGGAACCGCTGCACATTGGTATTTAGGCTTATTGCCAACGTGCCAGCCGACCGGTGCCTTGCATGATAGCTCGACGTAAGTCGGTCAGCTTGAACGATCCCCTGCAGTAATGAGCCTCACCCTAGACGAGCAACGAGCCTCACCTGGGCACCTTCAGAATAGGCGAGCAATCAGCCTCAACCTAGACCTAAACGAGCAACGGAGCGCAAAGACATAAAGCATCAGCTTAAACGGGACGCAGCCTCAACGCACCTCAACATGGACTCTCTTTGGAATGGAGCTCCCTCGTGCTATTCTCAGATCATTTCACCCTGGTCTACTGGTGAAGGGCTCCAGGCCTCCAAGATCATCAAGATCATCAACCGCAGACACGCAAACAAGTCCAACTAGGTAAGACATATTGTTCAATGGTTGCCTCACCTTTAGGCCAGTAGTGATTTTCATCTATCTTTGTCCGAAGATGCGTAGGCGGCGTACCTGCGGACGACGTTCTCGAATATAAATACGAGTGACAAGCCCTCTAAATTGGAGCCATCCAACTACTCAACATACACCCGATACTTCTACACTATCAACAACAGTCTTCGGCTTCCCAGTACCCCACTAAGAACGCCAAACCAGAAACACAAAAATCACCAACCATGCACTTCACCAAGTTCGTTAGCACCCTCTTCCTTATTGGCGCCGTGTCGGCCGCTGCTCTCCCCGACACAGAGCAAGACCAATCCGGCCTCGTCACCGACCCCAGCGAAGCTCAGGACGACGGCAATTCCACCGAGATTGTCACCACCCGTTCGGACAAGGCCTTTGCACAGGTCACGACTTGGTCGGGAGACAACTGCCGAGGCTCTTCGGCAAACCATGGCGTCGGCACCGTCAAATTCACTTGCTTCCATACCCCTGGACATTCTTTCAGCAACTTCCTCGCCTGGCCTAGTTGCGTCCTCACGACCTGGAGCGGCACCGATTGCCACGGGAGCTCCAAGCGTTTCACCACTGGCTCTTCAGAAGGGTGCGTTAAGATCCCATTCGGGTCCTACTCTATCAACTGTTAGGCGGAGCACGGGGAGCAACGATAGTGTGTTGGAGGTCAGCAGTCGATATCATTCTTTAGTCGACCTGATCCTCTTCTCTTCGGTTGGAAATTTGCGGTAGGAGGCCTATAGCCGAAGGTCGTATGTCAGTCTTTTCTTCTCGGCGGTTTGCGATTCGCAATCAGAGACTTGCAGCTTAGGCTTGTTAATAGACTGGTAAATTCGATTAGAAAACCCGCGTAGTAGACTTCTGTGTCAAACAATAGAAACAAAGTTACTCGAGAGTATAACGAAACACTGATCTGAGAAAATCTTGATGGATATGACCGCGTGCAACTGAGTCACGAAGGTCGTTTTAGAGAACATAATCGAAGCAGTCAACACAACATCTATAGACGCCCCGTGCAATGTGCGAGAATTGGACGTCTCTCGACTTGAAAAACACCTCTCGACTTGAGCTTCCCATCGAGTATCTGTATTTGCCACGGGCCTTGGCTGACAGCGCGTCTCCTCACTAGATTACAAGGGAACATACCTCATGTTGAAGCATAGAAGCTTGATCATGAGTTTCAAATAGATGTATTCACGCATCAAATCCTCCTTATATGCCGATATCTACAACCAATATGCCACGCATATACACATGGATCAACGAAACGCTCAAACTCACTCTAGCCTATGCATGACCACAGAAATGTACAAAACGCCACATAACGCCTCTTACCCTGTATCTTCCCCCGTGTCCCTCCACTTCTCTCTAATAAGTCTCCGCCAACCCCAACTTCCCGTAATCTACTAAATCGGCGGAGTCGTCCGGACAAGTGAAATCCCTATCATACGTCTTACTCGGTAAGATCCCTGCCTGCATTCCCGCCTGCCAACTCCACTGCGTCGCCTTCTCCGTCTTCCACGTCCAATAGAACCAGCCCCAGCCCGCCTCGAAACTAATCATTTGAGCAACAGCGAACTGATACAGCCACTTCTTGTACGCGTCAGAGTAGTTGCTTGGGTCAGCGTTTGCGCTGGCGCAGCTGCACGCGCTGGATTTGAGCGGGCAGTACGGATCGAGGACGGAGGTGGAGGCATTGCCCGTGTCCAGGGTGCCCTCCCAACGAGTCCCGATGTTGACGTTGTTGATATACTTTGTGCAATCTGTGTCGGCCTGAGACCACTCGCCGCACATGGTGGGTCCGAAGCCGGTCGCGGTGTCCATACTGCGCTGGGACTGTTTTGTCCACGCCTTGCACGCGAAATTGAGTTTGTCGGTGTGGTTGAGCTGAAGTTGGTCGAGGTTGAAAATGACGTACTGGTGGACGTCGAGGAGCATGTCGTCGTTCTTCTGCAGTGGGGAGTCCTTCCAGTTGTCGAGGCCGCGGAAGCCGTCACCGAAGACGAGGATAGCTTTGATGCCGTCTTTGCGGATCTGCGTGACGGCTTTTTGAGACCATGTTATCACGTCGTCGGTATTAAGGTCGACCATGCGAGGTTCGTTAACGAGGCCGTACATGGTGACTATATTTTTGTACCGGTCTTGCGCGAAAAAGACGGAGAGCTTGTGGTGGATGTCGAGCCATCGGTTTGCATTTGTCTCGCCGTCTGTGCCGTTTAGCCAGCCGATAACGCCTTGTCTTCCGGAGTGGTTCCAGCCGTTTTGGCTGCCGGGCGCGCCATGCATGTCTAGATTGATTCGTAGTCCTTGCTGGCGTGCATACTCGATGCCTCGAAGCATATACCGCCACGCAACTTGCCCAACGTATTGGTCGCCGTCGTACGTTTCAACCATCCAGTAGCCAAAAGGTATGCGGACGTGGTCAAAGCCGGCGTTGCGGATGTCCACAAAAGTCTGGCGAGTGATGAAGGAGGAGTAATGTTTCTCGAGGGTTTGTTTAGCCTGTGAAGGACCGCCGAGTTTCTGGATGAACGTCCATTCGTCAATGATGTTGTCGCGTGCAGAGTAGGATTCGAAAAAGGAGGGTGTGATGAAGGGTTCGAGGTTGAGCCAGCCGCCTACATTTATCCCTCTGATGGGGTTCTTTCCATAACCGAAATCATCTTTCAAGTTGGACACTTTGTCGTTCGCTTGGACGTCGTCATCCCAAGTGGAGTTGAGACCAATCATGGGAAGACCACCGACTTTTGCGCTGGTATATGTGACATTAAAATCGGTCGTGTCCCACCATGACCACGGGTCCATCCATCCACCCTTATCTGCGTCTGGTACGCTATCGGGGTCTTTGCCGTCGAGATTGCTATTGGATGGTTTCGAGTCTCCTGATGCTGCGCTATCGGCCGAGCCACCGTCATCTTTGTTGCTGCTCTTCTTCGAAACCACGACAGCTACTGGAATTATGATAGCAAGAAGAAGCAATACGGACGCAATAGCAATTACTACCGAGTGTTAGTTCAAGTACCGCCCAAATAGCAATGCAAGAAACGTACGTATTCTCTTCTTCTTCTTTTTCCGCTGCGCCATTTCTTCTTCCGTATATTCTGACGGCGCCCCGGCACCACCCCTCTTTTCCATCATATACTGATACTCCTCATCTTCGACACCCCCTTCCTCTGCCAATGGGCCACTGACAACCCTTCTCTTCTTCTCGGTCATCCGCTGTGCTTTCTCTTGCCGCCTCCTTTCCTTCTTCTCCGCAATCTCGGACGTCGTGTACTTCTCCTCGTGAGCTCTTCTCCGCTCTTCTCTCTCCGCACTCGTATGACTCCTCCTCTTATCCTTCCTCTCCGTCCCGGCATACGCGCCCATCCTTTGCGCAGCGGTCCTCTGCGCCCCCTCATTATCAGACGCAGCGCTTCGCCGCTTACTCTCCGCCCGTGAGCGCTGTCTGGATTCCCTGCGTTTGCGCGCCGCCGCCTCAATAGCAGCATCACTTTCATTCGCCCTCTCCTTCCTCCTTTCCTCCCTCTGCTCCTTGACTCGATCCTTCTCAAGGGCCTTCTCCTTTGAGCGCACCTCTTTCAAATACTGTTCGTCGTAATCATACCCTCTCCACCCAGCTTTTTTCGCATTCGCCTTATCTAGCTTCTGAATTGCATCGAGACTCAGCGGTGCAGACTGGTGACTGCGCTGCGTGCTGGGTGTGCTGTCGCCACGCCGCTTGCGCGGAGAAGGTGAGTCCCATTCCGAGTCGCTCTGGTGTCGCGATGAGCGGTGTGCTCTGGGGAGGAGGTCCCCTTGGGAATCAGTGGCCCGGTGGCCTCTTCTTCGCCGGCGTTCGGCATCGTGCTCGTGGGAGGAGGAGTTTCGACGTTCGCGGCGACGGCGCTCGCGGTGATCGGGGTCCATGGGAATCTGAACTGATCTACAGAGGTGGGCGAGGGACGAGGAGGAATGGGTGGTTTGGAACGCGGGGTTTGGAATGCAATGTCTAAATTTGCAGAACGAAGAGAAAAGGAAAGGCGCAACGTCTATAGGCCGCGCGAATCAATGCTGAAGAGTGAGAATCTCAAGTCTGGTTCACTGTATGCACAATTTCGTAAGCGTGTTGTTGGAGGCGGGAGAGGCTGGGTTCGATGCCGTTGCTGTGGTGATGCACTGTTGACAATTGCCCTGACGTGGCGCCGCCTCGGCACTGGGCAGCAGGGCTTCCGCCTTGTAAAACTTGAATTTTTGCAACTACGAAGGAGTTAAAGTTATTGAATAATGTTGGCGAGTCTACGAGCTGGACTTGGTCTGCTGGTAAAATTGTTGGACAGGAGCTAGAATACTACGTGCGCGTCATCCATATGGCAAGCAATTGCTCCGTGATCCATCTTGGGCTGTTGTATTTGCTAACGTCTGAAGACATGCGCTACGGTAACATTTCATGTGCAGTCTTCGAGTTGTATGAACGGAAGTCTGTCCGTCATGCAAATCTCATTTCCAAAGCTACACTGATATCTCAAAAACTTAGGTGTCAGTCCACGGGTTGTTGCACGTGATCTTTCAAACCGCTTGACTCCAGCCATTGGACTCTACCCTTGGAACGTGCTGATGTTTCACAGATGTGCATCCAAAGCGCATGCAAAACCTTTGGGAAGTCGCACGTGGCAGTGTCTCAACCCTTGCACGAAGAAAGTCCCTGCATAGAGGGAAAAGCAATTCTGCAGATCTCATTGTGAATCATTTATGACATCATACCGCCGACAGTGTGAATTACTGGGCATGCTGAACGGACTCGAGCAGCTGCAACGGTGTGACTCCACACGAGTTCAGCAGTTGCAAATTTTCTTGTATCATTGAAGTTGGTATCTATGGTATCGTGTCGTAAGAAATATGCAGCCGGTTCCTTCTAGCGGATCGCCTGTCCGCGAAGGCCTTTATCGGCTTGGTAAGCTCTTTGCGGAGCCTGTGTTTGTGGCCCCATATTGCAGTATACCGCCCTATTCTGAACCCAACGAGGAAACCTGCCGTAGCCATGGCGTTAATATTCGTGAGGCGAGTGGAGGTCGGGCTTGTGGGGTGTTTGAAGTCCTAGTTCTTCAGGATGATTCAGGTGAAGGCGCTGCTTCAAGATGCTGTCGCTGCGGTCGAAGATCCCTGAGCATCTTGCGAAATCTTGTCCTTGCCCTTCTCCGCTTGTTTCTTGTCGTCATCCACGTACAGGTTGTGTTCGTAGATGTAATCAACAACTTGATCCGGGATGTAGTACCGGATGCTCTTTCCCCTCTTCCGGAACAACCGGATCTTGGTGGACGAGACATCATTCTGAATCAGCTGCGGGATGACCCAGATTTTCTCACGATACTGCTGTAGAGTAAGAAGAGCATCGTCTGCAACGGTCAGTGAAAAGTTCGCACGATGCTGTTCAGCTAGCTTACCAATGTCTGTTCCGCTGCGTTCGAGAATGAAAGCGCCATAATGCCCCAGAATTCTCTCAAGATCCTCGGCCGCCCAGAGACCTGGCGTGCTCATGGTCTGGATGAGATCCGCGCCAGCCAGGAGGGCGACATGAATGGGCTTCTTCTGGCCATCCGCCGTTTCAATACCGCCCAGTACTTCGTTCAATTGATGATTGAAATGGTCCAAAACCTTGACTGTAGGCAGATACTCCTTGTGCAGCGGCTCCCACGGATCAACGCTAATCCAGGTAGAGCTATCACGTACTGCTATCCGCGTCATATTTATCCGGTGATGCGCGGGTGCTAGTCCAGCTTTCTTGTATGCGTCGCCGACCGGGCTGAAGAAACCGCCGACGACTTCGTAATTGGTTTCAAATTCGCAGAAGTCGGCAGCCTCCTCGAACATGCGCAGGTGGAGATTGGTGGGCGGCGAGAAAGAACCGCAGGACACGAGGACGAGCGGCTGCTTTGTCGAATCCGTGAGTGTCCTCTTCAGCCTTTCTTGAGGGAATCTGTAGTTGTCGAGCGACATGGTGTCTGCGCTGCCTAGGGCGGCGTCGACAGTAGGCTGTCGGTCGTCGTCGTTAGACAAGACGTCGGGAGTTGTGGTGCTCATGGTGGAGTATGGACGGCGAAGTGGGTGCGAAAGTGAGAGTCGGTGCCTATCGCGAGGGCACGGTCTTAAGTGTAGGCAGAACGGTTGGCGTGGGGGTGTGCAAGCGTGTGTTGGAAGGCAGCGAGTGAGTAGTGATGGCCGACGGACGACCTGGGCACAGTCAGTTCGTAGGTCGCGACTCGGGGTAGTGGGCGCGACTTGCCGAAGGCAAACGGTTGAGACACGAGCAGACAGCCAGTGAGTCAAATGGCAGGGTGCGTAGTTGATGAGCCTGACGTCGGAGGCAAACGATCCGCGGTCGCCCGGAGATCAAGAGGGGTGGGTGCCGTGGAAAAAAACTTATGGTGGGGCGCGAGTGAGGATGGTAGCAGGAGGGAAGAGGGACACGCAGAGTGAGTAGCAGTAGTAGGAGTGGCGGGCGTGCGACATTTGTAAGGGCTGGTTCTACCGGTAGTGCTCAACGGCGGCTTTGCCTTTCACGCGGCATATGGACGGGCCACAGGGCGGGGTTAAGCAACCGGGGCGAGACCACAGCCGACACCCTTGCGCCCAAGCCTGCGAGTGTTCCGCACCTGCATGGGAGACGAAACATTTTCTGCGCCGCGGGTGCTTGCTGGTGGGAAAGCTACATGTAGAGTAACCCAGGCATTCTTCTCGTCCGGAAGTTGGAGCTCTTGGCCAGCCAGGCGTAGCTCTAGATGGGGGAAGTGCTGCCGGCATGGACTCACGTGCCCCGCATCCCGATGGTGTCATTCCCACGGCTGCACGGGGCCTTTCGCAGAAGCGGGAGTTCTCACGCAGCTCCAGTACACATGCGGCCAAGCAGCGAGAAGCGACGCAGCATTGGTGATCGCGTAGCCTGCATGGGCTGCTAGTGCTGGCAAAATACCGCAGTGGAGAGCTAGACTTATAAGTGTTGAAGTAGAAGTGCGAGGCTAGAGCGGGCAACTGATGCCGGACCTTTGTAAGAGTATCCGACATGGTGTGTCTGATGAGCAATCACAAAATGCCCACCACAGCACGGTCCTTTTGTTTATCCGTGGCTTGCTGCGTAGGGCATGTTCGGAGAGAAGCCCGCAGTAGCTGCAGTCGAGACTGACATGAGGAAATCCATGAGACAGAGACGGAATGAGGCCATCCGTAACGCAAGACTGCGTGTCCTCTTTTACCTGCATACTTGTCAAATGCACCAACGACCGTGCAAATGAGAAATGAGGCACAGCAGATACAAGACCGACCCAGACGGTCGCCGGCTCGTTGTCTGATAGCCGGTATATGGCATACTCTTGCAGTCTTTACGAGGCATACGGCGAATTACTGTGTGGTCGTTGCAGCGGTCGGAGCCATGTTTGAAGTGAATAGCCACTGCAGTTTGGATGGAAGCAACATGATCTGAAGTGTGCCTACCCGTGGACAGCTGCAATCGGCGTGATCCGTGCCTGCCCGCCCGCCAGCGAGGCGGCAAAGGCAATCCACACTTCGTTGCGCTGTCGCTATACGAAATGAGAGAAGCCGCAACAGAGGCGTGGCAGGGATCGTGGTCACTGATTCCGACGGCTTTTCCATGTTGCGCGAGCTAAGTCAGGCCGCTGCAGACTACTTCGTATCCACTGCTCCCGTCACGCCAAGACTGCGCCATCACTATCATCTCCATCCAGCACGACATCTGCAAACACCATCGTTAACTGCCCGCTCGCACCGTACCCAGCCGACCAGCAGCACGTGCACTCCTAATTCACCGTCTTCCACACCCCGCCGCTGCCCGTTCGCACTGTCCCGACCCACCGCACTCGCTTAGAGCGGCCTATGGCGCCCAAGTAAAGCAGCGACTGCTCATGGAAAGAAAAGACCGACACTTGGTCCCATCTTCTTCTTCTCCTTCTTCAAGGTACGCCGCCCCTCCGTCTCCCACATTCGCCCGCCCAGGCGGCCAAGCACGTGAAACATTACCACCACTGCCCACTGCCTCATCAACCTCGTCTCCACCTCTCACCCGCTTCATCGGCACACCTACTGCGACACCCATCGGGGCCTCAGTCTGGCGCGAGCCGTCGAAGTTGACCATCTAGTACTCAGTTTCTCATGTCGTCCAGAGTGACTCGCTCGTCTGCGAGGCTTTCATCAGGCTCCTCGTCCAGCAACCCGCCCAATCCCTCCGCCCCGCTTCCGCCCGCGCGTGCTGGCTCGACAAGGAAGCGCAAGGCCCCTGCCCGCGAGAGCAGCCCCGAAGAACCCGAAGAGCAGCCCGAAGAGCCTACTGCTCGCGCCGGCCGTTCTAAGCGCACCAAAGTAGAGCAGCAGGACCCGCCTGCTCTCTCCGCTGCTCGCTCGAAGAAGGGCAAAGGCAAATCGGCCATGTCTACGCCGGGGTACGCTGACTCCACTACATCCGATAGTATGGCTGCCATGTTAACCCATGATAACAGACAAGCCACCGACAGCCCAGAGGAGAAGGCACAACCCTCTTCATCGAAACGCGGCAAGAGCGGTCGTGGGAGTGGAGCTCAAGGTGACAGCTCCCAGCAGCCTCCGAAGCTCCCCAAAGCTAAATCCCGTACAGACGCCGCACCTTCATCCTCATCCCGAAGAGGATCCCGCAAATCGAATACAAAAGATGACGACGTAGCTATGGAGGACGCACCCGGCACGGATGAGACACCACAAGGAGGTACTGGCCCTGGCCGGCCCGACACCAGCGATGGTAGCAACGCCGATGGCCAGGAAGGGCGCTACGATGACGATGACGACGACGATGATGACGACCCGTTCGGCAGTAGCTTCCTTGGGCGTCATCCAGGAGGTCTCTCTGCCTTGCGGCATCTCACCGGCATGGCCCATTTGATGAGTAGTACCAACAATCGGCTCCGAGGCATACTGGAACAGCTACAGTCACAAGACTCGACCATTCAACTGATCGCACTTCAGGATCTTTCCGAAGTTCTGTTGATTTCCACAGAGGATAATTTAGCCGGTCACTTCTCGCCCGATGCCTACGTAAAAGAGCTGGTCAAATTGCTGCAACCCAACGAGTTCACAGGCGAAGAGAACCCCGATTTGATGCTCCTTGCTTGTCGGTGTCTGGCAAACTTGATGGAAGCACTCCCACAAGCCACCGCTAACGTCGTCTATGGCGGCGTTGTACCAATATTATGTTCAAAGTTGCTTGAGATCCAATTCATCGACCTGGCGGAACAGTGTTTGAGTACGCTGGAGAAGATATCTGTCGAATTTCCCGCGTCCATCGTTCGCGAAGGTGGCCTCACTGCGTGCTTGACGTATCTCGACTTCTTTGCTACAGGCACTCAGCGAACGGCCGTCACCACGGCCGCGAATTGCTGCCGAAACATCCCTGAGGACTCGTTCTCTACAGTTCGCGACGTCATGCCCATTCTTGGAAACATTCTGAAGAACAACGACCAGAAGGTTGTAGAGCAAGGTTGCATTTGCGTGTCTAGAATTGTACAGAGCTTCAAGCAACAAGATAGCAAGCTCGAAGAGCTCGTCAGCCCTGAGCTGCTGCGGGCGATCCTTGGGCTTCTTCTGCCTGGGACAACCAATCTCATCGGACCAAACATTCATACCATGTTTCTCCAGGTTCTCGCATACACGGCAAAAGCGAGCCCGCGCCTCTCCGCCGAGCTGTTCAGAATGAACGTGGTGGATACGCTTTATCAGATATTGACCGGTGTATCTCCACCAGCTGGGACTGAAGATGTTGCGACCAAGATCGATACTGTCGTTATCATGCAAGCTCTGATTCACCGACCGAAGGATCAAGTCTTCGAAACACTTAATGTCATCTGTGAGCTCTTACCTGCTGTGACGAGGGAAGACCTGACCTATTTGGACGATCTCTTCGATGCCGGCTACCCTGGTGACAACGCACCCCCACTCTCCGCTTCCCGAACATCTAACGCAGCTGGCGATAATCGCCTGGAGCTGCTTGAAGACTGCAAAGAGCAAGTCAAGCGTTTTGCTGTTATCTTGCTTCCCACTTTGACGGACGTGTATTCCAGCACGGTCAATCTGAACGTCCGACAAAAAGTCTTGACAGCACAGTTAAAGATGCTCTCCAATCTCGACACTGATATACTTGAAGAGGCACTGCGTGCTGTTCCCTATGCGTCATATCTTGCATCCATATTCTCACAACAAGATCATCCATCCTTGGTCACATATGCACTTCAGGCGGCTGAACTCCTGTTGAAGCGTCTCGAACCAATCTACCGATACCAGTTCTATCGCGAGGGTGTCATCTCCGAAATTGCGAAACTCGCCAGCCGTTCATGCAAGACTCTGGAATTACGACCAAAGGACCCGAGGACCACTATTGAAGTAGAAGCGGCTGTTGACTCCAACGCCAGCTCTAGTTCAACTGGCGAAGTGGACATGGATCAGGATATTGGCGAGGAGATAGATGTGGAGGTGCACTCGGAGGATGAGGAGGCCGAGAATGGAAACGAGGACGAAGAGCCGCACGACCACAGTGACAACCGAGACGATGACGACTCAGATTCGTCATCTTCCTCCGAACGCTTCCACCCGCCTCCGATGCCAAACGCCGAAGATATCATCACGCTACGGGCAAAGAAATTCATCGAAGTTCACGAGAATGACGATGCCAAAGTCATCCGGGATAAGGCTACCGTCATACTAGAAGACCTGAAATCTCTTGCCAAGGAGATTCGTCAATGCGTTCTTGAAGACGGTTCAGGGAATTGCATTGAGCTGTTCACTCGTTTGGCCGCCTACTTTGAGGGCGATGCACTTGAGAGTATCACCAGCTACGAACTCATGTCATCGAACATAGTGGATGTTCTATTAGACGTCTTCTCGACCACCAAGACTGCTAAACGCGTCGAGGCTCATTCCTTGTTCCTCGAAGCGTTCATGGGCACCAGCAGCAAGAATAAGATCAAAACTGCTAGCAGTGCCTCTCCTGCCACACCCTTCAGTGTCCTAGTTAGCAAACTCCAAGACTTGCTGAGTAGGGCTGAGCACTTTGAGGTCATCACTGTTCATCAGCACTCATATGATAGCCGTGGCAGCGCTACTTCTATGTTGGCCAAACAGTTGCGATTGAAGCTCATGGCCGACGATGAATCTGGTATCCCGAAGACGTACCGCAACATGATGGTATCAATCCATGCCATCGCAACATTCAAAGCACTGGACGACTACTTACGACCTCGCATTGCCATTGCTGAACGACCGCGTCCGCCGCGCACTCGTGACGCTGCCGCGTACGCGCAAGCGCTCGCCGACGGACGACTACCAGTTCCTCCGCCCCCGCATACTCCATCCGAGTCGACTAACCGCTCGTCGTCGCGGAAATCCAAAGCGAAATCATCGGGGTCTACAGTACCTGCACAGGCCGGCCCAAGTTCAGCTTCCCAAGAGAAACCACGTCGGTCTAGTAGACGACAGCAGGCACAACCGCCGCCACCCCCGTCACCCCCGGCACTGCAAAAGCCTGTCTCTGACCGCGACCCTGTGGAATGCGCCGACGAGGAACGCCTCTCCGACCCAGACTCTATGGACGAAAACAGTGCCTTGAATGCTATTATGGATGGCCTCGAAGACGATATGGATGAAGAGCAGCCGGACCCGTCTGCAGTCAGCGTTGAAGTTGCGCCTACAGGCAAGGTCACTGCTCGCAAAGAGGACGGAACTCGAGTAGCGACCCCCGTGCAAGGTCAGACACCGAACAGACCGCCTACGCAAGAGCGACTCTCAACGCCCTCACGGCTGTCCTCGCTTCTCCGTGGTGCCGCTGCCCACCACGGTCTTGGTGGTGTACTGTCGTATGCAGCAGCAGTGCAATCCACTCCACAAGATTGGCACATCGAATTTAGCGTTGATGACCAGCCGATTTCGAATGATACGACGATCTATCGTGCCGTGCACTTTAACCAAGGCCAGCCGGGGGACGTGCCACACCGTACCGTGTGGAATGCGATACACACCATCAAGTTCAAGCGTGTACCTGGCCCGCCTCCTACAGAATCCAACACGATTACCCCACCTCTCGACTCGAAGACCGGCACTTCAGGTATCCCACAATCGTTGAGCGATCACCCGATCACTACTGGCATCTTGCGTCTGCTTAGTATTCTACATGGTCTCAACGCAAACATGGATGACCTAATCTCAGACAATCGAGCACAGCTCAAAGTCAACGCAGAGCCCTTGTCGCAGTTCGTCAACACGAAGCTGACTGCGAAGCTGAACCGTCAGCTGGAGGAACCTTTGGTAGTGGCGAGTAACTGCCTTCCGAGCTGGAGCGAGGACTTGGCACGCCTCTATCCCTTCCTCTTTCCTTTCGAGACACGCCATTTGTTTGTGCAATCAACTTCGTTCGGATACTCGCGATCTATGACGCGCTGGCAAAACGCCCAACCGACATCCGACAGTAGGCATGATCGCCATCGTGATGAGCGACCCTTCCTTGGACGCTTGCAGCGACAAAAGGTCAGAATCTCGCGTGCCCGCATTCTCGAGTCGGCCATGAAGGTGATGCATCTCTACGGTCACTCCCCGAGCGTCTTGGAGGTAGAGTACTTTGAAGAAGTCGGCACTGGACTTGGGCCTACCTTGGAATTCTATTCTTCCGTATCAAAGGAATTTTCGAAGAAGAAGCTCAAGCTTTGGCGGGAGAACGAGTCGAATGGAGACGACGAATACGCTTTCGGAAAGCGTGGTCTCTTCCCAGCACCGATGAGTGCGGCACAAGCTGGTACTGAGAATGGTGCCAAGATTCTCGAGCTCTTTAGGACGTTGGGGAAGTTCGTCGCACGCTCAATGTTGGACTCGCGAATCATCGATGTGTCGTTCAACGCAACCTTCTTTCGCGTCGGGGACGGAGCCGCTGCCGTTGCGCCTTCTTTAGGGGCCGTCAAATCTGTTGATCACGACTTGGCCAGATCACTCAAGCTGTTGAAGCAGTTTGCCGATAAGAAGAAGCAGATCGAGAGAGACGACAGCTTGACCGCCGCACAGCAAGCTTCAGCGATCAAGGGCATTGTCTTTCAAGACTGTCACGTGGATGACCTTGGTCTAGACTTCACGCTTCCTGGATACTCCATCGAGCTTGTTCAAAATGGTGCAGACCAACAAGTCACGATTGATAATGTGGACATGTACGTTGAGAAAGTACTTGATCTGACACTAGGTTCTGGTGTTCAGCGCCAAGCGGACGCCTTCAGGGCAGGCTTCTCCGAAGTCTTCCCCTACTCCGCATTGAAGGCTTTCACGCCAGATGAGCTCGTTATGCTCTTCGGGCGTGTTGAGGAGGATTGGTCTCTTGAGAGTGAGTTTGCTTTCACATAGTCCATCGGTAACATGATGCTAACGTATATGCAGCTCTAATGGACTCCATCAAAGCGGATCACGGATATAATCTTGACAGCAAGAGTGTTCGTAACCTTTTGCAAACCATGAGCGAATTCTCGGCTACTGAGCGTCGTGACTTCCTGCAATTCATCACTGGTAGTCCGAAACTCCCTATCGGAGGTCAGTTCATCCTTCTTGTTCTCTGGAGTCGCTACTAACCAGCAAGCAGGTTTCAAGAGTCTCACTCCGATGTTTACCGTTGTCTGCAAGCCGAGCGAGCCACCGCTTACATCCGACGACTATCTCCCGAGTGTTATGACTTGCGTCAACTACCTCAAGATGCCCGATTACAGCAGTATGGACGTTCTCCGTGAGAAGCTCAGTGTAGCAATTCAGGAAGGGCAGGGCGCCTTCCATCTTTCCTAAGCACGCAGGCTAGACCGTGACACAGACATTATCGGGGGTTGGCGCACTGTTCATCGAAGCGACTTCATGGTCTGCTTTGCGGTTTCATATATGAATTAGGCGTTGCATTCTCTTCAGGATGCATTAACGGGTGATGGAACGGTACTGGGATTGGGCTTGGTATTTTTCAATGACTGACGCCCACGACGACAATATGCATCAGGACGATTAGTCCATGGCGTTAATGCTTGTACACTCACATAGCGTATTTCACAGATTCTTGGATGGGAGGATGGGAATGAGAACAGATACGCCTTAGCACAGTACTTGACCATGGTACAGATCATGGTACGTCTTGTGTTGTATGAAATCGAACATGTCATAGCTTAGCGTGGTTGCGCGATGTGGATCCGCCCATCCAACCTTGGAAACGAGTGACGCACATGACTGAGTGCGTGAAGGAATTTGAACGTTTGAACGCATAAATGAATACCTTCATACGAAAGACCTTCGACATCAACGTGCAACATGCGTCCGCTGAATAAACGCCAAGCTTCGGCCCGTTAGGCACCGAGCTGCTTCCACTCGAAAGCGCACCACACCAAGCGTGCAACTTTTTGTGCTCCTGTGCTTCAACGCTGCACTACCTTTGTTGATCGCGCAATTCCCAACATTCTGTCGCACGCCAAAGCCTGAGCCCACTATACTCTAGATTTATTCCGACTGAAACACGTTCAGATCTGAGTATGCAACGTGTGCCCCGCCAAAATAGACTGCGCAAACATCTCAAGACCAAAGATGGATGAGGAGCTCCACAGCCTCGAGGTACGCACACGCCCCCGTTACACGACCGATCGCGAACGCTAAGATGCGCGCAGCAAGAGTATTGCCCACCCTTGGACCCAGCTCTCCTTCATGCGCTGTACCCAGACTATGCGGGGCAGCAAGATGGCATACAGGTGCTAAAGGGTCTTCTTGAGGACCTTAAGCAAACGGCAGCCGCAGAACAGCTTACCGACTTTGATCCGTCGGGCAGCAGCAGCGGTGCGGTGCGGTCAAGCCCGAGCAAAGAATCCGATGATGCTGCTTCAAGTGCGGAGACATGGATCTCGCAGACGACGGTGACTGACTCCACGAGCCTTTCGAACGGTTTAGCAACACTCGAGCTGGGGACCAACTTAGACCATGCGACAATGGGAGGATACTTTCGAGATACCGAGGGCTTTGACACACCAACGAAAGAAGCATTGCTTGCCGAGACGTTCCCCACACTGCGGCTCGACCTCGTCACGTATACGTTGAAAAAGTGCGGAGAAGACCTTGAGAAGGCGACGGATGAGTTGCTGAACCACGTCTACTTTGACCATGTAAGAGGGAGCCCTGAAGAACATGCGCACGTTGTGAAGGGCATCGATGCGTTTTCGGAGGAGTACCACGTTCCGCAGCGGGGTAAGAAGGGCAAAAAGCGAAAGCAGAAGGGTGTAAATTTGTATGATGTGAGATCTGCATCTAACTCGGAATCAGAGCTCAGTCCGACCGGACCAACCGCGAACAAGTGGAAAGACAGCGGACGAGATGTCGAGTTCTTATCGTCACGGACGAATGTGTCTGCCAAAACCGTTGCCTCGTTGTATCACGCGAACGGGCTTTCACTAGTGGGCACTATTACTGCATTGATGAAGAAAACCATCGCCGCGCACGGGAAGGAAGAGCCCGAAGCGCCCATCATTCAGCCTGCCCTGGAGCTCAATGACGAATTTCCGAACATAGAATTAGAATACGCTATCGCTCTGATCAGGCTAACAGCACCCTCCACAGCAAAGGCACATGAGCTTGCAAAGAAACTCACCGTCTATCCCAGCGCCTCTTCTGCTGCCAAAAGTGATCTGCAAGTCATACCCCGTTATGCTCCAGTCAACCTCTCCGAACCCACGGTCACGAGTACAAAGCTCCCCGAGCTAGCGCCCTCTTCAACGCCACGAACAGCAGCCTCTCTGTCCGCAGCCCGCAGCTCAGCCTTTACTAACGCCTCGGCTGCGTACCGTAAAGGCCGCTCAAATCCGCTCTACAAAGCCGCAGCAGGCTATTACGCTCAAGTCGGACGCGACGCCAACGCGCACTTACACGCACAATCCGAAGCTGATGCTGACGCCTTCGTCTCACAGCAGTCTACCTCGACTGTTCTTGATTTGCACGGCGTTACGGTGGAGAGCGCGACGAGAATCGCGCGGCAGAGGACCCAGGCGTGGTGGGATGGTTTAGGAGAGGCACGAATTCCAGGCTATGGGCAGGGGAGAGGTGGTGCAAGGGACGGGTTCAGGATTGTGACGGGTTTGGGGCGGCATAGTGAAGGCGGGAGGGGAAAGATCGGACCTGCCGTTGTGAGGGCATTGGTCAAGGAAGGGTGGAGGGTTGAAGTAGGGAGCGGAGAGTTGGTCGTTACGGGGAAGGCGAAACGGTCGTGAGCATGTGAATACCTAGGCGAAAAGCATCTTCGGAAGGTGTTACAGGTCGATTTGAGGAGGATTGGACCTGCGTTGTGCGAAGGTTTCGAAGAATATGGAAAGAAGTTCTTGAAGATCAGACGAGCGCTGCGCCTCCGCACTGCGAATTCTCGCGAGCGCATACGAGCTACACACTGCATGATCACAGCATTCACAGCACTGCAGTTTCCTACTCCGCATGTTTCCGGTGTAGCGCGACGCTAGATCTGCGCTAAACTTAGAATCCATACCCCCATCTATCAACCTCCAATCTTGGCACCCCAACCTCTCCACCTCCAGCGCCAAAATCCACAGGCTCAAGCCGAGAGCACGTCAATTTAGGGTTGAAACCAAGGCAGCTCGGCGTTGAGGATTTCCTTACTTTGTCAGACTTACCATGTTACGGGAATTATGGGGGTTTGAAACGATGTTTGAGAGGCCGAGCGGCGCGTGTTTCAGCGGCGAGGTAACGGGAAGCGTGCCATGACGTTACTCAAATAATTGTGGAGGCTTTGAAGTGAAGTATACGTCGTGTTGAGTGGTCAATAAAGAAGGTCTACAAGATAGGAAGGGCAGGGCACAACAAAGCCATGTTTTCTGATGTTTCTGCTTCCATCTTAGTGAACCGACGCTACACCATCTACCCGCGCGATCAAAGAAGTCCAAGGCTACAATAGCCTCACTAAGACAACTCACAGTCTTACAGGCATCTTCCCCGTTCAACCAGAAACGTAGCAACTGCCCAACACTACCAGCATTCGATGGAGGTTGTTTCCAGCACACAGCACACGCGGCCGTGCCCATCGCCCTCCCATCACCACTGTTTGATATCTTGGACACTCGTAGTCACAGGCTAGGCATGGCGCGGCCCAATAAGCACGACGCTTCTGCCAGATACCGTCTTAATTGGTTCCCGACAACGAACGCTCTCCTACTCTGCCCCACCGCCCTTACAGATGCTTTTTAGACCGCCGCTGGCGTTGTTCGGAAGATCGACGGATGGGTACACTTTTCTGAAGAAGCGAGGCGGCATGCTGAGACCGGATCAGAAGGCTATTCTGGACCCGATCGAGGGCACCCCATGGGCGCCGTTATGCTCTGTGCTTACACTCTTTGAGAACGCTCATGTGTAGATATAAGACTTACCCATTATCAGAAGCCTACCTTTCTTTCTTCACTCCACATCTGTACTTTCCTTTCGAGTTTACTACTGCTGCTAGTCGGCTTTCCATTCCCTTCCTAACTCGCCACTGTAGAACAGTGCGCTTTCAGTTCAGTCTATCCTAATTACTTATACACGTATATTCGCGACTACATTATGAAGTTCTCCGCTTCCGTTGTTGTTGCCCTTGTGGCGACGCCGCTTGTCACTGCGGCCCCGGCACCTTTCCCCAAGGTCGAAAAGAAATGGGTCGATACCAACAGCGGCTTCACAGGCACCAAGATGCCCGCCCACTTCGTCTCATCCTTCCGTAAGATTGCTCGCGAGAAGAGCATCCGCAAGCGTCAGCTTGATCAACTTCTTGGTCAGTTGACTGGCGGTGCTGGCGGTGCAGGTGGCGCTGGCGGCCTTGACCAGCTTTTGGGGGGCTTGACTGGGGGCGCCGCGGGTGGTAATGCCGCAGGAGGGGCAGCAGCTGGAGGAGCAGCTGGCGGAGCAGCTGGCGGTGGCCTTGGTCAACTCCTGGGTGGATTGACGGGCGGTGCGGGGGGAGGAAATGCAGCGACTGGAGCGAACGGAGCAGCTGCTGCTGCTACAACTGGCACAGCTGCTAAGGGAAAAGCTAAGGGCAAAGGTAAAGGCAAGGGTACAGCGGCCGCAGCTGGTGCAGGTACAGCGGGTAAGTTCTGGTGTCGAGGATGTGTTCGAACATCCAATGCTCACGAAAATCAGGCGCAGCAGCGAACAACGGCACCGCAGCCGCAGGCACTACAGCTACTGGCAAGGGAAAAGGCAAGGGTAAAGGCAAAGGCACAGGTAAGTGAGCCCGAGAGCTCGAAGCGAGAGTGAACAGGTCACTTCAATAGATGATATTCATCCGGGCCCATCACGGATGCGCCCGACTTCCCCTGTCTGACCATCACTGACTTGCAACATAGGAGCTGCTGGCACCGCAGGCACAGCTGGTAAGTCCAACTTCCATGAAAACACCTGATCGTCATTAACGACTTCAAGGTGCCGCCGGAGCCGCCAACAACGGAACCGCCGCAGCAGGCGGTGCAGCCACAGGAAAGGGAACAGCAGGTAAGTACTTCCTCCATGGACTTTCGTCATTTGACTCTTCAATGCCGATTGTGTGAACTTTATATATTCAAGACAATGTTGGAGCTTGCTAACTTATAGAAGGAACCGCCGCTGGAGGCTCGACCACGACAGGTTAGTACCTCATGCTGAGCTTCGATTCTCGACTGCCAATGTATTACTAGTATGTTGCGACATTGTTCTAACACTCCAAAGGAACCCAAGGTACCCAAGGCAGTGGTGTACAGACAGGAACCCAGGGCACTCAGGGCGTTCAAGGTGGGTCGACCGGAACCACTGGTATGAGGTCCTCCCTTTGCATTGGATTGCGCTGTAGTGGCTAACGCATCTCGAAAAGGCACTGGAGCGCAGACCGGCACTGGAGCGCAGACTGGAACTGGAGCGCAGACTGGCACTGGAGCGCAGACTGGAACTGGAGCGCAGACCGGCACTGGAGCGCAGACTGGCACTGGAGCGCAGACTGGCACTGGAGCGCAGACTGGCACTGGAGCGCAGACCGGCACTGGAGCGCAGACTGGCACTGGAGCGCAGACCGGCACTGGATCGAACACTGGTAAGCTTTTCTAACACGGAGCTGGGGGTAAAGTCGCTGACGGAGGAACTAGGCACTGGTGTTCAGACAGGAAACGGACAGACTGGAACAACCGGCTCTCAGGGCGCTCAGGGCGTTCAGGGTGGATCAGCCGGCGCTCAGGCTGGCACGGGATCTGCCACTGGTGAGCACTCTCCAGTTTATCTTCCACCCTTTCCACTAGCAACTTCCATGCCCTCCGTCGACTATGCTCTCCATCCATTTGACACGGCTACTCCCTTCATCCTCAATGGACTGCATCGCAATCGCTAACGGATGAATTAGGCACTGGTGCGCAGACTGGCACTCAAGGCACCCAGGGCACCCAGGGTGGGCCTGCTGCCAACAGTGGATCTGCTCAGACCGGCCAGACCGGCACTGGATCGGTTGCCGCCAACGGAGGTTCCGCTGCAGGTGTGGGAGCTGCTGGGTCCTCTTAAAGTGTCCACGTCCAGGACATGGTCGCAAGCGATGTCGCGAATCCTTCTTGTGGAAATGTATCTACGATTGTGTACAAATGAATTTAGGTTTTGATCTGGAAACATAAATAATAAATGTATTTGATGCTTGGAAGGGAATCTACTACACTGTGGCGATGTTGGTGCAGTAGTGTGTTGGGGGGTTAAGTGTTCTGTGTTGACCCTAATTGGGGAATGCACAAACCGGAATGCGTGAAAGTGTCTTTTGGTTGTTTTTCACATTGGCGAAAGAGACACAGGTATGAGAGAGTTGTCTAGTACTAAATTTTGCGGACTTGGGCTACAGTGTCTTGTCAAAAGTTTGGTGCATTGTGTTACCCCAACATGAGCAATGCATTACTCAAGTTGCCGGCAAGATATCGCAATCAAAGCTCTCATTTACTTACCCTGAAATTATTAGGGGTGCTTCAACGCGGTGCTCAGCGGTACTGACACGGACGGGTTTCCGACATTTCGTAAGCATCGGTGACATGTAGCATGATCCGGCTAGAATAAACGTTGAAAACAGGGTGAGATCTCTGAACGGTGGAGGGTGAGAGACCTACAGGTAGTCTTTGAATACGTGCTAACTATGTGCCCGTTATACCGCTCCACATACTAACACTGCTAAACTCGATTTCGATGTCGACGAAGTCAGGAAGCACTGTGCACAGGTTAAGATGCTGGTGATGACGGCGGTGAAATGCAGATTGATAGCCTTTAATATTCCAACAGTGGAGCTGGCATCCGATTCTTTTACCTGTCGGTCGAAGTCCAATAGTTTTAAATTCTCACCACCTGTTCCCTCACCACAACGTGAGAGGATTGGCATAACCGGTGACACTACTTCATATACGAGGAATCTGAGGCTTTGCCTTCCTTTCTTCCTACACTGACCCGGCTAACAGATCAGAAGTGCCTCCCTCCTATCGTCTGTTCCAACATGCCCACTCAGGAAGAGACCTCAGAGCCTCCGAACCTCCCTATCAGCTCTTCGCCAGAACAAGCCTCAGCATCATCCCTCCCTGGACCATCGACTAGAACAGCTGTTGAAGCATCCACTGACAGTCAAGCTCCTACGACAGACGCCGTAGCAAGATCTCAAATAGTAAACCCGGCACTCAAGGCACTTGCTGCTGAAGTAAACAAGCACAAGGAGCAGCCTCAGAAACCGCCACCAGACATTGAAGGTATTCCTTTACCAAGAGTATCGTTGGAGAGCTGATCTGCTTACACCAAGCCTAGTCAACAGACTTCCATCCGCACAAGAGATCTACGATGCCATCCCTAAGGAGGGCATAGACATCAGAGACCTGGTCAAGATGTTCAATGTTGATGGAACGAACTTCCATCTCTTCCTTGAGCTATTGAAACTTATCGGTGATATCAAGATCGAAGCCTGGGTGAAGCCGGCGTCCGTTATTCCCTCCGATGCTGAGGTTGACAAGAGATATATTGAAGCAAAGAAGCCGGCCATTCCAAGGAAACTGGAGAAGAACCAAGTAGTCAAGTCGAAGTTGGTGGGAGTCCCACTCGTGTAAGCTGACACTGGCGCGACTCATAGGGTGTAGCACGGTTAACAAATATTAGGACATGGAAGAAGCGTGACGAGCTTGTGAGAGGTGCCTCCAACATCCGACCCTCCAAAGTGTACCGCGTCATCCACGAAGACTCGGCTACTCTTAGTCATTTCACTGGAAAGTATGTTTCACCATCCACCATACATTAACATTTTCCGAACTTGGCTAACGTCCGTCTGTCGTAGGCATACCCACATCAAGCGGCGAGGAATCCCCAGCCTGAAATTGGGTGAAGGCAACGCCTTCCAAGCCATCGCTCCATTCAGCGGCGAACATGACCTGACTCGGCCGAGAATTGAGCGTCATTTGGTGTGGAACAAGAAGAAGAACGAGTCGGCCTACGTTTCTACGTTCAACAGAATTGGTAAGCACGCCACCTGTGCGCGAGTGAACGTTTGATTGATAGCAATCTTAGAGGACGCCGAGAGGCGACTGAAATTTCACTCACGCGAAAATTCTGCTCTTCTAAGACAAAGCGAACGTGTCGGTGAGCGACTTGCAGTGGCTGTCATCGACACGTCCGATTTGGTACCAGCGACAGTCCGCACGGAGATTGAGGAAGAGATCGAAACGATTGTGACCGTCACGAAAGGTCTATTCAAATGGAAAACCCCAATAAAGAGCGACAACCAGAAGCGTCGAGTCAAGATCCCTATATGGGTTCACAAGAGCGCATTCGTTGGACACGAGGATGCGCATCAATCACACTCCAACAACTCGAAGCAACAGGAGCGGATATGTGGCTCTCTATTACGGAACTTCGACGCTGCAGTCTTGACCTCCCCGCTACCAAGGGCCATCATTATGAATGGCTTGCCTGTGGGACCATCCCTATGTCTCGGATCATCCATGTCAGGCCGTACGATGGCAAGATCTTGCACGATGCTGGAGGCAAGCATCCCGTTCGTAGCAAGCACAGTGCCAGTGAAAACTGTTGGATATGGAACTGGGAGAAGTCCAGATGGTACCTAGACGATGATTGGGAGCGTGGAAAAGACGGCGAAGTCCCAGGTCAGAGCTCTACGCACATGATAGAAGACCGCGCGGCATCTTCCAGCGAAGACGACTATAGATTCGAAATTAACGAAGATACCGTGGCATACCATGAAGGCACGCATCCCGATGACAGCCGCGACGATACGCCGAGAAATTCGAAGAGGAAGACGAACAGCTTCGATGGTGGTAGCAAAGGCAAACGAGCTCGGCTTGCGAGTACCAAATCGGCAATGGACACAGCTGCATGCGCACATGAATGTTCTGACTGGTGTCTCCGCGGGTTCAGTGATGAAGAAGCCAGGTATGCGGCAGCCTGGACTGCCATCGTGGACTCAGAGAATCAGCGAAGAATCGGATGAGTCGATTTCAGGTTCAGGTACAGCCTGGCATAAAGTATGTGGCTCAACTTCCCTTTGAACTATCCGCTCTAGAGCAACACGATGTACTAACACCCTTCTCTTAGGGCTGCACTATCAGGATATCGATTGTAGCATATCGAGTTCTTCCACAATTCTAACGGGCGAGAACCGTTCTGGGTATTCACGGAGACGAACGCTGCTTTGTCTTTCTCCACTATGGACTCAGGCACAAGAACGAAGGATCCTGCTAGGTATCTGGATATTTCTTTTTATGGAGATGGAACACTTGAAGTGGAGAGCGGGTGTTAGGAATACTACACGGTGCTCGGCAGAACTCTTCTCCTCGTGGAAGACGTAGGCGGAAGCACATGGCTGTCATCAAATGACATTGTTTTGATCACTATAACATACTGTCATTTGAGCCCGACCAGTGTCACTAAAAACTTCTAGTATTTCTTGATGACGCATGTGGTGTTGTGCAAAATGCCTCAAATCTCCTGCTACTTGAGCCCTGAAGCATCGTCGAATAGCTTGTCGATCTCCTCAAGAGTCTTACCCTTGGTTTTAGCAATGAACCGCCTAAAAGCTGGACGAGAGGCACTGAACCGTAAACAAGATATACCCGACGTTTCCCAGCGTTGGCGGTGTCGTGATGCTACTTCATAATAAGAGCTATTATAGGTGACTGTGTAGTCGACTTCAACAATATAGGTGCATCGTAGTGAATGCACTGATCTCGCTAAACTGCTGGAAGAACATCACGCTAATTACAACAATTGCCCGTCGGATGTTGCGGCGACTGAAGAAAGCCAGCCACTGGTATAGTCTAAGCTACGGTCCTTTGACACCAGGATATTAACACTCGAATTTCTGCGCTCTTGCGTTGTTCTTTCAATTGTGTTCTCGTAAGCATACCAGCGTTTTCTGTCTGAACCCTCTAATCCTTATATGGTAGGTGTCCCAACTTCGTAAGCCTTGTGAGGCATTCATTCCAGTTGTCAACAATAGCTAACTAACGTAGGGAGTTCGTTGAGTAGTGAAATCCAAAACCTATAGCAGTTGCTGATACTATTTCGAGACTAAGAGGAAGGCGGTAATTAATCTCGTCCTTTATATATCGCGCACCGAAGGTGATCTAGAAGGCTTTTAAGATATCTAAGATGACTAAAACTAGTTCAAGTATAAGTAGGATCCCGCGGATGTTTGGTGGGTTTTTCTCGGATATGTACAAGGGTGCAACCTAATGTTGTAATGTTAGCGCTATCGATTATTGCAAATGTGGAGGGTTATACATACCATAGCTAATCCACTAATACCGACACCACTAACGGTTCTTCTACTAACCAATGTGCCGTACACATTGGCAATAATCTGAATAATGGCACCATCACTAAAGATAATAATATAGACCATAAGTGCCCACTTCTTAGAGACCTTATACGCGAGAGACGGCATAAAGAGCTATCTAAGGAAGGCTATGATTAAGAGTATACCCGTCATAAAGCCTTTCCCGAGTTCACTTTCGGCTCTCAAGAAGGCGACGTGAAAAGGGGGCATTACATTGATAATGGCTATGACTCGCTGGTCGTAGTCGAAAACCCCCTAGTGCCACGTGAAAGCAGGCTCCGGAAACGAAGCCTGATGTCAAGATGCCGCGAAAGCCACTGGAACCGTATCGAGGACTCGCTGCAGCTTCAGTGGGCAGCTTTTCGAGTGGTTTCGACGCCTCGTTCAAGTTTGTCAGGCGAAGTATCGGAGGCATGGGCATAATCGCCTTGTCATGGTGTGACATGGTTTTGATAACTACTCAATGGATAATGAGGCAGTGAGAAGCTAGGTTTCAGTATTGGCGGTTATGGAGGACCGCAAGACTGGCATACCACATAATCTTGAATTTGGCCAGATCGTTGCAGATATTAGCATCATTATGAACGCTGGTCCTAACGCCACTGGCATCGCCATTGATAACGTACTGTAATTGGTCCTCAAGAGCCCGGATTGTCTTGCGAAATTAGGAGCTGAGCTAGATGAGGCTTTGTGCGAAGACAACGTCGTACATCAGCTATCTGGAGCAGATGGTCCGTATAGCGACGCTGGTGAGGAGATATGATATTGCCCTCCCGCACCCGGGATAGGATGTTACTAGGAGGGAGAGCACGACCTTGAGCCCCGGGCCAATGTAAAACGCGCGGACACGAAAACCGAGTCGCAGGTAGCGTAGTGGCTGTTCTATCGGATAAAGCCTGGAGCGAACGATATAGCTCTGTGGATGCTTTCGATGTATGAAGGTCATGTACCCGCTGTTCCCCGCGTGTTGGTGCTCGACGCAGAGTGACGCGTGTGTACTGCGGGAAGCTGCACTGACCCCTGAACGAAAGTGGAGCCTGCGGAAGGGACGACCCTGAACGGTCAATTGCATCTGCAACTCTAATTCAACGCACTCACTACTCCTTACGTGAGGCAACAAAAGTAGTCGTCTCAGATATCGCAGTCGCTACATATCAGAGGAGCCCTGTGCTACGCGATCGATTCGCCAGCCATTACGCACTGTTTGATGCGACGTTGCAGACCTCCACAGCAGGCCGCCAACGCGCATAGAAAGCCTCAGCCTTCGACTTATCTCCTTGCACAATGATCACATCATGTCTCAGAACCTCGCCTAGTTCGCAGCACGTTACCTCCACGCTCGCATCACGCTCAGCTAGTACGGGTACCAATACTGTTGTACCACCAGCACCGTATCCCACCGTCGCCAGCTGTCCGGCGGAACCGGATCCTCAAACGTTGAATCTCCATGCGTGCGAGCAGCGGTCCATACTTGTATTATTCACGACCGAAAGGGTGGGAAGGAGCTGCAGGTACGCGCTGCGCGTGCTTCAGGTCGCGAAGTCCGGAGCCCACTCCGCGAGGGAGAACTCGTGGCTTTGGAACCGCCAACGGGTCTGAGAACCACGTTTGCGCCATCGCCTCGGTCCGCACACGTGTGTGAGGAACGAATCTTCGATCTGAGACAGTGATGGATAAGGATGAGCTTGATTGAGTTTGGAAGGACCATGTCCGCCAGCGCAAGCTCACTACAGCCTTCGGAACGTAATCGGCGCGTCGCATAATCGCAGTGCGCACGCCACACTTCGTACCAAGGTACTATCGTTGCAATTCTCTTTCTGTGTGCCAGCTCTACACTCTTCATCCCGACTCTTTCCCGAGGCCCATCGCATCCACTCAACCGCAGCTCAACGATTGACAACCTAGAATCAACCTTACCCGGCAACCCTACCCGCTTCCCTAGGACCAGAATCCTTGGCGCAAAGCAAAGGAAAGAAGCAAGGTGAACCCCGATGCGCGCGAGACCATCAGGCTGACAGCACCACCAACCAACCCACTTTCCAAGCCAACAGGTACCCGCAACAGAGTAAGCAATTGAGCACACACGCGCCGCACCGCCGAGCCCAGCACCTAGATCTTCTTACGGTTGGGTAAGGCTGCTTGCACCCAAAAAGTGACATCCCCGAAATACGGAGTATAACTTTTAGGGACAGTGACATTCCAGAGCTTGCCTGGGCAACCGGCGCGCGAAGACGGCAATTTCGCTTGTCGGTGTTATTTCAGGCACGTGAGGCTACTGAATCGCGACTCCAAGCGCTATTCGCCGACGACGTCAAATTGCCCCCGCGCGTTGATTTTTCAAATTGTTCGCCATGGTGAAAATCTCTGCGCAAGAGCCTGATGTGTTGGCATGCATAGAGGTGGTCTTCCATTGCGTAACATTTTCCGTTCTTTGTTTCCTTTTTCCCTTGCACGCAAAGGCAACAAAGCCGACCCACGCTTTGCTTTGCCGGCATGCATACAGGATCCACTGTGCTTTGTTGGCCGTGCATACTACCCACACATTTCATCTAGCCTCCGAACTCAACCAGAGAATTTTCTGACCACTTCACACGCGATCAAAACCTTGCACCTTGGTTTTTGGCAGTCGCTCAACGGCTCATGTCAAGACGGGCCGGCGCTTGCGCAGTGACCAATCCCCAGGTTTGCTTGCCGATCGCAATCTTAGAATGTGTGAGCCAATGGGAGGCTGATCGCATGGGAAAAGTGGGAAGTAATGGGCGAGAGCAAGGCTCAATGAGCTGGTCTGTGACCTGTGATGGGTGAATTGGTAGAATCGGGGGTGATATTGCGCGAACCAAGGCGTGAGCACTGCACGGGTCAGAATACGGTCGTCACGTAGATCAAGGAAGTCAAGTATACATCTCCAACTATTCATTTCTGCAACTATACTGGCAGGCTAAGATCATGGTACTTTGCCGCAATGCTCGCCCCCATCATCCCAATGCCCGATGAAGGATTCGCACCGCCTTGCTGATCGTCCTCCTTTCCCCCTGTCACACAACACGCAAAAAGCCACCCAAAAAATACATCATCCTCCACACTTATAAAAGTAAAAAACGCAACAGAAAGGGGGTATCTCCAAACTCCAGCTCCACCAGAGAAGTAGGTAGTCAGAAGAAGAGGTGCCTAAGCTCGGCATACGCTTGTGACAGGCAGCGAACATATGTTCGCGCGCAGCGTCCCGCGACCAGTATTTTTCCAACAGAAGTATGATTGTAATGAATGACTAGAAATTATTCTGCCGTAGGCAAGAAGAATTCAAAAGGGGGTAAATTGTAAGACTCGAGAAAAGGAAGGTGGGTATAGAAAGTCCGGCATCGTTCGTTGAATATCGTAAGGGGAAGAATTACAAAGAAGGTATCCGGAGTTGCTAAGTTCGAATGTATAGAGTCGAAAGATAAGATAAGGCAGATGAGTGCTTCCGAAGAAGTAAGTTATAGGATCCTCATAACACATAATGAACCGAACAGGCGAGCACGCTCAATGCGGGCCCGGCGCTTCCAGAGTATGGATAATTCGTATCATAGACGAGCACCAGTCGATGATGCGAGAAGCGGAAGGTGGTCGCAGAGAGGACTTATTGCGCGCTGAGCGGTCATAGAGCGAGGAAACCAAGGCCGGCGGCGAACATGGCGACGAGCGCGCCGTTGACGGAGAGGCCAGAGGCAGCACCAGGGAAAGGAGCAGAAGTGGGCGCAATGGGTGCGCCGGAAGAGGCACCAGTACCAGTGGGGTAGGGCGCAGTGCTGTTGGCGGGGACGGGCATAGAGTATGCAGCGGTGGCCTGGGAGGAGGCAGCGATGGTGGTGGTAGAGTTGGCGACCTCATAAGCAGGGCTGCTGCTCAGGGTGACCGTGTTCACCTTGTAGATGGTGCTGGTGACATAGATGGTCGCGTCGTAGGCTTGGCTGTCCTGTGCGACGACGAAGGCGACAAGCGCGAAGAGGAAGAGAACGACCTGCTGGAAGGAGCGCATGGTGTCGGTGACTGTAGTGGTCTTGTGTTGGTTGCGAAGAGAGTGGTGCGCGAGGCTTGCGACGGTCCGAGACTGGTTGTTTTGGTCTTGCGACGAGGCAGTGAGCGACTGTGGACGTGGGGTGTGCTTGCGCGACGATGTGTGCTAGTAGCAAAGAGCGATTGAGGTTGCAAAGAGCGTGATGGCGAGGCTGCCGGAGCGGGAATGCGCGAGTGTTTGTAAGGACTGACTGGGTTGGAAGCTGGCGAGCGTTTGAGGGAGAAACAGCGGCGCGGGCGGACACACGAGCTTTAATGAGGCGCAATCTCCCTGCTAATTTCGCTCCAAGAGCCCGGCACGGCGCTAACAACGCAAATCCTGGCAGCCTGCACAACGCAGTCTGGGCGCCGTCGGGGACCTGGATGCCTGGCAGCCTGTCGCGCAGATGATGGCGCGCTGACGGCGCTGAAATCTCCGTGACAGTCCCGCAGGGTCTCAACCATGGCTCAACACCACCGTTGCCATCGTGACAAACGCCCCGAAGTTTTGCCTTCCGCCCACTCTGCATCCGCCCATGTTTCCCCCACAGTCCACTTTTCGGTTCAGAACCACCACTCGTGCGCTGAAACGGCGTCCCGCGCCGTGGCACTCTGGTCAGTGACACGGCAAACCTGCCCCAGACGTGGCACGTCGAAACCGCTCCTCGTCGCAGCGACACGGCAGCCGACCTCTGACCAATCCAAGTCGAGCGCCACTGCTGAGCCGCGACAGCCTGTCTGCGCGCAAATTCTGTCGAGGCGTGTCGTGTAGTGTCGCAGCATCTTGGACGTCAGACGGTGAGCGCCTCAGCCACCCACCCGTCCAAACATGGGTGCATGGCGCCTGCCCTCCCACTATACTTCGTATATGACGATGCGACAAATGGCAACTGCAAAAAGCCTGGCACAAAGAAATGCTGGAAAGGAGGAAGAAATTGCCATCGAACCGGCCTGGGTCAAAGATTTCATTGGCTATAGTCCAGTCCCCGGCCCTTATTGCGCTCTCGTCCCGTGCCAGTGAATGCGCCGACATGAGCGCTATATGGAAGTACTCCACGCGCCGGCTGTTTCTATGCTAGGCCCCATAAAGATGGTGGCCGTGATAATGAGTATGATACAATGCGTCCAGAATGTTGTGTGCTGAGTTGGCCTGGAATGCGCCGGGGCAACCCAAGGTACCCGCCTATTCCATTTTTCTTCCCAGCTCCCCATCCATGAAATGCCACGCCATGCGCCTGAAGGAACGCCGAGAATAGGCGCAGGCAGATATGCGAAAAGGGTAATCCATTAGGTGATGCCAAAGACAACTCACTTTGTCGGTGACGGTCGTACCTCGCCACGTGTGAGATGCTCAGTCGTGCTCCGCAGCCTCGCTGCTCTCCCACAACCGTCGGCATAGCTCTTCTACTTCGTTCCGAATCCTGCCATTATCACTCTCAAAGCTTTCCCTCCCTTCAAGATCGCCCTCTTCACGACTATTGCGGCCGTGTTCGAAGCTGACCCGCGACCTCCGGCTGGCAGAATCGTTTATTTCATCGTTGTAACTCGCACTCAGACTACTACCGCCGTGCACATTGGATAACCCATTTGTGCCGGCCGACTTCGGCACGCGACTTTTGCGCGGTGTCCCAGGCATCTGTTCAATCCGAACAATGGCCTCAACAAGCGGGTTGCGATACCTTCGCACGACATTGTATTCTACGGAGACGTGGTTGAACTGTTGTTGTAGACGAGGATCCAAACGCCCTTCACCGTTTGTACTGTATGTCATCCCCGTGTAGAGTGCTGTGGGTCCACCCGTCCGCGGTAAGATTGAAGGGATCAGCTTTTGTGGCTCGATGGCAGAAGAGGCGCGCTGGAGCATTAGCTTCTGCTGTGTTCGCGAGGGTGGTAGGTCTGTGGGGGTGCTAGTGCCCGATCTGCGTGGGGTTCGCGTTGGTGTCTCTTCATCTGCGACGTTTGGCATGGACCGGTTTCTCTTGAGGTTCCCGTTGCCCGACCCGTTTCGTGACGGCAAAAAGCTGCTGTTCGGCGTGCCTGCCGAACCATCCCCATCGATGAAACGAGAAACCAAGTCTCTTCCAGGAGTATCCACCAACGTTGAGCCGGCGCTTTGACTTAGTTCGCGCGGCTCATTATGGTTCGATACCACGGTCGCAGCCACTGCAGACATCTGCGGAGCAGGGTTATGAAGAGAGCCGCGCTGCAATAACCGTGAGGTAATCATATCCGCATCGGCCGGTCGGGAGTGTGAATGGTGGTGAGTGCTGCTGCCGTTCGCCGGTCGCGTTTGTTGCTGCGTTCGGTCCGGGAGAGCCCGCATCGACATGCTCGAAGTGCCCGAAGCTTGCTGGCTACTTCCCTCTGCCCGTGATATACCTCCCAATCTTTCCATTGGTCTGTATTCTGCCGCTTTATGCGGATCAAGCACGACCGAGTTGGAGCGCGTATTTGATCGTGTCGTGGTGGGTGATTGGGATGCGCTTTCCTCGGTCCAGCCGTCGTCCTGTCCCTCCTCGTCTGCCACGTCGAAATGCACAGTTGGATGGTCGTCTTCAGGTGAGGGCTCGCGGGCCTTGCCCGGATTGATCAGGGAACGCTTCGGTGGTGCTATCTCGCTCTTTGATGCCTTCAGCGCCGGCCTGGAACCACCGTCCCGTGGCAGGTGGCCGCTAGAGTGGTTCTTGCGTATGCCACTCGCAGTGTGGCCGTGCTTGCCGACTCTCAGTACTGCGCCGGCGGACGCATTGCGTTTGATTCCGGGGCGCGGACTGCTGGGCGCAGAGGTCGAGTTGCCAGAGTGCGCGCGGCGGTGGTGCTTTACGGCGTTTCCCTCGTTGCCGGGCGCCTGGGCCTGCTTGCTCAGCTTGTTGAGGTTCTTGCCAACAGAGTGATTCCGCTGCATGCGACTGCTGCCGCCAACGACGTGCTGGCGCGGACCCTTGGCTTTGTGCTGGGTGGATTCGGAAGGCGAATGCGATCTTTGCGACGACGTGGACGACTGGCGGGCCATTGGAGGAGGGCGTCGCGGCTGCGAATGAGCGTCGGCCGACGACGAAGCCATGCTTACTTTTTGCTGCGTGGCTGCGTGGAGGGGGTCGAGATGCAGATGGGCTGTCTTGCCAGTGCGAGGTAGCGAGCCGCGCGCGGATCACTAAAGCTTGAGCTGGGGCCCGGCGAGCAGATGGAGGGCGTCTAGTGATGTACGCTCATGGCTTTGGGCCATAGGCCTCAATTGCGAGGATGTGGGCGGCGTGGAGGGGTGCGACCGTATGCCACGTCGGACCCAATGGTTATCGGTTGTGATGCAGTTGCATCGATCAAATCATAAAGCGCAGGCGGTGAGCCGAACCCAAAACGGCTGACCGCGGCAGCGCCTGGAACTCAACGTCATTGCATCACAATCACCACGCCGCGCGACACAAACACATTACTTGTTGGTGATTATGTTTCTGCATACTAAGGGGTCTTCTTCCGTCGCTCAGCTACATGTGAGTGGCTGATGATGCTCCTTCCTCGGTTGTCAACCCACCTTCCTTCAGAAGTGGGAAATGCAGCAGCATCCGATTGTTTCCCGGAATGTTTGTAGCTCCACGATGCCCGCTTCAACATCTTCTTGGGCGCCATTTACTCTGCAGTAGGTATGTTTATCTGTACACAGTTGTTCGAAATCATACGCCAACCCCTCGATACTTCTTATAGCGTTTCCATTTCACTGTCCCCCGTAGTATCCTCTCACTACTTCTGTTCCTTCATGTTCATTCGTCTCCTGAGCTCCGTTCGTAGTCCTGCGCCTAAGAGCCTTCTGTGTAGTCGGTCATCTCGTGAGACTGGCCTGCATACCAAGAACCTCTCATTTCCTGATATTTGCCTTCTTCGCAAGCTTCCTAAGGCGCCCCTTCATGCTGCGTTGCTTTTGTGCTGCCCTTTTCTGGGACAGCTGTCGCTGCTCTGGGTTCATGCCATCGATGCATCCAAATGATGACGTAGTGAAGATGGAGGCTGGGCGCGACGAAGCTGGGCGCGACTTGTAGGATGGCGGTGGCAGGCCGGAAAAGTATGTTGGAGCGCTCGAGAAACTTCCCATGGAATCCTCACGCGGCAAATGCGCAGCAGCCAATGCTCCTGGACGTAAGGTACTGCTTGTGAACGGACCTTGATCTAACACGAGACGCTCCATCTCACACTCCAGCTCCCGCAGCTGCACGCTACCCGGACTATCACAACGCAGTGCCAGGTCAGCGTTCGGGACGTGAGGTCGATTGTTGACCGACCCCATTGTAGGAGAAGCTGCTGCTGTGGAAGGACGCATGGTAGGACGCGTCGTTGCCATACGGGTAGCAAAGTAGGGTACCTCGCCGGCTTGTGTTTGTTCGTATGGTATAGCTAGGACCAGAGCCGACTCAGAGCGCGCGTTGGTATCCTCTTCCTCGGCACGTGGAGACTTCACCCGACGAATCGATGGCATGCGTACCTGCTTCTTCGCCCGACGACAGAACGATCTTAGTTGCTCGCTGTGTGAAGTAGCGATTCTCTCGCAGTCAGATTCTTGGATGATCGGTATGGCATACTGCACGTTCGAAACATCTCCCGTATCGGCGGGGTTACCTTCTCTCCAATATGAGAGCCCACCCATCAACGGAGACGACGGCTTGCTCGTAGCCAACCAAGCATCTACATCAAGTACAACGTCTGGGTCCGTTCGAGGTGGCAGCGACGGAGCCTCGAGTACCTGACCTTGCGGAGAGTGCTGAAGCTGCAGAGGAGGCATTGGAAGCGGTCGAGTTGATTCGCCTTTAGCAGCCCGACTCGAAGAGGGCGCAGTCGATGGTCGATTGGGAGGTGCGGTGCGCGGGCGGCGCAAGGACATTTGCCTGATCATTTTGACTTGCTCGGGATTTCCCTCGTTTTGTCGCAGCGCTGGTCTCAAGAAATGGCGAGCAAACCAGTGCTTCGCTAACTCCTGCTCCTTGACTTGGTTGCAGGGCTGTTTCGTCGCTAAGAAGGTTGTAGTATCAGTGGTCATGTCGGCGCTGGCGATGTGGTACTAAGTTAGATTGCGAATGCGGGATAATGTGTGCTGCTGGAGGTGTATCTTATTATAGACGCGGGCACAATAGCGGAGAAGAGACGTGGTCGGGCCTTGTGAGGAAAGTGAAGATGAGAGTGCAGGTTTTCGTTGGGGTGAGTGAAGTCACTGATGCACCATGCGGAAGGCGCGTCGCTCAAGAATCGCTTTCAGCTCACGAGACTCCATTCACTCTTTCCAAAGTTGGAAAATGCCCACATCATTAGAGCATCTGAACATATGCGAGCTCATCGATATGATTGCCTTGAAGATCTATGTACTCAACAGCAGTCTCAGTGTAATCGAACACCATGAGTTTCCGCCCGTGGAGCCTTGCCTACAACATAATTACTATCGTGGACGGTTCTAGACGGTGGTTATACCATGATTCTCCCAATGGTATACTTTTATGTATGTGACCCCTACGGCTGGCATGGCCAAATGGAGATCGGATGCAAGCCTAATTTTTGACCCGTTAGCTTTCGGTAATAAATCCTGGGGTAACATGGGATGCTATGGCTATTCTGATTTCCAGCATGATACTGTACCGCTGCTATTTGCGTCTATACAAGGAGGCGACCATACAAGCATCCATCTTGCTCAACCAACTTTGTGATGTGCACCCTCAACCGCGCCAATAGACTGCAGTTTCGGAAGGCTGCAATTGATCAAAGGTCTGTCCAGACGTACACCAGAAGGAAAGTTCGTTCCGGCCTCATCCCCACTACTTCCTATATTCGCGTACTGGCTCTTTGCTTGGCTATTGATTTTCTCGGCACTTGGATAGGACCACCATCAGTGACATCCGAGACCTACGTCCATCATCCACCACATTATACCGACTGCGGCGGTGCTATGCAACGCGCCTTTTTGGCTTGCCAGGGCGAATCGCTACGATCCAACAAATCAGGTCGAAGCTGTTCGACTCATCTTACATCAACACACTAACCAAGTCCGGTCCAGTGTTCTCTTCTACTACGAATTATAAGGTCTTCAAGTTCGACTTCGAAAATTTTGTCAAATACTTCGGCCCCTGCGACTCAGCCCCTAAGTATCATTGTTTACGATGGTACGACGAGGGAAGGAAGCAGCCGCACCAATGGAAGAGCACCTCGGCGGGGGTCACATCTCTGTCACGGCTCAACAATCACGCTACGCACTCGACGCAATTGATACGCCGGTATCGAAAGAGATATTGGTGAAAGATCTTTCTATCAATGTGTGCAATCGTGAATTGCTCAGCCATGTCACACTACATCTTGTTGAAGCACGTCACTACATCCTCGCCGGGCGCAACGGTACAGGAAAGTCGACATTACTCAGGGTATGGAACGCTCGTATATGAAGTCGACATGTTTTATACAGAGGCACCCCCTAACTAGCTACTCTTTACTGAGTTTCACTGACTTCGTACTTGCTCGCCTAGGCAATCGGCGACGGCTTGATTCCAGGAATTCCATGGAGCACGAGGATTCTGCTACTCGGCCAAACGCAGGAAGACAACCCTAGTAAAGGACTCGGTGAGACGAAGATTGAAGAAACAGTACTGCAACATATCGTGCGAAGTGACAAATTAAGGGAAAGATATACAAGAGAGGCAAATACTCTCAGTGACGCTATTGAGCAAGTCGATCCAATGGCACCTGTGAGAGCGTTCAGGAGAGTGTCGCATGACCGACTGGCGCTACAGCTGAAAGAGGCGCATCGTATTGCCGAGCGTAGAAGTGGTGCACGGGGGAAGATGGCGAGAAAGGAGCTCATAAAGGTAACATCATCTTTCATCTTCCAAGTTATCTAACGGCTTGTACTAACATTGTGAACAGCTCGAAGAGCGGTTCGAGGAATCCAAATCTCGTCTCACCCAGAATCAGGGCGATATCGATCCTGCAAAGTTGAGCTCTGAAATCCATGCAGCAGCTGACCTCTTGACCAACGTCCAATCCGCACTTGAACTGATGGATGCTTCACAGGCTGAGGTCAAGGCCAGACAGGTCTTACTAGGCCTCGGGTTCAAAGACGAAAAAATTGACAAGCCCGTCTCGGAACTCTCCGGAGGTTGGAAAACGCGCTGCGACCTTGCGTGCGCCTTGTGCCAATATGCCGACGTACTACTCCTTGACGAGCCTACCAATTTCTTGGATCTGCCCTCCATCATTTGGCTTCAAGACTATATCCGCAACTTGAGAGACACCACAGTTCTCGTTACGACGCATGATCGAGAGTTTGGCGATGCGGTAGCAGAAGAGCTTATTCTTCTGCGGCACCAGCAGTTGGAGAAATTCCGAGGCAATCTGAGTCTTTACGAACGAGAGCGGTACAAGAAAGCTCGGTACTTAACCAAAATGAAAGATGCACAGGATAAACAGAAGAAGCACATGGAGAAGACGGTGACGAACAACATCAAGGCGGCGCGAGAAAAAGGAGATGATAAGAAACTCAAGCAAGCGGCATCTCGCAAAAAGAAGCTCGACGAGCGAATGGGCATTGAGGTTGGACTCAGGGGAGGACGTTTCAAGCGCAACCGTGATTTGGGTGGTTATCATCTGTCAAGTCGAGCGGAAATCGACGTACCAGATTTTGATCCACCGGTCAGGATGGCATTTCCACGGCAGCCACCGGACCTGAGGTTTCCGGGGTCATTGGTGAGCCTCGAAAAGGTGTCCTTCGCGTACCCTGGCGGGAAGAAAGTCCCTATATTGAATGACATCAACTTGACTATCCACCCTGGGCAGAGAGTTGGCATAGCTGGCTTAAACGGGTCTGGAAAGACAACGCTCATCTCGGTCATTGTAGGAACGAATGAAGGCGCCATAGGAGGGCTCACACCGATCTCAGGCACCATCACCCGTCATGCACGTGCAAACATCAGCCGCTTTTCGCAGCAATCGGTCGAGGAGATAACGGCCATCGCGGGCACCAAACCACAACTTACAGCCCTAGCGCATTTACGGGAACACAATGGTGTAGAAATGGACGAAAAAGAGGCCAGGCAGCTGCTCGGCAGCCTAGGCCTACAAGGGCAGCCAGCATCGGACGTCCCACTCGCGTTGCTTTCTGGTGGACAGAAAGTCCGAGTCGCTTTGGCGAAGTTGTTGTGGCGTCCTCCACAGCTCCTCATCCTGGATGAAGTCACGACGCATCTGGATGCAGAGACCATTCTGGGCTTGATCGTGGCTCTGCGAGAGTACGATGGAGCTTTGCTTGTCGTTACGCATGACAGATTCTTCATGCGGTACGTTTGAGCAGCTGACCATGTCGATCGCAGACGATGCTAACTAGTCCACAGAACGGTAGTAGAAGGCGAAAGTCCATACAGACTAGCTCCAGGGGTCCAGACGGAAGACGATCCGGAGAGCTCCTCGGGAGAGGAGGAGACAGGGGCGTCTGGGGGAACAGTTTATCGGTTGTTCAAGGGCCAGCTGAAGAAGCTCGAGGGTGGCATGGAGCAGTACGAGGAGATAGCCTCGCGGGCAGCTGCCAAGCTGGGCAGAGTGTAGAGCCTGTTCTACTTGGTCCCTAGCGCAAGCAGGTGGTAGGAACGTACAGCGGTGTAGGGGTCTGCGACGTGTTCCTCTTGTGTTGGAGGGTGGTCTATGCAGGGCCAAGGGCGGGCGGAACAGTTCCCGCGACGCAGTAGCCAACACGCGTGCCCAGCGCGTAAATCTCTCCACTAGCTTGACTAGACAATATTGACGAAGCGCGTCCTCCTTTTGCGGCCCAGTTCATCTTCGTCACGATGTCTTCCCAGTGCACGCCCTTAATTGTCCTAATAATCATGCCTTAGCTGCAGGCCGCCGAAAGCTTCATCCTCTACACCGAATTGAACATCTAATTTATGCTGCAGGAGCTTCCATCCTAGTTCCCCTGAGCTGCAATGTCGACGGAAGCTCCTACTCCAGCTACCGATACCCCTCCAGCCTCCGAGACAAAAGCGCCCAAGGACAAGAATTGTCCCTTCTGTGGACAAGCTTTCACATCGAGTAGTCTCGGCAGGCATCTCGACTTATACATACGAGCGAAAAATCCGAAGGCGGCAGATGGAGTCCATCTCGTCGACGAGATCAAGAAGCTTAGGGGCGGCATCACACGCAGGCAAAAAGTCAAGAAAGAGCTGGACACGCCGGCGAAGAAGCACTCGGTGGTCAACAATGCATCGCCCACTGTGCAGAGCATCGATGGGGAGGATGACTCGCCAGAGCTGACCTCTGCGAAGCAAGGCCATTTCAAGGATATGAGCTGGGCGGTTGCAGACGGACATACCCCACGCATGCTGGGCACCAAAACGCCCGAGATGAGGAGGGATGTATCGAGGCAGATGCAGAAGGCGGACCTGGATCAGCGGCAGAAGTTGTCCGAGGAGGCAGAGACGGCGAAAGCCACGGAGCTGGCACTACGGGAGCTGCTACGAAGTGTCAAGGAGGCCAAGTGCGTTAGACAACACTCATCCCGATTGGAGAGTCTGAGCTAATATGGAACCAGCGCAAAAGCAACGGGCCCCGCGCTCTTCGACTTCGACCCTTACACGCTCAACTTCCCCAGCCTGTGCCTCCAGATTCTCCCACCTCCGTCGACTCTCTTCTCCCCGACGCCCTTTGCCACAAGTGAGTCGTGGTCCATAAGCCCTCCTGGTCAGAAGCAGCTCGAGGCGCTGAACCGGCAAGTCGGCGATCGGTTGCTGGCACTCCAGCGGCAGCGACAGATCAACCAAGCGTATCCGTCTGGTTCGCAGTCCAGTCCGTCTTCAGGTAGAAATTCGCCCCTCCCAACTCCTCCGCTCTTCGATCCCGACCCGCAAAAGCTCTTCTGCCATATCGCTGAAGCATACAATCACTGGTCGTGCCAGCCTGAGAAGGTGCGTCAGGAGTACTGGCAGGTGGAGATACTCCGCTCGTATGCACGGTCCACTGACTTGCGACGGGATGCTGAGATGAATCTGGAGAACGCTCGGCGGGAAATTGAGTACCTGAAGTCTAGCCGTTGGGCGGCTGGCGCTCCGGAACGATCGCCCATTACCTTCTCACTGAGCGCTGACACTGTCAAAGAGCTTGGTAAACATGGTATGGACTTACGTAACTGGGACTATGACCGCCTTATCGAGAAGTGGAAGACGGTAGTTCGGGACAACAGGAATGTCGTCGGCGGTATGACAGCACAAAAACCGCTGCCTGATTCATCCCTTACAAGGAGCTGCTCGATGGCAAGCGTACCGACCCAGCCATTTGTCCCGATGAATTCAGTGAAGACCGAACAGACCGCTTACTCAGCGCCGGCGACCATCAACGGCACAGATGAAAACGGCGACCAAGTCGACGCCGAAGGCGAAGATGACGATGCAGACGTCGATCTCGAGGTCGTCCCTGCCTCCAACAACAATCCTGCTCCATTGACCACCCAACTCAGCAACATCCCACGACTGCTCCCTCTTCAACCAACACCTGTACATCCTACAAATTTCCAGATGCATGACCATATTCAGTCACCAGTCCACGCTGCCCATGCCCATGCACAAGCTCAGGCTCAAGCCCAAGCCCAAGCTCAACATCAGGCACACGCACAAGCACAGGCTTGGGCCGCTGCAAGACAGCACATGAACCAAAGCCGTAATCAGTCCCATGGCCTTCCGCATCAGCAGTTGAGTCCTCATCCGAATCACATGGGCTCCGCGGCGAATAGCCGCAGGGCGAGCGCAGTGATGATGGATCATCCGATGAGCGCAGGGGGAATGTTGCCAATGGATGGCATCGAGGGTAGTGGTAATGGATTTTTAAGGATGGACATGGGCCTCGGTGTCACTGCAGGCTATGTCGGGTCGAACGATAACGGAGTATAACCTATTGACCTCGCACGACAATCAGCTGTTCAGGCCTGTGGGAGTCGACTTCTCATCCACCGACAGCCAGACTACTTACGCAAACTTCACCATAGCGCAAACTATACCGCCACTTCGCGAGAAGCTCGCCTTGGCGTGCAAGCTCTATGGCGGAGCTATCGACTGTTACATCGCGCTACATTCTTCCTTTTGTTGATTTCATTGCATTAGGATACCCCATGCCATGTAGGCATCTTGCTCTTGTTCCTTTCCTCTCGCTCTGGCTTCTCGACCTAGCCATGACTTTCATATTCACCATCTCTATTGGCACCGCGTGAAGCGAAGCTGCATACCCTTCTCATTTCTTATCGTCGTTACCTGATACCCATTTTGTCTCAGGGATTCCTGATTGACTCAGTTTACTTTACTATAGATTTCGTCTGTTGCCTTCAGTGGCTGTGGTGGCACTTGTCTAAATGGAAGGAAGATATATTTCCTTTGTTGGTCGGAAGGTCGGACGGTCGGATGGGGTCCAGAATGTGTGTCTTAAGTTATACCATTATCGCTGGTTTGTCTGCCTTAGGACTACAACGTTCAAATCATGGATACCTTCACAAACATATTGTCTCCTTTTTTCCCTCCTACGACATGGAGCCTACAGCGACTGAACGGTTCTACACATCGTGTTCACTTTGCTTATGACGCGCCACGATGTGAATTGTGGCTTTTCCTCACTTCCTTTGTTCATCCTAGACGACCCCGACAGCTCTTACCTTTGTGCAGATTGCTACTTCCAGTCAAGGCTGTGGTACAAGCGGCTTTCTGCATCAGCCAAATTTAATTTGATCATTGTTGCTTTTTTCTTTGATGACAACAACAGGGACCGGACACGACCGCATACGCCGAATGTAGGTCTTACAGCGATACGTTTCGCCTTTGTACTGCATCGCGAAAGTATGAAGGGCTTAGGTAGAGAAGAAGGTCCTTTATACGTACAACGCATCTTTCAAAGCTCCGCTTGCATACACTATACGCACGCGGAACGTTCACAAACGGACATCGCTCTACACAACGCAAGGCAAGTCGCAGCAACAATCAATCCCTCAGCTTCTTTCGTAGATCTATACTTCCCTGCCTGCAAACAATGGCATACAGACATGGACCTCACTTGGATTCCAACAGATTCATGAAGGGAGCTGGCATTCAACGCAGACCCCCAAAGCGACCCCTCTTTGAGCTTTCCCCGGCCGCGACTGACATACGCTTCAAACGAAATGATCGTCGGTGGCGCCCGCTGGATGAGGTCCCACAGTGGTTGTCGTCCGCTAGGAACCGTGAAGGTGTAAAAGGTAAGGCCAGGGTTGAAGGAGGAAATCTTCCAAGAAAGCGCGCCCGCGATGACAACGACAACAATGGTGAAGGCATTCACATCCGTCCTCGCAAGAGGCGCAGAAGTGGAGATAGCTGGTGGGTCATCGAACAATGTACATGGCTCTTTTGTTGTATTGAATTTTTATTGCATTTCAACGATACACCAGCAGCGATAGGCGAGGACGAACGAAACAGGATCAGTCAAGAGGGAAGAGAACAACAATTCATGGAGCATCCAAATTATATCACAGTAGGAGGTAGAAGAGTATACGTTGCAGACGCAGGCTTCAACGTCATACCGCACAGTGGCACTGGAGCAGTGCGCCCAAACTCGGAAATCGAAGGACAACCAAAGACAGCAACCCCAACATGGCCGCCGAAGAGCTATCCATACGCCGGAGATCCCGTGGCGGATCCGGAATGCGAAAGTCCGGAGACACCGCCAGGAATGGAGGATGAGTGCACGCAGACGACACCCCCGCCTTCTGATTCTGATGGCGAAGACGACGACATGCCCGCACCTGATGTGGTGGCAGGTGGCATTCATTCTTCGCCACCTACAAAGACGCAAGCTGGTGGGCATATAGTCGTGCTTCCGGGGGACGGTACGCATTTTACTGGACCACTGATTAGACAGCAGCCTATGCTGCGAAAAGATAATAAGGGCCGTTTTTGGGATAAGGAGGACCGCCTAGTGGATAGCCGCGGCCGCTTGATCAATGAGAGTGGCCAGCTTATAGATGAGCAAGGACGTATTCCTCATCATCTCTTGAGGGATGATCCTCCGCCGCAGCCTTTCGCATCAATACCACCACGAAGGGATTCGCAGGGCCGTCTTTTGCATGAGCAAGGCTATTTTGTCAAGGAGGAGGCTCACCTTGTCAATAGCAATGGCCAACTAGTTGATGACAAAGGCCAACTCGTGGATGAGCATGGACGGATCCCCGCCCATCTGTTCGAGGATGATCGGCCCATTCCAAAGAGGCCACCTAGATTACCGGAAGCTCCAACCTCTAGACCACCACAAGTTCCGTCTAAGCCACCACAAGTTCCGCCGCAGCCATCTGCATCAGCACCATCGCGGAGGGATGAGCAGGGCCGTCTTCTGGGTGAAGATGTTTGTCCGGTGAACGATCAGGGGCATCTGGTGAACGAGCGAGGCCTTCATGTAGATGAACAGGGAAGATTAGTGGACGGGCTAGGTCGTCTCATAAATGCGCTTGGGCAGCTTGTGAATACGAAAGGTCAGCTTGTGAATACGAAAGGTCAGCTTGTGGATGCGTATGGATCCCGGATGATTGAAGAAACACCTGCAGATAAGCCTCTTCCGCCAGGTGTCAATAAATTGAACTCTGATGCTTGGCGCGAGAATTTTAAAGAGATGGGCAACCAGTGGGTTAAGACAGCTTCTTCACCATCTCCGATAACGACGAGCACAGCCGTGGGACCAACTGGACCAAGTAACTCCCCAGCGGATCCAACGAGTTTTCTGGACAGACTCCCTAGTCAACAGCAACAGCCTGGCGGACGTCTTCCAGCTGGTTTCGACGACGCGGAGGAAGGTGAAGATCCGACAACACGTACAAGGGGAAGAGACAGGCAATACCGACCGCTACCACCCAACGACTACGTTATCAGAGGTAGTTCCCTCGGACGTTATGGCCTCCCGCTCGCCCCAGATATGGTCGTCCAAGACGAAGAGCGTCCAGTACCCCCTCTTGGAGAAAAATACATGGACCGCTTCACCTTCCCACCCAGGAAATGCGCCATCACACAGCACGACGAACCCTGTAACGAAATCTTCACTAACGGCCGCGCGTTGCGCGAACACCAGCTCACTCACGATTACATGATGTCTGGTGGTGCTGGTCCGGGCGGGACCATCGACCCGGAGACAGAAGATCAGTTCTCTTTACCGGAGGGCGAGGCGGATAGGTTATTGCGGGAGCGACAGGTTAGGAAGATGATTGTCTACAAGGGGACAGCGCTGCAGAAAGCGGCATTGGAAAATTACTGGGAGGCGAAGGAAACGAAGGAGGCGGAAGAGAGAGCTGGAAAGGCGAAGGAGCGAGCGGAGGCGCCTTTGACGGAGGAAGATTTTCTTCCTGAAAAAATGACGCAGGAAGAGTTTGAGAAGTCTTTGGATGAGTTGCCGTCTCCAGATGCGTCTGAGGAGGGGTTGACAGAGGAGCAGCAGGCAGAGTTCGACGGATTTTTAGATGGGGTGGACGTCCAGGAGGGCTTGTTGGAGGAGCAGGCGAATGGGAAAGGGCAGCTGGACCCGTTTCTTACGGTTTTCTCGGACGAAGAGCTCCAAAGGTGGGCTGAGGAGGAGAATGACATGGAGTATCCGGACCCGTATGCATGATTGGCTGTGGAAGGGGGCCGGAGTAGTCAGGTGGGCATGAAAAGTGGGCATGAAAAGCGTCATTGAGGTGAGGGTGCTGTATGTGTCTAGACCACTTCTCAACCTGATGTATTGTAACGTGATTGTCAACAGTAAAACATTTCTCCATCTAAATAGTATACTTCGTTCCTCTGTCCCGCGGCGTTTTCCGTCTCATGAATTTTTTGCAGATGAGCGTGACCAAAACTATCCCTTTGAGCCATCTGCTGCAATGTTGTGAGGTCGGGTTAGTTTTGCGCTCTCCTATCCGTTATTCGTCCCTTCGTACGTTCACGCTTTAGTCAGTGGCCGTGATCAGAAGTACGCTACCAAAGCACGCTTGGAAAGCCTCATGACGCCAGGTTAGTATTTGCGAGCCTTGATGCTATTGGACAGGAATTCCCCGCATCTGACCATTTCTGACTAGGGATTTTCGTCCGTTACATAGAGCATAACGTTTCGTTCGCGGAGATTAGCTTAATTAATTCGTGTGGCATGAGGACGGGGTTACCAAGCGGGGTTATGGACTAGAAATTGTATATATAGCGCCTTGAAGTAGAGAAACATCAACGACAATATCCCTTGCATCAACTTCTACAATCTACATCAACCACCGAAATGCCTGTCTACGTTATTGTGGGAGCCTCAAGAGGCTTGGGTGTACGTTGTTCCTGGCCCCTTTGCGTGTTCTCCTAACATCTCGCAGTACCAATTCCTCAAAACCATATCCGAGCAGGACCCCTCCAACATCGTTATCGGAACAGCCCGGACTGTAGACAAAGCCCAGGAGAAGGTCAAAACCGATGGCCTAAAGAACGTCCACATTGTCCACGGTGACATGGACGACCACGCCTCTCTCACCGCCGCCGCAAAGAAGACCGCCGAAATATCTGGCGGTGTGGTAGACTACCTCATCGTCAACGGCGCCTACTTCGCCATGCCCGCCTTTGCCAACGCTGCGGACGACTACGTAGGCAAAGAAGACCTCTTCCTCGACGAGCTCAGGCAAATCATGCAGACAAATGTTGCCGGCACGCTCTTCGCATTCAACGCTTTTATGCCGTTGATATTGAAATCCTCAATCAAGCGCGTCGCGGCCATTTCCTCCGCTGCCTCCGACAGGAACTACATCTTCGAAGGCGAGGACATAAACAGTCTGCACTACGCTACCTCCAAAGCCGCGCTGAACACGCTGGTCGCTAAGTTTGCAGCGAGATATAAGCACGATGGAGTGCTGTTTGTCAGCCTCAGCCCGGGTTGGGTCAATACACATGATGACATTCCTAAGGAGATCATGGACAAGGTCACTGTGTCGCTGTTTCGGTTCGACAAGGCGTTGAAGGGACCACTTACGCCGGCTCAGAGCGCGGAGAAGTGTCTCAGGGTCATGGATGGTTTGAAAAAAGAGCAGAGTGGGGAGTTCTTGAGCCAGCATGGGAATCGCATTTGGTTAGATGAGAAATGAGAGTAATCAGTACCCGTGGGTAGATCTCGAAGAGACAGACAATGATACTGAGATTACACGAGGTTACAGGAACGAAGGCAGCGAGCTTTGAGCACTCACTGCTGCGGTCATCTTCTCCGTGTGTCCTACTGTCCCAGCAGTATCCAAATCAGTCAATGCCCAGAATCGTTCAACGTACTCCCGCATCCGTATCATCACGGTGCTAAGATACTCCTTCTCCGTCCGTCGTGAGACTTTTAGAACCAATGCGCGCCGGACGTCGCTTTCTGCCTCGCATCCAAGCACGAACAGTGCAAAAGTTCGGTCGCATGTACGCACCATCTCCAGAATTTGGAAAGCATCAGAGACTAGAGACTGTAGGACCGGATTGTATGAAGACACTCTTCGCCCAACGCGGTAAAGATAGATCATACCACAGAGGCGGTGCAGCTCGGCGATCGAGGCTATGTGAGAGAGGTCTTCAGATGTCTGCCCCGGACAATAGGGTTCATCGAGACTTTGTTTAGCGTACTTGAGGCGACGCTCTAGCTTGTCGAGTGCTTCGTTTTGGAGGTCACTGCCCTTCTCTATGTCCCAACATGCGTCAAGGATAGAAGAGAGGGCGCCGAAAACTTCGAGTGAGCATGCTAGAGCTGGTCTTATCTTCGCAGGATTAGATGATAGGATTCTTTATGTTATGCAATATTTTGAAGGTACTTACGAGCGCTTTACGCGGCGAATTGAGCGCTACCACTGTGAGATGTCTTGTCCTCACCTTCTCCACCATGATCTTGGTTCGTCGAATATTATGTCGGGTGGAGAATTGGGTGAGGAAGTCGTGGTATGTGGCCATCTCCAAGACGAGCGATTCATCACCTTCATACACACGATCCAATGCGAATGTAGCTATGCCTGTTATTCGTAGACAGCAAATATCGTGCGACCACTCGATAAGTGGATGTACCAGGGCTGCAGACTGTTCCGACGGGCATTAGAAACGGCTCCCGGTACTCAAGTAGATAGATACTATGATGACATACCTCGCACATTGAAAGCAATGTAAGAGCGATGATCTGCTGCAGCGAAAGCGATGCGTGGGGCGACTGTGATGTGGAAGCAATTATCGATGTAACAGCCTTTGACTTGAATTTTTGCGAGCTAAGGCTGTCCGCAAAGTGTAAGCTAGCTATAGCGTAGATAGCAAAGAGAACTGCAGCAGATCCGGGCTGGGTGTCCGTGAAGGACATCCTGAATATCAAGCTCTGGATCACGGCAGAATTGGCCGATGTGAGACGAGGAGCGACCTTTTCTTGATCTACAAATTTCAGCAGGTACCAGGTTTCAAGGACAATGGAGGGCGGTACAGTAGGATAGAAGATCGATCTCCGTAGCCTTGTGTGGGAATGCGGGCCAGCGTGGGTTGCGACGAATGGTAGAATATTGGTTATCTTGTAGAAGAAGTGCGAATGAGGCTAGACGTGTCAATGTGTGTAAATGTGCAGGAGATTCCAAATCATCGCTCACCTGCATTCGATAGGTCATTGTACATTTCCACATCGAACATGGAAATATTCAAGAATTCGGTCTCGCGAGCACCCCGGTGCTCGTAAAGCTCAATGTCGGCGTTTGAGACTCGTACAAACTCATCCAACACGGCTGAATATAGGAGTTGCGCATCGCTCTCCAGGACAATGGCTCGCTTTCTATCACCATCCCGTGGCCATGAGAGCTTCAGGCCGTATCCGAGGCACTTTCGACCAGAGCTGCTGCAAACTCGACAATTTGGGCGTCCCCTATCGCATGCCACTTTGCGCTGCCTACAGTTCCAGCAGCCTCTGCCGTTTCTGGAGGTAGGCATGATCGTGCATGATCGTGCAGGCGCAGCCGAATCGATGTCAGCAGGAGCGAAGGACGGATGATTTATAGCTTTGCCTACATTCGGCTAGCGTGTACCAAGACAACCCTAGAATTGTGCATCTAACAAATCTTCCCAAGATCACGTAATTAACGTCAAGACACTGTAGGACGGCGACATTCGAAACGTAGGCGAGTGACTTGAGGAAGCTTGGAAGCTAGCGAAATCGAGAATGGAAGCTGCATAGGGGGGCGCGGGCCCTAGATTGCGTTAGCATATGGTAAGTAGGTAGGTTCGTGGAACATTCGCAGACTCATCTTATGATGATGTAGATTGATCTACCCGAATTGAAAGTACATGAGTACGACGAGAAAGCGAGTTGGGAGATGCATACTAAGTGCGAGCCGATGAGATGTACGGTTAGGCTGACGCTACATGGCATTGTATATTCTTACATTAATGGCTGGTCGCTGCAAGAGAGCCTCAAATACATCTGAACATATTGAAAGATCTGAAAGCTTTAGCTCACATGGTCACAACCCGCTTGATAAGAATACATTAAGCTACATTGATCAGGAGATGGTGATCTATTATCGGATGTGAGCTGATTTCTATCGTAGATTGGTAGATTTGAGAAGCGCCCTTTTACTTGGTTTACTCAAAGATAGAAACGTCCAAGCTTTAAGGATTTCCTGGAAGTTCTCGCTGTTCCTCAAACCCTATGGTGCCCGGAACGACACTACGTACCCGTTGGACGACGACGAACGGCACCCTGCCGCTGAAGACCGGAGAGACTACGATTCCTCGAACCTGTAGCGGACCTATCTGCCTCATCGCGAAGTATCCGCTGCTGATCAAGCATATCTCTACGGGCCTGGTAGTACTCAGCAGCTTCATGTCGCGCGCGCTCGTGCGGCGATGCGGCTCGAACCTGTTCAAAAGGCCGGAATCTGTGTGTGCACGCGAGTACAACGCCGCTCACTTTCTCGCACCGGGATCACATCATCGGAAGTACGGTGCCGCGGGTGTGCATTGTCACTGAAGTGCTCCACGAAGCGCGAGCGGCGCTCAGGAGACTCGCGTTGGGACTGAGTAAGGGCAGGATGGGGATGCGTGTTCTGTGTCGCACGGGGTCCGCTATCGTTGAGCGGACTCACCATATAGTGGCGTGTAGCCTCGATAGGTTCAGCATGCACACGATCAGCTTCTTCTCGTCGGGAGATATGTGAAAGGCCACCAGGGACGTGGGCTGCGTGCGAGTGCTCGGACATATTGTGATGTGGACAGCTCTTTCTTGTTACGAAGTGTAGCTTTTATGAATGTCAAAGCAGGTATGGAAAGACACTAAAGACATATGTAACTGAATATATACAAGCTGGAGTGAATCAATCCGCAGCATTGTGAAGGGAAACAAAAGAAGGCGAATGAGCAATGGCTTTATCGATCGATGATAAACAATGTCTTGAAAGGACCACATCTAATGTCTTAGGCCCTGAAGATGTACACGTACCTATGTCATGAGACCAATACTACTGACAGACTGTTAAAAGTGCACGTGACTCAATGGACGAAGAATCGTGGATTTGTAGCATGACTGATATCTGAGAATTCCATGGATCCGGCAAACTTGAACGATTAATCTTTATGTGAGATAGGGTCAAGAGCGGACTACATTCGCCTGATGCCAACAAGACCGAGACGATACTCAACAGTTTCAGTCTCCGGCAGACAACTGGGCTGTAACTGATGGCTATTAAGTGTCACTGAGCGCTCACGAACTGAATTCTGGCGACGCAGCACAGGCTGGCCGAATGCTGAAGCTGCACGTACAACGTTTGCACTTCGGTTGAGAAGTATGGCTACGTTACGCCTATCGATACTAGTTGGCGTGATTCTTTGGTGTACCCCTGGCACTCGTGCTTCCGGAAGAAAGAGCTCGTCAGGACGAATGTACGCCTTTGTCGGTAAGTTTGCTGCGCTGACATTGCAAGCCGTCGTGTCAGTGGTACTACTGGCGAACAAGACTTCCTTCTCACCTACATTGTCCTCTGACGGATTCTTGCGATCCTTTTCATGTGGCGTGATCGGGGAACCCAAAGGAGAAACGTCATTGTGATCGTAGTAGCCAAGGTACGGACGTGGTTCTTCAGCAGCGCAACGTGGGGGGCTCACGGACCAGTTGCGCTGTGGTTGTAAGGTAGGAACAGCCTTAGCTCGACCACGAAGTAGATTTGGGTCAGTCCCACCGCTCGATGTTCGATCGAATCGGTTTTGGCGATTATGAACTGGAGATGAAGCTTGAATAGAGACAGCGTTGTTACCAGTACGTTTGTTTGTGTCGTTAGTCGTCATGGTTGCGCTGTATGCTTTTTCTTTACTTTGATAAGGGAACTAGCAAGGGAAGAGTATATAACCAGCTGGTAGTGGTTTGCGTAAGCGTTTGTGATGCGATATCGCTGTACACTGCCAACGACTTTGTAACTTCACGTTGCACTCATGATTTATACTACAGTCTATCGCAATCTGTCTCTGAATGTGAGACACGCAATGTTTGTCCACTATGTTCTACCTAGCCACGCCAAAGGCCGCGCAAAAGGCAATCATACTGGGTATCATCCATATACTTGCGAATGAAGCAATCATCTATCGAGACAATAGTTGCATATCTGCCCGTATGAGGATGCACATAAAGTTCAACAAAAAAAGATACACACCAGCCGTGCAGGCGCCAACCGACCGGACATTCGCCGAAATTTTACGTCAAGGGTCATGTTATATTTAGCTTCACTATACGCAGTACCGCAGTACCGATAAGGCGTGAAACACGAAGTCTTGGGAAGATACTCTTCCACGAAGTTAAGAGACATGAACAATCTACACGTCTAGACGGTCCATAGCAATTATCTGATATCCACTATGATTGCAATGATATTCCAAAGCCAGAAACTTGAGCTGATTAGCCCACGCTAGCAATATCATCTCTCTCTATCGCTCTACGTGGCAGATTTTCCACCCTCCCGATGTCGTCACCGCTCGTCGCTAAGCACAGCTCTTTGTCTTCCTCCGAGCTCGTACAACTGCAGCCACGTGCCTGTGACATTCCCGACAACGTATCCGCGCATTCGGCCTCGTATACTCCGGGTAAGGCAGCCCTGAGAACATGTCCCGCGGGTGCTCTACTGTAAGCGATGTCGACGACACAAGCTCCCGGAAACGTGCTCGCCTCACGCTTATACCCCAGAGTGACGACGAAGCGATCAACAACCCTTTGTTTTCGGCACATGTGAAGACCCTGCGCGAGGCAGCACAGACACGAAAGAAACAGACGGCATCGACGGATTGGGAAATCGGTACTAAGCGAATGCATGCTTCCGATGGTGCATGGTGCGGAGGACACGACTCACAGAAGAGCGTATCAATGTTCATAGAGGCAAGATAGAGTGATAGTGAATAGTGAATAGTGAATAGGTTATTATGCATTATGTAGTGGACCTGTCCAGCAACGTCTATAGTTATGAAAAATGAATGTAGGTCTATCGCTTCAACGCTCCAAATGCAAATGCGCGCTCAAAATACAATGCTGTCCCAGAGAGCCTCCAACTCCATATCCTATGCATCCCACCTGTCGTCTAAAAACTGAACAGACCACTCCTCCTCTTGCCAAGCGGGTACACAATGAGCGCGGCGAGGAACAGCCCAACAGTGATGCCAATCGCAATCTGAACGACGCTGAATCCCACGTTAAGAGCCACGCTGTTCAGGCTCCCACTCGAATCGTACGCAGTAACAGTAGTTGCGTTGCCAGTCGTGTTTCGTACAATCTGGTCAGCAGAGTTGATACCGGAAACCAGCGAGCCTTGAACTGACAGACCCGAGGGCACTTGTACGAAGATGGCGGGTAACATGGTGGCCGCAGCCAGTCCGTATCCAATTTTGCGCATCCGCGGTACGAAATCGGTCATGGAACTGGATCGAGAGTGCGAGCGTAACTTGTGACTTTCTTCCCTGTGATGTGCGCCGTGTCGGCTTCGCATCCAGCGCTTTCGAAGGCGAGAATACCGCGGACGCAGTCTGTTCTCCCAGAAATCGATGCTCCAGTTCTCCACATGGCGGCCGAATCGTGCCTGTAGATTGGCTGCTATACCGATTGCCAGTGCTCCAAGCGTGTTGCTGATCTGAGCGTTGCTCTTGAAGTATGACGACGAGTGGAAGTTCACAACATAGCCAATGAGAGAAATGACCACCATCATAGGCATCTGCTTCAGCTTCGCCTGGTTGATGACCATGAGACAAAGTGAAAAGGCAATGACGAACAAGTAGTACCAATGACTCGACATTGGGTCGCGGCACTGCGTCTGGGAGGTTGCGTCTTTGTACATGAGCCCAAACAAAACAGTACCGATAGTGATACCGAACCCTAGGAAGAGCGAGTAGATGATGGCATAGACCATACGCACCGAACCAGCGACGAGGTGCTTGCTTTGAAGCTCGAGCGACGCAGATAGCACAGTGAAGCCGGGAAGGATCAATGCGATCGAAGATTGTGACATAGCGCTGAAACAGAACATCGGGTGGCCGTTACTTCCAGGTATTGAGCCAAGAGCTCGCGCAATAAAACTTGTGACGACTGCAGCTCCAATTTCGAAAACGTTGCTGACCAGCTCGTTTCCAGGGGTGACAATTAATTGCAGCCAACCAATGAGGCACCCGAGAAGGAAACAGAAGGGCAAATCGATGGGCCGAGCCTGGAAAGCAAAGGGCCCCACAGTCGCAGACGCCAATCCGTAGACAGGCACACGGATCCAGGCGTTGAACTTTGCTTTGCGGCTGATGATGGCGTCTAGTCGTGGCATGGCTTCTTCAACTCCCATACGATCATGTACAACGTCCTTGTAGATCTCGTGTACGTCGCGGAGCTTGCCCAAATCAACACCTTGAGCGGTGCGGACGAGCTTGACTTCGCTAGTATGAACGGAACTGTCATCAAATGCCATGATCATGCACCCTGGCATGTACAAGAACTGGGCTTCGATTTCCAGCACGCGAGCTGACATGTTCATATATTCTTCGAGACGATGAGTAGGTGCACCGTACATCATCAATGCCTTGCAAAGCTTGCGCAGATAATTTTGACGAGCCAGGGTACCCGCCAAGTGGATTTTGATCTTGTATTCCTCCTCCTTGCGCGCCTTACGCTTGGCCTTGGTCGTTATTGAGTTATCAGACCCTTGTCGCTTGCCCATTCCAGGGCGCAGCTTCTTGACTTGAGATTCCATCTCATGGCTCATATCTCTCTGTCCGGGTGTAGCAAGCATTGAGGAAGATTCGATCAGGCGGGAAATTGATGAAACAGAGTGGTTAGAATGGTTGTGACTTCGTAGCCAAGGCTTGCCGAATCGAGGCGTGGAGGTGCCGGAGACTGGAGGCGACGAAGACGGTGAATGGGCAGCGGTAGATGCTCCGCTCAGAGAACCGGAGCTGGGATTTCGTCCGTGACCTGTTGCTTTGTTACGAGGCAAATTCACGTCAGACTGAGCTGCGTTAGAGGCTCTGAGTAACGTTCCCAGGACTCCCGTTCGAAATTTCGTAGGGCGTGGTACATGCTCATCTTCAATCTCCAGTTCATGGGTAGGTGTAACCGTGCCGTCGACGACGAGTCCCTCATGGTGGTAGAGATCTACGGGGTCGACGGGCTGAGCCCTCCGTAGTGTGTGTTGCCTAAACAGCTGTCGGGCATGCCTCACATGCTCAGGCTCAGGCTCGTCATCTTCAGCGTCAGTGGTAGCACCAGATTCGAACCCAGAGTGGGGGACGTGGAGGGTATTGTCTTCAATGTGATGTGATGCAAGCGGTTCGTCTGAGTTCCGCCTCGATAAAGGCGCGGAGTAGGTCCCAACGCTCTTCGATAGCTTCGTGGCACGTTTCTGGGCCGCAATACCTGATCTTTTCTTCTCCTCGTCGAACTCTTCCAGTTCCTGGCCGAGATGGAACTGTGGAGGCGTTCTTGGGGCCTTCCGGATTGCAGGCCGTGGTTTCTGAACGTTGTCGAGTGGCTCATCGTACAACGGTGCAAGCGCCTCACGGACAGACTCTGCCAATTCTTGGTGAGATACATCAGCCCTTTGCAGGGTTCGCAGGGGTGTGTTGTGCCCTCCAGATGGGCTATCTTCGTTAGGTGGAGAGGGTGGGGAAGGGCTCGTCTCTTGGGTAAAGCCGACTCGCTTCTTGCCACCAGGGGTAGACATTGAGTCCTCGGCGTAAGGATGTGAAGAGGGAAAGGAGTGCTCATCGTGGGCATCCATCCTGATATTCCCCCTAAGGAGACGGATCAACTAGGCACGGACGCTAAGAGTTTGGCCCAAAGGACCCGTTGGGTTGATGTCACGGTTCTGTGCAGACGCACGTGGTGACAACGAGCGTATCTGACGGAGAGGCTAGACCGGGCGCAAGAATGCGCTTGACGATAGATACACAGTACTGCCGACGCCGCTATGCGCGGAAGCGGAAGGCAGCGGGTCCCTCGCCAATGATAAGGAAACAGAAGCACGAGGGCGGTCGATTGCCTGTCGTGAGAGTGTGGGTAGTGATATCGTGAGATTCCGAAGGTTTCAATGGTGTTTATTCGGTCGCGGATAAGCGGAACCGTACCACAGCAGTTGGGTGAAGAAGTAGCGGATGGGATGCAGGATTCGCAACGGACGCAGAGGTGTGGCGGAAAGCTAGCAAAATTGGTTGCTGTAGGTGAGGACGCTTAGCTATGACGAGAGTCGGTTGAAAAGTTGTTCAGAACATCTACGAGGATAAGGCTAATGCAGGCAGGGAAGATGCGGGATCGCTCAGAGAACGACGACGCCTCTCTAGACCCTTGTGGCGGCTTAGGGTCCAATTTTTTCCTTGCCGGATATAATTGTCAAAGCGGCCAGAAGCGTTCGGCGCGAACAAAGAGCTCGGTGGGCCAGGAGAAGCGCGCCGACGCCGAAACCAAGGAACAGCCGACCATGGATCATCTTGGTGCACGCTGCACGGCTACGGGAGTGGCTGTTAGCTGCCGGCGCGCTGTTATTCTGGGAAACATGGTGTTTTGGTTCCGCGGCCTCCGTGTGACGGCACCGGCTCGCTGCCCACGATAAGGACACAGGTGAAGCAGGCGGACCTGCGGCGTGGAAGTCATCATGGCGAGCTTACCCTTCGCGGTAATCCGATGGAAAGGTGGTGTCTGGGCCGCGACATTTGCTGCTGCATCAGGTAGGGAGGACTGGCGATTTGCGTGCTTGGGTCGCGCTGGAAAAGTGGAACGTCTATTGCTAGGATGCGAGCGAGCGACGGTTTGAGAATGCACGAGAGCAATCAGTGGGTATATATGGGTCCGCAAAGCCGCACTGCGCGTCCAATAATCGCCTTGTCCCGCGCACGACGTGGGATCTCCGTGATAGCAGCGTGGTGGAGCAGTCGCTTGCGTGGTCGAGAACTTCTCCTGAAACTCATGACCTGTGCTGAGGCCGGCTGCCAGTCATTGCGAAGAGCAGCTGCGGGACCGGCAGCGCTTCGTCGGGCTGCGAGGCCAGCAGTGTTGCGCTCGCCGTCAGGAGAGTCGAGGAGGGAGCGGCCGAGAGCAGGCAAGACGCAGAAAAGCTGGAAAGCTTGGCAAGACGCGCTAAGAGCCGCACTCCCTTCGGATGGCAGCGTCGACTTGCCACCCCAACACGCTGCACGCTCCCTTTTCACATGTGCTGCGATGCAAGGGCGTGAGCTCCATGGTGTTGCGCCGTTCAGTAGCCTGTCTCAACACTTCGGAGCCTCATCCCCTCTCCTACACGTTACGCGCGTTGCTGCACCAACCACAGTCTGCACACGAACCCTCAGTCTCCAGCTGATCATCGCCACCAGGCACCATGGAATGGACCAAGTCGACGCCTCCTGCACGCTCGGCCTAGAGCGGAAAGTGGAGCTGCCCACGCATCGCATTCCTGAGCAGACGTCACAGGATCCACTGTGGTGCGCACAGCTCGCGAAGGTGAAGCTGTCGTCACTGTCTGTCTCCAGAGAGCCTCCAGCTTGGCCCAGGTGGCTGCGTTGCTCTCCGTCCTCGTTCTCCTCCTCGCCAAGATGACTAAGCAGGGCTACAAGGATCACGTGATAGCACGCGGGCATCCTTGGCACTCGTCTCCAAAGCCGGTGTATGTGGGGCACGCGTTTACCCCACGATCGATGAGGGGAAGACGGCCCATGGAGTACCTCGCACATCGCCCGGCGGGCGACAGTCGGGCGTACCTTTGCCCCACCTCGTGATGGACGTTCGTCTCGTCCTTAAAGATGGCGATAGTGATCAACAGACTGACGTGACAGCACTAATCGCCCCATACAGATACCGCAGCTATGCCCAAGATCAATCACGTACGCATCACTGTCCTCGACATGGACAGCACCATGGCTGACAGTTCCAGGTCGTTATTGCAGGCTGTGGTCCTTCGGGGCTACTCCTGGGAACGATGCTCGCCCGCAACCTGGCCATCAAGGTTACTATTCTCGACGCGAACACTGAGATCGACAAGAACCCGCGCGCCGCCCACTATGCGCCATCCGCTATGTTCGACTTCAAGCGCGCCGGCATACTCGACGAGGTGCGGGAGAAGGGCCTTTCGCCCAGGGGCGTATGCTGGCGACTGGACGACACCACCTTCCTTGCGGGTCTGGCTCGCGAGCCCGAAGATAGCGAGTACGCCATGCGCGTGCTTCCTCTGGATCAACTTGGCCCGCTCATTGTGAGGCACTTCGAGAGCTATCCCAATACCGAGATACTATGGGGACACAAAGTGGTTGGCGTCAAGCAGGACGAGAATGGCGCAACCGCCATTGTGGAAACTGCGGATGGCGAGAAAAAGGACATCACTGGGGACTATCTCGTAGGTGCAGACGGTGCATCAAGTGGTGTACGGACTGCTTTGTTCGGAAAGGAGTATCCCGGCGAAACCCTCCCACAGCAGATTGTGGCTACGAACGTAGGTAACCCGATCATGCATTGTTTCAAACAGAGCTGACAAGCCAGGTCTACCTACCATTTGACGAGAAGTTTGGTTACTGGGACTCCAACTTCATCGTGCATCCAACCGACTGGTACATGGCTGCCAAGATCACCCACGATGGCATATGGCGAGTGACATACGGCGACGACGCCAACCTTTCGCGCGACGAACTTGTAAAGCGTCAGCCATTGCGTTACGAGAAGATCCTACCGGGCCATCCAAAACCTCACGAATACAAGCTAGTCAGCATGAGTCCGTATAAGCTGCAGCAGAGATGCGCGCCAAGCTTCAGAGTCGGCAAGATACTACTGGTAGCAGATGCGGCTCACTTGTGCAACCCATTGTAAGCATCCTCGCCATCTCTCCACACGCTACTTGAGCTAAAAAGCAACAGTGGTGGCCTCGGTTTGACCGGAGGTTTCGCCGATGTCGGCTCTCTTTTCGACTGTTTTACTGGCATCCACCAAGACGAACTCGACGAGTCGATCCTCGACAAATACAGCGAGATCCGTATCAAGATCTGGCGGGAGATGATTGATCCCATGTCACGTGCGAATTTCCACCGTCTGTGGGACCCCGCATGCGAGAAGGAGAAGGAGGAGTTCTTCAAATTCTGTGAGCGTGCGGACCAAGACCCTGTGTGGGGCAAGTCAGTCGCTGAAGCTGTTCACGCGGTGCGGCACGATTTCACGCAATACTTCAAGAGCAAGCAGAAGGCGCCCATCGATGCGAGCGCCGCGAATGGCGCACCCGCTGTAGAGGCCGCAGCATGACCTGCACATGCCAGGAAACCTTGATACCATCAATGTACATATTTCAAACTTGGTGCCATTAACATTGCCCCACCATGTGTGTCCATGAATCACTGTGTATGCCTAACAACAGCATACCCCACATTTGGAGTAGAATGCCTACTAGTCAAACCGTGCCGTTCCAACACTAGTTCTCTACACTATACACACTTCGCATATACGACGCATGTCGTGGTAAACGGAGTGCTGAATACTGGACTGCCTTTTTGTTGGTGCTACACAAGACCGTCCCTTTGAAGTATCTCACTGTATCTTTTGCCGTTCAGTTGTTGCGACTACCATTATGCCTCCCACGCTTTCATTCGTGACCACAGCCCTCCTAGCATTCTCGCTCCTGCTCCTCGCACGACTATGGAGCAACTTCCAATGGCGCAGGAAATACAAGCTCCCGCCGGGTCCAAAGGGCATCCCCTTCTTCGGCAACATGTTCCAGATGCCGCCCTACCACCAAGGACCCTGGGCCCAGCAAATGGCCCAGAAGTACGGTGAAATGTACATCCCCCGCTCCCTCCTTCACTCACCCGCAAATTGTAACAGTCTCAAACCCGTAGGTTCACCCTCCACATCGCAAGTAACACCTGGGTCTTTCTCAACTCCACCCGCGTCGTGTCCGACCTGCTGGACAAGCGCTCCGCAATCTACTCGTCTCGGCCTCGATTCCCCTACACATCGACACTGATGTCGGGTGATTGCCGGATGGTGCTGCAGCCCTACGGCCCGCAGTGGCGCGCCATCCGCAAGATCATGCACAGCATCCTCAACGCGAAAAACGCGGACACCTTTGCGCCGTTTCAGGATGTAGAGAGCAAGCAGCTAGTCTTTGACGTGCTGAGGCAGCCGGTGAGTAACCCCTTGGGCACAAAGAAGATGTGTCTCGGTTGCAGCAGAAGCAGCTCCTGGCGCTAGGCTGGGTTTTTTTCACGGGGCCATTGTATACGTGCCTGACTTATACTAACTCTGCACTCGTGCTGTAGGACATGTGGTGGAAGGCGAACCAGACATTTGCCAACAGCGTGATCATGAGCGTTGTCTTTGGGAAGCGGATTACTGGATCGGAACCAAGACAGCAGGAGGGGAAGAGCAACGTGGATAAGCTATTCGACACGAGCCAGGAGTTCATCGCATCAATGCAACCTGGAGCAAACCTGGTCGATGCATTCTACTTCCTTGATCGGTTGCCGAAGCCGTTGAAGTGGTGGACGCGGAAGGGTGAAGAAGCGTTCCAAAGACTGCTTCAAGTGTATGGTACTGAGGTGGGGGATTTGGAGGAGAGAATAGGTAAGGGCACCTGTCCACCGTGCTTTGCAAGCAAGTTTCTGGAGGATCCCGAAAGTGGGAAGCTGGGCGAAACCCAACGGCTGTTTGCGCTGGGAAGTCTAATGGAGGCGGGGAGTGACACGAGTCGGATGACATTGAGTCAGATTGTTGCTGCCGCCGCGACAGACAAGCGATGGGTGAAAGAGGCGCAGGCCGAGTTGGATCAAGTCTGCGGTGATGCGTCACGGCTGCCTGAGTTCAGTGATCGTGGCAAGCTGCCGTATCTGAGCGCGGTCGCGAAAGAAGGATTCCGGTGGAGACCTTTTGCCGAGATAGGTATGTGCCCCAGTGAAATCGTTGAGGCGAATCCATGGTTGCGATGCACCTAAGTGCCCTAGGACGACCTGAATGTGTAAACCTTGAAGGTGGCTGATCTTGATCCTAGGTATGTTCCATACGCTCATCAAAGACGACGTCTACGAGGGTTATCACTTTCCTGCCGGTACAGTGTTTACATGGAACGCATGGCACATTGCACTGGACCCAGACGAATATCCCGACCCACTGCGATTTTGGCCTGAGAGGTGGCTTAATCCAAAGATCCAGGCTGTCGACCCAAGTAAAGTCCAAGATCCGCTAGCTGGCCATTGGGGTTTCGGTGCGGGAAGAAGAGTGTGTACTGGATATCATGTAGGCGACTCAAACGTGTACGTTTCCCATTTCCCTTGTTCGACTGCGACATTCCTGGCTGCCCCTGCATATTCAAAATGGCTTCTTTTTCAATGTCTTGTTTTTGGTTCATGCTCAAAGGTTGGTATATTCGAAATGGACACTGACTAGTGCTGCTTGATTAGTTGGATCGCGGCGGCAAGGCTGCTCTACTGCTTCGATTTTGAGCAAGTCGCAGGGAAGGAGATCGATACACTGAACATGAACGTGGCGGAGCATCGCTGGGCCCCATTCGAGGTCCAGATCACGGCGCGGAGCGAAGCGCATAGGAGGCTAATCGAGCGGTGTGGTGGGGAAGCTGTGGGGGTTTCCTATTGATTTATCGATACGAGTTCGTGAGGCGTCGATTTCTGTGTCATTGGGTGAATTGCTTTTTCGAGGAGCGTGAAGTGCGCCTGGCATCCTTCGATGTTCGTCCTGCGTGGCTCTGGGACTAGTTTGATGATGCAAGACTTCGCGATAATTGTTTCTTCGCATCTGAGACCCGAGTGCCCCGCGGCAAAGGAATGCGCATCATGATCGTCCGCAGGGTACCGTGGGAGACACGGTGAGGCTGCGATGGTGGCGTGGGCCGAGGTTCGAGCAAGTAGCTTGGACATGCGGCGCGGTCCCCATGTTGCTTCGAGGCACGATCAATATTCCCCGACGAGATCGCCATCGTCATTCCTCATCTGCTGTACCACCGTCATCAAATCCGATCACCTGGAAAGTTCGGCTCGCCCGTGCAGTTGTCACGTTCAGACTGGTCGACACTGAGACTGACATGCGCCCTTGGCCGTTTGCGTGCCAGTCCCAAGGCACCGGAGACTGAGGGCTTATGTACTTATGCATCTCCCTCCTAATACGGCCTCTTAAGCGAGCTGCGAGCACTACACACGCTTAAGCTCGGTACCCCCTTTGTTTTGTCTGCGTCCAACTTGGTCGCCGGCACTCCGGACCGCCCGTGGCTCGGAAGCTACTTCTCATGTATGCCTAGGATGATGTAAGTCACGCGACGGATTCGATAGTGCCCTCGGCCGTGGGCGCGGTCCGCAATCGCAGTTCGCCGAAGTACACAGATTGAGGATGGCGTTCGCTGGATCACAACTGTCGTTTCTCCCGCCGGCGTCTATGTTTAGCGGACGCCTTTCAGCCTCGTTTCCTCTTTTGGTATGACAGCCCCGATCTGGGTAGTAAGATGACAGCGCAAGACACCACTCAGATGACGGGGAACTTCAAATGCGGATAGTTGCTGCGATTTGAAGCTTAGCAGCGTAGACTGGTAGCTACAGCCTACGGGCCAACATCGCGGGATCTTCAGCTTCCGAGACAACAAAGGGGGGCGACCATAAGATGTAGCAATTCAGTATGGTGTTGTAATCGTCAGAGACGGTCCACGCTGACCATGCCTTCCAAAAACCATGTCCAAATCAGGACCATCCGGGGCTACCATAGGACAGGGTCTGCATAATGCAGCTGAGATGGATCTATGTTCGCCGACCATTCTGAAATCGTGGCTTCAGAGGACTGCGGTTTTGCAGAGTATCCACTCTCTCAGGAGTATGATGGTATAAAACAACCTGCGATGAACTTCGTGGCGGCTCACATGTTGAGAACTCTATCAACGGCTTCTTAGGAACTCAGCCTCTAACGAGAGTCCTTATCAGCCCAATCGCTGCTCTTCTGCCTACCTATATCTTTCACTGTTCACGCCCACGTCGCACTCAACCGTTTGTGAGCCCTGACGTCACCCCTGTTTCTGTGGGCAGTCGGAACAGTTGAACACACGGGCATCAGTGCATGACAGTTACTTTCTTACGCTGCTTCCACCTATACGTCATCCTATTACCCTCTTACATTACCCTCACCTAAATATGTTCCCGATATTGGCGATCACAGTACTTGCTTTGGCTATCGCATATGGGGCGCTATGTGCCGCTCTACACGCCACACAGAGTGAAACAGAGCCTCAACTATTACCAACAGCAATACCTTTCCTGGATTCCGCCATTGGGATTGCAAGACATAAAGTTGACTACCTCGTCAGCTTGCGGTACGTCTCAGCCCTTCCAATATTCCCCACGAGTAGGCCGCTCATCTTGCAACAGAAGACGGTATGGACTGCCAATCTACACCTTACGGATGCCCTTCCAGAAGATCTACGTCATCAACGCGCCGCAGCTGATCCAAGCGGTACAGAACAAGACGAATCTTACCACGTTTGTACCGACGCTGCTCGACTTCGGTATGCTCTTCAGTGGGTTGAAAACGAGGTCTAAGCAGACTCTCACAAAAGCATTTGGCGTTCACGGTAACGGCTTCACTAAGAGCGTGCACAAGTACCTGGCCTCTGGATCAGACTTACAGGCCGCTACGCGCACGGCGGTAGAAAAGCTCACTGCGAGCACTCGCAACATCCCCGCCACCCAAGATCAAGTGGGGCTTTACGAGACGTTGCGACACCAGCTCTGCCTGGCGCTCACAGGTGCTATCTATGGAGCCGAGAATCCCTACGATGACCCTGCTGTCGAGACGAGTTGGCTGTATGTATCACCCCTCGTTCTTTGATGTTCCTCATAACAGAGATAAAAAATTGATAGCATCGCAGAGATTTCGTACCCGGCATCAGCCATCTTCTATACAGCCCCTTCCCGTCCCTCACAGCGCGCAAATCTCTCAAAGCACGCGCCCGCGTCATCAAAGCGTTCCAGAATTACTTCGAGACTGGTGGCCATACGCAAGCCTTCGCGATGATCCCTGAGATGTTCAATACCCACCTAAACCACGGTCTGTCAACAGCGGAAGCAGCCAAGCTAGAGATGGCTACATCACTCGCTATGCTCAGTAGCGGTGCAATATGTGCGTTCTGGCTCATGTTCCACATCATCTCCGACCCCGATGCTCTCCGCGAATGTCGCCGAGAGCTCCTTAACCTCGTTGTCAATGAGGTTGTTACTTCGACCGGCAAGGCAAAGGTACTGGATCTAAGCAGCGTGAAGACACAATGTCCCATTTTGATGGCAATGTGGCATGAGACACTGCGGTACCACAGCACGGTCATCAACATCAAGAAAGTACAACACGACACTACACTCGCATCTCGATACTACCTCAAGAAGGGCGCGATCGTGATGATCCCAGGTACTGCAATACATCACGATACCGACACATGGGGTTCAAGTGCTTCAACCTTCGACCATACGCGCTTCTTCACTGCTGAGGGTCGCATGAAGTTATCCAACACTACCGCATTCCGACCTTTCGGCGCTGGTACAACTATGTGTCCAGGAAGGCACTTTTCTACGAGCGCGATACTGTCACTAGTAGCGATGATCCTGCTACAGTTCGATATCGAGCCTGTCGAGGGTCAGTGGCAGATGCCTACAAAGAAGAATGCAGACATGTGGAACGCGATGCCTAAGCCAGACCACGACGTGCCGGTGAGGGTATGCCAAAGATGCGAAAATAATCTATCTGGAACAGAATGGAAATTTGTATGGGGAGCTACAGCCGAAGAGAATGAATAGCTCGTCGGGTTGTGTGCTTTCGTTCTGTACTGGTTGGCTGCATGGATATGCGCTAGTCCCTATTGTCGATACTGGGTTGTGACTCCTCATTGTCTTTGGATGCGGGACTGTATATAGCGCATCTAGGCTCCGAGGCTAAATAGGGCTTACCTGCGGCTGTAGATGTTATACATTTAGGTTTGGGAGTCATAGCTTGGTAGCTCCCGTCGTGTCTGATATGGCAATGCAATGGGCTCCGCGAGAAAGGTCTCATCCGCGTCGAGACGACACCATGTACTGTTGGATGTATTTTCAGCTGAATTTGATCTTTCAATTGAAGTCTTTCTTCTCAAGATGACTTACCTTCGGTTTTGGTCTAGTCTTTCCTAGCTCGGCTTAGTCTCGCCCCACTAGTGAAATTCACAACGTGTCGGTATTCAAGCGAGCCAGCTATGACCATTAACACAACCATCGCTGCCTTGCTGACCTTAGCCAATTCTAGAGAGGAGCAATAAGAGTCAGCAATGATCAGGCGGTGAGGTTATCAGTGCAGAGCCGGCCACTCAACAAACCTCCTCATAGAGACCTATTCTTTCGACTACTCTCTTACTCGCCGATCCGCAACACAATGCTTTCGAAACGGGCTCTTGTGTGGCTTGCCGCCACCTCAGCAGTAAAAGGCGAAGACAGAATTGAGCAAGAAAATGCACCTTCGTTGGAGCCAGTGTGCGATAATATGGTATTTAGCCCGCCAAGTCTTGGTGCCGGTGTCACGATAAGCTCCATCAAAGCAGATATCCAGCGCAACTACACTTCGTTTGGGGGCATGCATGGGATACCGGATATAGAGGGTCTGAACTTTTGTCAGGTCAAGGTACATCTCAATCACAAGGGAAGCGACGATGACGTCTTGGTCGAAGTATGGCTTCCGTTGAATCGCGACGATTGGAATGGTCGCTTTCAAGCTACGGGAGGAGGAGGTATGTCGACTGGCATGCTTGGAAGAGCACTTGGGCCTGCTGTTCGTGGGGGTTACGCAGCTTCCTCTACAGATGGCGGTCACCCTGTTCAAAGAACCGACGACACAACATGGGTTTTGAAGGAGGACGGCACTATCGACTGGAATCTATTGACTGACTTTGCGACTCGCAGTCTTGTTGAGTCGGTCGTTTTGGGGAAAATCATTACCGAACAGTTCTATCAGGAGAAGCCAAAATACTCATACTGGAACGGGTGTTCTCAAGGCGGGAGGCAAGGCTACGTGCTGGCGCAACAGTACCCTCACATACTAGATGGCATCCTTGCAAATGCTCCTGCGATCAGTCTGACTCACCTCGCAATGGCAGAATTCTGGCCTCAACTAGTCATGAAAGAAGAAGGCTTGTGGATGTCGAGCTGCGAGTTCAATTACTTCCGTCAGAAAGCGATGGAGAGCTGTGACATGATTGACGGTGTCAGCGATGGAATAATATCTGAGCCAGACTTGTGCGACTTTGACTCGCTTCACCTAATCGGTCAAGTCTTCTATTGCGAAGATGGGCCAGTAGAAGTTTCGCGAGCCATGGCAAACATCGTGCGACGAATCGAGCAAGGACCCCGAACACCAGTCAAAACATCTCTTTGGCACGGCCTTACGCATGGTACCAGTTTCGATCGCCTTGCGGGAATCACCACCTCTACGGACGGAATGCGGACGCCCATACCATTCCCAATATCCACGGGTTTCATCCGCAGCTTTCTTTTGAAAGATGATTCCTTTAACGTCACTAGGCTTAACTATGCTGACTATATGGCGTTATGGGTTCAAGGAAACGCAGAGTTCGGGTGGCTGCTCGACGCTGACAAGCCAGACCTTACGAGCTTGCAGACTTCAGGAACGAAGCTCCTCAGCTGGCATGGGGTCAACGATCCACTCATCCCGTATCAGTCTACTGTGGAGTATCGAAAACGGGTAGAAATTCTTATGGGCGGGGCGAATGAAGTCGACAACTTCTACCGTCTCTTCTTGGCGCCAGGTGTGGAGCATTGCGCGAAAGGTAATGGACCTGTTCCTAAGGACCCGCTTTCTGCGCTGGTAGAATGGGTCGAGGATGGACTCGCACCCGAAACACTGGAAGCGGAAACTACAACATATGAGGGAGATCGTGTGACGCGGGAGCTTTGTGCTTGGCCTGGAAACGCCCAGTATATGGGGATAGGTGACCCGAAGAGAGCCTCTAGCTGGAGTTGTCAAGGAGGTACTGAACGACCTGAGGAAGGCTTGGCTAAAGATGGGGATAGTGACCAGTCCGGTCGAGCAGGTCAAATACTGGACGGGTTGAAGGACAGACTTGAGGGTCTTGGACTGGGTCTTACGATTGGTTAAAACTAGCGCACTACGGCGTTCTGACGATGCGATACACCACCGGATTCTTGTTTCCAGATGAAGAGGCGGAGCAGAATATCAGCCGCCATCTATTCGCCTCACGAGCCGAGATCTGGAAGCCAAGACATTACCCGAACCTAAACGACAAAATGCCAAAAAGATTTCTCCGAGCACCAATGACAATCTGCTAGTATAGTGTACATTGCGGATGAATTGCCGTACACGGATACACAAGCTTGCACGTGTGGAAATGCTTTCGCGGGGAAGCTCCCAGATCTCTTTCTGCCGGACCTTGCACGAAAAAGACTTAGAAGATTTATCCAATATCACGCTCAATCATATCACAGCATCAACTTTTCTCGTCATTGCAAATCAATATGCCAGCTCATCTACGGCAATTATTGCTGCCAATAGTGCACTCCAAACCTGGCTTAGGATATCTGTGCCCACATTGATGTAGACCTTCAAATATCTAGCAGCAGTGCCTTTACAAGTTCTTTGAGAGTCGAAGACAAGCTCCGCGTCTCCTACTCACAATGCGCTTTCTCCCACTCGTCTTTACCGGCTCGTCCATTCTCAGCCCTGTGCTTGCTCAGACTACAGACCAACCTGACCCACCAGCGCCTACCCCTACCGGTATCGATGTCTTTGCGAATGTGACTTTGTACCAACCCGATGACTCGACCCAAGTAACAGTACCGCGCACCCAAAGTCTCCCGAACAACACTGTTCTCGCGGCGTGGAACGACCCATCATCGAACGGCTCGATTGCTATATATCGCTCGATAAACAGCGGATATTCGTGGTACTCGTTCGGGACCGCAACGTCAGACTCTGGGAAGAAGTTGCTGCAGCCACACTTGCTGTACATCAACGGAACATATGCAGAAGATACAGGAACCACTCTACTCGCGGTCAATGCGGTGGACGACTACACGACGACTATCGAATTGTATACCTCCGGTGATCAGGGCGAAAGCTGGGAGCTCGCCAGTGAGATTGCAAATGGTGGGCCGTTGAGCAATGCCTCTGTAGCTGTGACAAATCCTTACCTTGTATACAAGTAAGCATCGCGCAGTATTTTCCAGAGCACGCAATGTGTTGTTTACATGTTTTCTGACTGTTCCTTACAGCGGTGACGCTATCACTGTATTCTACTCTGGTAACGGCGACAACACATATGCCCAAAAGATCGTCCAGCAAACTACTACCGAGAACTACGATAGCTGGGACAACGCGGTCGACGTTGTAGCATCAAAATTCCGGACTGATCGGCCCGCTGCTCCTAGTATCGCTAAGGTGCGACTCCTTTCCCCCACCTTCTCCCTGCATACTGACCCCAGCTAGATCGCGAACAACCAGTATATTATCGCCTTCCAATACGGCTCACTCGACCCCAAGACCAACACAGCAACCTACCCGATTTACTACAAAATCACACCCAACCCACAAAAGGCCGCAAGCGACCGCACGCGCGAAGTCCGCGTCGATACTGGCCTTGTGCCCAACGGCGTGCCGTCGGTGACCTGGACCCCACTAGGAGGGGCAAATGGAACGATCGTGCTGAGTGATTCCAGATCGAAGTCCGTGTTCGTCAACCAAGCGTTGGGTGAGGGAGAATGGCGGGAGTTGAAGACCACAGCTGGGCGGGCTTATGGGCGAGAGGTTACCGTTCGTAAGTGATCACATCGAGCGTCATGAGAAGCGAGTTAAGCTGACAGAGTATAGCTCCAAACGACCAGACAAAACTCAGGTTTGCGGGCGGGGCGGAATGGACGGGATCGGGCCCAACCCAGATTCTGATTACGGTGATGGACCTTCAAAAGGCGTTGGGGGCGTGAGAAAAACCAATGCCTGTAAATTTGACCAGTAATGTTATTCTGCCCCATGTGCTGCACCTGTAAGCTTTTTCTTGTACAGACAAGAGGCTTACACCGTGTAGTACGGGAGGCAAATATGCATCACGTGCAGGGTTTGAACGGAGATGGAGGGTTCAGCGTTCCCAACTTCCCTCACTAATCTGTCGTTACGTTCTTACCGTCACTGCTGCGCCTCACGTTCAACTCCTTCCCAGAGTGGCCATTATGCAATTGGCGCAGCCAGGATCATACAGTCGCTAGTAAATGATGTTTATGCGATTAGTACACACCATCTGGTATGGCATGCAAGAACGCGCAGTCAGTCCGGAGTCCGCCTTGGATCGTCGGCGCCGAAGAGTCGCATCTATGTGAAAAAGGTAGCCCATCGGAAGACCCCCACTGATATTTCAACGTTCTTCGGATTTTTCGTGAGACTCCTAGACGATCGGTGGAGTTGGGGGTGGAATGGCGACGTGTCGGTGACCGAAGGGGCGGGGTTTGCCGGAAGGTCATTGCAGAACCATCGATGAAAGATTCGGTTGCGTATACCATTTCATGGAAAATTCAAGAACATGCCGTCCACTATCGCGACCTGCTTAATTCAGGATAACCGCGCAAGTTATCGTCCTGAGTTGTGCGGTGTTTGGAGAGGCTAATGTTCTACAATGGCGAGGGTCTCTTATCTTCCAGAACGAGCCCGAAAACAATATCGAGGCCACTCGACCAAGCGTTTTTGTGTGCAGAAGTGTAGTCCTAGTGGTCACATCTGCAGCGCAGGGTCGGTGAAGTCTGACGTGCAGGCGTCTTCCTCGTCTACCACGTGCTCACCACAGAATCCTTCAACCCTGTTTCTTCTTCCTACTAACCGCCGCTATTGCATCAAAGGATGGAGGTCGCGAAATGGAATCGATCTGATACCTAGGGATCCTTGGCGTTCTGCACCAGTCGTGTTTCATTTCACCCCCGCCTGGTTCTCGACGTCATGCCCAGCGAAAGACAAGTGTTCACAGCTCGCGAGACACCAGATGGAACGGCTTTGGAATCTCGAGACCTGTGTAGGGGCAGTTTCGGCTGCATTGGCAATGGAAGTGAGGTAAGCAGCGTGTATTCTGGGGATGACTAGGCCTCGGTGTGAGCTTATGGCGTCTACATACACGAGGCCTCAAAATACCAGAGAGCGGATCGGTGCGGCAGCAGCCGGCGGCGCAGTCAAGAGATGAACGAAGGGACGCGCATCATTATAGCGCACTGTACTGAGTCTTGTTCCATTACGTGCACTTTCTTGGGCGTTCGTTCCACACGGACGGAGGAGGACTGGCCGCGGAAGGACTCGCGCGTTCTTTATCGCACGGGTCTGCCCATCATTCCACATGGTACAGCAGCGACCCCATACTTCAGTTCGGGCCTGTCTGCACAGTCCGAATGACTCCATGGCGGGAGGGCCTACCTGCGCCCCAGTACCGGAACACCCTGGTCCTCGCCTGCGTGTCAGCGCGCCTCAGCCCTAAATTTGACGCTGACCTGTGGCCAATCCGTGACATGTCGAAAAAACGAACCAGTGAGCTGAGCGAACCCACCGACACAGCAGACGCACGACTTATTATGGGAGACAGGCGGTGCCAAGCGCGCCGCGGTAATGTACAAGCCAGATACCGTCTTCGCCGTTGCGTCCGCACAGCCCAGTTGCATGCCGAAAGGGTGTGTTGGGTCAGCCTTGGACGATAATTATGCTCCTGCGCGGAAAATGAGAGCGATGTACACCCGAGATGGCTGCGGCATGACTTCCGTTCCGCGCACACTCGAGCTTTGATATGACGAGGCCCGTTGCAGCGTCTCCGACGTTGGAAGTTCGATCTTCCTCTTCCTCCCGCGGGCCCCCACACCACCTCACTCCACCTGGTCCAACATCCTACGTCGACTATAGCACAACTTGCTTCAACTCGGTATCGTCACTCGGGTCACTCGATATGCCGTCTTCCGATTTGGCTGAACTTCCTTGAAGCCCGCACTCCTCTTTCCTTTGTTTGTTTCCTTCTTCCTTCTTCCTTTTTCGCTTGGGTTGGGGCTGGGTCGGTGGGTGGGCGTTCCTCTTTCATCCACCATCATGAATATACCTCGAGTATCACTACAACAACGAGCAACCAACACAACCACGGCAGACAGGAGCAACATCATCACCATCGTGACATGGGCGACCTTGGTTCTATCGGTCCTCGTCTTCCTCGCGCGACAATGCATCAAATTCGCAATGGGACGCAAGAAGGCGGGCATCGATGACCTCTTCATTCTTACTGCTACAGTACGTCGGTGTCTCAACAATGAGTGTGGGCTCGCTAACAGCTCACAGGTCTTTGCCGTTGGCCTTTCTGTCACCGTCCTCATTCTTGCATCCGACGGTCTCGGTGTTTCCGGCGTACTTACTCTCAGGCGAGCGGATGCGATTCAGAAAGGATACTACGCATCAAACTTCCTCTACATATTGACCATCGGCTTCGCAAAGCTTTCTCTTATCTCCTTCTTCTACAGTGTCCATCATCAGCGAGCACAGCGAAGGGCTGTTTTGGCCATCGGCTTCTTCATACTTGCGTGGACACTTGCCTCCCTCGCTGCCATTGCATTCCAATGCGGTCTTCCTAAACCCTGGGAGATCTTCACGTTGCACTGCTACAATACCGTAAGTCGAACAATGCTCGAGTGATCTACTCCTTTGCATAATCGCTAACGTTTCACATAGGGAGTTTTCTGGATTGTCTATTGCATTATAGATATGACCAGCGACGTCGCTATTGTCATGCTATCCATCAACCTAGTAGCTTATCTCAAGGTCAAACTTTCGAGAAAGGTCGCAATCGTCGCTTGCTTTGCTCCGCGTATCCTCGTCATTAGCGCTGCACTTGCTCGCCTTGTATTCATTTATCCGATATCGCCACACAACAACCCGGCCTTCCATCTATGGGTACCACTAATCATCACACAAGTTCAAGCTTGCATGAGCATAGCGACAGCTTGTATACCGTATGTACGCGCCTTCTTCGAAACGGCTGAATCCGGCATACGCAGGCTATCGACAGCGAGAAGCAAACATGCCACAGTCGATGAGGAGTCATATGGCTGCTGCGGCCCTTATCGAGGCTATAAAAAAGCACATGGTCACTCGACAGAGTCAACTGCCCTCTGGAATTCAGCGCACGGCAGAACACTCGATGCCTCACCACGGATCCCCAGCCCAGCGCCCCTCAGTCCCTTGACACCACCGCGGTTCAACACTCCACCAAACACATCTGCCAGTGACTCTCGGACACCTAGCGAAAGAGGTTTACGACTTCTGATTCCCGAACGAAACGAGTCACACCATGGAAAAGACCTCACTTCCCCACAGACTGCGAGTTCACATGCTCTGTCGCCCGCATGTCCATCTCCGCATCCGTTGCTATCGTCCATAGCCCTTGCTCCCGTGCGCTCATCGCTCTTGCCCTCAGCCGATCAGGCAACATCAGAATCAGCCGTCGAACATGGAAGTAGCGCTGCTCCATCTCCAAGTCGTCCACAACCTCCCCGGCGGTTTTCGCTCTTTCCCTCGCAGCAACAACAATACTCACCCATCCCGCAACAACGTGCACGTCCATCACTGACAATACCATCGCCGACTTTTGAACGCTCACGTACGGATGGCTCATCACCCATGCGCCACGCGCCAGCCAGTCGAATACCTGAAACTCGAATGTCGTCAACAAACGTGCCTCTGCACGATCCAGCTACGCCGCGCTTGATGTTCGATCCGCGACCCTCTTCCAGCATAGAGAGAGTTGCTTACGATGATCCACTCCGGACGGGACCCATCGCTATGACTACATCGGCAGCAGTTGCAGCACCGATCCCCGCAGCCGTCCCTGCAGGGACTGATACCATAGGTTCAATCCCATCATACTACGTTAGGACGCCATCGACAGCACACAATTCAACCATGTCATCTCCGCAATCAGTCCCCTCATACTACGTAAGAACGCCACCGATGGCGCAACCTCCATCGTTCCAACAGTCAAATCCTTACGCTTACGAACATCCGCCTCCGCCACCGATCCCACCCACAAGTCCACACCGTCAACGTAGGAATCGCATTCTCATGCCACAAAACTCTTCGCGACGATATCAGATGTCTCCCATCAGCCCTATGACCCCGTCGACACCACGGACGCTCTGGCGCGAGGAAAATGGCAATAGAAGCGCGGAGACGCCGACAACGCCTGGTGGGTGGGAAGAAGCTCAGCCTATGCCTGCGGTACAGGATGCGCGCAGTAGCCCCCGTATCGTAGTGCAGAGACTCCCTTAAACTTTCCTTTGTTTTACTGTAAGATGTACGCGTTCTTTTCCTGCTGCGTGTGCGTGAGGCCACCAGCTGTATTCTTATTTTTCAACATGTATTAATTTCTTTTTGTATTGGGATGCATCGCATACGGCGTTTACTATCTTGAAGACGGATATATATGGATTACGATTGGTATATGCATTGGGTGGGATGTTCGTGCTTTTCCTTCGGGATGATGTATTTCTCTGCTTTCCTTTGGGATGGTTGTATTCGTACACATTTGTTTTGATGCGCCTTCTCGTTCTCGCACTGCGCTTTTCGCGTTTCAAACCAGTCCTTTCCTCTGTCTAGCGATACCCAGATCTCTCTTTGCACTCACTTTGTCTCTCACGCTATCCGATCATGCAAGTAGATTCTAGAATACACGCCGCGTATCCACGTCCACACGTCAGACGCGTATGTTGGAAGAAGTCTCACCCAGATCATACTGCACTCACTGCGCCTCTTCCCTCCGCTAAGCCATATGCCCGGTGATGGCGCAGGATCTTGTACTACAATAAGGTGTGGCGCCGAGCGGGTGGCGGGCGGCTGCGGCTCTTCTACGGGGCAGTTGTTGGGACCCACCCTCGAGGCTGTGTAGGCAATACCATTGCTTCTAAATCATGATATCCTATTGCTTTCACGTATCTAGAATAACGACTCAACGGCTCAACGGCCCTACAATGATGCTTGAGTTCAGGCGCGAAACGGAAAAAGTGGCACTGGAACAACTGAGGACTTCTTAGCTAAGATGCGGGGTGGTACACGGCGTGCGAAGAGCGTGAGCGTTCAGGGTACGCCTTATGCGGCGCTTAGTAGGGTGCGCGCTAGCAAGTGGGTGCCTTAAACGTTGGATGGGGGCGAGGGCGTAGCGCGAAGGATGCGTAATTCATGTGGTATGCCTGAGCGCGGCCTTATGGCTTTTTTGGGGATAAGCGCCTACCTATGTGGGGAGCAATGTGAACTGATGGTGAAGTAGTGAGATGTGAAAACGCTGATGATGTGCAAGTTCACGTGCATCTATAGGATTTCATTAAACAGGAACTCCGCAAGATCATTCGATCGTGGGAACGGCAATACTATACGACTATGATAACAAGAGCAGTCGGAAGATTGAATCTTTGGGTTTCAATGCATCTGAATGCTTGTCATGACTCCTTAACCAAACAAAGACAACAGGAAAACAACAGATACATATAACTTTTATACCCAGATTACACACACGATAAGGCTATTGTGTCGCCGGCGTACTTCCTCCCATCCATGCCCGCGTTGAAAGATGCAACAGTCCTTTCCCTTGAGCCTCCGCCAGTGTCCCCAAGACAACCCCATACTCTATCGTTTCGTCTCACCTCAATCTGTCAGCTGTTGTTATTCCCAAGGAGGCCATGCCTCAACTTGAGAACTCAAGCGCGATATAGGTTTAGGTATGGGGTCGGCTAAGTGACATCGAGACAGACAATTGACTTTGCTCCAGAGTCGAGGGTATCCTTGTCGACCGAGCGTCGTGATCCATGCATGCAATCGAATGACACCATTTCCTTGCAAACGGATGTCTTGAAGTGCGTGTTGGAGGCTTCTAGACTTCGTTGACCTTCGTGTTCCGAAAAAGCTTTTGGCTCCCAGTGTGCATGCTTGTGACACCGCTTTGTCGCAGGCGGACGTCTTTTGTTTGTTGCGCTAGGATTTGGAATCACTCACTTTCTTTTTCGTTCGGGAAAAGTGCTGATCGTCTCTGGACTTGGTCTTCGGTGGATAAGGGATTTGGCGACTTCATCTCCTGGGAGCGGATCAAGCTCCTGACTGCCTGAGAAAGCTCTGCCTTTACCTTCGCCATAGCAGGACCAAGCTGCCTCAGGATCAACCCTTCGAGCCGCCCATCTTGGAATTGCTTCAGGAAGCTCTTAATCTTGTCATCCTGATCTTTCTCAAAGATTTGGAGAGCATCGGTTAGCCGAAGATTAAGCCTATCCCAGATTTGTTCTTGGCTATCAGCAATCTCTTTGGCACAGGGGTCCATGATCTCCTTCGATTTAGCCTGTACGGAATCGAAAGATTCTGTGGCGTGATGCTCTACCGCCATGACGCGCGCCTCGTTCTGAGCTAGCTTCAGGCTGATTGCCTGTATCTGCTGTAAAGCTTTCTCGGTCGTAGCTTCATGCAGACTGGACGCAGCAGACATACCAGCATTGGATGCCTCAACCCTCGCGAGATCAGCATAATGCTTGGTTTCTGTATCCCGAAGACTCTTCTCGAGGCCACTAATCCTGTCGTTTAGAGCATCCTGATGGACGGAAATCGTGTGCGCGGTCGCATTCGCCTGGTCTCGATGGGTCTTCTCGTTGTCGGCAATGTCTTTCTGGAGCTTACGGATATTATCGTCAGCATCCTTGTCTATGAGACGACGCTTGGTGTTGTCTTCATCGCGGTGACGCTGGACTTCTGTAAGAATCTCCGTCTTCAAAGTGTCAAGTTCCCTAGTCGAAGTCTCTGCGCCATTTGCTGGCAGCTTGGAAAGAACCTCCACCACCTCTTGAGCGACGATGGCCTTCGAGATAGCCGTGTATTCGCGCTGGATATCGACTAAGCGCTGCTTTAAGGCGCTCAATTCTTCGAAAGAAGCTTCACACTCTTCTTGAAGTTCCGTATCGAGTTGCTGGAGGTGCTGATCGGTCGCGGTCGTGTACTCGGTGAAGTTTGCCTCCGTGGTCTTGACCATTTGCTCCACGGCGGAAATGCTGGTATGCTGCTCTTCGAACAGCTTGGAGACAGACGTTCCCGCATTGTCAACCTTCTTCTCGAGATCCTTCACGCTCGTCTCAGTGCTAGAGACCTTGCAGCTCTGCTCCTCAAGGTTAGACTCGAGATTCGTCACTCGATCATCGACGGCCTTGATGGCTGCAGTGTTCTTCATGAGTGTGTTCACCTTAGAGCCGATGTCGGAAGCGGCCACTTGAAGGGCCTTTTCAAGGCCAGACTGTACTTGCACGATTGTAGTCTGGACCTCCGTGACCTTGGCAAGTCGGCGGCCGTGCTCATCGCGATCGGTCTTTAATTGTGCGACATCATCGTTGAGGGTTCTCATGCCGTTCTCAATGTCAGCGGCCTTCTGCTCCTGCTGATCAAGTTGAGTCTGGGTACCCTTCAGCACCAGCAGAAGGGACTCAATGCCTGTCTTGATTTTGGAGATTTCGGACTCTTGCTTTTCGTGAGACCCATTCAGTTCCTTCTTGAGATCCGCGACGACTCCCTCGTTCTTCGAGGTCCGACGCTTTTCGTCATCGAACTGGTTGCGGGTGACTGTGTTCTTCTGAAGGGCTTCGATCTCGGTCTTGAGCTTGAAGATGTTTGCGGTCTGCTCATCGTTGCCAGACTTCAACTCTTTGATCTCGTTGTCGTTGGCCGTCAACTTCGACTTGAGAGACGAGATCTTCATGCCCTGGACCTTGGCCACCTCTTCAGCACGATCCTGCCGTTGGTGGACTTCCTTCTTGGCTGCCTCAAGACGGTCGTCCTGCTCCTTCATCTTCTGCTGAGTAGCATTCTTGTGCTCCTCAAGGTCGCCAACAGTTACTAGAAGCTTAGCAGTTTCGGAAGCCTGTGCCTCAAGTGCTGTCTGGTTGCGCTTGTCTTGCATTTTAAGCTTGACTTCGAGCTCGGTCTTTAGCTTCTCGACGGCCCCCTTGATGGCTTGCTTGATCTGCGCCTGAGCAGAAGCCTGTACTTCGGACTTAAGTGCCGCAAGTTTGTCATCAGCGCGCTTATCTTGCTCCTGGAGAGCTGCCGTGTTTTTAGACTTAAGGAGGCTGAGGGCATATGCGCTACTCTTCTCATGCTGTTGGAACACCTCCTTGAACTCGGACTTCATATTAGTGTGAACAGTCTCGATGAGTTTGTGGAGTTGCTCCGGAGTGCCATCGCGTGTCTTTTTCAACTCCGCAATCTCGCGCATATCAACAACGGCTTGACCTTTCAGGGATTCGATGTCCGCCCGGAGCTGCTCGTTGACCAGAACCGCATTCTGAATCCTCTGCTTGCGAGCTTCCTGTTCGGCACGCTCGATACGGCGCTCTAGCTGTTGGTATTTTGCGGACGAAGGGGAAGTCCACAACTGGTTGCACTTCCAGGAAATGAGGGGGCAGATCATGAAGATGCAGAACAAGACACAGAGGGTCATGATTAGCCGTGTGCCTTGTGAGAAACGACCTTCGTCCATCGTGGGTTCGCTATTACGAGACCGGAAGAATTCGGCCATGTCGTGCGCGGTTGATGTGGTCAACGACCAGACTGGCGCTATTGAGATGGTGGAGGTAGGTGAAGTTGAAGGGAAAGGTCAGAGATGGGGCTCTGATGGGGAGATGGAGGCCAAAAGTTGGGGAAGCTGGAGCCGTGTGTGTGCAGTGTGGCTGACCGTTGACAACCTGTACTAGTAGTGGGGTTGTGGGTGTGGGTGGTGGTGTAATGAAACCGGAAGAAGGCGGGTGTTTAGTAGTCCGAGGCGTAGGTGCGGCCGTATGCGCGTGCCCGAAAGTTGGTGAATGTTCGCGCACGTGACCCTATCTACAACTGGTGAAAGAGTTGTGCACGTGATCCGCAGTTTGCATCCCCCAAGGTTGGCTGTGATCTTTCTATTTCGTGGTATAAACTCACCGTAGGTGCTATAAAGCAATAATAAATGGTTGATATCATTGTGTAAGAAACTATGAACAATGCATGTTAAAATTTGCGTATATACTACTAGGAGACAACCAGGAGTAGCGTTCTTTGAATCGATCAGATCTGCAAAAGTCGTGAATCAAATGATACAGATGATCCCATCCATCGGGGAAAAGGAGCACCGGTTCGATCATCTTCACCTGGCCATGAGAAAGTTCGTAATTTAAGTATAAGCAAAAGCAAACTGAAAGCAAATCCATTGGAAACTCGCAAACTGTACAGAAACTGTGTTTCAGAGAGCTTGAACATGCTTCTGATAGGTTTTCTTTGGGCGTTGTGGCTGAACATGGTTTGTCTTTGACAGAACTATGCATTACACAAGAACAACAGATCAAGCACCGGGGGTGACATCCTCGCATCAATTACCACAATGCTCCGTATGCACTCGGACTGAGTAATGTGCCAGCATCCTCTTGACTCATCTGTTGTAAAACGCGCATGCCTCCAGTCACTCTGGATCTCTCACTGCCTCATGTGCCCAGTTCCACAACTTATCAATTCTAAACATCTCACGCTACGCACAGACCAGTAGATTAAGTTCACAAAGGGAAATCACCGCTTAATTCGCATATGCGTTTATGCATGCACCAATGCCGATCGCTAGTAATACACCCAAAACCCTACATCAAATTATGCAGTTGAAAGCTTCAGAAGCCCCCAGAGCGCAGCCGTCGCCGCGGCTTGTCCTTCCCCGCATATGCAAAACGATCCGTCCACAGCTCCCGGGCAGAATCCGCATCTGGAAGCGATGCGGTCATATCGCCAATTGACTCGTCCACACTCTCTACGGCCGTGTCTCCTTCGGCGTCCGCAGCGCCACTTTGGGAAGGAGCCTCCGTCACCGTACTCAAAACATCAACCTCCGCACCCACCCTAGACTCACTCTTAAGCAGCAAATGGCTTGAGCGTGGCTCGCTGGGCCCTTCGCCTGCATTGTCGTTTTCAGCGGTATACTAATCGTCACTAAGGTACTCATCGTCATCGCCCAATAAGGATGGGTATTGACGATTACGAAGGTCCTGTTCCAGACCGCCTTCGCTTTCGGGGTCGATGTAGCCCTTTCCTCCGAAGAGGGAGAGGAGGACTGGGAGGAGGATGAGCGCGTGGGTCGCGGCCCAAAGAACGAGGGCGACCCAAACGCGGAAATAGTATATGTCAAAGATCTGTGGTGTCTTAGTGATGTTGCCTAGTGTAGGACGAGACAACATGACTTACCTTAGACCGTGTCCACGCCAAAACACCCACGCCCAAAATCTTCGTGATCGTGATTCCAGAAATTACAGAAGAAGCGACATTCACCATAGCCGTCCAAGACCGTGCGTCCTTCCCGCGGAACCTATGCCTTGGCGCCCGCTCCATGGTAGCGCGGCTCGGGAAGGTGAACGCCCTCGCAATATGCGCTGTGAACTCGACACTGATACCCACGCAAATGATCAAATTGACAAGAGACACAGCGTTGAGTGAGACGCCCATAATAGCCATAGACCCGATGATTGCGGAAACCGTCATGGCGACTACGAGCGTGACGACGAGTGCAGTCTGTAAGGAGCCGAGGAGTATGGTGGTTACGATGAGCGTGGCTGCTAGGGCAGAGCCGAGTAGCGCGCCGGCCAAACGCACGATAGAAAGGTACTGGTCGAAAAAGATATAGTGCTTTGAGTAAGGGAAAACTTCAGTCTGGACATCCTTCTCGATTTCCTTCGCTACCCGACGGGCAGCTTTGTAGGAGTTGATAAAGTCTTCTTGCGAATGGAGCGGGGTATGCGAGGTCCGGAAGTGCGATGATGGGATAGTGAGGTGCTCCTTGTCGATGACGAGCGCATTGGAGTATGCAGCAGCGCCACCAAGTGGACAATCTTCGGTTGTGGGGGCCTGAATCCAGCGGCCTAGATAGTCGATGAACTCCTCGCCCTTGGGCATGCCGTGCAATGTCATGTTCCAAGGTTGGTCTCGGTCCTCAAAGCATGGCTTACCATCGTCGTTGACGCAGCATTTAGAGTTTTCGGGGTTGAGCCAAAGGAAGAAGTCATCGAGCCAGTTGGCTGCAGAGGCAGCAAGGAAAGAGACCTCGGGTCGTTTACGTTCAGCCTCGATGATGTTCGCAAGACTCTCTTGGTGGCAGGTGGAGAAGCGCCCGCAGAGCTGCTTTTGTGCCTCTCGTTGGGTATCGTTGAGCTCCTTGGTAACGAAGTAGACAGGTGGACCAGCATCGAAGTAGTCATAAAGATCGTTAAAGTACGGGATGAGATAAGAGTCGGAAGGAATCGCGATGCGCTGGTCAAGTCCAAGCTCAACAGCTGGAAATAGAGCTAGGGCAGCCGTGAATATACCTAGGAATACAGCGATGACAGCGACTTTCGTCTTCTTTCCAAGAAGGGCTGGAGCATATGTCCGACGGATGAAGCGCTGTAAGCCCCCTTCTTCGCCTGCACCATGTCCCATGCCTCCATTAAGGTAACTGGTATCAGCTCGTCCCACACGAAGGCATGGGAAGCAGTCTGCGCGATTGTCTTCAACTCGATACTGATTGAGCGCTAGAACAGCAACGAACATGGTCACCTGGAGGATGGCGTTGATAAAGACAGCACCTGCTGCATAGGCCGCAAAATTGCGCACAGCGGGCATACCGACTGCACATCCAAGCGCAAACGCTACCGTTTCGGTGGTAGCAGACAGTAAAATGGAAGGACCCATGCGACCCAGAGCTCGTGAGACACGCTCGGGGACAGTGCCCTCAGGGTGGCTAATATTGACGCGTTCGAACTCATGCACGATGAGGAAGATGTTGTCGACACCAACAGCTAAGACAAGGAAAGGTATGACCTCCGCGATGATGAGGGTCACTTTGATGCCAGCAGCGGAAAACAGGCCGACCGAAGCAGAAACTGACATCAAAACGATAATGATGCCAACGATGCCAAGCATGAACTTCGATTGGACAAGCGCGTTGGCCGGGTTCCGTAGTATCGAGCGAACGGTAAGAGTAGTCGATCCAAGAGCGAGCGACGCATACAGGAACATGATAACATAGCTGATAACCACGATCTTGGCATCGGTGTTCGTGCTCTTGTTCAGCTCCTGCTCGAGACTCACTTCTGTATTGAAGCTCAGTCGCAGGCCTCGCTCTCTGGCCTCACCCTGCACGGCGTATAGTAGTAGGTTCTTAAGGTCCTCTTCCCAATCCATCGCACGCTGAAGCTCGTCTGTGCCTTCGGGGTAATTATTGACGACCCAGGTCACGACGATGGCCTGAGCATCGAGCACGCTTTCGTTGACACCACCAAATAACAAGTGGGGATCCAGAGGCTGTTGGAATGTCGGCAAGCATGAAGACGGGTTATCAACGCAGTCGGTCAGGTAATTTTGCCACGGCTCCGACGCAACTTTGCCGAAGTCGCCCTGCCAGTAACCAGTCACGGATTGTACGACACAGGCGTCATTCACCGGCTTGAAGCAGACCTGTTCGAAAGGTTGCATGCGTTGCACACGGCCTTCCACGTCAAACCACCAGGCAAGGGTGTCATAGCTTAGTACAGGTCCTCCCGTTTCGTTGACCAGGAAAGCTTGTTCGGCGCGGTAGAACGGTCCGAACTTTTCGTCGAAGAAGGCTTTCTCTTGCGCCGCGGCAGAATCTGGTGATACCCACAGACGAACGGGATCTCTCTCGACTGAGAACCTGAGCCATCCGAGACTCATCAAGCCCACCACCAGTACGCTCGTAACAATGGTAATAGCAGGGAAGCGCGCGCAGACGTATCCCAGCCTGCTAAACATGCGGTCGCACCATGTATTGACAAAATAGTGTTTCGTTGGCCGGTCGAGCATTCCTACATTGTGAACGATGTCGCCTTCATCCTCGTCATCACTAGGTTCGAGATCTTGTAGCAAACGCAATCGCTCGCTCTTATTCTTCGAATGGTTCTGGTACGCCACATGGCCGGCTACAGCAAGGCAAAGAAGGCCGAGGAAAACAGAATAGACAATGATGACGGCAAATGACATGCAAGGCAGCAGGCCGACGTAGCACTGCTTGGCTTCAGTAACCTGAGGCAGCTCCGCACAGGAGCCGCCACAGTCCAAGCATGCGCATCGGTACTTCGGGTCGGTAGAATTGCAAGGATGCGCGTCCTTATTCATTGGTTCCATATCGGGGAACTTGCTCGCATCCGGGCGAGGAAAGTTCATCTGGAAAGGACTGCCTAACAACTTCTTGTCTCCCAAGAACTTCAGGAAGTCGGTGTAGTTTTTTGCGCCTCCACCGATGAAGTCCATTGCTTTGCCATTCGTCGCACCGAACTTGACATCTTTGCAGCTGTCGTAGAAACCCGATCCATAATCATTGGATACGAGATGGTCTAGTTCGGTGACGAGGTATTTGTCGCCCTTCGGCTCGGTTTGTGTGACGTTTATGAAGAGCGACTGGTCCGGAGAGCACGTAAAGGTACAGAAAAGGTTGAAGAAGTTCTCCTTGCATGCCGGACACGAGTTTATGATGCCTGACGCTCTACCGAGATTGCTGCTGAGGGCATCCAGCTGTTCCTCGTTACAGCACACGTCAGTGTCCGACCACTTCTCGCCACATACGTCGACTAGCTTCTTCTTGATCTTGTCGTCTGCCTTCTTGGCTAGTCCATTGTCCGGACAGGGCAGATCGGAGCCGAAGAAGCCCTGTTTCCCGCAATGTCCTCTTATGGCGCAACGTCCCTTCTCATGCTTTGTCGTAAGATCTGGGCCGGCGATCGCAGAGCCCACCAAGACAGACAGCAGCCCCGCTGCCATCCTCCCCAATCCTCCCCGCGAGCTCTGCTTCATCGTGCGACGGGCTGCGCCACCGGGCGCTTCAATAAACGATGCGTCGCTCAAGACGACGAGTTGATGCGAGGACACAGTCGATCACAGCTATGGTAGCGAATGTACTGTGGATAGCGCGTTCGTGGGAGTTGTGGGAGCGGAGTGATGGTGCAGGCAGCCAAGGTGCGCGAGCTAGAAGCTTTGAGCTCAACTCCGAGGAGTGTGCAGTCTTTCTAGTGAACGAGCAAAGAGGCGGACGGTTGCCTGGGTAAAAGCAATGGAAAGAAATAGCTCGTGGGGGACTGCAGCTCCGGATTTGTGGAGTGGCTAGGGGCTGTGGAGAGAGGATGCGGAGCGGCGTCTGGTGGTGAGTGGTGTTTGTTCGTGTCGTCACTGTGATAGTCGGCGCGGCACGCCGAGGCGGCCTGCCAGGCACCGCACCGAAGACCCACATGATCGACGTCACGCACAAGAACGCTTGGCACCATCTCAGACCCGAAGCCCACTAACCATGAAGCATACTCTCACAGCAGGCATTGCGCACCTTAATCTTCTCAATAAACATGTTACTTCTCATGCAATAAGTGGAAATTCGAACTATGCCGTTTATGTAGTAACAATTTCATTCAGATAGTCGCTTTTATGTCATCAAATGGCATTGCCAGTAAGTATCCCTGCCACTCATTACAGTCATCGCTCGTCATGGCCCAAAGCCGGGTATTCAGCATCTCAATTCCTTCAACATCCATCCCGTCTATTTCTGGAGGTACTTAACAAGCTCAACCAGTTGAGCGCGAGTTTCATCCTCCAACTGGTCCTCCGGTGGACCAAGCACCTTCTCGAAGATTGGCATTAGCGTAGGCGTAGCCTGCTGGATCGTAGGCTCGTTGGCTTGGTAGAGCTTCACGATCATGCTGAAGATGGGCTTGTTCTCTTCGTAGTCCTCCCTCAATGGTAGAAGGTGAATAAGACGGGGAAGCACTTCGGCAATGGGCATCTTGTCAGGGTGCTTGGAAATGAACCTGCTGACACATCCTGCTGTGTTGTCGAGCAAACGTGCCTGGTCCTGGGCATCGAGTAGTGGCTCTAGCTTGCTGAAGATGGTGGGCAGCGAGCTGAGGATCTCCGCGTCGCTGGTAGTCTTCTCGCATAGCAGACCGATACCGTAAACAGCATTGGACTTGGTCTCCGGGTCCTCGTCCGACAGGCGGTGCACGAGAAGCTTGAGCAGGTTGGTGGTGTACGGGGTGCAAGACTCGCCCATGTTACCAACACACTCTGCAATGGTACCAACAGCCGCACTTCGCTCAATCGACTCTTGGCTGCTGGCATATTTGACAATGGGCTTCTCGAAAGCCTTCCACAACTCGCCAAACGCAGGCCCAAGAGCAACTGAGAGACACGTGACAACTTCAAACGCCGTCTCGATAACAAGCCAGTCGTACTCCGACGACTCGTCAAGGACATCGCCGTCGTCATCATCGCCTAAGTCTTGCTGACACGGGTGTCGCTTAGTGATGATGGCCAAAAGCTGCTGCACCATCTCAGGAACGACCGTGCCCTTCTCAGACATTAGCATTGAAGGACCACAGAGCTTGAGGGTAGAGCCAAGGTCGCGGTTGATATCTGTGACGGTTCCACTACAATACTGTCAGCTGTAATCCCTATGGTGTTCATTGAACATATTGAACATTCAAAGCTCTCAGAAGTAGATTCGCGTTCGCCTCAATTGCAACTTGTGCATCAGAGTGAGCTGGGATAACGAAGATAGGTCATCTTTGAGCTTGGAACAGAAGAGGATCTTTTACATACCGGTCCATCTCGTCTTGCCAGACAGCCATAGTGGCGGTCATCACAAGGTTGCCCAGCTTCTTGAGATCGGCAGGCGGGTCAACCTGAGGAGGAAGACCTGGCTTCCACTTGGCCATGCCGTCAGTCTCAGCCAGCTGGAACAGAGTAGCGTATGTGCGCCAGAGAGTGCCTAGAGCAGCCTTACGGATGCCCTCGTAGTTGTGGTCAACAAGCTCCAAAAGCTTCTCGATGGTATTCTGGAGGTAGGGCAAGAATGCGCGCTTGGTGTGAGAGATGATGTCACCAAAGACCTCCGCTGCAATCTCCTTCTCCATCGCAACGGCGCTGACACCGGCAATGTCATCCCAATCATCGTCAGCATCCATAGCAGCCTCGTTGAGGTCACTATCGTCATCATCATCGGTAGCAGCAGCGACCTTGACCTTGCGGCCCTCAATCACAACCTCAGTGCCAATGAGATCCTTGGCCTGCTCTCCCAGCTCGACAAGCTCGGCATCTTCGTCTTGCTCGAGGCAGTCTTTGAGGCCCTTGACGGCACCGTCGAGAAACTTCTCGAAACCTTCCTCGTAAACCCTGGCCATAGTGGACCATAGGATGTAGCTGGTCTCACGAAGACGTGGGTGATCGAGGTGCAGAGCTTCTTCAGACGCCTGCATGAGGGGCATGACATACGGTTCGAACGGCTGAGCGCCAACAGCGGCGGCGATCTTGCCGAGAGAATCGCAGACAACGCCGCGGAGTTCCAGCTCTTCCTGGCTGTCCTTGATCGTGACATATTGCGAGAGGGCGTTCATGGTTTGTTCGAAGAAGGGCAAGAACGCTTGTTCAGAGGCGGATGCAATGGAGCCGACTGCACCGATGGCTGCGACCTTGGTCTTCAGGTCTTCGTGATGGAAGAGTTTACTGAAGCGAGGAACAAGCTCTCCGACGTACTTGGCAGCATCCTCTGGGTCAAGCCCCTCAATCAAGGAGTCAATAGCATGGCAGCTGCCACGGACGATTTGCAGGCTGCGCTCGTCGTTGAGGTTGTTGACTGCCAAATCGAAATTCTTCATCATGGCGGGGATCAGGCGGGCGTGCTCCTTACCAACGTCTTCGGCAAGATCGTCGGCCAAACGAGCCACACCGTTCAAAGCAGCACCTCGAACCTTGAGGTCAGAATCCTCGAGCAAATGGAGCACCGCAGGGAGTATCTCGTGAAGCTGTGTGGCGATGAAGTCGGGAGCACCCTCGACGCACATGCCAAGAGCGAGGACACCAGCTTGGCGGTAGTCAGGATCCTGAGAAGAAAAGTACCCACCAAGAGCCTTCAGAAGCGGGATGACGACCTGGCTAGGAGGCAGGCTTGAGGCAAGGATATCAAGCAGACCAAGAGCCGAGCGGGCAGGAGTGACATCCTCATCTTCACTGGCAAGGTCGCCCAGCTCCGTCACAATCTGCAGAGCCTTGAGAGTAAGCTCCTCACCAATCCTCAGCCCCTGCACCTTGAGCTTGCGATATCTGACGCACTGCATCAAGAAAGCAAGAGCTTGCGAACGGTAGTCGTCGTCGACCTCCTTGTTGCCGGCAAGCTCAATCATGAATTTGACAAGATCGGCAAAGTGCTTCTGCAGAAGAGCAGACTCGCACCCAAGGAGCGTCTGGAAGACCTCGAAGGCTTGAAGAGCATGGTCTTCATCGCCCTCCTGGACGGTGGCCTGCAAAACTGCGACCATGCCGGGGATGGACTCTTGGAATAAGGCAAGTTCCTGAGGCTCCTCATCCGGCTCCAAGAGCATGGCCAGCCTGCTCAAAGCCAACATTGTGTTCACCCGGACTTCGGCGCTCTCAGGGTCTTTGATGGTCGAGCTGAACAAACTGTACAGATCGGTCTTCTTGCCTGGAAAGGCATCGCCAACGGTCTCCAGGGTAGTCCAGATAATATATGTGCCGACCTCTCTATGCCTTGCATTAGAGCTTGTGGCCGCCTGCTGGAGGAAGGCAGGTAGGTCGCCCCACTCGCCATCCTCAAAATCCTGGGTCGCGATCGCGGCAATGACTCGGGCAGCCGAGTGCCTGGTGAGCGTGACATCCTCGTTCAATGTGAACTGGCAGATCTGGTTCCGCAGTGTTGATTTCTGATCAGCTGGGAGGTCCGCCCAATGCTTCGTCACCAGCTTGCGAGCTTCGACGGCGGCCAGCTGGCGCAGCTCAGGCTTTGGGTGGTTGCAGATAATCTGGAGGAGAGCGTTGAGCGACGCAGGCGAAGTGTAGTATGTCTTGTTGAGCGTCGCAGTGGCAGACTTGACACGCTCGGTGTCAGCTGGGGGAAGTCAGTACAATTTCGACAAACGAAGTGCGCGTAGCAAAAGGCTGGCGAAAACGAGGACATACGCTGCAAGAGCGACTCGAGGAGTCCGACGAACTGCTGCTCGTCCATGGCTGCTTCGCTGAAATGTAGCACAAGCTGCCTGGAGGATTAGCAGAGGGAGGGTGGAAATGTGTTTGGAGGAGGAGGAAGGAGCGTGTGTTTGGCGACAAGTGGGATTTTGCCCGCACTCAAAAAAAAGTTGGAGCGGGCAACGCAGGGTTACCGGCGGGGTGGGTGGGGCGCAATCGCCGAGGTGGACGCCGGTGATTGGCGCGAGCTTCAGCGCTGCCAGAACGCGTACACGTGTAGGACAACTTGACTTGTGCAGCGTATCTGCTTGGGAGAGAGGTGGAGAGTACATGTGGTGAAGTCGAGGAGAAACAGTGGAACCTACATTGACCGTCTTGAAATCTCTTCAAGCCCTGTCTGGCAGTGTGCAAGCAACGTTCACCACGCTTGTGGGGTAGAGCACCTGCTCTGTCCTAACCCATTGAGGGGAGTGTTGTAAAGAAAGAGTTGGGGCTTCTTCATTATGAATGTTCGGATGGAATATTACGCGTTCGACGAGGTCGGGGTGATGTTCATGGAGGGCGACGAGGTGCTGGGAGGGCCATGTCTGTAGGAGAAGGGTCCTAGCCAGACGTTCATGACAGGGTCTTCAAGAGGCCACCGTAGATGATATGAGATGGAATCAGTTGAAAAACTGCAGGAATGCAGGACAAGCAAAGACACAGGTTCGCGTTCGCGATGAGAACTTGCACAGGAGGAAGGCGCTAGTCCAGCAAAAGGCGCTAGTCCGCGTGCGCTGGCTGTAGCTTCCAGTTTTCAAAAACAGAAGGGACGACCTCTCGTTAACCACACCGTCCACTGCACCTCCCACCAGACTCGCCAGGCGATCCGCATCTCCCTCGCTCTGCGCCCTCTCTACGATACCCTGATCCGCCCCGCCCCGTACAAAACGCTGCAGCACTACTGCCTGGCGCCTCTCGCGATATCATCTCCGTCTCTATGGCTTCGGTACGCCTCTGCCCGTGTGCTCGCCCCCATCACATGTTCCAGCTGTTAACATGCCCCAGCAAGCTCCCAACCAGCCGCGTCCATACCCCGGCAACAACTACCTCCCTAATGGCGCCGCACCCTCAGGACCTGTGCCTGGAGCAGTCCCGCTGCTTCCCAACCAGGGCCGCGTGATACAACAAGGCAGCGCCAGGGTCCTGTGTGTGGCAGATGTGCGAGGTGCGCGATAGAATCTCTGGCATCTTCAGGTGGAGTACTGACAGATACAGGCAATCTCCAGTCACTCAATCAGCTTGCCGCAGACGCGCGGGCGAACTACATCATCCACACTGGAGACTTCGGTTTCTACGATGACAAGTCACTAGATCGCATCGCCGAGAAGTAAGTATAATTGCAACGCTCAGCGAACAAGGTCGAGGATTCTAATCATTGCCAGGACGCTGAAGCACGTCGCCCAGTACTCGCCCCTCCTTAGCGATGCCGTCAAGCGCTCCATCGCCTCCGCCCCACCCCAACCGTCGATCAAGGAGCGCTTCCAACGGGAACATCTCCCTCTTTCAGAGCTTCCTCTTTTTCTCAACAAGCAATACACACTTAATGTGCCTGTATACACGGTATGGGGAGCCTGCGAAGATGTCCAGGTGTTGGAGAAGCTGCGATCTGGCGAGTACAAGATCGACAATCTTCACATCATAGACGAGGCGCACTCGCGGTTGCTCGACGTGGGCGGTGTCAAGCTCCGTTTGCTCGGTCTCGGTGGTGCTGTGGTCATGCACAAGCTGTTCGATAACGGAGAAGGCAGGACAACGATCGCAGGTGGACAGGGCACCATGTGGACGACTTTGCTGCAAATGGGTGAGCTAGTAGACACGGCGAACCGCGTTTACGACCCGACCGAGACCCGCATATTCGTCACGCACGCTTCGCCAGCGCGGGAGGGACTGCTGAACCAACTCTCAGTAACGCTCAAAGCCGACTTCTCCATCTCCGCTGGTTTGCACTTCCGTTACGGTAGTTCCTACAATGAGTTCAGCGTCAACCCGACCCTGGACCATTACCGTGGCAAGCTCGCTGCGTCAAAGACATCTTTCAACGATGTTTGGGATACAGTCAAGTCGGAGGTCGAGCCCGCAGTTTCGGACAGCGAAGCTCAACAGCGCCTGCTGCAACTCGCCCTAGACATCGTTGGCAAGATGCCCACTGTCGCGAACGGCGGTAATCCCTTCGGTGGTCCAGCCCCGGGTCCTCAGAGTGGAGTCATCGATGAGAGCGCATTCAAGAACATGTGGAATTTCAACCTTGCGGATGCTGCCTACGGCTGGTTGGTTCTAGACATTGACAACGGCCGCATCGGAACGGAGATGAGGGCGCAAGGTTTCAACTTCGCTCATCGGGGCACCAAGCCAGTTACGCAAGCACAAGGTGGCCAAGCCGCTGCTCCTGCTCCGGCCACTGCCACGGCTCCCGTCGCCGCTCCCAGCCCGGCAGCTCAACCTTCGCCAGCCCAGGCACGTCCGTCTGCTCCTCCATCCGCCCCTCAAGCTCGCTCAGCTGCCACTCCGCCTGTCCCGCAACAGCAGCAGAACATCAAACCCACTCAGCCCGCGCGGACCGGTCCGTCTCCCGCAGCCGCGACACCCAAGGAACCCATCAAGCCCGCTACACCCCAGCCGAGTGGTTCCAATGGCCCCGCAAATGCCGCCGCAGAGAAGGCCATTCCTAGTGAGGTGAAGCCAAATGGCACTGCTGCTCCGGAAAAGACCGCATCGCCTGCCCCTAGGGAGCCTCGTGAGCCCCGTGAGCAGCCAGAGCGCAAGGACAGCAAGGCTCTCTTCATCCAATATGTTAAGGATGAGGAAGAGGCGAAGGGCCTGCTTGCTGAGGAAGACAAAGCAAAGGTTGAGAAGATCGAGAAGATTAAGCACTTCTTTGTCGCACACTTCGCCACCCAGCAGGAAATGTTCGGCGCCCTCAACCGCATACCCGCTGAAATCAGGAACAACAAGGGTCCAGATAAGCCCAGCGTCAAGGTCTACCGTGAGCCGACCGGTCAGCGTAACTATGGAGCCGGTACCTGGCAAGGCAGCAACCGTGGCGGCGCGCAAGGCGGATACCGCAGCGGTGGTGCGTCCGACAGCGAGGGCGGTCGCGGAGGTCGTGGTCGCGGCGGATCCTACCGTGGCAGCGACCGAGGCGATCGCGGTGGTCAACGTGGACGGGGCCGCGGCCGGGGCGGTTTCAACAGGGGCGGACAAGGTGAAGGTGCAGCAGCATCAACGGGAGGCGAGTCATAAGCACTACACCTTGACCCCACTTCCTGTACCCTCAAGCCGTCTTCTCTGATACCCTTCCCTTTCTTTCTCGCAGCTGACGTGAATGTCAGTCCGGCCGTCAACGCAGAAACGACAGCCGCATTGGGGACCTTCACCGCGCCCGAGTTCCGGTTGATAGCGCTTTCCAAATCCACTTTTGTTCTTTGATCAATCGACGATTCGGTTTCTCTTCTATCGTCATAGCGGGCGCAGGGTGTGTTCTCTTTCCGGCGAGTTGTACCAATGCAGGCGGGCGGGCTATTGGCGCTTGTCATGTCTGTAATACTTGTCTTTCTGGCGGTTGCGACGGCAGCGAAGGGTCGTCTTTCCTGTTTAGACTTACACAGCATATGTATATGGCTGGCGTGGGTGGAATGTGCGTTGTTGGGTTGAAAGGGTTTGGCGATGATGATGGGATATTCCCACATGCGTGCTTTTTCTGCTTTACTTGGATGATGGGTGTGATGATGAAGTAGCTTTGTCAGAGTATGTATTGTAATTGACGATATGAAGAAAAGCCCGATCTAGATGTTATATAACTTGCGCCAATGGCTGCTCTGGAATTGGATATCTAAAACATGCAGTCACTTTGTTCGACATCACGGCAGACATAAGAGTCCCTCACTATCGGTCCGCAACATTGCGAACTGCTCCGAGCCATTAAAGAGGAGTTGACGTCTCGGTACCAACAACACGTTCCCATGCTGTCACGGTCTGGATACTGAGATTTGATGCTTTCCGTGCTCAACGCTAAAGCAGGAATCCTCTCACTGGGCTGCTTCAGCCCTTCCCCAACATGTGCTTTGAGTCTTATCTTTCGATGATATCAAGGACATCCTGAAGGGTCTAGGTCTACTATTATATGACCTAAAGGCTCAGGATAAAGGGATCAAGCTGTTCTACACGTGTTTCGACCTTTCATCCCAAAAGCAGGATGGGAATGTTCCTGTCACCGCCTACGAATAACTACTTGAAAAAAGTGGATTACGCTAAAGGAGTGGTCAAATGTGATCCTCAAGGAGTGTACTAAGATAGAACGTTGGTCATGTGTTTCTTGAACCTGGATGCACAGGTCGACTGAGCTGTAGCTGAATGTGTCTTATAGAGTAGACTTGACTGTTCCATGCTGAAGTCGAAAGGCTGAACATGCGATGTACACGGCTGGCCATTGTGTGTTATGCTACTTTATACAGCCAGCATACGGTTGGCTACGATTTTTGTGCAACTATTCTCAAAGCTCACTTAGCCATGGTCCAGGGCAATTGTCATGAGGTTTCGAACGGACCCAGGGTGGAGGAGGTGTTATATGGAGACAATAGATTGGTTACGCTCAACAGCGATTCTCTCAAGGTTAAATCAGTACAAGGTTCATGGTAATTTGTCTAGCTACAGCCTAGGGTTGGACTCAATACGTGCACATTTCGTTGACTGGAACCACTGATGGCGTCACGCTTTCACTGTCCCGAGATTTCTTATTTCAACTATCTAGATTGTTTGCTCGGCTCGAACCCCGGTACTGCACCTCTATCAAATCTCTGCCACTGCTAAGTATCATACCCCACGCTTCGTCCGCCCGCCATGGACAGATTGAACCAACAACTCCACGCTAAGGCCTCACCAACAGCTTCAAGCGTTGCGGTGGCGTACTTCCGCCGTTCTCCCAGGAGCAAACGTTCCAGCACAACTGCATACTCTTGATGGTCTTCGAGAAGTGGCGCATCGAGTTCTGCGAGAATGTGGGCATGAAGCTGCCTCGAGAACTACGGGACATGATCTATAAACAGACCACCGACAAAGATTACACCATCAGAATTTACGAGACCTACCACAAGACCAAGAAGTAACACTTCGTAGTTTACTGCGCCCTCTTCCCCTACGGCTGTCAGTGAACATATTGCTACCTCCCAGGCCAAATCATTCCCCGCCTCTCAGCCGGCGTCGAAGCCCTATTCTCTTCCGCGATCACTGGAGAATCTTTCACCCGCGAACTCCCCGAGACGTTATACATGCGTGCCAAACTCGAGCTGAGCCACCCGAGCATTGCCCCCGCCGTCATGGATAACAACCTCTCTGAATCAGTGACGCCACGCCAGTTGGATTTCCCTGCCACCTCTGCATCAACGTGTACAGCGACACGAGCATGATCAACATCGCACTCTCAGCTCAAGTTCAGCCCCTCAAGCGTCTGCAAGAGCTCCCTGCTTCGAAGAACATTCGCATCCATCTACTCTTCTACGACTTCGGCATGGACCGCGCAGGCCTGCAGAAGTACAAGAACATTCTCGAGGAACTTGGTCCACTGCTGTACGATATGAAGGCGCAGAATAAGGTTATCAAATCGACGAAGTGCGAAAATCGTCATAGGTGGGTGTGTGACTGTACGTGTTCAGGGTGTTGTAGGAATTCAACTTGGTCGTTGGAGAAGTCGTTCGAGGATTTTACGGATATTTTCGACAAATCGGACAGTATTGTAAGGTTACATGGTTGTCGGGCTTGCCATCTAAATTACTAACATCGTTGATGTAGGCCCAACTAACGCGATATGAGCCCCAGACAAAAGACAATATAATGGAGGCGCGGGATCTTCTGGGCTTCTAGTACAGTCGCATCCGACGATCTGGCAAAACAGTGCATCAACATAGGGTATGAGTTTCTCAACATGAGCATAAAGAAATGGATCGGAAGGGCAACTACTTGAGAGCATACCTGGCCTTTTAGCTCATTCCCACTAAGGTAGCTCACAATGCAGGGAGCATGTCGGCACAAAAATCGGTTGATAGTCTTGTGTACTTCTGATATCTATCAAAGTGCGCCTACGCCAGAAGGAAATGCAAGCGTAATATGACTATGGAAATGCTAACGATGCTGCGGAAACGTGACGACGTCAATCCTCCTCTACATTTCTCAATCCCACCCCTTTTTCTTCATCCTATCCTGCAAATTCTCTTTAATACAAAGCTTTATACCAGCTGGACACCCACATCATCAATGTCCAGGTTCATATATCCATCAGCGTCAGTCCCCGCCGTCATGCCTGCCTCACCATTACACTTCACCACGACTCTCAGGTCCTGGCTGACGTCTGCCGGTGAGCTACCCGCGGTGAAGAACTCTTGCCTCTTTGTGAAGGTCTCCTGCGGACTCGCTTGGTACACGAAGTCGTCGCCGATGTAGTAGTCTGCCTGGCACTTAGACATGAGGTTGCCAACCCTGTTAGTGCTGATCAACTTGTATTCTTTTCCAGGGCAGAGAGTAAGCGGCTGGCTGATCGTCAATGCCGTATTCGTGGCGGCAGCGAGTACGCGTGCAAATTGACCATCGGTGGAGTTCTGGGTGCGGAAATTGACAGACGGGTCGTCGGCGTTGGTGGTCCAGCCGAATACAGTATTCGCGGCCTCGGGTGAGAAGTCGGGATTAATGACTATGTTATCATGGTCCGCACAGGATTGGTCAATCTGCTCCTGGGTGGCGACCTCGCCTGTACGGCGGTATGGGTGCGAGGTTATGACTGGAGAGGCTGCTGATACGGCAGCTGTTCCAGTGCCCGTGGGTAGAGTAGCATTGAGTTGGAGAAGGCCTGCTTCGAGGAGACCTGCTGAGGCGGTAGGAGCGCATGTCGACGGTCCAACGAGCAAGGTCTCATAAGAGACTGTGGTGACGACAATTGTGTGAGGGATGACTGTAGGAGTTGGCGTGGGGCAACCTTCCGTACCGTTCAACGAGGCCGATGGGGTAATCGACGCACCAGTCCCTGTCGCGAATGGAGTCGTCTCATTGAAGGCAACGCCAATTGATAGTGGAACGGTAACGTTAGCTGACGGTAATGGAGAAGCGCTGACTACGCCCGTGCCCAACGGGACGGTAACGTTCTCCGAAATGACGGCGATGGACACCGAGGCTGCAGTGAAGAGGGGGACTGGCGCTGAAGCGGTACCAATTGGAGCGCTTGAGTTCAAAGCCACTGTGTTGATAGCCGGGGCAGTGCCCGTGGGAAGGAGACCTGTAGAATTGGCGGGCGCGCTTGATCTCGAGAAGGACCCACGCCGTGGATTCTCAGTGTTTGAGAACTCTGGTCCTGGTGCGGTTGTAGAGTTGGCAGGTGGAGCAGTGCCAGTTGGTAGGAACGCTGTGGAGTTAGCGGACTGGATGGGTACGGCACTAGATCCGGTCGCCAGGAGTGAGAAGTTTGCGGAAACCACCGGTACAGCTAAAGATCCGAATGGACTGTTTGCTGATTGGACGGGGACAACAGAAGACCCTGTGGCACCAGGCAGTTGTGTGCTGTTCAGACCTACACCCGTGGTCAGAGGAACAGGGACAGCCGACAAGGGAGCAGTTCCTAGCAACGATGCATTGGCTGTCGGTATTGGCGCAGTGCCGGACAGTGTCAGATTGCCTGTGGCGAGCGGCTGTTCGCTTGGTCCTGTTGTTGTCCGGGATCTTGGGCGTCCCAATCGATCATCACCCGAGTTTGAGAATTCCGGTCCAGTGCTACCACTTGCCGTAGGGAAGACCGCACTCGAATTAGCAGACAGCGGCGGAAGCGTTACAGAAGGCTGTTCAGTGAAAATGAAAGCCTGTTCAGCGCCGCCGCTTGACGTAGCAGTCCGGTTTGCAGGAATAGGTGGTAATTCGGCGGAAGGCTGTTCAACGCTTCCGCTGGCCGTAGGGAGAGCCACGGTCAGGTTTACAGAGAGCGGCGGAATGACTACGGAAGGCTGTTCAGTACTTCCGCTAGCCATAGGGAGAAGCAGAGTCAAGTTTGCGGTGAGCGCAGGGATGACTACGGCAGGTTGTTCGGCGCTTCCGCTCGCAGTTGGGAACACTGCGCTCGAGTTTGCAGAGACTGGAGCCATGGTGACGGAAGGCTGCGCAACACTGACCACCTCAACTGACTCCACTCCGTACCCGCCATTTGGAATGTATGGTGGTGGTGGCGGCGGCATAGTGGAGTTGGAAGCGGGAGCTGAACTGCCTGTCACAATAGGCGCGGTCACCAACGGAGCAGTGCCCAGAGAGGCTGTGCCGCGTGTGCTGCTGCGCCTCAGCCCGCCAGTTCGATCCCCAAATGAGTTGTTAAACTCATCCTCGATATTCGTTGTGCTAGGGCTCGCAGGCTGGCTCGCTGGTGCGCTTGCCGTTTGGTTTGTCGGCATCGGCAACACCACACCACCAGTACCCGTTGACAAGATGATGGCTGTGGCTCCAGAAGTCAGGATGTTCTGAGCTCCGGAGGCGGGCGCGGTTCCCAGAGGGATGACGGACACGTTTGCGCTCGACGACGGTATAACAGCGACGGAGAAGTTCAAGGAAGGCAGTACGACACCACCGCCGGAGGCCACAGAAGAAAGGCTAACCCCGCCGGAAGTAATGAAGACCGCCGTTCCAACAGGAAGAGAGCCATTCGAGCTTGGGCTAGGGGTTGCGCTGACCGACGCAGGTAATGTTACGTTGCTCGATGGCAGTGGTATAGCACCCGTGGGTACGACCTCACCCGACTCAGAAGGCCCTTCAGTAGCCTCTTCAGAGAATTGGAGGATACCAAAAGGTCCTCCGCCCTCTTCACCTTCTTCCGCGGCGGTGCTGTTAGAGCTCGGCGAAGGAGCGAAACCAGAGGCCGTCTCCGACACGAATTCTGTTGGCGTAGGAATAGAGATGTTGGCAGACACTGGTGGGATGACGTTCGATGCCCCAGTAGAGAGGAGCACTGATGCGGCCCCGGACACGGAAAGGACAGCCACACCCTCAGAGACTGATACGGTGGCGTTGAAAATGGGCGCCTCGCTTGCAGGGGCAGTGCCCGTAGGAAGGAAGGCTGTAGAATTAGCAGGCGCAGTCGGTCTCGATATGGAGCCACGACGTGGACTGTCCGCATTCGAGAAATCATTTGTGGGGGCAGTGCCAGTAGGAAGAGAGCCGCTTGGCGCCAACGACGGCGGAAGCTCAGTGCCGTTGACGGTGACGGGGATAGGGCCCAAGGAACCAGCACCACCTGTGGACAAAATCACTGCTGTGCTTCCTACCAACGTGACCTCGACGCTACCGGCGGTTGGTGCTCCGATGACAACAGTGCCGTTCAATGTGTTGATAGGTGCACCAGAGCTGGTTCCGGTTCCAATCGGAGGTGGTGGTATGACTGTTTCAAAACCGGCAATGTTCAAGGTGGCCGTTTCTCCAAACTCAGAAAATTGTCCGCCTCCGGAAGATCCCGAAACGGCAGCCGAACTAGATGGCAGACTTGCTACTGCGGAGCTAGGCGGCGTGTAATCATACCCGTGCTGAGGAGGGAGGACAAACGCAGAGGTGGAGGTGCGTGCTGGGCTCTGCACTCCCTCAGCAGAAGCATTAGAGCTGGGTACAGCAATCGAGCCAGTGCCTATGGCGTTTCCATTGCTTGGTGAAGGAAAAATGACGCCGAACCCTCCGGTGCTGATTTCCGTGGAAATGGCACCAGCAATGCTGAAGGCAAGGCCACCTGACGATTGGGCGACGCCGGGTTGGTCACCGCTTCCGGCCGTAGCATTAGCAATGGAAGCGGCTCCCGAGGCAATGAAGGCAGCACTTCCCGCAGAGAGACCAGCGGTCGAATTTGGTTGAGGAACTGGGCTTCCGGAAATGATGCCACCACCTTCGACGGAGCTAAATGTAGCGGCACTACCGGACACGATAATTGTAGCGGCGCCTTGCGACCCGGTTCCTGCAGGGATAATTGCCGTCTCATTGGCGACACCGGGTGCCGAAGTCGGTGCTGGAATCTCACTCACACCTGCACCTGCCGTGGCATTCGATGTTTCGGTAGCGCCAGCTATTGTGAAAATTCCGTTGCCACCAGTGCCCAGCGCTGCAACTGATGTTGGGAATATGACTCCCTCGCCACCAGTGCGGCTGAAGGTCGACGTACCAGAGATGATTGTGGTGGTGCCGTTCTCAACGATAGTAGTGACGTCGATAAAGACCGAGGTCAAGTTCGGCACCGGCTGCGCTATAACAACAGTCCTAGGTGTGTTCTTGACAGTGCATGTCCAAGACGTGGCGTAGGCTGCCCACCAAGCGCTGGACGAAGCGTAGACCTCGAACCAACTGTAGTGATAGGCTCCGACTGAGTCCGTGTAGCCACTGGACCAGAAGGTTTTGAAGACGCCGCCTGTCGCCGATCGAGTAATTAGGCCTGGAGTCGATAACGAGAAGCCCTCTGTGAGAACGTCGCCTACGAGCTGTGCGGTATCTACGGTGGTATTGCTCGGACCATTGACCAGGTCGACGGACTTGCAGTTGTCGGACTTGGAAGATACCTGCGTCAAAAGGATAGTAACACTTCCAGGTGAACGCGCAAAGTTTTGAGCTGATCCATGCAGGAAACATTGCCCGTCAGATGCACCAGAATTGGGCACGAAAGAGGCTGATTGACAAAGTTGCCTCTGCGAGCGACTGTTCACGAGCGAACAATGAGCGGCGCAAGCTGTCTGGTTGGCAACATTCTGAATGCCAGCTAGAGTATTGGAACCTGTTACAGCGGTATCGCACAAGACGGAGTATTCGTAACGCAAGTCGCCAATAATGAACTGGGGGCTGAGCCCGTTGGCCTCGTCCGTATTGGTACCACTTGTCGGGCATTCGAAAGGAATACCAACCACAACAGGCGCTGAGGTGCCACCTGAAGCTGAAGGAGGAGCTACAGGCAGGATCGAACCACTGGCGACCACGCTGATAGATGCTGGACTTGTGATGATCGCAGGCACTGCTACCGTGCCTGCACCGTTCGAAGCAGCTGCGCCAGAAGGTAGAGCTCCAGACTCAGCAGACTCAATCCGAACTGCGGTTTGGTTGGAGCCGGGAGCGACAGACTCAGTAGTGGTGATGGTCTTAGTTTGGTATCTCGTTAGTACGCGCAACACATTCTTTCCTACAGTTTTATACTGAAGTGGCATGAGCCAGTGTTGAGTTAGGGCGGTCACAAACTTACCTGGTCCGGGAATATCGTATTGGTTATGGTAGTGGTCGAGAGTGGAGCCACCGTCTCACACGAACAGGCGTTCCCAAACCCTGACAAAGCCTGTTCCTGCTTTCGATCCGGGGTCGCCGCCGCCAACGCTGCAGCGTTGGCTCCATGTGCAATGACATCCGACATAAGCGCGTTCGCGAAGGCGAGTTGAGCAGCAACATTAGTATCTCTTCGCAAGACAGCAGCAGGAGTGACTGTTGCAGTTTCGGTGACTGTGGTCGATACCTGAATAGTTTGAGTCGATGTAGCTGTTGTGCTTGTAAAGTTTGTGCTGCACGTCTGTCAATCGAGTCCATCGCGAACGCTTGTGACTTACATGATAGCAGTGGTCGAGAGTGTAATAGTTGCTGGAGGAATGTCAAGCAGGTTGTTACATAGAGTTTGTACGGCAGACGAAGGTGCGGCATCCAAGATTACAATGTACAAGTCGTCCGTGGGGCACTGCAAGTCCGTGAAAGCTTCAACCTCTTGCCTTTTCCCGAAGACCTTATTGAGAGGCCATCGTTGTAAGATGCCCTGGAGCTTCGACTGCTCGTGCGCAACAACCAGCCCACGCTCTTTATCTGAGTCCTGCTGAGTGACTCGGGCTCCACTCTGTGAAGAAAAGGAAAGAAACACGGCCGAAGCCAACAATGAACGAGAGATGTACATGATGGAGCACTCGAGCGAGTGAGAGATGCTCCGATCAACGTAGCAACAAAGGTCCCGCGGGGGCTCCTAGGAGGTGATGACAGGCTAGGACCTGGATACAACTACCTTTATAAGTGGCAACAATCCCAAGATACGAGATAAGGGCGTGTTCGCCATCCTGACAGCCATCGAGATTATTCCCACGTTAGAATGCGCCTTGCAGACGGGATCAGAGGTACGAGTTTGGCTAGGACCCATACTTTGGAATTGCTTCGCGTGAAGCGTGACTCGCAAATGACCTGGGGTGGAACCAGGACTAGAATGCTGTCGGTGCTGAAGTCAAGACAGACACAGCTGATAGCCTGGAAAGCAAAGAGGTTGTCTGGGGTGCTTGGCACCAGCGATACCCTTCTGAGCGGACTGGAATGTCGAGGGCGGACAGCCAAGACTCCTTGCCCACGCGTGTCGCAACATATCCCACTCGACCACTTCCTATTCGAGAAGTGCTGAGGACGTGCGAAGGGAGAGCGCGTCGAGACACGTAGACGCGCTCCAAAGGTCCAACGACACAAAGGGACGGCTAACTCAGGGCTGCAACACCGGGAGACAGAGACTGAATATTGAATGACTTGATTTGGCTGAGATGACTATGCGAAACAGGACATGAGGAAGAAGACGTGCGATGCGAGATGTGGAGGAAGGCGCGGTCGGAGCAAACTGCGGTGTCGTCGACGCCATGATGCTCGACATGAGGCTTGGAATGGGCATGAGTGCTTGCGTGTGTTTCGGGCCCAGGTCGGAGCAGCGAGCACACGTGTGTATGGATGGGTGGTGGAGTGGTGGTGAGCATCGATGGCGGGGAGGAGGCGGGCGAATGAGGCGCGGTCGGGGGTCGGCGCCGGCGCCCGCCATCAACAACAGACGAGGAACGATCGAGAACAGCCTCACGAAGCTCACCCCACGGCCAACCTCACCCATTGCCCGCCGCCACATGCCCCAGCGGCCACAACGGTGGCTGTAGACGTATTCAACGCCTCTGCGCGCCCTTCCTCCGTCCTGTGCCCATCTTCGTGCTGCCGCTGCCAGTGCCAGCCCTCCACAGGCTGCACGCTCCCATTCCATGGGCATCTGCTCGTCATGTCTGGGCCTCGCCCGGCGGTCCTCAGACGCTGAGGTGAGTGCTTGTGCTGCCTGTGCTCGCGCGCGCATAACCGAGCTGTCTCGCCTCTACGACCCATGTGCTAACATATCTTTGCGCCCTTGCAGCGTTCTGACAGCTCGCATCTCCTTGGAGACCCTTACCAGCCGCATTATGGCAGCATCAATCATCCGAGCGCCCACAGCTTGCCCCAGCCCGACCCCGAAGAGATTAGGAGGCAGCGAGACGCGTTGGAGCGTATCTGCGCCCAAACGTCTGAGTGAGTCCTGTCGCTCCTTTTCCCATGCAACCTGTGCTCATCCCTTGTTTAGCAAGTTGATCCACGTCTCGCAAGCCGCCTACACCGATGACAGCCACCACTCCGAGTATCTACGGCTTTTCAATGAACGCTTCCCACCCATGAGGTCAGCGAGCCCTCCGCCATCCGCACGTGCCGACTACGACCAAGACGAGGCCACTTGGTTGAGCAATGTCGTAGGCAGCTCAAACGACGCCGAGGGAAGCTGGGAGCGGGTCGAGCCCATTGAATCTGGAGCCCTGACGATCCAATTCGGCGAGGCCTTGAGCGACAGGAAACGGTAACGTCCTTTGTGTCGCCCACCATCTGCGCTTGGGTAGGGCTTGTCGCACGCCGCTATTGCTTGTTTTACTGTGCCCTTATCTCGGGCTGTTCGGATACCCACCCCCATTTTCTTAGCTCCACCAGACAAGTCTCGGGTTTTCATTTCCTCTTGTCGCATCTGCCTCAGTAGACGGATCTACTGCGCTAATACAATCCCATCATCACTTTATATTTTTATCTATGCGTCCTGTGCCCTCGCAATCACACTCACGTCACCTCGTCACTACCACGGCTGTCACGAGGTAGGTCTACCGCCACGGCTTTGTTGGTAAGCACCACTGCCAGAGTCGGTCACAATTGCTGTCTAATTACAATGTATACAGGTGTCGGAATAATCTCCTCTAGCCAAATCTCGTCTCATATCGTACAGATACCGTAAAAGACAAGCCGTGCATTAAAAATCGGACTCGAACTATCATCGCGATCCGTGAACGGAACGCCGTGTCATCAGAGGTGAAGACGTAGATTACATGCTCCGTTTCCCGTGGAAGCCTTACTGAACGCAATACAGCTGCACGTACCCGCCAGTCGCTTCGATCCTGGCTCATGTGCCACAGTCCGAAAGACCGTTGTGCGATGTAACGATACCAGAGCCTCCCTTCGCTCCTAGAAAGTTATCAATATGCGCTTCGCAGAAGGGGTGTCTGATCATCTTACCCAAAAGGAGATCCGTCACGTCGACCGCTGAAAGCTTTCTCTGAATGGTTCCATGGTGTCCGGGCCAAGATTATGCTGAGGACCCACGTAGGCAAAATTGGCCTCGGCTTCAAACTCTTTCAGCTTGATGCCGGCCTGGGTCTGAACAAGGGCGACGACCTGCTGCTGCTGCGCGTAGGTGAGATGTTCAAGCGCAAGGTCCAGGCCTGACTTAGCCATGGCCCTGAAGCCCGCTGGCATTGCTTTGAACATGTTGTTACCAAACTTGCGCGCAGCTCCCCTCATAGTGAAGACCAGCTCGCTCTGCTGGTCCTCATCCAAGGTCAGATTGTGGTGCAGGGTGCCCACTTCGTGATCGACGAGATCGCGCAGGTTGCCTTCGCGGGGCTCTCCGGCAGGGAGTTCAGCGGGAGGGGTGATGGTCTGCCACTCGTCAGTATGAGTTCAACGCCTGTGCGCTGCTACTTACGAACGCAGGCACTGGATGGGGCCAGCCATGGTATTTGTGGAGCTTCATCCTTACCTTGTCTCTGACTTCCTCCATGATCTCCTCGCCCGATTTACGAGGCTTGCCATTGCGCGAAATCATCATGGGAATCTTCATCGGTCGGCTGTAGGGGGTGGGCACGCTGCGGTGCAGGACAGAGTCAACCTGGGGTTGACCACCCAGATGACCAGGTCCAGGCATGATGTCGACACCGAACTTATCCTTTATGATCGTGGGGTGTTGCGATGGACGAATACCATGCACTTCGAAGAGTTCGCTGTACGTCTTGGTCTGTAGCTCTGCCTTCTGCTGCGACGACATATCCCACTCGGCGGGATGGGGTGTTGGCGCCTTCATAAGATCCGGTCGCTCAACGCATGCCCGTTTGTTGGGAGATTGCTCCTTTGCGGCGGATGAAGCGTCTTTAAAATCAAGCCGGCGTTTGCTGCCAGCCCCGCCAAACGGCGAGAGGTGGTCACGCACATGCACCGGATCATCATCATCCAAGTCCACCTCAACCTCAGCCAAGGATCTGTTCGTCTTGGCCTTTCGTTCACGCTTCGGTCGCTCGCTGCTAGACGGAGGCGTAATGACTTCATGAGCTGCCACGGTGAGCTTGTCGGTCTTCTTCTTCGCCAACATCTCTTCACCATCCTCTTCCTTGATCTTCGTAGACGCGGCCTCAGCCTCCGGGTCCTTGACCTCACTCAACGTCCCGATAGGGTGGAGCACGCGGCGACGTGCCGTGGTAGATGCCGACGGTGTCGCAGTCATCAGGTTGCCGTGCGCCAAAGACCGACCCTTTTGCTCGCGCTCGATCTGGCACGGCCGGCATATCTGCCACGTGCAGCCTTTGCATCGTCGCATCTCGTCCGAGGTATTGCGTTTATCGCAAATGGAGCATTTCGCTGTGTGTATTTTGACCAACGCGAAGTCGGACGGGTCGTCGCTGCATTGCGCACGCATAGACGCCGAAGAGCTGGGTGTGGCCGACTTGAAGCGGGCTGCACGGAGAGGGGTTGCTGGCATGGGGGAATTCATGGTGGGCAGTCTTTACCTTTGCTTGAGAAAAACTTGTAGAGTTGAGCGCGAGCGACTGTGTCGCGGGATATCCCACGAGAGAGGGTGCGGTGCGTCAGAAGTACGTGCGGTTTGACAGGCGGCTCGATGTTGAAGGGAGAGGTCGAGGTCAGATTGTATCAACTGCGATAGGTAAGGACGGATTGCCCCTCAAGTAGTCAGGGCGTGAGGGCGAGCTGTGCGGCTCGTGCTCGCTCCGTTTGTACCTGCAGTAGCGCAGGCGGGGAGTCGTCGGGGTGACGCAGAGTTGGCCGTGATCGGTCGATATTGTCAGATCAACACGGAGTAAATGGTGGTACAGGCGGCCGTGGTGGTCTTTATCGACGGGGTGAAGTGGGCGTGGAGATCGAGGTCGAGGCCCAAGTGATGAAGTGGTCAGTTGAAGTCGGCGATCAAGGGGTGAATGTGATTGGACGATAGACGGTGGTCGACTTTGGCGGTCTAATCAAAATCGTAAGTCAACGTAGATACTTGTTCATATATACAACTATCATTGCTTACCTGATGATACGACAGCTATACTGACGACAGCTATACTGTTGGCCGCGGATCTGGTCAGTTGGAATATGGATGTTCGAGGCGTCTTGTCGTGCCAATCGGTCTCGCACAGCTCTGCCCGTCTACAGATAAGCAGATCAAGATTCAATCGAGGAGGTCTAGTCCGGCTAGGTAATGAGTGGAGAAGAAGCGATATATAGCCAGCAGCACACGAGGCTCTGCGGTGTAAACGAAAGGGATGGAAGGCCTCTCATTCACAGACTGCTCAACAGCTGCTCTGCTCTATCCTGGCACCTAAAAGATTTGTAAACGAAAGACTCGAATGCAGCTTTGAAGACGTGGAAACAGCGAAATAAGCATTCACAGCCCGAATACGCACGGAAACCTCAACTTATAGTCACTCTTCCGCTGATCGTACCTTCACACTCGGCCATATTGAAAGCGGTCCCTTCATATCCACCAACGCCCCAGCACCCCGTTCTTGGGTCAGGAACAGGGCGCTCGTGCTCCGCTGCACATGCGCTGCGCGAGGACGTGGACGCGAGGTGGCCCTACCTCGATCGCACTGTGTAAACGATGGTCGCTTCGCACGGGCGGTTGTACCGCGAGCGAGTCACATCACAAGGCTGTCACAGAATGGGAAGAGACAAACGGTCCCTTTTCCGCGCCGGAAATATCACATTTCGGGTGGATTTAAAGGCTGTATAGAGAAGCTGCGAAGTGTGTTACGTGTGGAGGCGCACGGAGTAGACTGTGAAGACCTGTGAGCGGGTTGCTATCCAAATGGAACAGAAGGGAGCGCCATCGCGGGATGCTCTGAAGCTATTGGGATGACCACGAGGGCGATGGGCGGGAGTGAGCGGAAGGAAGGGTCGATGGGGGCCTGTGCACTTTGACCTCCAGATTGATGGCGAAGTGTTTGTGATACCGGTTGCGGACGTGCGTGAAGTACATGTTTATATGTATAGATGGAGAGAGATCGAGCGCATACTCACGGGTAGGCATATCTCGTGGCTGCTAGCAGCGACGATGGTGTTCCGAACATCTACGACTATTTGTGCAACGTCCTTCTCTACGCTTATTCAACTCGTTATCTCCAGATTTTTGAAATCGTTGCTTATTAGCTTGCAGGCCATTCTGCGTTCCACCCCTGCTTTGAGGCATTGCTTTTTTGTTCTGAAGTACCTCAAGGGATTTAGAATCCTTTGATACCTACATCCATGAATGACCTTCCGATTTGGTCGTTCACGAGTGAGTGTTCTAGCCAAATGCTCGAACCGCACCCGCACCTTATGTTCGTTAGTCTGCAAGATGTGATAGCTATCATGATTCTGACTGCGAGACGGCCCCGCCATGTGAGTGCTGCAAGTGTTGGGAATACGGAGCGTAGATGTGGTACCTCGTACTGGGCTTTGCAACCGCATGTTTTTCACGACTACTGCCATGTCGAACAGATCAGCTCAACCGGAAGAACCTCGCCTACGTCGATGAATTCCCCGTCGATGGACGATTCGTTTTAGGACGTCACAATCCCAACGAGAATCCCGGTGACACGAAATATCACGTGTGGCGTAGGCCAAGCCGCTTAGAGAAAGAGGGCATACATCAGGCAGCAACGAACTTGTTCACCGCAACATCAGCATGTGTATTTTCGAGTCTTCTCGCCATACTTCTGCCTTCCTCCTACGAATCATTGTTATGGGCGAATGGAGCTGAGCGGCCGCCCTAATACTCACGACTCACACAAACCGGTGACTCAGCGGGGTCGTCAGACTCATGCCCGCTGTCTTCTTTCGCAAGCAGCGCACTACCTTAAAACCTCACCAGCTGCAAACGCTTCCCCTGATACTTCCATTCGCGAGTGCGTATAGATGATGAGGGGGTCAAGCCCGTACCACCCTAAGCGACGGTGAGGCTGACAGAGCGGTGTGAGTCGAACGGCCTGCCATAGCTGGATTGCTATAGCACCAGCCATGCCATTATCAGCTAGGAAGCTCAGTAGACGGACACGAGCGACACAGACAATCGCATTGGCGTCTGCGCAAGCTCACGATGCTGATGAACGATGTTAGGACAGAGGCAGCAATTGCTTGCGCAACGTTTGTGCGCTGACAAACACGACTGTCGCCACGCACGCGAACTTTGCGCTTTACGCGTTTAACAAATGCCGTACAGTTTGAACATGTTCAGCTGGCATGCTTCTTTCTGTCGCTCTCGCCTATGTCGCAGTCTCGCTGACCATTACTCGCGGTCGCCGGAGGGCGCAGTCAGTTCCGCCACAAGTGTGGCGCACGTTGCTTCCCCAAGAAAATCTGGATAGGCAGCTATTAGCGGCCGCTAGCTGGACGCCACGAGGTGAATGAGTCGCCGGTAAACATCGTTCCTCCCTACAAGATAAAGGCTCCCATCGCAAATTCGAAGCGGGTCAAATTCTCTCGTTTCCTTGCTTCCTACGCATCAGCTGGTGTAACCCGCAGAGGGACCCTGCGCGAAAGAATTTTGGAACAACAACAAGAGAAGAATCGGAGGATCTGCAACAAAATAATCAGCATGGCGAACCCACGTGGTAGCGCCGCTCAGTACTCCGCGATGGTACTGCTAGACTATGTGCAGGCGCCTTCGGTGGGCTTGTACTTTCTCGCCGCAACAGGGTTTGGCATGTGCGTGCTGCAAAAGTCGAAACACATATCACTCAAACGGCGGCGCCTTGCAATCGCAACAGCATTCGCTCTCCTGGCGGGGTATGTTGTAGAATTGCTTTACTACCTTAGCCGCTCATTCGCAGACTTGCAATACACGGCTCCGCAACACGCAGCTATCCGATGTCTAGGTTCGATACTCGTCTGGATACCGCTCAGCTCATCAATCGTCACCGGGAACACGTTCATCTGGCACCCGTACTTTGGAAGTTTCGTCATTCAGTTCGTCTTTGAAGCAATAGTTTGCCTACTGCGTGGCTTCTCTCTTCCACTCGACGATCGATATAGCAACATCCCGCTGAGCATCAGCGCAGCGAGAGCGTTCGTTTCTTTCGTTCTTCTGATTGATTCGTTCTTGATCCTGATATCGAGGAAGGGCGAGAAGGGCACCGATGAGGAAGAACAGTCTCTGCTCGGAGCACAGGCGAACGGGTCTGCCACCGCAAACGGATCGCCAACAGCGAACGGCAACGCGGGATACGGTTCGATCGAGCAGACATCATCAGATAGTGATAATGACGACGATGAAGCTCCGGCTGCTCACGACAAAGAGATCAAAGAACAGCAAGCAAAGCGACTTGAAGAACAGGGCGGCTGGCTCGGATACCTAAATAGCTTCATGGTCTTCCTGCCATACCTATGGCCCAAAGACGACTGGAGAATCATGCTCGCGCTCTCCCTCCGACTCATCCATCTGATTCAAGGGCGAGCATTGAATCTGCTCGAACCGCGACAGCTCGGTATTATCACGAACAAGATCACGCAAGGCGCCCACGAGATGCCCTGGGGCGATATTGGCTTGTGGACGCTGTACCGATGGATCAACAGCTACAGTGGTCTCGGCATCATCGATAATTTCGCCGAGACGTACATTGGCAACCAGGCCTTCGAGAGGATAACTATACTGGCGTACAAACATCTTATGAGTCTTTCCATGGACTTCCACACGTCCAAGGACTCTGGCGAGGTGTTGAAAGCTGTCGAGCAGGCATCGTCCCTCAACTCGCTCATTGAGCTGGTGCTATTCGAAGTCTTCCCGATCCTTGTCGACCTTGTGATTGCAATGTACTACGTTACGCACCTCTTCGATGCCTACATGGCTTTCCTCGTTCTGTTCATGGGTCTCGCATACATCTGGCTGGGGCTGTACTTCACAACATGGTCTCAGGCCCGCCGAAGGGTATATGTTGCGAAGCAGCGCACAGAGAACACCACCGTCAACGAAACAGTTCACAATTGGCAGACCGTTGCATACTTCAATAGAGCACCATACGAGACTGAACGCTACCGTGAGAACATCCGAAGCACCATCATGGCTCATTACGCATACTACTTCCGTTCTGTGGGTGGTCACGCAGCGCAGGACCTACTAATGACGTTTGGCTTCACGGCATGCTGCATTTTTGCCATCCACCAGATCATCTATGGTGGAAAACCCGTAGGAAACCTCATTACTTTCATCATGTACTGGGGCACAATGATGAGTCCTCTGTACATGATGTCCTACAGCTACCGCCATATCTCCAGCAGCCTCATCGACGCAGAACGTCTTCTTCAGCTCCTCAATACAAAGCCAACCGTCGCCGATCACGAGAACGCGCAAGATCTGACCGTAAAGGCCGGAAAGGTCGAGTTTAAAGACGTAGACTTTGCGTACGACGCTCGCAAGCAGATCATTAAGAACGTGAACTTCACTGTTGAAGGCGGCAAGACCGTAGCCTTCGTCGGGGAGACCGGCGGCGGAAAGTCTACGATGCTAAAGTTGCTCTTCCGCTTCTACGACGTCACAAACGGCTCCATTACAATTGATGGGCAGGATCTGCGCTCAGTCACCCTCTCCAGTATCCGCGACTCCATTGGGCTCGTACCACAAGACCCAGCGCTGTTCAATCAGACGATCCGCCAGAACGTGCGATACGCCAAGCTCGGTGCCACAGACGCTGAGATCGAAGACGCCTGTCGCGCCGCCGCTATCCACGACGACATCGTCTCGTTTCCCGAAGGGTACAACTCCAAGGTTGGTGAACGCGGTGTGCGCCTCTCGGGGGGCCAGCTCCAGCGCATCGCTATTGCAAGGGTTCTGCTCAAGAATCCTAAGATCGTCATGCTGGATGAGGCTACGTCTGCTATTGACTCGGCCATCGAGGCGCAGATCCAGGAAGCGTTTAGGAAGTTAAGCAAGGGCAGGACAACGTTTGTCATTGCGCATCGACTGAGCACAATTGTTGAGGCAGATTGCATTCTGGTGGTAGAGAAGGGGGAGATTATCGAAAGGGGAACTCATGCAGAATTGATTGCGAGGGGTGGAAAGTACTGGGAGCTGTGGAGGAAGCAGACAGCGGGAAATGCGTCGGCAGCGGCGAGTACGAAGGAGGATGTCTTGATCGACGTTACGGCGCCGGAGGAGGAAGGCGCGAAGGCGTCGGGAAGGAGCAATGCTGAAGGGGCGGTGGAGAGAAGGAAGTAGGTATACGTTCTAAATCCATGGAGTTTGGTTCATGATCAGGCGTCATCTCTTTGGACTGTGTCACATTATTTTGCATTCGAGATTGCTGGCGTTGCATTGCATACGCGTGGTGAGCAGTCACCGTACTGGATGCTTGCGCTTCTTTACGGATGTCATTGTCTGCGGTTGAAATCTAGACGTGATAGAAGAAGAGTATCTCAAAATGGCGGGACTCTGTAAAGACTAACGATTTCAAACGCATCCTGAACTGTGCATACAGATGAGCATGATATTGGATACCGTCCAATGAACAGATGTCCACGAGAACGATATGGTAATGCTGGTCAAGACAATACTTTGTATTTCGGCATCTAACTCTAGCCTTCGGACCGGATAGACATCACGGTGCCCAACTCTGTGATTTCGTTCGAGTATTGCATGCTTGGGAACTTGGGAAAGATTTCTGCTGTGACTGCTTGTCAGCGAGTGGGCCACAACTGCGGAAGGTCCGGATGCAGGCCCCCGAGTCAACAACGCCGTTCGGACAGTTGAGTTCAATGTAGTGTTGAGCCGAAGGACTGCCGAGGTGTAACGCGCCAAATGCAGGGCAATACAAAATAAGGGAGTGCGCATACGAAGGAGGACGTGTTGCAGCTCAAATAGTGGTACGATCACCATCTGCGTCCAGAAACGTTAGCGCCTTGACATATTGTTGGGTACCTGGGCGGCTTCCGATGTAAGCGTTCGGCGCTCTGATTGGCTAGCCCAACATCTAGTATGCAAAGGTCTTACGCCTCGCGAAACACTCTCATTGCGCGAACTGTCGAGGCTTGACGCTGGTAGGACAGCATAGAGCCGTTGAGTTCTGGCGAAACGGCACTCTGGTTGTATAATTGGTAGGTGGTGACAGGTGACGAGCGCGAAGCTGCGGGCACGTGCTCATTTTTGGCGCAGTTATAGCGCTAACTGACGGATACGGGCGACTCAATGTTCAAATCGAGAAAACGATGCAGACAAGGTACCGAACCCCGCCACTTCGGAACCGATCGACCTGTCCCTGAAAACTGCGTTTGTAATAACGCCAGGTACGCAGAAAGCGGGCACCCGCGCGGCTGGCTGTATTCGTCGTACACTGGGCTCGGACACATGCAGACAAAAATGTTACTTGACTGTGAAGCGGGATGGAGGCGAGTGGTCATCTGTCCAGATTGGAAGCTAATTTTGAGAGTTCGAAATCGGTGTTTTCCACCTGGGTTGTCTCGTGAGCATGTGAAGTCGCGGAGAGCAAGCACAGAGACTGAACGATGTCTTGCATCGGTACGGCTGCACATAATAGACGGGAACGGGTCGAGCCGAGACGAACTAAAGAGGGAATGGTTGAAGCGGGTAAGAACCTAAGGAGCGGTAATTGTGCTCATGATTCGCTGGATGATAGCCGTCCGCATCGCCGAGAGTCGCAGAGATTACGCTGTCGCCGGGCTCGAGGCAGAGAAAGACAAGAAGGGTAACGGGCAAAGTAAGGAAGGAAGCTGGAGGCAGCTTTCGCGCCCTCATTGGCTGGTGGGTCGCCCTACCTGTCCCAGGTATGCACATAAACAACCTCTCCTGCCCAATACATGGGTCATGAGCATCTGGCCAGCGTAATCGCCCTACGCCATTTTATGCTCTGAGGATAACTTCTCCACCTCTTCTACACGTCTTGCTGTTTCATTGGCTCCAGAGTGCAGCACTGGGCTTTTACGTTCCCTGTCAGACACGTCCGACCCAGATTAAGCGTCGTACACGAGCGTCAAGTTTGCCAGCAAGGATAAGCGCCTGACCTGCTTGAAATGGGAGCCGGTTTGACTTTCAAATGTGAGCAGTATCCGCACCCACAATCCGCACAACCTTGCCAAACGTACAAGATGCAGACGGCAGCGACACGTTCGACCAGGAGAGAGATGAGAGATTGCCCACGCGACCAATGGTGAATCCCGGTGGTGTGCTGTACAGTTTACGACGAAGTGTAGCAATGGTGACGAAAGGCGGACCACTGCACGGACAGGCCACTCAGAGACCGCCACGTAGGTTGCGCTTTCGAAGCTGATTTTGCCGGCCGACGATGGGTATGATATGGTGCGTATTTCCTTTCACGATGGAAGTCGGATGATGGTCATGACTCGATACTAACCTGGCGAGGGTTTAGGGAGAGGACAAGTGCCGCGGCCACGAAAACCATCATGCGACACAGGCGACACAACGGTTCTACCACGAGAACGCAGGCTTCGACTGCCAGGACACCGAAGGAAGATGCGAACCAACGCCGTACCGCTGCTGCTTTTTCGCTGTACCATGACGGACCAATACCTCTTGCATCGTCCACACACCTCCCCTGAGGCTCGAGGCCACTTCACCCGCACGGCGCAAAGGGAAGGCGCGGCGTAGGCGCTGCCGGCAACAAGACAGGCAGTCACCGGCAGAGCATCGGAAGCGTTGCTGTGGGACACGGCGCTGCGTCGGGCGGCGCGAGGAGCGCTGAAGGTGCATTGCCGACGCTGCGAGAGATGCATGCGAGCATGCACATGTGGTGTTGACGACAAGAACGGGTTTGGTGGGAGGTTCTGCGCGGGGAAATGCGGGAGTGGCCCGTAGCGTCCCTAAAGCGTTAGTGCACCTGCCCACGCTCAAGCGAATCCCACCTCAACGTCGCCCTCCTCGCAAACATCGCTCCTACACTCTCTTCCTCCGGTTGCTGCCCTCCCGGACACCTCTCGCACTGGCGCGCACTCGCTTCTCTCTTATTGTTCGCGCTCATCACCTCGAAGCTGCCGCCGCGCCGCTGCCAGCGGGCCGTGCGCCATCTCTCCCCGCTTCTATTTGCGGCACGCGCACATCACGGATTGGACAGCTTCAGCCCCCATCGCAGAGCACAGCGGCTACTTCGTCACAACCAAAACACGGCCAATCATGCTCTGTAGAAATCTTCGTTACATCATTAAGGCAATGGTTAAGGTATAGGAAAATCAAGCGATGGTATGAGGTAACGCCCGGCCCGTCTCCTTTGCCCCGTCTCTCGTCCTAATCCTCGGCCGTTTCCTATCAATCTGTCCACAAACGCCAGAAAAAGTGTGGGCTTCGTCCAAACCGCATCCCGAACCAGTGTACATGAAACCGATCTCCAGACGCCCGCGCCATTGCCACAACTCAGGCACAAGCTTGAGCGCCAATCTGTTGGCGTCGGCGTGCCATCTCGTAGTTCAAGTTCCGGATTTCGACGTCAATGTTGGCAATCGCTTCCACTGATTTGTCAATGGATGCCCGGAACCTGTTTCCCTCGCGTTGCCAGCGGTGGATGCGGTCCACTTCTGCGGCCCGCTTCCTCTGCTTGCATTCGACCTTCTCGCAGATCTTGCACTTCTGCGGGACATGGATGGTGTGGTTCACGAGCTTCATGCCGCACGTCTCGCCCATGCGGTACTCCTTGGCGCAGTGCTGGCGGAAGTTGCCCCACTTCCAATCGCCACAAGCGAATCGGTGCATATCGTAAAAGCACATGTTTCAAGAGTTTAAGAGTCGGATATGCCTGGCGTTTGATGGAACATTAGCCTCATAGGACAATCGCTTGGATGACAAGAGCTCGCAGCCTACCTATTGCCTCCTCGATGGAATACAGTCTTGTTCTGATTGGACCGCCGGCCGAACTACTATATCGATGAGTCCTCAGGGGTCACGCCAGTGGGCAAATGTTCGACAAGACATACATCGGTTGGATCAGAGGCGATGGACAAGTAGTCTTGCCGATGGGTTTGTTTGGAAGAGAAGGCACAAGTGAGATGAACGTTTGAAGTTGTGGCAGATGGTCAAGACTTGATGGCTTTGACTGGAGGAGCTGCTTGCTTCGAGCTTGATGGAGTGAATCTCTGGGACAACCTACCGCTATTTATGCTTCAGACGAGAGCACTGTTGCCGATATCGACGCCAACGTATGGCCCAAGAACCCATCCCGCTGTCAGACCATGCGTTGGTGTCATGGCCCGTCCGTCAGTCGATGAGGTCGTACCCCACCCCGTCTCGTCCAACAACGTTGCCACGATCAACGCCAACCTCTCGTCCAGCCGCTAGGCAAGTGCGGAGACCATCTGCAATGATACCCTAGGCCCTGCCGGCGTGCCAGCTGCACAGAGATATCACATCTGCTAGGGGCTGGATGCTCGGGTGGCTCGCTGGCCGCAAATTCTTCCTTGTCTGGCGGGAAATGGCATCCGTTCCTTGTCGCCATGTTTCAGCCAGCTCATATCGATGGGGCCAGATGAGTTTGTTTGGACAATTTCGGGCCTTTCATCGACCATGAGGTTGAAGATTTGTGAAGCGAGCACAGTCACGTGCGCAATAGTCTCTGCCGAACCGCAGTCCGCTCCACGATTCGTTTGTCACTAGGGAAGCGATTGGCCAATGATGCCCATGTTTCTATTCTACGCTTTTGGCCGGAACAGTGGAAATATACGGAGCGTCATTCGCCATCAAACCCTCCCCGGTCCTTTACTGGAAGCGTCAGTCCAGTGCGTGCAACTCACGGGACAGTGCTCGAGCACATGTGCAATGATCACTTTGGTTGGACGCTGGCATTTCCCTTGGTCCCTCAATACCTTCTGTGTTTATGGCGTCCCGCATAAATCCCCGCGTGTAATTTTCTTCGTGTCGTTTCCGGTTTCCTTGTGGAAGATGGGCTAACCAACGCATAGGCTCGGGACAACACGACCACACCATATTGACCGTTCATCACCTCTCCTTGCCGGGCATGCCGCCACCCCTACCTGACACGAGGATTCCCAACCTCCTCACACTCACGGGCTAGAGGCATCGTAGACCAGTCACCTTATCTGCGCCCGCTGCACATCCGCACTCGGGCATCCGTCCGGTCCTACCATGCCACCTTAGTGTGGTCCACCACCCTTCTGCACTTGCAGGGTGCATTGCACGACCGCTCCATTTTCACTCAGCTGATCAACTGCCCGTTCGTCGGCCTGCTTTTCCCGCATGCCGCCACTGTTGAATCGCTAGGATATGCACGCTGACAGGCATGTGTCTCTTAGATAACAGGATGGCGTGAAGTTTATGCGGCACCTAGTCCGCCATCGCATATCGAAGCAATCATCTGGCATCCGGGACGACGCTAGAACGGCCAAAGCCATGCCCCATCGGAGATCTCTGACGTGGCGGGCACCGTTTGGTTGAATCTTTCGAAGGCATTCACCCGGGCATCGTCTGGCAATCAATAGCAGCTGTGACCAACGACTCCGCGTGGCTTCGTCCGTTTCCCACTGCGGATCGAGCTAGGAATGCCTGCCATAACACGCAGGAGGGGCGTCACAAGATGGGAAAGTCAGTCCTTCGTCTGAGCGTCTTCACCGGTCGCCCCACCGTGAATATGTTCTCGTAGCGTACAACATACCCTCGGGCTTGATTCACAGTCAATGCGGTGGCGATATCCTGCACCTTGCTTCCGTCAATTGTCCTGTCCAACTCGGCGTTATGCTCAAACGAGGCAAGAGCACCATTACCGGGCCAATATTCATTCACCGATAGATTATGTCTCACATTGTATCGCTGCGTCTGACATCAGGCATAGAATGCTATCGATCGAGAGTGTCGGTGAAGGCGTCGTTGCCGCGTTTTGCAGACGGGTAGTTGTTGTTTGGCAATGCCAAAATGAGCCTCGCGTCGAAAACAGCTGCCACGCCAATCGTTCAGAGGCAAGTGAACAACAAAGTCCCGACCTTTTCTGCGACCTCCCCCAAAGCAACCTCGCACCCGGTAATCATAGCTTGACCAATATAATTTTGCCTCCTTCCTTCTTTCCGCCCCTACCGTGATTCTGCGGTTGTACGTCACGTAAACAACATAGGCCGCGGAAGTGGTCGCCTGCCAGCCTCAGCACGTCTCGTTGTCATGGCAAGACGTTGAAATTTACTACTCGCGGGTCCGCACGAGATTTCAATCATGTGAGCTGAAAGCAATGCTGGGTAAGGCGGTAGCGACATACTGCACAAGGGACCTGTGGAGAGGGAGCTGGCAGGTCGCACGCAATTTTGATCCCGAGACGAGAGAACAATGTGCGTTAGTGGGTCCGATATGCGGTCGGCTGGGCCTACGGTGGTGATTGGCTCCAGGCATGTAAGAGGGCTGGGCTGGTGGGGAGAGTGAGGCCTGGATGCGTAGTGTTGCATGGGCCGAGGGGGTAAGGGAAGTGGTTGGTCGATGATGCTGATGGACGTATGGCGCCGAGAGGCGTTGTGAGGGGTGGAGAAGGAGCTCGATGAGAACAGACCCGTGGCGCGCTCGGCTCCGTGACGTTAAACAACGTGACGAGGCCGTTGTTACCTCAAATGTCAGGTATCAGAATGTCTCAGCGGTGCTAAGATGAATGCCATTGAGACACGCATCTGTCCTGGCGGGGCAGAGCAGATGACGGAAGCTGGCGGGCGCAAGACGATGGCTTCAGGCTGAGAAATTTTGCGCCCATCGGCACCTTGCTTGCTCGTGCATGGAATCAGCGTTGCTGCTCGATGGAGTAAAGGGTTAGGCTGGCTTGAACCCTAGTCGCGCTCTAGGAAGGTTCTTTCATGCATCCATACAGTAGCCGCATATGCATGGGAGGGATCAATCGCTCGAGCCTCGATTCGCTACCCATGCGCCTTGTGCGAGCGTGCTGATAGCAAGCGAGTTCTGTAGTCATCGGCGAGAACTGTTGATGCTGCTGCTGCCGATGTTGGGACACGTTGGTCTGCTGGAGAGTGAGGATGCTTTTGGTTGAGGCTGCATGTCCGGTTCACGAGCTCATTGGTGCATTACGAATCGAGAGCAGGCAAGTGGCTGAATGACAGTACAGAGCATATGAACACCAATGCTCGGCAACATGAGTGTTCCGGTGTTCCTCGTCATCGGCAGCAGAGAAGCTGACGCTGGGCCTCTTCATGCAGTACAAGTGCTGGGCGGGCGGGCGCGGCGCCACAGGGAGTGATGCACGGTATCGATCCCACAGGAAGAGGGGACGCCGGTAACGCCCACGGTACCGGTAAGAATGAGGACAGGCAGGCGGTGGAGGAGTTCCGGAGAGTGCCCAAGGCCAGTAATGCTGCGCCGCCGGCCGCGGTTGGGTTCAAGCGCAGTGCTCAGTGGACAGGCGATCGTGCTAGATGCGCGTGGTACATGCAACGGTCTGAACGGTTTGGTCCCGCTACGACTTGTTCCACGGTTTTACTGAGCTGGTGCAGTGCCAAGATATATGGCGAGAGCATGGTACCCGCACCGACGGAAGCCCAAGGGTAATGTGAGTCGCGAGGAGCAGCAGTACACGGTTTAGTATTGCGTCGGCTGGTGACGTTGCGATGGAACCAGCCTTGAGAAGGGCCGAGAGACGATGCGGGGAATTTGCGGTACTCGTACACTTTCCGTCTGAAGGCTCACAATTAGGTTGTCAACGAACGAAGAAATTCTGCATTCACGCGGAATTTTCTCCCATCAGCTTGCTACGCTGGCTAGTTGTGAACGCCCAAATTATCATCGCTGCTTTCTACCCGAAGCCTGAGCTGCAAGTCGATATGTCGGAAAAATCAAATGCGGGCTTTGTAGTATCAATCCCAGAACGAGACTAGGTGCGAGAAACGCTATGAGTTCCTAGCTTGTCCATTGATGTTGACATGTTTGTGGCGCGGACGCCGATCATCAGTCTAGCGTTGGCGCACGCAAAAGTGGATACCCTCGGTATGATCCTGCGAGCATGCCCGATCCCGGAAGTGCTCCAGAAGGATTCTAGGGCCACTTTGTGACTGAGAGGGGACAAGAATTGGTATTCCTCCCGAGGGTATGGAAAGCGGAGCCAGTTGATGTAGGTGGCCCTTCGATCATTGGTACAAGTTCAAGTGTACCTTCAATTGTGAAAGCAATATGCGTGTATGTGTAGATGTGGCACAACATGGTGGGTGTGGACGCAAATGACATTTTTCCGGCTTCCATCGTGGAAATGGGGCAAGGACGGTGGAGATCCATATGATGAGTTCGGAGTACGCTCATACGTTGCAGGGGAGACCTTTGACATGGCTCTGCCAATGAACTTGTCTCGTATGACACGTATATGTCAACGTGGGTACTTCCCAAGTTTACAGACCGAAACCACGATCGGCCGAAGCCCCTAAAACGACCGCAGAAGGATAAACGCGGCTTCAGAAGCGGTGAGGAAGTCTCCAGATACTGACAGCTGAACGCATCGCTTAGAGTCTAGACAAGGCTATCCATGACAGCGAACGCAATGGCACGGCATGTACCATGTCGCGGCCGAGGTCGATCTGCATTGTGCTTCAGCTTGATTCCGCACGAGCAAGCCCGCGCCCGAGCACCCCTATGTCTGCCCTGCAAGGTTACACCTGCCCTCGAAACGCACTATGATAGCCTTAGAGCACATCTTCATCTTTCGATTTTCAATATTAGAAATCTACAGGCAATGTCAGGATAGCTCTCGAGATGTGGAAACGCGCTGGGATGATATAAGCGCGCCC